AAGGAAGCTCTTGCCTTGATGGTGGTATATCGCGGGAAGTTGGGCTATAGGCTGTCAACTGGGTTATTGCTACTTGGGTGGGCGGTTCCGCAGTTACATGCGTGGCGTATATTGGGTTTATGTTCTGGGTGTCGACTCGGATACGGAAAGACTCGAGATGTTCAGTGTGGGAGCGCCGCAAGAAAGAATGGTTCACATGTACAGACACAGCCAGCAAAAGAGAATTAAGCTGCCTGCATTTTCTGCAGTGCATCACAAAGCAACAGCCAAATTACTATTTTATTATTTTTATATTTGCTTTTCAATAATCGGAAAAGCAAAGTAGGTGAATGGGGAAAGAGGAAGACGTGGTGTGAGGAAAGGAATAAGGAGCAGGGGTGTAGATACGCAATATGTAGAACATCTAGAGAGACAAAAAATGTGATGACGGGCTGACAGTTCAGTAAGTGGGTAACTTATGTCTGAGAATCGTCTCAGGTTCAACTGAAAACGAAGCGATGGCATCGTCACAGGTACGGTTTAAGGTCGTCGCATTTCAATGAATATAAAGTAATCTCATGCAGTGGGGTGGAGTTATGAGGGGGATTGTACATGTAATGGAAATATGTATGATGTACGTACAATCTGTAGAGCCCCTCCTCCATCCTCCTCGTGGATGGATACTCAGGAAACTGGAGCAAAGGAATTTAAAGCCATGGCCATGGCCAAAAAGACATATATCCAAATATGGTGCTGTTGCCCGTGCTTGCCCACCTTAGCGAGCAGGAAAAGAAAAAGGCATCCAAGAAAGTGTAGCTTTCCCGGCCTTTTATCGCATGCTTCTCGTGCAGGTTTTCAACCTACCATGTTGGTGGGAGACCCGTGCGAACGGGCTAGTAGGATGTGCGTGTTTTTTTCTCGTCATACCAAGTTTAAATCCTGAGCTATCGTGAAGCGGGAAAGGTTCATCGGGGACCCTTGTTGATCTCTGTCTGCTGCAGCCAATCCACGTTCTTGAGGTCTTAGAAGTGGTGTATTAAAGACGCAGTTGGGGGCGACATGCCGGTAGACAGTATCGACGATGGGATGGTTTGTCTTGGAGGTCATAAAATATGAGGGAGGGAACCAACTTTACGTACCTGTGGCTATATTGAGCGGATGATGGCGCTAAGATCAAGCTGCCAAAGACGGATGAAGTTAAGAGAAAGAAAGAAAGAAAGAAAGAGAGAGGTTCGGGAGGCTTAACCGGTAGTGGTGAACTGGACAAGTACGTACTGCAAGTGCCAGTTTCTTTTTGGAACCGAGTTATATATAATTGACATGATGATCTTGGGGGTGGCTCCGGCCGTATGTATGTATATTTTCGATCATGATCATGTTGGGTTTTTTTTTCTTCTTTTTCCTTTCCTGATGATGCCTCTTTTTTTTTTTTTTTCCCAAGCCATGTAATGTACTCACTTATTTACTTTGCCCAACGTTGAACAATCCGATACGAATTCGAAGAAGATCGTACGATGGAGTTATGTCGACTCATTACGTAGAATATACACAGGAAGCAGGAAAAAGGCCATGTTTCAACGGTGCCGATATCAAAAGGACAAGACTTGATGCGCTGTATCTTGAAATAGGAACATTTTAGTTAACAGGCTAGTTAGTACTTACTTACAGACAGGCATAGCTTGTCGATAGGGGAGAAATAAGATCCAGGGTGGCCATTGTCAGGTTCCCATTGCATTGCGCCTTTTAGACGGGCAGGCTTTCGTGAATCTGGGAACAGGGATGATACAACCTTTAGCGTCAATCGTTCTGGGCCCCACCCGCCACAGTATGTAAGTGTACTATGTAAGTGTAAGTGCAAGTGTAAGTAGCATACTGTGTATGTAGGTCAGTATGCGAGTACATGTATGCGAGTCCGTACATATGTAAAGCAGCGGAGGGTACATGCAGGAATAAGTACAGTACTTGGGAAGGAATTAAGTAGCTGACTTGCTAAGTTCTGACTTGCACCAGCTAAGTCTGAAAAAGAACAAGACCCTTCATGTTCACGGCATCTTGCTTGCATTACCATACATACAGCCATTCAGAATTAATGAACATCGACTCGGACTGGAATTGAAACTGGAACTGGACGTACCGGCGGTGAATATTATTCGAAGGCAGCAGACCGACCAACCATTACAACTTGCATCTGCAACCGCACTGCATTACGGGAATTCGATACTCTATCTATCTACCTACTTACCTATTACCTACCTACTTACCTACATATCTATCTATCCCCTACCTAAATAGTGGCCATAGTTCATTTTCTTTAGATAATATTTTTTTTTTTAAAAAAAAAACAGTTTCCAATAAGGTTTCTTTCTGGGGCTCGAGACTTTTAAGCGCAGAGGCCGGTCTCAGCGCTGTCAGTTCCGTGAAAACGAACCTGGCTGCTGCAGCAGAGTTTTTCTTTCCTTCTTTCTTTTCTTAATTGAAGACGACGACGACGACGACTACGAATACGACAGCGACTGGGAAGGGAAAGTTGGAAAGATATTTAGTAGAAGTATAGTACCATACTTCTTAAGATCAGTTAACTTCCGAGTTATATTATACGGCTTGCCTGTCTGCCTGCCTGCATACAAACAGACACACACACACACCCACACACACATATATACACATACATACTTCATACACAAACAAGTCCATACGATAAACCATATATACACACACCTCCCAGTCAGTTCAGTTGAGTGCAGCTCAGTCCGGTCCAACATCGATTATCGCGATACTATTCATTGAGCATCAGTTCAGAAGTCGGTAAGTTATTTAGTTATTTAGTTAATTAGTCAATTAGGTAGTTAGCGGTGTCTGTTATGTAATAAGATCCCCTTTCTCTCCCTCTCCCTCACCCTCCCTCTTGCTTCCTTTCCATCTATCTTTCTTTCTCGCTTTCCCTTCTTTGAATTCCCGGACCTCTTTGGTATGGTTCATCAAGCCTTTCCCCCTTCCCTCCCCTTCCCTCCCTTCCCTTCCTTTCCCTTTACATGCTTTTCTCGGGCGCGTCGGAGCTGTCTTAATTGTCTTAATTGAATGGACGTCTGTCAGCCACCATCCTTGAAGCGGTTGAAGCGAGCAACACTTCTTTCCCAGACCAAACGTTCTAACCAACTTGATCTTGGACTCTCCAATTAAAGGCTGTTCAGTCCGACGAAGCTTCAATTGACACAAGCACAAGAACACTTATCCGGAAGAAAAATAAAAAAGTAAAATAAAATAAAAATAAAGTAAAAATAAAACAAATTGTTTATTCTTGTTCTTATTCTTATTCTTATTCTTATCCTTATTCTTACTCTTCTTTCTCTATCTTCAGATCTTCATCTTCCTGTCGTTACTTCCACTTTTACCTTTTTTGTTTGACCCGACCCGACTTCCAAATCAACTTTAAACTGCCCCTCGGCACCTCCCACCGTACACACGCACTTACATACATACACACCTCGCGGTACAGTACAGTACAGTATAGTACAGCACGGTACGGTACAGCAGAGTACGTTCGTCTTTTTATTTTATTTTATCACTCTCTTTCCGTTGTCCCGTTCGCAGTGTTGCATTTTTTCAGGTGGAGCTTTTTTACAGCCCATCCAGTCGGTCAATCAGTAAACCAGTCAGTCAGTCCATCGGTCAGTGAGTGGGTCGTCGGCCAGCGCTACCAACCAGCCTGCAAGCCAGCCCTTTCCTTTTGTTGGGCATTTGAGGTGCTCTGCTTAGTTGGTATCCAGCCGACTTAGTGCAAAATCACACATATCTCCGGCCATGCCTGAGCTACCTCAACTCGAACCGACTCGGCTCGACATCACACATCACATCACATCTCATCCTTTCCGTACATAGCTTCTCTGCCCTCTTCTCTGCATCTCTGGATTCATCATCATCATCATCATCATCATCCCCATCTTCACATTCACATTCACCTTCATATTTGTCCTGCTATTTCTCGTTTTTCAGAGCCATGGATGATACGCTTTTGCTGTCCCTACCATATGGATCCTGAAACCCGAGCCCTCTTCCGTCCATAATCCATAATTTCTTCTTCCACACACACACACACCTCTCTGCGTTGCTCAACTCCCTTCTTCCCTGCAGCCGCCTCCTGCCATATTCATCCTATCCACCCTTATCCACAACCATCATCCAGAACTTTGACTGCATCATCGACATTGTTCTCTTGACCCTATCTGGTGTAGCTAATCATAGTATGTGGTTTTCTATATAGAAGCACTCTTCCCGTTCGAATCAATTTGTGGCTTTTAGCGAACGATCACTACTCCCTTGAGCACCAACGACAACTCTTCTCTTCCTCTCCTCCTAGCTTGGCAATCTACTCGCCTGGAAGTCTAAACGTGTATCTATCACCAGATACGACCCCGTATCATTTATTCTGGGCCTTGCAAGACCTCTATATGGAACCGACGGTGAACTGAGATCGAACATCCTTAATCTATCTTTCGCTATTCGTGTCAAACGTTACACGAAAGCTAATACTTACGAAAAAACCACATATACTACCTCCCATTTATCTTTGGCTCCAGCGTCCAGGCCTTGTACCATTCCCAATTCAGCTCTCGGACTGAGTTGAGTATACTATTAGGCTGGATACTCGTGGTTTCATATAAACTTAAAGTTCACCTACAGTTCGAACAGTGAATTGATATCTCAACTGCAAACGCTATATCAATTCAAGCTTCAATTCTAGTTCTAGCAAGACAGTTCCTGCTAATCGCATTACGGTCAAATTGGTAAGCTTGCAGTCTGCATCTCATAGTTTGGAATTCCGGACAGCTGTCCTCTACAGGAAAAAAAAAACGAGAGAAAGAAAGAACGAGAGAAAGAAAGGGACTTTAATATCAGGGACCAAATGCTCACCGGTTCTATTTGCTGTTCTTAGATCTTTTTTCAAATCTACTCCTATTTCCATTTTGAAGAAATCATCCGGAGAAGGCTGGGCTACGAGGGGAGTTGCTGTAGCCTACGATATGCCCCCAATGAATACGATACCGATTCCAAAAGAAGCCAACGGTATGGATTTCAAACCAACTTAACTAATATCCTTATGACTAAGTATTTTTTCCCCCCGGTTGGATAGAACAAATCCCTCTGGAGCCGGCCAGTGTGCCGGTGAAAGCCAAGGAGAATCCACCGCCTAAAGTCGACCGCCCGCGTCCTCATGTCTGTTCTATATGCACCAGGTCGTTTGCGAGATTGGAGCATCTAAAACGCCATGAGAGATCCCATACGAAGGAAAAGCCATTTGAGTGCCCGGAATGCCTAAGGTGTTTTGCGCGCCGCGATTTGTTGCTACGACATCAGCAAAAACTACATCTCACTACAACTCCCTCAAGTCGACCTCGCAATGGCGTGCGCCGTGAGAGCACATCCTCCGTAGCACAGCCAGCCGGCAGTAGAGTTCGCAAGAACTCGGTTAGTAATGCTGGGGGACGGCCTCGTGCAAACACTATCGCTCATGTCGATAGTAATACTCTTAGCCTATTGGCCAAAACGACAACTGGAGCCAATCAGAATCTCCCGAAGCTCGAGACAGGCTCACTCCGCGGCCTCAATGTTGTAGGGACATCGCTAGGAGCATCTACGGTAGTACCGCAGGAACTCGACATTGAAGGCATACTGTTCGGAAATCCAACCACAGTAAACCCGGCAGTTCTTCAATTCAGTGCGTCTCCACACGCTAACACCTTTGGATCTCCAACCTCCCCTTTCGAGCCGGTTTTCGGGAATTCAAACGCCGTAATTGACGACGACGATGACCCTACCGAGTGGATGATGCTCGGGACGGGCGTGTACGCCTCTGAACAAGCTGTGGAAAGCTCATCTCCAAGTGCAATTAGCACGACGTCGATTAGTGCTGTGAGCGAGGCTCTGCAGGACACCAATACATGGTGGAATAACAATGCATCCACTATGAGCTCTGCTACAACATTGAGCACTTCACCGTTTATGTCAGCTTCTGATTACAATACCACGTCCTTCAACCCATCTCCCCCTCCACCTGCGGGAACGATATCTCCAAAGGCTCTCCAGGCACAGGGAGGGAATCATCATGATTTACCATTCTTCGCCAACTATAGCATGACTAATATTTCCCCAAACCATTTCCTTTCACCAGAATCCCACTTCCAACCAGAGATGCAGCATGAATTTCCTCATGATTTCTCAGGATTTCAACAGACGACCCCAGCAGCACATGCGACACAGACAATAACGGACTCCGCACGAGCAGCAATCCTTTTGACCCTTGCTCAATCATCCAATGCGTACCGCAATCATCAACAAGCCCAACATCAGCGTCGCTATTCCTCTGCTCAGTCACCTCCTCTCCATGTTCATCGAAACTCTTTTACTGCCCAACTTCCGGGTACTCAGGACCTTCAAAAATATGTGCAAAGCTATATCAAGCATTTCCATCCTCACATGCCTTTCTTCCATATTGCAACACTGGATTTCTCTTCTCCTTCCTATGCCGTAAGCCAAAAGAAAGACAACCTCCTTGGGTTGAGTGGCTTTGCGGGCGGCGGAGGCTGCCTTATTCTCTCTATGTCTGCTATCGGTGCACTCTATGCGGGTGAGGTCTCCGTAGCTAAGGAGATCTATGAAGCGGCTAAGAGGATGATCCATGTCTTCATCGACAATAGAAGAAAGGCATCTGTCTCTGCTGCCGTCTCCGGGAATGGAGGGGGCGCACAGTCTACTCCACTCTGGTTGGTACAGTCAATGCTCTTAAATGTAGTATTTGGCTTGAACAGCGGAGAGCATATGTCCAGCGAACTTGCTCTGTCTCATTGCACTGCGGTGGTTTCCTTGGCACGAAATGCCGGACTATGCAAGCCATATACAAACGTGCATAGCACTAGCCACCTCGGGCCTGATGCAAGCATGCTCGATATGTGGAACGGGGCGATGAAGCTCGAAAGCTTGGATGACCATGCAGATTGGATCAAATGGATTGCTGAGGAGGAGAGAAAACGTACACTGTACGCAGTTCACAAGCTTTCCTCGATGCTTTGCATTACCTACAACCACTCCCCGGCTTTAACAAATTCCGAAATCCGGCTGGATCTCCCCTGTGACGAAGAACTCTGGGCCGCGGAAACAGCAACAATGTGGAAGATGAGAGGTGGTATTCAGGCGGCAAAACAGGCCGCGGTTCCTTTCTCAATGGCATTGAACACGCTCCTCTCTGCCAACCAAACCCAACAGGATCGTGCGCACAATAGGGAGGATCAAAAATACATGGGCCCCCACGGAAAACTGAAGCCCTCCGAACTTCGCCCTAGCCACTTTGGTGCCCTTTCTCTTATCCTCGCACTTCACGTTTACATTTGGGAAACTCGGCAACTTAGCCAGTCCAGGCAATTTTCTGCGACTGAAGTAGAGGCTGTCCATGCACATATCGAGCCAGCACTCCGGGCCTGGGAAGAGGCTTGGGCATCGCACCCACAGTCTAGCATCGAGAGACCTAGCCCATTCGGTATTGGTCCTATGGCTGCAGATAGTATTCCTCTCCTAAACCTTGCTTATGTTCGCCTGTTTGTTGATCTGGGCATGTCAAGAGGGCCTTTGTTCGCTCGCGACTTCTCTGGGATGATTGACGAACTAAACAAAAACTGGGCTGAGCAACCAACTGCTACCTCCTCTGCAAACTCCTCCGCTTCCGAATCTGCGGATACGCCGCCTGGATCCAACAGCTCTCCAGCCTCGTCCCCCAACTCGGCTCTAACATCGCCAGATCTCAATCCTTCAAGGGGTGGCGCACACTACCAAACCCCATACTCACAATCTAGCGGGATATCATCTCGGCGCGAAAAACACATTCGCCGAGCCGCTTTCTACGCCGCGGATGCTCTCGCTATGTCTGAAAAATCCGGGCTCTCATCCCCCGACTTTCTATCAAGGGAACTCCCAATGCAATCTTTAATGTGTGCTTTTGATTGTGCACAAGTTTTAGCAGAGTGGGTTAACGCTGTTCAGGAGCGAGTGCGACCATTCATGGGCAAATTTGGAGACGCGGAATGTGATCTGATGAGCATTGAGGCTTTGATGATGTTGGAGAACGAAGATCGTGTATTGCTAGGTCGTGTGATTGAGATTCTTAAGAAGTCACACGAAAAAATGGTGTTCGAGTGGGATAGCATCGTTGGAGGTAATGACGAGGTCAGCGTGAGCATTCTAAGAGTTAGTGCTCACTTGTTGGAGAAAGCCTCTGTCTGGCCAGGTGAGTTTCACACTGCACACTCTTGCATTGAGATAGCATTCTAATATATATCACGTTGAATAGTTGTAAGGGTCTACTCTTCTGCCCTTCGCTACCACGCCGACAACATTGAATCTAGGCCCAAGAACACTGGAATCCTTGGGCATGGCCACTAAGCCCCCATCGACACGATCATTAGCACTTTCTCGAGTCATCATTGCGGGCAATTCAACATTACTGCGAACCGTTTCGGCGAAGTTTTCTATTTGAAATTTAGCGTCAGCGGATATGGGAGGAATACAGCATCTAACACCAGCGAAACAATGCATCATGTAACAACAGCTAGCGGATTCTCGGGCAAAAAGGGTAGTTTTTGAAATATTGCAACATTGATACCATTTTATACCATACCAAACCTCGGACAAAAAAAAACCACAAAACCAAAAACACCTCAATTAATGACTTTTTCTTCTTGGTGGAAACCTTTCGTCACAGTTTCTTGGGCATTGGAGGAACTTTTGTTTTACAAGCACAACATGCACAGCGTCGCATTTTTTAGGAAATGATACCACTCATGTTTCATTGAAACTACCCTGTAACAAGAGAAACCAAACCAAAAGTACCTATTTCCCATCACCTTTCCTATTTTCCCTTTCTTATTTACCTACTACTTTCTATTCACTGGGTGGGTTTCTTTCTTTAGGTTTCATAAGTTGCCTGTTTTCTTTCCTTTCCAACCTTTGGGAAAAATCACAAATACCAAATATACTGGGCGGGTTTCAATTTCCCCGGGATTCTTTTCAACGGCGTTTCGAGGCTTTTGGTATGGGAGGCGTTTATCTTTTATTTTATTTTTTTATATCTCCCATTAATCCCTGTGGTTTTCTTATATCTCTTTTACGTCTTGACGAGTGTTTCGACTGGAGAAAAAACAGAAAGGTATGGTAATGCGATGAATGCAATGTTGGCAAGAAGTGCTTAGTGCCCGTTAAGAAATCTTACCCGGGTGCCAATTATATTGTCAAAGGGATATCATGGTATCACGGGTATAACTTGTTTTTTTTTTTTACCGAGTTTGAGTATATTTTCTTCTTACTGCTTCTATAGCCCTTATGCATCCCCTCTCAAGTTACACGAGTGAGTCCTGGGCCTGTAACAACATTAACATGTAAAATTAACTATTCCCGTTTTCCCTTCAAATTCTCATTGTTTATCAGTTCTCGTACCCAACTTTTGTTACCATTCAAGAAGCCTCGTCGAGGAAGAACGGAACACCTATCTGAACAAAAAACCAAACCCAACAAGGGCAGGTCTGATGTTGTCAGTTGTAACTGAATCATTTTTGCCAACGAAGAGGGAAAATGTCGTTTCGGTACTTTTCGAGTTCTGAAACCTCGTTGATGTCATCACCAGTATCCGGTCCAATTGGCTTGCGGTATTCCATAGTTGATAGCAGTTTCAAGGCGGTTTGTCATGCTGCAAGTCGGCTGGCTATATTCGATCCTTGGTTTTAGCTTTCATGTAATGTACGTATACGTATATGTATCTCAGTAAACCCATAATTAATTGCCATCATCATGACCATCATCGCCGCTATCATCGTCCTTGCAGGAGACCTATGTGTATACATGTACGTATACGCCATGTGATGCGTAATATTTAGCCTTGTGTATACAAATTCCGATTGAAACTCACTAACCCCAGGAATTCAAATGCACCTCGATTTGATTGTTCAGGTTACAAGAATAGCAATGTCAATGCACATATATGCACGTCTGGTATAGTTTGTCCCGAGAGGTTGCAGTGCTGCATGCCGTCGATTGCCAGATATATCGATATCATCCGGTTTAGGCATGACTAGGAAGTATACCAGTAGATCTTATGCCTTTAAACTCCATCCATGTATGTTTTAAATCTGGCACTGCACCAGGCACTGTTTCGTTTGGTGGGGTATTTGTTTTCGATGAGGAGGCTTTTGAATTTTCTGTTGAAACAATATCGATCCTACGTAACGGGGAGCCGCCAACGAAAATGCAAATACCAGTTTGCCTACTGCACAGTTCAAAACTCGGTTCGAAAACAAAGTGCCACATGCCTTGCAGCCAGGCAGCGAGCAGTGCGCGGGGTTTAGTGTGACTTCACACGTGGCTGCAGCCATACATTCCACAGAGGCAAGCAAGCGCCACGCAGATCTAGAAGTCACCTTTGCTTGGAATGTCCTCAATCGCTAACAAAAGTCTAGGTAACCGAACATCGATGGTTTCAGTGACATCCTTTTCGTAAGGTTGAAAATGCACGATGTCCAACCGGGAAGTTTTATTTCGGATACCTGCTTCCAGCGTCCCCGCACTGACCCGAATGTCAGTGCTTATTTTCCCGATACGAGACCCGCAGCGGAAAGGGCAATTTCGAGGGTCTTGTCGTTTTGTTATTTGTTTTTGTTTGGTGGCTGGAGAGGGAAAAGACGTATTGCCGGGGCCGGCTGATAACACGCCACCGGTGGAGACTATCGATCACATCCCTCGTTTCTGTCACAGATCACATATGCATCTCTTGTCCAAAGGGTCCATATCAATCGATGTTGCCACGCCCAGGAATTATTTCTAAAGAAGAGGATCACAATCAAAGCCCTCCTCGCTGACGACGACGAATGTAGGCTTTTTTAGTCACGTTTAGTCACGTTCTGGATGTCTCGAGCTAGACGGTGCCTGCATGTCGAACCAAAAAGCCATGCTCTGGATCTCAACGACGCTAGGTGGGCGGGAACAGGAAAGAAAAAGGAACCTGCAGCAGGAACCCTCCATCACAGCAAGGTTATTCGCTATCAATCGACAAGCTAAGGTTGCGGGATATCTGCCAAGAAGCGGTTTGGTTGGTCGGGGCTCAATCTAGGCGCCATCCCCTGTACATTGGGCTTCAACCAACCAATTGCCAGCAGTCGCACCCCGACTTTACGGCACCCTGGCTGCGGGCTCCATCATTGCTTGCTGCAGATTTGCAGTGAGGAATTGGCAGAGACATCTGCGTAATGCTGCTTCTTCGCTCTATCGGTCTCCTTCCCTCGTTCCTGATAGCATAAAGTCGCAAATGAACACTCTGCGCTCTCAGACCATACTCAACTGTTTGCTCCGGTCCCTTCATTTTAGGCGCCCAATCCTTTTTTCTGAAGCGGCGAAGAGGTGCTGCGACGCAAATTTAACACTTACTCTCCCAGAAACTCGGGACCGACATACGTGATCATCCCCCTCAACAGTATAACTCGGTTTCTTCGTTGGTGGGCTGAAGTAACAGGACTCTTTTTGGGCCGCTAACTTCCAATCAGGCTGCCTTCTGCTGTGCCCTTTTTTTTGATTGTTAATTGGGGTATCACTGCTTTTTGAACCTGCATCCTGCAATCCATTCTTAGACAGGTCAGTCCCTTCCATCTACTCGCATCTCACTTCCACTTTTCCCTCCGTCGCTCTCTTACAAAACATATACATATCACCTGCATCTTGCATTACCAACTTCAAACCCGAGTTCCCTCCTTTTGATTGCTTGAGAATTGTATTACCCACGCCCTTTCATTCAAACCACTTGACATAAAACCGTCATAAGGCCCGTTTGCACCCGCGCATCTTGCATACATATTCCACACGCCGCCCACATCTTGCCATTTGACTCTTTTGACTTCTGACTTGTACCATCCTTCCATTCGTTCGTTTGCATCTGCACATCCCACCATCTGCAAGAAATAAAAAATAAAGAAAAATCAAGGTTTCTTTTTGGAGATATCTATATTTATCACAGAGTGGAGTGTACCACGGCGCGGCTACGTCTAGAAGGTCTAGAGAAGCCTTTGGTGGAGGAGGAAGACTCCGTGATATTGGTTCCCTGTCCTGGACATACTTAACATCCTGATAGTCTTGCAAGCGCTCTCATCTCGCATATATCTCCACGAGTATGCGTGACTGAAGAACCCCAAGACTCTCGAACTCCACTGGGCGACACTGTTGTAGTCTATCCCGTCCACTGCTCCCCTATCCCGGTCTCTTTTTGCCTCTCGAGTTCCTTTACCCGTCGCTGGCCCTTGTAGTGCACACAGTCACACTGTTGATATATAAATCATTCCCTGCACTAATCATTCCCAACCCTCCTTTTTAATCCTTTTTCTTTGATAAAACTTCTCCTATGGCATATCAACGGAACGATCCCTCCCGTAGTTATACCAATATACCTGAGCTCACATCATCTCAGATATTCACACCTCCTCTACCACCACAGGCACATCAATACGGTGGTTATCAAAGCCCCCAATCCCCCACAACCACAATACGGACAAAGACCCCACCGGCGCCGATACGGACAAATATACCTTACGGATCAGGTTTTCCGTTACAATTCGCAGCTCCTCCCCGGACACCAACACACGCGCCACAGGCAACCTCAACATTTATTCCTTCTGCAAATACTATCGATTACGCACAGGCTGGGTTTGCCGCTCCTCCACTAACACCACTCCGTTCTGCACCTTCGGCACACTCTCTGCATTCGCTAGCTTCGAAGAGTAACGATAATTTATATTATCATTATTACCAACCAGAACCTATCCCACCGGTTCCTCAGATCCAGGATATCCACGTCTTCAACCCATCCGCAAAGGATAATTCGCTGTACGCCTATAACACAGAAGTAAACTCTGAAGTCGCCCGTAGAAAACGAAAAGAAGCAATGTCTGGATACGCGCAAGATCCATCTCAACCACAGCAGCAGGGAATCCCGTTGCAGAACGTGGCGCCCGGTGGCCCTGAATATGGACAAACCATGACTTTCGATCCCCCACCGACCCAACCGTTAGATCGTGCGCCGGAACAACCGCAGCCAATGGAATACCAACCACCAGCACAATTTGACAATGGCGCGAGCCAACCACATGCGCCGGGACAAATCGCGCATCCAAACCAGATTTTTGGTGCTCAGGAGTACAAGTATGGGTTCTGCAGCTGTTTTGGCGACATTGGTTCTTGTAAGTTCCTTTTTGTTTTCCTCATCTGAATTCCACGTTTTTCCGTGACCTCGCGAAAGCGATTTGCCAAGGAATTCTTGTTTGGACGAAATTACAACAAATTCAACGCATATAAGCTAACTTTGAGTTATCAACAGGTTGTCTCGGATGCTGGTGTCCATGCATGCTCTACTCCAAGACGCATCACAGATTAAAGACCGTCCCAGACTCCAACCTTGATGCATACGGCTCCTGTAACGGTCACTGCGTCCTATTCTGTGCTTTGGCCCCTGTCAGCTGGGTATTCACTATGCTCCAGAGAACCCGAATCAGGGAGCTTTACCAAATCAAGGGATCTCCAATCGGAGACTGCGCAAAGTCGTACTATTGTCCCGTCTGCACGCTCGTTCAAGATGAAAGAGAAATCAAGGAACGAGAGGATGAGAAGAGACGGTGCGCTGGCCCCGGAAGCGGAGTCGTCGGCGAGCAAGGTTACAAGAAGCCAGAGAAGATGGCGTATCAGAGGAGCTCTGTTATCGGTTGAACAGCAACTTAATACATACAACGAGAGAGGCGATAAAAACCCCCTCAATGCCAGTGATTAATGAGTACAAGGCATGTACTCAACTACAACCGGCTAATCTTTGTCATCTTTTTTATTTTTCCCCTCCCTTTAATGAAGTAATGTTCCGCAGTTGACTGTCTTTTGCAAAACATTCGACTCGCAAATCTCCATCTTAGAAAAACAAGCCCCCCTTCGAAATTTCTTTTGTCATACTCTCAGATACACATCCAATTCCTTTCCTATGTTTCGCTCAAATCTTCCCTGCACATATTTCTCTTTTTTCTTTCTTTTGGCATTTTAGCGGGGTTCCATTACTTGCTCTTTTCATCTATATTCAACAAACTTGAATTTTGGTTTGTTTGTTTTTTTCTGGATAGGCTTTCTCCTTTTTTTTCTCTTAAACTTCAATATTGTCTTTCTCACCTTTTGTTTTTTTCAAGCGAAGAAAATCACCTTTTTTTGCTTATATACTTGGTTTTGATTGTTTCACCCTCCAAAAAAGATTGCATTACTACCTTTACTATTACTATTAGTACTCCTTTACTACTACTATTACTACTACCTTTACTATTACTGCCAGATATATTCATCACATTCATTTAGACTTTTGTCAAATAATTCTACCTTTTTTTTCTCTCTCCTTCTCGCAGAAAGCTTCAAAGAAGATATCGTGGTGCAAGCGCGCGGTAGACTTCCTTGGAACAAAAAAAAAACATACTATTTGTATTTTAATACCGAGTTGACAAAGAAAAAGAAAGAAAACCCCCTCCTTGACCTAAATATTTTATCCTGGGTAATATATAGATGCAAATAAGAGGGTGATAAAGACAGCTCTCGGTAGTTTGAGAATAGTGATACGGTTCCTTGGAGCGTGGTTCTATAGATCTAATATAGGAGCACTTATAAAATTTCAGCTACTGACTCAATTGGGGAAAGGTATTTACATTGAACTATATATACTAGTGATATTGTACAGATGGGTAGACTTTGTAATATACCCATGGGGGGAGGGAGGGTCGAAATGGTAAGATAGCTATAGGTTGGTAGTATATAAATTATTTTATTAAAGTTATGGAATGCAATATATGAGGATGTTTGTTAGGAATGGGGACGCTAAACTGCAGGGAAATATACTAAAAAAACAAAAGGTATCGATGGGTAGAATCCTTCCTATAGATATAACTTAAGATCGAAATCCTTATTATATATATACTATTTTTATGGATCCCATTTCTGAAAGTGAAATGGATATTGAACACCATATCCCGCGGGGTTTAGTCGAATTGACATTGTGCGAATCCATATGATCTAAAGATGTTTATAGAAAATTTAGTTTTCCCGAAATGTTATGAATAGTATAGAGGCTATTTAGATTATATCTTACCGGTCTTTATAAACCAACTCGAACTTAATCTCAGCACTTTCAATCGTCATGTCAAGTCTATACCTTGCGCTATAGAAGCTTCTTAGACCTTTCCATTTTTTATCGAATAGATTCTTTGGGACGGTTGATAGATCCGATGTCATTCGACAGACGACGTGAACGTCGCCTTCGACACGGTTCGGAGGGTTATCGCTGCTAGAGGCGACCATGGCGTCTAGGAAGGGAGTGATGTGTTTGAAGTTTCGGTGGAAATGGTTTGAGAAACGACGTTCGTCGGTGAGGGGTTGGCCTTTGAGGATGAACCAGCTGACTTCTGTTGGTTGGGAAATCAAGTGGTTAGAACTAATTTTGTGATATGGTATGGTTTGTAGCTGGAAGGATGGGGGGGGAACATACGATTTCTTGCCATCTTCCTACCGGTTTGGGGATCTATCCATGCATCTTCGGCTCTATGTTTTCCATCGATGAAGAGTTGCGAACTGACGGTGCCGTAGTTTTTTCTACATAGGCGTTCGACCTGTGTTCTTCCGGGGTTCGAGGCGTCCAAGTGAATTTCAAGTCCTCGGATAACAGCTCCTTTTACGATAGCCGTTGCTCTGGATTCTTATGTCAGTGGTTTTACCCTTTTGTGATTAGTTCTTGCACGAGGGGTAAATTGTGTTAACTCACGCGCTTCTCGGTTGGATAACGTTGATTCCGTATGGACCGGCCCAATCGACGACTCTTTGGTAGAGATAGAGAGATTCTCCGAACCCACCGACTAGGAGGATTGTATTTACTCTTCCTGCATTGTCGGATGTTTCTTTGATTTGGTTGTAGATTAAAGTAATGACTTCTGTGATAACAGGGTCGAAGAGAGTTCTCATATCTTCTCTCGATATTAACATTTCACCATTCTCGATTCCGGCTTCTGGGAGGTTGTTTATTGTTGGGACGGTGACCTAGTAGTGTGGGGTTTTATGTTAGCTCAGGAAATTATCGAGATTGGTTTTGTATGCATGTGTTTGGTATACGTACTGTGTATACAGCCTGATCAGGACGATCTCTAAAACCACACTTGATAGCCTCGAAGTTTTTGATGACTTTCTGTTGTGTTTCTAGTCTTAGACTTTCGAAGTGGGATCCCATCCGGTTTTTGAAGAATTCTGCGAAATTTCGATCGATCTTGGAGGAGCCTGCGAAGGCACCTTCGCCGACTGCGCATTCTCGTACTCGTAATCTGGGGCTAATCTATGGAGTATCGATGCCCGTGTTAATATAGTTAAAAATAACGAAGTAAGGATTATGAAGGTATATTACTTACTTCCAAGCAGTTATAGGTGATCAAATCAACTGTTCCACCGCCAGCGTCGCAAACGACTATTCTATCACTAGCCTATATATAATGTTAATTGTTAGAAATGAGTATCAATATATCTAATTTGGGTTCGACTATAAACCAACCGACCTTGATATTATGCGCATCTTGGTTTTTTATACAAAATACAGCCGCGGCTTCGGGCTCACTGATCATTGTCAACCTGTGGCCGTTCGCGAACCCTGCATTCTCAGCACACTTCTGAGTCCTCTGCTTTGCGCCGTCGTTCCAAACGGCGGGGACCGTTAGGACAAAGTCAACTTGTGTGATTTCCATAACATGGTTTCCTTTCTTGCGGTAGAGGGTTTCCATTGTCTGTTGATTAATTCGGAATGTATCTCGTCAGCGGGCTGATGCACAACCATGGTAGCTGAGGTGTGGTTAATTAATTGTATATATCGACGTACGTGAATATATAGCGCATGAAGGAAGTCCGTGCAAACGTCCATAACATCCAGACCATCCGGTATATTGACTTTCCGTTTAATATCAGTATCATCGGACTCGAGTAGTAGCTTGAACCTGAACACTCACACACAAGTGGAGGTTAGTATTTCCATTACTTCTATTTATTGTGTTGATATTGTGGTTGTAGTTGCAGGGACGGACGTACCATGCCAGCCTTCTTGCTGTCGATGGGATATCATATCCCCAGCTGAATTCTGTTGTCGACCCTTCATGATATGATATCTCGGTGGGACACTATTGCGATCACATTGTTAACCTCCTGAATCCTGAGTCTCCAGTAGTGATATTGCTCCAAAGCGTGCATACCGAGTCCATCACACGAGCGCCGGAAGTCGGCCAGCTATTAATAATCTCAATCGAATCTATCCGCATTCCAGGCCACGCAAAGGAAAAAAGAGTCAGCATATCATTCCCTCCGCTTTAATACACCGTATTATCTGTGTATTTGTATATAATATATAAAAAGTGCGGGGAGCACTCACCAGGATCCGATGAGCTACCCCACGCAATCGCGCTGTATGTCGTTCCAAAGTCCACACCAATGATTATACGATGTCGAAACTGTCCGTGTGGATTCTGTGCGAAAGCCGTGGGTTGGTATACCCGCGTCTTTTTCAGATTCTGACCCGGATGGGTCGAGGGAACCTGCGCCGGAAGTTCTACCAGTGCGATTCGAGTCGCATACGCCATGGTTTCTTTGGTCGGTTGTTTTATAACTATCTCGAATGGACCTCTAGATCTGTCTTTTGATATGATGCTGTGTATGGAGCGGATTGATTGACGAGACGGTCAGGGTATCGTCCGCGGCCAATGTATATGGCAGGTAAAGTCTAGTACGGTGAGAACTAGGATCCAGGAACTACGCGCTTTTTTCGATCGACTGAGACCTAGCTAGTTCGAGGTTGGGGTTTTATTCTGGAAGAGCTGCTCCTCAACTTCAAAGGAAGTGTGTAACCATAGATATACAAAACTAAGTAAGCACGGTCAAAGAATAGGGATTCGCGACTAGTTTGTCGATAAAGGGAGCTATGAGTATTGATTGTATGGTCCTCTTTTTTTTTTTTTGGCGCACACTTTATCAAGAGACAAGCCCCCCAGGATCGCAAGTGCGGTGGTACCATGCATATGATTTGACTCCGTAGCTAGTCGAGTCCATTCAGCCTCGCGATGCCCTTGTTCTCTGGGGCTAACGTTGGAGGCTAGCCAATTTCGCTTGGCCAGTTGGGGTGGTTCTGCACCCAAGAGCGGCTCAGATCCTTCGGCTTCATGACAAGAGGTCGTCCCATCATGGGGTGGACATACGCCTCGATAAACTGCTTACTTTTATCTATCACATTTATTTTTTGAATCGACGGTGGGGATGTATAGTATATGTATAGTCCGCCATGGGCTTCATTGTATTTTCCTAGGCGTCGAGTCTAGTCGAGAGTATACATACCATGTATGGCCAGTCTCACCATGATGATACGCAAATACCGAGTCGCCCAGCCTTCCGGGTATCCTAAGCTTTTTTGTGCAATGAGCCGCATCTCGATCCCGCGGGATCAAATCGAGACGGTTTCGGCTGCCCGTTAATCAGTGGAAGAATTACACCATGCACCTACATAACAATGGTGGTGGTGACGAGTCATCTAAATTACATTATGGAATAGATCTATGCATATATTATGTAGTCGTCGGATCTCGGAATGGAATCAAAAGTTCAATATTCTCGAAGCTTTCCCCATAAACCCTCGAGCAGAAAAGGTTTTTTTCTTTTTAAGAACTAGCATTGCTATTCATAGCCACAAAAAAAGCTCACCGATATGATGATGATGCCTATCGAGGTATAAACTCCCCTGGTTAAAACTAGCGGTGGGGGGAGGAAGCTAAGCTCAGAATGCTGGTTTGTATTTCAAATTGTCCAACCTAAAGGGTCCCCCCTAGCCCATGGCCAGCCTGCTGCCTCGATGGATTAATAGCCGCGCCAACCATGTCTCCACAATTGCAACGAGGTGGTCGATGGCCTAGGTTTCTGCTAGGGTCCAGCTATAATGATACATGAATCTCGCAATGCAGAGCAACGTACTTACATCCCACCTGGTCGAATGGTAATCTTCAACTGGTTGGTGGCCGGGTTGATGCGATATGCACACAATATTCCGTACCGTACCCGTTGCAGGAATTTCATGAAGTACGTAGCAGGCTGCGAGAATTGATATGCACAAAGCAAAATGCGGGAAGTCAGAAAGAATCAAAGAAAGAATCAAAAGAAAGAAAGAAGGAAAGAAAGAAGCTGACAATGGTGCAATTTACACCATCACAACATCAACAATATGGGATTTCAGCCAAGCGGCTCAAAATTCCAGTGGGGCCAATCCAGCAGGAAGGCTGAATGGGACATGGGAAACCAATCCCCTGTCAGTAAACACTGTTCCGAAGCTAGTAAGTATTATACCTTGCTGTATCGTTACAGTACAAAGGCGGCGAAACAGCCGTTCTGTCAGCTCAGACTCGTATCCCCACATCGAAGTTAACGTCTGGGTCACACACATAACTTAACTGCTCTGACTATCAGGGGTGGGTGTCAATGTTGCAAGGCTATCTAAAATTGGGATGCCTTTTTAAATAAAAGCGTACCCCCCGGGATCAAACCGTCAGATTCTAGTCTTTTTTTTTCTTTCTTGTACTTTGTATTTTGTATTGTTTGAAGTTTTAATTTTAATTTTTCCTTTCCGACGACGTTCTAGAGGGTTTTTAATTATCTCCGACTGGGTTATCGCGAGGTTTTGTGGAAGATTCGACATTTGTGATAATGAAGCCCTCACGGTTTGGGATACCGCTTCTTGCGGTTATTGGCGTCGCTTTGGCCCAGCAGCAAACGAACGGAGCTCAACCACCGATTGACACTGGCGACGTTGCGGTACCACCTGCTACGCCCCCGGGTGGGCAACCCTCTTCTACTATTTTAGACCCTCTAAAATCAGGTGAGTTCGAATATCAATTATTTCATGTAATGTTATGCCAATCAGCAAACATTAAATTACAAAGAACTCTGAGATTCGCGGGTGCTGACATTAGATATTTGGTTCCAACAGAGGATCTGAAACCTACACCATCCGATGCACCCAAAGATAGTAACGAAGGAGGAGGAGGCCCCATCCGAAATACAGAAGTCGCCGGTGGTAGTATCAGCTCGACGTCGGTCGAATCAGTCTCGCAGGCTGCTACGGCTGGGGCGAGCGGTACCGATGGACCAGTAAATACGGGCGTGGCCGAAGTAACTGGAAGGTCGAATAACAATAACGGGGTTCTCACCGGTTTGACTATTCTCTTCGCCTTACTATTCGCTGGCGCCCTCGGGCTTGCTATCTTCTTTTTCGTTAAGAGAAGACAAGGTAATATAATAGATCTTTCCAATATACGAAACTTATGAATCTTTGAGTTCTGATACTAATTGATATCGGTATATGTTATAGACCGAAGAAACGGATATAGCACAGCATATTCGACCCCAGAAGCCGGTGGTTATTCCGACAAAGGCGCCAATGCTCAAATTGAAACTCTCCAGTCCCAACTTGCCGACGCCAATAGACGTCTTACCTCTGTTCAAGGAAGCCTCCTCGCTGCTGGTCAGAAACCTCAAACTAAGGACGACAACAGTCTGTCTCGTGAATACACTCAACTCGGCACTGATGCCGTTGGATGGGCTGGAAATTATTTCAAGGCTTCAAGCGATCCGATTAACTTGACTACCGAACTTTACGAATTCCTCACCGAGCATGTTCCGAGTTATCAATCTCTTTTGACCAGCGGAAAGACCAAGCAATTGGTCGTTCGTGCGATTGTTTCAGAAGTCCTCCAAGAAAGCTTTGAGACTGGTGCCTTCTTTGGAAATGCCATGTCCGCAATCACTCCACTCGTTCGAACTAGTTGTAAGTTATACATACATATATGCATATATATGTTTTTATTCTAGGTAAAATCTGGGACATATTATTAACATAGAATGCAGCTGCCCCGGCCCCCACAATCAACAACTGGCGATCTGAAACATTCTTCCTTTTGGAAAAGAGCGACGACTTCACTTCTCAACGAAAGGCTGCCGTTTCGACTATTGCCGACAAGATTGAACAACTAACATATCCTCTCGCCGCCACAAAGCAAACATTCCAAGGCGATCCAGCCAGATACAAATTCCTCGAGGGAGTCGTCCAGAAGGCGGCAGACTTCGCACTTTCACTTGGCAAACAGCGCGCGAACTTCCAAATCTTGAGCGAACCGGCTGGCTGCGAATTCGGATATGCGACCATGGATGATGTCTCCCAACAGACCGATGTTATTACCAGCGCCGATGGAGCTACGAGCCATCCATTGGAGGGACGCCCAATCCAAGCTACTGTCTTCCCATTGCTTCTTAAATATGGCAATGAGTCTGGTGAAGGTTATGATCAAATCACCATCTTGAGTAAGGCAAAGGTATTGGTCTAAAAAAAAAATTAACAGTGTGGGTATTTGTGTATGCTTAGTGAAGCGTGCAAGGGGTTTTATTCTTATATACACCGTCTTCGAAATTCGAAATTCGAATTTTATTTTTATTTTTATTTTTTTCTCTCTGCCTCAATGTTCTGATAGTTTTCCAGACGACCATCATGTCCTTGATATCTACATTTCATGACAAGCTTTATAATGTAACTTTGATACCACAGCTATATAGCTAGCCAGTTAAACCTTTGCTCTTTTCCTTTCGATCATCCCAGCTAAGTTGCAGTGCAGTGTGAGTTGCGAAACTGAAACCTGACACAGAAACTTTACATTTGCGGCTGAAAAGAAGCAACCATGTAGCGGGAAAATGCAACCTGCAGACTCCACGGCTCAGATTCATGGTGGAGTCCGGGGGGCAAAGTTGCCGATGCAGAAAACAAGAATTGGAAAGATACGGATCTCCGCCCTCCAGGACTTTGATCGGCCTATACAGCTCTTCGGTCTTGAGAAATGTTTGGCATCGATAGATTTTGGGGAAAGCAATACCTGGGGGCATTCATGAAGTTGATATTTAAAACCCAAGGGAGGCTAATATATTTCATTCTAAAATTACCAAGGAAGCTTAGAAATAACGTTATAATCGTGGTACCTGGCGATTTCAAGTTCCCGGCCGAGTCGTTCGTTTCGAATACGAGATGTATAATGTGTACTACGGTGAGCCGGACATATGCAGTCCCCTGCCCAGGAATAAAATGTTCGAAATCGCTTTGCCGTCGCTGTACTCCGTTACAGGTCTGCAGATAATGCTGCTGAAGCGCCCATTGAGGCTCTCGTTCTCCTTTCGTCAAGATATCATTCTGGGTTCGAAGTTCATGTTGATTCCTTTGTGAAGGCATAATTGTCATACATTTCTAAGCATCATATCAAGGAAAACTTCCAATTTACTATAATTCATACATGCCGGATCAACAAAAATAGATTGCATTGCCGAGCGACCTTCAGGATTAGGTCAGAGCTTAAGAGAGAGGAAGGAGAGAAAGGGCGCTCGTTGAAAAGGATTGCAGGAATCGGATCTGTATCCGAATATCTGCCCTCGAGAACGCCTTTCTCTCCCCTTAAGCCTTCTTGGATTCTTGTAAATACTCAAGCTCAAGACTTTTATCAGTTCCTGATCGCCAGAGAGCGCCAGCTTTTCTCGCCTCTGCCTGTCCATGGATCCACCATACTCGAAAAGAAATAGCTCGCCCCTCTTGATCCTTTAAGTCAGGCTGGCCTGCGCCTAAAAATCCCACGAGTTGCCCTTGGCGGGCTGCAAATTAACCTGCTTTGCTGCATCGAGAATCTGGAAGATTAACCAAACATTTGCAAGAAGAGGGCAAGGAAGAAAAAAAAATCCCATCATCCCATTTCAATTCAATATACTCGATCGAGAAAAAAAAGCCTGAGCTAAGAGGATATCTGGACCCCCGACCTACATACATAGACGAGACTGCAATATTTTATTTGGAATAGTCGCGACTGTCGGAATTCGGACAAGCTGTACAAGCAGATTTTCGCTCGCACTTGCTATAACTGCTAAGCAGATACGCACAGTTCGAGGCACAATCATTACTCAAGCCCACAAGCTTGCAAAAAAAAGCTGGTAAAAACCTGGATAAAGAAGAAGAAAGAAAAGAAAAGAAAGAAAAATAACAAGGGCCATTCTCGGATTTCGGTACTGCACGATTAAGATATCATCCAATCCGGTTGTGGCATAACATCATCGCCATCCACAGGCTTAGTCTTTTTGTACAACAGACAGACAGACAGGCACATCGACGCCCGGGTCGTCTACCCCATATCGCTCGCTCTTCCGAGCTACCAACCAACCTAGAAGTGTCTCGTGTACACTCCCGTTGAGATACTAGGGGCTTGGTAGGCGCTGAAAAGCTGCGCCAAAGACTTCCAAAAGTCGCCAAAAACTCCCTCTCTCTCTCGCCCCCCGCCTCCTGTGGGTGCCGGAGGCATAGTTGATAGTGAGAGGGTACAAGGGGGATCTAATAATAATCCCGTGAGAAGAAGTGTGTGCGTGCCTGTGTTATATACTATACCACTTCGCTTGAGGAGGTCGTCTGATAGGGAGATATATTATCCTGGTTGATATATAAACGCCCAAGATGTCGGGCTACCCCCATGGAGGCATGGGACCACCACCATCAGGACCACCGCCGCCCATACCTCCCCGCCCAAGTATACATACATACCGTCAGGGAACCCAGCAAACATACCATTCCCAGGAGACAGCCGAATCACCTGCTTGGAGAATTCCATACCATGAAACCGAAGTGTTAATAAGCACAGTGGAATCTTCCTCCTCTAAATCTTCACCCGCTGTCGGAACATACAGTGAGACCAATCTTTCAAGAAACTCTTCTAGAAGATATCAGGAAACATACGCTATACAATCGGCACCTGCACCGGAGACAGAAGCCTTCGATTCAAGCTTTAAAACTTATTCAACTTATTCAGAGACTACGGAGCACGACCCAAGGCAATCTTCGCACAATATGGCCGTGGAATCTCGAGGCAATATGGAAACAGAACAAGTATCCGACGGGATGTATGAAGGTTTAACTCAGCTCGGATGGGGAGGTATGGCATTCTACGATACCTCAAGACCATCGAACTGGACTCCAGCACCGCCAGAAAATGTTCACCAGGACCGTGATAACGCCGGTCTAAGGACAGTCAAGAAGGAAGTAGAACCGGAATATGAGAAGATATCCATGGACTACTACGACCATTTCACACCGACCTTCACACCTGCGACCTCAGCACCTCCTCCAATTGCTTCACCCATGTCTCAGCATAGCCAAGGCCCTTCTCGATCTTCTTCGACTCGTGAAACAAATGACTCTTTTAGACCTGGAGTCCCTCACCTCTCAGTCTCCGACCCATTCCCCATTTCCGTTGACCAGGAACGTTACTACTCAGACCAATCCAATCTCCGCGAATCCCAATTCCCAGAACTCGTCAACCCCGGTGGTTCAGATCCACTCTGGCAACCACCTTCAAGAAGCTATACTTCCTACCGCCGTACTCCTCGTCTTGAAGATGAGAAAAAGGCTATCTACTTCGACTCTAATGGTCTTCCATCTCTCAGCGGAGTGCTGGGGCCCACTGCCGGCCTACAAGAGCCAGGCGGCAGGAATTCATTCCATTTCGATGATGAAAAGAGGCTTTATCCAAATAATTACAACCAAAGTTCTCTTTCCATAAACTCCACTCATTCGGAAAATATCCCTCCCTCGTCGAGATATAACAGCAGCGTCCATCGCACACCATCGTATGCGAGTCTCGGGCCGGATAACGATTCTAGACCGCAGGATACCAAGTATAACTACAATTCACCGCAGCAACAAACTGGACCTTGCAGGGATGGTATTCCGCCCCCACCTGTGAGATACCTCTCTCAGAAGCAAGGAAATAAGTTGGGTCAGCTCTTGCAAGAGAAGAAGATGGACTATGTCGTTTGCGAAATGAATAGGAAAGATGAACTTCACCGAAAAATGCAAGAAGAATCAAGAAGATTTGGTTATTGATACCGAATCCTCAATGATAAAAAAAATAAAAAAACTGAAAGAAAAACCAGGCAAAAAATATTTTTATGCGGCAATATGCTTGGACAATGAAAGGAGAAAAGAGATGTTAATTGCGGGAAACAAAATTATTCGCGATACATTCTGAAGTTACTGCTAATGATATAACGAACCGTCTTGAGTTTCGAATCCTTTGATACCATTTTACTTGCTTAGCTTTGCTGCGGTTACTACCCCTAGTTTTTTGATTCAACCTTGCACAGTTTATACTACTCTGTCTGATCTGAGCGCTCCTCTTCATTTTAGTGTCGTCATCGTTCATTGTGCATATTCAACCAGCTTGAATCTCGAATTCACTTCTTTGTATATAATATCATGTTTTTCACCTACAATAATCCCTTCTAATCCTTCCATTCTTTCAGTTTTCTTTTGGAGTCTACCTTCTACTCTATAGCTCAACCACCGTATTAGCTATTTCAGCAAACTTCTGTCTACTTTGACGTGTCTATATTGGTAGTTTTAAGATACCATGCAAAACCACAATGCAACGACGACTATTCTCTTTAGCTTAGTTATCACATTGATAGGTACCTACTTGTATACTTCATGAATTCATACCTAGTACATTTTAAGACAAATATTTAAGGGGAAACCTCAGGGTTCAAGCCTTGGCCAGGGTCTACTAGTCTAGTTCGTCCGTTGCATTCTGAACCACGGTAGTCTCCGTCACATCACATGGCTTCGTGGATCCAATAACATGGAACACAGTATTAATGCGCATTCAATATTCCTAAGCTTGAAGCTAAGCTTCCAAGACGCGAAGTCGACTCGACGCCAATGCAAAGGTTTTAAGGAGTACCCCCCAATTGAAGTTTACAGGTCTCCTGTTCCCTCTTGCGCTTGCGAAAGTTACTAGTCAAACATAAACACGCTAAAAATACACATAGCTTAGCTTAGTCGGTAAGCTTAAGCCCAAAAGTTCGTGTTCCTGTATACGGCGTCATCCCACTGAAAGTCTGAATAGTGAATCTTCTTTTCTATATATATATATTTTCAATTCTCATCATATTCACACAATTTTTAGGGCTATTATCTGGACTTGAGATTATAAATATCATTGATTTAGGCCTTAGGTATTATCAGAGAGCCTCTCCCTTCGAATACCCGGTGTCTCAGTCGCAATTATATTTCTGAGGAAGTTGATACCGAAATTGTAAGTATGATAGATGGCAATTATCCTACACCCCAGGCGCATCTTTTAACATCTATCTACAGATCTAAATATCTCCAATCCCCATCCAATTTCAATCATCATCAAGCATTACACTACACTCCAACCAACCCCATTAACTACCTGGGTACTTCAGTATCCAATATAATACAAAACCTCAAAATGCCGACACCTCCACACCGCAAAATCTCCCAAAGAGCCTGCGACTTCTGCGCCATAACAGAATCCCCCACAACCCGCCTCCTCCGCTGCTCCGGCTGCCAGGCCTCCTACTACTGCGACAAAACCCACCAAGCAGCCGACAGACCACGTCACAAAACCGGTTGCAAAACCGTCAAAAAGGCCCGTGAAACCTACGAAACCGAAGACCAAAAGCTTCGAAATTTCCAGGGCGACATAATGACCCCTTCCCACCCCTTCGAAAACTGCATCGGCCACTTCTGGGGCATCCTCGAAACTCGTGATTACATGCGAGCACGTTATGACTTCGTTGATACTATAATGCAAGTTTTTGGCGCAACCGGTGGAAGAATTGATGTTGTTCGATCATCTCTCGAGCATTTATTGGATATGTTGAGGCTTTGTAGGGGTGATAATATGGGTGTTAGAGATGTTGTCCCTGGGTTGTATATACGCCTTGGGAGGGATCAAGAAGCTTATGATTTTTTGAAATGGTGGGGGACGACGGCCAAACAGGATACTTATGATTGGGGTGATACCGAATCATCATATTTGGATGTTATGAATGCCGATGCCCTTGAAGAACCCGTTGGAGGGTGGAAAGGGAAATGGATCGATTTAAGTCATGCTGTAGCTGTGGTTTTGATCAAAGTCCGCATTCTGATCGATTTACAAGCTGCTCAGAACACCACCAGGGCGCTGCATGGTACCATCCCACAAGAGATCATTGATCTCATTCGAGACGAAATCGGCAGTAGCGGTATTGTCGGATCTCATCCTGATATCCTTAGAGGCGATACGGAAAAACTTGCGAGTGTCGTTGAAACTATCAAGGCACAGATAAAGGAGCTTTATAAGGATATCAATGAATACTGTCCTGACTTTTGGCCTATGTTTCTGGGAAACCCACAGGCTGCTGCTAATCAAAGGCCTGGTGCGTACACGCATGGGTCGAAGGAAGAAGCTCGTTTGGCGATTGGATACAGTATTGCTTCGTGGACCGAGACGGCTGGAGCTTTCGATACGATAAAGGCCTTGGGTCAGACCATATAAATTGTCCTTAGGTTTTATACACCGACGATGCTTCGAGACGGTTTCATAATATGGTCATATCTATTTTCAAACCCCATGTTTACCCCCTCTACCTACTACTAGATGACATAGCCCTAATAATATGTACGTGGAATGGGAGGGCCGTGTTGGTACCGTTGTATTCTAACACTTAACATAGGACTCTCAAGTTCATGATACGAAAAAAAATCGATTCTTTAGATTCTGATTAGACCATTTCGTAGGTACAGTACGATACCGATCTCACTATCACCCCTTTCCATTATACAAATACATTAACCTCCACATTCTAACCACATGCAACTGCAAAGACAATGTTAAAATGAATCAAATGCTGCTCATACATAGAGTTACATGATCATATAATTAATCCAAGCAATTCAACAATAATAATGAAAAAAAATCTTCCTCTCTCCTTCCTCCTTGTTCACTCACTCCCACTCAATATTAATTATTAGGTTTTCGTTGACATTATATTTCCGTTCTGGAAATCTTGGTTCGTTTCTCTCTGCTCTCCCACCTCCCGATCATTAATACATCAATGACATCAAAAAAAAGGGTGGGTGGTTATTAAAATATCTCGTCGAGGAGAAATATCCTCTATCCAAACAAAAACAGCATAGAAGGGAAGTGTTTCCCAGAAACGAGGGTATTAGAAAAAACACTACTATGGGTATGTCAATTGTACAGCGAATGAATGGGAAAAAAAGGTGAAGTAAAAAAAAGGGCAGGGATATTATGCAGGTGTGGGGTGCGTTAATGCTTAATGCTATTTTATTAAACGATCGTGTGATTTTTCAAAGATCATACAATGAAATGAATTTAGGAATATTCTGTTGGTTTACCGCTCAGATCCGAGAAGTTATGGTTGCGTTGGCTTGGGGTTCTCGGTTGAGGGAGTTGGGGTTGGGTTGGCTCCTGGTGGATGGTAGGTATCGTTTATGCACGTTTGTGGATGCCGTTAGGTTTGTGGTTCCCAAAACCGGTGGCCTGACCGTCAATGGGGCTAGCAAGGGCTTCTCCGTTCAACTGGATTTTAGGAGTTCTAAACAAAAATCACAGTCAGCGGACAAGCCCAACTAATAATTAACGCAAGCGAAAATGTAGACAACTTACTCCTCTAGAGTTGGAGTCTTGGTATCATCATCATCGAAACCAACGTCATCATCTTCTTCCCCACCCTCGTCCTCGCTTCGAACATCAGCAAGCTCGGCCTTGAAGACATATCTGTATGCAACGCGAAGAACACAGTAAAGCCAGAAGATGTTGACCAGCTGGAGGGCCGACAAAAGTGTGGAAATGACGAGCTTAGCAAGCCCGCACTTGTAGTGTGGCTCATCCCAGTCGAGGTAATATTCGCCAACGTATGGGAGTTCGTAGAAAACGGACCACAAGATCCAAAGATTGTGGTAATGGCGGAGGTAAACCCAGCTGAAGATAAAGACTACGAAATACGGGCCGGTAATTGGCGAGTCAATGTAGTTGAAGACTTTGGAGGTCTGTTATGGCAGGTTTGTTAGCATCAGATGATCTTCTTACAAGGGTAAACAGACGGGGGGGTTTACATACAGCAAGGAAAAAATCGGAAATGTCGTGGGTGATGAAGACCGACAATCCAATATATGTGAAATGGAATCTCCAGCTGAGGGTTATCAGAGCTACGGTAACAATGTGGTGGATAACGAGCTCCTTGAAGTCCTTTCGCGGTTTCTCAAGCATAAGGACTAGAACAATCGCTTGCTGTAGCCAGTAGCTCCACTGAAGGAGATAATAAGCTTTGAAAATGCCGGTATGGATGATGTTAGGGTGGGTCGACCAGTAAGGAGTCGTATTGAAGAACCATAGGCCGGGAGTTTGCGACATAACATAAAGCCCAAGAGGTCCGAATACAGAAAAGTAGACAGCAGTATATGCTTGTTCTAAGAATCGAGCAATCGTGGACTTGTTGCGTCTAGTGGACTTGGGGAGGAGTTTCTGGGAGAGTGGGTACAATATCCTTTGCATGATGAATTCTCTGGTGAAAGTGAAGAAGAGTGTGTAAAAGAAGAGAAATTTGCCGTCGCCGAGGCCTTTGCTGTAGAGTTGTTCGCCATTAGGACCCTTTTCCTCGAGTGGATATGCGACAAAGATGAAATCGTGAGCCCAGTTCGAACGAGTAGGGTTCGGGAGATAGCATCCGATGATGACAAGCATTGCAATAAGTGGGTTAACTATAAGGATGCATTGTAAGCTGCTGATGTTTATGTCTGAAGAGCAATGGTATTGATGTAATTCGACATACCCCATGTGTGTCTATAGGACATCTCCTTATACCAAAGGAAGAAGTTCTCGGGTCCAGGTATCATCTGGCCATCTTGCCTCTGTTTGGACAGCTTTCGCCGTCTTGATTTAGAAGCTTGCCTCTGTGGTTTGGTTGCATAGTCAGTAACAGACTCTATCTGTATACGATTCATATTGGTTGTTGTATAGTAGGTCGTCCTTGCTATTGTAATACTTGAAGGAACCGAGGTAAAAGGAGCTTCAAAGTCAAGGGAAGGCCAAGGGTATTTAAATACATACAGCAGCAGGAGACCTCGAGGTCGAGATAGCAGGAGCAGAGGTGTCGCCGGGTATTTCAGCCCCTAGTAGGGAGGAGGACCTCTTCCGCGACTTCCGAGGCTCAAGGGTCTGGGTCTGGGAGCCAGTCGTGGCGAACCCGCGTGAGTCGGTCAAGACGGATGCCATCGTTTGTCCCCGTGGGTATCTCGAGGTACAGTAAGCCTCTCTGTATTTACCGTCAGCGAGAAGGTATCTAACGTGGCTGTGTAAATCGAAGTTGCTTGGTGAAGAGGCCGATGTGGTGAACTGAAGATGACAGTGAGATTGATGAGGGAGTTTGTTTTTGTTATGTCGCTTCGTCGAGTCTTCGTTCTTAATCTTGTCGACTCCTCGAATTTTTTAATTTTTTAATTTTTTTTCTTCTGATTCGTTAGGTAAGGAGACGGAGGGAAAAAAGTTCTCCTATCAACAAACCAATTAATATCGCCCAGCCTGTAAGATCAGAAAGAAGCATGCAAGCACGGCAGCAGCGAAGGTAATAGCGGAGGAAATAATTGCTAGTTGTGGCCCCCTGCAAGTCTCAGAATTAGCCTGCTAACTGGCAATCTTAACTGCAGAAAGCACATGCTCCACAGCCAAATCTGGCCGCCACTCTGCGCTACATACGCAGTACATCCATACCCTTACACTGACGTATTAAAAGTCGAAAGGGACCAGTCGCGTGTGCCATTGGGGACAACGGGTTAAGCGAGTTCCGGTGCGCGGTTTCCGGTACCAGTTTGGCCTCCGTTCCGCGTAAATATTTTATTTATTTTACCAACAACCTAACTTTAAATGCTTAAAAAGGAGCACAGCAGGACCTCGAGTTCGTATTCTTCGCCAAGTTTAGGTCCCATATACGATAGGCAATCGCATATGCGAGTATCTAGCTAAAGCGGGCGAGATTGTTACGGCGTGCACAGAACACCATCCGGAAAATCCAGCCGGCCATGGCCATCGGGTCTTTCCATAATATTATATCCGTGCAGAGATACTTATACATAAGTACTTACTTACATGCGCGCACAGATAGCATGGCCTAGCCCTGTGCTAGCACGGAACTATAGTCAAGCAGTAAGGAAACAGATTTGAGATATCAATATGGATTGGAAGTTATTTTCAGTCCTCATTGGGCGGAGAAGGGGGCTGGATAAGGGATTCCGATATGAACTAGTACTGCAGTCGGCCCATCCAGTAAAGAATATATCCTAATATTGGCGACAGCATTATTCTTCTTTTAACTACCTAAATCGCTTCAATTTGATAGGACAATGGATCTTCGTACAGTCTCAGTCGCTGCATTCTTTTGATCAGCTAGACAGCAAAATGGCAGGCGATTTTGGCCAATTGTGAGCCATTTTCAAAACACCCCCCCCAAATCGCCATGTAAATACGTATACGTATTTGTTTATTATATATTATTACGTTCTACTGATCATCGAAGTCTACCTTATGCCCTCGTCGGTGGGTGGCCTGGCTTGGGCATTGCATGCAAGTACATTTGGAATGCATGTCGCTCCTTCGACGATCTGAAGCTCGACTAATTTCAATAAAATGAGAAAACGTATAAAAGAACTCTGCGCAAGTCTAAGGTATTATGGTACTACACTCACTAGAAGTAGTAGCATATCTATTGGACCCAGCAATATATATAATTCTTCGTGCTGGGAATAGGATTGGGCGCAGCTTAAGCTTAAGCTATCAGCCGCAGCCTAGGTAGTTACGTATTCATGCATTCAACTATGATAACAATGATACAAGCGACAAAGGATACCACATGTCTTAGCTTACACATTATTACTGCCAGCTTACGCATTTAGTTTAGAAAATAAATCTGCAATTGCGAACAGAATTCGAAATGGACCATAGCGTGTAACTTCCTCGTGGCTGTATGTCCAACGCACAAAATCCAACATAGTGGGTTCTATTAGGACCAATTAGGCAATTGGGTAGAAAGTAGAGCAGCTTTACTACAGTTACGAGCACATGGACTACACGCTTCCTGCCGATCCACCATATATCGCACAAAAGCGAAAGTAGCCCGCACGTTAAGTCTCTAGCTCTGCCCATTTATTACAGCAGATCGACCAATATCGCTCTGATATTCCCTCAAGCCTCCGCCATATGAATATAGCACACGTATACTCTTGAAGCTGAACCATGAATAGACTGATCTCCCCACGGACGAAATCTGTCCGTCACATCTTGCTCGAAATATTATATACGATTACATCACTCTTAGGTGGTATAACACCGATTTGCTATCGAGATACGGCCTTCCTCATATCCACACTCCCCTCCTTCTCTATCCCTTGGTAACTATAGCGACCATGGCCATTTCACAGGGGAATGTTTCCCGAATCCTCGTCTTTGGATCTATGTGGATTATCCTAGCTAGCTTATGGGTAATATACTGGCCAAGTCAGGTTTCCTTCCGCCCTGTGGTAAGGTATTTTCCGAAGCCGTTTGGGGATGTAGCGGACCCGTTTGTACCGCCCCCGGGCGTCGCAGCAACTAGGGACCCAATCTTTCCAACTACTAGACGGTTTCGGGGTCCGATTGCACGTCCGAAGAACAAGATTAGTGGGGTTATCCAAAGACCTCACGGCTTTCCTGAAGACTATGGTCAGGATAAACCTGGCAACGCAGGTGCTGGGAGTAATATCCTTCCGGCAATAGCTAAAGCTGCCGGTAGAATAAAAGAAAAGATATCTTTTGGGGAATCTATATCCGAAGATGAAAAAAGAAGGCCATGGAGATATCCAGTTAAGGTGGATAGAACCCAACTAGGAACAGAGAAAGCCACATTGTTGATGCTTGCGAGGTAGGTTTCTCCACTCTATTAGTATTTTGCGACAGATATCCGATATCCTCTTCCAAATAAGCCATAGTCGCTAACTTCAGGCTTTTTATATCTAGAAATAATGATCTTTATGCTGTCAGGGAGTCAATGAGGCGGCTTGAAGACCGGTTCAATCATAAGTTTCGTTACCCATGGACGTTCATGAACGACGAACCTTTTACAGAGGAGGTAAGTTAATTCCCATACCAACCTAGCTACTTCCACCCAACAAAGACTTATGATATCGATAATCTTGTAGTTTATTGCAATTACTACGGGTATCGCAAGCGGAAAAACCGAGTATGTTAGAGTACCGAAGGAGCACTGGGGATTTCCGAGTTGGGTAAATCAGACCCATGCAAAACTCCAGATGAAGAAAATGGCGGATGAACATATTATTTACGGCGGCTCGCTATCATATAGGTATGAAAAGAAAAACTTCACCTAATCCACTACCCAATGAATCTTAATGATGTAAGTTTCAAATTGTGGAATATTGACTTTCATTTACGACAGACACATGTGTCGATTCTTTTCAGGTTTTTTCTTCCGACAACCGGTTATGCAACAATACGAATGGTACTGGTACGTATCATATATCTATTTCTATCAATACTTACAATTCAGATCGAGATCAATATTTTAACTTTTCTTCCCCTTTTTTGGCAGGCGTGTCGAACCTGGAGTCAACTTCTATTGCGACCAACATTACGATCCTTTCAGGTGGCTTCGCGAAAATGGAAAGTCGTACGGCTTCACAGTCACCCTTCACGACTTCCGTGAAACGATAGCTAGCCTCTGGGAAACCACTGAAAGGTTCTTTTACGAGAATCCTGAATATGTGAACCCTAACAACATGCGTGGTTTTGTTATCGAAAACACCACACGGAATGGAGAACCATACGTCGACTACAATACATGCCACTTTTGGACGAATTTCGAAATTGGAAAAGTTAGTCTATGGACAAGTGAGAAATACTTGAGGTATTTTGATTACTTGGATAAGACTGGGAATTTCTTTTATGAAAGATGGGGGGATGCGCCGGTGCATTCGGTTGCTTTGACACATATGTGGGATAAGAAGGAAATTCATTTCTTCAACGATATTGGTTATGAACATAGTCCTTTTAGGAGATGTCCACAAGCACATGAGCATGGAAATGCAGGGCGATGCTTGTGTCCGCTTGATATGTCCCTTGTGGATAACAATGGTGAGTCCTAGTTTTGCGTTTCCCCTCTTTTTGTCTTTAGAGCTAACCGATATTACTAGGGTTCTCCTGCTTTGAACAATGGAAAAAAACATTTGGGGACAACTATGAGGTTGATTTGACTTGGTGATGAGTACTTCGTTTTTAATTAACATTCATGCGCAATGTGTAGATATCTTAGTCTCTCTTTCAAGTTACTGGCTGCTTAGCTTACTATAGCTAGGTATCTACACTCATGGTAGTTTGAAACAGAACCGATAAGTAGCAATGGAAAATTTATGCACTCTGTAAACCATATTAAAGATCTCGCAAGGTAAATTACTAGGAGTTTTGTTAATCTCAGGCAGAGTGGGTCCGGATATGCATCGATGTACTGGGGGTTTCTCACATCTGCCTTGGTATTGCGGGAAATCGAGGGTTAGGCCAGCCGGAGTTTATTGTTTGAGACTATGTACACTGCCCTTCCCGCCCGCACATATATATGTGCAGATATCGACAGGGCTGTAGCGTTATTGTTATGTTATAATTAATTATATAGAATCCACTCCCTTTGGAAATTCAAACTGGCCCGAATATAATGCAAAAAGAATCCTATAATCCTCCATGTTTAGATAATAAATCCAGTACTGGTTTTTCTTTGTTGATACTTTTTTCTGCTGATTTTGAAAATGAAAAGGAATAGGTTAGCGCATGATACTAAAGCCGTGGAAAAAACCAAAAAAAAACAATAGCACACAAGTTAAACTGCGCACCCAAGAGCGGCCTCCCAACCTTGGTATGACAAGCAGCGACGGGGCCCGGGGCAGCAACGATTCCATTTGCAGTAATAGAATTGACCAATGGGAATTGAAATTGAGGAGGGAGAAGAATCAGAATATCGGCTGGGTAGAGCGTTAGTACGTCGGAACTGGCATCATCGAGCTCAGAACTTGCATGAAGCAGGGACCCCCCCGAGACTAGGTGTTCGGACCTCTAGCCAAAGCTAGCAAATCAGAACGACAAAAGCAGCAAAAACGAAGAAACTGTGACTTATATATTCGGAATTTGGGGTATTGTGGGCGTAGCTGTGGACAAAGGAGCATGGTCCCTGGGAGAAGCTTGGTTAGCCTAAAATCTATAACGAAAGGTGGATTCAGGGAAATAAGTTTACTAGAACTTAGAAGTCAAATACTTCAAACCAACAAAGACGGGTCGGGTCCACATCGCATATCTTAATCTCTTAGCCATCCTGGTAAACTAATTCTGGCTTTTCATCGGATTCTAAAGCTTCGATGGCTGCTTTAATGTTAGGGATCTGTTCTTGGCAAGTTGCCGGATCGTTCAACATCGTCCGTAGTTCCTGGATTCGAGGCTTTGGGTCTATTGGAAGCGCTATCGCAGGTTGCCAATCTCGCTCTTCTAGTGTCGAAAATTCTCCAAAATTTTGGGGGTCCATTTGAGGCTATATACTCTGGACTGAGCAGGTTCTCGGGGCGCAAATGCAGGTGGGGGTTGCGATAGGTCTAAGCAGACCCCTTAGTACCAGAACTCCGTAGGCTGTGGAGTTTAAGAGTATTGAAGCCACGGTAGGATCGAAATCTTCCGGGTTTGTGGCGATGGAATATTAAATACGGTAATGTATTGTGAGTCGAAGAAGCTGTGCTGTTGGTGTATCTGATAGGGCCTATGCTATGGTAACAGAGGCCCGATTTTGAGTCGCAAGTAATTTAAAAGCTAAGCTGATTTCCCTGTGTTAGAATCTATATATTTATACTCGGCGGGAAATTTTACATAGTATACGAGCCGATGCAGACGCATGTTAGGCGGCATTTGCGGCATTTGGGTGCGCTGCAGGGCCATGGGGACTTCGAACTTGGTAATACGAACGTCAATTAATATTCGATGTCAAAGTCTTGTCTCATAATACCACAGAAGTTTGTGTGTTGCCAGACGTCGGCGACCAATCAGGGCAGCTATGCGAGGAGCTTCGCGCGCTCCAACATTCGAAGCTGTAATTTTTCTGCCAGCGCGTTTCTCTCCCCCTCCAACAGCTGGCTCAGCTCCCCATCTTGTCATCACCTTCTCTATACCCACGCATACAACAGCTTACATGCTAAACCGATAGAAGAGAAACATCGACATTAAGAGACTTACAGCTAGTACATAATTGGTATCAATCTGCTGTTGAGAGCTCTATTCACGGTTTGTACTTACTACCCCCCTCATATCTTGGTATCGATAACTAACTGCATTGTCCCACTAGGAAACCACCACCCATCATGTCTTCCCTTGTAGACAGGGTCCTCGAGTCAGACTCGTTACCCGATCCTAGATCCGATGCCGTTCTCGGTTCACAAATGTCCGATGCTCCTACCCCTCGACCTCGTAGTTCATCCGTTAGACCTAGACGAGGGGGCCCCGAGCCATCTACGCCTGCAGCGCACACTGATGATGATATGATGATGGATCCTGAAGATGAAGTTGTTGGGCTGCGAGGGACTGTTCAGAGCAGTGGCCGTGTCAGACGGGCATTCGATCCTTCCGTTCCCAAAGTTGAAGACGAAGCCGGAGAGAGAGCGAAATCGTTATTTGTAGCTTTCCTTGAAGAGTATGTGGTAACCTGCACTACGGAAAGTACAAGAACCGATGCTCATTGATATTTATCTAGGTATGTTGACGACGAGGAGTTCGACGGCACCCAACCTCCTCCCTCTACAGCCTCAACAGACAAATACTACATTGGCCAAATCAACGGCCTCAAAGCATACGGGCTCTCGACCCTCTATATAAATTTCAGACATCTCATGAGGCACAGCTCTGTCTTAGCAGATGCTCTCACCAGCCAATACTATCGTTTACTCCCTTATCTCACCAACGGTCTTCATCGAGTGATCCGAAAACACGTTCCGGATTACTACGCAAAGCACCAGCAGGTCGATGCCAGCCAAAACATTGCTCGTGCCAATACTACCGCTCTAAAGACGGACAAAGTTTTCGCTCTAGCTTTCTACAACCTCCCACTCGTTAGTCGAATTCGTGCCCTTCGAACCCATCACGTCGGTAAAATGATGTCGATATCTGGAACGGTAACTCGAACTTCAGAAGTCCGTCCGGAACTCTCAGTCGCTACATTTACTTGCGAGAACTGCAGATCCGTAGTACCCAATGTCGAGCAGGTGTTTAAATATACGGAACCCACACAGTGTCCCAATTTGACCTGCGGTAACCGAATGGGGTGGAGATTGGATATCCGACAGTCAGTATTTGTGGATTGGCAGAAAGTTAGAATTCAGGAAAACAGCGCGGAGATACCCACCGGCTCGATGCCTCGAACTTTGGACGTCATTCTACGTGGTGAAATTGTGGAGCGTGCGAAGGCTGGAGAGAAGTGTGTCTTCACTGGCACACTCATTGTTGTGCCCGATGTTTCCCAGTTGGGACTCCCAGGCTCAAAAGCAGAAATGATGAGAGACAATAGAAATACGGCTAGAGGTGCTGAACAAGCCGGTGTGACTGGCCTGAAGTCGTTGGGTGTGAGAGATTTGACTTACAAACTCGCATTTTTGGCATGCATGGCTACAACAGATGATAGTACAGTCGCTGGAGCCACTGCCGTCGCAGCGGACCAGTCGAGTGACGATCCAGACGAAGACCAGAAAGCATTCCTTGAATCCTTGTCGCCGGGCGAAGTCGACGACCTTAGGAGAATGGTGCACAGTGATCATATCTATTCGAGGCTGGTAAACAGCATTGCGCCAACAGTTTATGGGCACGAAATTGTAAAGAAGGGGCTATTGCTACAGTTGATGGGAGGTGTTCACAAGAGTACCGCTGATGGAACACAATTGAGAGGTGATATCAACATTTGTATCGTCGGCGACCCGAGTACAAGCAAAAGTCAATTTTTGAAGTATGTCTATATCCCCGCTTACAGAGATTGATCACTCTTTTAATCCATATCTTCTAGGTACATTTGTTCCTTCCTCCCCCGTGCAGTTTACACTTCTGGCAAAGCCTCCTCTGCTGCGGGTCTTACAGCCGCTGTCGTCAAGGATGAGGAAACTGGCGAATTCACAATCGAAGCTGGTGCTCTCATGCTTGCTGATAACGGCATCTGCGCCATCGATGAGTTCGACAAGATGGATATCTCGGATCAAGTTGCCATCCATGAAGCCATGGAACAGCAAACAATCTCTATCGCCAAAGCCGGCATCCAAGCCACACTTAACGCTCGCACATCAATTCTTGCTGCCGCAAATCCTAACGGAGGACGGTATAACCGTAAAGGAACTTTGAGATCTAACATCAACATGAGCGCCCCCATTATGTCCCGTTTCGATCTTTTCTTCGTTGTTTTGGACGAATGTAATGAACAGGTGGATACGAACCTCGCACGTCATATCGTTAGGTTACATAGATTGCGAGACGAGCATATCACACCTGAGTTTACGACCGAACAGTTACAGCGATACATTCGTTATGCTAGGACCTTTAAGCCTGTCTTTACTAAAGAGGCTGAGGAAGAGCTAGTAAAACGATACAAAGAATTAAGATCAGATGATGCGCAAGGTGGAATCGGAAGAAATTCTTACAGGATTACTGTCAGACAATTGGAGAGTATGATTCGATTGAGCGAAGCTATCGCGAAAGCGAATTGTGTGGAGGAAGTTAGCGAAGCTTTCGTGAAGGAGGCCTTTAATCTACTGAGGCAGAGTATCATTCATGTGGAACATGATGATGTTGATGTGGATGATGACGATGAAGAGCCACAACCCGATTCATCGGCAGTAGAACAAACTGAAAGAGAAGCAACGGCCGCTCCCGATGCTTCGCAAACCCCAGCAGCCACCCAAGACGACCATATGGAAGACACAGCACCTAGAAGGCCAAGGACGAAGATCACTTACGAGAGGTTCTCCAAGATTTCTTCAGGAATCATACAGAAACTCAAAGAACGAGAAGAAGAGACGGGAGGAGATGGTATCGAGCACGAGGAACTTGTTACTTGGTACTTGGAGAGCCATGAGGAAGAGATTCCAGATGAGCAAGCATTGATCGAAGAGCGTGATTTGATCAAGAAGGTTTTGAAACGATTAGTGAAGGAGAGTGTTTTGATGAAGGTTGGACAGAAGGAAGGTCTATTACCGGAGGAAGGATCTACCGCGGAAGGAGGAGAGCAAGCAGAGCAGCAAGAAGATGGAGGAGTCGGATCTTCGTCCTCTGCTGCACAGCAAGCGGATAGGGTTGTTTATGTCCTACATCCGAATACAGCTACTGACATGGATTAGATGGACTTGTGGCTAGATTAGAGGTCTGGGTTTTGAAGTTCTAGGCGCAAGGTTATTTATATACCTAATCTATCACGATTATCGTACTGTGGGATGCATATCGATGTTATTACATTGCTAGTGCCTGGAATTAGATAGTCTTAATGGACTCCCGAGCCTAACATTGTCTAACTCATGCAAAGCGAGTTAATAACTTCATGGTTCGACAATATCTCATTAATCAGGTATTTTATTATATCCTAGATTAAAAACTCCCAATCCCAATAGGTAGAATAGCCTTTTGATTTTACTTAAAAGCGCAATTCAATAAAGATAACTGGCTGTTCGCAAGAAGTAAAAAACGCCATACAATGTATCCGTTCTGGACTTATGTATCGTGTACCCCCTGACCTAACCTGACCTGACTGTCCAAGACCAAAAAAAACACCCCAACATGAACCCATGGAGAAGAGGAAGATAAAGAAGAAAAATGCCACTTTGGATATCACAACTGGAACCGTAATCTGCTAACTTCAAAGCCGAAAAAAGAGGAAAGAAAACGCAGGCCGAAGTCTTCGAAAGAAAGGGGATTTGTCATAAAATGTTGCTTCGATTGAGGTTGTTTCCTGATCTTCAAAATCCACCGCCTAGTATTATCGATTTTACTGTTAGCTTGGTTTTGGAGATATTATATAGGGATGGTGAAATTGGTTGAACCAATATATTGAGAAAAAAAAGAAGTTACATACCACTTCGTGCAGTCTCCCACAATGCTAGTCTATCATGTCTTCGTGCCATATTTGCGGTCTGTGTCTTATGCATTCTGCTTATTGCTAGGTATGCTCCGGAGGCACCGAGGACTGTGAGGAAGGGGAGGGCTTTGCGGCTGTAGGAAATACTGTTAGAAAGATGTCCTCAAATGGAAAGCGCCAAAAGGGCGGTAGCATAGGTAACCACATACCTAAAGAGTGTAAGAGCCATTTTAGAGTATTATAATTAATTGAGCCGATAGATAGATAGTGCCGTTTTGTGTGCTTAGAGTTTCTGAGCAATTGAGGTTGGGGGAAGGTTTAGAGAGAGTAGTTCAGGTTGGCTGGAATGAACTTCAAAAAACCGGAGGAATGGAAGATGGGACGACAGGTACTAATATATCACGAAAGACGCAAATATACGTAATTCCCTGCAGAGGATGTGTCACTGGCTATAAATGAACAGTGTGACGACAAGTGGTTCAAATAGACCCCGAAGCTTAAGGATCTAGCTAGATGTAGCTTGTAGGCTTAAGCAACCGAGTGCCTTATTTTTCTATTTGTGTCTTCGAAAGAAGAATTAACTTCAAGGCGCACACATGTACAGAAGAGAAAATTATTTCTAAGTAGAAGGGGGAGAAAGATCTAACGCTTGAAGTTTAAAAAACTTTCTCAACAGAAAAGAAGAGAGCCAAAACGGGGGAAGAATTTCATGCAAAATGCAAGGCCATGTCAGTTGCATTAAGTATAAATACAAAAATCGTCAGTCAGTCGACTATGGTTCGTTTTCCCTTTTTCCCGAGGTCGACATGTAAGTAAACTGGGGAACGGAGTAGGCCGCTTGCAGGGGCGGCTTGTTCGGGCATGCGCAAGCCTCAAGAAGAAAAATAAAGGGTCGCTGGCCCTTATCCCAATCGGTCGTCATATTGTTATCGTATCATGGAAGCTGGTTAAGGCAAGGGCGATCCTGGTACCTAGTTTACGATGGTGTAGCTCCATAAGTTACGTTACAGAGTACTTAAGCTATATTCATGTAGTCACCGTTTGCGTTCTAAAATCATGTCTTATGATAGCGTAATAGATATGCCGATTTGGGGATCGAATCAGAAGTTCTGTGATGCATAAAAATGTTGGGAAAATCGATTGATCGGTCCCTCCTGCTGCATCACCTGTCGCTTTTGGAATTATACCTACTAGATCGAAAGGCACACGACCTAGCCGGCCAATGTTAGTGCGAATGTAGCCGAGGGTGGCAGTTACGACGACGGCTGGTGGGTTTAGGTTTGTTAGACGGCTGCACTGCTTATTGCTTAACCTTGAGTCGACGCTTGAATGCTGGGGTAGAGCTGGCTCGAGGTCTTAGACACTAACGAGGTGCCTTGCGGGGGGACGGGTTGGGTCGGGTGGAGAAGCCTGTCTGGGGTCGCATGATCTAAGAGTGACTTTTTGGGCACCTCAAACGTGCAAACGAAAGATAGGGAATCACGAAACGGGTGTGTATGAAACAGTCTTTGATATTCGCTCGATCGATAGGGATAACGGAATGCAGGATCGATAAGTAGAAATCGACCCGCATCTTCCATGTATTATACATGTACCGTGTGCGTATTGACAGGCATCGGAACCAAAAAAAATGGTGTTATCGGAATGAGAGTTCGAGGCCAAAGGATCAGCAACGGCATGGGGTATCGGCAAGGGGATTGGAAGCGAGGATACAGGCATCCTTGATAGGTTCCAGTTTGACAGTCGCAAGACTTTTAGCTATTTTGAGGACGGGAATACATGTATTGATCGACACAAATTCGAATTAATTCGAATTAGGTTGAGAATTGGTCGTGGGGATGAAAGCAATGCCTAGGCTTGGAATGGTGCTATCGATAACAGGCCTTTAACTTTGACAAATGGGACTATTCTCAAATGTCAGAAAGGCGACGGCTGAGCAGGCCTGGAAAACCCCCGGATGGATCTACGATAGCGTAATGCCTCATCACTGATGTAAAAACCTGCTTTGGGTATTCCGTCGTGTGCCGTATATGCCTCATTTCTTCAAGTGTCAAAACTTGGGTCGTCGAATGATTCAATGTTCGAAAGTTCATCTCTAATCGCTTCAAGTAGGAGCCTTATTTCTCACTATAACCTCTATAACACTGATATTCCTGGTCCTTGACGGGAATACGTCGTCAATTTCTTCAAACTCGTCGGATTCCTCGGCAGAGTCGTGATTTTCATCAACATCCATTGCATCTTCGCCTCCTCGACTGCCAGGACCTCGAGCGTTCCGTTCGATTTTTTCTTTAGCCTTCATTAAGTCATCAAATGTCATATGTGACTGGTCGGCTCTAACGTCATCTGTAGCTTCAATCGTTCCAGTTCGTATTTCCACAGATGTGTCCTTCTGGCCCTGGAAATAAAGCCCAAGTCCTAATGCCTTTTCAATTGCGTTCCCGGTAGCCTTGATCGTGACATATTTAGACTTGTCATCGATTATAGCGGTCACTGTTGACGGCCCAGCCTCATTATGGCCTGAATCCCCCTGTCGTCGTTGAAATGCCCGTTTTTGACGTCCACCAGATGCTACCGAGATCTTTGATTGATCTTTGAAAACTGCAAGTGCTTTTCGAACCCTCTTTACGGTAGATACAAATGGGGATTTTGTCGAGACATAGACTGTTTTGGGGTCTGCTGATAGTCTTGGTGGAGGAAGGGGCCGAGGTAATTGACGCTTAACTAATCTCGAATCTTTTTTTTCAACGAAGATAGAAAAGTTGTTAGTCCAATGATTCGTCCATAATAGAATATTCGAGTTCTCACTCTTTGGAAGCTCTTTCGACCGTTTGTGCGACCTTCGCCGTAGATGTGTGTTCGTCATGATGTTGATGTTGATGTTGATATCGATGTTGATGGTATGGTCTTGACAGGACTGTATCGGCTCTGTCTCGTGGTTACTAGGCGGTGGTTCTGTCGCAGAATTTACTTTACGCGACCAAAACTTTCGCAAAGTCTTAGACAACGCGTTTCCCACATGCGCCTTCGTGCACACTCATCCCCTCGACATCATCCCATCCTTCCATCTCTCTAACATTTATATCTCATCGTCAACTTCGCCAAATGCTATTCGCGACTTGATATAGTATTGTATAATTATCTTTATGACCTGTACGACTAGTTCGACTCCCTAATCGCTGCTAAAAGATCAATCTCGGCATTTTCTTAACTCGTAACTTCCATACCATGGACGCAGACTTCCCAGACCCAACAGATTGGATCCAAACTCCGGTACCAGGTCTCCAAGCTCTCGAAACTTCACTCCGGTGCCAGGTCTGCAAGGAGCTCTTCACAGCACCAAAAGTTACCAGCTGTGGTCATACTTTCTGTTCGCTATGCATCCGAAGATGTCTATCAGCTTCCTCGAAATGCCCCACTTGCATGAAGCCGGACGAAGAGCCTCGGTTACGAGATAATATTGTTGTCTCGGAGTTGGTTAGCTCTTTCAATACCATACGAAAATCACTATTGGATACTCTGGTTGCGAAGGAAGAAGCTCGAAAACAAGCTGAGGAAGAAGCTGAACGAGATTCTAGGACCAGACCGAAGGCTGAGAAAAGGAGTTCTTATGACCTCGATGACGATGAGGTAATGGAAGATGCTGAGCCAGTGCATCGACCTCAGGCAAAGAAGAGGAGGCGACAAGACACGACCACATTAAGAAAGCCACAGGAAACAGAACCACCTCGAAGGAGTACTCGAACATCATCACAACGAACAAATTCGAGGGCAGGATCTTCTCAGGTTATTGCCATCCCGGACAGCGACGACGACGATGATGATTTCCAGCCAATTGAGGAATCATCGGAAAGCGAATTCCAGTCAAGCAGCCGGGCGAAGCGGAAATCTGCATCTCGAGCCCCAGATACACCGACGAAGGACTCTGATCTATTTGCTTGTCCGCTCTGTAATCGGCGGAAAGACCAATCAACGATAAATCCTCATGTAAATCGGTGTATTGAAGGAAATAGGTCACCGTCGCCGACACCCGGCCCAGCCAACGGCGCATCATCAGCTGGGACGCCTCTGAGGCGTCAACCTGCAACATTTTCTAACCTATCGAGGTCGCAACATCGGGCACCCTATACCGTAGAAGAAAGGGAAAAACTCCGCTTGCCAAAGGGGAATGCCAGTTTAGCGAAGGAGGCAGACATCAGAAAAAAGCTTCGCGATCATGGAATCCGTTGTGATGTGAAGGGAAAAGAGACCAAGCAAATCTTGTGGACGAGGCTGCAGGAGTGGACCAACCTCTGGAACGCAAATCTTGATTCTGACAACCCTAAGCTTAAACATGTTTTGATTAAAGAGCTGGAGGCCTATGAACGGAGTCAGGCAACCCAGAAGCACAGTGTGGTGCAGGATAAGGATTTCGAGCGAGAGGCTTGGAGCAACACCCACAAACCCGGATTTGACGCCCTCATAGCGAATGCAAGAAATACTGTCTCGCGGAAAAAGGAGAATGGAACAGAGACAAGTGAAACATCGGACTCAGCGGCGGGAGCAAAGGCTGAATTAAATGGCATGGATTCACCCGAGGTAGTTGAGGTTTAGATAGTCTAAGTTTTGTCTTTTTATTTTTGGGAACATCACTTTGGAGTTTTTTTCATTGAGAGTATATTTAGCGTTTGCATAGAAGGTATTTGGAAGCCGAAATCTCTTATACTATTCAGTCTGTATTTCTATCTGGAGGTTAAACCTGCAGGGTCTTCATACATTCTTGCGGATGACCATAAACCTGTATTTATCGAGCAGCGGCATTTCTACCTTAGTAGATTATCTGGATATTAAGTACAAAATATTCACAAGTTCTGAAGATACCAATCTGTCCCAACGCCCGCTGATTAGCCCTAGTAACCCAAACTCCTAAGCATTATCGCTGACTAGACACACCATAGCTCTACGCAGGTAGAGCCTCGCTCTCCTCGTCCCGTTCCTTGTTGGCAGCCTGGGGTATCTGGTCTGCAACATTCAATCCAGCCAGCCGCTCTAGCAGTTTTGCATCTTCCTCTTCTATCTTCCTCTTCTTCTCTTCTTCCAACTTTCTTTCCCTCTCTTTCTCTTCCTTGATGAGCGCCTCGAATTCCTCTTGAACATCATCTTCGATCTCGTTCAGCTTGGTAGTTCCAGGCTCAGTGACGATCCTAGAAATTTCGTCCGTCTCATCCATCTGTTCCTGGAGCTCGTCCATAACCTTCTCTACTCTCTCTACACCTCCTGTGACCTTATTTAATCCGGCCAGAACCTTCGAACCTTGTTCCAAAGTATCAATCAATGCGGCGTTATCGACTGCCTCTTCGATTTTCATCAAAACGCTCTCCAGCGAAGACAAACTATTCGTCACCGTCTGCAACTGTTCTTCCGTCATCTTTTTGCTCTTAAGAGCGGAAAGTGCTGTGATTTTATTATTGGCCAAAATGGCTTGTTTTGCCTTAGTCTGTAGAGCTGTGATCCTAGATGATAGAGCATCGACTTTGAGATTTTGTGTTATGATTAAATGTTTTAATTGTGCTGTCGTGATATCTGATTGCGAGATTGGTTGGAGAGCCGAGTCTGCGGGCTTGAATTTAATAGTCTGGCCATCCTTTAATCAGTATAACCCGTGAGATAGATTGGAAAGAAAAACAGAAGAACACAACATACCTTTCCCTGAACGCTCGCCTCCCCCAAATCTCTCGACAAATGCTTCACCAAAACCTTCACATCCTTCTCACTCAACTGAATCTTCTTATCGATAATATTCCTGATCTCATGCTCCAACGTCTCCAACGTCATGATCCTATCAATATCCCGTTGACCCTGAGACATAACCTTAATAACCTTCTGGGATACCTCTTCAACGTTTTTCACAACCACAACTTCCCCGTTCACTAACTTTGCACTAACAGCCCCTCCTCCCACACCAACTTGCTTCAACCCCCATGATAAAACCTTCCAGGGATCTACCCACGGTTTGTAGTATATACTCCCTTCCCTTGCCAAAAAGTTCTTCAGAGGGATAAACTCCTCGGATGCAATACCCTCGTTTATAACACATCCCAAACTGGGGGTTCCATATTCCCGGGTAGTAAGTGACGGTAATAGTAACGATGTTATCGGGAGGATGAGGTGGTCAGTTGAGGAAGTAGAGGACGGGATTAAACCGGCGTATGTCGCTTTTGAAAGAGCTGTCTTCCAGGCTGTGATGTTGGCTATATATCCATCTGGGTTTACGGTTTGAAGAGGGGCGAAGTCTGAGTAAAGTGATGGGAGACGGGCTCTGGAGTTTTAGTCTTTTTTGTTAGTCATATTTTTTGTTTGTTGCGATATGTTGATATCACCCGGTATAACAACGATGGTGATGGTGATGGTGATAAGGGGAATATAGTACGCACTTGCGAAAATCCTCTTGGGTAAGGATGAAGGATAGAAGTTCACTCATGGCTGATGTATTTGCATAGAGCAAGATACGGGAAGATAGTTGGAGGGTAGATGAACGAGAGATGGGACGAGTCAGTTATGTTTGAATCTTCTGGCGCGCGGTGGAAAGTCGGGTGGTTTGACGTCAAAACAACACGAGATTAGAACACCAATGTGTGGGAGTTTCAAGCTTCCGAATCCGGAACATGTACGAAGTGTCGTATGCATATGGTATCGTCGAGTCCATGAGTTATGACTTCACCAGATATCTCTTGGATTTTAATGTAAGACACCTTTATTCCCCATCAGCCGAAATAATATAGTATTGAGAAAGGGATCTCCCAGAGATGTCATAAATAAAAAGCGACATAAATATGTACGAGTAATAGTAAGTTAATGCCACCTGGCCTGCTCACAACTGCTCTCATAGCGGCCCATCCGCCCCAGGGCTCTCATCCATAGTCATGACCCCGGGAGCGTCGCCATTCGGTGTCTGGGGAATTAGAATGCTTCGTCTCTTTCCATCGAATCTTGGTTTTTCAGCTTCGCCATCATCATCCTCATCTAAGGCCTCTTCCTCATCCCCATTTTCAACTTCAACCACCTCCTCGCCGGTCCCACCAACCCCTGTATCAATTTTCAGGTCTAACAAGTTCACATATCCTGAATCTAACCTCATCTGTTCCACGAACCGCCGTATCAGGACGAACTCCGTACTGACGTACTTAGGCATAGCAACATCAATACAATGTCTAGCTTGTGCGAATTTACCAAGCCGTATCCATGTTTCTGCAGCGAGGACGTGCCACATGGCAGCTTTCCGCCGTCTGCCGCCCCATCCACCACTTCCTGCACCCTGTCTGACAGCATAACAGTCACCGACCCGTTGTGATATTAGAGCTCGGCCTACTGTTGGTCTAATGTTTAGATCTAGTGCCTTTATTGCCCATTTGGCAGCGAGTTCAGCAGAACTACCACCAGCTAGACGTAATAATTCAACTGTAACAAGAAGACAGCGAAGCGCAGCATAAATAGCGCGAAACCGAGTGACGTAAGAGTAACAAGCAGCGTCTAAGTAGACGTCTATCGTATCCGCTCTTATTTTCGGTGTAATTGGTTGACCAGTTAGCAGCAGCGAAATTATAGTCATTTCCTATTGCGCCACCAAGTTAGCAGACTATGATTAAAACCTCAATTAAGAAACCATACCTGTGCTCCGGCAACATGTAACCAAGCCTTGTCGTTATTAAAATCCGTCCGTATCGTATTATAAACATCATAAGCTAGCTTCCAATCTCTCAACATAAACGACCAATCCGCCAACTTTCTCATCTGCGCCTCTGGAGTCATCGGATCGTACGAGTTCGTCGCAGAGTCAAAGTTACTAGCGGTTGCAGAGCTTGACGTGGATCGAGTGCCTGTGGAGCCGAGAAATCTTCGGGAAAACGATAGCACACGGCCGCCTATACCTTTTCTTCGGGATAATATTTGGTCGTTCCAGCTAGCAATGTTTCTTTCCATGAACGGTATTACGCTTTGGGCGACCATTTCTCGAACCATCGTTTTTATGGCAGCTTCATCGGAGCCGTGAATGAACCGACTGGATGCATCGCTTTCTATGTCCTCTTCTATGGCAGGCCTTAGAGAGTGACTAAAAATGTGGAAGAGTTCATAATACATACCTTGATGAGCGTGGAGATCGGCTAGTTCTTCTGAAGCAGGCAACCATTGACTCTTGGCCACCGGAACTGAATCTTCATCTGATACAATACACGTCGTTGACCTTAATCTTATCAAGTGACAATGTAATCCGAAATGTCGCTTCATCTGCTCAAACAGAGCTGCCGACCTAATAATGTCAGTCTCAGCATCTCTACCAAAACTTTTTGAACTACCGTTTTGAGACCTAGCAAAAGCTTGAGGCATGGGAGTACCAACTTCACAATATCATCCTTGTCCTCATCATGGACAAGTACATAGTAGCGGAGGTATTCCTTATTGACATATCCCGGAACATTGACCTCTGATCCAGATTTGTACAATTGCCGTAAAGTATCGATGGGTGTTGTATTCCTTGATGAGATCGCGATCAAACAAGCGACAGGGTGGGCCCAAGTCTCATGCGGTGTAACCGGAAACCCAGATAATATCTTCCGTAAATACAACAAATAGAATGCCTGGCCCGTATGGCTCTCTGTTTCTGTGGCCAAATTTGTATCGATAAGCTCTTCAGCGTGGCTTAGATGTAAATCGAGTAATTCGTCGGCTAGCGGCAGTTCTTCCGAGTTTATCGCCTCTGGTATTCCAGCATTGGTCCCACCATATTCTCCATTCCTGAATGAGTTTCCACTTGCACTTCCTTTCCGTTCCGATTTCTGGACAACATCTGATAGCCGGACGAACCTGACAGCAAAGTCTTCGAAGGGTACACTACTTCCTTGCGAATCCCGAGCTGTGATTCGTCCTTGTACCTTCTCACCATATGGTCGGATCAATTGGTAGAAATCTGGGAGTCCCTTTTCGCGAACAACTTCGTCAACGTCATCGGATACATGGACAGCGATATGAGGAACGAAAGCGTGGTGAATGACGGATTTTATATCGTCGACAATGTCTCGAGGTAAGCTGGCGCCCGTGCCGGCAAACAAGGAGGTGAGAGAAGTCGTTGATCCTGTCGATGCAATAGAGGAGCGGAGATTGTACATTGGCGAAGCTTTGGAGGTGCTCATAGCAGAGCGAGCCCGCGGGGGTATCTCGAGTGGGAGGGCCATGTCTGCGGATATCGATCTTCAAGAATTCGAGGTAGTCCCAGCTGGGGCTGACCTTCGCTGTGCGGCAAATAGGGTGTTGACTGGGCAGGTTATGGGAGGTCGTTCATCCGGCTTCACCAGTCGAAGAAAATAGGCGTCGGAGCGACATTAGTTAAGCTACCGAGTGGAGCGCCATGATGAGATAGGATGATGATGAAGGGATGGAGAGGTGGAGAGATGTCGGCGTGGAGAGGTCGGCTGTCGGCTGGTCAGAAGCTCGAATGAGGTAGCTGGCCTGAACCAGCCAAATGTGGCCGGCTGACGTCGCACAAAGATCCCAGCTCCAAAATGCAACGTCTACAACGCAACTCTCAACACATTGAAACGGTTAGCCTATCATCTTCGAGATCTTCAAGCTTCAATGCACCACGATATCTCGAATAGACGGGATTATACAAACCTCGTGATAGTGCGTGAAGAGGGGAGGGAAATAGAAGGAGGAGGAGGAGAGAAAGGACAGAAGAGGGGAAAAAAAACAAAAACAAAACAAAAACAACGTCCCCCTCCCCGAAGGTTTACCGTAAAACCTTCAGGGAGAACCCCTCTTCGCCTTCCTCGCCTTCCGCCTCCTCCGCTTTCCCTCGACGGCCCTCTCCAGGCGCCACCTCCTATAGCTCCTCTGTTGCTAGTATGTATAATTAGTGATTCTGCACAATGTAATTATAGAGATCGTAGGTGTCGTATCACGTACCCCTTCTGCCCCCTCCCTCCGGCACGGGCTGTCCCGTACTAAAGCCCCCACGATATCGGGAGGGAGGTGGACGCTCCACACGTCCACCACCAACCTCCTCATCCCCCCCACCAGTGGCTCCACGATATCTGTCTCCACTGGGTCGATGTCCATAGGATCATCGAACACCATGGGCCCCCCCTCTGGTGTCGCCACCACGACTGCCTTCTCCTCCTCCTCCTTCTCGGGGCCCTTAGCCCCTCCTCCACCCCCCTTCCCCCCCTGGGCCTTCACCTCCTTGGCCCTCTTCTCCTTCTTCTTCTCCTTCCGCTTCTTCGCCTCCTCCTTCAAGTTCCTCCTCTTCCTCCCCTTCCCCTTAGCCTTGGGGACCCCTCCTCCCCCTCGTCGTCGGCATCGTTATCTTCTTCTTCTTCTTCTTTTTCTTTTTCTTCCTCGTCTTTCTTTTCCTCCTAAAACTCACAGAACGACTAATTAGTCTCTATTGACATGATATATATTCTGATAAAACGTTGTAAACTGTAATCGAAGAAGAAACTTACCACCGCCACGGCCTTCCTCATCTTAATGGCCCTCTTCCCCAACTTCTCCGCCCAGGAGGCCAGGTTTTTGAGGTCCCTGAGGACCTCAACCAAAACCTCCTCCCCCCCCTCCGTCCCCATGTAGGTGAAATCTATCACCTCGACAACATCTTCGAAGGATGAACCATGGGTCCATCCTTCGAAGATGATGTCCCTCACCCCTTCCATTGTCGGGGCCCCCGTGGCCGCCGACAAGGAAGCGGGTGGCATCGCTGTCGAATTGCTCATTTTGGAATAGTTTTTGGTGGCTTGGAAGTGGTGATGATGGTGGTGATGGTGGTGATGAGAATAGGAATGGAGATGGAGATGAAAATGGAGGTGGAGGTGGAGGTGGGAGGAGAAAGAAAAAAAGTCGTTGCTGTAGGGTCTGTGATTTATGGTAGAAACAACGAGTCTCGGCTCAACAGAAGCTATAAACGCCAATTGCACATTACGACTTCAAGTTCTCAAGCTACAAATTTAGAGTCCATTAGGTTTAACATTTGTAAATGCTAGACCAGCTTATAGATATCACGAGGTAGCCTTACAATCGAAGCTTAGGTAGGCATGAACAGAATTAAATAATTATCAAATCTTCGATTATCTAGCAAATATTGATAGTTACGACCAACCAGCTTGTGGGTGTGTGACTACTATTCGTGCATTGATTCACTTGAACTGGTCCTCAAAGAGAGGAATAACTATATTTTATTGATTCTGCTAACCATCGACCAAAGGCCTTGCAGCTCTAAAAGCTGCACGACAAAATTACCGTCGTCGCTTTCTTTCTTCTTTCTCTCTCCTCCTTCGACTCGCTAATAGAGAAACAGACGACCTCCAGCTCTCTTTTCTTCCTTAACCCTTTGGGCACCCCGGGAGCAGCATTGCCCAAGCTGGAACTATGGTAACATAAAGACTTGACCAAAGTCTACGTTCGGTCTCGCAACCAAATTGTGTATATTTGCCAGGTCCCTCCTGCTCCCGAGGGCAACACGACTCTGTCGGCGCCCTCTAGTAAAGCTCCAGGTAAATCAACTTCCGAGTAAAGGGCAGCTGCCCAGGGCAGCCCAACTCCTTACTCTGATGAAGGCACCGGGAGTATCAAACGCGTCTTTGAAGTGAATTAGGTATAGACCTCTCTAGTATTCTGGGACCCATCCCCTTCTCCTTCCTCGCACTAGTATTCAAAACGCCAACAATTCTCAAGACGCTCCTCTTTCTTTTGAGCTATAAGTCAGTGTTAGTTAGCAATATCCCACAGTAGCTATCAAGCCGTCAAGTGCAAGCCTCATACCCGGATACCATTCAGATATTGAATCCAAGTCCTACAAAATTTCCAGGCCGGAGCCTTGCATTATGATTTCCCAAGTTGTGGAAAAGGCCTTTGAGATATCACGAAGAACTCCCTGGCGGGCCTGGAAATGGCCAAAAGATTTGGTAGTGGCATGGCCAGGAGGCCAGCCACGTTGTAACTACCTCCGGCCAAATCCCATGAAACAAGCCTATGGGTTTCAATATTTTAGTCAGCTAGAAAACATAAGGAACAAACGAAATACTGCAGTATCATACTTATGGAGATCGGCCGGATAGTAAGAATATCTAGGCCGCGAGACCGCCGTTTCTATGGACGGGATGGGTTGGGTGTAGAGTTGGGTGTCGTGAGATACTTAGGCTATGGAAGAGGTGACTGAAAAGAGATTAGGGAGGTTTGGATTAAGGGCTTCTTTATCAATTTATACACGGTTGGGGAGTCTGGCGACGAGACAACAATTAATATGTGCTCTCCTTGATCAACCATGAAGTCTCGTTGTCCAGACACAATTCTTACGATAGATCCTTTTATGCCAAATTCCACCGCGTCGCAATACCATTACCAATAGGTACTTACATAGTAGGTAATTATTCAAGAAATTCAAATCGGTTCCTCGATTGATTTTCCGGCAAAATTTAAAACTAGGTAGGTACGATGATATTGACAAATAGACAATACAGTTTAGTAGTTTCAAGATCTGGTACTCTATGCCGCCGTATTTTGATGATTGATAGCCATAACCGGTGTTAATTCATATTGTAAGCATAGACCTATACGAAAATTTATGCTTCGTCTTGACGACTCCAGATTCCTACGATCACAAGCACTCCCTTACGAAAATGATTGAAGCAATTCTCGAAAAAAAAAAAATTTCTCATTCCTGAATAATAGTTTATGCATAAGGCTGAAATAAACAAGAAACAAGAATAGAAGCGCCTCCTATGCATAAAAAGCATCATATGTTAATGCCATGTATCGTATGTAAAAAAAAACACCACCACCTAAAACATGAACATAAACATGTGTTCAAAAAAAAGAAGTGTATCAATACGTATCCGAATATTCGCCTGTGCAGTTTGTCTCCTGTGCAGTTAATAATAAGCAAGAAAGTTTTTCCCATCCATAAAATGCAAGGCAGAAAGAAAAGCCCATGACAATAAAGCAAAATACAGACTTGCTTCAAACGCCTCGACTTTAAAAAAAATCAGGATTGCACACTGCATAAGTATAAAGATCGCCCATGCGCCTTCAAAAAATATAGCTTCGAACTCTCAAAAGAAAAAAAAGCATGATGTATGCAGAGATGTTCGAAACTATTCACCACCAGCTCCTGGCTTCGTCAGGAGAAAGCTTGACACCGCCATCGTCATCTTCACTATCGATCAGTCCCAAGGTAAGAGCACCAGGACCTTTCATAGCAGTCTCAACAATTGCTTCAAGGTCCAGTTGGTTCTGTTGCTCATTTGGCTTTGCACGATACTTCTTGAGCAAGCTCGTCATCTGCTCCCCAGCTTCGTCAACGTAGGTCATGGTAGATCCGGTGACAATACCTGAGTTGCTAGAGCACCTAACAAACATGGCAGCCCTTTGTCTAGTCATCTCATCGAGAATCTTCTTAGTTTCTCGTCTAAGCTTAGATTGTCGTTCCCGGAGCTCCTTGAGATGTTGATGAAGGCCCTGGATGCCACGAATTTTTTCCTCCTTCTTCTTGTACCTGCCGGTATTCTCGAGGGTAGAAAGTCCCGCTTCCATGATCTCGATCTCAATATCGGTGCATTTCTCAGCTTGACTAAATTTTATATCTCGCTTTTGAATTGCCTGCCAATCGGCTTGTTCGCGAAGACCCAGCGTGACTTGGTTAACTCGACGGGGGAAGAATCTCTGTTTGGAAAAGAAAGAATATCTAGTTAGCCATGTGCCCTTATCCTTATTTCTGTTAATAGTGAGTGTGCTATACCTTTGCTTCAGTCAGGAACTCATTCAAGAGCTTCTTCATCTTCTCGTTGAGCTTTTTGTGCTTGAGAATGCCAGACCCACCAATTCCTCCGGCGACCATATCACTTTCCTCGTATTTCTCGGCGAGTAAGTATTTAGCATCCTTCAGGACGGCCTTGATGACTTCCTCAGCTGCCTTCTCTTCCCCACCGTATCTGCGAGCATAGACCTGGTGAACATCCTCATACTCCGCTCCCACATCGTAGGCGTGATGGAGTATGTAGAGGGTGCAGCTCTTGAAAGGTTCACCCTTCGTAGCTGCAGCGCCCCCCTCGACCTTCTTCCTGGCCTTTTGCTCGACCTTGGCGAGCTCCTCCCCGGCTTGTTCGGGTTCACCGTTCCCGACTGGCAATTCTCGAGAGGGTACGAAGTTTCGTGCATGTGGGGAAAACTTGTACTCGCTCTTGTCAATGGCCTGCCTCTGTCGGTAGGCGGGGTGTCCGGAGACACCCTCTTGGTGGTGCCCAAACTTGGGCCTTCCCCTGACCTCAGGGGACAAAGGAGCCGGCGGTGGGATGGAGCCATACTGCCCCGGGACGAACGGCTTGGCGGACGGATTAAGTCCCCTCGCCGATCGTTGGGCCTCCTCCTCTTCTGCCTTATTATATGGGACGGCAGCGTCGACGGGCTCGGCGGGTGGGACTGGAAGGTTCCGTCGGAACCTTGGGTGGATCCAAGTCTCGTCCCGAGGCTTGGTCCTGGTGTCCTCGAAGAACTCGCGGATGAACTCCGCATAAGCGGAATCCATCCGCGAGTTCTTCGAGATCCCAGCCTCCGAAAAGGCTGGGATGGGGACACCGGTTTGGCGGGAATGACCGTCCGCCAGGAGGGAATGTCCATCCTCCTTTGAGGGGGGGCGGGAATGTCCATCCGCCTGGAGGGAATGACCATCCTCCTTTGCAGTGGGGGAAGGAGGCACTGCACTCCTTCTTTGCTCCCCGAGCTGCTCCCACCTCAGCTCCCTGCCTCGACGAAACGTCTCGGCCTCTGCGACTCCCTCAACGAGCCGCCCCGACCCCCCAGCACCATGGCTGGGATGGGTCCCCCCCCTCCCAAAAACCCCCCTCCCGGCCCTGCCCGTCAGCGACGGGCACCCGGCCGGTTTGCTGGGCCCCCTTGGGCTTCCAGCGGCGGTGACGCCACGGTTGGCGTCCGCCATTGCCTTTTCTTTGGGCCATCGCGACAAGACAGGGACGAAATCTATAGCACAATACCAACTTGTTAGTAAAAATGCAAAAGTAGACTATGTGAACAAGGAAGAGTCTTAAGTAACTTACCTGTCTTTCGAAAAACGAAGAAAAGATGCGAACGAGAAAGAACAGACAGGGGCAGATGGCTTTAATGAGAGACTATTAGAATCAAGTACGAAGAAAACTTGAAGGTAGATAGAAACATACCAAGATCCCGAAATTAAAAGAAAGTTGCCTGTGAAATCAGAAACCAGTTAGTAGAGTCAATGAGACACAATGGGAAGTTAAGTATGATGACGATGATAAATGGAAGGTGAGATGGCTGTGAACGAAGCCGGGAGCTGTGGTAGATGGCTTCTCTGAAGTAGGGCGGATGCGAATAGAGGGAAGAAGAAAGGAACACTACCTTCCAATAACACGTCTAGGAAAGATGATGATGGATAAAAAGGAGGGAAATGACGATGATGATGACGAAGCAGAAGAAGGTGATGACCGAAGGAGATGATGAGGGAGAAGGTGATGAAGGTGAACAGAAAAGAACACCCCCAGAGACGATCGAGATCAAAACAAAATGAGGGAGAAGAGGGAACGGGAAGATAGATATGAAGAAGGAAGATGGTGATCAAGAAAGATGATCAAGTGAGATGACCAAAGTCGATGACCAAGAGAGGTGACCAAGCTTGGTTGGAAGGAGAATGAGGATGAAGATGAAGGAGAGCAGGACGGGTGGAAGACTAAATAGGAAGAAGGACCACAAGAAAGTCAGGTGATCGATATCCGAGGCAACTGAGGATAAGGCAGCAAAGAACAACCAGAAGGCCTCAAGAAGTAACCAAGATTGCAGCAAAGATAAGATGAAACAAAAGAGGATAAACAAAACGAGAACGAGATCTCAGATCCGTCAGCTAGATGGAATGATGAGATGATTGATGTAGACAGTAGCAAGCTTGCTAGATTTCGTGACCTCGATGGGAAACAGGAAACAATCTCGATGGAAAAGCAACCTCGATGAGATGGAAGGTGGGTTGTGAAGAAGAGATGAACTCGACGGGGGAGAAGAGGAGGTAAGGGAGAAAAGACTTACTTTAGAGGCGAGAAGCCGATTGACAGAAAATTGCGTGCGTATATACGGAGAATTATATACAAGCAATGGTGCTTACAGCAGAAAAGCTGGTGAAGCGTGAAGCGCGGAGTGTGATGAAAAGAAGACGGAGGGAGCTGAAGCACAAGTCTTTAAATACTGGGTGTTTGGGATGTGTTGGTCGTGTTGTATTTACGCAGGTAACACAAGATTAGATCGACAGCCGGTTACGAGACTGTCGACAGCCTCTGTTACGCCTGCCCCAGGATCCCTTGGCAAGGTTTCCTAAAACAGCTTAGCACTCTGCTTTGTTTCTCAACTCTATATGTTCTCTCAGAGGGTAGTATAGTATTCGGGGTGAAGATATAAAGTTGTATGAATAGAAAGTGTAACACGGTATAAAGCTGTGAGACTAAATACTGTTCAAGTAGGTTGTAAGCTAAGTTGATAAGTTGACCGATGGAGTTCTAAGATAAACCGAGAACTACCATCGCTCAAAGGTCTCTAAGTACATGATGAAGTTTACATACAAATCATAGACATGAGTTCCGTCGTAGATTCTGGTCGTCGGTCGACCAACGAAGGAACCGACAGACATTTGGGCTTGGCGTCAAACATTGCATGAGACGGGCCAGTGCCAGGGATTCACAAGTCTGGTTACGAGACTGCATAAACTCTTTTTTGCGTAAAACCAATATTTATAACTTGAGGTTCCCTACGGTCACACTTAAACCCGATTGAACTGCTTCTCAATCGAACCCTTTGGGCTTTTCTTTAAAGCGTGGCCCCAGACACCAAACAGTTATATAGCTATTATATTTCAAAGTATTTAATACTATATTGCCAAACTGTGCCAAGTTATGTCAAGTAAAAACAATATATTGTTTTATATAAAAAATTGGAAGGCCCACCCACCAAATTCTGCCGGGGGATGGTGGGGGATGGATACGGGGAGGACTACTAAAGACCCTTCCTTTCAGTCGGGCATAAGAATAATTCTGTGAGATAAAAGAAGCAGAAACAAGAAGCATGTTTGTCGCGCCAATATATATTTCCTAATCGGGTTAGTCAATATGGGTCGTAGCCTCAAAACATCTTAGCTTAGCCTAGCTTAGCAGCACAATTGTACATACAAGCATGGCGCTCTGCTTGTTTCTCAATTGTTTCTCAACTCTATCTATTCAGAGCTCTTGGAGGGTAATATGGTATAATATAATATTCGGGTTAAATATAGAAGTTGTTTGGTAGAGATTTCGAAAATGTAACACAGTAAATAGTATACGTATAAGGCTACTTAGTTACAGCTGTTGAATTAGGTTGTAAGCTAAGTTGCAACGTTGCATTGACCGATGGAGTTCCATGATAAACTGAGAACTACCCTCGCCCAAAGGTTCTTAAATACATGATTAAGTTCTATAAAAAACGTAGATATCGGATCTATCGTCTGCGAGTCCGTCGTGTCTTTCGTCGCGAAGGACTGGGGAGCTGGTTCACCAAAGAACTCTAGGCTTGGCGTCAAATGCACATCCACCTATAGCTACTTAATATTCACAATATTTTTTCCTTCCAATATTAATAAGTAATACTAGTCTATATTGAGATACTATCTATTTCATTTCACTTTATTTAGTTAATTCAAGTTTACTAATATATTTACTCAAATATAATTAATGTTTATAATGTAAGCAAAACATTCGGTTGGATGATCCTCCCAAAACACGGGTATCGTTACGTGTATATAGCTAAGGTACGTATACGTTAATTAACTTGGGGTTCTTAAAGTAGAGTTTCATAACGTCACATGTGCACATGCCATTGAAAGACTAGCGATTCTTATTAAATTAGAGGAAGAGCGAACATGTTAACAATGAAAACTGTCGAGTAAACTCGGAACTAGACTAGATACCAATTATCAATTATTTGTACTATCTTTTCATGTCAGAACAAGAATATACCCTCACGAACACCTATAACTAATAGCCTCGGCCATAAACAAGACTATGGTATTGGTGAGAATCGATTGCCCCCTTCACCCGGCAAGGGCTTCGACCGAGCCGCTGGTCATAGACAAGCATTTGCTATCGATATCTATGCCTTTAACCATGTATGTACAATAGCAAATTAACCGTATACGCGTAGCTAGTAGGATCGCCACGTCAAGCTATCAGTTGCTGATAAGTTGATTCCTGCTCGGACATATCAAACTGCAATTGCGCAAGTGTAATTAATCAAATGTGTTTACACAAAAACAATAACTGAAGCCATATATACCTCCGTAAAAAATCATATGCATGTTTACCATGCATTCTTCAATTCCACTCGTGATATAACTAGCTACTGTCGCGGTATTTCGGCATTCAGGGTTTGATATAAGCCTCTGGGAGAATATTCTATTCAAAGAAAGAAGAAAAGAAAAGAAAGACCATCAATACAAAAGTGACAATAGGCTCTACCGTATCGAGATTCTGTGGGGGAGCATTTTATAAACGTAGCAACCTTCCATTCCGTCTTTTTCTCATATCCGGCTAAATTCTTCCCCGAGATATTCTCCCGCACTGGGATCCACTGTCTGGATACAAGACTAATCTTGACATATGTACAACGGTAAATAAGCATAAATTTATCGATTTAATCTTCCAGGTCTGGGTACGAGGCAACGAGTTAATCATTTTTACTTAGAACTTCTATTCGAAGACATTTAAACCCTTAGCTCGATCGTCTATAGCCAACTCAGAAGAAACACAGATCATTTAGCGGATCTTAAAGCGCCTCGCTATTCATAATATATAGCTATTAATATTATATTATACCCCAAGATGCTGTTCAAAGGTCCACTTGGAGCGCTAACATAAGCTTAACTTGAACGGATAACGGTTATAACAACGCGCTCACAAAACGTAGTACTAGTACCGTATTTGGCATTTGCATATGTAGTTAACTTGTGCCACTAAACTTATTCGCGTCGTAAGTGCCTAAGTATATATAGATTGTAATAGAACTAGACCCTAGTCCCTCGAGCTCTCAGTATTCCAAAGCTATATCGTTCAAGTATTGGGTTGACCAAATCCAAATAGTATATATATTTTTGAACAAAAGAAACTACAAAGAGAACCTTTAACCTAAATACGTATACACATAATATTGTTTTCAGCTTTTAAATATAGGTGTGCATTTGTATGCTGTACAAGTACCAGTTATACTCCGATTTCTAATGTTAACTAGCTAACGACCTATGCAGTTTAAACGTTAAATTACGAGGCATGATCATGACTAGCCGTAAATATACGACTAGGTCCTATATTTCATCTCGCAAATCAGATAGTAGACATCCACATGCATGGATCTAGCTGGTCATTAATTATTCTCTCCGCACCATTTACAAGCCCTATAATTCCGTTAATTTAGGCAACGGACAACTAGAGTTGAAACTTTGGAACCCTCCTAAGTCAGCTCCCTATTATCATTTTTTGTATAAACCTTGATTTCTTGATTTACTTCCTCGATAACTCAAATCCATTAAGCATATCTCAATCACACCGATTCGAACTCGCTATATATCGTTAGACAACAGTGCATGTGTGTTATTTTATGACCCACGATTAAAAGCCTCCTTATTCGCAGAATCGCCTAACTAGGCCTGTAGAAACGCATATATGCATGCACGCATGCATTCCAATTACGCCTTATTGTACTTAACCTTCGAATTAAATACTTTTACTTCCCGTTTACCGGACCAGACCGTTGTATGCCATGCAAAACTATCTATTGGTTAGTGAATTGGGAGTATACATATTTTCACTTACCCGTTTCTAGACCGATCTCGCTCGAAATACTATTTCCCATGCATGCATGTTGCATAAAAGTTAACAACATGCAACGGCCACCGATACTCCTGAACTTACGTAACCGGCCCCTTTAGAAAATCGATGACGAAGAGTAAATTTAAAGCGTCATCAAAGAATGTCGAATCCGTATATCACTTGTCACAAACCGGACCTATGTAGTCTGGCTTCAGATGGGGGTATATAAGTACTTAAGTATGTATATGTATATGTATATATATCGGTACGAAGTCGAGATCTTGAAAAAGTGTATATATAACGTCTTCATTTCATCACATAACATTCGCTCACTAGTCGTCAATTTTATTGTCCCCTGCAGGTTATATATATGTGTATATATATTGCTTCGAAAGTAGATCTTAAAAGTCTTTTCTTTCACCTGTGCTTTATGGTTTTACGATCTAGTATAAAATCGATGTATCGATCTCTCAAAGCTCTCTTTAAGCTTCAGTATCCACAATTCCTCTTTAAAATTTTATACTTGTCAATTGTCTCGTATATACATACTATCTTTGATAATATATATACCAGGTATCCACCAACCTCCTCACCACCAATGAAACCAACCCGCACCGCAATCTGCGGCTTCGGCCTCCGCGGCCGTCTCTTCCACAACATCTACATCGCCTCCCAACTCTCCCTCCTCTGGCGCAACCAACCAATCGACGAATCCCCCCGCCACCACGACTACTTCGACCTCCAACCTCCAACAGAAGGTCTCGGAACCGCCTTCCAACTTAGTAGCGACGCAGCTCTAAACACCGCTCTAGACCCCCCAATCTCCAGCATCAACAAAGAAGGTCTATCAACCGAGCAAATCAGACGTATAGATCGATTAACAGACCTAGCGGGTCGATACGCAGAGCTAGCTATGAAAGATGGAACAATAATGCCCCGACTTTTGGAAAGTAATGTAGCTGCTGCGATGATATTTAACAGTGCGTCGTCGTCGTCGAGAACTGGGGAGTTAAATTTAAATACTGGTGTTGCATGCGGTCCCAGGGGTTTGATTGGAGAAGCGGCGGAGTTAATGACGGAAGAGGCTTTGAAGCTTGCGAAGGAGTATCTTCCGTGGTTGGTGATTAGGGTTAGATATGAAGTCGTTGTTTCTAATATTGATTTTTCGAATCCTGGGTTTCCTGTTTTAACTGTTGTGGATGTTAAGACTGGAGAGGAAATGACGGGGATTGATTTTGTATATAACCTCGTTATCAAGTGTACAGGAACTACATTTGAGATCCCGGTTAGTGGTGAAGTTAAGGAAAATGCTTTCACGGGTGTTCCGAACTCCATCGATCTTACGACTTATTTAACCCAGCAAAAGATATTCGATAATGAAAAGAAAAAGATCATTCCAGGAAAGAAACTACTCATCGGCGGCACCAGTCTCTCAGCCTTCGACTTCATCGGCATGATCGTAACCAAAACCAACATCGTCGAGTTCAACCACCAAACCCGAACCTTCACAATCAACGAAGAAGAAGCCCAACGTAATCAAAACCTCATAACCCTCTTCAACCGCACAGAGGGTATCTTCGGCGCCTCACGACACCTCCCAAACAGCGTCACAAACCTCGACTCCGACCTAGTAAACCCCGAAATGATCCTCTCCCTCGGACTACAAAAAAACGCAGATACCTACCCAACAATCCTCGAACTCGCCCGTATCCTCACCGCCTACAAAAAACAAAAACTCCCTTCTCAAATCGAAAAGAACATCTCCACCATCGATCAAATAGAATACATGGCCGCTGAAAACGAATTATTAGCAAGGAATCCAGACGCCGTTACCGAAATAGCACTGTTTCGTAAATGGATCCGTTGCTGTGTATTCACTCACACAATGGGTCCGGATCAAGTACAGCAGCGTGCTTGGCTGGAAAGAAAGTATAATCATCTAGTACGAAGTCACGGGTGGCTTAACTTTAGGACTATGTCCTACAATATCTACCATAGACCCGGGATCGAAGAAAGGGAGCATGAGCTCCACTGTCATGCCCGCCGTATTGCTTTCAATTGCATCGCAGCCACTCCCTATGAAATACATAATCTTATCACTCGATTATACAAACTAGGAGTGGTATCATGGACCCAAGGTGCCTACGAAGATGTAGTTTGGAGTTCAAAGACGAAGAAATTTGAATTAAAAGGCTATCAAGTAGACGGATTAATAGCCCCTCGAAGGTTGACCCAGAAAACAGACATGTTAAGTGAGAAGATCTTAAAGCAGGCTAAAAGATTAAAAGTCGGAGAACCTCGTTATGAAAAAGGTCGATTTTTGAAAAACCCATCGGAGGAGTATCTTCATCTGATAGATCTGGGTTTTACCGGTCATGGTATTCAATGGTACGATACCAACGCCGCGGAGGGTGCCTTCCAGCTTATGCCTATTGTCGTTGATATGATCGTCATCCTCGAAACCCTCATATCAGATACAAATCTAAAGGGCGATGAATTAGAAAAACCAGTCAACGAACTGTTAAAACTACACAAATCCGTCCTCCCAACCAATCAAGAATTTAACCAACAGATAAACCGAATGGAAGAACCACACCGGAATATCACCCATATGATTCTATACGCCAGATTAGTCGAAAAGGTATTTGGTAATGGTAAAAGCTTCGCACGGAAAATGCGTCAGGGGAAAACCATCGGGGCCCGCGAGCGGGTTATAGCTTTGATTGCCGATATCCCAAGGGCTCAAGAGGCTTTGGAAGAGTTTGAAAGGGATTGGCAAAACTACAAATTCGATCCCGTCAATGCTCAAGAATTCGAGAGGATGACGCCGGACTTTTCGTTGGAACACATGCAGGCGATGAAAAGAATCTTTGAGCAGAGATGCCATCAAGGAAATCATGTACCTCATCTTTCCTGAGTAACCCACTTGCGGGGTATATATCGGCCATATTCTTGACCGGATTCATCACCCTTGAGTCGAAGGTCGCCTTCTTTGATAAGAAGGCATAGCTAGTCTCAGGAACTATTTACTTACGGCTTGAAAAAGCGCTGTTTGTATCAACATTTATAATATACATGTATACATATATATCAGAAATGGATCTGAATAGCGTAACACGTAGATTTCGAATTCACCCCGAACTAACTTGGAATATCGTATAGAAACTTATTAGCATACTTTTAACGCACTAAATATCACGATACATGTGAGGTTGTGAAGCACTATAAGCTACTACCAGTTCGCGACAAAACCCGGCCTGATAAACCAAGATCTCAAATTTCAAGGCCTGAAAGATAGTAGCAGTATGCCGTAGCACCCTACACTCTAAACGGCAAAAGTTATATATCACTTCGATTCCACAGCACGAGCACACAAATACTTCCCAAAAAATAAAAGAAGCAAAAGAAGAGGAGAAGAAAAAGTCTCAACTAATCACGGAACGCCACCAGTAATTAAGTATATATGTTCAGAAATATCCAGTTTCCATTCAATGTTCCATATAGGTAAAACCCCCCCCCCTTTCACCAACCAACCAAAACCTAAACTATCCACAAGAATATATATATAAAAATTAACAAAAAAAAAAAAAGTTAACAAAAGAAAAAAAAGATATTTATCTAAGAGCTGAGATTTCCTATGTTACAAGGAGAAGGTTCCCTTCCATCCATCCATCCATCTATACACCACCCCAAAAAGCCCTTCAACAGTATTTACAAACCCCATCCATCCGACTTTTTGGAATCCCCCATGGCCACTCCACCTCTTCCTCACCTATTTCAGACCTTTGTTTATTAACAAAAAGGCCAGGCCAAGATATATCATATACATAAATCTTGCCTATTATACCTAACTAGCTCAAATCTCACCCCCGGAGCTAATACCACCCTTCTTTCCTTCTTTCTTTCCTCCACCAAAATAATCCGGTCCCCTTCGTCATATATGGTAGCCGCGCAAGAGATCCAACATAGGAAAACAAAAAAAAAAGTATATATAAAAAAAAAGTAGCTAAAAAGGGGAAAACCCAGCCCGTGACTTTAACAGGTTTCCACGAGACCGCCCTTATATAATCCCAGAGGTGCAATATCTGGAGCACCCCCCTTCATAGGGGATATGATAGTAGAAGTAGGTACTTACGTACGCACAAGTACTTATGAAAGTAAAAAAATTTAGAAAAGGAGACATACGCACCCAGATGGAACGACTGGAACACACACCGAGAGTTATAGAAAAGACCAGGAAAGTAATAATAAAAATAAAGAACGCCATTTCTTTTTTAGCATTTTTGAAAAAAGCCTAATACGAAAAAAAAAAGAACTCCGTACAAAGGAGAAACCCCCCATAAAAATGCAACAAGTCGCACAGAACGCCGTAAATCCCGTTACCTGGAGGTCATAAAACAGTCATAACACGGTACAGTAAAGGAAAATGACAAAACAGTAGAAACCTAGCCAAACCCATGCATGCTGATTTGAATTGAAAGGAAATTTAGCTTTTCGTGATAAAAAAGAAACAATAGGAAATAAGATGCAAGGGCAAGAAATATAATCATCTAAGCAGAAGAAGATTAAAAAAAGAGTATGTGCAGGTTTGGCTGAGGCTAGTCAGAATCCATGAAAACGAAGATAAAAAAAAAGAGAAAACACCCGTGTTATGAAAATAAAAAACAACCTCCACTCTTTACCTCACCTAAGCTTCATGACCGCCACGAATGAGATCAAGGACCCTCGTCATAACTGGTGGAGGGTAGCTCCTTGAAGCCATCTCGTTCACAACTCCCATCGCGGAATCGTGATCGCTGACAGCCAAAAATGCTCGTGTCATAGCCTCGTATGTGCTCGGCTCCCTCTTGTTGGCGGAATGTCCGCGGGATGGGTCCGGGTAGAGCGAATCATACAACATCCTAGACTTTTCGATCTCACCTTCCAAAGCCCATCCGTGGATGAGTGGGTTGGCAATATAAGGTGTCATCTGGATGTGCTTGGCTTGCATAAGAGCAACGATCTCGGGGGTTTCGCGGACACGGTGGTTGGCAACGAGAGATTCGATATAGGCTTGGAAAACGGTGGTATCGGCCTTGACAGATGGGTCACGGAGGGCCTTGTCAAAGCTCTCTCGAGCTCCGGCAACGTCTCCGAGAACACATCCCTTGGCGTGGATAATGGCGGCATGGTGTTGAGCCTCGACGAGGACACGTTCGGCGCGCATCTGGCGGATGATGTCCTCGCCAGACTTGAGGTCTGGTGGGTCGCAGGTAACGTGAGCTTCGATGAGGAGCTTATAAGTGAAAGATGTTGGTGCAATGTTCAAGCTCCTCATTCGCTCGTAGTAGTACAGAGCCTTGGTGCGGTTGTGCTTAGTATGGACGAAGAATTGGATCATGCTGTTATATGGGGCTGGTCGTGGCTTGTAGTTTGGCATGGCCTCCATCTCAGCGAAGAGTTCTTCGGCAAAACGTTCGTCGCTAACGCGGCACAGAGCATTGACAATGGTACCGTAGGTAACACTGGTTGGCTTGATGTTGTTGGCACGCATTTCCGAGAAGTACGAGAGACAGTCATCGATACGACGAGCCTTGGATAGCTTGCCAATCAATGCATTGTAGAGGAAAGAAGTTGGTGCGATACCCTCAGCCTTGGCCTGCTCGAAGATCTTGATGGCCTCAGATGCTTCATCAAAGTTGCCATGGGATCCCTTAAGCTGGACAATGTAAAGACCGTAGGTGTTGGCAGAGGGCGAAGCTCCGAACTCAAGCATTTCCTGGTGGTATTTGCGGGCGAGGTCAAGACGTTCAAGGTGAAGACAGGCAGCAATCATGGCATCGTACATCAAGTACCAACCGTACCTGGCCTTGCGGTATTCCTTGAGAAGGGGCATATCCTTGAGGGCCTGGTTGAAGATGTTGACGCAAGCACCAAGACGCTTCTCGCCGTATCCCTCTTGACGAGCGATACTTCCGATAGCGCGAGCAATAACCTGTGGTTGGTAGTGACGGTGACCCTTGAGAAGATTGAACCTGTTGACGATTTCCGTAGCACGAAGAGGAGGGCTTGTTCGGCCTTCCAATCTAGCCATAAATGCGTTAGAACCTTCAAGATCGAGAGTAGCCTGGTGGGGGTCGATTTCATCAAGAGGATCGTGCTGTGCCATTGGGGTAGGAGCGTGTTCATTAGATGGAGCGGCAGACCAGGGGAAAGCAGCATTCTCGGCTCCAGCGCTAACTGGAGTCGGGTAAGGTATTTCCTGGGGAGCAACGGGGGGCATAGCATATTCCTGGACAGATTCGACGACGTGAGCTGGGAAGTTCCATAGTGGCAATTGGAATTGGTGAGCGAGCTGAGCCATGGAGAAAATCTTCTGGGCGTCCTTCTTGCTGGCCTCAGGGTGGAGAGAGACAACGGCTTGTGGGATGACCAAGAGGTGGAAATCGGCCGGGGAGAGACTATCCATGGGGACACCTTCGAAGGACTTGAGAAGCCTGCGAGCGATTGCAACATCCGGGATTGGCATGCCGAGGTGGTTAATCAAGTGCAAGATATTCAAGCTTTGTCGTTGTGTGATGAGGTCCAAGGAGTTCAAGTTATCAAAGATGGCGTGGACGGAGGTCATGGCCTGGGCTTTCAACGGCTGGCTGGCAGAGTGGAATCTCTCGACGATTCGGCGGTAGACGTCCATTCCGTAGTCCAATTTGTCAAGCTCCGCGCCAACAACCGCAAACATGGTAGCCAGATGTAAACCGGTTTCGCTAACCAAGAAGTTGGGCAACGACTCGGCTTCTCTGAAGAATTTTTCAGCAGCATCAAGATCCTTGTTTCGGAGACTCATGGCGACGAGACTGGAGTAAGTGGCGGTACTCAAAGCACTCTGGGACTTGGACAATTTTTCGTAGATGACCTTAGCAGCTTCAGCATTTCCAGCATCAGCAGCTTCGGTGCAAACCTGATTCAAAACAGCAGCTTCCTTCGGCTCGGAGGCGTTCAAACCGGTAGTCCATTCGACAGCAGCGTCATAGTTGCGGATAGAGAGGTAAGACTTGACGACAGAGACGCAAAGAGCGGTAGTTTCGGTTCCATGTTCGAGAAGACGTTGCACGTAGACTAAACCTTCACTAACCTCTCCGGAGGAGAAGTAGGCGTAAACCAGCGAGTCAACCATCTTTTGCTTCGAAGCATTGGTCAATCCTCCGAAGGAAGATTTAGCGTCCGTTGCAACGTTGTAGGTGTCAATGGCGGAATAGAGGTCCTTGGCTCGGCCGAAACTTCGGATCATCTCACGGTAGGAAGGAATGGTGGGTTGCAAGCTCAGTTCCTCCATCTTTGCGAGAATTGGGGCAAACATGTCACTACGATCCTTCTGTGCCGAGGCTTGAAGGAGCATATTGAGGGACTCGGGGGTCAGACGGTGCTTAAGCGTTAGAGCGGTGCCATAGATGTCGGTTGCCAACGAGAAGTGTTTATCGGACATGTTATTGTAAGCCTGGGCAGGGCTGGAGAGAGAGAAACCAAAACGCTTGACCTTAACGTCAGCCTCCTTAGCGTGGTCTTGAACCCGAGTTGCCTGATCAGCGAGCGTCCCAATGACAATGCTGTAAGTGTAATGAGACGGGACCATTTTGCGCTCCATCATCTCAGCATAGACATTCATGACACGGCTGATACGCTCATGGCCCATCAAAGGGATCTGAGTGAAAGCATGAAGCAAGTAGTTGTACGCATCAGTAGTTGGAACGATGCCATTGTCGACCATTTCCCTGAAAGCGAGAGGGATCTGGTCGTATTGTTCGGCAAGCTTCATGTTATCAAAGAGCTGAATGTAATCCTTGACGACGTATGTGGAGGTCGTACTCGAGCTATTGACCACAGTAATGTCACTAGTCTCGGATGCGGTCTCCGCAACCTCGCCGGGTGCTGAAGCAGACGCGGCATCTTTCGTAGCAGTAGCAGCAGCAACTTTCGGAGCGGTTTCCGAAGAAGTAGCTTCAGCTTTCACTTCAGCGACCTCGGGAACAGTTTGGAGATTGTTTCCGACTACTGCAGCTTTCGCCGGAGCAGTGGCAACAAACTCATCCTCCTCGATTGCAACTTCCAAGCTGTCAAGAGAAAGCCTATCAGGTTCTTCCAGAGTTGGGTAGTCCCGAACCGTCGACATGGACGAAGCACGAGGCTTCAATTCCGGAGACGGAGGACCGACATCCTTCTTCTCGAGCTCCTGCTGGAGCTGCAAGGATATAGAAGCATGTGTAGGTTGGAGTCTCTCCGGATATTTCAAGGAGCGATCGCCATCTTTGTTAAAGATGGAGTGTTGATGCCCCAGGTGATCACTGCCTCTGGCGAATTTAGACCGGTTGCCACTATTAGGACCATTGAAGACAGCCTGGATCTTAGAGGGAGTGTTCTGGCCTAGACGAGAGAGAGGGAATGATGTAGTGGTAGCGTAGGAGGACTGGGCAGCGGCGACGGCAGATTGAGCGTATCCATTGACGAAGTTTCGTGCAAAGCTCTGACGAGCTGCAGCGATGGTGAAGGGCTTGAAAACCATAAGTGGTCAAGTGGGAAGCCCAGGGAAGGGGAATATATCGGAGTGGTGTGATAACCGGGGCTACATCGCTTGGAAGTTAGCAAGGAAGCAAGGTACCGAAAGAACGTCGGCAGACGGCAGAGTCGACAGCGACAAAAAAAAATTTTAATTTTAATTTTTTTTTTCAAAATAAAAATTAAAATACAAAAGAAAAAGAAGAAGAAGAGGAAGACAAGGTTGAAGACTTACTATATTCCTCAGGATGTTTGGTATACCCGATTATAATGGAGATTGCCGCGTCATCTGAACCGAGGAGAATGCCAGACGACTCGGGACGGGTTATCGCGTGAGAATTTTCGGCGAGAAGGAGAATTCAATTAGATAGCCGGAGTCCGCTCGGGTCCGACCTGTAACAATAGTGGGTAGGTGGGAAAGGATGAATATGAGTATGACGATGAGTCTGATGATGGGTGGTAGTTGGTGGTAGTGGTAGTGGAGAGGGAAGAGAAAGAGGAAGAGGAAGTGTGTGTGTGGTGTGAATGTCAGGATATAAAAAGTGGGCTGTGAAGATGGAAGGAAAGTGGGATGTTCGTCTTGTATTCTTCCGTCAGAATTTTATTCAATTTTTATTTTATTTTTATTTTTATTTTATTTTATTTTTTTGATTGGTGCGACACCCAAAAAAAGGTTAAAAGACGGATTGGCTGGTTGGTTCCGGGTTGGCGGAACTGGACGGTGGGAACCTGCACTTTGGCCGACCGAGGATATTATCACTGTGCTTCTTATTATATCATCCACCCCGCAATCAAATATTATTATATACGGATACAATTAAATATTTATTTTATTTTATTTTATTTATTTCTACAATATTGAATTCGAAGATATCTATTAAAAATTCAATTTGATCCAAACAGAGCAGAAGAGATTAGGTAGGTATGGATGGATGGATGGAGGATGACTCGACCACGAAGATTTTGCGGGAAGACCTTGTCAATGTGCAGGACCGATTGATGCAATGGGATGCCCTGATTCGTAATGATGTCCTGCATACACACACTAACTAACCAACTATCACCAAGGTACGGCCTCAATGTGACCCAGGGCTTCTCAGCCTGCCCTATACTACTTGTGTAGTACTACTAGTAACAGTACTAGTAACAGTACTAGTAATGTAGAATATACTTACATCATCTCATCTCCACCGGGAAACCCGTACCGACCGAAGGAAGTCTTCCATCAATTTCAATAATAATAATAATAAAAACGTCCACGAGACCAAATCAAAAATTTTTTAATCTGCGACTGCTCTAGCCTCAGAACGGCTAACAAGTTATATCCCATTTTCGTGAGCTGCCAAAGTTGGGAGCCATTTTATCGCATTTATCGGGTGCGAACGGAACTCTTCCCTCCTGTTAAATGTTAAATGTTAAAAATCGACTCGGACTCCTCGGGATGCCGAATAAAAAGGAACAAACCTTAGCAGAAAAGGCGTCCAGCTGACCCAGATGACAGGATTTCTAAATTAAGCGGGAAAGTAAATCGGCAGTCGGGTTGCCTGTCAGCACCGAAAGCCGACATGTTTTCCCTGCCCGAGTCTTGAAGCCGACTTCTGCCGTCCGGAGTTATGCTTACCTCCCCACTCCACCACTCCACCGCATGCGCACTCCACTTCTTTCTCATTGCATTGAACATTAACGTGAACTACTCCGGATCAAAAAATCAAGATAGCTAACCGCGGTCACTCGTAATCTGGGGTAAAATAAACTAAGAAAAGTTTAAAAAAAAATGGCATCAACCGCCGTCTCAGCTCCAGGCAAAGTCCTGCTCGCCGGCGGTTACACGGTCCTCGATCCCTCCTGTCGCGGTCTGGTCTTCGCCCTCAGCGCACGGATCCATTGCGTCGCCACTCCTTCTCAGGACCCCTCGGCACCACCGGGCAAGATCACAGTTAGATCCCCTCAATTCCAAGATGCCATCTGGGAATACCAAGTCTCCGCCTCGGACGAAGATGGCGGGAAAGCTGTCTCCGTAGTCCAAACCAACGAAGGGTACTCCAATCATTCTATCATTCTCTATCTAATAATCTACCTTACTCTTAAATATGATATCTTCAACAAGACCGTGCTAACAACATAGAAACAGAGACTCAAACCCCTTCGTCCTCACAACCCTCAAATACACCCTCTCCTACCTCTCCCTCCCCATCCCCCCACCAACAACCCTCACCATCCTCGCCGACAACCCGTACTACTCCCAACCACCCCCTCCGATCCCGCGCTTCAACTCCCTCCCATTCCCCATCAAATCCGCCTACAAAACCGGTCTGGGCTCATCAGCCGCCCTGGTAACCTCCCTAACCTCCTCCATCCTCCTCCACTTCCTCCAAAACTCTTCGGAGACGAAACTACCCCCTCACATCTTCCACAATCTAGCACAAGCATCCCACTGCGCCGCTCAGGGGAAAGTAGGCAGTGGGTTCGATGTAGCTGCTGCGACGTACGGTTCGTGTATATACCGACGTTTCCCCCCGGAAATCCTAACTGCGATTCCGGACCCCACGGATCCGGAGTTTACAAAAATCTTGAAGGAAACGGTGAATAAACCATGGACGTCGATGGAATCGACACCGATTACCCTCCCGCCACAGATCGGTTTGGTAATGGGTGATGTCCAATGTGGTTCTTCAACCCCGGGGATGGTAAAAACAGTCCTATCGTGGCGAAAATCCGGTGGTGAAGATGCAGAACTCGTTTGGAAACAACTAAATTCCAGAAATGAGGATTTAATCTCCACTATTAAGGATATTATCAACAATTCTAATAACAATAACGAAGATTACATCGACACTATCAAACAACGTATCACAGCAATCAGAGAAATGGTTAGGGAATTGGGTACCAAAGCAGCCGTCGAAATCGAACCAGAATCCCAAACGAAGCTATTAGATGCAGCTGCGAATGATGTCGAAGGCGTAATCGGCGGCGTGGTACCAGGTGCCGGCGGCTTCGATGCCGTATGTTTCTTATACGAACGTAAGGATGGGGTGGAACAAAACCTTCGTGAGTTCTTGGGTAACTGGAAGGTAGAAAATGGGGTGGTTAAAGCATTGGAACTTGGACAGGAAGGGGAAGGAGTTAGGGTCGAAAAGTTGGAAGGGTATCAGGATGTTAAGGCCTATTTTGAGGGCGTTGCGGAATTGTGATTCCGATGATATGATATGATACGATACGACTCCAGCATATATTATGCGTCTAGACTGTGATATGATATGATATGATTTGATACTCTGGTATGATATGATTAATGAATAGCGTAAAGCGATAGAAAAAATATGCATATCCTTTTTTTGAATGTTCTTAGCTTAGACATTTTATTATATTACTGTTATCTTCCGAAGCTTTATTACCTTCTACGCAACTGTGACTTCTAATTATAATATAATATAGGAAGGAAGCAGGGATTCAAAGGCCATGACGTGCTCCATGCCGTGTAACACCAGTGCACTACACGATAGGCCAAAGCCGACAAGGGTCCTTCCAGCATACTCCCATTATATTAGCAGAATCCAGATCTAAATCTCGATCTGGATCAGAACAGAACCAGTCTATGACAATAACCACAGAACACCAGACCTAGTGACCTCTATACATGTAGCCAAAGAGCCATAACCAGAAGGCAGAACTCCGTCCCAAGAAAAACAAGAAAAGAAGAACCCAATTGACTAAACCCAAAACATGATTAAACCCCAAACTCCTATCGAGGTTTATAATTCCGATTCGTCGATTGATACCTCAACTATTCAAAATCACAAATTTATTAGCCATTCATATATATAAAAGAGAGAAGAAAGAATACACACCCACAAATCCAACTCCATCCCCAACTCATCCATCCCATCCATAATCCTCCCCATCCTCCTAACCTTCTCCTCAACCTCCAACTGCATCCTCGTCAACTCCCCAAACGCTCCCTCCGCAACTTCCAACCACTCTTTCCCCCCACCTTTCATCCCTTCGATAGACTTCAATACCTCATCAATTTGTTGTTGAACAAGGGTTAATTCCGTAAATATCGCTTCTCCCTCTAGTTTTGTAAGACGGACTCTGGTTTCGAGGATTTCCTATTCAACAAAAATGAAATAAACAAAATAAATTCAACTTGAGATGTTTGAAAAAGAGGAGTTAGAAAAAGATATATAAGAGAGGGAATATTACCGATACGCGGTCCAGCGTTCTAACATCGACCACGTAATTCCAAGAATTAGAAAGCGGGTCGGTGGGTACTGCTAGTGACGAAGAGGGCATGATCATGATAGTTATTTTATTATATTTAGGTCGTTTGATATGATCTCTCAAGTCTTTTATTTTTGAGCCTTTTTTAAGGAAAGGGTTAATGCCGTAAGTTATAATTAGTTAGACGTCACGCTTCTAGAGGGGCTTTCTCGTCGTATTCGATAGTACAATTAATTGGATCTCGGGATGTCGACGAAATACGGTATACTAGAAGATGTATCCTTTACTCAAAGTACTAACTTCAGTGATGCTTACACGTCTCATAAGGAAACCAATATAATCAATGATTTTGACTTTTTTTATTGAAGATTTATAATGAATGGTTCATAATATGGTGATCCCAGCTGTGATCTCCGTGACATAGCAGTAGAGTAGAGTCGAGTAGATTGTAAACCACCAACTTACCGGGTACCTCTAATGCTATACTTACCCCTCAGATACCCAAATAAACAGACCAGTAGTTTAATACCATAGTATATACAAATCTATAGCTAGTGTTACCAAGTATAAACTACCATTTCATCATCTACATTAACTATCAGGATTCACACGATTATATATAAGTAACTTCAAATTTCAATTGTTAATTTATAATACTGGCAGTACTGCTATATCTAATATATGTAATACCACCAATTGTAAGCAACCAATTCAAATAATTACATAAAAGATACTTACCCCCCAAATATATACTGTACTTATGCATGTTTCTGGGACGGGACTAACTCTAAGTCTAAGCACACTTCCCCACGTATGTATCTACCCCATACAGTTTCACAAATCCTCATCCGATCCTTTTTTCTTAGTCAAAAAAAAACATCTGCTGAATGTCCATTTGTTGAAATTTAGGAACGTAGGTTGTTTCTATTGCGCCAAGACGATAATATATTATACATGTATAACCGTCCGCATGGCACATATACAAAGTAAGAAAGTATAAATCATGGCACACATCATGAGGTCCATGCGTGCGTGCATGTCGCTGCACCGGGGGGGGCGAAATCGGCGCAAGTGTCTATGTAAGAGCAAAGATCAAATCTCGAACTCTCCAGAACGAAGGATAAACCAAAAAATGTAAATTGGATTCCGTTCTCGACGGGGTATGATTTCATATCCTGGTGTAAATCTCGCCTCGTGATTACTAACTAACTTAAACCGATCTCAGATTCGAATCTAATAAGCAGTATTATTATATTACATTCCGTGGCCACTGCGTGTTTTGTGCGGTTTGTCTCAAAATTAAAGCTATCTCCATGACCAAACAGCTTCGTCATACGGTTAATAATATAATATAATATAATAGTCACGATCATTGCGTCCTTTGTGCTGTTTTACTTCAAAAAGGGGGAAGAAAATTAAACCCAAATAAGGCTTAAGGCGAAAAATTACAATCTTCAGAATCGATTCAAAAATTCGAACCCTGATTCGATTCTCTGTCTTTCCATTCCTCCCTCCCCAAGCAGCAAGCAGGGCGGTGAACGCGGTCACAAGGGTTCAACTCTTGCGATATTTGTGCGGATTAAAAAGAAAAGAAAAGAAAAGAAAATCTCGGTAGCTTAGTTTACCGAGTTCAAGCTTGATCAAACCGTACGTTACTGGCCATCTGGAAACTTATCGGCCACAACCCACGTCCGTCGATCATCTCCCGCCTTTTCGCAAAAAACACAGCCCACGTTTTTTTTTGTTTCTTTCTAGACTCTCACATTCGCAGACACATTTTATCCACCCATCCGAGGCAACCGTAGTAAATACTACTTAAGTAATAATAATAAAAAAATCAAAAAAAGGATCCAACCCATAGCGCGGGACAGGTGGAGGGGGGGGGGGGAAAGGGAAGGGAAGAGGGGAGGGGTATGCATAGGGGAAGATGATCCGTTATGCAGGTTTAAAAAAAATTTTAAAATTCCTTTCCTTCGAGAAAAGAAAGAAAAAAATGTGGGGTTTTCGATATGGTAATTGCATCGGGCAGGCGCCACCTATGTAAAGCTAGCTTCTTAGCTATTTAGCTACTTAGCTGCCGGGCTGCTGGACGAAAATAATCCTGGGGAGCTCTATCCTAGCTCGATAACGAAGTGGACGGAAAAGACATTGCATATGCAAGGCTTGTAGGCTAAGTAATAGATAGATACTTAGATAGGTGGTAGACATGACACGGACAGCAGCTATATCAAAGATACTACTATAACGTGGAGATATTATCGCCCTTTTTGCTTCCCATCAGGCCAGACGTAAGTTGCCTGCATGCTGTTTAGAAAAAGAATCTAATCTATCAGTCATGCTTATCGGTCATCGATTTGTTAATCCAAACTCCCCAATGTTCGTTCGTTCTTTCTCCTCGGCTTCGTCCGTATAATACCGTATAACCAAATACATTTATGATATTTGATCCCCATTGTAAGCTTAAGCTTACGTTTTTTAACACGCAAAGATGCATACTGTGTAACTCCGACCCCTAGCCGTAGGAGAAGGGGGGGAGCTCATACTATCGATCTTGACATCTATTTGTTCTTTTTTAGAATTTAGAAAAATGAAGAAAGTTAAGGAAAAGAACACAAGGCGAGAGAAGCAGGGAGAAGAGCCATTTGTGCGTAGTTTAGCGCCAATGAACCAGGTCTGGGATCCCCGTTTGACGTCGACTGGACGTCTGCGGCCTAGTCCGATCGATCCCAAGCAATGCCCCCCCTTGGTAAGTACTATTCCAGTACGATTGCAATCAATCGATCAAGAAAGAAAAAAAAAGAAAAAGAAAAGGAAAGATAGGGATAGGGATAGATATCATCAAGGATTCTATCACCAAGGAATCTAACACCCCGCGTGCACTCGGACTTGCTAGTTGAGCAAGGTAAAAAAAAAAAAAAAGAAGATAGCTTAGATTTCCATTTCGTTCGCTTGCCCTGTTAAGTCATGCATCCTAAAAGGTGGGGTGTAACGTAGTGTGGTTTGCAGTTTGCAGTTTGCAGTTTGCAGTTTGCAGTGCAGCTGGACTGACCTGGACCGAGACTTCCTGTTGGCTAGCCCCTCCGGCCTCTAACTGCTTCCTGTTGGATGGCAAAAATGGGGATCAAATCAGGGCAACCTCTAAGCTATGACGGTCCCGCCGAATACTTTCTGTCTTTCCTTCTTTCTTAGGTAACTGTTTTTGTATTATTTGTTATTTTGTTTTTCGCAAGTTGGTGACGTTGGGTAAGTTAACGTTCTTTTTTTTACACTGTTGAAGAAGTTTATAAATACCCCTCCTGCTCCCCCAGTTCTTCATTTTAAGATTCTAAATCATCATCCTACGAAATATATCTACGAGATACTCAAAATACAAATCTACAATTCCTAAATCTTTTTATTTTAAAAGCTTTAAACTCCAATCTATCAAAATGAGTACGACAACCTTTCTATTCTGAGGATTATTTTTTTCTATCGTTCAAATTGCTAATATGATATTCACTTTCTATAGTCGCTCAAATCACCATGGTTGACCGATGCGGTGACGACTGCTCCTGCACTGACTGCAAGTGCGCCGGATGCCCAAAGGTACTTTCCTTATCTCTAACATATCTTCTTTAATCTCTACATCTCCAATTCTAACATCATGGACAATAGCACTCCAAGTAAATACCCACCATCCGCCACTATAATCCCTCCTCCCACTTCCAACGACTGTCTTTCACGCCAATATACATCTTCGAATCCTTTCCCTCAAATATATTCTTTTTAATATAAAAAAAAGAAAAAAGGAGTTTCGACAAAAAATGTTGCCCTCGTTCAATATTTTCCCTGACGAAAGAACAACCTCGATGGATTTGATGGAGTCTTGCCATGCATTCTTTTCTTTATTTCTTTTTTTCTTATAAAATAAATGAAGCATGAGTCCGGGGATATAATTTAATACCAAATTTTTTTTTTTTGACGGAAGATAAAGGAACTTTAATATTATAAAAAGAGAGCCATTTCATTCTTTTTGTCATCGGTTGCTTATAAATTCGATAAACATCATGTAATGGATATATTCTTCAAATCAAAACTCTTTCATTTCCTTCAAACCAGAAGATTTTAAAACCGTCCGTATTTTTGATAAGTATATACAAGAATTTGAATGTATTGTGAAAACTATATGTGAAAAAATGATGTGACGCCCATGCTATGCTTCTGTAGTATGTTAATCTTCGAGATGATATTAGGTAAACAAAATCTTGATAAGCTCACTGCTCTCTAGGTTAGTTGAACGGCACATCGACTATCGTTTTGATGTTTTCCAATGCATCTTCTTTCGTAGCTGTCGGGTTATCCAATTGCCATTCCATAACCTGTTCTAACGCCGTTTTCATCCATTTCCCAGGTTTTTGCTTCAATGCATCTTTCACCTCATTCCCCTATAACAGAAAAGTAACTTCAATCAGTATCACTGTCTTTCCCAAGCCCTCACATGGTAAAAAATACGAAAACTACTTACCGTCAACAAATACTTCAAATCCCACACCTCTCCCAAATCCTCATCATAAACCCGCTTCAAAAACGATTCATATCCACTAATAATCTCCAAATCCCCATGACTCCCAAGTTCAACCCCCTGGGATCTCGCCTCAACCAACTCCGCCAACAAACTGGCCAATACCTGAATCCTCCACTCGGACCCCATCGTTCTTAGGTATTTTCCCAAAACACTCCTCGTGAGTCCCGAAGGGTTTCGTATCGTATATTTGACCCCATTGAGTGCATACGCCATTTTCGACAAGCTCTCGAAATCCTTGTTACTCAGCTTCAATCCATCTCTCGCAGCCACCACACCCACATTGATTTTCCCTTTCTTCTTATCCTGAACGAAAACCCTAATCCACGGCATCGTAGCTGCAAAGATCCATAGTATATACTCATCCCTCTCGGAACCTGCGAGTCCCCGAGTTGCCTCATACCCTTCTTTACTCCTAAACTCCCCAAACAACCATTTAACCGTTTCTATCCCTCTCCTTAAATCTACACTTCTAACCTCCTCCAATTTCTCCTCGTTTAAATTCGGTATTTCTAAAATAGCATCTCCCAATCCTAACTTTTCAATAAGATCTAACGCTTCGAAGGGTCGTGCTCCGTATAACATCTTCTCAACTTCAACTCCAACTCTTTCTCTACTAATCTTTTGCTTTAATGCGAATTTAATCTTGGGATGTTGCATCGCCTCTGCGGCTTTGGGATCTATGGTGAAGGAAAGACGGCTGGCGAAACGGATGAGACGTAAAACGCGGAGAGGATCGTCTTTGAAGGTTTGAAGAGGTGGGAGGGGTGTTCGTAGGATACGATTTTGGAGGTCTTTCAGACCACGTTCGGTGAAGTCTTCGACTTGTTGGGTCATTAAGTTGTAAAATAGGGCGTTTACGCAGGCATCACGACGGAGGGCGTCTTCTTGAGGAGTACCGAATTCCTAATTTATATCACAACTTATTAGCCAGCTTCACTTATAAAACCGTTAACAATAACATCAGTCACCCCTCTCCTTACTTACCATCTTCGGAATCCGACTATCATCAGAATAACTCTCACACCTCAAATTCACAAAATCAATATCCAACCCCAAAATCTTCGTCGTCGCTGTTTCCAAATGCTTGCTCTTCTCGGGATTACTTTCAATCTTATGAATCGATTTCGCAGGAATATTATATTTCTCAATATTATTCGTCAAAAATTCATTCAGATGTGATGCGAATTCAAACCCCGTCATGTTGTTGATCCCGATGTCTATATCGTGGGATTTCCCGTTCAGAAGTTTATCCCGTACCCACCCGCCGGTTATACGGAGAACTGTTGGTGTCGCCGTGCTACTACTACTGCTAGTACCAGTAGACTCTGAATTTCTAGAATCGATAAAAGTCGCGACATCGACGAGTAGGGTTCGGACTTTTTCTTCATCTGGTGTTAATGTTATCGTTGGTAATAACTGTGTCGCCATCTTTTTGTTTGTTGTAGAGGTTGTTGAGAACCGTGATCGATGGACTGCTGTTGTTGTAGGTATTATCGGTGATGATAGTGTGAGTAATAGGACTCGACAGTGGGAATGTGAGATACTGCGCGAATGCGGAGAGGAGTATGGGCGTTGTAATCCTGATATATGTCGGTTTATGGCAAAGGCGCAGAATTGGCGGCCGCGGTGGTGGTAGTGGTGGTAGTGGTGGGGTGACTCAGAGGAGGGGCGCTGCTGGAGCAATGATAGTCGCAGCCGGCGGTTAAGGATGTAAGGACGGATCATATGTAAAGAAAGTTTTGATTGAAGATTTGGAGAGAGAGAAGGAAAGGGAAATGCGAAAAAAAAGAATGCGAAATGGCTGCGGGTGAATGAGCATATGAGTCGAAGTTATTACTAGGTTTTTTGTTACAGCTTTGAGGTTCGTTCGAGCTTGTGCGGCATCCCTGCCCAACGCAGAAAATGCAACGTGGTTGGGACGAACATCTTTGAATTCGAATGTAATTTTGGTCGGAGAATAATATTCAACTTATTCATTATCCACTATCCACTATTGATCGATCTCCAATTGGTGCGCACCAAAAAAATGATGCCTGGAAACCTGAAAACATAATCATCTCCCTTGGTAGACTCGGAACCCAGACATATCTCATTCTCATCCGGACTCTTGTCGCAAAAGGGAGAGATACGTACAAAAAAGGAAAGAAAGATAAAAAGAAAGAAAAAGAAGAGAATAGTAAAAATGGAAGAAGGAAGGAAGGAAGGAAAGAAATAGAAAAAAAGGAAAGGAAAAAGAAAAGAAAGAAAAAGAAGAAAGAAAGAAATGGAAATGGAAATGAAACCATCAACCCAGCTGTTGTGACCCTCTGGACCCGACTTGCCGACTAGTTGGAACTCTCAACATCGACCTTGCCTTCTTCATCACCATCATGCTCCGTATTCTCAAGATTGAGTGACCCTAATTGATCCGTGATGGTATCATCGAGGTCATTAGACATTTTTCTGTGATGTTTCCCGCCTTTGGCACGCCCTTTGTTCCCTTTGTTCAGAGCTAGTAATTCACCGATACTAACTTCACTTCTGAAAGGTTTGGTAGGTTTAACGGGTTTAACGGGCTTAGTAACGTCCGTTTCTCGTAGGTTGAGTTGCCATGCATTCATGATCGACTCAAAATTACTATTTCGGCGGAATTTGAAGGCTTGGTCGTTTTGTTTCAAAGTCGGGATCCCTTGTTCTACCGCGTCAATATCGGCATTCAGAGGATTCTCCTGGTCAACAGCTTCCTCGTCGGGATCGGCGGGCTGAATGAGTCCTAGCTTTGTGGCATTTCGAATATTCCGGCGAGTAATCATTCGTTTCTTTCGCAGCATTCGAAAGTGTCCCTATAGCATTATAATTATGTGAGCTTCCCTATTCTTTGATAATAAACCATGATACTACGAAAAAAACTTATGACGTATAAATGAAACTAACTTACCCTCTGTTCAACTTGCAAGTTGAGCCAGTATTTTTTGAGGCTGTCCGTATGGTTTTGACACCCGGTCCACAATGCTTGCATTTTTCCGATCATCTTTCCATGGTCGACAATCCCGTAACGGACGAAGCCCTTATAGATATCCCTAAAGTGCTTCTTTTGTTGGTAACCCAACAGGATAAAATTCGGACACTCAAGATCTTGGCCATTACGGTTGCCATTGTTTTGTTCAGGGACAACATCGCCTTGAATGGTCCTGTTGGCGGTATTGGTTGCGGCCCTAGCTCTTCGAAACTTTGAGCTTCTTTTGGCTCTCAAAGCTTGGAAGAATCGGTATTTAGTTCTAGCCATTTTGGTTGAGATATTGCGGCAAATCGTATTGGAGTCGATTTCTGTGACGGAATTGGACTGAGACGTCTCGCTACTAGACACCTGAGGTTCCTGGATGAAAATACGCTCGGGGCTTGATTTAAAGCGGAATATCTTTTTGGATAAGGAGTGAGGAAAGAAGGGGATGGTTTCGAGGATGGAGGAAGGCTTGAAAGATATTTTACCCTAGTCTACTGAATTCACGAGCCTCGTTCATTTAGGTTCTATCTCGAGTTTTCCGGGCTAGCTACTACTATGAAGTCGAAGAGACATGGACATGGAGTACTCAGGACAGAGACTACATCTAGGGTCTAAGAGGTTTATGGTTGAGGAATCTGGCGACAAGACAACTTAATGCAAGTCTTCAAAGCTTCTATGAGTAAATAAACTTGCTACTGGATAATATAACTAGGCTATCATTGTAATGTCAAAATCGATCGAGGAGGACTTATTGATAAGTTGGAGTTGAGGCGTCTTTGGATTTCCTGACTGTGGCACAATACCGTTCAAGAATTCTTCAATACTATAGTTCTTATTATCGGTACAAAAGAGTCTAGAACTGCTTAGAAATTTCAAAATTTAGACTTTCAAATCACCACTTTTCACAATCTCAAGAGAGAACCGACAACCTCTCTAAACTCGAAGCTCGCATTCTCGACATAAAACTTTCTGCTTGCAAATTTTGCGTTGATAGCTCAAAATGCAACAAAGTGCCTCTTTTCGGCCGCGCTGCCGCGAGATCCAACGTGCTAAAAAGTCAACCCAGATGTCATATGCATAAGTACTAGTACCTACTACATATAAACCCAGAGCTTCAAGAACGCGTGCATTGTTTGTCTCCATCAACCTTTTAATCATGGATTCAGCTGCAAACGAGGCAGCTGGAAGCGATAACCCTCCAGAAAGCCTCCAAGTTTCTGGTGTCATCGATGTAGAGTACGTGCCCAAGAAATATCCTGATAGGCCAGAACCTAAGCTAACTGCAGCTATACAGAACTATACCGGACCTCAAAGCTATAGCGCAAGATATTATTGAGTGTCAAAAAGCTGCGGACGGTACGCTCGAGAATAGCAGAAAGGTGATCATGATGTTTTATCTAAAGCACGGAGGGACACGTTCCGAGGTTGTTACTATACTGACGGCGATAATCTTAGCTATTGGCGAAACTTTACGTATATGATTACATAAAATCGCTGCAACTAGGCGAGGAAGCTACGAGTGAGACAGTGGTGTCATACAAACCTGAGGATTTTGTGTTTTCTCTATGTGAAGCTTTACGACCAAATCAAGAGGTGGTAGATGAGATTGATCTCGAACAGGACCCCTTCAAAGGTATTCCGATACATTATATGCTTTTCGAAAAGAAACTCTGGATATACTAACTTGCGCTTAGGATTACAGCCTACTCCGAATCTGGTCATCTTCAAAAGAATCGCAAGGATATCTCTCTCGATTCTCCATGATCTTCTTACAGAAGAACTGCTAAGCTCGAGTTCCCTTCTTAAGAATGATGTGGCCTCAGCTATAGCTACACATGCTTGCCGAACGGTTGAATGGACGACAGAGGAAACCGCTCAAGTCTGTGATGGCTTAATTGATACATATGGGTCCATGCTAGCATCGGATGATGTTATAATAGAGTTTATGCTGAAGAACACAATCAAGCCTTTATTCGGCAGGGGCCCAGGCACGATCACTGATCAAGGCAGAAAGGCTATGAGGGTACCCCAGGCGAAGGCAGCAGTATTCTCATTCTCGGACGAGAAGCCATGGAGGAAGGATCGACCGGAGGCATTATGTATCCTGAACTACGCAGTCGCCAACCTCAAGGTATATACCCTTTTCTTTTCCCTGACCCTACATAGGTAATGTTATACTAAACCCACTATGCTAGCGCGAATCTTTGGAGCAAAACTGGCATCTTGTCATCCCACCAATCCTCACGACGTTGGATGAAGGCGATATCCTGAGCAAAGCACATGCCTGCGAGATCCTTGACCGGGTAATTCGTTCCGTCGGTCATGATTTCCTAACTCGCACAGGTCTTGGATCGGTGTTCGAAGAGGCAATATCTCCGTGTCTCCACTTCCTACCGCCTTTGACACCTATCAACCATTCTATCAGAAGCTTCCGAGCCGGGGTTGCAGCGCTTATGGGATTGGCGACGCATCGATATGCGGGTGTGGATGACGGCATGTGGTACAAAGCCATTGATAAGATATTGAGAGATGGGCCATTCAATGGGATGACTTATGCCGGAGAGAATGTTAGAATGATAGAAGTTTTCTTACAGGAAACCAGTATCATTGTGGGCGCTTTGGGCATTAGCAGCGTGAAGCATCTTTCGGTAAGTATCACATGTTTTCTTCCCACTGACATGGTATTTCCTGGGGATGGCTAGCTGATATCAAAATTTGATTCGTGTTCGGGCGTTTGATTAGAAACTGATACCTTTTTGCACCGAACCCATGACTTCTCCGTTTGTTTCGACGTATCCGGAAGCTGCTCTCGCTGCGGCTGGGACTTTAGTGGAGGTCACGAGAAATTGTTGGCCAAGGATGTCGGGATATAATAACGAAATATTGAAGGCAACAGTGTTTTGTTGGATACGAGTTTATGAAGAGGAGGCAGACGGGACGGTCCAACATTTACGGGACCAACTGAGGTTAATAATAGCATTGCTCGAGAAGGTAAACAATGGGACTGTTTGGTTTGAAGAGGCAAAAAATGCTGTGATATCGAAAGATAAGGACAGACTGGGAGGGCTGTTCGAACCCCGCGTCTCGGCACAAAGCAGAGAGTAGAATCCAAATATACCACTTGTGCATAATCCATATTTAAAACGGCATACATATATGCAAGATAATCGGGAAATTTGATAACAACATCTATTCTAATCAACTATGAAGAGTATAAGCTTAAGCTTATCACTACAAACTGTTTGTTTCGACGGGTTCGGGCCTTTGATTCATGGGGACGGAGGGTCTTGGGATGGCCGCTTGCAGGGGAAATAGGCTGGGATTTCGCTTTTCGGCTTAAACCGCCCCGCAAATCGAGCCAAGTTCGCCTGCAAAAAAACGACGCTCAGGCTCGACGACAAGTAGTCCTCTTTTGAAACCAGGTGAACTGTTGGTGCTAATCTGGACGTATTTCAACCACAGGGATACGCCATCGCCAGATATTTAGTTAGTGATGGTTATGCCCTCGTCTTTCCCATCATCTCGAGCGGTATTGCATAGCAATTGCAATAAGCAGGGTGGATGTTAAATGCCAGCTGTGTTACAACGTCACCATAATCGCTGGAATGTACCACCGAACCCCCCGCCCAGTGCCAGACACCCCTTCCAGCGACCTCCCACTGGAGAACCAACTCGAACAACAGCCGCCGTATAGTCCCACCGAGGGTTTTGCGACTTCAGGACACCATCTTCAAGTCCCTGAGCAGGGTGCTGCCCCATTTCCATTTCAGCCGCCTCGTCGTGGACCTTCTACTTATCGTCCTCCGTCGCCTTCAAAACATCCACATAGTAAACCCACCTACAATCCCACAGACTCCGACGACCGTAATTGGTTGTCGGCTTCTAATATCCTAATGTTTCTCCTTACTGCCATAATCCTTGTTCTCTTGTTCTTCCAGACTCCCGGACGTTCGCAGGTCCTGTATCTCAATGATTTCGATGGCGACCCGTGGGGAGATTCGTGTCCGGACTACAAAGACTACTCTTCGCGTCGCCATCTACCACTTAGCGATGGACCTTTACAACTACCGTTCCAGCGACCTGTTCCAGAATGCAGGAGTTTCCGATCAAATGCTGTAGAAAGGGTTATCAGGGACATGACAACACGACTTGTCGATAGGGATCTCGCGCGATTGTTCGAAAACTGTTATCCTAGCACTTTGGATACAACCGTTAGATGGCACGTCACCGGTGAAGAAACGGAGAATGCCCCCGTTGGTTTTTCTGGTATACTAGGGGACGAGAAGGTTAAGGGTGCCCAGAGTTTTATTGTCACAGGCGACATCAATGCGGAATGGCTACGAGATTCTACGAATCAGTTGGCTGGGTACATGCCGTTGTTGCGTAAGGATGAAAAGCTGAAGAAGTTGGTTTGGGGAGCAATCAATACGCAGGCAGGATATGTTATTGAAAGCCCGTATTGTAATGCTTTCCAGCCACCGAGAGGTAGTCATGTCAAGCCGTATGTTTTTTTCTGACCATAGATGAAATTGATACAGTTTGCTGATATAAATGGAATAGAGCCAATAACGGCCAAGACGACTCCGTCCATCCCTCCTACGATTACAGAGCAGTCTTCGAATGCAAGTACGAAATCGACAGCTTAGCCAACTTTTTCTCTCTCGCAAATCAATATTATGCACACACAGGTGACCTTTCATTTGTTACTGAGAGGTTTTTGTCAGCTGTGGAAAGTGTGTTCAATGTTCTCGAGGAACAGGCGCTGGGAACTTTCTCCAGTTCTGGGATCTTACAATTCCCAGGTTATACGTTCCAGAGAAACACAAATATCGGGGTGAGCAGTAATTCTTATTAATACCGTATGATAAGATAATTCTAACTCATGGTTACCATTATTATTAGACGGAAACGCTCTCGCTTTCGGGTAGAGGTAATCCCCTGAACGGCAATAGCTCGCTGATCCGCTCAGCTTTCCGGCCTTCAGATGATGCCTGTATTTTGCAATACTTTATCCCTGGGAACGCCTTCATGTCCGTTGAACTCGGTCGACTCTCGAAATTGCTTGCCGATGCTAAGAGGAAGGATCATTCTAATTTCGCGAGCGATTGGTCGAAAAGGATCGCTGATGGTGTTAAGGCCCACGGTATTGTCGATGATCCAGTATTCGGCAAGGTTTATGCCTACGAGGTTGATGGTTACGGCTCAAGGATCATGATGGATGATGCGAACCTGCCATCTCTTCTTTCACTACCCAAGCTAGGATGGACGACGGTAAATGATCCGGTCTATCAGAATACCAGGAAAATGATATTATCGAGGGAAGGGAACCCATTCTTTTTGGAAGGACCAGTGTTCAAGGGAATCGGAGGCCCTCACATTGGATTGAAGCACGCATGGCCAATGAGCTTGTTGATGCAAGCCATGACAAGCGATGATGATAAGGAAATTATGGCGGCAATAGATGCAGTCAAGACGGTTAGTCGGTTCGGGTTGATTAATGAGAGCGTGAATGTCAATAGACAGGGTGATTATACAAGTTAGTTTTGCTGCGTATCCTCGGTTGAAGGTTTTTTTGTACCTGACTAACATATCTTTTAGGAAGCTGGTTTGCATGGGCGAATTCTGTTTTCGCGCAGGCCATCTTGGATTTGGCTAAGAGGAAGCCACATTTGATATTCGGGGCAGGGGCGGAGCCATATGAACTTTGATTTCCTTTGCTGGTCGCTTTCTTCTCGGGACATCATGAAAGCCTCATTAGAGACAGGGCAGTCTCTCAAGTTTTGCCTTTTTGGTCATATTCCCTTCTTTCGCTTGTTTTGGAGAGCATGACGCATTTACATGATACCACTGGGGCATTTTGGTTTTTTTTTATTCCCTCCATCTCTTTCTTTGAAGATTAATTACTTCATTGCGAAATTCGATCGCCAGCGAACAGGAGCGTGAACTGATATTATAAGATACCACTCGTTTTAGTTTTAGCATCGACCCCATATATTGAAATTGGACATCGTTGGCGAAATCGAATATATAAACGTCATCTGCATACAATCTGATCTCAAAAAGTTCTTTGGATCTTGGAACTGAATCCAAGATTCTTAAAGTCTAAACTCCATAACGTTAGTTTATGCGGCAAACCTGCCGCATTCCCACATGCCAATCAGCCGAAGTAAATCCGTTCGATTTAGGCTCGTTCACTTTTAGCGTTATCTCTGGAACCATCGATTCTTGTACAGGGATCCATGCCGATAATCACAAGTTTCACATGCTCAAATAAACCCTCCCAGTGCCCCCAGACTTTGAACGCCCTGAGATGCAATGCAGCATTGTACCCTTTCGTCCAGCTCTTCTTCCTTCTCCACCTTTTTTGTGACTTGGGAAATCCTTTCCTGCACATGCTCCTGCTCGCCACAGCTATTACTCAACTGGGCTACAGCTTGAGGAGCTTACCTATTGCTTGAAAAACTAGTCCCACCTTTTTGTGTATGTATAGGTCGAAGCATGAAGAAAAGGTCGTTTTCACATGCTTAAGAAAAGGACCGCCTCATTGAGACATGGGGGTCTCATTGCATCGAGGATTCCAGCGAATTGGCGAAAACCGTTCGCCCACACACACAACCATGATACAAGTTGGCATGAAGTTTGCATGATTCTTTTTGACTCTAAATGCTGTATTTAAAAAAAAAAAAAAAAATGAAAAAAGGGTTCAAGCAAGATTTTGACATTGACAGTTGGGAAAATATTTCTTAGCATTTCTTTCCTCTTCGATTCCCTGCATTCAGCGAACGAACTAAGTCATCGTCGTCGTCGTCCTTTTTGGCATTTTATCCTTCCCCCCTTGACGCGACACTTCTTCTTTAAGCTTGTCAGATACCCCAGGAATACCAATTACTTCATAAAATTCATGACCCTTCGTCCGGTCGGCCAAGAAAGAACAAGCCATCAATACATAGAAGCCTTACCAAAAATATCCCCTTGTACACCGTATACCTTGAAACCGGCCTTCCAGCCCTGAGCTCGAGGTTTTCGCTATCGATTCTTTCGTATCGCGCATCCGTTAACTATCCGGTTTTACGCAAATTAAACTACTTACCTTCCAACCGTACGTTTGATAGACATAAGCATCTTATCAATCGTCACGAACATTTTTCTCTCTTTCTTTTGGAATTTCCCCATATGCATGATAATCCTACACGACCGAAATTAGGTACCTGCTTACATGGTTCTCGGTAATAGCACTTTTGGGGGATAGAACCTGTGCCTACCAGATTCGATTTGAATATCGAATTTACTAAAGAAGATACCGACTTAGTCCAACCAAAAAGGAAAAAAATAGAAAGGCACCATTTTAACGATTCCGAAGCTAAGTTAAGCTAAGCATAAGAAGCCCGAGAGGGGGACAGCGGAAATCATATATATATCTTAAAAAAGAAAGAAGGAAAGAAAGAAAGAAAGAAACCTATCAAGGAGGCCTTTAAGCTTAGCGTGGATAGAAGATACGAAATACATATTTAGTACATTTAGTACTCGGTACTTACCTAGGGACGATTTTTAAAATCTTCACGAGCAGTTTTCTTTACACCCCGCCGCCCGGCCTGACATCTGCTATACTATCACACCATCGATACATATACCGAACTCTCTTTTTCCTTCTCGGACGGGACAGCCTTCCCGAACTTTGCTCCAAATACGACGGACAGAACGCATCCTTGGCCGTGAGCGCACACACACACACCTACTTACTCACATACACAAAGCCGTTACCCCTACCCGGCCCGCGCCCTCTTTCTTTCTTGGGAAGGATACCGGTATACGGAACGAGAAGTAAAGAAAGGAAGAGGATTACAAAAACTAAGGCCCGGGTCTCCGAAAATTCGCCGTCTCGATTCTTTATTTTACCTTTTCATGACACTATTTTACAACTTTTTATATGATCATATGAATATACGGATATAACTTCTTCCTCTTTTTATTTATGGTTATCAGTTGTTCTTTCCTTGTCTTTGAATGTTGGATTAATTAAACATCCCGTGACACTATATTTTCTTCTTCTTCTTCTTCTTTTCTTTCTTTTTTGCCTTGGAGAGATTCGTATTCATCCTTTTTTTTATATAAATACGATCTTATAATTTATTTTATATACACACCGGGATCGCCATACATTATTAACGTTCGGCTCGGAAGGAAACATTAACGTCCATCTTCTTTGATATCAAATACCCGACTTAATCCCATTCCACCACCCCGGTCGATCTATCAATTTCTAGATCGAATTTCTTGAAGCAAGTCGCAGATAATTAAATATTTTTTTTTATCGAAAATCTTGCGACTCGTTTCGTTCGCCTCCCAAGAAAATAAATAATCACGCAACACAGAACTGAACTGTCTTTCCGCTCGAATGAGTGCCGAAAAGGCAGGGCAGGAGGAGCCGCTTTCACCTCGAGCGATTGCAAAGGCTTCGCTGATTGAAGGTATGTATTCTTTCTTTCTCACTCTTGTTTTCTTTGAATGCTTTTTTTTTTTTTTTTGTCGTTTTTATTAGTAAAAAAAAATACAACATACATAAGAAAAGTACATACATATTATTATGCATACATGCGTGCATGTGATAGTTGAATGCTAATTGGAACGTTTTTGTGTAACCATTTTTAGAGATATTGAATGAAGATGATGTAAGTATATTTACTTCCCTTTCTTCCTTCGTATGCAATTGCATCTTTTATGTTTAACACTGGATATCGATTCTGGAGCAATGGCTTTTTTGCCAATTGACAGACATTGCCAGAATATCTTCTGTCCATTGTTATATACTTAGTTGAGTAGTTATCGATATTGTAAAGAATAGAACTAACACTCTACCGCCCTCGTGTAACAGTTATACAAAGTCCTGGGCGCCTCTAGAAATGCATCTCCGGCCGAAATCCGAAGATGCTATCTCGAACGCGGCAAGATCTGTCATCCAGATAAAATCCCTTTTCACCCTGATTCCACCAGGTAAGTCTATATATACATGTATAATAGTAATAATAAAAGGATGAAAAGTTAATTAAAAACATCTCCAGCGCCTTCCAACGCCTCGGCTTCGCCTTCGACGTTCTAAAATCCCCTTCCTCCCGTCGCACCTACGACCGCGCCTCACGCGATCCAATCCTCGCTTCCAAATTCACAACCTCCAACCCCACCGCCCCTTTCCTCGACGGCGAAATCTCCTTCCGTAGCGCCGTAGAATCCATCTTCACCGAATTCCTCGACGGAGACTTCACCCACGTCCGACAGCTCCTCGAAACCCTAAACCGTAGTTATCCAAACCTAGTCAGCAACGAAGTCATCGACGGCATCGAATCCGCTTTCTTCAAAATAAGACAGTTGGTCATCACCACCAGAGTTTATGCGTTTTTGATATCTATCGAATTGGGCAGGATACATAGGGTTCAGAAACGGTTGATGGCTTTGGGGTATTTGGATGTTAGAGGGAGGGTTAGGGTTACCATGCAACTCGTTAGGACGACGTTAGCGATCCCGGTTAGGATCGAATTGGCTTTGAGGAGGAGGAAGGAAAGGGAGTGGAGGGCTAAAACTGCTGGGTGGAATGCTATCGGTAGACCGCCTGAAGAAGAAGGCGGGAACAATGTTGGTGGGATATTGAACGATAGAGTGTTCAAGGTTTTGGAATTGTTGGTGGGGAGTAGCGCGGAGGATGAAGCGGAGGATATTGAATATAAGAAGAAGAGTGATCCCAGGAATGGATTGAATGATCACGATATGGGTATGGGACCTGGGGGTAGTAGTCATGCTAGATCTAGGAGTGCTGGGGCATCGACTAATGGGAGGAGAAGGCATTGGCAGTGATTTTTTTAATTTTTTTTTTCAAAACAAAAAAACATCATCTCTTCCTCGCTTTTGTCATTTTTATTTTATTTTTATTGTTACGACGATACGGATTTCCTTTGAATGGGCTTCATTTATTGTGGATTAGGGCGGCGGGGCATGATCATGGTTTCTTACTCAGCTTTCTTTCTTTCTTTCTTTCTTCCTTCCTCCATTTTCTGTATGGAAAAGCTTTCGGTCAAAAAAACGGGGCGTTCTTGTATTTCATATTTCCTTGAATCTTAACATCATAGGCATGGATGATATCAAATTTAAAGTTACTTTGAATTCATATATATTTAGTGCAATATCGATAAACCGGTTGGAAGATAGTATCAATTGGTAGTATAACTACTATCAGTATATCTATTATATTAGTCGTATCTATATAGGTATTATTACAATTATCTCGCAACCTGCAATCGTGCCTATCATCAAAAGAAAGAAAGGAAGAAAAAAAGTAAGAGAGAAAAAAAGGACTTTTATGACACCAATCCCAAATGATAGTGCAAAAGTAAATCATCCCAGGGTATCATCGAACATAAGGAAATCCAATACCATCAAGGACATAAAATAAATAAAAAAAGAAGAAGAGAAGAAGAAGAAGAAGAAGAAGAAACAGAACCAACAGAAAGACGACCATAGGCGTTTTCTAAGACGAAAGGGCTGCCACGCCAAATATTATAAAGGGTGTAAAATGATTTGTTTTCCACTAACCGCGCCCCCAATTCAAAAATCCAGAAACCTCTCCTCCATCGCCCCAAGTTCCTCCATACAAACCTACGCCGCCTCCGGGAACATGTACAGTATTTTTATCGAAACCGTGTAGTTCCCTGAGGTCAAATCCCCAAACAAACTTCCCATCTGCCGCGAGAATAACCACACCCCGAGCCACAAAATTTAAAGCCTTCAAACCTGGTAGATATGCGAGCTTCCATGCCTTTTCATTTGAATCCCCCACATCTACCTTCTGACCCTCAGGCGCAACGATATTCAACACCGGCAGTGATAGCTCTTGGCCTTTGACGACCGGAATTTCCAGTGGTGGTGGTATGGCCGTACTAACACACGGCGCCTGCACTGGTCTATCAAGATATTTCCTTTGTTCTCCATCATCTGACCCTTGAGCTTTGTTTTGTCCGCATCCGGGTACTAAATGACGCCACTCCCGGTTCATACGCCACAGCCAGATTTCTCCATTCGCATAGCCAATCAGCACACCCATGTAAGCATCGTTCTGCCCGACGTCATAATGCATCAAAGGAGCGACTGAAATATGGGTTATTTCGCCCCTCCCATTTTTTCTGGATGGAACAGATAGCCAATGATGCATATATACTGTCGTTTCATCTTTGCCTTTCCTTGGTTGTGATAATTCTGGTGATGTTCCGCAAACATAAACCATGCCAGAGCTCTTGGATACAGCTAGAACACCAAGGTTGCTGCCCTGTTTGTCAAATGGGACAGAGAGCACGTAGCATAGCTCTTCCCTACCCAGAATCTTGACTCTCATGGTTTTCGGATCCGGCGATTGCATGGCCGCCTTGACTTCCAACATCGCTGGATTTCCCCTCGCCTGCTGCTGCTGCCATCCTAACCCAGGGGGATATCCCGCGCTTGGGTGTTTATGGAAGCGACTTAAAAAGCCCTGGAAAAACCCTCTAATCTTGTTCCCTGGCTGACCTGTTGGATTCGGATATCTCGGGTTCGTCAAAGCGTAGCCATTTCCAGCCTTGCACTGCGCATTCCCACACGTTTGGTTTGGTCCATGGTTATGCGCTATAGCCGCCGTTTTGACCGTTTTGTCTTTGATGTTCAATTGGTAGATCCTGTGTGGTGCTAATCCTTCAAATGTGTATGTTTCCACGATGCCGTTTTCGAATGTAATCGATAATTCCTTGACACTTGACGGCGATTCCACTTCCTCCATGTCGACTTTGACTATCCTGAGATTGAGTGCTGTTTTGACATCGAATATCATGTATAAAGGACCTGGCTCGGGAATACATGGACAACAGGAATGTCGATGAGGTCGGAATTCGAGGGTCATGTGTGTTTTGGAGAACAATCGACAGATGTAGAGTTTGCGGTTAGAGCGGCGGCCGACTACCATGGCTGCAAAGGAGCCGGTTTGACGAGAGAAGCCGACACATTCGAAGGACTCGTTGGGCGAATAGTTGTTACTATCCGGGTTGGGTGTTGTGGTATTGGTATTACTATTATTACCATTGTTGGGAGTGTTAGTGGTCGGATTTGAGACATCCAGGAGAGCGCGAGCGTCAAGGCGAGTCTTCAGGCAAGGGACACGATGACGGCTGCCTGGCCATTCGGTGACGAGGGTGGTGAAGTATCTTCGAAGGTGAAGGACGGAGAATGTTTGTATTTGTTGGGCGGACCATTGGTTAGAGCGAGAAGTTGCGCCTGAAGGGGAATGCAGGGCATCGATGTTTCGCTGAAGTAAGGCGCGACAACTAGAGGCCTGGAACCAGTCACGACAGACAAGCCGAGCAGAATCGAAGTCATGAGGCGAGAGGTAGAAAAGGATTTCCTGGATAATTTCGGTTGGTAGATATGGGATTATAACTGAGGCTTCCTTTCGAGCCGGACGGGAAGAAGATAATATTAACGGCGAGGGTTTCGGATTTGTATTCGAGATGGAGAGCCCTTGCAGGAGAGACTCCACAACAGCGGTCGGTTTGTCCTTGAAATCGTTATTTAAAGGCGGGACGTGGGCCATCCCGCCGACCGAGGTGGCCATGTCGTCTAACGAACAGTGTTTTTTTTTTTTTTTTTCGGAGATGATGTTTTGTAGTAGGTAGCGAGGCAACGTTGGTGGGCGATGGAAGGGGGGGAAAGAAAGAAGGGGAGGGATTCAGGCTGTAGAAGAGGATGAGGATGAGATGTTTAAGACAGCCAGCCAGCCAGTCGACACAACACGCGCAGGTCCAGGACAATTTCAAGGCGGTACAGGATACCAGGTATAATACAGGCCGGACAAGACAGTACGATACAAAACAAGGCAGCACATAGTTCAGGATGGGGAAGGCTAAATATATATATATCTATACCATAGAATATAACTGAAAAATGCGGGATCGAGGAAAACGGAAGGTCCACTGCCCTCAGAGAAATAGCGCCCGGAATGGCGGATTCTGAAGGAGATTAACTGCGCCCGCCTTCATGCGGCTTTTATCGACATACATACGTACATACATACTTCTTATTCCCAGTTCTAGATCCTGTCTATTTGTAGACACGACATACGTATGCCGACTTACTAAGTCTGTATACCGACTCTTGGACCTATACGGAGCAGTTGGATGTTAATGATGTTCGGGCTATTAATTATAGTACAGATGTTATATACATATGGAAAAAGATGCAATTGCAAGGGTCTGCCGCTAGTCGATATTAATATGGGTATCATGCCGCTACAAAGTCCACAAACTATAGCCTATTCTTTCTCTTCTGCTTCTTGAGTCTTCTTTTTCTTCTTCTTCCCGTAAATACTTAGTTGCTTATGATATAATTCATGCCAGCCAGTCATCAAAGTCGTCGTCGTCGTCGTCTTCATCATCGTCTCCACCGCTTTCATCTGTCTTGATATCCGCTGCATTTGTCGCGCAAGATCCTGCTTTCTCTTCTTGCTTTTTCTTCTTTTTCTTCTTCTTCTTGTTTCCTTTCGGCATCTGCTTCTGTTTACCCTTTTGCATAATTCCATACTTCTCTGCCACCAACTTCTCAAATTCCTTCTTGTCTTTTTTATACAGCATCATGGTGACCCTGGCATCCTCCACACTACTGTGTGCAGCACCTTGAATATCCAACCCAAGAATCTCTTTTGCAAGTCTTTTCAGACCGGGGTTTTTCTGCTTGGCGATCTTTCGGAATGGTTGATGCCGGGCGGTATCTCTAATGTCCCGTTTCGGATGTGAGAGAAATAAGGCTTCGAGGTCATTATGGATAGCATGACCAACGAGGATTTTGCCGTCAATAATTTCATGCACTTTCTTCTGTGCCTCCTCTAGTGTCATTGCTATAAAAAATATTTGTTAGAAATGAAGGGGGGAGGAGTGTAAAAGAATTGAGATGATTGGAGCCCACCTTTCGCCATATCCTTCGCACTAACACCACTCACCCACGTCCTCCAGTCGGTGACTCGTTCCTTCGGTTTCACGAATGTGTCCAGTACACAATGACCATTGTAATTGACAAGCGAAACCCTAGCAAGTGCGGATAGTTCATGATCTGGGGGGCCCACTCCAACCATTTCACAATCAATAGCAATGTACCGCCCCGCTTCCGTAGATTTTGCAGAATTCGCCGATGTCACTGCCTGTGTTGACGAGAATGCTTCGGCTACAGCATCTGGATCTAGATCATTGTCCTTTGCCCATGCTATCGCCGATTTCCTGGAAGTCAAGGCCTGAGCTGTAACTGTATTCGTGGCCGTGGTCGTAACAGACGCAGTAGAAGAAACCGGACTGCCAGAATTTGCCAGTTTTTGAGATTTCGCAACGGCAGTCGTCCTAAGAACGAGTTTGCCGCCGTTTTTGCCGTTAGTTGTTGGTTGTGAAGCCATTGATTTCTTATTGGAAGAGGAAGTAGTAGTAGTAGTAGTAGTAGTAGCCGTATCAGAGGTCTTCGGGCGCTTAGACGATACCGACGAAGATGGCGACTTCTTTTGCTTCCCGGGCTCTTCGTCGGCCGGGCTCTTACGCTTCAGCGACTTTTGAAGAGCCTTCCAATTGCTGGAAAGTGATGGTGGAGGATTGGACATCGAGGCTGTCGCACGGTCGGAACACTTATGTGGGTCCGTATAAAGTCTCAGAGCATATGCGATGAACCTCGTCCCTATCAACCTCTTAACAAGGCATCGCGATGCTCCCCGAAATGTCGTCGACGGCTGGTCAGGTTTGATGTCGAAGGAAGGTTTCAGTGGAGATTTTTGGCGAAGAAGCTGGTGCCATGCATGCAAGTGACCCAATCTGGTTAAGAGCAGCCCCACAGGCACCCGTTTTAACCTGCCCGGCACAAATATCAAAAACGGAAGCTCCAACATTAACTATCGGGCCAGGTGGAAATGAACGACTTACCACTGCATTAGCTTAGTACGATATTAGTTATCAACCGCTCGAGCGCGATGGACAAATGGTTGAGAAAACGGTCAATGTTGGTTGTGTCATATTAATTATATTATAACCTGACACAAGCCAGCTGTTAACGTAACAATAACGTCTTCCGGTCGACATCGCCCCATTGCATTCAGGGCCACTCGACATTGCATTGCATCAGTCGTAGCAGTGCACGGCATCGACAGACTTCACCGCCAGTCTGAACTTGAATCCAGTACATACATTAACAGGACTGTTCGCTGAAGGGCATCCGTGTGGACAGTATTGATGCCTTTCTGCCAGGTCTCAGTGTAGCCCTCTCTGCTGCCTGGCTTCTCCGTCGTCACAATGGCCACCCGAACTCCTCTTTCCTATCGAGACAAAGATGACTTTGGCCGTCCTAAACCTCCTTCCCTCCAGACCGATCAATGGCGATCGACCCTTAGGTTTCGTCGGAAAAGACGTCCCATCTTCATTGTCATTGCAATCTGCGCAATTTTATACCTTTTCTTCCACTCGAAATGGTGGAATGACGGCCTCTTGCTTGCCGATGGCCCCGTATCAGACCACGCGACCAACCCCGCCGCCATACCGAAAGATTCCAAATTCGGTTCTGCCCCTCCATCGCATAATGCTGTGAAGGTGGACCCTTCGATGAAGTCGGCGGATCCGAATGCCTCTAAGTTTATATATAATGGCCCAATTCGCTTTCTCGGACTGTACGAGACGCTGGCTAAGGTCCAGTCGTTCAACTCCAAGCTCCGAAACAGACATGTCGTCTTTGTCGCTGCGAATATGAACACCGCTTCTATACTCGCTGGTGTCGCTTGCGAAATGTCCGTTGCTAAGAAGAACGTGGTTCACCTGGCCCTAGTTGGAAGAAACGAACTGTCAATCGAATTCTTTAGGAAAGCAAACGGTATGAACAGTGATGGGTGTGGTGTGATAATACATGATGCAAGACCAGACTATGCAAGTGTGTCTACGGACGATCGTATGGGGCTCTCCCTCAAATCGTCATTGAAATATATTAGGGAATATATCACCCCGACAGTTTTCGTATCCGACATGGACCGAGAGGATCTATGGTTCCAAAAGTCGATTGTTCAGAAGTCAAAGGACCTCGGTATCACACATATCAAGTTACCCCACGATGTCAGTACGATACCTTGGTTCCAAAAGTTAGATGCTGTTTCTCTAGGTGCTTGGGACAAGCCTTTGATCGATATTGTCATCCATGCCGATTCTCATAGTGGTCAACTAATTCGCCTGTTGAAATCACTGAAAAATGCCGACTACTTCACTGCTTCCCTCCCTCGGCTATATATTGATCTCAACCCTGACACTGACTCAACAATCCGCGATTTTATAAATGGCTTCAACTGGCCATCAAAAGACCGGATATTCATTCGACATCGTATAACCCCACGGTCGACCTCCCTTGACGAAGACCCAACAGAATTTGTCGAATCATTTTACCCAAATGGCAAAGAATCAGCAGTTTTATTCCTTTCGCCAAATATCGAATTGTCTCCCTTTTATTTTCAGTTCCTTTTTTACTCTATATTGGAATATAAACACTCAAACGCCCAATTTGCCCTTGACTCAAGTTTAATATATGGAATCTCCCTTGATGCGCCACTATCCCGCGTCGATGGGAAACCCTTCGATCCATCTGTCATCGTGCCTTCTCCCCCTTCTGAAAATGAAGACCGCTATCTAACTCCATACCTTTATGCCGCACCAACCACCCATGCCACACTCTTCTTCGGTAATCATTGGCGTCTTCTCCATCTCTACATCGCTAGGCGTCTGGATCAAGCGTACACCAAAGGAGTCGACTATACCATCCCAGCCACACTATCAAAATCCTTCCCTCAATGGAACAAACACTTCCTAGAACTGCTCACCGCAGGAGGATACTTGATGTTATACCCCAACTTCGATCCCGCTGATTCCCTAGCGGTCTATCACACCGAAGCCGAGTCTAAGGTATCAGCCACAGTGAAGGAGAGAGGCATTATGAGACTTAATAATATTTTGAATTACCTGCCCGGTGGAGCGTTACCGATTTGGACTGGGTTACCGATTATTGGGATGGACGGGATAAAGACCGACCTCGACAAATTGTTGGATACCGCGAAAGAATATAAAGAGAAGATTTTGAAGAAGTGTGGAGGCTTGAAAAAAGATGATGGTGTGGAAGATTCAGTTGATGATTTGTTTTGTGATGGAGACGAGGGGATTAAGGAGAAGCAGAGGCTGGAGAGACTAGATGCAGGGAAAGTGGAAAGAGCGGCGGAGAAAGAGAGAACTAAGGAAGAGGAAGCGAGGAAGTTGAAGGAGGAAAAGGAGAAGGTGTTACAGTCGGAGAAGCTTATCAGAGAAAAGGAGAGGAAAAGGCTTGATAAAATAAAAAGTGACCAGGACCAACGGAAATCGAATCAAGAAGCGGCGAAAGTAGGAAAGAGTAACACCGCGCGGGAGGAGGAACGGCATGAAGCTCCTAATCCGAAGAAGGGTCCTGCAAAGGCAGTAGACGGGAGGCCAAGAATCATTCCTCACAAGATCGTATCACTGGACGACCTTGATAACGTCCCCGTTGAAGTGAATGGTGAGCAAATCAATGCAAAAGCAAACTAAAGTCATCATAAACGGTGAATCCGTGGAGATTGTCTAGTTTTTGCGATCTAGAAGAAAGGTATCCGGGAACGAGGAAAGCATTATTGCAAGTTGGCGTTCATAGGTGTTTTTTTTTCTTTCCTTCTTCTCTTGTCTTTATCTCCTCTACCTCCTTTATTGTTTTTGTAGAGTGCTAGTATCCAGACATTTGCACTCTGATTCGATCAGGCTTTTATTCATGTTCGTTATAGCATATTATACCACGGGATGAATTCAAAAAATCAGTTCTATATATTGTAAATTCACACTACATCTCGTAATGATCCACTGTGACACCAAGCTAATGATAAAAGAAGGGACATCACACCAACACAATCCGGGGAATGTTGGATTTTTGATGTCATGGTGATATAAATTTTCCCTAAAAAATGAGGAAGAAAAATACATTTTGAATATAAATTTGATACATACACACCATTCATTGACATTCGCTGAGTATTGGGAATAAGACGTTTAGCAGGTAAAATTCGGGACGGATATGGGGATATATATATTTATACATAACGAGCGGATGAATACTATCCATCCCTTCCAGAACCAGTATAGTCCACCTCCACCCCCATGCCCTTTACCCTTTACCCAGAACAACTATACCCCCTGGCCAGGAAATAAAAAATTCTTCACACCCCAAATCTAAATCCAGAATCTCGAAAAACAAAACTAAAAATAACAAAAAGGAAGAAAAAGAAAGAGAAGAGAAACAAATCGCACACCCGTAAGGCAATGGAAGACGCTTATGCGCTAGCTGGGAATCGAACCCAGGGCCCATCGATGGCAACGATGGATTTTACCACTAAACCACTAGCGCCTTTGAAGGGTGAGATTTTTCTCTGGTGATGGAGGAGCATGATGGGAGATGGGGTATATAAACTCTGTATCTAACGTGACTAACTTGGTTTTGAAGTCATGAAGAAGATTTGAAGGTTCATTTTATACTATATATAAGGTGATCGTGATGATAGTAATGTACACGTTCCGAGACTAGCTTAGAAATATATTGTTTCGTGGCAAAAAATAATATTGACATTACTGAGATATAGACAAGCGGTGCTTGTATTAGAATATTACATTAATATCTTTGCATTGGGATGGTAATGCATAATATGAAATATCGATCGGTCTCGAAGATACTAAAACTAAGGGTATTCAAGCACACCTCATTGCATTTTAGTAACCAGGCATGATATCTAATAGATAAATATCAATTCTTCGTTCAATCTATATACCAGTATACCTCGAATTCGACAGCAGACTCAAGTGCAAGTAATTGATCGATTGGAATATGAGTTAAACTAGATATTTTAACTCGAATGCCAGAATAGAAGCAAAACCCTTTAGAAAAACTTAGAAATCCCTATGCTTGTTTTCCACCACATAGCCAGAGCCTCGTGGAAGTCCTAAAAATATTACTGCTCGAGGAAAAAAGTAATATATTTCCAATTCCAACGACACCGAACCTTACGCCGTTGTGTTGCCAGTTGCCAACCGACAGTCCAAACTTTACGTAAATAGGCAAAAAGAAACTTTAGAATTCCAAAACTCGTAAGAAGGAGAAGAAGTAGAAGTGACCACGTATCCAATAAATATTAATACCAAATATACTTCCAGATCAACGAAGAGCAAAAAAAAAAAGAAGCTTAGGAGCGACCGTGGATTGAACACGGGACCTTGAGATATTAGCCTGAAAGCTGACTGCAATCTCCTGCTGCACAGATTGTTAGAACATATTCTATTTGGGTATTAATGTTGGGGAACTTTGAAGCTTACCTCTACCGCTGAGCTACCACTCCGACCACTGGGCTATACCGCCCGAATGTTTGTCTCAAATGGAAAATGTGGGTTATGGGGGTGGTTTGGAAACTGTGACTCATTTCTTGACACAATTGATTAGATTTTGGAGTTTTGGGTATTACTCTGTATTATTTTAGAGACACTGATGGCTCAATTAACTAGAATTTTTAAAATGAGAGCTCGTGTTTTATAGATTTGCGGTCAGAAGTCACAGTGAATTAACTCAAGTTGGGGGGAATTTAGTGGTATTTGGTTCGTGATGCTGCTGGGATGGCTAAGAGAAGCATAATAGCAGAGGCCAGCTAAAACGAACGATATAACTCGTTTCAAGAGAAAGAACGGTTTGAAGTCTGAATATAGAAATCTCAAAATCCGTCGTAAAATCAATCCTCGATGCAATGATGTTTTTTTTTTGTTTTCGTTTTTTTTTTTCTGCCAAAAGAAGGTCATCAGGTCAAATACAAATATGGGTTCGATAGATATAAGCTCAACATGCAAACCAGCTATCATGATATCACAAAAGTAGCAAAGCACCAGAAAGCAAAAAGGGCCCAAAACGAAAGAAAGAAAGAAAAATCTCACCAAACATATAATGAAAGTAAAGAATAATAAAAAAAAAAACTCCAGAGAGATGTCATCCCTTGTTCAAATGAATAAAATAAAAGCTGCGCCTTGAATTCTCCTTCCCGCCCCATCGAAATCCTATGAAAAAAACTCCAGCCCAATGTGGTTCCGTAAGATACGTAAATGAGAAAAAATATGAGTTCCCACTGAAATGCACATCCCGTTGAATCATATATGCCAATGATCAAGATTTGCTCCCCCTCCCTTACACGCCCAGGAAGGAGGGAGCAAAGAGTGGAAGGTTTGATGATAAACTTCGTATAATCGTAAAGGTTGAAAAAAAGGAGATCAAAAGGTGGTTTCCTCTCTGGTCGTTTCGTACTGGTTTCCGAAAATGAGATGAATGAAAGAAAGAAATGATAAAAGTAAAGTGAAAAGAAGAGAAAAACCCTGCTTGTTTGTTGTCGTCGATGGTCATGCAATCCGTTGATTGATGAAAGTTTAGCTTACGACGTAGGGAGCGGAGGGTGCAGGGGAGACATCACGAGCAGTGAGAAAGAATGATAGAAGAGAAGAAGAAGGTGATGGCCTTTTTGATTCACCGGCCGTTTTACAAAGAAAAAATCGAAGATTCGAGAGAGGGACGGTATGGACAACCCTACAATTATACTGATCCCAGTAATGACCCCAGTTCAAACCAAGCTGCACCTCGACGAAGCCATTAGGACGTCCAAAGCAGTTGGTATCAAAAAGAGAGCCATGAAAAGGGTGACAATACGATAGTTGGGTATTGCGGCATACGACTCTTTGACAAGACTTCAAGAATTTCTTAAACCCAAATCTCCCCTCCGTACCAAACTATCACGAAAGCTTCACGAAAAGAGGACATAACGAGTTATATCCCTATTTCCCACACACCCTCCTAACGTCCACAACATGCACTTAAGCCTCTTTACCAGTCGGAACGGAGGTACATACCACGGGGTTTCTTGGTTCTCTGACCATAATTTCCCACGGGATGGGATTGGTTCCCTTGTTGACTCGATCGAGATGGACGGTACGCTTATAGTCGAATCCAAAGCGCTCGTAAATTTTGCGGTTGCTGTGGTGAGAGCTTTCGAGATAACATGGCGCGTTCGTTTCATCGGCCTATAAGAGAGCCAATATCAATTTAAAGTGAAAACAGCGAGGTTGGCTACGAATGGAAGGCAGTAACTTACAATCCTGGTGACATATTCAACCAGTTTTCTCGAATATCCAAGCCCCCTTGCCGCGGGGAGTGTACCTAGAAAAGTCAAGTACCATGAACTTGCATCTCTATCACCCAAAATATCCACCCTAGATAAGTCCTTGTAAACCCGGACCACAAAGGGTCACAAATAAGTGAATTAGGATTTTCAAATGTCAAGAATGGGGGAACACAGCTCACAGAGAGGAAAAAAGGGAGTGATAAAAAAAAAGGAAGAAGAACTTCGTCCGATCTTTTTGACGGTATTGATTAGATACCGGTCCAACATGAAACGCTAAGCGTTGGACAGAGGAATGGGGAAAGGTGCCAGAGCAGATTCAGTGGCAATCTGTCCAGTGGTAGATACTTGGTAACAGCAGCGAGTCCCAGAGTTTCCGTGAAATATCTTCTTCGGCCTTCTTTGGTAAGCTGATAGTATAATCTCCACATACCGCTCCGAAAGATCGACCAAACGTCGTCGTAGTCTTTTCCTGGTGGCATCCTGTTTGTGCGAGCGGGCCTTGCATTAGTGTCATTCATAGGGCATGGGACATACTAGTCTCATTAGGGAATTTCGCATACCATAGGGCGACGCCCTCGTGGTTCTCGCCAATACTTAAGACAAGGCCATGCATGCAGTGGGCCGCAACAACGTACTCGCACACCTTGACATGTAGCTTCCATATATCTGTTTCAGATCGATGAGTAGCATCATCGGTTCTGAGCCAGTAGAAAGACACTTCGTCATTCCTGAACGCCTCGGCGAGCGATCTGGCTATGGCTTTGCACTCCTTCCAGCCGCAGACTCGAACCTCATGGTTCTTGGCGGCCTCCTTCCTACTCAAGTCGGAAGAAGTACTCGAGTGAGAACTCGAAGGAGATGGAAGCGAGACTTCCTTCACAAGGATCATAGGTTTCGAAGGTGGGATGACCACGTGGAGAGGTGGTGCTGGGTTCGTGGTAGTGGAGAGTGGCTTGACATCGGTGCGAAGAGAGGCAACATCAGGGGTCAAATTTGTCACTTTGAGAGCTTGGTTCTCGGTCACCAAAGTACAATTTGAATTCGAAGTTGGATTCGGTTTCGAATTCGTAATTGTGGACAAGAGACCAACGTCCGGAGACGCTGGAACACAATTAGAATTTTGTTTGGAATTACTCATAAGAATACTTGAAGCCATGATTGCGGTATTTCTCAATGAATAGGTATAAATTGGAATTGATTTCTCGCGATTTTTTTTTAAATGAAGTTTGGAATTGGTTGATGAAATGTAGCAGTAAGATATCTCTAAAGTAAACTTTATATCCCTTCTGTATGGCAAGGCCGGACAGATTAAGAAGATAAGAGTTGGTATTTATGATATTTGTTGTATGAAGGTTAAAATTGCCGGTATATGCGGCCTGAATATATAAAATAGAGAAGCAGAAAGATAAAAAATGGCAATCGGCTAGTGTGGGTTTGGTGGCTCGTGGCGATAGTTAAAGTCGTGGTTGCAGGTTGGACGAAGATTTGCGTTGTCTGTGGTAGGTGGTGGAATCGAAAGAAGGAGGAAGATCGGGGGGAGGCATGTGGGAGGCCCATTTATAATCTGAACCAGACAACTGCAAGGGTAAGATAAATGTGGCCGCGAGGAGCGCTCCTTACACCGACCTTGCCGTAACGAGAAAGATTCCACCGTCATGGCATTCGTATTCTCGTCAACTGGTCGGGTACATCCAACATCCCACTTCAAGCTAGCTGGCGGTCACTGTAACAGCCAATCGCTTGGTCCCCTCTTAGTTGGGATGCATCTGGATGCACATCGAGGGACATGTACTCCATACGCTGATAATGACCAAACCCCAGAGATCCCAATTCTGTCCTCTCGGGTATTCCTATCGCTAGCATCCCACGTTAGACAAGGGGATCTCCAAGATACGGCAGTGTCTGGTCACAGAGCTCCCGTTCCAATCAAAGCTTGCTCTCCCTCGAGATGCTCTATCGGTTGTCGTGGCTGGGAGCAGTCTTGATCTCTCCTCGGAGACACCAACGGATAGACTAGATGTTGGAACCTGGGATTCTAAAGGTACATAAGAATTCCCTAGTTACACGATCTGTATCCGTATATTGGACACAAGATTGATGCCGTGAAACTGCCGTTCAGTCCGGGGAGTTTGCGACCGTCTTCCCGCAAGCTTTTGGTGATAGATACTTGAAGCTTGGCGCAGGCGTTTGATGTTAGCACAGGCATCAGTTACCGATGAATTTAGAAAATAAAAGGAATTAAAAAAAAGTCCCCGTCGAGGAGATTGATGTACATGACGGGACCCATAGGAACATGCAACAGCGAGACAAGGCACTAACCTTTCCTAAAACTGACAGGTCTGATTCTCGACGCACGATTAGGAACGAAATCATGCATGGGGGGGAGTATCCACAGCACGCAACAGCGTACCTTGGTCACCAGATTCGAGAACGAACCAATGCCGGGGATCCACGAAAGTGAGCTTCCCCAGATATTGTCAGGTGAGGGCCTCTTTGTGCGACAGTGACGGAATCGTACTTCTGCCAGAGAAAGCCGTCGAAGATGTCGTTTAGATTTCGAAACAAAATATCATCATGGAGACAGGTTCGGCTTCATCAACTTGCGAGGGGTGGTAGGTGCATTCGAGAGGGCTGTCCGACTTCTGTAAGTGGACAAGGCATCCCTGCCGATGATCATGGGCGGGTCAGCTGCATCACGCTGGCGTGGGGTAGCTAGGCTCGACCTGGAGAAGACCTCCAGCACCATACTTGATTCAGGCCTTGAAATAACCTTTCGGTTTTGGGATTGTTAAACCGTTAGAAAAGATGTACTCTAAAAATGCATAGGAGTGAAGTATTAGTTACCTAAAGGTAATCCTCGTGATATCTCTGATACTCCTATGTTTGATCACATTACCATATTGTTAGCGTAACACACAAGCTCAAAGCTCCAAGTTTAGCTCAAGCTTCCAGCTTGACCCGGACCGCGGTTCGACTTGCTCCGATAATTTATTATCGTGAGGCGATACGGGAGTTACATCGAGAACAGGGGGCCTGGCCTTCGACAATCGAAGTTAGAAAAGGGCTTCCATGATAACAGCTTCCCTCGTATACTACTAAGTAGGGAATGGAGTTGCCCGAGGCCTCACTTACCTATCAGTGAATCAATAAGTCGAATCGACGGGCCATAGGTTCCACGTTCCCGAGCCCCCCACGCGCAACAACTAGAGTTTCGTTCGTCTAGACAAACTGGTAAGCTGATAAACATGTAGTGAGAAATTGCAGATGTGATGAAGAGTTTCCACTGGATGCGGTCTGTGCAGGACATTCCACGATATGGTTCGAAGAAAGGTATGGAATCAACGGAAGCCGGCCAGTAATTTGTTTACGTTGATATCACGCCTCCTGTATCATCGAGGAGCTAGCCAAAACATTGAGACATACATACGAGCTATCGATCGACTGGGAAATAGCGGCCTAGAGGGAAGTGGGGATGGGTGTGTAGACGCATTGCATTGCTTCTGCATCGATGCTTTATTACCCCCCTTTTGTAGAGTTAGGGTCGCATGATCATATGATCTTGAATTACCTTATCGATGGAATATTTTAGAGTCGCCATTTACATACGAGATTCAAGAGCAAATACTTGATTTTTTGTTTTTTGAAAAAAAACGTATTTAAGATATCTGGTAACTAACGTTATAACTACCTAATTATTCGTTGTTCCATTCTAAATTAGATGTGAAACGGTAAACCGCGGCAGCATACCGGTAGTGCAGCTGTGATACATCATGCGGAGACTTAATTATTATCGGTTGTACAGGGAGTAAATGAGATCCGTGCTGGCTGGGGGCCCAGAGCCTATACGTGGGAAGCACTTACTTAGATTTAGGAGCTGTTCTTTCCCGTGATATCATGATATATGAAATGCCTACGAGAGCACGATGTATTTACATGTACGGCCCAACTAGGACGCCAGAACTGGAAATTTATTATAACGGTGGTATTCGAGCTAAACTCGAGTTTATCTTATAATTAGGTATCAATCTTAATGTAGATGTTTTATTAAACTCTGATGTCCGATTTAAGGAGCCTTCGATATCCTAAAATGCTGAAGCATACATGCCCATGTTGGAAAATCACAGCTGTAAATGTCCAACCTCTCTAACAGAATGTATGGCGCCTCCGGATTCCCCGCAATACCAGCCATACATTAGATGTACAAAAGCATAAGGTGCTGTCTTGAAAAACAAAGGCTATCTGCCACGTCACTACATTCGACGGATGTCTTGCTCATTGGCATACTTGGACAAATCTTTGAGGCTCCCCCACCACTCGAAGAGCATGGTTTCGCAGATCAACTTGAACCATGGCGTGAAGCTGAGCGCTGGGTCTTGGAACATCTCCTTGAGTTCATCTGCTGTGACGTACTTGGTGTCTTTAACCTCATTTGGATTTGGGGCGACGTCGACCGTGGTTTGGATGAAAAGAATGTAGTCAACTATGTGCGATAAATAGTTAGCCGGGGGAAATGGTCTGGGTGCGGACCTGGCAGTTGAGAATCCTGCTGGTTTGTCTCGGGTAACTGCATCGCTAGAAGCCCGGATGGAATGACCCGATCCGAACCTTATGCTGGCACATGATTAACTCACTTTCATGTTCTCCCCAGATACCATTGCTGGGTGCTTTATAATGAATTCGCGTAAGGAACTCAAAGTCGTCCAATGGAACCTGCTTCGCTGGAATTCCGAGTTCTTGGTCCAGTTTACGTTGTGCGGCTCGACGAACGCCGACAATTGCAGCCTCGAGGGTATCACCCGTCTCGCCGGGGATGCCCAGAGGGTGGGAGCAGCAAGTGTTCGTCCACAAGCCTATATTCATCAGTTATTAGCATCAATAATTATTTTATGCATCAGAGCCTTGTTCGGGTGGCGAAACGTAGCGGCGAAACGGCGGATCATAGATACCTGGGAATGTGATCTTCTCGTCGGCCCGCTGCTGGAGAAGCAATCGGCCTTCAGGGTCAAACAGAAAGACCGAGAAAGCTCTGTGAAGTAGGCCTTTGTCGATATTGGCCATCAGGTGACCTATAGAGGGAGATTTCCGTTGGCGATTAGCGACAACTGTGGCTCATGGCTGATTACCGTGGGCTTAGCCACAGACAACCCCTTCAAAACACAGGAGACTCACAGGTCTTTTTGGATGCACTCCCAATTGGCTTGTCATCCTCGTCTAGAACAATGCAAACTTCGTCCATAAGACGGACCTGCTCAGCATCATACCCTTCAAGCTCTGAGCTCCTAGCTACAGATTCGCGTAGAGAGGTATTGATCTCGGGGAAGAGTCGCTGCATGTTCTCAGCAGTAATTCGAACGGTCCCCACCGTCTGGGCGGTGGTCTGAGTAGCAGTCGTGGTGACCATTGTGGCGGGTTTCTGGATATAACGAAGAGGCAACGTGCGTATCGTTGGTCGTGTGCAAGGACCCTAGATCCATCGTCGCATAACCCAGTCAGTTCTTGATTGCTTGCCATCTTTGGGCAACCGGTGGAATCAATCGACCAATGCAATGCAAGGCAATCTGCACTTACCCGAGGAAAGTTTGAACCGGGAGGCTTAAGTTGGTGGATTGTTCTGCTGGAGAGTTCTGCGATGGGAAGGACGTGAGCGCGAGGTTCGAGAGAGAGAGAGAGATTTAATTAGGTAGCTTGAGCTCCCAGCTCTTTCTTAATTTACAGACGACTCCCACCTGCTTGCGACCACAAACCAACAAACCATCTCAACCAAGCCGAATCAACCAGAACAGAACCCCTCCAGCCCGTCTCGGATCTGGGATCTTGGATTTTGGATATCACAGGACCCGCTCAGAAGTCCGGAGGCCGGGAAAATATTGGGCTGGTCGGCTGGCCGGCAAGGGTCACTACGAGTGGAGTGGTACTTACTTTGCCTTAGTAATCGGATCGGTGCGACTCGACACATTTGAGCTTCAACGAATTAACTGATAGGACGAATTGGATTGTCGGTTCTCTTGACCCTCACCATAGCAGACTGGTCTCGTCTGATCAGTCAGGTGCATTCGGGCTCGGGCCGGCTCACGTTCAGGAACCACCGACGGAGAACGTACAGTTCCCACCAAACCAGCATTGGCAGGTCGTGGCAGCTTCGAATTTGGCTAGAACTCTGATTCTGGTCGTTTGACTGGGGCGCAAACGAAAACCTAAAGAGGCGAAGCAGCGAAGGGAAAAAGAGAGAAACAGAAAAAAAAAAAATTGGACGGACAGCTTCAGCGTCGGTCGCCGACTAACCGAACAAATTCAATCGTCCCATCAAAAAAAATCATCGTCCCCAATATACCTCCAAACTACCAGCCACACTTTTAACGGTGTCAAAGCTTCGAAGGAAACATACCCGCCTCCTGGAATTTAAAGAAAGTCGACGCCACAGCATTCCAGCGCCACAGCCTTGTAGCCTATAGGCCGCTGGACATCAAGTCGTAGTATCTAAACGATGAAGTTAGATACTCGTGCCATCCGGTATTTGACCGGTGAAGACTGGCGAGTCCTAACTGCTGTATGTGTACTGCCAACGAAATAGTCGGCCGTTCATTTTGCCTGATCTACCCCTCCCTCTGTCTCTCTCAGCTCTTTCTTGACGTGGGAGGTTCTAAGTGGTGATACCTTCGATGAAGGATTTGATATGCTAAGACAGGTGCTATGTTCTGGTTTCATACAGGTCGAGATGGGAAGCAAAAACCATGAAGTTGTTCCAACAACGTTGATATCACAGATATCTGGTTTGCGCGGTGCAAGTGGAGTCAACAGGAGCATCTCAAACCTCGCAAAAGTTGGACTTATCGCCAAAGTCAAGAATGCAAAATGTACGTTCTTTCCCAGGCACCCTTGTCCTTGTGCATCTACCCTCCACCCTCCCCTTCCACAAGCTTTGAAACCCATACATCTAAATGCTTTCTTCAAAAGCTCTGACGTGGCGTAGCTAATAACGGAATGTCTGAGGTGTTCTGAAACCATAGATGACGGCTACCGACTTACATATGGAGGGTTGGATTACCTCGCCTTGAACGCATTCATCAAACGAAAGTCTGTTTATTCCATTGGGAACCAGGTTGGTGTTGGGAAAGAGTCTGATATCTATGTGGTGGCCGACGAATCCGGGAAGCAAATAATCCTTAAGATACACCGGTAGGACCGCATGGACATTCCCTTCTTGAATGACATGCTTGCTGTTGTGTCACCGTTCTAACAATTGGATTGCGCTGTTCAGGTTGGGACGGATATCTTTCAGGACCGTCAAGGCAAACCGGGATTATCTGCGTAATCGTAACTCCGCGAGTTGGATGTATATGTCGCGCCTCGCAGCCATGAAGGAGTTTGCGTTCATGAAGGTATGAGTATCATTTTCAGGCCTGATTTTGTCTACGGCAAAGTAGAACCAACTAGCAATACGAAACGATCGACGATTGCTAAGACCGTTGAATACGCGCAAAACAGATCCTGAAAGACAATGGGTTTCCTGTACCGACACCATTGGACCAAGCTCGACACTGTGTCCTCATGGAGCTGATAGACTCATACCCACTTCGGCAAGTCACATCGATAGCAGACCCCCCTAAACTGTATGCCGACCTTATGGCTTTGATCCTACGGTTCGCATCCCAGGGCCTGATTCACGGAGATTTCAATGAATTCAATATCCTTGTCAACGAGGAGACACAACAGCCAGTTGTTATCGACTTTCCACAGATGGTCTCAATTGATCACACCAATGCAAAGGAATATTTCGACAGGGACGTTCAATGCATTAAAACATTCTTCGAGCGCAAGTTTAAATTTATCAGTGACGACGAGGGACCAACCTGGGACGATGTCAAGCGAACAGGAAAGCTTGACATTGAAGTCGAGGCTAGCGGATTTTCCAAGAAACAAGCCAAAGAGCTGGACAAATACCTCCAGCAAGTCACACAGCTTGACGAGAGGGAGGGTGGTGAAGCTGGAGACATCTCCCCGGATGAGGATGACGAAGATGAGATAGAACAAAGTAGCGACGTAGAAGAGGACGATGATGAGGAGGAAGCAGAAGGAGAAAAATATGGGGGCGAGCATAGCAATCTTAGCAAAGATAATCCTGAAATGAAAAATGAGGCTAAGACTCCACGGGCTCTTAGTTCCGGGGTCTGAGGCAGCCAGCCGCATACCCGAGCAAACGGTTCTCATATCACCACAAATTGCATCACTTAAAACCAGATAATGGGGTGTTTATGAAAGCCGAAAACAAAACAAAAAACCAAATATATTAAGGCGCCTACTACCATGGTTCTGCCTAGAAAGACCCAGCATCTTGTAACCTCAAGAGGTCTGATTGCTCGATATGAATCAACTTATATTTTTGGAAGTTACAATCGAGTGTTGACCTACCAAACCACAGCCTTGGTGCAGAGTTTTGGGGCTGCACAGCTGAAGACCAACTCCCTTACAAGGCTTTCTTCCAATTGGCCGGGTCTACCGCACCGCTAGCTATAACCCTTGTCCTTCCCAGGATCCCCAACGCCTGCACACAAGGACTGGTCTGGACTCGAAGCTCCCCCACTTGACCGTATGCACCGTCCCTCCCAGAAATTGCTGTATAGCAAACCATGTTATTGCTAAATCTTGCTTCTGCACCCGCGATCTGGGCAAACAGAGGTAGATTGAGCTACCCGTGTGTCGGAAGGGTACTTAATGAGATCAGAAAGCAAGGGAACACTCTTAGGCTTGGCCCACGAGCAGTGCCACTTGGGCTTCCCCTTTGCAGTTCTAAACACCATAGAATCATTTTGCTTCGGCTCCCTTGCGAAATTCAAGAAAGGGATGCTCCCGTACAACTGCATTAGATCTCCCAATGGGCAGTATGCTCCTGCCTCCGTGTGGCGCTATTCAATACAACAATGCCCGTCCAACTACATGGGCTTTAATGAGCAGCCGGATGTATTCCAACAATTTCAACTCTGCACGCGGACCACCCACCATCTGCGTCCGGGTACCTTCATCATGGAATTTGAGCGGGACCAGGGCCGCCAGCTTTGCCTATCCAAACCCAACCCCCTGGTTAGGGATAAGAAGAAGTGGAAGAAGAAGAAGAAGAAGAAGAAGCAATAATGACAATGATGCCTTTGTAACCGAATCCACACCACAGCTTAACTGAAGATGCTTTTTTCCCCCCCCTCTTGCAGAAGCAAGTGAAGAAATTTAGGGACCCCTCCGAGTATTCTTCGGCGGGATATACCAGTCATTCGACCGGCGGGTGCCAACCACCAGTGATTTGAGCCGTCGTAGGCTTGACCTGGGATCCCGCTGTAACGAAAAAACGACCTCGGTGTATTTCTTCATAAGAGACCATGGGTGGCCAGAAACATTCCTGACCATCAACGGAAGGAAGAATAAGAAACTTCAGGTATAAAGCTATTTCTGGCGTAAAGCAAGCTATCCGGCTGCAATCACATCTTTTCTCGTTTTCACTCCGGTTCCTGTCTCATGTTCTACCCCGATTTGATTCTCCAAGTAGACGTCGAAACACATACCCCGTATACTCTGCTTGCTATTGTCGAATCGGAGGACGCACATCCATCCAAGCTAGCAATTATTTGTTCTCTGGACAGCTCATGCCGGTCAAGTCCCCTTTCATCAGTCGAGGAGCTAGGAGCAAAATTATTGCATTTCAATCCTTGCTTGCTGTTGCTGCAGCTAGTTCGGGTTTGTAACCTCCTGTACACAACCCCAAGTTTACGGGCGGTCGACTCGGGCTTGTCTCGTAGGTGGTTTGGTAAGCACACTGCTGCTCAATATGTAAGGTCTTCTTACTTCCACATGCATCTTGAACCCACCGACTAATTAAGATAAATAACCCAGTACTTAGCTAGGTGTGTATCAGACCTTACTCTTTCTCCACATCGGCATAATCGTCTGCAAGGCACATGGACCATCTCATCTTCTAACATATAAACTTATCCTAATAAGTTTATAAGAACTGCGACCTCCAGAATTTTATTATAACTCTGCGACTCTCAGTCTCAAAAACCTCAACATCCTCTCCCCGCTCATTCCTCTTCCAAAGCCGATATAAACTTAGCATCACACAGCTAACAAGTCACCTAGAGGTGACACAAATATCACCCATCCCAGTCATTCCTCGAGGTTTGCATATCAGAAAAGGGAGTCCCTTTTGAGACGGCTACGGGAGCTTTCCTCAAGAGAGCGACTCGAGGCGAAGAGGAAGACTTCAGGATAGTACAAAAACATTTAAACGGGCAAGCTGCATAATATGAATCGAAACAACAATAGTACCGTTCTTCCTTCCACCATGGCTCAAAGCAATCAACATAAACAGGCTTATAATTTTCACACTCCCTACCCGGCGGTAGTACAAACTGTCCCGGCTGCTGGCTCAGTTGGATTCCCATCTCATACTCGATCACATCCGCAGTTTCACCCGTCCAGCTTCACTTCGCATCCCCATCACCCGCAATACGACAACATCAACTTTTCTCACATGCCCTTCTTACCCTCGAGCTCCCATCTCTATAATAATAATCCCCTCCCTCTGCCTATGGTTCCACCTGTCTTCCCTTTGCACCCAGTTCCAAGCCAAGAAGGGCCGTATTACCATCCACAACCCTTTCCTCCTCTCCCCCCTTCTGCATTCATGTCTTTTCATCCTATTCCTCGAGGGTTCGAATCGTTCGTGAAGCCCCCGCAGCCGCCGTACAACCAACTACCTTCGCCAATTCCTAGTGCTGGCACCTCCATTTTTTCCACCGTATTCTCGAACTTAAACGGACCATCTAGTCCAACGACTACTGTTGCATCAACAGTCACCAAAAAAATGACGCGGAAGTCTCCCGTTATCGCAAGTACCCCGAGGGCTCCTCCAGATGAAGATGAGGAGATGGACCCCATGAGTCCGATTTCCATGGACTTCAGCGACGATGGTAGCCCGACAAACGTTTATATCAAAGGTTTGCCAGAATCAACAACAGACAAGCAATTGCTAGAAATGGTTTCACCATTTGGTGAGGTCATCAGTTCCAAGGCCATTATTGATCGGCCCTCTGGTAGCTGCAAAGGGTAAGTCAACAGGTTTCCTCAGACTTAGGACAAGAAGTTAATCGAATTTACATAGATATGGCTTCGCGAAATTCGCAAGCGTGGAAAGCGCAAAGGCTTGTATTGAGGATTTGAAGAGCAGAAGCTACGAAGCAACAGTTGCGAAAGTTAGTGACACTTGAGCTTAGAACCTTTTCATTGTGAAATGTTACCTCTACTGACATGCTCATATCTAAATTGTAGGACTCATTCTACTCAAAGCTAAAGGGCTTGGCCGACCTCCGATCGACTAATCTCTATGTCTCGAACCTTCCTACTAATTGGAATGAAAACGTATGTTCTTTTTTACCTATTCTTCATCTTAAACCGCAAGATTAAGCCTTCTAAAAACCTCGTAGAAAATAATTTCACTCTTTCCCGGCTACAAAATCAGCAAATGTCGACTGCTGGTTAGCCAGAGGGCTCAATCCCGTGGCGTCGCTTTTGTAACATTTGAAGACCGCGACGTCTGCGACGAAGTAATAGAGAAATTCAGCGGACTCCAACTTCACGAAAAGAACCATCACCTGCCTCTCCAAGTTCGCTACGCCGACACTATTGCTCAAAAGCAACTGAAAAAGGAACAACAGGCAGTCGGACAGTTCCCTAAGAAGAGTGTGCTTATGAATCACAAGCAAACCTTAGAGAAAGGGATGCGGATGAACTCTAGCAAGATGCATTCGGGTGCACCAATCCCTATGCATTTGAGAAACTGGAGAGCCTCTGGGTAAGCTTATTCTTCCAATATCATTTTAGATACATAATTTTCTTCCCTACGTTCGGTCTATTCGACAAGGTTCATTTTTGGAATCTACCTTTCTATCTCCAACTTGATTATGAAGCGAACAACATCTAATACGTTTTGGTGTCAAAACAGGGCCCCCCCAGTCAATGCTCCACCGACTCCTCCTCGGAGTGTCATTAGTGCCGAAGAGGATAGCCTCAAGGACGACTAGGGAAGTCTGCCTTGGAAGATGGGACTAAACTATAGTACCTAGACTTTTGATCATATTGTACAGTTTTTTTTCCTTCCTTTTTGCTTGCTTTCTTCACAATCAGTTGGAGTATGCAGTTGTTAGGTAACTTGTATTTTTCTTTCTTTTTTTTTCTTTTTCTTCTTATATTTTCAATATTTTTCTCAGTTTTGATATCCGGTTGAAAGATTTTGAGTTAGGGCAAAAAAATGCATGCTATGGGATCTTGTTATATTTGGGAATAACTGCTTTTCTCTTTTGTCCGGCGAGTAACAGTGTGGTGGCGTCTTGTTTCTGTTTTATTTTTTTTTATTTCTTTCTTTCTCTATTTGCTGCGCCTTTTCCCTCTTTTCCTATTTTATTTTTCCCTTATCTTCTTTTCTTGAACCCATATTTACTCCAACAACCTTTTTTCCCCATATTGCAATCGTATCCTGTAATCGTGCCGAACGGCGGCTCAAGGAATTGGAGCTAGACTTGGGTACAAATCTTGTTGGGCGGGAGGCGAACAACAAGAGACAAGGATTGCGAAACCGTCATGTTGCAGGAGTTAAGCTGCCTTTTTGCTTCTTGATTTATTTTTATTTTTATTTTTTTCTGTTCTTTTCTTCACAATTTTCTTCGAGTGCTATCTTTCAGAGGATTCACGTACCAAGATGTTTTCATGAATCAGTTTTTTCAGCATATCCATTCTGTTCTTTTCCGTTCTATTTTATCCATGTTAGATAATATATAACATCTCACGATATATTTATTCATCATCACTATACTACAGAAGTTAAACTATGTGTCAATCAATTGATCAACATACGCCCCCACCGAGCTAGTCGGATTCCACCGGTTGACTAAAAATTCCAACTCGGAAAACGAACCATCCTAATTAACTGTCCAAGCAAACCGTTAACACCGACGTCGTTGATGTTACGGAGTACAATCACATGGCCATATGGGCGTTACGTTAATACCTGTGCCAATCCAACATTCAATACATGCCGCACGGCTGATATATTGTATTCGGGGCGTTTCAAAATAGTCCCATATGAAAAAAGTTGGGTTGGAAATGTTCCTAATCGATAGACATGCCAACCATCAAATTCGCAATCACCAACATTTTAACAGCATGCATGCAGGCAAATCTGCACGTAATCCCTCTTTTTTTTTTTTTTTTTTTTTTTTGTGATATTATAACAAACTTCGGATGTGTCTCGCGATATCTGTGCCTTGTGGTTTTTTTTTTCCTTTCCTTCGTTTCCGCAATGGATCCATGGAAAATCGCTAAACGTCCCACATCCTTTCTCGCCTATTGTTTAAATTTCAGGCTAAAAGGATCTTAAAAAGAGCTTTCGATAGTCGGTTTTTTTTTGCTAGCGTTTGCGGGAAGCAGGCTGCACATACATAATAATAAGTACATACATAAGTATGTTAAAAAGACATACATGACTTACATATATTTGTCAATGCGTTAAATGCATGTGACCGCATTTATAGTAGATTCTTCTAAAGAAGTCTGCATTCGCAAAGACTAAGTTAGCTGATCAAATCCGGGGTCTCGCCTTACTTTTGAGATCTTTGAACGAAAAGTCTAATTTTTTAACCATTCTTTTTTTTTTTTTTTCTTTCCTATGGCACAGCTGTCACTGCGGTGGCCATCTTGAAACGTGAGTGCAAACATTTGATGGTTTGTAGCATTGGCTTAGGCTTGAATTGAAGTGCATATTGCCTGATCCATCCTGTTGTCAACCTTTTGCTTGCGCAATGGCTTGAAGTGCCAACATTGAGAGAATCTGGCTTAAAAGTTGCCTGGAAAGAGAAGAGGACAAAAGAAAAAAAGAAAAAGAGCACCAAGCACAATAGCTCGAGAATGAGGGGCATCTTTGATTGCTGGTTGAAGATTTGCCACCCTTCTGGCTTTGGTCCTCGTTTTCCTTCTTCGCATACAAAAGAGAAGCTGAAACGGGAGAGATGCAAGTATCCGATGAATGCTGAACAGGTATGCAGGTGAAATTCACACACGAGCACATACATACACTCGGACATACAAATCTAATGTATGTGTGTGTATGCGCAGTTGTTCGAATTCGGATATCCTTCGAAGATGGTCGAAATGTTGGTGCGCTAAAACAAAGTGGGTCGTGGCATGCCCAGATGATTGTTTGGACGGGTCCCATGGCTGGGGTCTGGATGCCTGGGCTGGTTAATTTCCCATTGCGCAAGGGTGGGGGCTCGGGATGCCCTGTGCTCCAGGGTCTGGTCCCGAGCGTCTCGCTCGTTAACGGGTGCGGGACCGTAAATTAGTTCCCGGACTAACTGGCTTTGGGTGTGGAACGATGGACAATCTAGCTGACGGCTAGAAGCTTCAAAGGGAGGGAAAAAAAAAAAAAAAAAAAAAAAAAAGGGTTTCAGGGTCCGCAGCAGTTGCTTCAAGTTCGATTTGATGCTGTGCCGCGGGTTTTGCTAATACCATAGGTAATTATAACCAAATCCGAGGAATGTTGATATGCAGGAAAGCCGATGAGATCCCGACGGAAGGAACCGATTCCTCTTTTTTTGTCTTAGCCATCGATATACCACTTTCATAGTTTTTACGCCCCCTGCAAATGTGTCTTGGAGTGCAGTAGCTTTGTTGGCCCAAGTTTCGTCGGCATAATACAGGATACATGATACATGTATCTATGTACTAGCAGACTGCAGATTGCAGATTGTTTGATTGCTAATGTAATGTCCGTCCATTGCAGCGACATCGCATCCTCGCCGAACTCATAGTTATTCAATTAATATCCCCATGCATCGATCTGGGGATAAAGCCGGATGGGAACATCAATCGGAGGCGGGCAAAGTTGAATTGGTATCATGTATGCATATGGTTCCTTTCTGGTTTACCTACTTATCCGCCTGGTATGTGCATCTGCATATCTCGGACATACGTATGCATACATACTTACATACATACACTGACACTTTGAAGGCGAAATGGTTTCTTTGTAGACTCTTAAGAATCGATGCTCATATGAACCCCTGCTTTGTACGACCTTTTGACCCTCTATACTCTTTCGGGTTAAGACGAGAAGTCTTTTGACAAAGTTGATGTGCAAAGGTACCCTTGGATTGACGAGTCTGTCACAAATTTCTGGAGTATAGGATTCTTTTTCACATTTTATCTGTTATTGTCCTCTTTCCTCTCGTTAATAAGTTGATATTGATGTTTCCTAAAACTTTCAAGCATCTCACTAGGCTTGCAAGTCGAAATTTAGGAGACATCCCGAGACTTCAAGTTATCATCCAAAGATCGATCTAGAATGGAAATCACTATCATATACTAGCCAAAAGGTATCTATTATTCATTTCCCAGGTTTCTTCCTCCGGGCCCCACTTCGGTATTCGAACTAAATAATCATCCATCTACCTAGCTACTTAGTCATTTCGCCAACATCGAACGGTGTATACTTTTTCAAACCCATTAGCCACCACCCAAGCACATCTAAATTTTCTTGGTCGACTTCTAATTAAGCTTAACCGTCAACCTTAAAATGCCCACTAGCCACTCAAAGGAGAACTTAGACCCCACTTGGCACATGACAAAAACGAGAATCATGATATCATAGGACTTGTTTAAGCCGTGCGGGAAGTGTTTTAGGCTGAAAATACCAGTTGTGGAGATGGTATGTGGATCCAGGGTCTAGAACCTCTGTTCTTATTAATTACTGCTAAGCAGTACCTACATCCCTAAGTATGTGCCGAGAACTCTTATGTGCTTATTGAGAAGCTATAGCGCTAAACGACCGTTTATCTTGATACATACAGGACAGAGGTACTTTAGTGGTACTTGCCAAAGAGCTTCGATTCCTTGGAATGCTTGGTGATCATAAATTCGAAGCTAAGACTGAAGGTCTATGAAAACCGACGATAGCCCCTCCCCCAGAGCCTAGACCTATCTTTCACCCGGAATGGTATATACATCTTCTTTAAAGGAAGCAAAAATGCCAGGGTATTGGAAGTATAGGGACACGTGTTTCCCACGACAGACAGTGTTATGTAACGTAAGTGACTATCCTCCTTTCGGGCCGATATTCTTCTAAAACTAGAGACGTCTAGATTTCAAGTATAAAAGAGGCCAAGAAAAAAGTGGATACCCCGGAGTTCCTGTCAACTGATCACCTGGTTAAGTTTTTTTTTTAAAAAAAAACATTCATTGGATAGGATTGATGGGATGATACATAATTCCCGATTATTTCCCTTTCTCTCTTTCATTCTGGGTTCGCGGCTTGATGAGGCGTTCCGCCATATTTCCAAGTTCTGCGCTAACTAGGAACGACACAGATTAAACAAGGCGAGAGCGAGAGAGAGGTGGAGCCATAAACCTCTTAGTGTGGGGGAGCAAGATATCGTTAGGAAACAGTCTCCGAAGATAAAATACAGCTGCTAACTACATACATGGTGTGTGAACTCGTCAGGTATTATCGACGGAAGGAAGACAGGGTAACTCGGTACTGAAGTAACAAATATATTACTCTCACCAACCATTATCCTTGACTTCTTTTTGTCAAGTTTTCAAGATTTAGACATGGGCCTGCGGATCTATGAATGGTACGGTGTATTATTTCCCATGTTTGGTATCCCACCCTTCCTTCCTTCCTTTCATAAATTAGAATCACGCCCTATTCGCAGTGATATATTCTCATTGAAACGAGGTTTATAGGAGGTGTGGAGGTGTGGATGTGTGCAAGGATACGCTACCTTAAACCCACTAAGTCAGTCAGCCAGATAAGCTCGAAACCCCGTCTCCCGCCTCCTGGGACCGCCTCTCGTTTTTGGCTGGCTATTTTTTGGCCAGAAAAGTTGGGTTATTTGCTTTTGAACAGAAGTGCCAATAACTTTATCCAAGATCTCGGGTCGAAAAGAAAGTAGCCGCACCATCTTTTTTTCTCTTCCAAATCTTGGAACCTAACTTCCCGTCCCCGGTCGTCTGATGGCTAACCAGTCACCACACATGAATGGAGAGGAGAACAAAAAAAAAAAAGGGAAACCAAAAGCGAAGGGGAAGGAAAGGACGGGATGAAGATAAAAGATGGAATATGTACGACCTTGTCACATTCTTCATCTTAAAACAGAAGAAGAGGAGAAGGAGCTAGAGAGTGTGTATCTAGTATAACCCACTAGCACTTGGCAGCAACCTATGATCATATCTCCTTGTCAAAGGTAAGTACTTACTATCTAATAAGGGTCAACTGATCTTCCCAAAAATTTTAAAATCCATATAACAAGACCAATCATCATCGGTCAACATCATGTGGGATGTTTTTCATGTTCCTGAAGGCAGACAAAGTGTTCTAGGCCCTTTCCCGCTTCGCTTACTGTCGCCTAGTGTTAACGACGAGGTGATTGGGGAGACAAAAAAGAGGGATACATCTCGGTGGGTCACTTATAGGTTTCATAATTAACGACTTTTTGAAGTCAGGTACGTACCTTAATACGAACTTTTCCCGACATGACGTGACATCAAGTCGGTTGAAATTACAGAAATTTACAGAATCGGGGTTTCGTCTTCTTTCCTTTTTTTTTATTTATTTTATTTTAAATTTTTTTATTTTAAAAAACACTCTTTCCGTAGTTAACAGCTATGCATGTAAGAGTTAGCAGCCACGTAAGAGTTAACATGCTATTTTGTCCTCTAACTATGGAATAATCATTCGCTCGTTCGCTCCATCTACAGAGTACAAAGGTCACATAAACACACCCCCCCCTTATATCCCTTGCAACCACGTTTCATGTTCGCCGAGGTATGCTTACTCGGGAAATCCTACTTCTGTATTACATGGTGAATAGGAAACAAAAAACAAAAAACGTATAATTAAGAATGGAGAACTCGGAAAACCGGCGTACAAGGTTTGCAAAATCTTGGGTGGGTACCTAGTTACGTACACATGTGGACACTATTAAGGACCCGGCACTTCTTAGGAAACAAATAGGTAGGCAGTAGTAGTACCTAGCCAGCTAGAGGATGATGAAGTTGAATTCGAAGCAAGGAGCTATGGGGGTTTAGTTTTGAAAATCCCGTGTCCCGCAGGGTTAAAAAGCGAGGGGTTTGGAACTCGTGATTAAAATAAAAAAAGATAAAAAAATAAATATATTATTGTCTATAGAAAATATACCGGGTCATGAAAGATAGGATATCCCCCCCAAAAGAAAAAATATATTGATCATCAGGTTCGTGATGGTAGGTAGGTACCTAGATGGTTTAAGACCAGACATCTTCCTGCAAGGTACGAAAAGAAACAAGTTTTTTTCTCGCGTTAGCCTCATATGTATAAACTTTGCTCGCCTATAGGCGAAACAACAAACGAAAATGCGTAAAACCCGAAATGAAGGAATGCAAGTCCCTTACCTGGTATTGATTAGAACTCCTCATCCTCTTCACGACCTCCTCGCCTTGGGCCTCGGTTTGACCCCGCTTCTCGGCGATAATCCTGCCAAATGTAGCATTGACGTCTCTAGCCATGTGCGCAGCGTCACCACAGACATAGATATAGGCACCGGCTTTGAGGAGTTCGTCAACCTCGTCGGCGTGTTCTTGGAGGCGGTGCTGGACGTAAACTTTCTTGGGACCTTCACGGGAAAATGCAGTGACTAGCTTGAAAGAGTCGCCGAGTTTCGCAGAGTATTCCTGGATAGATCAGGTGGTTAGGTAAAACATGCTACATTTTTTTCTTCTTGGTAACTTACTGGCCATTCATCTTTGTATAGGAAATCCTCACTGCTATTCCTACATCCGAAGAATAAAAGCGTCTTTCCAACCTTTTCTCCTTTTGCTGCAAGTGCGGCTCGTTCTTGTACGAATGCACGGAATGGGGCAACACCAGTTCCCGGCCCGATCATAATGACTGGCTTTTCGGGATTCGATGGCAACTTGAAATTGCTGTGACGGACATGAATAGGGACGTGGATACCATCATACTTGTTCCTTGGGCCGGTAATATTGTAAGTCAAACCATGAGGATCTGGGTTCGGGTCTCCGTGCTGCTTTTGCTTCAGAGCTAACAGATAGTTGGTAGTGACACCCTTCAGAATGTGCTTAGATCCCGGTAACCGAATGCTTTCAACAACAGCGGTGATCGCGATATGGTCTTTTTGGACAAACGATGAAGAAGAAATAGAGTAGTAACGGGGTTGAACACGGGTAAGGCCTTCGATGATCAAAGAGAATGGAATAGCGGACCAAGTTTGTCCCGGGGCGAGCATTTCGAGAACCTGCGCGATATTCAAGTACCTGCTGGAGATTTCCTCTGCGAAGGCATCTTTGTCACCTCCTAGCCTGACCAACTCAGCCTTTGCCTTATCTGAGGGGGCGAATGGAGAAAGGGAAGCGATGAATTGACGGGAGACAAGGCCGTTGATTTCAACGTGGTATCTGATAACTGCATCGTAGGTAGTAGGTGATGGGAATGGGACCTTCGAAGTAGAATCAAGGGCTTCAACACGGATAACATTGTGTCGCTTTTCACCAAGGCCGAGGACATTTAGGATTCTATCAGTTTCCTTTCCTGAGTTTGTAGGCCAGATTGCGATGTGGTCACCGGTAGTATAGCTTAATCCCGAGCCCGAAATATCAATTTCCATGTGAAGACAGTTTCGATCTTTGACAGAGAAAAGCTCGCTAGACTTTGCGATAGGTGCAATGAAGGGATTGTGCGAGTTATAAGGTCCTTTAGCCTTGCCTTCGAGGTGGTTCTTGTTGGGTTCGCCGAGGTAGACAGTGTCGGATTCTGGAGAGAGAGATTCATCTTCAGTGATCTTGAAGACCGGTTCGTAGACAGCTTCACGTTCCTCAAGGCCCATTTCTTTGCAGACGACCTGCCACATTTCTTCTTTCCAAGCGAGGAAATCCTCTTCCATAGTACCAGCACCATCATCACCCTCTCCGGCTGACCCGTAACGAGTAGCACCGAGCTTAGTGAGGTATCCATCTATACGGCGAACCATGGCATTGTAATGCTCATAGGTATTGTTTCCGAGCCCAAAAGTTACATACTTCAGGTTTTGCAAAGGCTTCTCTTCCGCCGAGGCACCTTCGGAGAACTGTGGCTCGTCACCCGATAAAAACTCATAGAATTCAACGGCATTGTCGGTAGGTTCACCCTCACCATAAGTGGCGAGCAAAAAGAAGGCAAGATGGTCTGATGGGAAAGTGTCTAAGTTCTCGAAATCGTAGTCCTCGATATCTGCGACGATTGTTCTTAACCCGAAGCGTGCGTGACCTTCCTTAGCTAACCTAGAGGCATAATCCTCAGCAGTACCCGTTTGCGAACCATAGAAGAAAATGGCATTTCGATCTGATTCAGCCATCTTTTTGACGAAGTCTCTCGTCTTCCCGGCCTTGGCGGACCCATTGGTGTGTGCGACATCGGCGAAGAGGTCCTTCGGTTTTCCCCAAAGAGTGCCTTTGGTGAAGTAGGCAATGGTAGCTGCGAATATCGCGGTAAGGATAACGATATCCGCCGTATCGTATTCGATCCCCATGGCTGATGTTTTTGGTGGCCGTAGCCGATGACCGATACGGTACGGGAAAACCTATTACCGTTAGAGCAAGATTTTTTTTTTTTTTGTTGCCGACGACAACAAACAACGGGAGTCAATAAAAATGAGCGAAAGGGTATTTTACCTATGGAATAATTCAAGTAAAAGCAGAAAAACAAGCAAAAGGAAAACGAAAAGGAAAGCGAGAGAAGCGGTGTTCAGACTATCGTGGCCAGATTTCGGGTGGTGTGAGATTTCTTAGAGCTCCACGGCAGGTGGCAGGCTGAACCAGGTGTGGTGACAAAGTCGGAGGGGGGTAGCTTCGAGAACCTGCCAATAGGTTGATAATCTGTAGGGCAGCTAGACCACCTACAAAACTACTACCCAAGTAGGCACCTAATATCTACCCACGACTGAGTGCTTAAGTAGGTAAGTAAGTACTTCTTAGGTAGGCGCTCTATACGAAGAAGTGTATATTTCTGTATAGAGAATATGTGGACTCGGGTGTGGCGGGTTGGCCGTTGAGTGGCGTTGGTCCTGCTCTAAGCGGCTACTTGCCTACCCACCTAACAACCTTATGCACCGATCAACGAAGACCAGCTGTTTAGGTACCCGAATACGAAGATGCTCAGTCGAGGTGTGGACAAGACCCAAGTATTATATATCGATGTATATGATATATATGATATATATGATATACGGTGAAGATGGTGATGATAGCTAGTTGGAGTCAGACTGACTTGGAAAGAAGAGGACAAGGTGGAGGATAGCGACGGATCGAGGTTATGCCGGGCCGAAGGAATAGCGACTTATGTTCGAACCAGAAGGAGTATTCTGTTGGTCAGGGCGCCTTTTAACAGCAGGTGGCAGGAGGGATCGAATGAATCAGATGTCGCAGACGAAGCTTCGTATTCGTACTAACCGATCTAATCTAATCAAACCGATAGAGCATAAGTACTGGTACTATTCATCCGCATGTGCTTTTAATTTTCGGACAAACATCAGAATCAGAATCAGAATCATTGCATCTGAGAATGCACGCGATTAAGTCGGTATATATATGTACTCACTCGAATGCAATGCAGGAGGATCGAAGTTGCACTTCTGGTGCTACTCGAGATCGAAACGTCAAGAAGTTAATTAAGTGTGCAGTGTATTACATTCGCAATTGGCCGGAAGGAACTCTGCCTCTTGTATGACCAGAGTGATGGGATGTTCACGATGTTTATAAACTTCAACGGGAGCTGAAAGCCCTGGTGGAAACTACCGTGGATAAGCTGACCTGATAATGACATTTTGCGGGAAACGAAACGCTGAATTCGAACCGGGATATCCATTAGCCTCAATCAAAATTTTTTTTTAATTTTTTATCTTATTTTTCCTGATGTAGCCTTTCGTCCCCGTTCGCGCTTTTAATTTTAATATCGTTAAACTATCGGATATAGCTTAGTTATCGTCCGTAACTACTCCGTACTCCGTATTAGTATACTCAGCATGTTCCCGCCAACGTTAACTAGCGACAATTTCGGCCCGCTTCGGGCTCCGGAGCTCAAGCACAAGCACAAAAACACCCCCAATGGATGTCGGATCCCTCCCAGCCTACGCTGCACACACACCACCAACAAATATTAAACTTCCATTGCTTTCCATACCAGAGTTATGCCATGCACTTCAACTCGGCAGGGTCGGTTAATTAATATGAAATATTACGGGATTACGTTACTCTTTATAGGCCAGGAAGGCCTCGCCGCTTTGAGGATGTGCGATGGGACAAAAAACTAACTTCAATGTTGTTTTGAAGGAGAATAATAGAAAGAAGAGATTTGTCAGACGCAATTGTCCATGTACGAGCAAATTCACTAAGCTGACGAGAGATGCATGCACCCGTGTGGCTTACCCTGCGACTATGAGTCTAGCAGTCGACCATCATGCACTTGTTTCGAATTCGTGGCTGAAGCGGCCAAGCTATGTACTTTCTACTCGAGTCTTCAATTGGGATTACTACAAAGTACATACCTAGGTACATACATACGTACACTAGTTCCGACGTCATATCTACCGTGCTATATCGATGAAGATATCTCGGGTCGCATTGAACTGCCTAACTGTACGGAGAACATCTGGTCTGCATCCGTGGCTGAACTCCGATTATTATAAGAAAGTACTTCTTATCTATACCTCAGATCTACTTACGTATACGGTACCTCTCTGGTATCGATAATATCTCTCTCGCGACCACTCATATATACGTAGACTTACTATGTATGGCTGCATATCATCTTTGCTATGGATCGCATAGTTATCCGTGCGTGCTGCCGACCTCAAAACATCTCATCATGCGACCTGCAACATGCCATTGAATTCCTTCATCATCAGGTATTGGCTGAACAGACCAGGGTCGGGGGGAACGCGCGACAGCCTGCATGTCATCCGCCGCAAAGAGTAACTTAAACGAGCCATCCGCAAAACTCGGGCGGGTCTCCTCCCTCCTGGCCTGACCTCGTTTCGATTTCTGTGTCTCCGGACGGAGAGATCCCTCCCAGGTCTATTTGGCCTTCTGCACCTGCATCTAAGCTTGATCCGAAATCTCCGGCTTTCGTCGATGCGTACGTCCTATTCTATATTAAGAATTGCTATCTAGCCATTTGTTATTTTGTTTTGTTTTTTTGCTTATAACGAACGGTCCTTGACATCAGGCCTCAATAAAATCATGACGACTTAAGATTCAATCCTCCTGGAATATATCTGTCTTGTCGCTAGACGCGATCTTTCTGACTCCCTTGTCCGCCGAATCCCTGCTGTTCTTTCTATTCCCTCTGTGATATCTCTCAGGGGGTTAGGGGGAAGCTTCTATCTGCTGGTTCGTCGACTTAAAAAAGCTTAACCCCTCAAAAAAATTATCATTGCCGTTCCGAAAAGGGCTGTGCTGAAACACCCGCCCAGTCCCAGTTCTTGTCGGAAACCGTCGTCTGATACCTTGTCGGTTTACGAATCATGACTGGTCGACCCCCTTCAAGGAGTGCCTCTCTCACGGGCCATCACTCCAGGAATACTTCCAGGACTGGAATTGTTATGGCCTCGCATGTCAACGCTGGCAGATCACAATCACCAAGACCTCCTGGACCTGGCTCCGCTGTACCTGGCGCTCCTCCTTCGAGAGGCGTCGAAAGAAAACCTTCCATTTCTTCCTACCCGCATGCGCATAACCGCCAGGCATCTATAGTAAACGGTGGCATCCAGCATTCACGGAACCCATCCTTCGTAAACTCTCCTACCACTTCACCGTTATCACCGAACAACATGGGGTCCGTTAGGGGGGCTGGTGAGCAGATCACCATCCCAGATCTTCCGCTCTCGCCGACGGGCACGTTGGTGCCATCCGATATATCTGCTCTCTCATCCCAGCTGTCAACCATGTCGACGATCAATGCCATGGCTAACTCCGGCGATCAGTCTCGTGCTCCATCTGCAATGGATACCATGAGGACCATAACCCCCCATGGACGGCCCTCGACATCCAGGAGGGAAGGTCATAGCCACTCACACTCCTACTCTCACCATTCTTCTGAGCCGAAAACGCCTGCTGAATACGCACTGCATATCCTATTCACCCAGGTAGACATACCCGTAAACACCGGAGCGTAAAGGGGAGAGTTGCTCATTACATGACTCTTTGTAGTTCGTACGACTTGCCGAGGCCAAGATTGATCAGTGCATGAAGTGCGGATTGGAAGTAGAGCCCAATGTCGAAGCTATATGTGGTGCCGGCGTAGACCCGGCCTTTGATAAACTTATTGGATCTCTAGGCTACATTGCTCGACATAAACCGAGGCCCGTCATCGATAGTGTGATGTATTGGAGGAAGGGGAAGAGTGAAGCAGCGAACAGCGCAAGGACGGAGCTTAAGCATGTAGGAAACTCCTTGCCGGAGAGAGAGAGACAGGGTCTATTGTGGATCGAATATTATGGCAGAAATTTGGTTCTGACAGTTGTTTTTGTAGCAAATGCACTATACCAAACCGACCTCGCCGCCCAGCTCTAACACAAAACTCCAAGACGGCTTCTCAGCATTGATGCGTAGAAATACCGAAAATGTACCACCGGATATCGGCACACCCTTAACGAGCCCTGGCCACAGTCACAATAACTCAATATCCACACCGCAAGCCCAAGCTTCGATTGCTGCCGATCGCAAATCTACGATTGCTATATACATACTTTGCCGTGTTTTGATAGAAGTTATTGGACAAACTACTCTGGAGAGCATGTCGAAGGAAATGGCTTTCAAATTGGAAAACATTGTTTTCCAACAACTACGGCTGGCGGATCCCGATGTCCTCGTCGCTTCACCTCTAAGGATGTCAAACTGGACTTTATTCGCGCAGCTGCTCGGGGTCATGAGTGAGCTACATTTTGACAGTGTTTCCGACTTGTTCATATCGTCACTGGAGGATAGTGGTAAGGGATTCGTGAGCCGAGAATCAGAACCAAGGATCGAGTTGGTGATCAAAGGCATGAGCTACTTGAAAATAAAACTTTATCCACCGGATGCTTTCGAGCAGGGGTCTGAGCTTATGTATCTCATCACAAAGCTCTTCCTTTCGTCTCAGGTTCAGAGGATAAAGCATGCATACTGCGATCTCTACATGAAGCTACTACTTCCTGTTGCTGCCGCTGGCGATAGTGAATTTAACATGCCTCGCTGGATAGATTTTATACAGCAAGTCTACCCTAGATTATCGGAAATGTTGATGAAAGCGCGTCACTGGCCCGCTGTATTTCCAGTTCTTGGAACAGTTCTGTGTATCATGCCGAGGGAATCGTTTAATGCGACATGGCTACCCCTTCTCGAAGCAAACTTCCCGAAACTGAAGGACCGATCCGTTAGAACAATGCTTCTACAAACTACTGCGCGGCTACTTTGGGTTTATATTTTCAGATGCTCTGAAACTTTGAATACGACTGTAAAAAAGCTGGAAGTTGTCATTCGCGCGCTTTTTTTGCCAGGGAGAAAGTCATTTTTAATCGGTGCTGATGCAGATCTAATGGCTGTATATGTTCAACTGATCAGATTCATTGGGTCCAAACATCAGGATTTTTGCTTTCGGAATGTCCTCACACCATTGTTGAACGCTGATGTTATGCTTTCGCATCGGCATACGGATTTGACGCTAGAATGCCTCACATCGGAACGAATGATCGTTGGAATCAAGGCGTTCCTTGAGATAATGAACGACCTTGAAAAACAGGATAGCACGCCTCCCTTCCCAGTCAAATTTGAAACCGGTCATGAAGAGCAGGCACCCCCAATATCAACATGGCTTGCGAAGTTCGTTGAGGAGAGGTCAGAGGCAATGAAGAGATTAGATAGAATGTCTCGCCCGGTGCAACTGGATAGACTTGGAGCCGTCGCTCGGGAGTACTTTGATAAATTTGGCAAGATACTCGGTCAGATTATCTTGGTCTGTGACTCGAATTTCGGCGGCAAGGCCCTATTGGACGAAAAATTCAATCCGCCACCGCCCAAGACACCAGTGGCGGCCAGCTTCAGCTTCAACCTTGACCATCCGCCCGTTGATCAAAAGCAAATCTACTTTGAACTACTCTGCGTGGCGCTCGCGGCACTGCCCCGCTGTCTACCACCCGAGAGCTTGATAAATTTCAACAAGATTGTGGAGATTTTATGCCATGGGACAGCACACTCCGACCAAAGAGTCGCAACGGCATCTGCAAACGCACTCAAGTGTATCGCTAGACAGTCGCTCCAACGGCAGAAGGTCATTATTGGGTTCGCGCGGTTTATATTCGATTTCGATACAAAATATGCCACAACCGCGGATGGTGGGCTTCTCGGTCCTGCACACATTGAGAATACCTTGAAACTTTACGTGGAGCTTCTACAACTTTGGATCGATGCTATCAAGCAAAAGACGAAAGCACCCGCTACCCCATCACTGTTGTCGATGAACATGAACATGAACATGAATATGAATATGAACATGAACATGCAAACACCAGAACCAGAGCAAATCAAGCCTGATGATTTGGAAATATCTAATGTTCTCGCTATAGTCGATGAAATCGAGTCCCATGGTCTTTTCTTCTTATCCAGCCAGTCCCGAATTGTTCGAAAATTCGCAATTATGGTCTTAAAGTTGATTACAGAATTCGACTGCGCCTTGGACGAAGAGGAACACGGTAGTGCCTCCTTAGCACTCAGAAAGAGCCGAAGGGAATCGCAACGATTTACCCGAATCATTCAAATCATGGAATACGACTCCCTACACATCATGAACCAAAATGTCAATGACGAGAAATGGTCTGTTGCGGACAGAAGCAGATTACGCCGTGAGCTTATGGAGAACAGCGCTCAAGATGCTCTCGTCAAGCTTGCCACGAGTGAGAATCAATATGATTCCTCACTATGGTTCAAACTTTTCCCAAAGCTTATACGAGTCTGTTTTGAGAGGTTCCCATTGACGGTCGTTCAATGTCGTGATAGCGTCTGCGCGAGACTGAACCACATGCATTCACAAATACAGTTTGCGTCTGAAACTCCTAGATTCCAGACTAGATTAGCATCGCCTTCTGCTGCTGATATCTCAATTGAGCAATGGAAGCTGTATCTTATTGTCGCGTGCTCTACGCTTACTCTAACAGACGAACAGGTCGCTCGCCAACCCACGCCAAACCTTCAGCACGCTCGCAAAACCTCAAAGTCTGCTAGTAACGCCTCGCAAAACCCCTACGATAGACTAAATTCCGGTCGATCCCTCTTTCAACTTGTTGTCCCCTTCATCAACTCCGAAAACCAAGCGATTCGTGAAGCGGTAATCTTTGGCCTTGGCTCCATTAACTTAAATCTCTACAAAACCCTTGTAGAAACACTCCAGCCGATAATCATGCGCTGGAACGATGGTCCCGGGGCGAAAGTCCAACGGCCTGGGCAAAATGGACAAATGGTTGTGCGCAGGTCGACAAGACATGATAGGTGGAGAACCGGGATCACGCATATCATGCAACTAACCTCCTACTTCCTCCTCCAACCGGATGTGTACAACGACGATTGGATGTTGCGCCATATCATCAATTTAATCAAGGATAACAAGAATTTCTTGAGCGACCCTGATGTTAAAGGAGACATCGCGTATCATCGACTTAGGCGCTACTTTTGCGGCTTAACAGAAGACTTCTATGAAGGGATCCTTAAGCTACCCGATCAGGAGCATGAGAAGTGGCTTCCATTTGACGGGCGACTGTCTCTGTTTTCATTAATTGAGGATTGGTGTGGGACGAATTCTGCGTGGAGACAGCACATCAATGCGGCTGTGGAGATTGAGAAGAATGATCTGAAGAATGCAGCGTTGAGTGCTATGGCCTCACTTTGTGTAAGGCCCATCTGATCATCTCATAATCATTGACTATTTAGGTTACTAATGTATTATTCTAGGCTGGCCCCGTGATGAAAATCATTGAAAACAAGTCCACCCTGACATTTGACATCCTAGGTATTTTCCACTGGCTGGAATCCATCTTTGGCGAATCCAGCGACAGGATCCACCGCATTGGACGAAAAGCACTCAAGAATCTTCTTGAGTGTAATAAAAAAGTACCCAGCATCCTCGCACTCGCGATACGGCAGTGTTATCTCTACAAGAATAGTCCAAAGGGAATCGAAAGTTACTTCCATGTAGTTTCTGAAGTCCTTATCAATAGTACCGACGACCCTTGCGACCATTGGAAGTCCCTCGCTTTGGCATTATTCAAGATAGGAGACGACAATCAAAAGATACGGTCCAAAGCCGCGACACTCTTACGGATTACTGAGCAACGCTTTTTCGGCAGCCAAACGACATTGGATTACGAAGTTAGTATATCGGATAAAACGGCTGCCGTATTCAAAAAGGCACAGTTCGAATTGTCGAGAACACTATCCCAGCAGCACCCTGAAGCTGCGTTCTTCATATTTTCAGAGTTTACACTGTTCTTTAATATTGTGGATGGGAAGGGTCAGAGGGACATTCTTGCCGTATTGCTCCCATGGGTTCAAATGATTGAACTGCAACAGGATCCGAATGGAGGACCCAGCCCATCGTCTTATATGGTTCTTGCCAATCTCTTCGAGATTACCGTGAAGTTTAGCGGGAAGATACATAATGAAATTGAAGGGTTGTGGAAGGCATTGGCTAGTGCGCCGTATGCTGGGAATGTCAAGGTCGTCTTGGACTTCATCATCGCACAATCATTAGAGCGAAAGGAACAGAATTTCGTCAACGTTGGCAAGCAGATTATTGTGTTTCTGGCAGGAACGGCGAACGGGTCGAAACTTGTGGAAGCTCTTTTGGAGTACCTTCAACCGCGGCTGATGACTTCCCCGCAAAAGAACCAAGAGCCACAGGGGGTCCCCGATGCGAGCCTGTTCCCCTACATGGCCAACATGGCGGAGTCTTTACCTGTTGGTGGGAAACAGCACGGGTTTTCGAGGGGTCATTTGGGGTTAATCTTTATGGTTGATCTAATGGTTGGGCCTGTGCCCGAGATGTCGCCGAACTTGCCGTTATTGTTGCAGGTAGTGTTTGTTCTTTGGGACCACTATGTGCCTTTGGTGCAGGAACAAGCAAGGGAGATGTTGGTGCATTTGATTCACGAACTTGTCATCTCTAAGACAGGCAAGAGCATCGAAGAACTTCACCGGGTTAGGGAGTTTGTGGAGGCGGTAAGGACACAACAGGCGAAGATGCAGTGGGCGTATGATGAGACTGGGTCTGATACCGACCCTCACCGGGTTGCACCATCGATGGGACAAATGATCGAGGATGTCCTCGACTTTTTTACACCAGATCATAAACTGTTGAAGGTTCAGTGGAGTCGGGTGGCATTACAATGGGCTACGAATTGTCCCGTTCGACATCTAGCTTGTCGGTCCTTCCAAGTGTTTAGATGTCTCCTCGATGCGGCGGATCTAGATCAACCAATGTTGGGGGATATGCTCGCTCGACTTTCGAATACGATTGCAGACAACTCACCGGATATTCAATCATTCGCCATGGAAATTTTGATAACATTAAATGCGATCCTGGCAGCATTGGATCCCGAGGATCTTATGCATTTCCCTCAGATGTTCTGGGCGACAGTGGCGTGCTTGCATACTATTCACGAGAATGAGTTTATGGAAGTACTGTCGTTGCTTGAGAAGCATTTACTCAAGATAGATTTATCAATGGAGGATAACGTAAACATTCTGGTTAGCATGTTCCCTAGCAATTGGGACGGGAACTTTGAGGGGCTACAGGCGTTGATGGTGAAGGGGTTGAGATCTGGGGTCGCATTACCAAAAACGCTGCAGGTTATGGACAAGTTGAATAAGTTCCCGAGTAATAAGTTGGTTGGAGGAGATGACCGGTTGCTTATCGCGCTGTTGTCAAACCTTCCAAGGTTTTTAGATGCATCAGAGAAAGAGGCGGTTCCGGATGAGATTCTAGCGTGTGCAGCGAGTTTGAAGCAGATCGCAGATGATGAGTCGCAGCCGGATATTGCGAGGATCATGGGTGCCTACGCGGCTGGGAGGTTTAGGAACAAAGATGGATTCAAGTCTCAAGCTGTCTCTGCTATCCGAAACGCCTACTTCCCGGATTACGAAGGTCCAGCGTTGATTTTCCTTGTCGGGCTTCTTACGAATGCGACACCCTGGGTGAAACACAAGGTTATGGAACTGTTGAATTCGTTACTACCGATTATCGATCTTAAGAAGCCGGAGTTTACAGGACTTGGTGCGGATTTGATATCCCCATTGCTGAGGCTTTTGCAGACGGAGTATTGTCAACAAGCGCTCGAGGTTCTTGATAAAGTTATTTCGATTTCTGGAGGGAAGATGGATCGACAGGTTATGAGGATGAGCATGGGTAACCGAACAATTAAGAAGGAGTACGAAAGGACAGAAACACTGTTTGGGATTCCCGAGGATAGCGGGTGGGCTATCCCCTCGCCAGCTATTAAAGCACAAACTACTCGACATAACGTCCATTCAGTATTCTACACCTGTCAGATTCCCGAGACGCCACAAGACCCACTCGGCGACGCACCGGACATGCAATTCATCATGGAGGATTACGGATACACGAGCTTTCAAGACCGTACCGCAACCATGCTTTCCGAAGGTGTTGGTGGTGAAGGTGGATTGGGAGATATGGTTGTTCGTCTTGAATCCCTCGATAACTTCTTCGCCGACGAATCATTTAATAGTGCACAAACCCAAACTACAGACGGAGATGCCGCGGAAACGGCCTCACAAACCTACGATAATCGGGTATACCATATCCTCAACAGATCACTACAGCGATCACCGAGTGTTACGAGTTTTAACCATACATTCGGAGATTCTTTGAGTATGCCACCGGGATTCGTTAGGGAACACCCACCAATCATGACACCCACGCTTTTTGCAGCGCCACCTATGGCACCTGCTGCATTTGGGAAGGGAGGAGTGCCCAATCGTGTCACTGGGAATCAACAGTTAGGATATGAAGATATGAGACGTCACCCAGGTGGTAGCGAAAGCTCTAGCGATAATGAATACGAAGAAGATGTTAGTGACGATGATTTGGAAGACCATGCTACGGCTACCACACCGAAGGATGATTCTCCTTTCTTATTAGAAAGTTTGTTAAGAAGCGCAGGACAAAAGGCAAAGAGTGGGGTCGAAGGTGTGAGAAACTTGAGGAGGGGAAGAGAAGAGAGGAAGGAAGAAAGGGAGAGAGAGAAGGAGATGAAAGCGGCAGAGAAGGAGAAAAGAGTTGTTAGTCCCAGAGGGTTTGGAAAGTTACCGAAGAGTCCGAAGTTGGGGGCTAGACGTGGAGGGGATAGAACAAGTCCTCCGCCACCGATGCCTCCGGCTGAGAATTTGACGGGATGGTAAGGAAGTTGGTAGATGGTAGATGGTAGATGGTATTTCGTATTGGATCATGATCATACCCCCTTTTACACTTTTTGCGATGAGTTTGCTTTTAGAGTTATGTGATATATGATATGATGTACGATGTATGCTGATGGATGTTTCTCATGGCTATGTCTTCTCCTAAGCTCAAGCTTTTCTCTCCGATGTCAGCGATGTTCTTCTTATTCTTCTTTCGTTTTTTTAATGACTCCGTATATTTGTAATTCTCAAGACCTTTAGGCATTCAACATCTGTTTGGATATCCTCTTGCAATTGTTTCTACGCATACCCTTTTTTTTCTTCTTTGATACAATTTTGAGCATTCCCGAATTTTCTATATTTCAGGATATTCTGTATTGTAGACACCACTTTACAATTGAGAAAACACCCTTGTTATATGAAAAGAAAGATCTTTGATAAAAGGTCCGCTGCTAAAATGCCTTGAAATCTCATAGTAAAAACCAATCGCCCGCTGTTTGCATGTACCCAAAACACCACCGCAATATAGAAACGAAACAAAGTTCACGCAATGCTATGACCGTAACCCCCAACTATGAAATGTTGCTCCCTAGCTTTAAATAATAAGATAAAATAAAATGCAGTTCGTCGACAAACCCCGTAAATAAAACCTGTACCAATAAATCCAATCAACCTTTCACCAAGCTTTCAGCCCTCAACTGCTTGAAACCCTTCCCGGCAACATATCCCTGATACGCCTTGTATCTCAGCTTAGCAGGCATATCCTCAACTCCAGCAATATAATTATCGGCCGCATCCACAAACGACCTATAAACCGCCTCATCCTCGGCCGTACTGCTCAAATTCGCAACAGCACTCGGACTCCCACTGTTGAGATAATCTACAAAGGCTCTCGGTGGGTTCGAAATACCTTCGTGGGGAACCATTGGAAGGTTCAGAGGGTGGGTTACGTAACGTTCATACTCCGCTTTCTCGGATTTTGAGACAGAAGGGTTGAGGGAGTGATGGACTATTTGGTCCATTGTCCAAAGATGGGGTGGTAGAGTTTCCTTGTCAGATTTGGAAACGGCACCGGGTATTGAGGGAATACTGTCATTTAAACTTAGGTTTAAGCTGTACTTCAAATTGTTTTCGTGAGAATGGTGGGATTGTCCACCGTTAGCATCTGTAAGCCAGCGTTGGAGGGACAGTCGTTTGATCTGTTTGCTGAGGTCAATGGTTGGGTCGAGAATCTTCACGCCCCGGCGTTTGCGTCGGTTATCTTTGTCGCCAGATGAGCTGCGGACAGCGAAGGGCGATGGGTCTTGATTTGCTCCATCTGGGGTTTTGGTGCTCCTGTAGAAGGTATTAGACATCGGTTACATAATTGAACAACGCCACGGGGTTGCATACTTGGCCGTCGAGGCCATTCGATAGGCAAAGATCTTTGGAAAAGCTGACAGAGCCTTTGGTCTATAATACTCTGACCAGAATTCATCATAGAATGAGATATCCCGGTTATTCAGTTCCGACATTGAAACAACAGGTGGTATCTCCATTTTCTCAAGATGCGAGTCTGTCCACCACTTCACATAGCTGCGTTTGTTCTTCTCCATTCTTGGATCTGCATGGTGAAGATAGTAGTCTGTTTCAAGATCCCACAACATCGGCTGACCCTTTGCGAAGATGTAATTTCCCAAGAACAGATTGATAGCCTCTTGTCGCTGAGCATCCATAAAAGAATTATTGTAATACCGCTTAAAACTCTCAATCATGTCCCGCGATTGGCTAGACCATTGATTGATCTTACGGTATGTCTCCATGGTGTTAACCAAATGCGAACCGCCGTATTGGAGAGCAATGCTGTCGCCATGGTCGTGATACATGTGAGTAAACAAGTTGGAAACATCGGTGTCATACTTAAGATACCCATCTTCGATAATCCCAAGGGCCTTCAATTGCATTCCTAGAGCTCGCTTCCCGATCACGAATTGTGCAGCATTGGTTCGGTCAAGGCAGTCAATGCAGTTAGTTCGACATACCCCGCGTTGGAGTTGAATCGGGTGGTCATCGCCATATCCATTATGGAAGATGCCAGTCTGTTTCAGAACATCTTCTGCAGTTTCTTCAAGTTTTTCGACAACGTCCTGGTCGCGGCTTTTCGCAACTCGGCTCATGTCCCAGGCCTTGTAGATAATGTCGTCTTTATTGGGCAGCAGGTTTTTGAGGTAGTTAACGGCTTGTGTGAACTCATGCAACAGGAGGGATTCTCGAGGAACTCTTTCCCTCGATTTGATGAGGTTAAGGACTATTATCGGGGCTCCATATCTATCGAAAAGCTGGTCAAAGTGGAGGGCGGCAGCACTGAAGAAAGGATCAACGAGATTGAGAGTGATTGGAGGTTTTGGAACAGACGGGCTAGATTCCTGCGACCAATACAGAGGTATACTTCCACGATGTTGAACATAGGATGTGTAATTCGGGCTCCCGAAGAGGATCCCTCCAGGAGCATGGAAGGATGTAGTCCTCATGTCAGAGACAATCTGTTCTGACTCTACGTCGTTGGCTACATATCCCAAGTCGTTTGCGCCTCGCTTGAGAAACCTTGCGCCGGCAAAATATCTAGATCTTCGAGCAATGAGGGTGACATAGACTGGGCGCCCAAATACTGAGATTTTGCGTTGATCAAGGAAGCCGTGAAGCAAAGGGAGGCACCAATCGAATGTATTTGTCATGTACTGAAGAGCGGGTTGCAGAAGATAGTGGTTCCAAGCAAACATTTCGTTGTAATCAGCACTGGACGTCATTGAAGGCCTCAATCCATTCTTCAGAGATTCTCGAGCTTTCGTCAAATTGTACTGGAGCGTCCGAGAGATGTCATAAGAATAGCTGAAGTAGAAGTTCTTCGTCAGATCCAGGTTGCCAAATATACCCATAAACCGGGCCTCCTCGGGGTTCTTGTCTGCTTTCTTCGTAGATGTGGCTGTGATTATTGGAACCAATTCGGTAGCTTCAATTTGGTAGATGTAATGACCACCAAGCATGGCGACTATAGTCTTCTGCGTGATGACCAACATGTAATAGTTTGTCGTGAACCGAATGAATCCAAGAATCCCCCACATTGCACACCGCTTCTTAAGCCCTCCATGAGCTAGATTACCATCTTCAATGGCGGCTAGAAGCTGTGTCAACTCATCTTTGCTGTAGACAACATCATCTTCAATGATGGAAAGCTCCCCGGGATCAACGGTCCTATCAATTTTCAACATTCGGTATCGTTCGTCCTGTGAATCGGAGCCGACAATGTAGTATCGTGTAGAAGTCTCGTAGAGTATGAACTTTTGCATACGATGGACACCATCGGGAGTATCTGATAGAGCTTGCTGAGGTGGCCGCTTCTCATCTCCACCCTCAACAGGCGAATTTGCAGAATTCCTACCAGAATAGTGAACCGGCGTGGTGGGGTGAAGGTGTGGCGAGGCGACGAATGGCTCCTGTTTCTCGGCTGAAGCATCGACAGCTTCAGAATGCTCAATAAATGTGCCCTCGGACACCTCAGATATCGCCTCTTCTTCTTGCCCTAGAACCGGGGGGTTAGGGTCTTGGTTATAGTCGTAGTTCTCGAAATTCTCAGCCATCTTGGAAATTGAGTGCCAAATGGCTAGCTGGTGATTGATTAGGGTGGTCGAAGCTTGGAAGAAGCAACTAGACTGCTTAAAAGGCGCTGTACTTTCAACAGCATGCTAATAAGCGTCAGAGTAAGCTTGTTAAGCTTTATATTTATTCGTCACATAGGCGTGGAGTCGAGCTTATTTGGTGATGTTTTCGATTAATACTGGTTATCGATATTGTCGCAGGTAGTTGCAGGTGGTTAGTTGCGGTTGTAGGTTCAAGGAAGGAGGAGCATCATCATTGCATGACGAGCAACACAGGCGAGCTAGGTCCTTAGTCAGCTAGCAAACACAACCATGTTCATCTGACCGCGGGTTCTCTTAGCTTAAGTCACGTCCACCCTTCTGAGCTACAGCTTCGACAACCTATCACGGTTGCAGGTCGTGTCGCCCCATAAATTCGAGTCATCCCAGCTCCAAGGTTTCGAGAAAAATGGCGGACGATATGGATATATCCGCCGATACTCCTGAGCAACCAGAGGTTATGGCTTCAAACGACGATCCGCGAGGAACGAAGCGTAAAGCTACCGACGAGCTACTTGGGAACGCTCCTAGAAGGATTAAGGTCGGTTAGTCCCGAGTCTCGCGAAGTTTCAGACGAAGATCACTAGCTAAGGAGAATCGCGAAAAACAGGCACTCTCGCAAACAGTTGTAAATAAGATCGCTGCAGGCGAAATTATTGTTGCACCTGTGCATGCCCTAAAAGAATTACTCGAGAACGCTGTGGATGCAGGGTCGACTTCTATCGAAGTTGTGGTCAAAGATGGAGGGTTGAAAATGTTACAGATTACGGACAACGGGTCTGGTATCAACGTATGGTGTACACATGCTACTGTTCGCTCTTTTTTCGAAGTTGACATGGGACATAAATTCTGTAGAAAGATGATATGGGGATCTTATGCGAAAGGTTTACGACTTCTAAGTTGAAAACTTTTGAAGACCTCGCTAGTATTGGTACCTACGGCTTTCGCGGTGAAGCGCTCGCAAGTATCAGTCATATTGCGCATCTTAGTGTCACAACAAGAACGAAAGACTCAGATTGCGCCTGGAGAGCCCTCTATTCCGATGGAAAGCTGATACCACCGAAGCCAGGTGGTTCGGCTGAACCGAAGGCTGTTGCAGGGAGGCAGGGAACTCAGATAACGGTCGAAGATTTGTTTTATAATGTGCCTAGTAGGCGACGGGCTTTTCGGAATACGAACGAAGAATATTCCAAGGTCCTGGATATGGTTGGGAAATATGCGATTCACTGCGATGGGATAGCATTTAGTTGTAAAAAGGTAGGAGAATACTGACAGAACATTCGATCTCCTTACTAACTAGTTTCCAGCATGGGGAGTCTTCAATGGGGGTAGCAATACAAAGCACTGCGAAAACAATAGACCGTGTTCGACAGATCTACGGCAATGCAGTCGCAAACGAACTTATCCCGTTCAAAATTGAAGACCAGAAACTCGGATTCAAGGCAAAAGGCTTAATTACGAATGCAAATTATAGCATCAAGAAGACCACAATGCTATTGTTCATCAACCGTGAGTATAAGGAACTATGCGGCGCATTACTTAAATACATTCTAACAATACAGCACAGATCGTTGTGTCGAATCCACTGCTATCCGGAAATCGTTAGAATCTGTGTATTCGGCCTTCTTGCCCAAGGGTGGCCATCCATACATATATGCAACAATAGAAATCGAACCTCACCGAATAGACGTAAACGTTCATCCAACGAAACGAGAAGTGAACTTTTTGCACGAAGATGAAATCATCGAGAGGATATCAGACGCCGTTCAAGAAAAGCTAGCAGCGGTGGACACATCTCGCTCGTTTATGACGCAGACAGTATTACCTGGTGCAGGAATTCCTTCTTCATCAGCGCTTCCGCCCACTACTCAAGCTTCTAGTTCTAGAGGAACAGCTGCAAATACTCCGGCAAAGCCATCACAAACCCCGAAACGCCCCTATGAAAACGAAATGGTGCGAACAGATGCAAGGGTCAGAAAAATTACTTCGATGTTACCGCCTGCCACCCCTTCGTCTGCGTCGGGCGATATATTCCGCAGTCTCAAACATAATGATGCGCCGAACGGGGAATATGAAGATGATTCACAGCCAAATTACGAGGTTATTGATACAAATAGGCGGGTGATTAAGCTTGCGAGTATAAGAACTCTCAAAACCGAGGTCAGGGATCAGGCCCACGAAGGGCTTATTGAATTATTCGGAAATCATACTTGGGTTGGGGTTGTAGACGAGTGGAGAAGACTAGCGGCCGTTCAGAACGGGATAAAGTTGTATTTGGTAGACTACGGGGCGGTGTGGTATGTCAAAGATTCCGTCTGGGGTGTATGCGCGATGAAACTAACAAGAAGCACAGTTTTGAATTCTTTTACCAGCTCGCTTTAACCGACTTTGGAAATTTTGGCCAAATGCGACTCCAAGAGCCGTTGTCTATAAGAGATTTGATGGATATTGCAGTAGAATTAGAAAAAAATGCGGAAATCGAGGAGACCGGTGAAATTCAATCAGATTGGGAGGGGGTTGCGGCAGTAAGCTCTTCCCACCCACGGGATTACTGAAGCCTTAGGAACTAAATCATTTTTATTACAGCAAGTCACCGAGACAGTGTTCGAAAAAAGAGAAATGATGTCCGAATATTTCTCTTTGATTATTAACGACGAAGGCGAGATCGAGAGCATACCTTTACTATTAAAAGGTTACACACCGAATCTTGCGAAGCTGCCAACCTTCCTACTGAGATTAGGACCGAGAGTAAGTTTTCTTTTTTACAAGGTCGAAATCCCCTATCGGAGTCTGTACTAACGTAATAAAGGTCAATTGGGAGGATGAGCTTGAATGTTTCGACTGTATCATTCGAGAACTCGCAATATTTTACGTACCAGAATCCGTCCCACGTCCAGTACAATTCACTGGGGCCACACAAGCGACAGAGGGCGAGGATTCAGAGATGACTGGCACATCCGATAGTGTTCCGGCCGAAATTAGAGAGCAGATTGAGGTGTATGAAACTCGCAGAAAAGAAATAGGTATAGCGTTGGAGCGGGTGCTATTTCCAGAATTTAGGAAAAGGTTGCTACCATCGAAAAAGCTTCTGAAGGGTATTACTGAGGTGGCGAACCTAAAGGGTTTATATAGAATCTTCGAGAGAAGCTGTTAGTAGAGCTTTGGGTTGGAAGATCTGTGGGTCAAAGTTTGAGGCTATTGATCCGGCACGCCAGGCTAGCTAGCCTGGAGTATCTATCTTATTGAATTTATTGGTTACTACTGGCATCGGCTGGTAGATGAGCTCGAAGACTGGCGTTTTTACCAATTTTAGCCAATTTTTAAGTATATAACGCATATTTCTAGAACCCACAATAACTTATGTATTAATTCTTTATCTTACAATATAATACCAGTAACCAGTGGCGCGTACGTATTAACAACTGCAGTCGTATACGCGTGGCGACGGCGAGAGTGATTCATGGATTCAAGGTGTATCTGCATGTCTCAGATTCTTCAAATTTTCGCATCGCATGCATGAATTCTTCTTAACCAAACCTTCTCTTCTTTTCTTCCCTTCAACATTCATCCCTTCATACCACAAAAATGGCAGCAATCGGTTCTCTAGTCTTCTGCACGGATTGCGGTAACCTTCTCGACCGGTCTGTTGGTCAGGATAAGATCAAATGCAATGTTTGCGGGTGTATCAATAAAGGTTTTTAAATCCCATATCCTCCTCGAGACGACCTTGTTCCATCGAATTTGATCGACTAGGTGAATTATATTAACAAAGCAAACAAAAAAATTGAAGACACAAGCTCTAGAACGGTAGTAACACATTCGAATCCGGATGCCTTCCCATCGGCTCTCAAACAAAAGCATTCTACTGGTCAAAATCTAGCGCCAGAGGATGTTGGCGGCCAAGCTGAGGTTCGTAGATTTCAATCATCGATCATATTATCTTCCTTCGAATTTCATGCATTTTGGGAGGCTATTTTTCTATCCCGACCGAAAGAAACTTTTTTCTTGGTTTGGGCGACAACACAGAAAGTGCAACAATTTACTGACCACCGTGGCTGATAGATTGACACGCCATGTCCTAAATGCGAAAATCCAGTTATGAAGTTTACGACTGTACAATTGAGAAGTGCTGATGAAGGTGTAAGTTTTTTTTTCATTCGAGAATCTATTTAGTTTTTATAAGAGTATTCCCTCGATATTAACAAAGTTTATAAATGAATAGGCTACTGGTATGCATACAAAGCTACAATCCTTCTTATGATCCACGTTGGTGATTCTAATTATAATATTTTATATTCGTCTAGTATTTTATAATTGCCCAAATTGTGGTTACAGGTAAGCTAGAATACTAATAAACTATTTGGATATAATTTCTCTAACGCTGAGGATCTTTTAGGTATAATACGAACAATTAGGGGGTTGTCATGAGGCGGGGGGCGTTCACTGTAACATATTATATTTCGCAATTTCGGATGGAGTTTAAGGAACTTTCAGTATCTAGAGTCCTAAGTATCTTGACTCTGAGCTAGGACTAGTACTGTATGTAATAGATTGTTCTGAATCAAAATTGCCGGCTTGGTAAATTTTAAAACTTCATGGAAATCAGAAGCTGGTTCATGGGATCAGGCTTGCTTTGTCAATTGTTGACACTTGGTAATCCGAAATATTTGTGAAATCTAGCTATAGTGGGAACGGGGCCACCTCGTATCTATAAACCGATATAGACATGAGTAAACTCGCTTGTGAAAATAAGCCGGTATTTGGTCTAGGAATAAAAGTCAGATATCAATTCAAATGCCTGTTAAATATCTACAAATGACATCTACTTCGTAACTAGTTCATGAATAAAAATAAAAAAAACAATCAAATAAAAACTTTTAATGGTATCTCCCAAATCCGTGTATTCGTAAAAGGCAACCTTGGGGGGTATACTCGGGTCTCATTTCTAAATCGCTTCAAAAAAATCCCAACAATGAATCCCTTTGCTTGTTCAAGCTCTAACATCGCCAGGAATCAAAGCATACTCCAACTCCCCGCTCTTTTCAAATTCGCTCATATCTAATGCAACAATCGCGCTGTCTCGGACTAGTTTTTCTGGATCATTAATATATTTCAGTAGCTCCTCGTCGATCTCTGGCAGACCGATGCTTCCGAGTGCCTCGGCGGCTTCGTGACGGACCATTCCGTCTTCCTTTGTATCCGCGAGAACTTTGAGAAGGGCATCTTTGGAGTGTGGGTCAGACATTTGTCCGAAGATGAAGGCGATTTCATGACGGAATAGAGCTGAGGGATCAGCGAAACCGCTGGCGAGGGCGTCGATAGCTTCTGGTGTGCCGATGTCACGGAGACGGAACATGGCTCTGTAGCGGTAGAAGAGAGTGAGGGATTGGTCGTTCATGGTATCCTGAAGTTCCGAAATTGATTTCATCTTAGATGGGAGTGGTGGAGCAGGATCAATGGAAGCGAAGGCACTGCAATTTTCTAGGGTTAACAAGCCGATCTACAACAGTTTTAGGTGGTGACTTTTTTTATCATTAAAAATACCTTTTTTGTAAATCCTCATTCTTTGCCTGTTCGGAAAGATCATATTCGATCTTTGCAATCGAAAGTTCACAGGTTTGCCTTACAGCCTCTTCCGGGTCATCCAAATACTTTCGCAACAACGGCAAACTATCGGCCCCTCCGATTGCGGCGAGAGCCTCAGCAGACTCATGACGGCAAATAGCAGCCTCGTTCAGATCATCAAGCCTCTCTCTCAGAGGTTTTATAGCATAATCATTCTTAGTTTGACCAAGACAGTATGCTAACTCATGTTTCAAAAGTGCAGATTCCGATGAAAAGGCGGCGGCAATGGCATCGATTGCTTTGAGGTCACCGTTAACACCAAGATGTTTTAAAGAGAACAGGGCACGAAATCGGAGGGCGAGGTTTGCTGATTCGTCGCAGAGGACGGTTTGGAGTTGTAAAACGGTCTCCATTGCTGTTCTTACTGATGCTATTTTGGTGGTGAATATTGATGTGCGATGTTTTTAGTGGGATGTCGGTGGGTGAGCTCGTGAGACTTTCTGTTCGGCGCAAAATATTGACAAGGGAAGCTTGGGAACCGGAGCGCGGGGCAGCGATGCTCCGGGGGAGGGGCAGCTCGGGGTATGCCCGGTAGCACCGACTATTGTTATTACCGACTCTGGTACGGGGTTAAGAAACACCAAGCTGAAGCCTTCGATTCTCGCCGTATACAAGACTAGCTCAAGCGGAAGTTATCTTGTGAGCTAAATGCTACGGTCCAGACCAATGCTACGGTAGGAGCGGAACCTATCTCTATAAGGTACATACTATGTATTTCTTATTCATAGTTTAAAAAAATTCTACGGTACACAAGTCGCAAAAAATGCTGCAATTATAGACAGAGTATCTCGCAAAGCCCAGCATGACAAACCGTTCAAAGCCAACAAGAATTACATAAAACAGGTAACATCGGTGTTCCTATTGTATAAAAACATTTCTATTGATCTATCTATGTCGGCCAGGCTGCTGGGGGGGTGGATGGGCCCCAGGGCGGCCCTGCGCCTGTGGAACATTTCCACTACTGCCGCCAGTACTCTGCGGCTTTGGTGGCGGGCGCTTCGGATCCGGATCAGGCTCGAATAAATGCGGTGGTGGTTTGCGTGGTGGCTGGTCTGCGTCTAGCATCAATGTCATCCTATCCTCTCTTCCGAATGCTAGTTGCTCTAACCACGAATCAGGAGAGACCATGTGCGAGCTTCCGAGATATACATCTCTCTGGTACTGTTGAGAGATTTCGTAGCAGGACCTGGCTTCCGAATATGTAGCGCCTCCGGCAACAAAAACAATCATTCGTTGCTTCACTTCTACACTGCCAGATCTCTGTTTCGTCCATGTAGGCTTAGATGTCCGAAGGGAAGTCTGTGGCCCGGCTAGCTGGGCTGCTTCAGCCGCAGCATCGGGATCCGTAAAAGGATAAGATTCCATATCTAGTGTTCCTCTCAGCTGATCTTCAAGCATTGTTTTGACCGCAGGAACGAAACGTGAAAGCTCCATTCCTTCTGGAATTGGTTGGGGCCTGACTGGTGGGTGTTTGTAACCCGGTCTGTTGGTTTCCTTGAGTCGTCGCAGGACACGAACACCGATTAAGTCAAGGTTGTAAAGGGCCGCCTTTACGGGTCCACTGACTTTTCCGTGACGGAACAGTTTTTCGACATCAGGGCCTAGAAGCCCGTCTCTCCAAATAAGGTATAACATAATCAACCGTAGGCGGTCATTTCCGTTCCTAAGCCGACCAAAGTTAGAAGGTAACTAAGCTTTGTTGAAGAAGGTATGTTTCATACTGTGTAATTGGGCTGTCCAGTAGCTGAACTAGTTGGTCTGTAACGTCTCTAGGTTTTTCGTTCCCGGAATCGAGCCCGGTTGCCAGAGTCTAGTAATATAGTTAGTGATTGGAAATAGTAGTTCAGGGTTATTCTTAGTAGTACCTGTTCCAGGTCCGCGATATCTGGCAGGCCCCTCTCTTTAAAGATGTTCATACACTCCTGTGCCATTGTTAAATGCAGTTCGTACGCATCTTTTGTAGCAGAGAACTGGGGCAACGCCGCTAACATGGTCTTTAGGGCAAAGACGGTGTTCGCGTTTTCACTACGGAGAGCTTATTAGTAATAACCGTAGTAATTAGAGCAATGATTAACTTACGCGCTCTGAAACTCCGGGTGGTCCTTGATAAACTTGTCCAAATCCGCCATAACAGTTTGAATAGTCTCCGTCATGTGTTTATGCCTAACCTTAGTCCATACTGTATCGTCGTCGTTGAGAACCATAGGTCGTGGATCTGAAGATTGTGGGGTATATGTAACTTTTCCATCTTCTTCTTGGATTGGAAGCAAGTCGTGGGCCATGGCTTGGTATGTGAATTCATGCAGTAGGGGAGCTACCGGGTCCATACTCCTGTCCACGATGAATAGCACACCCCGGGGCCGCATTTTGTCGTCCTGAGGGGGCCATTGCTGGTTGGAAGCCTCCATATACTGTTGGTAGCGGATCAATTCCTTCTGGACTTCCATCGCAATCATTTGGGGTAATTTGCTAGCTCGATGGCTAAAGTGAGGACTCATAAAGTATCGGACAACTGGGAACTCATCAAGGGCGACACAAATCCCGAGAATCTGACTTTTTGGTTAGAGAAAATCTACGGAGAATAACTATTGAGGGCTACAGACCTTTTTTGCCGTTTCAGAGAACTCCCTTTGCGCCAAGGCGTCACATTTTGGATTGTACAAAGGGTGGAACGACTTAGGATCCTTGAATGTGAAAACGTGACTTTCCGTTGGGTGGAAGTTGATTGGCAAGATTCTCTCGCTGAGAACCCAGTTCCGGCTATTCTGTGCTTGTCGAGCGAGACGGCTTCTCATGGAGTCAGAAGGACCTATCCACGGGTTAGTTGACAGGTCAATCCGTCGGTCATGATGCTAGTATGTGCACTAACTTGACGTCCACACCAAATGTCCTCCCATGTGCCTTGGTCTCTGTCGTTTGAACTCCGAGAGGAGGCACTCGAGGATATGGGGTTTCGGTGTTAAGAAATAGACAGCTTCCATGTCGGGATGGGCGCTTCGTCGGCTTTCAAGTTCCTCCACACCTAAGTCGGCTGTCAGTTTTACTGTTGAATCTGGATGATACCCTGTGGAAAATCCAACTTGCCAGCAACATTTTGACTAATGATCTCATCTCTCGTTACGACGCTATCGATGAGAGTTAGGGCCTCAGTGTCGGCAATAACGTATCTCCACTGTATTTCGCAATTTAGTCGAGTTCAGAGGTCGAGGGAGGAAGAAGAGGGTTCTACTAACTTGTCCCTCTGGGAAGGTGTGCTTCACCGTATCCAGAATCACTGAAATCCAGGTTGTTAGCTCTCAATTCCAGCTTTAAGGGGTTGTAACAAGTTCAGCACCTTTTTTCTGAAGCTTAATGAGGTCAGAAGACATCTTGTCCACTAAAAGCCTTAGACCTATTCGTCTAGCTTTCCTCCCCCGCTGTTTTGGTGGTGCTTAATCTTCCAAACAGATAACTGCCCTGGTAGGTTCGCAGTCGACGGAAATTTAATGAGGGCTTCGTCTTGAGGCTTGAGATGACTTTTGAGTATATGTTGGTTGAGGGGCTGGAGGAGAGCTGGCAGATTACGGGAAATATCTCACCCACAGCCGAGAAGGGAGGTTCCATCCATCAGTTCAGGAAACGGACCGCGTAGTAGCGGATCACGTGAGCAAATGTCTGTTTGACTGGCTTGTACTACTAAGAACAACACGGCAACGCAAGAGTTGCAGGCGGCGTGGCGTTCACAGGTCTGTATGAGGTGAGGCCTGGATCAAGTAGCCCCAATATAGCAGTGGGGGATATGCAGATATTCCCCGGTTCATACTTGTTTGGTATGATAGTAGTCTAGTGTATGATAATATCACTGCAATGTACGAAGCCGAGTGGGGAAATAACTGGTTTGGGCAGGTTCACGACCAGAAACCACAGGTGTAAGCGTTGAACTCCGACAAATATAGATACTTCAAGGCCATGTATGTGCATTTATACATACTAGGTAATGCCATAATTCTACGATAGGTCAGCTACTCATGCCTCTTGGCGATAGAATCTGGGTATCTTAGATCTAAACCATTGAAATTGAAATTGAAATTTATTATCAGATGCATGTTTGACGACCTATGTTCCATAATGGAAGTACGGGAACTTTCCGGCACATTTTGTGGTATTTTGGCAGACACAACGCAGCAAGGCCACGAGATGAACATGCCGGGAAGGTTTGCCGGTCCTCCAAAATCCCCGCCAAAACCCAACTTTTGAAAGAACCCGCCAAATTTCGTAAATTCAAGTTGCGTTGACTGGCCCGAGCTTTGCGATTCAGAATCTTTTAATTTCATACGGTTTGGATGATTCGTTCTTTTGGAATTTGGAAATATATGAAAAGTCAGGATTTTTTTATATTGGCCCCTTCTGGAGCCCAAAATTATCATGTGACTCGGCCTGCCATGTATGATTCTAACCTCAAAATACCCAACACGGCGACTCTGTTACATGCACATGTCTCATGATATTGTGATCCACTTCAGACGGTCCAAATCATTACATCTGCTGTAGCCAATTAAGTAGTATATATCAGAACATATTATAGGAGTCCAGCTTGATCTAAAGAAACCACACTAACTTGCAGTATTTCGCCGACTAATAGGCATTAATGACCGGCAATACCAACTCCAGTTCGTGCATGCATATAGGCTTCCGGCTGACATGGACCTTCAGCCTTCACTCCCAAAACAACTCACAAGACTTCTTTTAATCTTGGCGGACCTTATATAACTCGTATTCAAGCACTCTTCTCTCTGCCTTAGCAGGCTATGTCCAGGTTGCCCATGCTGACGGATCCACTTGTACAATTGTATGTCTCCCTTTCAATTAAAGTTTGCAATTAATGCAATTCCACAGGTGTCAAAGACAGCCCTATCAAAGATGTGAGACATCGAACCGTTGAAAGCGACAATTGCGACTGGGCGTTTACTCCGCTCTGGCCCAGGGTGCCCAGGGTGCCCAGAATAAGATATCACGACCGATATAGCTGCTGCCCCTATCATTTTACATGCGAGAACATAACGTTGGTGTTCAGCCCGAAGTAGTATTGTAAGCGGAGAATTCTCCATGTTATTGCAATTTTCAAGTAGGTAACTAAGTACTATATATCTATGCGGTGTTCCAATCTCAGACATCTGGACCCAGCATTTCTCTTCTTTTTAGACTAGGGAGCAGATATATTTTGTTTTGAAGTCAAGGTTCCTTAACTTTCAGTCAAAATGAAGCTCGATATCTCTCTTTTCCTTGGACTTTCTTTCAGTATCTCTGTAGCCGCTGCCTACGAACCCGTCTACCTTCAAAAACGGACATGTTCGCAGAATAATCTATACAGAACTCTTGAGCGCCTTCAAAGAGAATCATCATTCTGTCAAGCCCTTCTACTTCCCAACCCTACCGTCACAGTCCCTTCGAGTATTGCTGCAACTCCAATAGCAACAATTAGCAGTGCATGTAATTGTATCGTGGCAACATTGACCACGTCGAGGACTACGACTTCCGTCACCACGAGTTCCACTTCAGTTTGCGCGAACACAATTACCATCACCCCCAATCCTGTGACGGTTACGGAGAGGCCTGACCCTGTCACTGTGACTGAAACATATACTACCACGAGCACTCTAACGCAAGCGACATATTCTCATGTTTTAGATTTCGAGAAACCTGATCGGCTCTGGGGATGCGGCTCTAAAGTCGATATCATTAATAGAATCGATGTTGATTTCTCGACTTGTGGCGAGCACGAAGATCCCCAATATGCCCATTCTGGGGATTGGTTCTAGTAAGCACTCTAACTTTTCGGCTTCCATATACTTGTAATTGTATCGATTCGATTCTAACGTGTTGAATTTGTAGTCGCTTAGGATTCTACGCTAGTAGGAGCGAGGTAATATTTCGTTTCGGAAACAAGAAAGCCCTCGCGATTCTCCCCAATGTCGAATACGAATTCAGCATTTGGTACCGACAGCTCTCATACACCAAATCCATCTGTTCTGTCACTGTTGATCTCGGAAACCGTGGTTTGCCAAATATAGGAGGTTTAGATACTGTGAATAGTGGATATATCATAGGTTCAACATTGTATCCAACAACCAGCCTGAATTGGACAAAATCATCGATGAGATTCAAAACACAGTACACCGAATTGGGGATGTTCATTACGGCGACTTGTCGATGTCCCAGTGGAGAGAGTTGCGGTGATGTTTATTTAGGGTTTGATGATATCACCATCACGCCTGTAGTTCCGGTTTGACCTTAGTTATCGGATCTAAAAATCAGAGATTACGACGTTATCACGCAGGCTGTATTTACTTCTATATTCATTTAATTTCAATCATTTAACCTAGCTGTGTACACCATATCTAAAATAATATTTACCACCACACAGAAGTCATTCAATGGAATGTTCGATGAGGTTCGTGATTCCTCGATTCCTACATGTCAAATATATGGCAAATCTATACGATGCCACCCAACGAGAGCTTTGCCCTTAATAACTCCTAGTCTGATCGCTTTAATTCGATATACAACGGAACCCACGTATATGCATATGAGTATATATGTGATGTACGTTAGATCTGTGGAGTATAGACTAAGTGTATCCGGATAGCACAGTTGAGGATCTGCGAGTCTGGCGACGAGACAAATCCGAATATTAGCTACGCAAGAAGCATTAGATCTATCTCACATGCCAGGGAAGCTAGTCATTTGATTAACCTTAACGCCATATGTATCTTATCTTCAAAAATTTATACATCTTATTCCTACACATTATGACCATATAGCCCTAAATGCTGAATTGATATTGACTGCCACGAAATTTACAAGGTGGTAAGGGATATCGATAGATCATGGGCCGCGGCGCCGCGGCGCCGCAACGGTATATGAGCATTCATGCCACCCAATTGCCAATTCATCTGTAACACGTAGGCAATCACTCTGTGACGATATGTTGGTGGAGAGAATTTGTGTTAAGGGGCACAGACTCGCTCGGTCTCAATCCGCCCTTCCTTCCAACTTATAGCTAGCTTAACAATACCACGAATGCAAATGGACGGTACGGATTCAAAAACTTTATTGAATTATGAGAACTGATATCGTGATGCATAATGACATCTCGAAACCGAATTAGCGAAAATAAAATGGGCCTAACACTCTATGTATGCGGATATACATGCACATATATTCGGGGATTTAGAATGTAGATGATATATAATCATGTTGCTTCGGATTTCCTTTTCCGTGTACTGTCTCATATATCGACACTACGTCGCAACTATCTTGCCTTATTGCCGTGCGCATCTAGAGTTTATGCATATATGGTTGTGGCAATGCGATACGATCGTAGGACATACAAAAATCATATCGACACACGGTACGGTTCAGGCTACTAAGGCGAAACCGTTATACGTTAGTGTTATGTAAAATTCGGCGGAGTATCCCTACTTAGATAGGTATGTATATATTATCTCGTAAACCAGAATTATTTACTGCTGCGCAGCACAGAACAACTAACAGCTAACCACCAGTTACATCCAGAATGGCTGGCAATTGGTAAGCTGGCGAAGGAGCCGCGTACCGGGTTAGCAAGTATGCATAGGGTCCGAGTCACCCAATATTGCTACTTCCGCCGAAAATATGGAATCAGCCTACTTAGTCCTAGCTTTTAATTGCTCGTCTCCCACCACCTGGAACCGAGATCGAGAAGGCAAATCCTTTTCACAGCTTGGAAGATAAGTTGCAATAAATCAATAAAATAACCGACTTTATTAATTCAATCGAATTCGATTCTGTCGACTGTCTCGGACCTAGTCACAGTAAAGTATTGCCCCCACGTGATTACACTTGTGGTCTGAACGGTGCTCTAGGAACGACGGCTAATTGCCCCCCAATCCCTAAAATCGTTACGTTTGAGCGCTTTAGCATGCAACAGCGTTAATAGAGAAAATATTGTATGATTCGAGATTTGGGGCTGTTCATGTACCTTACATGCGTATCCCAACAGCGCCCGGATGTCATCCTGAAGACTAGCCTTCTGCGGGGTGTGTCTTAATAAGTTGGCGCTAACAACTTTTAGAAATGCAACTCTGAAAGGAAACAAACATAACATAGTTACAAATGGCAGAGTAAATATTGCAATGGCTACGTAGATACTAGACTTATGTATATAACACCCTTTGCGGTGCCGCAGCTAGTTGCACCCTGTGCCGATAAACGATCTTGATCAATGATTCGGCTGCTGCAGCGTAGTATACACAAAATTGTTGAAATATCGTGATATACGAGCCGTCGTAATTAGAGTTGATCCTGTATACGTATACTAAGTATATATACTTATAGCTATGCCTCAGGTCTTGAAACAAGGGATCTAGTTGTATACATGTATAAACTTGAGGCACCTAGTACCTGTAAAAAACCGTTTCCGAAGCCAATTTAGCATAGTTTAATGCCCTTTGTGACGTCCGGGAACGAAACTAGTATAGCCTTTTTTTTTAACATATAATATTACATGCTAGCATTATATAACGCAATTTAGACTTATTTGTGGTGATATAGTCGAGGCGTATTTACAAGTTAACATCGCACTTTCCTCACTTTCTTTTCCCGATATATACTTATGTCTTCGAGATTTTAAATTGCCTTTTGGACCGAACATCTTTGTATCACTTGGTATAAATCGATCCTCTCCAGTTGCCCTGAAATTTTAAAATCATCTATATACCTACATATGCGTATGTAACGTCGAAGCTTCTATGTATCTTTCGTTAATACATATATATCTTGTTCACCTAGATCTTCTAAAGTTCTGATTCGGATCCTCTTTTTAGCATTATATCGATATATCTCAGTAAGACTGGTCTAGACACTCATTGGAAACCCACGGCTAGACTCTCTAGGTTCTCTATAAGCCGGGGCCTTGAAAACCATGGGACGGATGTCGTCCTTCTGCTCCCTAGGAGTCAATCAGTTAATCATCCTTCTCCTACGGGTTAGCCTTCTGAACTGGCCCGGGTGTGTGCTTTCGTCACCAATCGCATTAAGACCCACAGGTTCAACTGATGGGGGAATTTCAACTACGAAAACCATAGAACTATCACTATTTTCGAGCCCTTCGACCTCAGGGCATCATACTAGTACAATCAGCGATACTACAGTGATCCCCCCCGCAACATTATCCGAATTTAAACCTTCCACTACCGTAGCTGAGGCTCCTCCTACCGCAATAGAAACATCACCATATGAGAAAAGAGTCCTTCAGCCTAGCTACTTTTATGAGGGAGGTTGGAGAATCAATTGCGCGCTCCCTGATGTGGGATATAACCTCATTATGGATTACGTAGTTAGAGGTGTCGTCCCTAACCTCGACGCTTGGTCCCTTTCACTGAATGAGTGGGAATCTATTATGAGGGAATACAGGCCAAGATTTGAAGTTCCTCAGACTCCCGAGATAAAAGCAGCTGAGACGACCAAGGTTGCTGAACGTCAGGTTTTGTGCACCGCTTGTCGTTGTACTGAAGAAGGAAGCATCACTAGTGCGGGACCATATCAGTATTGGTGTCCAACCAGGGCCAAAGCAGCTAGATGTGGCTTGCTATACGGTAAGTAAATATTTCAAAGCAGATTGAATTTGTCTTGAAACTACAGAGGGTATCGGATTCGTAACGAGTTTAAGCTTACATTCTTGGAATTAATTATGATTTCGTTTAGCATGTTTTTGTACAGCCACACTAGGACAGCCCCAGTTACCAGAAAATGTTGGGTATCAAGAGGTTCAGGATGCTCTTGATAGAATTCCCGGTACCGTTCGGGCCGATCGGGCAAATCTGGGTTGGACGTGGCAGGTAGACCCAAGGATTGCCCAATTCGTGGGACATAGGATGACTTATAGCAACATGGATCCTTCGTTTATAAATATCGACTACAGGATGATGCCTGCGCCTGAGCCCATTGATCCTATCCAAACACCCGGTGCTCCAGAGAACACCCATTTGCCCCCCCCTCCTGATCCCAACGCTATTCCACCTCAAGAAGATTTTTATCTCCCTTATTGGGCGATGCCCTTGCCTCCAGGCCCATTAGATTATGTGGCTGGCGCAGTAGCACCACCCCACAACCCGGGTCCACTCGATTACGGAGTAAATGTTGCCCCGTCTACAGAACCACCTCAGATTCTCTATGGGCCGGGAGGAGATTACGGGAGCCATGAATACTACAATCATAACGGCATGCATTGGGTGTATACTGGCCCTCCCCTTCCTAATTTGCACGATGGGTTTGGATCCACTGTATACGATGGATCCGGTGGAGGTGGAAGTGGAAGTGGAAGCGACGGTGGTGGATCTGGGGCGAGTAAGGCTAAGCGAGAAGTACCTGAATCGCCGGGTGCAGAATTAGACATCAAATGATGTGAAAGTATTTTTAAAAACTAAAGACTTTTCAAAAGATACCGTCGGGTATATCAGGAGACGCATTCGTTATTGTTTCGCACATTCTTTAACTATAGCTACTGGGCTTAATACTGTTATGATTTCGCAGGATATAAATTGATGCATTACGTTAGTATAATTATAATTTACTTAAGTTTTTTGCGCATGTAGTCTCAGAGTCAGATGTAGAGCTGCCCCAGAGATGTCAATATTTCAAAAGTAGCGCACCCAATCGTGCATAGCATTCAATTGATCAAATCTAATGGACGTATCAACAGTATATATAATAGATCTTGTCAGTGCTTTGGTTTTAGCCATAAAACTCATATTTTTGACATCTTGGAAGGAATTTTAGGATTCCTACTTCTGAAGTACCGTTGTACTCTTTTATGTATCTACACGCACAATGTAGCATGTGGTATCATGTCAATCGGCATGCCGGCGAATATTAGGATATGTATAGCTCTCCTAGATAAATGTGTTGAGCCATATGAATCCAACAAAAGTATGTATATCCGGTCTCGCGGCCGAACGAAAAATACAAAGTACATGAAACCAGCACATTTCAAAACTCACAGGCTCAAAGGAACTCTAGACACTCGAATCGTGAAATTTAGTAATGTATTTAGGAAGTTAACTTTTTTGGCCGGAGCTTCTCGCATTTGTCTGCAGTGTGCATTGCCACATGTGTTGTGCTGTTCTGTGGCTTGATATTGGGGCTTGGACACTCGGCCGAACACGTTGAACCTCGGGATGTGCTCCGGGCTACGAAAGTTTGGTTACGAGACTGCTCCGGGCCCTGGGGCGTAAAACAAAAAAAAAAAAATTGAAATTTTGCGACAAAGGCGATGATTTGTGTTCTACTATTACTTTAAGGTACAAGAACATCCCACCTCCCAGCATATAAAATCTTTTAGACCCGACACCATCTCGATAAATCATATACAAATAACCATTAACCAAGAATAATAAGATTTCAACATCAAGAATGGATCGCTAAACTATAACTGTAGTTAAAACATCTACTACGAGCTACTGAGCTATACAGCCTTATCAGGCATCATGCGGCGGGCGGCAAACGGCCTTGCGACTCGTTCGCAGCCGTCAGTATGCCTCCTCTGTCGTATTTCCCAACCTACACGCCGGCACTTCTCCAGCACTCCCAGCCGTCTACGTGTAGCCACCAAGGGCAGTGGCAAAGGCCCACCCATAAAATACCGTCATTCAGACAATGATTCAGGCGTCGGCCCACTCCCTTACTTCCTCAAACCGAATTCTTGGCGTCCGACAGCTCGTCCTGTGGAGGAAGAACGACCGTGGTCCATTGGTCTTCTGAAAGAACGATTGGGCATAGTCTTCAAACGGAATCCTGAAGACCCAAACGTGCGAATAACATGGGGTGAAGAAGCAACAGAGATGCGGAAGGCGGACCCAGAAAAATTCAAAACTCTATTCCGGGAATACGTAGAGAGTATTCGTCTAGCTGTCGGCTTAGCCAGTCCTCCTCCACACGGTACCCCTGCAAAGGTTCTCCAAGCTGTTAAGGATGTGGAGGAATTCAAGAAGATGTATTCTCAGGGTGGTATTTCGGCATTGGATGTTGCACTGATGGATACATTCATCATGCAGAAATATGATACTAGCAACTGTGTCTCTGCCCAAAGAAATCTGGCAAACTTTTCGCATCCAGCAGAATGGTATCCTAAAACCAGGACGATGAAACGGACATGGCATTTACATGTTGGACCAACGAACAGCGGGAAGACTTATAACGCGCTTAAAAAACTAGAGGAAGCGAAGAAAGGGATATATTGTGGGCCATTACGACTGCTGGCTCATGAAGTTTATTCACGACTGAACGCCAAAGGGATTAAATGCAATTTGAGGACGGGAGAAGAAAAGAGAGCTACAGAAGATGTAACACTTTGGGCGGCGACGGTTGAGATGGCACAACTAGAGACGCAACTTGACGTAGCAGTTATCGACGAAATACAGATGTTGTCGGATCCAGAGCGTGGGTGGGCTTGGACACAAGCTGTATTGGGTCTTATGGCCAAGGAGCTGCACTTATGCGGTGAGGAGCGAGCAGTCGGTATTGTCGAGAAGCTTGCAAGATTGTGCGGTGATGATTTAGTTATCCATCGGTACCAACGCCTAGGGAAACTGCAGGTCATGAACGAGAGCTTGAACGGGGATTTCTCAAAGATTGAGAAAGGAGACTGTATCGTCGGATTTTCTAGAAAAGACATACATACCCTTAAAAGATTCGTCGAACAGGTCACGGGGTTGAAGTGTGCGATAGTTTATGGCGCCCTACCGGCAGAGACAAGAGCAACGCAAGCGAAATACTTCAATGACCCGAAAAATAACTATGATGTCCTCGTGGCCTCAGACGCTATAGGGCTAGGGCTGAATTTGTAAATTTCATCTCAAAACCAAAGTTTACTATCAGATTTAATGCTAACAAACAGCGGATATAGGAGTATCAAACGGGTTATATTCAGCACTATGTTCAAATTCAATGGCCAAGAAAATGTCGAGATTTCGATCCCATTAACACGACAGATCGCAGGCCGCGCAGGCCGTTACCGATCAGCTGCGGATGATGCAAAGAAGAACCCAGATCGAGCCCCCGCACCTGCGGCAAAAGTAGAAAATAAAGAGTCTTGGGATCCAACTATCGATGTTGGGGTAGCACCGCCAACACCGGCTACATCGGAATCAAAGGGGCCTCCTTTAGATTCTAAGATCGGTTATGCGACCACGTTTGTGAAAAGGGACTTGGATATATTACGAAATAACATGGAAACCGAACCACCAGAGATTGAGCAAGCCATTGTCCTCCCTAGCAACACTGTTTTTGAAAACTACTGTGCATTATTCAAGGCCGGGACGCCATTCCACGAAATGCTCTCGAAGATCGCATCGCAGGCGTCTGTGGACAGTCTGTTCAAGTTCACCAATATTAAACCGATGATTGAGGTTGCAAGGCTCTTAGAACCCACTGAATCAGAGAAAAGTGAGGGAGAGGTGGCCTTATCGAAACTTTCTGATATGGAGAAAATCGTTTTATCGTCGGCACCGGTCAAGACAAACGTCGAAAGTTGTATCAAAGCATTCAGAGAGTTTGCAAAACTAATAGCACAGGGGAAAAGGAGCACATTGTTAACTATTTCAAGGGATGTGGTGGACATTGAGGCTCTGGATATTGAGGCGCAAGATCCAGCCATGATGATCAAGAGACTTGAGGAGCTGCATACTGTTATCATGTTATACTCTTGGTGCTCGTAAGTATCCCCCTGCCCCCCTTTGTTGTTTGATTTCTTATGTTAGACCTCGAAAGCTGACCAGGATGACAATAGACAACGTTTCCATCACGTCTTAACTGGCCATATGATTGTTTCAGAGCTAAAACACGCAACCGAGAAAAAGATTGACGAAGCTATGAAAAGATTGGATACGATTAAGAACGTCGTTTTGAGGAAGCCGTTCAGGGAAGACGCGAGAAGAGGCAAGTCTATGGATCTGGCTACGGTCCACAGAGGAAGCAACGTTCAGATGCATCATAGGATTACGGCGGCGCCGAGGATAAGGGATAACGAGAAGGTCAAGAGACAATTCAAAGGATCCCAATTACTAAAACCTGCCAATGCTACTACTTCGTAAGGGAGCCCGTTAGCTCCTGTAAATAATTGTATTTTATATTTACTATCTGTACATACTTACCTATTATAATAATTGGGAATAGCCGACGACAAATGCCGGAGTTTTGTTACGTTTACATACTAACTAACAGGGTATTATCTGTACCCAATCTCATCCCTTCCCAATAAACCATAGTCTTTCTTTATGGTTCCGTGCCCTCTTTACTTCAGTAATACCCAGGCTAAGGGCCATGTGGTCTGATCATATACAAGGTTACAAGACTGTATATCCGGAATGACGCTGCTCATGTTGGAAATAATGTGTTGACTGGACAGGTGCCAAGGCTGCGGTGGATAGCCGATGGGTCCCGCGGCCGATGGTTTGGGAATGGCCTGCCGAATGGCGCCGCTTCGATGCACGAGCGTTACGACCCTTTATTCTCCGGCCGGCAATGCAATAGCCTGAACCTCGCATCCTTTCAATCGTCAATCCTTCGTTTTAATCTTTCTTTCTTTCTTTAGCTTTGCTCTACTGTATTTTATGGCCATTCAAACTTGATCGAATTCTGTCCTTTTTTGCGACTATATCCACCTTGGGTCTCTGAGCTCTGCCTGGAACATAGCCAGTTATTTGCCATAGATCGGTACTGGCTTTGTTAATAACATCTCCATAATGACAACTACGCTTTCGAATGGCACTGCTGCCAATGAGGACCTCCCTGCTGTATGCCGGCGCATAAACTCTAAGCTTACGGCTTTCCTCTCCAAACCACCTACTACGGACCGTATACGATCTGTGCAAGAGCATACTAGAATATCATTATTGGCTATAGCGAAAGCTCTAGAAGTTTATGGGTATGTTGTCTGCATTTTATCCGGAATTTGGTGTATTTGCATGCTAACTTAGAGATTGTGATTGTATATAGGCTTGACCATATTGCTATCTCTTTCAATGGTGGCAAAGACTGTCTAGTTCTGCTCATCCTCTTCCTCGCAGTGCTGGATGAATATTTCACCTCAAATGCACAAAAGCCAGCTACAAACTTCACAGCAGCAGAAGTATACCCGAATACCCTGGAATCACTGGTTACAGCATCGACAATTCCATCTCTGTCTCTACCAACAGAAGGGACGGATCCTCTTTTAGGCCAAGAAAACGAAAATACCCCTCCAGCCCAACCAAACGGAAACAACATACCTAATGGCGCCGCCAACGGCCCTTCCATATCTCAAAAGATTCATACAGTCTACATCCACTCTTCACACCCATTCGCTGAGGTTGATGAATTTGTGGCCCGATGTGTTAAAACGTACCATTTGGATCTCCTCCGATATGACGAAAAGGGTGGGATGAAGCATGCTTTCCGAGTGTTCCTTTCGCAAAATCCAAACGTTAAAGCGATATTTGTGGGGACCAGGAGGACGGATCCACATGGTGGGAGTCTCAAGCATTTTGACCTGACGGATGGGGGGTGGCCGGGGTTTATGAGGTGTCATCCGGTGATTGATTGGTGTTATGCCGACGTTTGGGGGGTGAGTTAATATCTATAATTATTTTTATCTATTTATTTGGGGAAAGGGATGCTAATATAGATTTCGGCTATAGTTTTTGAGAGAGTTGGATATTCCATATTGTTCACTTTATGATTTGGGGTATACGAGTCTTGGAGGGACGACAGATACTCACCCAAATCCCGCACTACAGAGACGTCCGTCTTTAGATCATAGCGAAGGGTTGGCGAACGGGGATTGTGTGGTAGCTGGGGAAGGTACGTCACCACTGCAAGATGAGGCGACAAAAGAGAGGAGAAAGAGCTTGGTGGCATGTTTTAAACCTGCGTATGAGTTAGAGTTCGAAGCAGACTCGAAGGAGAGACTTGGAAGAGATCGGTAGATATGACCTTCGTGAACGAAGACAAGGTATTGCATAGAAGCGTGTTCTTTTTTTTTTCCCGTCTTTCTTTACCCTTCTTTTCTTGATTCAAGTTGTTAAGGTTCGTGCGATTCTTAGAGTAGCATTTAGCTGGTCGGCCTTTGTCCTGCGTATTGAGATATTTCTTTGGCTCTGTATACAAGTACCGTTTTGTTGATTCTGTCGTATGTATAAACCGATAGAGTTACCTTGCGACTGTACAAACAACCTACGAAAATCAGAGGATATTCCCAACATTGTAATTATGAGTACCTAGATATATTGATGGATGTTCGTTTACTGAATTTTGGTTTATCCATTTTGTCGATGAGACTTTGAGCCCCTTCGTCAATACTAAGACGTAAAGAGGTCTATGTAGCTTAAGCTTATAAGGTGGGTAGCCAAGTATCTACCTATACTCGTCACAAAAAAAAAGACTCTTTCGAGTAAGAAGGATCGGGAATAGCCGAAACCTATGGGCAATATATAATGACTGAACTGGACTTTCACAAGCGTCTAGCGTTGGATTGGCTGCGCGCGAGGGGTAGAATGTGACTTGATCGAGAAGTTGGAGCGGCAGGCGCGAATGCTTGTTATATGGGGTGCGAAACATGCATTCGAATTCGGCATCCAACATGCATGCATCCCCAACGGTTTCTCCCTTCGAAGTCACGACCTCTCACCTTTTTCTCACTTTTATCTTGAAAAATAACATCAAAAACCTCGATTTTAAGTTCATGATATATCGATCATTAAAAGAATGAATTTTTTTTCAAAATGAAACATCAATATATCAGAAAAGTTATCGGTTGATATATACAGTACCCACGGGTTAGTCTCGTTCCCACCCGTGGTATGATATCGGCAATTGAATTCAAAATGAAACTATAGGTCGGCGTTTTATCATATTAATCTAGGACTCGATTAATATAATAGTCAGTCAGTTAGCTAGCCAGTCAGTCGATTTTACTGCCCAAAATATTAATGCCATGCAGCCATGATTTCCTGAAATTAAGAATTATCGGCAGACTTTACCGAGTCCCCTATCCACACTCAACTATTCTCAATATTGCAAGTCAAGATACCAGATAAGTAAAGTAAATAGGTGATATACCAAAAACCTAACTAACTAGGGGCTTGATATTACATTTTTGGAAGGCAGATGGCGGTTTTCGGCAATGCGAGGGGCGGGTCAGTGATATCATGCAGTCGAAATAAGTTCGAATGCACCCTGATAAGCGGTAATCTGCCTATGGAATGCAGCTAGTTGCGAGCCGACCGACCATGCATGAAGATGTTAAATGCTGGCTTCGAGCCGCACTGGCTTTATTGAATAGGAACTTGGGTTTGAATACACAGACGGGCAGATTTATGTCCTCCCGACGGCAGACTCGATGTGGTTGAATACATGTAGCTGGCTGTCGGTTAGTTCCGCCAACGTGCTTCAAGACCATGGTCATGGCATTCTCGCGAATTGCCGTTTGACATGACCCTGGTTGCTGACAAAGTTATAGCGGCCCAGGCCAGGGTCAGGGACGGTTGAGGTTTCCCGTTCCTGCGCTTTTCAGGGACACGACCTTTTAGATTAGGATAAGTAGTGTGGGTAAATACATTGCTGTCAAGTCGAAGGGTGGTGGGAGGATGGTTTCGCTGAGCAAGGGAGACATTTATGGTATCTGCCTAAACACCAAGCTTCGCCCTTCTAGAAACAATCTACAGACACCCTCGTGATCCCTTGCTTGTTTTTATAACCCTTACAATCTACATTCACTTGACCGATCGATCGGTACGCTGTAAGTCCGTCTCTTATCTGTTATGTATACGACAGGGCGTGGGCAGGTCGGAAGGCATCCTATTAAAGAAAGCGGCGTCTCTTGGCTTAGCTGTACCGATTCTCTTTCCGTTCACTACGGCTGTACTGGTCTAAGATCTGAACTGCAGACCTCGAAACCAATATACTTTCTTTTCTATCAATAACCCAACCTCCCGGGCCCTATCAAATAGTATACCTTCTCCTAATTTTTAACTTCTAATTTCCAAATCCAGCCCTCTCAGATCTACCAATTTGATTTTCATATTGCTAGATATACGTATCATAGCTATACCTCAGCATTGTAAGTTTCGCTTCTCCCTTCTTAAGTTCTCTGAATTATTGCATACCGTTATATCATCGGCGAACAAATAGCTCGCCAATTTCAACGTTGCTCACGCCTGCATTAATTTAGATTGCAATCGACCCCTAAGCAACTAGCAACCTTGAGCCCTCCAAAGACCAATTGAACTCGACCTGGCTCCTCAGTATAGAACCGAGTTATATACTTCAATCCCCCTTGTTCTCTACGTAAGACTGTTATACCGGCACGCGAAATTCGTGTTGCACCTGTTGTCGTCGTTGTCGTCGCTCACGAAGTTCCCGTAGCTTAGCTTTGGGGTGTGTGCTGCGACGAGTGTTTCTATTACTTCATAGAAACCAGGGTGCAGCTCGAAACCCAGGCAAGCTCGAAACATTTTCTGCCACATCAACCAGCTAACCTCATCCTCCATCCAGCCCAGATACTCCCCAGATACTCCCTCTCCCAACTAGCAACTTCAAGGGTCCTGTCCTGTTCCTGTGGGGAGGATCTAGTACCCATTCGTCGATAGTTACCGGCGGGTTCGAATTCGCCTTCGTCCCGGATCGCTGTAACATATCATGTAGGTCTAGCTTGCTGACTTGCTTGTGCGATCTGATCCCGGTCGGCCCTTGGTGGCCATGGCAATTGGTGGTGCATGGTGATGGGCCTGGGGTTCTGCGGCTAACGATATCAGCAGCTCCGATCACCCAACAACCGAGCTTTCAATCAAACGACCGGGGGCTCTTGAGCTTCCCCGCGGTCCCGAAGAACAGTTTCAATCATGTCTTCCGGGTTTGTACTCCCTCCGTGTCTAATTTCAATGATGCCGGTGATCCGGGTGTCATTGGCGATTTGATGAACTCTGGGCTTGCTAACAAACTTCTTGTTCTTTTTTTCAATGATGTAGTTCGCTCAAAGACCTCCTACGCGCCATTACAACCGCCGTCACAACTACACCTTCTCCGTATCCTTTACCCGATGACCTCAGTACGACGATACAAGCCTTCCTTGACCGACATGTTGACGACGATGAAAATGACCAGCAACGTCTTAGTGATGAGTTGCTCTCCATTCACTCGGCGAAGGTCCAGGGCCACAAGGACCGTCAGCTCACCTTTGTTGGAATCCTCGGAGAGCTGAAACCTGCTTTACGAGGTCGCGATAGGATGATGGTTTGGTGGGAGTGCTTGCTGGAGCCGACAATGAAAAACCTGGAGAGCACTAAGACTGCTGTCACAGATGCTAGACAATTGGTTCTCAAAATGCTGATCTACGATGAGGATGAGGATATTCACGGTGACCTTAAGGAGGTCTCGGATATATTCACCGGCCTACTTTTCCAGAAGTACATCGAGACGGTCAATCTTCATTCCGAGCGAGATGAGAATTCACCGAACGGAGATCAGAATAGATTGATGGGTTCTAATGTCGAGGATATTCTACTTTCCTTCGGGAAACGAAGAGCAAAGGCTTTTTTGAAGGCTGCTGATGGCTATATCGTCAACAAAGAAACACGACTTCAGATTCTGGGATTGCTTTCGAGTTTCGTCAAGATGCAAGGACCGCATCTTTATCAGATTCTTGAAACTCCAGCTCTCGACCATCTCCTTCTCTGCCTTCAGATTGATACGTCTACGACCGCTATTTCGTTGGCTTTGTCGACTCTCATCATGTTCATGCCGCACATTCCAAACGCCCTTGCTCCATTCCTCCCCCGACTTTTTGCCATCTACGCCCGTTTGCTGTGCTGGGACCATTATGGTATTCTCCCCGAGAAGAACGATGACGATGATTTCATGGATGATAGCCGATCCACCATTTCATTTGGCGAGAACGAGTGGCAGAAATTAGAAACATCCTTCCCTACAGCAACTTCGACACCTCCTGATGTCAGTGAGTTTTTCACATTCTTATATGGGATGTACCCGATGAATTTCATGTCGTTCATTAAGGAACCGTACAAGACATTCGATCGGGAACGCATCAAAGGATTCGAGGACGTAGAGTTCGACGATCATTTAATCCGTCAGAGAAGCGAACCGCACCGCCAGAGACACCTTTTACACGGGAACTTCTTCACCCTTACTGAGGAGAAGGAGCTTACGGACAAAGCTAGATGGATGAAATCCGAGCCTTCGGATGTCGTTGCGCAATGTATCGGGCTTACTATCCCCAACGCATATACCTACGAGGAGCCCTCTAGCAACTCAGATATTCCAGGAGCGCTTGTCCCAACTGAGGATATTCCTGTTGAAAGCTTGCTCGGTGATGGGTCTCAGCGCGATACTTCCGAGGATGAAGGCATCGGCATGGATAGTCATCGATTAAGGGTCACAGCCAATGGAATCAGACGTTCTTCCCGAGGTAGTACTCCTGGAGTTAAACCAGTTGATCCGCAGAGCCTTGACAGCCCCACTTTACCCCCAGCTGGCCCCCTTCCTCCAATCCCCAACTTTAGTGAAGATAGATTGCAGGACATGATGCAATTGCATGGAACCCTTAACAGTGGCAAAGTTAACGGCTCTGCCACTTCTCTTGCTGGAGCTCTCGCAGCTCACGACCCTTCATCTCCACGACTAAATGCTTACGTACAATCACTAAGTATCAGCGACAAGATCCAATCCCCTGCCTTGAAGCCTGCTGCTACAGATGCGCAGAGTAAGATCGCGTACCTTCAGCGAGAAAACATTTTACTTAAGAATGATCTGAACTTCGAGAGGTACCTTAAACAGCAGCATCTTGCTCACATCGGCGCGCTTCAGCGCAAGCACATCAAAGATGCGTCGATTGAGGCAGAGACCAATAATCTTATCTTAACAAATAAGAATTTGAAGCGTAAGATTGAGGAAGTGCAAAAGGCATATCAAAAACTTAGAGAGGAGGGAATCAAAACTAAACTCGACTCTCGTAAGTGGGAAGCTGAATTGAACAGTCGCATTCAGAAACTTAGAGAGGAAAAGAAGATTTGGAAAGAGGAAGAAGAGTCGGTGAAGTCTCAATTAATAAATTCCCGAGCTGAGGCTACCCAGCTCAGAAAGCTTGTTGTTGATACTGAAGCAAAGGAGCTACAATCACGCCAGAGAATGCAGGCTGTAGAGCAGAGTTTGCTCGAGCTCAATCACTTAAGGGTCCAGAACGAACAATTGAACAAGAAGCTCAAGGAGTTCAAGTTTACCGAAGAGAAGATTCAGTTATACAAAGAAGTTGAAAAAGCAGGTCACGCCGAAGTTGAGAAGGTTAAAATGAGGCTTAAAGCTCGAGAAGCCGAACGTGAAAAGATGAAGAGGTAAATTGCATACCTTGAATTTGATATTTGACATAAAGCTAATAAAACTTTTAGGGCGTACGAGGAGATCATTGGGGACCTGCAGAGTAAATTGGCTACCGCGCAGGATGAGCGGCTTCAAAACCCGTCAGCCCCGATGCAAGCAATGATAGACTCAGCTCTGCACGCGAACGCATCTCATCTATCTGCTATGAAAAAGGCATACAACCAATTGCTCGTCCGCTATACAGACCTGGAAATCAAGTATATTGAGTTACAGGCTGCTACGGAGTTAGATAGGCTTCCTTCGACCCGTACTCACCACCATCAGTCTAATTATCAGGATCAGACACCCATCCTCCATATCGAGACTGACCCGGCAGCTAGCTATCCTCCTCCTCGTGAGCACCAAGTCGTTGACCGCGATTTCGGTGGCCAGAAACACATCACGGAAGTAAATACCCACAAGTCTGCTCGCACTTATCAAGACTACCCCTCGCCCCATGCCGGTCCATCCTATGCCGGCCCTTCGCAACCACGTTACGAGGTTCCTACGCACAATCAATCATACCCTTCTCCAAATCTTGCTCAATTCCCTATTCCTCAACAACATGACCGTCGCCCGTCTCCTGTTCAACAGCGACACCTCCAGACACTTCAAACCCACGGCCCTTACTCTCCAGCGATGTCATCACAGGACGACATGAGTCCGAGTGTTTATTCACCACCACCTCCGTCGAGCCAGGCAAGACCTTCGCTTGCTCCTTCGTCTTCTGCCAGTCATGATGACGCGATTTCGCTTAGTAATAGTTTTACGTCGACCGGCTCGGGCAATGACAAGCGATCGAAGATCAAACCTCAGTCGGAGGTCCGTGTTCGTGGACGTGGTACGTACATATATCTCATGCTTTATTTTTCTCTTTTTTTTCCCATCCTTCCGTTCATTGATGCTAACTGCGTGTTTTCAGGTGGAGTCCAAAATATCGGCAAGAAGGAAAGGGAGAAAGAGGAAAAGGAGAAAATGAAACAAGAGAAGAAGGAGAAGAAGGAGAAAAAGAACAAGCTCGTTGCTGGTTTCAGAGGCTTTAGCACTTAGGCAGGGCAAGGCTGGGTCTGAGCCGGTGTTCTGTCGTACGATTGAACACAATGTTTGCTTCTATTCTCTCTCGGCTTTTTCATTTGCTGTTTGCCTTCATCTATCTCAATATCCGTCTCTTCCTTCACCGACGCTGGATGATAATATACGTGGCCGATTGGGATAACTAGTCGAACCGTGTTTCACCCGTTACCTTGCACATACTTCCCCCAGCATTAATGGCTCTTCCTAGCCATTTTCCCCAATTCATCTTCACTCCTCCTTCTCATCTTATGGTCTGGGTTGATTGCTTATGTTTAGCCAGCTTTGTTCTTTTCGCTATTTTAGTTCATCGGCGATGGGTTTATCGGTTCCAGGGTACACAAAATTCTTTTTATGCTGGTTTCTTTTCCTGTTTCTGTTCTTTCCCTTTTTTTTTTTTTTTTTTTTTTTTTTAAAAGTGATTCCCTTTCCTACAAATCTACTTCCCTTCTAATTCGCGGACATCATGGCATCGTTTTATCAATTTTCTCTATTTTGCTGCCACTAGGTTTGCAACATGTAGGATTTTGATAACATCGATCGAGTTCTTAATTGTCTTAGTTTCTAGCAAGTATGCTGGAATATTTTCTCATTGCCCTACCAACTTTTCTCTCTCCCATCCCCTAACACTACGCCCGTTTTAGAGGGTGTATCATCCTACCTTAGTTATGGAACATGACTTCTACCTTCTCTACTTTTTTTCCCTTTCCCCTTTCTTTTTAGCGTTTATGAGTATGGCATGGCCGATTACTCTTATGTATTCTTAGAAATGATTCATGGGGGTAAACTGCCATACTCTCTTCAAGATGGGTATGTAGTGGCAGTCAAAAATAATGGGAAATGAATCCTAAAATTTATAAATTAATCTTTGTAATAGTGACTCGATAAGCTTGAATCTCGAAGTCCCGGTGTCGAGCTCTTGAGCTAGATCTTTATCTAGCTTTGACCTGGTCTGTTGCAGTAGAACCCCTGCACGAATAAAACCCCTGCATCCCAAGCACACGCCTCGAAATATATCCAAAGACACGATTCCGATCATATCAATCTGATTCCCAAATCCCACAACTTAATATACCTTCCCCGGGCTATAATCTCAACATGATATCGATCAAGAAACCAGCATCGTCGGAGATACCTTCGAAAGCCAATATACTGCCTTGCCGGATAAAATATACGGGACCAGCATCGTCCTCGCGTCAGCTATGGAATCCGACAACTCAACCAGCAGCAGCAGCAGCATCAACAGCAGCAGGCGACAGCGCCAACCCAGGTGACAACGCGAAGGTGGAAACACACACGTCGTATTTCCGGGGTAGAAAACTGGTTGGGACGAAATTGGCGGTTCCTGATGGGTATCAAGGTAAATATATATTCTGTATATATTCTTTGCAGTTCTCTTTTTTTTTAGAAAGAAATGGAATGACGTTTTTGAAGTTTTTGATTTTAATATATATTTATTTATATCTTGGTTTTTCTTTTTGAAAAAAAATAGGATTTATTTTAGACGCGGGTTCTGCTTCGAATCCACCGCTTACGGGAAATCAGAAGAGGGAGATGTTATATCAGGGTGATGATGATGAAGAAGATGAAGAAGATGGCGATATTCAGGGAAAGGTGGAGTGGACGACTAAGGCTTCCTTTGAGGAGATTATGGTTTGGGGCCATGAGGTTTTGGTGGATGGGACACAGGACGGGGTTGTTAAAGGTGTCGAGGAGTGGATGGGAATTGCTAAGATTGTAAGTATTCTCATCTCCTTATCCCTAGCTAGGTCTTTGTGGTTGTTTAAATATTTCTAGGGCTTGCTTGGGCGGGTGCTGATTTTGGTTTCGTGATAGTTGAATGGTTATTAGGTGACCTGAAGTGGTAGAATTCAGTAACCCGGCTCCTATCTACTAGATAATAATACCTATAGGAATATAACGAGAATATGAATATTTTAGTAGAGTGTATGATACCATACAGACGGTCGAAACTACCCAGTAGTACATGAGCTTTATATACGTACGATACTACAAAGAGGTACTCTGATCATACATGCATCCAATATATTCATATCCTCCAGTACATCCCCATAGCTTAGATGTATAAATGAAATCAAAATCAATTTGAATTAAACTTCACAAAGAAACTACTGATCGGTACAAAATACCTAACATTCTAGGCAGAAATGCATAACATTTTTCAAGATGGTATCGAATCCCAAATCGAATCCCCCAATTTATCGAATGAAATCACCCAACAGCCCGTCGTATGAGCTGGATTCATGATGAGACTAAGATGGTCTAGTATCTGTGACGGGTACTGTAGTCCTTCGGACTGATGACTAGACCACGTCCTTTCTTGGCCCCGCGGTAGATCGTCTCGATCTAATTTTGAACACGCTCAGTTAGTTCAAAGACTTCCTAATCCTTTCCCTAGTTTTTAAGACAGCCCCCCCCCTTTCCGGAAAAAAAAAAGAGGGGGAGAGAGAGAGAGAGATACTACTTACGATATCGATGAGCTCCTGCTTATCCTCCAGCACCCAGTTCAGTTTGTTATTGTTACCAGTTCCAAAATCACACATCATGTGTTTATTGCGGAAGAAAAACATGACTGTGACATTGTCGTATAATTCGTACATGGTGTTGAAATCCGGAACCTCTTCTATGTCACAGACGTAGAGTACAGCGAAGTTCTTGACACGTTCGGCGATCTCTGTTAGAACAACCTACAGTTAGCTCAGGGAACTAGATATAGCCGAGAAATTCGGTTCGAAGTGACTAGTGATGTGCGTACTATATAGTGTTTCGTCCATCGAAATACAGTCTGGATGACTGTCCTTTCCGAACCGGATGACCACCAGGCGCTCTTCCTCAGTCATGATAGCCTGATCGACGTGCCAGCCGGCTTTCAAATGTGGGAGAAGGATTGAACCTGTTGCGGACTATATTAGCAAAGGCGATCTAAAGATAAGGCAAGCATATGTATGCTAAAGGAAACCATACCCATTTTTGCTACTTTTTACTAGAAGACGAATCCTATGAAGGAAATACCCAACTAAAGTTGAAAAGAATAAGATGCGGGAATTTTTATATCTGAAGAGTAAATCGTGATCGATCCTTTCGCTGCTTGATTGCTTGAAACCCTGATATGTATGATCTCAGCGCCCCCCAAAAAAGATTGAGGCTAGGGGGAAAAAGTTTGTATTTAGTACTTTTTATGCTCGGAGGACGGAGGTATTTGCTTGGATGCTGGAACTCTTCACCTTCGACGAAAGAGAATCCTCGAACCTTATATAGATGGACTAGCAACCTGGAGTAGGCGCGCGGGTTAGAGAGGCTGCCTATGAAGACGGTTAGTCATATAGCTTAGCTTTGGCACAAAGCCAGAGGTTCCTAAGTCCATATTCGAGCACATTTGGTAGTAATACAAGGGTGGCAGGTTTGTCGCTCGGGAAAGTACTTGGCATGTTTAACGCAAACGGGCTCTCCGAGGACACAACTGGACCCCACGTATACGTATACGCAGGAGCTTGTGACGAGGCTGCGCCGTTTCGCAGCATGAAACTCAGCTGCCAAGGTCCTTTCGTGATGTTATTCGTGAGTATAAGTTATGTTGACATTGATATCCGTGTCCTTGGCGTAATGCGTCGATTGGTCCGTCGGTGAGCTTCCGGTCACTTAGCTTTGGGCAGCGGGAGATCTCGAGACACACACATTGTGCAGTGCCGCGCTGATACGTACGCTACTAGAGCGGGTATTAATACGTATTCATACGCATGATCCAGCTGTGGGTCTGGGTTTTGGCGGTTATGTAACATTTCCCTCGCATTCAGAGGTTTTAATTTACAAAACTTTATAATTGATCGGGTTCTTGAGAGCTAGCATTGGAATTGACCAATCGAATCAACAGTTAGAATTAACATGTCAGGGCAGATGCGCCCACTGGCAGCTGGCATCCAAGTAGCACAGCAAGATTGAGGCAAAGCATGAACTTTATTGTGCAAATTTACCAGTATAGCTTCGACCCGATTGACCGATTGACCAACCGGAGAACCGGTGCATCGTGCCACGAGCATGCTTTGAGAGGACTTTCTAGCAAATCTACGGCTACGAATAGGATTGTAGGAGGTAATCTCTAAGTATTTACGTAAATTTATGACGTATATCAAGCCATAGTCATTGTAGAATTCAAAGTGGGTAGCAATAATATATGATAATATTGTTAATTAAAAATACATGTCTATAATTAATAGAAAGGATACTGGGAACCTAGACTCATATACTAGCTAGCTAGTAGATTTAAATAATTTTTGGCGTTCATCAAATGTTGCCTTTGAGAGACTCTCCAGATACTCTTCATATTCTTGAGGAGAGACCTCAATTTCCTGTGCCTCCTGTGCGATGACCTCTTGCCTCGAGTGGCCAAATTTCTCTATGCAAGCCCACCAAGTATCTTGGACTTCATGAGTATAGACATCCCTGGTCACGGTGAAATTAATATTTCTCTTGTCAACCCACTCAAGGTATCTCACGTCTTTGGCATAAATATCCGCCCCCAGGCTTAACAACTTCTCCAATCGACTTGTGAAAACCCTAAGTAAGTAACTTTTGAAACTAAGCCACTTCTTTTCGGAAATTATGAACTCATCATTAGCCGCGGGAGGTTTTATAAGACGTAAAAGCACATGCAAACACGATTCCTTTGTATCGCATGTTTTAGCCCTGATATCCCCGCCATACTTAATTGCGATATCACAGTTCTTCGAAAACGCTGTTGGGTTTCCTAGAGTTACGCCCGTAGGGAGCTCTAGCATGATTGCACTATTGCACCCGGAATAGCAGTTTATATCAAATTCAGTATCCCTCAGTCGGGACAGAAACTGTTCGAAAAACTGCGCCAAAATTTACTGAAGTTAGCATATTCTCTGAGGTACACCCAATACGTATACCTCAACAGGTACGATATTTAAAGGTAGGATAGTATGCTTACCAGTGAGGACCCGTCGGCTAGACCACGAACTAAAGTCGCAATAGCTCTCTCCGGCCCAAAAGGTGAAGATTTGTTTGAAATCCCAGATTCAAGTAGTCGATGAAATGCAGAGCTCGCAATTTTAACATCTGGTAAGTCGGCACCCGCAGGCAAATCAAAAACTACCCCATTGAGAGAATTTAGAGGTGTCTGATCTTGGTCGTCCAAGTAGTTGGCATCAGCCCCCTGTGATAGCAGGAAATCGCAGGCTGTAAGGCAACCCTGAGCCTGCCTCTTCTCTTTCCCCAGGAACTCTCTAAACCTCAACGGGCCAACGGCCGACTGGAGGCCATCATATGATCATGGTTTAGTTATAGGTCGGACAATAACGACAACGGAATCACTACACTCGGAGTTATCGATCGAACTTACGTGTAATAAACTCCTCCCATTTTCATCAACATCGTATACGGAAGCCATTCCTAAGGAGAAAAGCTTTTGCAAGCCTTTTATATCGCCGTATCTGGCTAGACAGTGGGGTGAAGATTCATCCGTTGGATCATAAAATCGGCGGTTATAAACTCTGATCACCAATGGGATAGAGAAGATACCTTCAGTTCCAAAAGTATTCATAATAGAGAGAACCCAGGATGGCTTCGATTCCCCTTGCACTAGATTTGGTTTGAATATCATTGTTGTTCTATTGCTAACAACTTCGCTCTGGTCCTCTGTAGAACGCTTCTGGCTGGAAGAAGATAATACCAAGGTTCCATTATCGAGCTGTTCCGTCTTCCGAACCGCATAGTTCTCGGTGATGACGGTTTCTCCGTCGAGGGATGATAGAATATCTTCGGTTCGATTTCCAGCATTTCGGACTCGCCTTGCGATTGCGGCGTCGGGTGCGCGCTGCATATACAAAGAATTACTCCCAAGAAGCTGCGTCGCAATGACGGATAGTTCTTGCTTGATGACTTGCCCAATATCCGTGTCATCTTGCAAAATTTCGAGCAAATCTTGTACAGCAGCCAAATAGTCTTCGGCATCATCTCCTTTGATCACCTTAGAGTTCGAAGGGTCCTCCGACAATCGTAAGATTGACCTCACTGCTGAGGACAGTTTTCTTTTTCGTTTTTCGAGCTGCAATTTCTCATTCCTGGATCTTGGCTCAGAGGTTGGGCTTGTAGCGCTGGAAGAAATGCTGAGAGCTCTAATTCCATCGAGAACAGCCTTTGACTGTGTCGCAATATCGGCTGTTACATCCAAACCATTCTTAAGTCCATCCGCCAGGTCCTTGACTTTCTCGGTAAGGTCGTCAACTTTTTCGCCCAAGTCGAAGATATCATGAGCTTGATTTTCCTGCTCACGGGAAATAGAGTTACAAGTACTTTCAATCCTCATAAAGTTCTGGCAGTTTTCGTTTTGATTCGCAGCAACAGTATCGTGGATTTCGGTTACCCGTTGGAATTGTTCCCCGTGAAGCTTTTCAACTCTGTTCATGTGGGATACCTGAAGGGCCATGGATTCTTTTATTAGGAGGATGCTGGTATCGCCGGCGGTACGTATATTTTGTACGTCCCTTTGGACGTCCCGAATAGGTTCGGAAACATTTTTGGTGATTTCGAAGCTAATGGCGGCGACACTACTTCCGATCTCATCGAGTCGTTCTCCGTTTTCCAGTCCCAGTTTGCTACGCAATTATTCGATTTTAGTATCGATCGTCTACCTAATATGTACCTACATGAGGATACTTGGCTGAATTTAATATGAGTGTTTTAAGTATTCTTTCGGCCCGTACATAGGTAATTAACAGGTCTGTTATCATACTTAAATTAACTGTGGGAAATGCGAAATTCTTTACCAGACTTTAGAGTAGTACCAGATGTTATATCTGATATTTCCAAAGCTGCAGCTGCAATGCGGGTTTTTTTAAAACTGGAAAACAGAAAGAAAAAAGTTTCAGGAAATACATGCATACTTCGACAACTGCACAGACGCTGCAGTCAGCCTTTCGTGTTGGACTCGAATCCTAGCATCGATCCGCACCCACTCACTGTCTCCCTTGAACCCAATTTTGATCTTTACTTTCCATGATTGCGATCGTGCCCAGAGTGTTTCCACAGTAATCGAAATTTCCGCAAGTTCTCTATTAAAGTCCTCGAGTGTATTTTCGACTAATTTGGCTGTGTCCCCAAGGTTGTTGTATTTTGTTTTAGCGATTTCCAGCGAGCTTCTGGTGTCCTTAAGAAGAGATAATGTCTGATCTAAATCGCCACGAAAGGTTTTGACTTTCTTAGGTGCAGATCTGATAGTATCTACGAATTTATAAATGTTGTTTCCGATTTTCAAGGTTGCATCGGCGAGCTGGATGCTACTGGCGACTATTCCTAGAATTTCCGCCATCTTTATATACTAACTAAAATCTCTAGGCGATATCAAAAAGGGCACTAAGATCTTGAAAACAAGAAAAGAATGAAATTAAGAATAATAGAATAAAGAAGATCCCGATAGTCCAGCTTCCAGGAGAACTAGAATTGAAAGAGATTAGTCGTTTCAGTCGTAGAAGGTTTTTTTTTTTGGTGCTGCTAGTCAGAATTCCTGCGGCGAAGCCTTGGGATCTTAGCTTTTAAATATCGAATCCTTCATTCTAGATAGCCTTGTGATCCCCTGAATTTTATTCCCCCGAGGCTTAGAATTGGAGCCGGGGCCTTTGGAAACTTGTCCTATCGAATTTCTCGAAGCCTTGCTCGGAGTAACCGTTTCAGAGGATCCCCTGACACATATAATGCCTGTCTACGGCACAGCACCGCAGCGCCTACAAAATCACATTTTCTGTGTTGTATCGACGAAATGCCACGACCCTCAAGACCAGGGTCTTCGTAGTGGGCGCTTAATGGACTATTTAAAGAATACGAACCTCGACTTCGATTTGTTAAGAACTTGTGAAAAAGGGCGTCCTGCGTAGCGCTAATGCAAGTACTCAGTTGGTATCATTTCGTTTAGATGTTGCCTTAAATATACACACGAAGCAGGTCGACGTCTACTTGCGCCCTTTGCCCTTTCGGCTGGGTCTAGCGTTCTTCTCCCTTCTCTTCTCCTTCATCCGCCTATCCTTCGCTATTTGTACATTGCTCTTAACCTCATTGTTGATTTTCTTTCCGTAGCCCTTGCCATGTAAGCCCTTAGATTTAGCTTCGTCTACTCTCTTCTTGCGCACATGGTAGTCGTCTCGCGCCTTGTCCGCCTGTTTTGGTGCCTCCACCTTTTTATGGAACATCCTTCCACCAATCTTACCCCCAGCAACGGGGTATCCGTTCTTGTTTGCCATGCCACCACCAACAGTGTTCTCCATTTCACCAACTCTAGGCATCCTAGAGAGCTTATTGGCTTTCTTCCAGCCTTCGAATCTACCACTCTTGAATGATGCAGCGATCTTCTGACCGGACTCGCCGCGGATAAGTTTGGAACCGCCGCGCGAGCCGTCTTCATCATTTCTGCGGTTGACGAACTTCTTTGCTTTAGGGTCCCAGCGCAGACCGGTAGTTTGTTTGCTGGGTTCGCCGAATGCATTGCCATCGTCGTTGACGAGATCCATGGTGACTGTCCGAGCTGCTTCAGCAAATGAGTTTGTAACACTGTAGCCGCGATCCTCAGCGAGGGATGTAGAAGGCATGTAACCCATGTAATGTTCAGGATCTTGGAAAGTTTTGGACTTGGACTTGGACCTTTTCGATTTCTTGGTTTTGAAGACGCTCTCGAGCTCTTCCTCATCGACTGAATCCATGTCAACGTCTACTGCAGACTTGTCTTGGGCGTCTTCATCCATATCCTCCCATTCATTGTTCCCAGGTTCTTCGTCATCCTCAGCACGCGCTCTGGGTTTCGCAGTTGGTATGTCGAGCATCTCGGTATCTTCCTGGTATTTTGGCTTGATTTTGATTTTCTCCCTCCTAGCCTTCATGATGCTCGCACCCTCACTCTTGTTGACACCTCGTTGGCCAATCTCGAAAACTGTCTCTTGAGGTCTGTAATTTGAAAGCCGCTTGAGCATGTCCGCCTTTTCCATCTCTAACTTATCGACTTCATCCGCAAAGATAGGATTGACGCTCATCCAATGTTTACCGCTCACGATTTCCTTTGACCTTTTTACACTCTCCGTGCTCGCTGCTGTCTTTGTCTTCTGGTATAACTTCTCACCTCTTGCCGCAACCTGCTTCATAGCCGTCAAATCGTGGCTAGCATTAACTACCTGCGTGATAGCCTCGGTGCATCTTTCTAGAGCGTCTCTTTTCAGAGCGCCTATTATCACATCGTTCGCAAAATCGAACCCCTCTTTCTTTTTGCCTTGGTTTATGTCTGCCTCCCCATCCGTCACTAGTTTCCTACCCAGGAAAAGCTGGAGATCCAATAGGTAAGGCATATCTTCCAATCTCACAAGGCTGTATGCCCAACCCCGTCTTCCAGCTCTAGCCGTTCGACCAACACGATGCACGAAAACTTTCGGCTGAGGTGGGAAGTCGAAGTTGATCACATTTGACAGCATGGGGATATCGATACCTCTGGCAGCGACATCAGTGACGACTAAGATCTGAGACTCGCCAGTTCTAAATTTTTCGACTTGGTTCCTTCGTGCGACCTGGTCTAGGGTTCCGTATACATATGAAACAGCGTACCCGAGTGCTGATAGTAAACTGGCGAGGTAGTCGACATGGTGTTTCGTGCTCGCGAATATAATTGTGGAGTGCGGGTTTGACAGCTCGTTCTTTGGCAAATTTACGAACCGTTTTCGTTTCTTCTTGCCATCTCCTTCGGCATCGGCCCGATTTTCGGTAGATCTCGAGGATGCTGCGGGCATATGTATCAATTCTTGTAATATCTGAAGTAGGGCACCTTCTTTCTCCTCTGTCTTGACTGTGAAGAAAACACTTTCCAACTCAGTTGAAATTTTTGAGTCGGCGTCTAGTCTAACGAGTGATGGCTCATGCAGACCAGCTTTGGCGAATTCTACCAAACTTTTCGGTAGTGTCGCAGAGAAGAGTGTAGTCTGTCGACTTGCAGGTAAAGCGTGTAGAATCTCTCCAAGCTGGGCGGCGAAACCCATTTCAAACAGTCGATCGGCCTCGTCGAAAACTACATACTGCATACTGCTAAGGTCTAGCTCCATTTCTACCTTCAAATGTAGGAAACGACCTGGTGTGGCGATTATGATGTCTGGATTTGTAGTCATCATCGAGAATTGGTCTTCAAGGCTGTCACCACCGACGAGTAGAATGGCCTTTAGATCTGTGCCACGGGAGATGTCCTTGACAACCTTGAGGGTTTGTAGAGCGAGTTCACGGGAAGGTGACATAACCAGGGCTCGAGCGCCGACCTAGTTAGAAGAGGCAATGTTAGACCAATTCTATAAGTTGATGTTTTCAGAAATAATACCTTCGCTGAGTGCGCCTTCAATTTTTCAATCATTGGAACAACGAAAGCAGCAGTCTTTCCAGACCCCGTTCTAGCCATACCCACTACATCCTGACCTTCCAATAGTAGTGGGATGGTTTTGCGCTGAATTGGAGTAGGCACCGAGAATCCTTTCCGCTGAATCGCCTTCAAGAGTTGAAGATTTAAACCCATTGACTGAAAGCCTCCAGACTTCTTGATTGATTTCGACTTGATATTCGATGCTTTTCGATTTGCAGAGGCCATCTGCGACTGGATGAACTTGTCATCATCGTCTGCTAAATCAGATTCATTATCTGATGGTTTATCTAGATCAAGAATTGAGCTAGCATCCAGAGTCTTTTGCGATTTTATACGTTTCTTCGGTGGCTCAGAAAACCCAAAGTCGTCATCGTCTTCGAACGAAACTGTACCGGTGAGGGCAGAGGTGATGTCAAATTCGTTCTCGCTGGCGGCTGGAGAAGCAGCTCGGGCACGTCGACCTGGTGCCATTTTTAGTATAAAACAAGCGGTTGCCCGGTAGAACTTCGTCTATAGGGCTGTTCAGTCGTCCGAGGTTGGGATAGAACCGTCGTTTGACTTCGCGGGGAGGTTTATCTTTTCGAGAGTTTCTGTCGCAGAAATTTTTTATGCTGGCGGATTTAATTTTGGCGACCCGCACAAGGATTTCTTGGCATTAGACGCCACTAAGCTCGCGACTTCTCCATCGATCTTCGAACTTTATTCTCCATCGTAAACACCAGCGCCGAAAACCAGAACCCCCCGAATAGTGCACTTCTAACACCAACTATCCCTCGCCTACCGATCACTAGATCTTAAAGGTTTCGTCTACACTTATAGCCACGCCGAGATGTCGGAACCGAGTAGCACGTATGTGGCCTAATTGAATGAACATCGATTGACTGGTGTAGACCCATCGCTAACGTATGATACTGATGTCTAGGGTTTATGTATGCCCACCACCAACGAATCAATCATCACTACGATATCGATACTGATCCTTACCCCGATATAGTGCCGTAATCTTGAGGAATCCGTTAAAATCCCGGTCCTAACTGCCACACTCGAAACCCTATTCTCGCAATATGGCACAATCCTTGAAATCATCGCGAAGAAGAACTTAAGAGCGAGAGGGCAGGCATTTGTAGTATTTGATAGCCCGGAAGCAGCAGAGAGAGCGATTAAAGAAGTCCAAGGTTTCAACTTATTCGAGAAACCAATGGTATTACAGTATGCAAAGACAAAGAGCGACGCAACAGTACAGTTGGAGAGCTCGGAGACAGAGTTTGAAGCCCATAAGCGGAGGAGACTAGCAGAGAAGGGTGAGCACCGCTTTTGCAGAGCTATAGCGTCTATCTTTCGGTGGAGTGGTGATCTGACTATTGGTTATAGAACGGAAACAAGCACTCCGGGCCGCGGAAGCCCAGAAGCATCTAAAGCGACCTGCAGCATCCGGTCCCTCACAAGGTATTGGTGCCGATTCGCGTCCAGCAAAGAAAACTCAGATATCGGCACCATCCGCACCAGGAGGCCTCAAGTCAACAGCTGCTCCAGCTGCTCCACAAATTCCCGACGAATACTTACCACCAAACAAGATTCTCTTCTTACAAAACTTGCCCGACAATGCTACATCGGATATTCTGAATGGGATCTTTGGCAGTTTCGAAGGATTCAAAGAAGTCAGATTGGTGCCTGGTAGAAAGGGTATTGCTTTCGTGGAATACGAGAATGAGGCTGGTGCTATCAGCGCGAAAGAGAATACACAGGGAATGTCGTTAGGGCCAGATGGCAGTGGCATCGTCAAAGTTACTTACCAGAGGCAGTAGGCACTTGTACCATTGGAGTCATACCTTTCTTTTTTTACTTGGGCCGTGCAACGCCAGGGGCTTGTGGCCAGCACATGATGCATGCATGGCGGGCCCCAATACATTGTCGAAAGCCCATCAATTCGTAGATTGTATTACTAATACACGGTTATTCTGGTCTTTGGAAACTTATACTCGTGCCCCGCTTCATCTTCAATTGGTTCTACATTAGTCTAGCTGCTCTAACGTTATTTTAGAGGGCATCGCGTTGTAAAGAGCAGGCTGAGCTGCTCCAAATTTATAACGCGTTCCGTTACACGTTACTTCTGCAACTTCGTCAAGGTACCTTCATTCCATGATATCCGGTGCCCATGAATAGCGTCCCTCCAACTGCCGTTCTCCACATCGGTTCTCTTAGTCCAAATATGGGTTCCCCGATTCTGAGACTTCCTGTAGAAGTTCTTACCCAGATTTGTAGCTACCTTCCAGTTAGTCATTCGCCTCCAGCCGTTGTAAATTACTTATGTATGCAAAAAGATAACCTTCCCTAACAAAGTATATAGGCAAATGCACCAACCCCTTTCATCGCCGATCTAGCAAGTATCTGTCGTGTGAACAGGTTGTTCCACCAGATCGCAACTCCCATAATCTATCGAGATGTCCATATTGACTATGTATCCACATTCGGTGGCGCATCCAAGATTCTAAGATGTTTTCTAGACTCCGAGCTTAAACATGAGCACAGTGGTATCAGGTATATTCGAAGTTTGAGAATTTCAGAGGGCAGCCCACGCCCGGATGAACGAGAGGATTACGACAGGGAGAAGGGGGGGATCCGCGAAGATATCGCGAAATTGGTTTTAAAGATCAGGCCTGATCAATTATCTTCGCTATACGCTGAGTAATAAAAATACTAAAAAAAAGGACTCGAGGAGAGTTACAGCTTTGCTAAGACAGGTAACTTGCTATAGAACAGCTGATTTCAGAGAAGTTTATCAAGAAAACCTTGGGGATCAGAACAACTTGAAGAATCTACAAGTTAGATACAGACCTTCAAATGAAGATGTACCACTCACTTCTCCTTTTAATTATTGGAGCCAGCGGATTCGGCACTATACCTCTCGCCTTACTGATGCCAAATTCACCCTTCGTCTGTCCGGCCTGACAATAAACCTCGATTTGGTTACCGTGACAGAAATTGATATCAAACCAATGGAGTCAGGCTCGTTGCTTCGTCCGATCAGAGTCAAGACAATCCCCACTCTCACGCATTCTGAAGACGACGCAGAGAAAAAGCTCTCCCATATCGTACATGATATCCAAAGCTTACTATTTTCACTACTCTCGGCCGTCAACGGAGAAGCGTTTTATATAGAAGAACTAGATATAGGATTCCCCAATCATTACATGCTTGAGCCGCATCTCGAGCGGGAAGCACTTACCCCGGTAGTCGGTCGAGTTCGAAAATTGACAGTATGGAGTCCTAGCCGTGCTTGGCCGATGATGCGTATCGTCCTACCTTTCACTACGAATCTCACCGATTTACGACTTTTTCATACCGTAGGCCAGCATTTTCTAGAAAGGCAAATGGAGGAACCCCCCTTCAAACTCAAGATACTCTACATCGTGGACCCCGAATCCACAGGGCAGTACATTAGCCAGAAAGCGCTCATGCCTCATGCACAAACCCTCGAAGTCCTTTGGCTGGAGTCCTCGGATTGGAATGGTCACACCATCCAAGCTATAAACATTCCGTTATCATCTAATCAACTTCCAAATAACCTAAATTGGAGTTTTCTGATATCAGAGAAATTTCCCAAATTGCGGGAGGTGGCAGTCTGTCTCGACGTGGATACAGTGGAGGCAGGCTTAGTGGTAAGTGCCTCTTTTGCCTCCCTTTCGTGTAATACGCATTGTTTTATTTTATCCTCGTTACTAACCAGATACTTAACCGTTCCAGGGTGAAAACTTTGAACTTCTTCGCATCCTCAACGAATATGACTTTCAGAGTGCCTGCAAAAGTAGTATAAACGGCTTAGCCGAGCAAGCATTTAACAAGATATATGAACGTGGAACTTCGTCAAAGTTTAGAGCCATCGCATTTGGTACGCCAAATCGAGATTTATCTACTAGAAGGAGGCCGGATTACGAAGAGATATCTATCTTCTTTGGTAGAAAGGAGAGGGATATGCTAGGCCGAGAAGTTGCAAGATGTACGCCCGTTAATGCTAGACAGGCGAGGTATATGCTTCCAGATACCGTTATTATAGAAGAGGATGAGAGGTCCTTGAGGTCGGTTGAGAAATGGCCGAAGTTGAATAATTGAAATCGCGAAGTTTTAGCCTCCGTTATTCCATATTATAGTGCGGGGCCACTCAACAAGGAAAGGAATAAGCTGATTTACAGTCACCTATCAAAATTGTAGAACTAGCGTGGAATAGTGGCCCTGCAGAGGAAAAGGTTGTCACGAAAGGTTCATTAATTGTATACAAAACGTATTGTAAAAGCTGTAAATGAAAATTAAATATTAACGATTTCTATACATAATACCAAGCGCTACTATCAAATATTAATCAAAGGCAAAAGGAAACAGGATTCGAGAGCTAATTCTTTTTAAACAAACTTTCAGTCTCCAACCAGGTAGCAAAATCCTTGATCTCAGGATTGATCTTCCTCAGAGAGGCGATATCAGCCCCATATCCAACATCATTGAACCACTTAAACATGTATCCAAAGTCCTTGACCATATAGTTAAGGGCTGACCCAATAAGCTTAAAAGTCGTGGGTAACTTTTCCCCGGTCTTCTGCTCGAATATACTCTTGAACTCGTCATAGGTCAATTCATCGCCCGCCAACGAGATTTTCTGACCCTTGTATTCATCAGGCTTCAAGAATGCCTCCGCCGCGAAGAATCCAATATCGGTAGTAGCAATCAACTGCAACTTCTTTTCCTTTCTCAAAGCCAATTCCCAACTAGTTGCGAAAACCTTCCCAACGAAGCCAGGTACTAAGTTTTCAAAGAATGCAACCGGTCGCAGGACCGTCCAGTCCATGCCGTGCTCTGTGCCTTTCTCGAAAAGAAATCGTTCAATGTTGTGCTTGGCGATGAAATGGGGGACATTGGTTGGGCTATTATCGGAGGCGGCACCACCACGATCGACAGATGAATAGATGAAATGTTTAACATTGTTGTTTATTGCTGCTGTGATGAGATCTTTTCCTTGCTTCTCTTCGGATTTGTTTCCGATAGCCGCCTATTCAATTGAGTGAGTGTTAGTAAACCATTGAATCTTAAGCTTGCATTGTAGATAGGGCGTATGGTGGGATAAAGTCATTCCTTACCTGAACACTGAATGCACCCCAAACTGGTAGTTTAGTAATTTCCTTTACTTTCTGGAATATATTCTCTGGCTGGTCGAGGTCCCCAACGACGAGTTTGATCTTTGGCGATAATCCAGAAAGTTTTTGTGCAGAAGGCGATTTTGCGTCCCGTGTGAGAGCGAGGATTTCAACATTTGCGTTGGCTTTGAGGAGACTTCTTATGACGGCTCCTCCTTGCTTGCCAGTCGCACCGGTGATTAAAATAGCTTTGGACATTGCGGATTTGGTATATTGATTTGTGATGATCGAAGGTGTTTTTTTGAGGATTGTAGAGGAGAAGATAGGGCTCTTAATTAGAAAGTTCTGAGAGTAGGTTTTATGTTAATTTGATAAGAAACTTTGAATTCAAATGTCAATTGGCCGGATTGATGGTTTTTGAATATAAAGATGAAAATGTGATTGAGCAAGTGGTAACTGTTGTATATTGAATAGGATGCTTTGATATACTATGATAGTGAAGAATGAAGTTTTAAGAATTTAGACAGGCTAATCGAGCTCTATTTAACGATATCTTGAACTCGAACATAGTGAAGGACGAGTGTGTAGAGAACATTAGAACATATGATATCGCTACACTCTCCCGATACTCAATTCAAAATCATAGATTGGTCATCAACCATTTGTAATCTGGCTAAGGCACTAGCTTTGTCATTAAACTCCATAATTCTAGAGAATGACGCTTACGGTCATAACCTTTTTTCCTGAAAGTCTGTCCCATTGATTCAATTCATCTGAGCATTTCGGGTTGAAGTTGTGGGTGTCTGTTCAGCGTCGGCATGTTGTTGCCCATGTCTCGGTGCCAGAGAACACCGGTGTTACATGGGTGATCCCTGTCAAATGGCGAAATCCAACAGCAACTCGCTAAAAATCGTCCTCCCACCGGCCTCAACTCACCCCGTGTGGGTACGGACGATAGAGTCGAGGTGTAATACACGTTGAATTTGCCTTAGTCAGGGTAAGATGATAGAGTAAATCATTATCATTTAGTTTCTTAGTTACAAAAAAATGACTAGGTTGTATTATTTTAAGAACGGAAGCATCCAGAAGTAATTGTTGTAAGTCATAGACATATCGAAATCCTGCATTTCCTCGACACTGAATTGCATTCCGCCCTCAGAATCTGGATCCATGGCCCCAAAGGGATCGTAAACAGGCTGGTTGTTGGAAAAATCTTGGTTTTCGTATTCCTCCGGTATCATATCAATATCGTCAATAGTCAAAGGAGGGGTTAAACCCAGTGGCTGATTAATACCATATTGTTCGTGGGCCTCCATTGTCTCCGCTGGTGCAAAAGTATTAGTGTTTGCGTGCATCGATATCTTCTGTCCAGTCTCATCCACAACTTCTCCACTTAGAATATCATGTATTGGCCCGGCTGGTTCTTTACAGCCTCGGTGTAAATTTATGCAAAACGATTTTTTCTGAACATGCCAAGTTTTAAGCTTCAGAAAGACTGTTTCGAATGGTTGAGCCTGTGGAAGGTATCCGTTCTGTGAATGAATTGCAAGGCGCTGGTGAACAGTACCAAGTAAATCCGCTACAGAGGATCTTTCATTACTGTTAGTTTCGCCAAACCGGTCGAATGTAAACCTGTCTATGAAAGAAGACAGTTTCGCCAGACACACTCCAGCATACATAATCCAGACAAAAAATATGTCAGGGAGGGACCGTGCTAATGGTGTCTCCAGGGATATGTACGAGTTGAGAATCCCCCGGCATATCTCAAGAGATCGTGAGAGCGATTGGAGATGAAACGCAGTGATTGATGGGTTTTGAATAGCCCTTCCTTCCTGATATGAGCTCTTATATTCCAATCCCATCTTGTGGTTGAAGCCACGAATTCCAACCTGATTAGTTTGGAGCTCAATGGATAACTTTGCTATAGTGCTGAGCCCTAATCAAGCATTTGATACGTCATTAGCCCCGGGAGCAAAACAAGGAGTATATCTTCATATAGGACATACTTGAGTCCACCAGGCCGCCGTTATCCCTATCCCATTCAGATAACCGGTTCTGAAGCAGATTAAATAGACTCCTGGTCTTAGAATCCTCGAAAGAATCCGCCTCAACATTATATGGTTGATTTAGCGACAAGGAGGCGTCTTCCGATATCTGCTGTAGTTCAACAATTTTGCAAAGCCACAGGTCGTCCAAATTTGAGCTGTCCGTGTCCATCAAAATTTTGGCATATTTCTGGTAGTTTGGTTGGAAAAAATTGAATTGAGAGCGACGAAGTAGTGTTGATGATCTAAAAGTTTTATAAAATTACAAATTTAGTTAATCTACCAATTGGAAAGATGGCCAAGGCTCGAATTGGCGGTTAGAATGCAGGATATACTTACGCCGATGCGGCAAAATAGATCCCCAGGAGTATCCTACAAGCCTCGAGCGTGCTTTCGTTTGGTTTATTCGCCGTTGCTTTTACCTTCTCTTCTAGCATAAGGTCGGATGCCATCGCCATAGCATTGTATACATGCTGTGTCAACGGAAAGGTTTTCGCCTCTGGAGGCTGTATGTGATACTGCGAGAAAAGAACGAGAGCTTGTAAGAGATCTATAGACCTATTCCCCAGCACAAAAACCTCTTGTGCAAATAAATTGTTCAAACGTGGTAGAAGGCGATCCAAAAACGTTGGGTCGATCGAAGCGCTTGATATCGTGAGAATAGTCAGAAACAATACCGGTGTGTCTCTGCGGATAGAATGAACATCCTGACTAGCCGAGAATTGGATGATAGGAAATATTGGTCTTATATTTTCTTTCCAATAGTTGAGGAGGTTAGATGCTGTGGATATATCTATTACTCCTTGGTCAATGACGTCTCCGGTTCCGATGATGGCACTCGGTGATACCGGGGCCTGCGAGTATTGGTTTCTCGTCTCCAGGCCTCCGCTATACCCAGAACTGTCCTCAACGGTTACATTCTGGTTCTGGACAAAAGACGAATCTGGCCCTGCCATTTCGGGTTGAAGTGCGCTCGTAAGGATTTCGATTTTCCTTTCGAGCTCTTGAAACCTTTGTGCTTGTTTTATTCGTGGTTTTATAGGTCCGGGAGCTTCGCAAGGGCGTACCAGCCGTAGACAGGCTTCGCATTTACTAGACTTCGGTACTGGGACACATTTGATCTTCATGCTACGACAGCCGACGCATGCCCTCGATTTTGGTTTATTTTTTGGGCGGTCCATGATGCACCGTAGTATTTGGCGAGAATTAGGAAATTTGGGGACTTGGTATTCGATTAATCGAATTCAATTGATGGCGTATATACTCTGTAAGAAATTGACACTGTTGGTACCTTTCTATAACCGTTGGCCTTGCATGATCAAACCAGTCTTGTACACTAATAGAACTACACGTTATAATTATACCGGTAGTTTTGGGACGCTAAAGTTAAAGATCTGTATTAGTCAGCCGTATGCATCAGATCGTGATCGAATAGCTTGTGGTCTCGGCCGAAAAATCCTGTGAACCATACCGTCATAAAGAAGAATTGCCCGCCAGTTAACAGTTTAGCACGAAATTAAATTAATGTTCAGAACAGCGATCTCTTATGGCCCTGGTGAATAAATTATAGATTTCATTTTCCACATTACAAACGCCTATAAGATGATATATTACCTACTACTTATCTGAACCTATTTGGTTGTTAGGTATACAACCAATGTTAAGGTAGGCTCATGGTCGACCCACTACTAGAGAGTATGCCAAAAGACTTCCCACGCGCTACTAGGTATGTACTTAAGTAAATATGGGAATCCCAAGCAAAGTGCCTAGAAATCCATACAAGCGATATGTTCGTCATCCTACATTTTTGGGTCCCGTTAGTGCCACTCATTTCACTATCAGTGGAGCGTGATAAACATACCATAGTAGTAAAGCAAACACCATTCGTGAGTAGCTCATCAACAGCCTTATACGTCTCTCCCATCGATATCCCAGTCGTCTGCGCAATCATCGCGACATGCATACCCTCACTACTATCGTGGCGATTCTTGAGATGTGCGTAAATCTTCCGAGCATTCGCTGAGATCCCTGGCGGCAACATGGTCCCACCCGAAACTGCACCGGCAGCACCTGTGCCCCCCATAGCAGTATCCTCTCCGTATGAACCGGCACCTCCATGCTGGTACGCCCCGCCGCCACCTGCGCTTCTTCCCTGCTGAGACTCAGGTGGCCCTCGTGTAAAATGCAGATGTACAGCCGTAACCTCCAAGAAATGACATTGGACCTCATTGAAATCTGTAACGGGTTTTACGCTATGTGTCGTGATGTTTCTTTTGTTGTTGAATTGCTTGATACTCCCCAATACCCTTGCATAGGTGTTGATTTGCAGGCCGGCTTCGCGACTACTCTCGTTTTCGCCATCATCATCCACCATTGAATTCCTCTCACCCCTGAAAAACTTGACCTCAATACTGCCCGTTCCGTCCTCCATTTTGTAGGTCGAATTTGTTTCTTGGTCGGAGATACTGAGGATTTGTGCGACAAATGTGACATGACCAATCTCAACATCGTCAATTACGAACGTGTTATCATCGTGGGGGGTCTGGGCGTCTAGAATCTGTTTGATAGTGACCGGACGGAGGGTGTTCTTGGCTGCGGACTTATAGGAAGTCAGCTGTTAGCAGTTATCGAAATTCAGTTGGAATATATCGACCCGTACCCTGCCAGGAGTTGCTTGAGTTCCACCCTGAGAGTCATTCATGTATCCTGCTCCACCCCCATATCCACCGTCGTAGTAACCTATAAAGCTACAAGGTCAGAAAGCTCTTAGCACTTTAGGCGGCTTGGAAGGTTACGAACTCATGGTAGAAGCAGTTAGTATCTAAATCTCTAAAGAAAAAAAGGTAAATAAGATACGAAAGCTGTCGATGTTAGGATAATAGAGAAGGATTGGAAGCTGTACGAGTAGAAAAGGTAGCTTCGATGTGGTTAGGAGAGGATGGTTGTTGGTAGAGCTATGTAAGTTTGGTTCATTGAAGGTTGCTTTGCACTTTACGCGCTTCAAGGCTGGAAGGTTTTCGCGTGTTCCAAACAAATGCCAAGACCAGCCTCCAGGCACAAAATGCCTGTCAGAGCGCAGTGAACAAACGGCTACATACAATCGAGCTTTTGCTGCGGCGGCGGGGTATTCAAAGGCGGGGCGCTCTGTATAGGGACTTAACTACGTCTGAAAATATAGAACAGTAAAAAAATTCTATCAGGGATGGATTATATTAAAAAAAGTATTCTCGCTGTGCCTAAAACTCCAATATACAATATACCAGCCTTGTATCTGCGAACTCCGGTCCTCTTTTACCTATATTTTGTTTTTGAATTTTTTGAATGTGAGTGCTTTTCTTTTCTGCCCGAGCCAGAGCTGTCGAAGTTGGACTTATGCCTCTTGCAGCCACGCCTGTCGGTCTTCCAATTCCGGCAATTCTACGGAACTCCGGTTGAACTGTTCGATGTTGTGCAATTCGTCTATCACCCTGTACCTATTGCCACCTGTAAATCTCCTATATTCTGCGAAAGTTCTACTCAATTTGTATCCGTTAATTTTGCGTCTCTGCACCTTAAGTATAGTTAATGGACCCTGTGAGGCGCGGGGTAACTAACGAGGTTATACTCCAGCTAGAAACGCATAGTATCGCAATTAGCTAGGCTCTCATCCATATAGCCGGAGACATCACCGAATGACGTACTTTTGTAACCGCCGAAGACACCCGATCACAGTACCTGTCCGATGCCTTCCCATGGTACAAGTTACCAATATCCGCCCGTTTGAGGCCTCAGCCAATGCCTGTCCGAAGGTTCAGCTTCCTAATCCAGATTCCAGAAACAACCCGCGAGAGGACTGGGTCAGGTCACACCTGCAAAGCACCGATAACATTCCTTTCAATCTCTGGATCCCATGGCGCAGTGATTTCCCCGATTCCGAAGTTCAAGAATTTAATGCCGTTTGCTCTGATCCATGAAAAAAACTCTGGTGATGGGTCTTCAGTTGCTGCATCCTTCATAACCAAGCAATGCCTCAAAGCAAATTGAGGCATTATTTGTCCCCATATTAGCCCTCGTGTCTAACAGCAATCGTTCCAATATGCCTTTTCTTCTCCTTCCAAGATTCGTCTTCAGAAAAAAAAAGCCTTTTTTCAACCATAATTTGAGAGGACGGGGGCGCTCTAACCCATCCATATAATCGTATCCAAATTTAAATCGCTCACGAACGGTAGATTGAGTGGCAATGGGCCTGCACTCCGATACAGGCCTTCTTCGACCTATGATTCCGCCTGCGATTAGTACCGTAAGCCTTAAAAAAATAATTCAAAAAAGAAGAATTCACTTACACAAGCAAAGTTCAGCGGAGGCACCACTTTTGTTAAAACATGCTGCGACGCCATGATGAACGTCTATAGCACCGGCTTCTTGTTTTTTTGTGAGTTTTCAAGGTGTCGTGTGACAGAAGAGAAGATAACTGCTGGTTGGGTGGCTGTGATTGGGTGCATACCATATTTATCGATAAGCACGCCAGCCAGTCGCCAAGACCGGCCCTTTTCAACGCAGACCCGACAATTTGGTACCGAAAAACAATTCGACCACCAAATTTTCCTTTTCAAACAACGTCGTCGAATCAAAGTCATTCGAACCGCTCTTTCTCTCCCTCATCACATTGGAACGGCCGCGATCCGGCAGGCCATGTTTCATAAACCAAGATGAAGCCGGTATATCTGTATGCCCCTCTCAATCGCCCAATCTCGGTTGCATCCATCGTACTGATTTAACTACACTGTAGTCCAAACTTCGTTATCGCCCTCGTCCGGACCCCACGCCTACCTCCGACATTCGCACAATTCGCCGTTCCCTTAAGTCTTAACAAACTTGACCTAAAAAACTACCTAAAAAATGCATACGGTATCAAAGTCCTCGGTGTTAGATCGTCCATACGGCAGCAGCCGGTCGAGATAGAACAGCAAGGAGGGGCACGGCGTTATGTCCGGAAACAGGCAGAGAAGAGGATGATCATTGAGATGGAGGAGCCATTTGTATGGCCGGAAGAGCCACAGGATTTGACGAAGTACTTTATTTACACCCCAATACCAACTTACTATGAATCGGACGACGGGAAACTAACGGTTGCAAACGCAGATTCGATAATCAACTCTACAAGAATATCGAGAAGTTTAGAGAGGACATGCGAGAGAAAGGCATGGATGGAAAGAGAAACAGACTTGCGGAAAGCAAAACAAGAAGGAGGTTATCGCTTGCCGTTCAGGAAATGCGTAATGGCCAGGCGGAGGTTCCTAGCGAGGAAGCACCGAAGGAAGAACTCACCGACCTTGACTTCGCTACAGCTGCCGGGGAAGGACAAAATAAATCGTAACCCAGAGTCTAGGTTAGACCAGATTGAACTCAAAGGGTGCGTCTTTGAGCCCTGTATTGTAAATATTGAAATGTACGATATGACGACCAAAATGATAGACGTGAATATCAAAGAAGTTTTATCATCTGTCCTCAGACTCTGAACTCGCACCCGTCTTGCCTCTAGACTACCCAGACTCTAGAAACCGTGACTTATAGACCTCTCTGGGCACTTGGAACATACGAGTTTCAACTCGAACCATATACCTACTTTCTTTCTAACATCTGAATTTTTCAGCTTTAGACTTGCACTAGATATTCAGAGATAGTTCTTAAGTGAGATTTTTCAAGAGTCCAGAGTAATAGATTTATAACTTCGAATTCCCTTTATCTACCTCAGGTTTTGTGGTAAATAGTTACTAGATACCAGCCTCGTAACAAAACTGTGTTTCAACGAATCTTGACACTGAGATCGATCTATTAATTTACATTACATAGTTGAGGAGTCGACTGGCGACGAGACAAGAATAAACACTAGATGGTGTGTAAAACTGGGTAATTACCTAGTGCAGTACTCGTGATAGCTTGAGATATAGCAAACAACCAGAGCAATGGCTGCTATGACACTAAATATGTAGAACAGTAGCCCGCCCATGTGTAGCTGAGACTGGTCTTGTTAGCTGAGACGCAAAAACTGAAAATTGACGAGACAATCCTTAATTAACGAGGACACTTTACCTAAATTAGTTACCATTTCTGACCCCATGACTATTCCTAGTCTCAGGGTAGTCTCAGAACCGTCTCAGTGTTAGAACTGCGTTAGCCATTAGTCCTAGTCTCGGGGCCCAGATCTACAGAGAATTTTTGAAGATCATAGCCTAAGCAAATTCCTTCAGTCTTCTATATGAAAAGATAGCTAGGATCGTTGGCACTTGCAACTAAATAGTCGCTCGAAAGCCAACTGTAGAACGGTCAATTTCAGAAGTACTTAATCATAGTCTCGTAATAGTCTCGGAGCCAGAGATGTCCCAGCGTGGCCGCGATAGCCGGGTGCCCCCTAAAATATAAGTGATAATCCTGATAGGCGTAATTTATAGATATCAACCGCGATAGGACCGAGACTAGGTTTTATCCAGGAAACATATAATTTAGGCTTGTCTCGTCGCCAGACTCCTCGACTGCGAATTTAGGCTAGCGCTCTTAAAATCCAGATATCAATTTCAAATTCATGACATAGGGAGCCCAGTTATACTATTATCTACAAAACTTAATTATAATTTACATATAATAAAACAAAAACAGAAGGCCTTAAATACCAACATAGTTCAAACCTCGACAGCTGCGGCCAGACAAGTCTGAGCTGCGTGTTGTGTGGTATTTTGGGTTCGATTACCCATTCGGGAACCATGTGGATCTTGACGTCGAACGCGTCTTCCCACCAGCGACTTTCTACCGAGCAATTGCGACCTGCGATAACGAACCTCTCGATATCGGTTTTATCACGAAACTCATATTCCACGCATCATGTCCACCGATCACAGCTCATTCCTTGCTGCTCGAGTTCTCAATGACAATAAGCTTGTAAGAACTAGCTTATACTATGCAACTTTTCCTTTGACCTGAAGCTAACAACAGCTCTTGCCTAGGTCACATACCGTCTCCTAAGCCGTGAGCTCAAAATCCACGTCAACAAGGCCAAAGAGTAGTTACAGCCCTCTCCCAAAAAAAGAATAGCCTGCCAGATTCAATCAGGCTCACTCCGATTTTTCCATTTCCACTCGAACTAGATACCTCGCCGCTTTCCACGAAACAGAGAACCGCAAGCGCCAAGGATCATGTCATGCTACATATCTTGTTACAGGAGTCCCGAAGCCTTTAGTCCCGACATCACGACCGAGGATTGATACGGATGATGATACATATATGGAGAGCAGTCCTGTCCCACAGGCGACACAAAATGAAGATGAAGAGGTAGTAAAGACGTCCAGCGTCATATTAGTAACAGAAGAGGAATTGGAAGGTTCGTTCCACTAGCGGGACATATGTCTGGAATTGGAGCACTAAGTAGTGTTAGGGGTCAAGGAATCGCTGAAGGAGATCACATCGATACATATTTACAGTGTAGAACCTGGTCCTATTAAGGTAGCAGTAGCCCACATCTGCAAGGTTTTCGATCAAATGACTTACCTTGAATATAGGACCTTTTAGCGATTTCAGACGCAAGTGTGGAGCTGTATTCTAGGTTTCCTAGCTTAAATGCTGCCGAGAAGTCGAAAATCTACGGTACAACACTGAACAAATATGTCAAGGTCGATACCCCAGAATCAGAGTTCCAATCCTGAGATTCTTCTAACACAAATACAGAAACGAGATGGGGCTCCGCCGCCGCCGCCGCCGCCGCAACCTACAACGAGTAGCACATATGTCGTTCCTGTGAAGAAAGAACCTATATCGTCTGCACTGCCTGCTGCAACTTCATCTACTACAAGCAAAGAAACCAAGAAGGATGTGAAAAAGGATTTCTTTGGCAGCATTAAGGCAAAGGATGCACAGAAATCCCGTCAAACATCTGAGTCCACTTCATCAACCAAAGCTAAAGTTCCCCTAAAGCGTGGACAAAGTGACTTGATGTCCTCATTTTCCAACGCCCAGCCTAAGAAGCCTAAGCAGCCTGAGAAGGAAAAGACACCACCGCCGGGTAAGAAATCCGGAGATATGTCGGTAGTACTACAGACGTTAAAACTAACAAATCCTAGATTTCATGGACGTCGATGACGATGAACCTGCGGAAGTGGAGCCAGTTGATGAAGAGACAAGGGCAGCAGAAAAAGCGAGACAAGAAGAGATACGGAGAAAACGAGAGGTGGACGAAGAAGAGCTCCGTAGAATGATGGATGAGGAAGACGATGGTAAGATAATAATCACGACAATACAGTCTGTATTTTTTGCTAACCATAATCAGAACCTATTGTTACAGAAAAGGCAAATAGTGATGTCGAAGTTGCGGATTCCCCAGAAGAAGAGGAGGAGGAGGAAGAAGAAACAGCGGCAACTCCCATGGAGGAACCGTCTGAGCCCGCTCCTTCAGCATCTGCGCCGGGACGTCGAAAGGCAAAACGGAGAGTAACAAAGAAGGTCCGGTCGAAGGATGCAGATGGGTACATCGTGACCCGGGAAGTTACCGAATGGGAAGAGTATTCCGAGGATGATGTTCCAGTACCGGCGAAACCGGCACCGAAACCAAATGCATTTTCTGCTATGAAACAGGCCCCGAGCTCACAGAAAGGGAAGAAAGGTGCAGCAGAAGGTGGACCCAAGCGGGACATCGCCAGTTTTTTCCAACGAAAGTGATCAGCTGCCAGCTTTACATGCATGGGGCCTTTGTCGTTGGCTAAGTGCCAAGATTAAGTAGTTATAGAGGCATCTACTGGTAACACTAAATGAACCGTCTTGCCACCAGTTTGCTGCTGTATTCATCTAGTTCCATTGATCCGCATCCTCGGGTCCAAGCACGGCTAGGCGCTTATTGGATCCTGAGGATCCGCCTGAACAATTAACATTCAACAGGGTAGCAACACGTTTTAACACCGTCTACCGGCGAAGTTGACCCTTGTCGCCTATCCAACAGCTCCACATCTAACATTCCAGCGGTGGTAATGGCAAACAATTGAGGTTGTCACTAGCGGTCTCGAGCTTCTAATTTCCTGGCTAGAACAGTTCCCAGCAAGACCCTCACATTCATTGTTTTTGAGCCCGCGGATACCAACATAATCGAAATCATCAACCTTCCTTGAAAGGCCTCTGCTGTGATGTGTGATGTAACACGACTAAATGCAAGGCTGCACGGCTCATCAACCGGCAGCTGGTCGTACTACGCCGCCCCCGCTGACGTTTTTGTCTTATGCTCCAGCCTTGTTACAGTTGTTACATTTATGATCGGCTACAGGTCGATTGTGTCTCGAATTGCGAATGAGTTTGTGGTTGTTGTATTCGAAACCCCAAAGAAAGACCTCACACTCACACTCGCACACGGGAGGAGTCCAAAGGGGCCCCAATAGGGAAACCCGCACGTTTGCATGATTACTGTGGTACAGACAGGGGTCTTTGCACCTTGCGGAGTTTGTGTTGCGAGTGAGGTTCTAGACCGTCGTACCAAGTGTCCAGGGCCGAGTGAGCAGGCCGTTAAGTGGATATATAGCATCGGTGAACTATAGGTTCGATCAAATCGGATTCTGGTCTTGATGCCCCGTTGGTTCCAGATTAATTGATTGCTAGGGTTTACCTGTGGGGCCTGCGGACGGGAAGCCCAAACTTTTTCCCAAAGTGTCAAGATGTCGAAAAAAAACGCACCGTTGGCGCTGCCACAACCCAGCCATCGAGCTTATGTAGGGTTCTAATCAACATCAACGAAATGTACCCATTCGGGCTCCGAGGTTGGCCGATGTTCAGATATCAAGTTTCACAATTTGATTTGCGATTTACCGCTTTGGGTTTTCTGCATGCAGATGAGATGATAACAACAAAGACGCCTCTTTTTTTCTCCCTCACTATCATGCCTATACACAAGTAGACACACATATGGATATGATATCAGATTACAGATTACGAACCACAGCGCTAAGTCATGGAGGAATTAATAATGATAATTCAAAACTAAAGGCATTAATTGATAAGTCGCCGTCTCCAAGAGCTCGTATAATACAATACCAGGGGATCTAGCCGTTCAGTTATACGTAAATTGTGACAAAGCAGGGAAGCTTTGTTTCGAGATGCATCGGGAACTTCCATGGTAAACTGACCCACTCTGTCCCCACCTCCTTCGAGTCGAGAAGAATCTGTGCATAACCGCGGTAGAATCCATCAATACGGTAACCCAATATGATACTAACTTTAGCAAAAGCGGATTAACCGTTCCCGCCGGAGAAGTGACAACCGTTAACTGTATGAACGCAGATATTTGCGGTGGATACTATGTCCAATTGATTTCTTTTGGGGGTGAATCTCCATCGGGTCCAGGCCTCTGGAAAGACTTTATGTTCATTGATGTCAGCATCATATCATATTGCACCCGCATGCATGATGCACTCTAAGGGAGGGATTCCGGTGCATCGTTCTCGAGCTCCCCATATAATCCAATGCAATTGGTCGGGAAGTACAAGCGGTGATGCATGTGACAAGCATTTTCGTTTTGTATTCTATTCAATTGGCCGTTGTCGACTCCGGACCTGCGGGCTAGAGGGACGAGTTCAGTGCGATATGATCCGTTGGGGGGCTTTCAGATGGTCTTTTGGCGTATGGGCCAATGGTTTGTCCGGTATATTGCGACATCATGATATCGGATATTTCCTTAATGGTATTCAGATATGTAACATGCACCCCAAGGATCAGCTTTGCTGGTTAGGACTATGAGTTTATGTAAGGGTTTTTTTTCCCCTTTCCACTTCCTGACTAGATCCATAGATATTCTTGTCTTTTGCCTATGAACGGAGCGATATCGCGATCTTGAATTTGTCGATCGCGATCGATATCGATCCTATGCATCGTAAGTTTTTTTTTTTTTTTTGCATGCTTCATCAGACATTTGATTTGTTAGTCGCTAGTCGATATTCCATATTCTGTCTCGTATCTAGACCGGTCCTGCAGTGCAGCGGTCATACATACGTATCAAGCACATTTCGAGGATAGAGCCAGTCTAGTTGGCCCGTGCGCCTAAAGCCGTTCGAGCCGTTCACTTGCAGCAGTACGGCAGGACGCCCTCTACATGCATGCAGCAGTCCGCATCATGATCGAGCCGTTTCAGGCGACCGCCAAGTTAACGCATCTATCCCAAGTCCAGATTTATTTATTTCCTTCCTTCCTTACCTTCCGTGCAGATCCCCCGTTTATCAGATGTCTGGACGCTCGCGCGCAAAAAATTTAAAATGACAAAAGGGAAAGAAAGAAAGAAGAAAAAATAAAAAATAAAGAAAGAAAAATAAAGAAAGAAAAAGGGTTTGGAAATGTGTAATTCCTTAATTTAAACAGATAGGGTCTCCCAGATCGAGATCTTGCTAAGATATCGGGTTTTCTCTCGGCTTAAAAGAAGTACTTTGACAAAGCTGTCAAATGAAGGGAGCCGATGAAACGCAAGGGGGGTCGAAGAGGAATGAATACTAACCGGTAAGGCGCTGGATTCGGTAAGAAGCGAGAGCTCAAGCAACTAGATTTCCGGTAGTTCTGTACATCATCAACATTCCGAAGCTAAGAGGCCTTACATTATCCTTGCTAAGCTTATCTTCTCTTAGATATCATACTACTAATATACGTATATACTTGAGTAAAGTACGTAAGTGTATGTATATGCTCGCTGTAAGGAATCACTAACGTACATACATGAAAGAATGTTCCTCGAATGTACCAGGGAAAGGATCCTTGCCGCCGTGCATTGAACATCCCGCATTCACCCCCCTCAAGCTCGCCTTAAGCCTTCAAAGGCTCCTGCACTATCCGATCTTTCCCATTGAGAGTAGTAATGCTTAGTAGAAGGCTGATGGCATGTATGTACAGCACGTCATCGTACGCATCTCAACATTCCAACTATATGTAAGTACATATACAAGGAGACATATTCCGACCTATTAAAACTCGAGTTTAAAGAAGCTTAAGTCCATTGGAGAGCCTCGAAGAGAAAAAAGCAAACGATTTCAAGTCTATTGGCTGAATCTGACGTCCGATCGCGACTCGGGGTTGGAACTAAGAATTGGACAGTACAGAGTAGTAGTGAAGCTAGGTCAAGCGCGAGTGATAGTGCAAGACATTCCTGCCGCGGGATGTGAAAGATGTTGCATATAACTAAGCATTTGAAGTTTTCCTAAGTATCAGCCATATTTAGGTATTAATTGCCCAATTGATTTCTAATCAATATCTACTGTGTGTGTTCTTGTCGGGTTTCAGCGAATAAGACAGTGAGCTCATCGAAATAACAGTTTTCGGGGCGGCAATGCATGAAGTTATCCCAAAGTATGGTTTGAATGTGATATAACTCTGGTCACGCAGATTGAAGTTATATTCCAAGGGTTTGGGTACCCTCCGTCCCAGCCATACTTTTGAAACCCTGCGCTCCCATACCCATGTTATTATGTACATGCTCGCCTCGTTTTGATAGGTCCCGATCGGTTAACGGAGGTAGTTTATTTTGTCCTTTGTAAAATACTTACATATGTTTTTTTAGGACCTAATTAGCTAAATAGATCGGTGAAATACTAACAAAAAACGCTGATTCGACCGGACATGCTCGGTGCGAGGCTGAGCTGCACAACTAACAGGTTGCAAGCAAATGCGAGACCCAGCGCAGTGCCAGTACAACAAGCATAAATCTATGAAAATCTTAGGCAATACTGCGATTCCTCGGTCTCTCGAGCCAGATTTCCTTGTTCGATATATTGATATCCACGTCGGCGTTTGGACGTGACGTCGAATACGACCCCGTGTAATATAATGCAGCGCAGCTAGCTAATTCTAGAATTCTATTGATTCTGATTCTGATGAACCTCGCAGCGCAGGTCGTTTCCCTGACTTTGTGTTGCCGCAGAATGCCACAAGGCACAGCAAGTGGCATCATCCTGACCAGATGGTAGCATAATTCGACGTCTAGACTCTCCAATCGCCTGATAGTTGGATTTCAAGCGGGCCAACATACGTATTCTGAATTCTGTTTTCCCCGATGCCCAGTCCTTCCAAGTTAACTCTGAGATACCAATTCTCTTTGCCGACATGCCTGAGCTGAGCCCGGCATAATCTTAAGAGGTGGTTCCGGACCGTCGACCATCCGATCTCTCTGTTCCTAACACGGGCGGTCACGATACGAATTAATTACTTGTATGCACATGCTTTCCCTTGACAAATTGCCAGAGATCAGACCCCACCTTTCTCCTCGCTTAATGCCGGCCGACGAGCCGTCAGAGGAGGGGTGTGATAAACAGCCAGATGGACGGTAAAGGGACGTAAGAGCTCGAGGTAAATATCAAATGTGGTGCCTGAGTGGCTTGCTGCACGATGCGGTGGTAAATCCTCAACCGCTAGCTCAGGTAATACATTTCAATTCAGGCAAATCCCCTTCGTACGCTTTGCATCTTGTTCGAATTCTTGCTCGCTCGTTTTTGTCCTCGTGACTTTCCAAGGCAATAATTGGGGTTCTTTATGCTTCAGAGATGAGGTGTCTGGGGGGGTGAAAAGGTAAGTTGACATCGCAGTGATATATGAGAATCGATTGATCTAGACTCTTTGGGAATCGAAAACGGAGGGGCTTTTTCTTCGCATGCATTACCTTCCGTCCGAAGACATGCTATGTACTCCATGTTATCATGATATTTATTCATATGTACATACATTATATTGCGCTTGCATTCGTTGTCAATAACAAAAGGCCCTGGGGCAAACACGGGGAACCCTTCCTTCGCCTCCCCTTGCTTGCTTGGTTTTTTGTGTTCGAACCCATGGAATGTTCCAGGGTGTTGGGAATATTAACGGCTGCAGGATTAATATCAGAAGGGGAAGTTCAGAAAGGGAGAAACAAGTGCCATTTGGATGTTTGTCCATCCAGGCGTTTTGACAAGGATGAGGGCTATAACGTCACTCGTTCGTGAGTGTGAAAGGATTACAGTTTCACAAGCATAACAGTAACAATCAAAAAGTTTTGAAGGATACGAAAAGAATAGTGTCTAGAGTTATTTATTTAACACAATGCTGAGAATTGAAGCGCATTGTCTTGTTAGACAATCATGGAAGAAAATATGAAGCGAAAGGAATCCCAGCCAGGATTAATAGGAAAGTTATACGGGGCCCTCCGAATGAAGAGAGGTGGTATAATGAGCCCACGTAGACAGTACAGGAAAGCCATGCAAGGACAAAAGCCGAAATCTTGTTGTAACTCCGTAAGCACGCCCCCAGAAAAAAAAAAGATTGAGTGAAAGGAAGAGTCATGATCGTCGTGAATTTACCCTGGTGAGGTATTTTTTTGGCCGACTAAAAGAGAGAGAGAGAGAGAGTGAGAGGGAAAGAGAAATTCGAAGTGGACCGGTGCGTGGCCGGAGAAGAAGCAGGGTAAGCGAGAACGCAATACTGGGCCTCGGATCAAGAATCGAAATTTTCGGCCCTTCTGGGAACGTTTCTTTTGCGAGAAAGCATTTTCCGCCGAATTAGAAGGTTGAATTTATTTTTTAAATTTGTTTTTTTTTTTTTGTGTCGGATGCCAAAATTGATGCGTGAAATAATAAGCAGGTCGTAAGGTATCTCTAATGCAAGAACGCGATGTAACCAGAAATCAAAGTGTAATGATGCAACTCCACGAGCAAGATATGCAGATGTGAGTGAGGTTTTTGGTGTACAGTCTAGACGGAAAAGGGTGAAAGCGGGAACAATCAAGGCGAGAGTCTGTCGATTTGCCAGACTTCATCGTGGATCGATTCGCGTGTGAATGTAAAGCGATCATGCAGCCTGCTATCACGCCTGCATGGGAATGTCATTGTTAGTTTGGTTTAAAGACAATGTGAACACTCCCGGGAGATACTCCGACTTACCCTTGCCAAAATTCGATATACGTAGGGATAATTCGAACACCACCCCAGAACGGCGGCACAGGGATCTTCTCTTCGCCCTCGAACCTCTTCTCCATATCTCGGACCCGGTCTTCGAGCTCTTCCCTACTTCTCAGCTTGGCACTTTGCCTCGATGCCCAGGCGCCAATTCTAGACCCTCGAATTCTATGCATTTGTTGTCAGTTTCGATGTTCCAATACGAATTCAAACTTTATGCAAAAGGTAGTACCTCGTATCATAGTATTCCTGGCTTTGTTCTTGAGTCAACTTTTCGGTAATACCCTCAACTCTGACTTGTCGTTCCAACTCTTTCCACCAAAATGTGAGACTAGCGTGTTTATTCGATTTCAGGTCATCTGCCTTCCTGGAAGTATCCCAATTGGAATAGATGACAAAGCCCTTCTTGTCGAGTTCTTTCAAGTAGACCATCCGTGCGCTGACTCTGCCAGATGGCAACTGGGCAGTAGATAATGTTGTGGCTTCGGGCATAGTCAGTCCCGGCGTGTTTGATGCCTGCTCAAACCATTCGTGGAATTGCAAGAAGGGATTGGAATTGAGGTTTTCCCTTTCTAGCTCCCCGATGAGATATTGCTCATCTTTGCGTGTAGGTGCAACTATCAAGGCCGTCGTGTTAGTTGGCCATTCGTTTTTACCCCTCCCTCTCCCTCGGAATTTGAAGTTTTGCAGAAAACTCACAGATTAGTTTGCTGGAATGTTTGGATGTCTCATTATGGAGGGCGGCATCTCGATTGAAGTTCTTTAGGGACATGATTTTATCAGAGAATCTTGCAATCTTATATCGGTTGTAATGCCCTCTCATATGCTATTTCTCGGAAGTGATCAATGGTTAGCAATCTCGGTCTTTTTTTTTTCGATTTTCTTTGAGATGTTTAAATATAAACTCAAACGTTAAATTAACGACGAAGAGAGGCCATCGAAATCCACAATTTGGGATCAGCAGCCAATGTGTTGCTACGACGTGCAACCTCTCTTGAATATAAATAATATGGGCGTTCAAGATATATATATAAAAAAAACACCACACAGGTAGTTCTAATGAAAGAGTCGAAACTCACTTGAGGATGAGGTCTCAAAGCTCCGGCTGGCATTGGCATTGTGCCGGACTGCTGCAGCAGGGGATATGGAATGTTAAATTTTTGGATGGTTTGTTGGAGCCTACCAGAAGGCGAGAAAAACGGGGCCTTTTGATTGAAAGCCGATACCGTTTAATTTGTATGAATTTGAATGAGGTTTGAATATGTTTTCCGTTTGCGGACGATGTTTAGACAAATGGGAATTGATAAGCAGGCTTAGATCCAGTAGCTTTATATAAAGGTGATCTCGATCTCGATCCCTCTGCTGAAAGTGTTTAAGGTTTAATGTTAGGGCCACGGGGTTATGTTGAGGAATGGTGATGGTGGTGGTGGTGGTGAGAAAAGTAAGGAGGAATATTTGAAGGCAATATATCAGAAGACGGAGTTATAATAGTGAACGGATATACTATTATATATACCCGCACTTGTTATATAGACTTCAGACAAGACCAGGACCAGGCGTATGGCGTCTGGGTATATGTTTTTTTTAAGACGGACCGTCGATGCTGAGGTTTAAATTCAGGTGTGGTTGATGATTGGCATCGGTAGGAACTAAATCCTGGGACTTGGGGGAGTAGTTATATGTTATATAAGAAGGTCTCCACACGTATACGGCAAATTCGGAACTAGTAAATTACAAGCAGAGTCCTGAGAATCTGGGATAGATCGAAGCTAAAATAGACGTTTGGTAGAGTGACTAATCGGATGAGCTAACAACTGTTTTTTGTTTTTGCGGCAGCGAGCAGCAGCTCGAAAGAAAGGAAGAAAGAAAGAGAAAAAAAAGAATTGTGCCTCTGCTGTATCTGTACTGTGTACTTACATACGAGTAACGGCAGTAAAGAAGCAACATGCGCCGAAAAAACGAATAATCTAACTCGTGTGTGCGTTCGTGCGTTAGAAAAAGGTCCCCGGGCATCAATGCTAACAACTGGCCGTTACTTGCTATGACGATCGAAGGAGACGACCTTCACAGGCCGTTCCATGCCGCTATTGCTAGTGACATCCCTGCCCTTCAAGAAAGGGTAAGGAGGAACACTAGATGAAAGGGACCTTTCAATGGGTTAATTGATTGATTCCACTTTCATAACATGACTTCCATCTTTCTGGGTACTGGGGTACATAGATACCCGCTTCGAAATTCTGAAACTGCGGTCGGCTGAAAATGGTGGAATTGCATTGTTGAATTCACAGAGTAACGGGTAGCGTTCATTGACGCATTGCGAAATAACCGCATTCAGGTCGACAACAGAAATTCAGAACAGAAAACCCGAGATCAATGTGGAAAAAAAGTAAAGAGAGGGAAGTGGAAAGGAAAAAGAAAGAAAGAAACAAGGAAAGAAAAAGAAAAGAAAAGAAAGGGAAAATTCTAACGAAAGTATCGTGACGTTGGCCCGATTGTACTGTACCGCGTACTAAACTGGCACAGAATATGGCCGACGCTCGCTTTCCCTTGGTGCGGTTGGTTGGATGATAGCGAAGGAAGGCCAGGAGTGCCTAGCTAACGACCATGGTTGCCAATACAGCCAGGGATGTGCGAGAGGTTGGATTCGAGGTCTATGGGAGTCTAGAAGCCTTCGATCAATACCCACCGCGGGATAGCTTCGCTAGCCTTTGCCCAAATCATACTGGTTTCAAACATTTCTTTCTGCCTTCGTGTGTTTGCGAGGGGGGGATTAGAAGGTAACGCTGGCATCAGGCTTTGTGCGAAAGGAGATTTGTTCAGGAGCCTGGGAAATGTTTGATGAACCCCACAGTTCACCGATAACCGACGCGACAGGAACTGGTTTACCCCATTATTAATAATATCAGCGATCAATTATTGTATTCAACGGAGCATAAAGTTGGGACGAAACACTCATCAGATGCGCCTCGGATGGAGAGAAAGAGAGAGAGAAGAGAGAGCATCTGTGAGTTCAGATCAGAGAATATACCTCTGGATCTGACAATTATCGTTCCGTTATCATTCCATGAAACACTCAAGTCCCAAGAACCATATGCCCAGGCCGTTGGGATGTGCCCATGTTCCTTCGAAGTCACGGGAGCCTTAGCTCCCTTTCATATTAACAGCCTGTGCAAGGGTTTCAGCCTGGAATGCTTCTGCGCGATGACATCGGTGGGCTTTCGGAACTATCCTGAAGAGGCATCTGCAACAACTACTGGGCAACCCATTTTCGGTGGTAGACGCCCAGGAGAGTATTGTTCTTCACAGATTAGGTTGCATTTTATGCACAAACCCCAAAGCTTCATTTCTAGAACGGGATTCATCGAAAAGAAGCGAACAGGGTTCAATTGGCAACATTGTATTCTGGCCAAAAGCTACTAGCATCGATATATAAAAGATATATAGTCTGCAGCACAGCGCATAATCCACTAGACATAGATGGTGCATGCTATCGATGTCGGTTCGTTTGTCCTAAGGCTGGATAGGAGAACTGCTTCAGCACCCACAGCTTCGTCTGGCTAAATAGACCCATATTCACAGACACGCCAAGGCAGTAGCTTGGGAGAAGAAGAGCTCGGCTAGCCCATCCCGTTCTTACTACGTCATCTCAGGTTATTGTCATGGCTGGCATGCCCCGATACTCAGGAATTTCCTGACAGGATTGCATGAGAAGTGGGGTTCGGACTGCTCTAGATTTTCAACGGAAGATGGGTCCCGGTTACAGGAGATTTGTAGTCTGATTTAAGTTCGCCCGCCCAGAAATCAGTGCAGGAAGGAATGTGTGTCAGTCAGCCTTAGCGAGAAGGGGACGTTTTTAAGCAGAATCATTACGAGGTTAGTGTCGGAGATAGTCGTGCAGATCCTGCCTGGCGGCTCGTTCGGCCTTCTCGAGGCGCTGCATTTGCTTTGCTGTGAGCAGTCGCGGTCTCTTGGGATTTGGGTCTGAAACGCTGTCTGCATTATCCCTTATCGATTTCGAGGGTTTCGCACCGATTCCCAAGTTATCATTCTTTGAAGTGGCTTTAACAGGGAATCGGATACCCTGTCTTTCCGCACCGAGGCCTTCGCAACCGTCTGGATTCCAACCTAGCTTTACCATGTGTTTGTATCCTTCTGATTGACGATTCAAATGATGGGGGGGTTTGGAATGTTCTAAACTGAACATGTGGGCCGTCGTTCGAACATGAGACTCCCAATCCGTTACACGAGAATTGCATGTTGAGCAGATCTCGTCGACTACTACCGTCGATGTCTCGATCGGGTGTTCCACAACGGCCGAGGCTGGTCCTACAACGGCGTCTTCCGAGAGGCAACGAGCCGGGTTACATATCCCAGCCTCTTCGGGTGTGTCTAGACTGTCAGACGACCCTGAAAGAATACTCGATCCTTTGCTCGAGCGCGGTTTGTTTGTGGCATGATCACGTCGTGATGGCATCATGCTTCTTGCCGTTCCGGACGATATTTCCATAACGGAACTTGACCCATGTAAAAGCTTCGCTTTTGATGTTGATGTACCTTTAGATTGACTGGAAGGGGTCGGCTTGCTGGAAGGAGACGATGCATTTGTTGAGCCGGGTTCGGATGGTAAAACGAGAGAGAGATAAAATTCTGCGACAGAGGATCCGTGATTTGGTCGACTCTCCCGAGCCGTCTGATGAAGCACTTCACCATCCTGATCTTCACCGGACGCCGGGACAAAATGAATTGGCTTCCGTTTAACACCGGTTCCAAATGGCCGAGGGATGCGCCAGGAGTGGGGGTTCTCCGGGGACCTTAGATCGGCCGGGGAGTCTCCATCAACAGACATTCTGGCGGTATCTTGTTCGTAGTTGTTTGAATTGGTCATGCAAGTGAAATGCAAATGTTTGTCCAGAGACATCGGCCTCTTTCTTGCTAAAGGTCTCGGCTTGGCAGAGACCGTCGACGCTATTACTCAACAGCTTCTGTACTTTGCCGTCGGCCTCTGGCCTTTGTGGCTAGTATGAACGGGAGTGCATTCGCAAACGAGCTCGACGAATCATCAACAATCGACGCTACCTGATCGGAGATGCTCGTGCCCTTAGATACAATTCTCATCCGAAGCGAGACTGGCGATTATATTATCGCGCCGCAGCTACGCAGACTGTTTTCGTTCTGGCCCTTTGCCTAATGTTTGATGTGAGGTGGATTCGGCGATGATTGACAATCCCTTGCTTTCAAGGGACCGGGTATGCTTGCTAACCTCTGCAAGAAGAAAGTGCTGGCGCGGGTTACATACTGCAGGTCATCGACCCCAGGGCTTGAGTACATCAACCTTATCCATTTTCGAGTCGAAGTGGGGACAGCTGGTTCAAAAACGAAATGCACTTCCAACCAACCAGTAAGGAAGCTCAAGTTAGCTCCAATACAGCTATGGAGCATAGCTCGGCAGCTTGCTAAGCTATGTTCTCGCCAGACTCGACTCGAAGGAATTCCATCTGATCATGCCGCCAGAAATATTATTATTACAAAAATAGAAAAACTCGAAGTCTCTGGATCATCAAGCTCCAATCAGGGCCATGACAAGGCATTTGCCCTTTTTTTCCCTTAATTTTCGGGTTAGCCGCCAAGATAATTGTTATATTCAGATGCGCCTCAATACGAGTTCCTGTTGGAGCTCGCCCGGCCAAGAGTGTGCTATCAAGACTCGAGAAGTACCGATACCAACTGCTACTTCTCCTGTTTATTACCTATCCAGCGGAGCCATCAGCCGCCTCGGAAAAATAAGTTTCGCTTTAACGAGTGAAATTTTCGTCTGGTCTTTCTTTCGAAGTGCATTAAACCCACCAAGATTCTGCGTGCTCATGCAAACCCGCACGTACTCTGAAAAGCTTACTCGCATGAAATCTTCTGTCCATGCCACCTGACATTATTGAACACGTCACTGTGCAAATGCAAATGCCTGACATAAGAGGGGTTTGGTGCATTGGATCGATGTATGTAGCCCTACTCGAGTTCTGTCTAGACGTCTGCACTACCAATTGCGTCTTCGTTCTTTCGCCTATTACGGCAAAGGTCAGCATGAGGACCTACAGCCAGGTTGAAAAGCATTGGTAATTGTTAACCGTCCGAAGGTTGCAGCCGTCTGATAAGGTTGCAATTCTCAATTCTCATGGTTTCGTATCATGGTGGGCAGTATTTGTAATGGCATCCTAACAGCCATACCCCGGTACCCCACGCTTTGGAAAACATTTCCATAAAGTACATATCTAAGTACGCGTATCGCCAGTAGACACCAGACTTTTTTATTTTATTTTATAAAAGTCCTTGGCATTTGTAGGGGTCCCAAGTTCACCATGCGCTGTCCTTCGAGCCTCGGCTAATATCCTCCAAGTTCGGTCTCTTGCAGACAGGATAAGGGATTCCCTTAATGCTGGTTTTGCAGACTGTCCTGTCCCAGAAAGCGGGAAAGGATGTGCAGATATATGACGTCGATTCGAACCCTTCCATGTGTGTTCCTTCCAATAAGCAATTATTGGGTTTCGAAGGGTTCCGTTAGCCTTATTGCCCCGTGAGATTGGAATACGGTAACCTAAGGTCCCATTATAAAGTCTAAATGGTCTGGGAACCGGTGCGCTGCAGTGCAGCACCGAGTGGGGAACCCAACATCAAGCCACTTTGCTCAGACGCTTCCCTGGGCCCTGGTCTGGGGTCAATGTTAGTCAGGAGTACTATAGTGGTATCGCTTACTATAGTGGAATCGCCATGTTTCGACTATGATTGGAAAACTCGAAACTGCCAGTGCGTTCGATAATCTTCTTCCAGCTAATATTTCGGGTTTCAAGGTTCTTCGGGGTTCTTCGCATCAGCTGGCATGCCTAGTTGAGCTTTCGCTATCTAGCTGGATCATATCATGGGAGAATATACGAAGGCCAAGCTTAATCAATTGATAGACGATGCCCAATGGCTGGTGTGAGGCAAAGTAAAAGCGCAAGCACTCCGTAACTACGTAGTTCGAAACAAAAGAGCCGAATGGAACGGTCTGGAACATTAGTGAGGCGCTAACTGGGCTGAAATTGGTTATCATGATTGAACTTGGGAAGGGAGAAAAAATACAACTCAGTTTAACCATTTCAGGGACCCTTGCTTGGAGTTGTCGGCTTTGGGGGCTCGACGCCGATGATCGTATCTTCATGGCATAATCGAACTCGTCAAGGCCCCGCGTATATCATACCAAGAAAAGGGCTTTCAAACTCTTCCGAGTAATAATAAGACGTGCATAGATTATTGTTGAAAAAACGGATTAGCCCGCATATCAGCCGGGTGACGGATTAACTATTGGCCCAACGTTGATATGTAGGCCGGGAGGCTATAATAGAAACGCATGCTGTCGAATATTGGCACATGTGCACATGATATATATCGGATTTGCTAAGTTTCCCATTTCTGAAGGCTGCCACCTCCTTGGGTAATCTTACAATCGATCGTGGTGAAGGTGGAACTAGTCATTGCGATCGAAGGGATGGGATTGGATGGGATTCTGGACTTATTTTCCGACACCGCACGCGGGTCCCTTAGGCGCATTCAAGGGATATGCCTGAGAGACCTAGTCAGACGTGGGAAATATCTTGGTTCGGCTATAGCCACTGCAAGCCAATCCATGCAAGTGTGATTTTTTAGGGAATCGTATGTACATACATATCTGCATCCAGTTCTTATCTAACTCAAGTAGGAAGTATCGATCGATCGATTTTTCAAGTTTTTGGAAGATCATTCTTCAAAACAGGCAGAGCTCACTTCTGTCTGCCATTTCTATGTAGTTAACATTGCGATCACGACTCCTTTTGTGAATTCAGGGACAAATCTGGCATTCTAGAATCGATCATATGACGGCATCCGGTGCATAGTGGGGGGATCATTGCTTTTAAAGCTTTCTCCTTTTTTGCTGCGTGGCGTTTTTTCTCCCCTTTTTGTTCCAGCAATGAGAAGCTGCAAAAGGAGCTCTCTTCTTTATGTTTACTCCTTGCTAAGTATTATAAGCATTCGGATATCTTCGATCTGGATCTTCGAATCGAGCTACATCGACAAAACATTCATCAATTCGGATAATCGGCTAGCGCTAGCTAAGATCGCAAGTTTATACATATATGCATATCTATCTAGGCATGTACATGTACCTGCTCAGGTTTTAATATTTGTCAAGAAGCTTGGCCTTTGCGAACTCAATTCTAGACCCAGGATATTATATTTTGGAACGGGCTAAGTCGTCATCATTCTGCACGAGGTGGAAGTTAATCTTAGACAGCTCACGAGGGACCCACCGGTCACCAAGGGTATTCGATCGATCGCATCGAGGATCTACACTGAAACGGGATATGTGAACACCGAAGTTGATATCCAGGGATGTTACCAGTCTCGGCTGGGATATGACCTTCCTGGATAGGGTGCAAAAATGCAACATTCAGCGCATTAAATTCTATAATCTGAGGCATTTTGAAGTATGAACACGATGAGATACCGGACTATTCCTCCAATTCATCTATTCGACTGAACATAACGAACTCCGAAGGTACACCAAAAAGGCCCCGCCCCAAACTTCTCCCTTCAAGATACTCTTGAATCACACTTTCCTTGTATAGCTCTGCAAGTTCCAAAGCGGGGGCGTGAAACTTCATGTCGAATTGAACAAGCAAAGATACCATATCCAATCTTCCATAGCTGATAGCATATTTCAGTGTTTCTAGGTCGATACAAGCCCCTTTTTCTAGGAGGTATCGGGCCACTGCAAGGTCGCCAGTGAGGACTGCGCCGTCAAGAGGGGTAAATTGTGGCCTTGTGTCATCTAGGTCCTGAGGGTTGATGGTTGCGCCAGCTTCGACGAGAATGCGTATGGTCTTTATTCTTTTTACTCCTGGGGGGAGGGCAGCGGTTGGTATTCGGCAACAGGTTTGAAGTGCGGTTCCAAGATAACTCACACTTGGGGCGTTTACACCTACGCCTTTATCTATAAGACACTCCAAATTTTCTGTATCGTTATACCGGTCTGCTGTAAGTTGGAGAAGTTTGCGCCTTTGGCGCATCACGTTATGAATGACTCCATCTTCGTTTGACAGAAGGTTAGCGGAAACGCTGGACTTCACATCTCTCATTCGCCGAATAACACGTTCGAGGACTCCCCGGGATAGCCGAAAGTTAGAGTCATTTTCGAGGATGCCTGCAAATTCGTATTCCGTTTTAGACGTAAGGATACCGATGCCGCTCTCAGCGAGCATATCATCACATTTGTTTTGATCCTTCAAAATCATAGATATTTTCCTGTATTCACTACAAATCGCTGTCTCCCAGTCGGAACTCTCATGAGCTGTTTTTCTAGAACTAGACCCCGAGTTACTGGTAGGTTCCTGGTGCGAGCGGGGAGGTATGCTGATTTGGCCGTTCTGATGAACCATCCATATGTCTCTAGCGCTCCCCAATAGTGTTATATTGCCGTTAATTCCCCTGATATCGTGAGCTTCCCTACTGATGACTTCAAACATCAGTTCGCCAACTGCCATGACATTGAAACTGGGAAAGTCATGGAAACTAAAGATGCCTGATGTATTATTACTATTTTGGCAACACGATTTCGGAGACAGCCAGAATAAGGAGTCGAAGGTGCTATTTTCTTCTCGGGGTGATAAAAGTGGAATCAATATATTGCCTCTGTATTTGAGAACCAAAACTGGCAAGACAAGCTGCTTGTAACTACTTAAGCGTCCAAGCATCCACCGGAAAGTGAACCAGCCCGAGCCAACTATACCCCCACTCGGAAAACATCTACATGTACGATGTTTATCTGACTTCTGGTGTAAACTCGGTATTATGTCTTGCAAATAGATATGGGTACAGGTAATACGAGAACCAAGGAGATTCGCGAAAGCCTTTATGTTTTTGATTTGAGCTTCCTCGCTGGACCTAACTGTGCGAGATATCGTAAGTGAATCCTCTACGAATGTTTTTGACATTTTAATAGAAGCCCCAGCAGCGCAAATCTTAAAAACCCAAACAGAATCTGTAATCTTGTGGTGGGTGCTTGCATCGCGAATAAAACGTTCGATATCTTTCTTTTCTGTAGTGGTGCGGCATTTCTGGATATATTGCAACAGAAATGTGAATAAAAGTGTTCGATCCACCCCTATAACGGCGCATAGGAAGCTGCAGAGATGCTTTGGCGTCAGGTAAGTGTCCAAAAAAGGTGATAATTCTGCCCAATACCAGTCCGGGACTACCCATGGATCTCGCGTATTTCTATCCTCGACTTTGTTCTCGGGACGTTCGATAGGCGAGATGAGGGAACGGAGCAGCATTCTAGCATCCCCATCCCATCGGAATAATAGAGCCCGCAAGATTAGAAGGCTTATGCTAATCCCGCAATCATAACGTAGAAAGCGTAATAACGAATAATCTTTCTCGGTTTCCATCATCGGGGTTGATCCTAGGGACCAGAGCTCGTGCTCTATGTCCGCCGTACGCATGTGCCGACTAGCATCCCGGAAGCAAGAGCGCAGGAAGCGGAGAGAATCAGCGTTCCAGGTTGGGAAATGTTTTATTCGAGCTAGATTCCTGAGAAAAACTGCCAGGTCGGAAAAAATATTGGTAGCATCGTCTTCGGTGTTAATACCCTCAAACGTTAGATGGCGGAAATCCTGGTTTAGCTTTCCTACCCAAGCCGAAGTAAGGCTAGGATAGTGCTGATAAACTATCTGAACGAGGCGTGAGTCTAGTCGTACCGCAGAAAATAGAAGCAGGCTACTGCAGGCCGCTTTTACGGATATGGTGTTAAGTGAGATCAACCCCTCAAATGTCCGATACCCACTCTCGGCCTTTAGCCTTTCTAGGACTCTATTTATTATTTTAAAGTCTAGTAGTCGATTTGAAAGCCTGTATAAAAGAGATCTTAGATATTTACGGCCGCGAGACTCCATGATAACCTTTTCTTCCGGTTGGAGGCCCCGACGGTACGAGAGTGCGGATTTGCATATCGTGATGATTTCTGGATCGGATATTTTGATTGGCAAAGAATTCAGAAGCTCCATTGGGATGCACCATGTTGTGAAAATCGGCCAGGACAGCGGGCTCGCAATTGGGCTACGAACTTCAACAGTCGCTAAAATCGGCGAGGTGGGTGATATCACTTGCGTAGTAGAAGCTATTAGAGTAGCATGAATTGAAATTAGCATACCTTAATACCCTTCATGCGATTTATAGAGGAAGGGGTACCTTTATTTTTCATACACGACAGCTCAGTCAACGAAAATTTTCTTGCGATTTCCTTCTTGACTTTTTTCGAAGAGACAAAAAAATCCCCGTTGATAACGGCCTCGGATTCTTTTCCATCCCCACGAGTAACCACAGACTCTGCAATGGTTTCCCATTGACGTTTTGTCCCACGTTTCTTGAATCCCCATTTATTGAGTCGGTCACGATATTGAACGAGACTATATGTTATCGGTTCCAATCGATTAGGCGAATTGATACACAGTCGCGGATTATTAAATATCGATTAGGGGTTAATTTGTGAACTTACGATGCTCCGAAGTTGTAATGTGATTCCATCGTTTCTCTAACCTTCTCGAGTGTGTAGTTTAGACCGAGATAATAGAATTTCATCTCTTCCTTGTATTCATCCATGGCTGTTATCGGTGATGCGCGTTTTCGTTTAACAGGCACCAGAGATGTCTGTTTCATTTGTGTATCAATGTCCATCATGGATGAGGTTGGAATTTTCACTAGAGCCATAGTTGTAGAGTTTTCTTAGATAGGCGTTTCTTCCTTTGATTTGCTCGGGATTCGGAATGAGGTATTTGGGTATGGTATATATTCCTAGTGTAAATTCACTATGGCTTGCGAAGTTATAGAAGGCTGAAATATTTGAATAGAAAATGAAGTATCCCAGAATTCCTGGGAGAATAAGATAAAACTATAGCTTTTGATCAGAAGTGTTTTGTTTTTTGTTTGGAGAGTGCTGTTATTCGAGTTTGACTCTTTGGAAAGCGCACCAGGAGATGCCATATTTATATCCAAATCCTCAATTCACATCCCCATATAAAATTTCAAACAGCATGCATCTTTGTATAACACAATTGAAGCCTTGTATACTACAGGGGTGGTGCCATACGCATTCTATGATTGGTCGGTTCTCAAAATTCGTTCGGTAAAACTTGACTATCTGCGGCTTCATGCAGCCAAGCTGTCGAAAATGGGGCACGGCTGAGATGCCCTTGATTATTGATAAAGTGGACCCGAGATACGTATCAAGATGGTTCGCATACTGTCCAATAATTCTCTCTGAAGATTTCATAGGACATGTAGCATGATGACAGTTTTTCACTGAAGTGGTGGAAACCTTTTGTCCTGGTGATCATGCATCATAACCGTTAACTATGTCTTCTCAAATTAATTTTGCCCCTCCCGTGATCTCGATCCTTATCTTACCGTCGTCTTGTGAAAATTTAAAGGTAAGTGCATAGAATTCAGAATCATCTTTAAATAGAACCGCGGAGAGATAGTGCCTTCCGAATCCCTTCCGTAGTGTTAGTAATATTCTGAATCAGTAAAATTTGACAAAGTGGAGCCGCGAACTGAGGCAACCCCACGAGAGCTCGAGAGGTTTGTTGGATCTTGTCATGAACGTTGTTGTGGTTGTAACCTCAATGCAGCCGGCTACCTTCGCCAATGACGTATCAGCCCCGAGCTAACCTTCCGCTAAACTCCACGAGCTTGCAACTTGCGCTTCAGCCGACAAGAAAAACCTCCTTCTTTCCACCGTATCATCTCCAATTGATAGTATCTTCATTGTATCCCCTCATTTCCCTGGGAGCTTCCCAAGTATTTTTTATGCATGCCGGTCGCATGAACCCCTAAGCGGAGCCGCGAACCCCTCATCCCACCTCTCTGCGACCTCCTTATCAATTATGTTCGCACCTCGTCTCCTCTCGCACGCGACATCACGATGTCTGCGAGGCGCGATTCGAACTTCACAGTCGCCAATATTATCGCAACTAGAAGCCAGTACAAATTTTGTTAAACCATTAAGTTTTAATGCCATTCGGTCCATTCGCACTGTTCGTCCAACGCCTGCAGCTGCCACTCGCACCCCGCTCGCCTGTAATTTAAACCCAATTGCTCGCCGACAGTCCCCGATATTACAACAAATCCGTAGATATGCCGATGAAGCTAAGGCTAACGGGAAGGTTAAGAAACCCCGTGGCCGAATTTTCAGGGCTGTTATTCGTACTCTGACAACATTAGGGTTGATTGGAGGTATCTTGGGCGGCGCACTGGTCTGTTTCTTTATCTACGACGCCACAACCTACAAGGAGGACCCCGAAGTTGTAGATGTACCTGTTTCCGAATTAGCATTGAATCCAGAACGTGGCGGGCCGAAAAACTTGCCTATCGCTAGGGTTCTTGTTGACGATGATGAATCTGAAGGAAAGGGAACTTGCAAACATAAACCAAAGCTGGTGGTATGATCTTATATCTTCTTCTTTTAATTTATAGATGTGGTGAAAAGCTCACAAAATAATGTTTTGGTAGATTCTCGGATGCGGCTGGGGTTCTGTTGCGATCCTGAAGACCCTCCAAGCCGACCAGTACCACGTCACCGTTGTCTCACCATCCAACTACTTCTTGTTTACACCGTTCCTACCAAGTGCTACCGTATGTTATATACCGATGCTTCTTAATTTAAAAGGGGGGTAGGCACTAAAAGCGAAGTCTAGGTTGGAACTCTTGAACTTCGCTCTCTTGTCGAACCAATCCGGACCATCCTCGCACGTATTAAGGGCCACTTCCTCCAAGCTGAGGCTGAAAGTGTCGATTTCAGTGAAAAGCTCGTGGAAGTATCTCAGGTTATTGATGGTGAAAAGCGTCACTTCTATCTACCCTACGACAAGCTTATTATCGGAGTTGGTTCAAAAACCAATACACATGGTGTAGAGGGACTCGAACATTGCCAATTTTTGAAGACTATTGATGATGCTCGGAAAATCAGGAAAAAGGCTATTGGAAACTTCGAAAAGGCTGTTCTACCAACTACTAGTGACGAGGAAAGGAAACGACTCCTTTCTTTTGTTATTTGTGGTGGTGGACCAACTGGTATCGAATTTGCAGCTGAGATTTACGATATGCTGAATGAGGATCTGATCCGCCATGTAAGTCCGGCTGAACTCTGAGTGTATATAGGGTACTGACAAAGAGATAGTATCCTCGAATCCTCAGAAATGAAGTTTCGGTCCATGTTATCCAATCGCGAAGCCACATTCTGAACACCTATGACGAGGCTCTATCAATGTACGCCGAAGAAAGATTTGCACGAGACCACGTCGAAGTCTACACAAATGCACGCGTGCAAGAGGTTAAGCAGGACAAGATCGTGTTTTCGGAAAAGACTCAAGATGGCAAAGTGGTCACTAAGGAAATCCCCTACGGACTTTGCTTGTGGTCCACCGGTGTCTGTAAGTTCTGCGCATGCCTACAGCTGAAACATATGGATCTCTAATAAAAGCTGCCTAGCCCAAACCGATTTTGCAAAAAACCTTGCTACGAAGCTGGACAAGCAGACCAATAAACATGCCCTTGAGACTGACACTCATCTCCGCCTGATCGGTGCCCCAATCGGGGACGTGTATGCCATTGGTGACTGCTCAACTGTTCAATACAACCTAGCCCAAAACATCATAACCTTCCTCCGCGAGATTGCCTGGGAAAAGGGAAAGGACCCTAAGGAGGTCCACCTAACTTTCAAAGACTGGCAAACCGTCGCACAGCGAGTGAAGAAACGTTTCCCGCAAGCTGGTCAGCACCTTCGTCGTCTCGATAAACTCTTCCAACAATATGACGTTGACAAATCTGGCACCCTCGATTTCAATGAATTCTCGGAATTACTTTCAGAGATTGACAATAACCTGACAAGTTTGCCGGCTACAGCACAGAGAGCTCACCAGCAGGGCCAATATTTGGCAAGAAAACTGAATAAGCTCGCACAAGTCGCACCAGGGATGAGAGCGAATGAGTTGTTAGATGGAGATCTAGATGAGACTTACTATAAGGCTTTTGAGTATAAGCATTTGGGAAGCTTGGCTTATGTGGGGAATGCGGCTGTGTTTGACGTCCAGGGCTTTAACTTTGCAGGCGGTATCGCCGCTGTCTATCTTTGGAGGTGAGTGGATATGGTATCCGTGTCTATCTAATCGATAAAAGTGTGGGTGACTAAACAGATCTCGCTTCTAGATCCGCGTATTTCGCACAAAGCGTGAGCTTGAGAACCCGATTCTTGTTATTTATGGATTGGGCGAAGAGGGCTTTGTTTGGTAGAGGTATGTTCTTTCCCCTTCGGTTCTATGCAGTCTTATGTTGTCATAGGATGTATGTATGTAAGCTAAGCTGACTGCGTTGGATTAGATATGATGGATCTCTGAAGGGGCTTAGTGTCAAAGACTGGGCGAGCCACATTGCATGGCCACACCTAGCCACAACTCTTCTTAAACTGCTCTCTGGCATAAAAGGACTACGCCTTAGGATCAAATACTACTTGGGACAACGACTCTATAGAACAGAAGGTGGTATCAAGCGCCAAATGCAATTAACGTTCATTACTGTTGCAAAAACAAAAAAAAAAGTAAATAGTACACATACGCGCGGTAAGCTAGCGGTAAACTGGGTTTTGTATTGATTTTTTTTTTTTTTTCAGATTTATTGGTTTTAGAAATATAAATATTTTTAATTTAAGGCATAGTTTTCTGGGTACATATGCAATTGGTATTCTTTAAGCTTCTTAGGATGTAGAGGGTTTAATTATTAATTCCAATCACAAGGCAGTGGAAAAGGTAGACTCTAGATTTTGTGAATTTAAGGGCTTCAGAGACTCGTACTAGAGGTCTGAAAGTGTAAACGCCGACGTCTACACCTTGCATTGACGATAAACATGATCTGTTCGATATATATATAAAGCTACGAGGGGGAATTGAGTATCGTGTCAACCACGTCTTATAGAAATAGCGCATAAGAGTGAATGTACAAACGCGGGTGCGTCTATATGTGCTATTTTTGAAGGCCGATCGTCGGGGGCGGTTATATTCTGTAGATGAGCTCTCATGAGCATATATGTCTTCATCATTTGATATATTTGATTCCAAACTTATATTCAATCGATCAACTGATACCGAATAATCATATAACTGCGATATTATAAATCCCTATTTCAAAAATCCTGGCCGTATAAAAACTATACATAAGTAGCTAGGTAGCTATGATGCGAACCAAGATCTTTTCTACTCGACTTCTCGTCGCTCGTCCTGGGAGTTTGACTACTTCACCCCTACCTCGCAATAATCTTTGGGATTATAGTGGTCAATTAGGTCTCCAACCTCAACATCAACCACGACCACTTGCGCAGTTTCTGCAGCGACGGTTTGTTCAGGATAGTGGGAATTTGTCGAAACCTACGGTATATATACTATATATATATATATATATATCCATAATCTTCACGACTGATATTTTTTGATTTTAACGGAGGCTTTGCTAATCAATAATGTTCCATCAGTCTCCTCAACCAACGTATGATTCCAAGTTAGATCCGATCATTGAGTCTTTACGGCGTCTCGAGCAGGTAAATCCACTTGTCCTATACCAAAAACTAAAGAGAAGAGAAAGAAAAAAAGGCTGCGAACTAGGGCTCGAGATACTAATTTTTGATAAACTCTGGGGGAGATATCATAGAACCAGAATTTCATGAAAAAAGATCTAAACTACGTCCGCCGTTCATGTTCAATGACTGATCGGACTTGTTTCGGCATTCTTGTGGCGAGTACCATTTTCTGTAGGTGGTTTTCTTCTCTCCGCCGCTATATAATATATACATTATTATACGAATGTGGGCTAATCGCGATTTTTTTTAAATTTTAAATTTATTTTGATGCGCTTAGTGATGGGTCAAAATTATCATTGGTGGAAGCGTTCTTGAAGTGGCGATATATTTGATGGGATACAAGATGTCAGTACTGGTACTACCAATCCAATGCCGGTACCTAGACGGATATATCGAACTAGGATTATTAACCATGGATCCGGAAAAGACATATATTACATATACTCGTATACAATACAATAGAATAGAATATAGATCGACTCGATATATTTGTTGCTCGGAAACACGAACAATGCAATGTGCAATGCAATGCTGAGGAACAGTCGGGGCTGTACAGTACAGTTTTGGTGTAACAATGCAGAAACGACAGGTAAAATAGCCGGGAAAACCCACCAACGAGAAGAAAAAGCGCCACCCCAATTTTGGTATTGAATGCTGCAATGTGCGGGAGGATGCAACGCCGGAAATTTCGCTCGCTGGGGTACAGCTATTTACAGGGGTGGTGGTGGATGAACTCAATTGCGAGATGATGGAAGGGAAGGACCTGGACGTTAGTTATCGATAGAATATATATAATATAATGTTGAGCAGCGATGAATATATGCATGTTTATACGTACAATGCGTACATAACATGGTATGCATGCATGTGACATAATATAATCTGTCCGGTAGCGATAGAAAGCATTTGATGTTCGAAATTATTAGTTACTAGCAAGTTAGAGTGGTTTTATTACCGTTTAAATTGGAAGCTCTTTTCGAGGAAGGGTACTCCGTAATAAATTGCAATCGAGGTTTAACTGCCAGCTTTCGTATCGTGGCTGTGCCCTTCCTTCCCTTCCCTTCCCTTCCCCCTTACTCATCTCGTTTTGATTGGATCCGTCAACAGGCGACCAGCCAACGCTGTGCCCCGGCTAGTCGGACCTGTTTGGAAGAATAACCAAGAGAACAAGAGAAACCAAGGTCCCGTCGGCAGATGGTTTCTTCCTCCTTGAAAAGATAATTTTTCTGTTTAATTTTCTTTCAGTGTGCCGTCCGTTCGTTCATTCATTCATTCATTCATCTTCCATAGAACATGGTATTAATTTGGGTGTCCGGTGTGTATAATAGCGTCGCGTGCCAAGTTCGAAGGTTCCCCACAGGTCCCCTCTATAAATCGGCACAACGTTCGGGTCGTCGGCATACCTCCTTCGCACAGGACAGGTGATCATAGGTCAGCATGGGGCCCTGTTGGACGAATATGTAACTACATCAGTGCATATGTAGAGCTTATTTAGTAGTTAGAGGACCTGCTTCTTGACTGCCTGTTAGTGGCCAGTTTGTGAAAGAGAGATCGACGAATGCACGTACCCCCGGAAAGAATAAAAAAGTAGTCGTCAGCTTTTTTTGTAATTTTTGATACAAATATAGCTTTTACCTCCATGGCAAGGCTCTTGGGGATCTTGCGCAACTGACGATTGGCGCTCGCTGTCTGGTCTGGGCGGCTGTCATTCTTTGGGATGGCTTTTTTTCCCTTTCTTTCTTTCCTTTTGGGAAGCTATCCCTTTCCTTCCTGTCCCTTTCTTACCTTGTGAATGCTTTGCATGCGTCAAGTCAGTTTTTTTTTTGACAGGCGAAACGGAAACAAATGCTTTACAACTACTTATATATGACAATGCCAATGAGAGAAAAATAAGAATAAAAAATAATATAATAAAATAAAATAAAATAAAACGAGAGGGAAGTATTAGTTCGAAGCACTGCGGAATCAAGTTGGTGCAGGGGGTGCTGTGGGAGTCCAAGAAGGTTTGATTGGAGCATTTCGGACAGGCGACGTTCGCTGGTTTGCTGCCCGCTTGGCGAAGTTTCAAGGTCGAATCGATGGTGGTTTACGCCATGCATTAGTGCGCCGTCTATACATAACCTGTGCTATGTAAGATGTAATGTTATCATGTATGTAAGTATGTAAGTATGTAATGTTCTTCTCTTTCTCTCTTTTCTTACTCACCATCTTCTTGTTTTATTATACCATACTATACTATATATCTGGATCAATTCACAGATTTGGTGGATTCGTCGCTCGTTTCTCGATATATGTAATAGGTAGCTAAGTACTTACCTTATATCAATCAATCAATCAATCAATCAATCAATCAATCAATCCTCTCTCGCTTTTCCCTCTCACTTGGTAATTACTTCATTCGATCGATCGACCCCTCCCACCACCTCCTTCAGTTAGTTCAAATTCGACGGACGAGAGACGACGACGGAGACGACGAGTCTAATCGACTGTTAGAGTAGTTGCTTAAAGGATCCCAAGTGATATCGACTCTTGGAAGCAAAGGGAACATAGACGGAACGAATTGCAGCTTCCCTGTTCACTTTAACCTTTATCTCACGCACTGTCCTTTTTCGAACAAGGCCGGTCCATTATAGCCGACATTCATCTTCTGCCTGGCCTGACCTGGAACTGGGAATATCTTCTCTCTGTCTCTCTCTCTTCGACGGTCGTTCTTTGTTTTGCTCGGTTCTACTCTATTTCTACTTCACTCGTTCGACTCATTCTAGGACTGGACTTCCAAGGCCATCATTCTAGATTTCCAGATGCGAATCTAGGCTTCACGGGTTTCTCGCAATTGATTTGACAGTAAACGATAATTCCTGCGGCATATCCGAGCTCTGTTCCTGAAGCACTAGCGACATTCCGACCAGGCACCAGTCAGGTACAACATTGCAACCGTTATATACATATACTACATACTACATACACATACATACACACATAGGTCGTCATATGTATCCACCTATCTGATACATATATACAGGAACCCAGTCAGTCAAGTGCAAAGGAAGCATTGACAGAATTTTCCTTCTTCTATTTTTATTTTCTTTCAGCCGGCCATTTAGCAATTCTCCTGAGCGGAATTTGCTTAATGATTCTCAATTAAAAGGAGGAAATTCCAGTTCAGAAATATTAAAACAACACCTCATCCACATCCCCAAAAAGGCCTGCCTGGCTTGACTTGTCTTGTCTTCGAATTTGAAACCGCCCAAACCAAACTCAACCAAACTCAACCAAATCAATCCCCCCACAGTTTCTCTCGTTACATTTACGATACCGTCGCTTCAATTGCATCTTCAATTTTGATATCGCACTGCAGGATTACACTCCAGCTGGGCCGGTGTGGATCTTCGCGATCTAGCTTCCACACCTACCTTGAATTCTCCCCCTGATTTCTTCCTTTGCTCTCCCTCTCAACCATCAACTGGCTTGGCACACGTCCATCCTCCCACGCAATGCTACCTCGACAGTTCTCCCTCAACCGGTCAGGAATACTGTTACCGATAATAATCGTCCTCGTTATATTATTTCTCTTACTAAGAATAACAGGTTCGCTCTACTCTCCTTGATCTTTAATATTTGTTTCTCACTTTTTCCGTTAAAGTTCAAAAGCACGTGCTAACCATGTTTCCCTTCATTTTCCTTCAGACGATGGCGACACAAGACCTTGGGAATCGCGCCGGAAATACCCTCTCCGATCGCATGCTCAAAGTCCTCGACGGAGCTCCAGTAAATTATACACTAAGGAGGAACAGGCCCTGATACGTCGGAAACCACGATATGCTATTACCTCAACCATACAAACGGGCTCATACACCGCCCTGGGACTCATGCTAGGATATTCGATCCAGAAACACAACGATCTAGTAGCTATGGACGCCGAGCTGGTCATGTTGGTCCGATCCGGCGGTAACGATGGTGTTTCAGCCGAGAATATTACGCGATTGGAGAGAGCTGGCTGGAGAGTAAAAGAAGCTGAGGAATTGGAGTTCGAAAACGTGGATACATCGCAGATCAGAAGTCACCATCGACACAATCTCAACAAGCTGCACGTTTGGAGTTGGACCGAATACGAAAGAATCATCTTTTTGGATGCGGACACAGTGTGTAAAGGCTCCCTAGCGGAACTATGGCAGATGCCTGGAGATTTCGCAGCTGCGCCAGACGTCTGGTGGGATGTGATTACAGACAACAGGTTTAATTCGGGGTTGATGGTACTGAGACCTTCGACTGAGGAATTTCACTCGCTGGTGAAGCACGTTTCGGATCCAAACTACCATTCGCCGAACGACGCCGATCAGGCTTTCTTAAATACGTACTACCGGTTCAGGTACTTTGGGTTGCCATACAAATACAACTTCAACCTGATTATGGTAAGCTACTCGAGTAGCAATTTTGGGATCTTGGAGCTGGGAAAGAAACGCTAACAATTTTTCTTTTCCTTTTTTTTAGTACCAATTCCACCGATACTACTGGGACCTGCTATGGGACGAGGCTGTGATTGTCCATTTCACAGTCAGGAAGCCAAAGCCTAATCCAAGGGAACACTGCCACAAAGGCTGCAACGAATGGGAGCCTATGGAGGTGAGACTACTTTCCCATATCCACCGATGTACTTCAGAGCATCAAAATTAACTTTTTTTTTTCATCAGTGGTACGGAATGATGTTCCGCGAAATGCTTGCGTTTTACGGCTGGGAGAAGGAAATCCCGCTGTACGCCTAAATACTCGACCTAGCGACTTTTTTACCAGCTATCTCGATTCCTTTGTTATATTTCCCAGTCCACGACACGAATTCGTCCTTTCCACCGTACCGACACGACCTTTTGCTTTGACAGTCCAAAAATGCGTCCGTTTCTCTATCTTTGCGAACCTCATATCCCCAGCTATGAACGACGAGTCTCTTAATCATTAATACAGCGAGGTTTTCGTTTCCCTCTCTCTGTTTTTTGTTGCAACCTTGTTTATGATAATAGAGTTGGTTTGTGTCTGTTTTCATTTCTCTTCAGCGGATATGCTTGCATGCTGTCTCATATTCAGCTTCTCTTTTCCTCTTCTCTTCTCTTCTTTTCTCTTCTCTTTTCTATTTTGCTTATTCTATCACTTACTTCACCTTCACTTCGGGTGTAAATATTCCTCCATCTTTCCAATTTTTACTTCAGACCTTCACTTCTGCCCTGATTCTATTGTACCATATTATTGTTTCTTCTTTTCTTCTTTTCCCTCTTTTTCTCTTCTTTATACTCCACATTCTTCTTCTTCCTCTTCTTCTTCTTCTTCTTATATTTATCTATCTTTTCTTTCTTCTTGTTCTTCTTGTCAAAAATAGTCCTTTGAGACTTCTGCTTTTTCTTTTTTCTGTTTTTCTTCTTGTTTATATACTTATACGGCGTCTATCTGGGATTGGCTGGCAGGCCAATAGCTCGAATTAAAGAGCTGAGATTTGTTGCGAATTAAAGGCATCCAGATACTTCAAAGATTGAATGGCACTAGACCGGGGTTCGTTTTTTTCCTCTCATATTGTTCCAATATTGTCAAAGTATAAAGTACCCAGTGACCGTATGTCCGTCCCTACAGCTGTTTACAGTCTCGTAATGTTGTTCGCATATTCCCAGTGCAGTGTATTAAGAAAACTGTCCTCAACAGTCAACAGTCAACAGTCAACAGTCAACAGCCAACAGCCTGCGTTGTCTAGCTGCCAGATCGAAACTCACGTGACCACAACATCGTTTGCAACTCAAAATTCAACAGCCTTTTTCATGTTGTGCCAAAAAACCTACAAACCCCTTTCAAACCGCATCACCTCCGAAGAAAACCTATCAAATTTCCCATAAAAAAACAATTAAACCAATATAATAAACAATATAAAATAAAATAAAAACTCACCGCCAAACAACGCGCCACGGGAAGGGAAAAAAAAAAAAAAACAAAAAAAGTAATCCATCCAAAGAAAAATAAGCCAAAAATCCCATCTACAGAGTCCCATAGAATACGTACACCATGGTCGCCAGAGACGGGTCTCAAGAACCCACGGTTGAGAAGGAAGTCATCACCGGCTTTGCGACCATCGCCACGCTTGCGTAAGATGCTCCTCCCTTTTTCCCTCCCCTTATAACCCCCGAAGAGAGAGGAAGGACGTGTTTGTCAGGATTGTCACGTGATAGAAATCGTCCTCTTTTTTTTTTGCAACACGAACAACACGACAACGCAAGACTCAAAACTTTTTTTATGTTGAGCTGTGCTAACATAGTGAATTTTTTCTTTGAATCATAGGATTGGAGTCAAAGCTTGGGTGGAGAAGGATGGAGAACCCAGGAAGGCAGAGATATTGTCAAAGACTACAAGGAAAGGGGAGCCGGTGTTTTATGTCCATTATCAGGATTTCAACAAGGTATATATCCTCACCTCGAATGCATTATTTTATATGCATTTCGTTTTTAGAAGATTACATTTACTAATATTGTACTTCTTCTTCTTCTTCTTTTTCTTTATTTTAGCGTCTCGACGAGTGGGTAGCCGCTAGTCGTATCGACATAACACGAGAAGTCGAGTTCCCAGTCCCCGAAAAGCCAACGCCACCAAAGAAGGAACAATCGTATCCAAACCTCAAGAACCAAAAGAAAGACAAAAAGTTACCCAGAGATAGCATAGCATCTACACCGGACCCAACAGCAGGTCCGTCGACTCCATCAGCATCCACTTCTCGTCCTCTAAAGCGTAACAGGGTAACATTCGAGGCCGAACATGCATCTCCACAATCCTTCGCAGCCACGCCGGCTCCGGACGATGATGGCATCGATCTCGTCGAAACCCCTGCTGGGAATATAATCTCAGCTCTACAAACCGATCCTACAATTGGTAATAATGGCGAGGTAGAGGGCTTCTCAAAAGAGAAGGAAATCGAAAAGCTCCGTACTTCGGGGTCTATGACACAATCCGCTCATGAGGTCGCCCGCGTCAGAAATTTATCAAAACTACAGATTGGAAAATATGAAGTCGAAACGTGGTATTTCTCTCCCTACCCTGCGGAACTCACGGAATGTGATGTTGTTTATATCTGTGAGTTCTGTTTGAGCTATTTTGGAGAAGAAAGGAGATACCAGCGACATCGGATGAAGTGTGAGTTGTTTCATCCGCCTGGGAATGAGATTTATCGAGATGAGAATGTCAGCTTTTATGAAATCGATGGGAGGAGGCAGAGGACTTGGTGTAGGAATTTATGTCTGTTGAGTAAATGCTTTTTGGACCATAAAACGCTTTACTACGACGTCGACCCTTTCTTGTTTTACTGCATGACGTCGAGGGATGAATATGGTTGTCACTTGCTCGGATACTTTTCGAAGGAAAAAGAAAGTGCGGAGAATTACAACGTGGCGTGTATTCTCACGCTACCGCAGTACCAACGTCTGGGATACGGTAGACTTTTGATAGCTTTTAGTTATGAGTTGTCAAAAAGGGAAGGAAAGTTGGGGAGTCCTGAGAAGCCGTTGAGTGACTTGGGATTGTTGGGGTACAGAGCCTTTTGGCAAGAAGTTATTGTGGATTTGCTGGTTGAGGTGAAGGAGAATAAAGGGGAGATTAGTGTGGATGAAATTGCGGCGAGACTGGCGATGACGGCGAATGATGTGGTGCATACGTTGCAGAATTTAAATATGATCAAGTATTTCGTAAGTATTATTCCTAACGTCTTTGACTTCGGGGCTTGGTTTAGGTGTAATGAATGCTAACCATTACTTTTTTTCACGGTACAGAAAGGACAGCATGTTATTTGCCTAACTGCGGGTGTGATCGCCCAGCGAGATGCTTTACTGGAGAAACAGAAGGTTAAAGGGAAGAGAACTATTGATTCCAGTCTATTGAAGTGGAAGCCACCTGTTTTCCTGGCGGCAGCAAAGACTTGGAATTGGTAGATGTCATATTGGTCACTGGATTACATATGTATCTTTCTTTTCTGACGAATATGGCGGTTCTTCTTCTTCCTTTTTCTCTCTCTTTGAAATCATAGGATGATTTTCTGTTTTCTTTTACTTTCCTTTTTCTCTAATTCATGCATAGCTTCAGGAACGGTGTTTTCTTTGCGATTTTTCTACTCTTCTTTCTTTTATCAAAATTCAATGTTAGGGGGGGGCTATTTAAGGGAGTTTCGATTCATTCTTCTTCTATTTTTTCTTTCTTCTCTCTTGTGCGATAGCTCGTTCACAGTCGGTTGCATAATATTTCTCCCCTTTTTGATACGCTCTTCCCTATTACATTGCCGACTGTTCGATCTCCGTCGGCCAAATAGAATCTCAGATAATATGCTTATAAGCTTACTTGTATAGCGCTAATGGGGGACGGGTAACATCGGCTGCCATACCCATATTTATAAAGCCACGCGACTGCATGTTCCTTACTAGTTAGTGGAAGGAATCCAGGTACTAGTGTTCCTACAAGTCTGGAAACCGACTATTCTATGTAAGAAACAGATAGATAATCTCGGGAAATATCCCCCTCCCTAGATCGTAAGGACTACTAAAAGCGGATACTTCCATCCTTTTTAAGTTCCTCCCGATCTTATACATATATATATGTCTACGTCATATTTTGTCGACACTAGACGGTTAGCGTTGATGTGGCTAGTGTGGGATATACTTTTTCAGTCGACATGACTCTTTTGGATTTCGAATTCTCGTCCCAACTTTTTTTTGAAACTTGTGTTCCGAAAATGGCTTAAGAAATGCTTTTAGGTACTAACTACTACTGTCCTTCGAAGGATACCAAAAGTCTGTACTCCGCCCTGATCGACTTTAGCACCCCTTGATCGGTCAAGACGTGCACTCCAGAATCATGGATATGGAACCGAGGTGTTAAACGTTCCGGTATTTATATTACCCAGACGTAAACTTATATAATTATTAACATCCCCTTTCCGCGGATAGCCCCGTTTGTTCTCGATTTGGTTTAAAACTAGTACTATATAAGTATTTTTCCTCCGTTAATTAACGTTAAGTTGTGTAGTACCCTTTTTTTCAGATCCGGTGAGGAATTCAAGGGCTTGCATGCGCATGCGCAATAATTGCATCGCATAGCGGATGGTTTGTATATTACATTCCCTCCCTAACAAATTTTTTTACACCCTTTTTTTCTCTTCATGATTGTTTGATTTTTGTGTATTTTATCGATAGTATAAGCTGGGGGTTTTTTTTTAAGATTGTATGAATTTATACTTACCGGGTAGCGGAGAGCTGCTCTAGGGGATCGATCGAAGAGGGCGTTCGAGATCTAGGTATACCCGCTAGCTAAAACTTGTAGAGATAACGGACAAGAGGACTTCTTGGGAGGGGGCGTTTACGTACTAGCACTAGTGCTCATAAGTATTATGTCCTCGGAGTTTTCATCCATCCTTACGATATCTGCGCCTGATCTCGAGGCTACCTTACGATCGATCGATTTATGTTCTTAATGCATGCATGCCGGCTAGCAGGGCATAGGGTTGAAAAACAATTAAATTCTCAATTATTTACGGCGCATATACTACCTATATCGATGTGTAGATGTATCTCTACAAAGCATATCGATTTAATACGTCCCAGGAATCCCAGGAAGCCTATTTCAAAGGTTATGGTAACTATCTAATTACCTAGTTATGGTTGAGAGGAAGGGGGAGAAGAAAAGCGTAACAGCAAACAATATCTCCCCTTTCTGGATATCATTCATTTCTCAAGATCGGTTTTCATGATATAAAAAGATTATATACATTTTGCACAGTGCACCGCACCAGTTTATGATAACCACCTGTATAAACGAGGTAGAAGAAAAAATATATCTCAAAGAATATGCATGCTTGAAGGGTAGCCTCCACGGGCCCAAGACTAACCAAAGCGCTTCGATGAAAGTTCCAAATAAAAAAGAGTTCCCAGGCCAGGTCCAGGCACTACTAATAATAATAAAAAAGGAGAGGAGAAAGAAAAACAGAAGTTAAGGCCTCAGTATATACTTTTCTCTCTCGCTCTCTCTCTCTCTCGTCTCGCAGATCAAGGAGCAATGACCGTTTGTTAAAAGAAAGGACTGTAGTTAATATACACACCAACCGCTGCATGCTAACAAGCTCCTTAGGAAGATGTATAGCCTCCCGTCTGCTTAAATATTGTCAAGATGTACTAATTATTAATCCCCACCACTCCAAATCCCCATTTTGATTTTGTCAAAGAACAAAGGAAAGCCAATTCGCTCGTAAGTACCGAAGTAAATCTCAAAAAACCGCTCCGTATCCAGTAGATGACACTAAAAAAAGAAATATCAAAAATATTCACAAGAAAAATAAATCCAAAAAAAAAAAAAAAAAAACTCCGAATTAGTGCAAAGGATCGCTGATTAAAAGTCATAAGATAATAAGTGGTTATAGAAGGTTAAGAAAGTCTTATTCGTCTGGAGAAGGAGGATTCGGGTTAGGAATCGGGTTCAAAGTTGGGCTGATATTGATTCTTCCCTCCGTCATAGCTCGGCGTGGGATTGGTGGCACCGGAGCTGTTGGTATTGTGTTCAAAACGGAATATCTCTTGTCTTTCCCATTTCCTAGAACTCCACCGTCGATAACGATAGAGCTAGAACTATTGCTTGCGCTACTGGTTGTAAAGCTTCGTTGTCGAACACTTAGTGGGCGCGGTTTGATCTCATCGGATTCATCTTCGGATGTATAATAAGAGTCCCGATATGTGGATGATAACGACAAGCTTTTTTGGTGATGGTGATGTGGGTTGTGATAGGAGTATTCATGAAGATTTTGGGAGTTGTGGCGGACCGGACCCGTGATTGTTCTAGCCCGAGAAATGGTGGCAGGAGGTGTTGAGGTTGGGGTGTATGAGAGTTGGCGCTCGTGGGCTTGTGTTCTCGGTCTCATTCTGCTAGGTGGACGAGGGGTAGTGTCTGCTGAGAGCGAGACTGGGCGAGAACGTGTGACAAGTGGCTCAATGGGAGGGTCTGCCACGAGTGGAATTTGTTGGCGGAGAGGGTTCTTTGGAGGCGGGATCTGAAGACGGGATTTAGCATCCAATAATAAATACCTGGTGTAAGAGAGATCGAACGAGATGGCTTACATTTTTTGCTCGCCAGATGTGAGCCAGCTTGATAGCACAATCCCCAATAACCTTCTTTCCTTCAGGACTATTCAGCCACCTCTTAGTGCTCGTGCTGATATCTGATAGTCTCTGCCACTCATTCATTGCAAAGTCGGTAACACCCATGTCAACATTAAGTCGGAAATAATCGTCCTTCTGTACTCCCCACTTCTCAAGACCGTTGGTTCCTCCTCCTAACAACATCTGGTGAATCTCTTCGCTCAAGTGTGTTTTGTGTACTAGTCGCTTTTTAGCGTCGACAAAGTTGTCAAAGGGTGTATGTATTTTGCTTTCCCACCATGGCTGGGAGCCACTCTGCTTCTTTGGGGGTGGTCGGCCAGTACCAACAGAAAGGACACACCCGACTGCTCGGCCGGGCCATTCGTTGCAGGTCGCTTCCTCGATGACTGTCGGAGTAATGTTGTATCTACCTGCTCCCTCATCCAAGAAAACGGTCTGACCAATTTGAATAGGCTTGAAAGCAGTCATTGTTGCAGAAGTAGCGCGACCTGCCTCCCAAATCTTGCAGTTGGGTTCCGGGTTCAAAGATGACAAAGATAAATATGTTCGGAGAAGACATGGAGATGCACCTTCTGGAGAGTTTTGGTACATTGCGGCGACAAAGCTGAAATAGACTGTGTTAGTGATAGCCAGAACACTAACTCAAACAAGTATATGGAGACCTACGTCTTGCATCTGTCGTCTCTTGGATCGTATAACAATGCCTCCGCGTCTCCAGGAGTCTTCGGTCCGACCAAAGCACCATCTGATGATGATTTAAGTTTTGTAAGATATTCAAACTTCATGCCCTTTTCATATAGTATTGAGTCGTCATCTCCAGCCAACATTCTAAGCTCGTCGCTCCGCCTGCTGTAGGCTGTCTCTCCACTTGATGAACTGCTCGCCCTCGTCCTTCCCGTACTATCCTTCGAGTCCATGCTAAAATTCTTCTTGTGTTGCAAGGCCTTCATTTTTTGCCTCTTTGCATCTTCGTTTTCACCAGCAGTATACTCTTTTGTAATTTCTTTAATGACCGTCTCAAGTTTCGATGCTTTGAAGACGGTTGTTTTGAAGGGGATTCCTGCAATAGTTTTGTCGGTTTCAAATACTCGCTTGGCCATCTTTACCCATTGTTCTTTGCAACTTTCGACATCCATGCGCAGCCGTCCAAGCATAAGAGCTATAAGACTGTTGAAAGACAATTAATAACTGTTAGTCGTCAAGATATCATTGGATGGGAATGTGTTGTTGTGGTTGCATACCCGCCAGTTCCAACACCAGCAATCTAGAATATATTATCATATATTAGCATCGAGGTTCTAACTAGAGAAGAATACAAGCCTGAGATTTGGAAATCTAAGGAACTTACCATATCAAAATGATCACAAGGTAAGGGAATCTCGTGCATTTGAGGCGGTCTTCCGTTAAGTTCTACGAACAACCGATACACTACCACCAAGAAATTATCAGCAAAACTCAACTTTTTATGCAACACATGTCTTGTTCGGTTTCTTGGACTTACTGACTTCCTGCAACAGCAGGAGCGAAGAATATCCTTTGACCCCTCCTCCATCTGTGGAATCTTAAACGTTAACAATCGATCTTCAGCATGTTTTTGATTTGAGAAATGATAAATTAGAAGATGCTTACCTAGTGACAAAATTCTCAACGGTGGCGAGTTGACAGCTGCCGGTGCCATGTAAGAAAACCTGTTCGAACTGAAAGCCATTTCATTTAGTATGTCGCGCTCGTGAGGCGGTGTGAGGAAGTATTGGGGAGGGTCAGTGTACGCCATAGCCAGAGCCTCTAGTTCCTTCTTCTCCATTTTGAAGGGTCGTTATTTATTTAAACAGTCGATATCTCGATTGCCTGACAATGTCGGTGACCCTTGTACTTATGAGTTGTTCGAGGTGGACGCTACTGAAGCCCAAACAAAGCTAGCCAAGGCAGGCAAGGACCTTGGGGCAACTACAAGGATAGCTGGTCTTCCCTTCGTGTCAACTTTGGCGTTGCCGTATATTCGTCGTCGATTGTTTGGAAAGGAAGGAATTGAATTATTTCGGAAAGAAAATATGATTTTCGAGTTCCTTTTACTTCCTAGGACTTTTCGTCGAGGTTCAACTAAGAACCCGAAAAGACAGAAACGGCCCAATACCAATCCCGACTAAACCGTTAGAGACCAAGTTAAAACCAAGTTATTGGTTCCGCTTGGTCAAAAATATGTCGAAAAATAATAATACGGGTGTAGTATAGAATTTATGCAATGTCCTAAGTTCCTAAGCAATATAGGGTGATCACTATATGTACCTCGGACACAGCTTCCTTTCTCGAGAGGCGGGTTCTGTAACACGATAGGCCCGGCGGGGGACGGTGACCACAGATATCTCAACTAGGTTGAGATCCAGACCCAATTCCCTGCTTCAGCGAAGATTGGCGGAGCTGAGAGATGCAGCTATGCAAAACGAAGCATAGAAGACAAATCGAAGGGCTTGTAGAAGCCTTTTGAATGGTCAGTAGACGATGTGCCATGCGATGTTGGGCTAGCTTTTTTCAAAATGCAACGACGAAAAGACGCAGATGGATGGAGTCGGCTTCGATCATAAGACGGGTTATTTTCCTTAGTGAGAGACGGGTATTCCCTGCTGTGCAGACGTTCCGTCTGTGGAAATCTCTTAAAAGCCAAAAGGTATTGACACCCGGAGTGGCGACTGAGCCATTAACTTCGAATGCAGAATGATGGCAACTGATGCAGGAACGGCCCAATTGTTCACAATTGAAGGGACTGTGCCTCTAAAGACTTAGACTTCTTGTTATAACAATTGTATAATCCTTAGGGAGCTGGTTGACCGGTGTATGGAAATGACAGTCTTGATCCTTTCGGAATCGATGAATGCGGAGGGCTTGGAATAATAATTTGAAGCTAGAGCTCGTTAGCAGCGCCAGGCGCTGGGACATCAGTTGGCCTCGACCCTGCTTATATCCCATTGCATTTTACAACCATAAAGCTTTCCAATTGCACATGAAAGTCTTTTTGCGCAATATTGCAATTAGGTCTCCCCGCATTTTTATCCTTGTTGAAGGCCCTGGTTAACGTTGGTGATGTCGTTGAAACAGAAACAGGGGCGTTTTCACCCAAGGCTCAAAAACTCAATCATCACGATATCGTTACAGTGATAACGGAAGGGTCAAAGCATGTCGACCTGCCTTTTCCTGCCTCGGCTTTTGCAGTTCCTTGAGGTTTCACCGTGTTTTTTTTGGTTCCGCCCCCCCGGGTTTTCTGCAGTCAGATAAGTCCTGACCGCAAATGTCGAGCATTGACGCTATTCGGTTGTGAATACCCACATGGGACAAGCTCCCCTGCCCTTCACAGGCTTGTTTCTAGGAAGACACCATGCCTGAAAGGACGATCAAAATCACAAGCTCTAAGACTTCGAGCAGCAGTGGTGTGCTCCAACCTCCCCAAGCGGCTTGCGATCCTCGAAATTCGACCGGGTTTCCCCTCATCTGATATTCAGGTTCCTTGCAAAGAGAGTTAATCTAGAAGTCGAAAGGGTTTGAATGTGATCTCTACCTGCCGTGAGCCAGCGATCAGTATAAAAGCTCGAGCCGCGAACAGTCGAGCAGTCGGTTCCTGCTGGATTCGGTTAGAGAACTCGTATTGGTGGGATGAAAGACCCTGTCCCTACAAGCCTGCCCTCTACAGCTCTGCTACCCCTCCCACCAACCATCGAAGGTGTCGACGACATGCAATAGGCTGCCGTCAGTTTCCGTGCATGTCGAAACAAGGCAGACCCGTGACTTGCTTTCACCTTTGGTTCGGTTCGGAAAGATGGCCGAGCTGTGTCGCTTCTTGAGGTTTAGCGTCATCGCTGCGAATGAATGAAATAAATCTAATTAGCATGTCAGCAGTGCAGTGCGCAACACGTTGTTTGAGCTAACTAACCGACATCACGCCCAGGCCAAGCTAAGTTGCGCTTGGATTCTTCAGCCTCTTCGACGCGTGTAGTAAAGCTTCAGCTCGGATATAGCCAAGTATTTAAATACCAGTCACCCGAGAATTGGCTTAAGCCTTGGGTCGAATACTTTCAGCCTTTCTTCATTTCAAAAACAATCGAAACTTAACCGTAACACAGATATATCGGTCTACAGTTGCAATGGGTCTCTGGTCCAAGTTAACCGGCAAGGATAAGCAGGAGGACTTCTCCCACCTCCAGGGGAGCTCGTCGAGCGATGATAAGAAGAAAAGGGACGACTTTTCGCATCTCTCTAGTGACAATAAAGGAAAGAGCAGTAAATCGGAGCAGGAATACCGTCCAGTGTATCGTCCGCCTGGCGAACCCTCAAATGCTCCCCCTGGATATGATATTCCCCCTCCCGGGCCTCCTCCGCCCGATCATTTCTATGCGTAAGCCAATTCTATATGCCTACTCAAGTAGTTAATTAAATGCATAAAATAGAGCATATTCTAAGACTAAGATGTTTTTATCAGTCCGCCGACCCAGCTTCCTCCAAGCTTCGACCATGCCGGTGGTTCATCTAGCGCCCCAGGGTATCAGGATTACGGTCCTCCAATGGGTCCACCACCCGGATATATGGTCTACAACGTTCAGATTCCACCTCCAGCAGTGCCACAGCGCTCTAAGAAGTATTCCCAGGGCTTAAATGCTAGCGAGGATGATGCCGAAGCCGGTCACGAGTATTGTCGCCACAATCCTGTCGCCCGGCCTACCCACTATGATCCTAATACTCTAGATCGCATTGCTCGGGGCGAAGTCGGGCTGTTTATGCCAGGCCATTTCGGGGGACATCTAACGCCTGAGTCGAACCGTCGATTTGAGATTTCTACACATAAGGATACCCAGGACGCCACCCTTCTCAGCGGGCTTCCCCTCTATTCCTCACTTGGGCATTATCCTCGCGATAAGGCTTACAAGACCATATACTATGAAATCAAGATCAAAAAGCTTCATGGTGACTCTTCGCTGGCCATTGGATACACGAATGTTCCAACCCCGCCAATGAGATTGCCCGGTTGGCATCGTGGAGGGTTGGCAGTCCACTCCGACGATGGTAACAGATATATCAATGATCCTTATGGCGGTAAGGAATTCACACATCCGTTCAACGAGGGGGAAACCATTGGACTAGGAATAAGGTTCCGTATGGGAATGGCCCAGGCGTTTCTAACAAGAGATGGGAGAGAAGTCGGCAATTGGATGATTGACGAACCGAGAGACTGGGAGGATACGCAAAGATTGAATGGAGACGGAAATATCACTGGCTTGATGGGAGATAACGATTTGTATGCGGCGATTGGCGTTTTCGGGAAAGTGGAGTTTGATGTTGAATTTGGCTATAATGAGTGGCAGGATTCGACAATTCAACATTAAGGCATTTAATATAGACCTAGTACAGGCGGCCCAGGATCGACTAGTACTAGTATAATCACATAGGTGGAATGCATGCACTGTATACATAATGTTTACTAGAATTTCGTGAGGTCGGAGCATGGCGGGCATGAATCACGCCGTTAGATGATCATGAGATAAAAAAATATCTGGAAATTTGTAATAGTCGCAAGCCTGCAGCCGGTTTATAAAAGTTGCGATATGTCCGCTTTTGCCATGACTTCGCTTGAAGAACTATCGCTATTAGATTTTAATTACGAACGACCACGGCCTACATACGCGTTCCATCTACTCCCATTGCATATACGGAGAGTACACGCAGGAAGGCTGTTGCGGCTCCAACAAAAACAACGCTTAGTGATATTACAAGGCTTCGACACTTCTGTAGACTATCTCTCTAGCCAAAGACGCACATGAGCATTCGGGACTCAGTGTCTTAAGCCTTGCTTGTGCTCGCCTCACCTTTTCTTTAATTTACCTCACTTCGAATGCCAAACGCAAAATCCAACCAATGCACCAGCGCGAATTTGTGAAACAGGCGCGGCAGCATGATACATAGATACTTAGGTACAAATAAGTCCCTACTCTAGGTGATATGATAAATGTACATGTAACTGGTTCCATATCTCGACTTTTGAAAAAAAATTTCCACTCGTATAATCGGGATGTTTGGCCCCGTTGCTTGATATTAAGAAAGCTGCTGCATGAAATCCCCAAAATTATGATAATCTTGAAATCTTGCGTCGAGGCGGCATAATTTATTACAGGCTTTTTTCCTATTGAACGAAATTTTAAAAAGCGCTGATTGAATCGTCCCGATCTTACGATAGATTTCTCCCAGGTGTGAAATACGTATACCCTTTTCGACCTACGTGATACTTTACTTGCAAAGATGTATAAAACCCCTCGAGTCTCCGCGATATCTTTTTTCTCTCTCCTTTCCACATGCATCGAGCATATTCCATCGTTGCCTCGCCGTTCCTCCACCCAGCGCGAGTCTTACTTCTTCTCTTTTTGTTTTTTCCGTGCAAAATTTAAAATGTGTCTCCCTAGGCTTTCTCTTGTTGAGAAATACGACGACGATACGGGTTACACAAATTCTCGCCCTGCGGCTCGCCGTCCCAGCGCTGTGCGTGGTAGTGTCTACTTACCTCGCAATTCCCTTCGTTCCCTCAAGAGCAAGTATTCCCATAGCTCTGCCTCCGAAGCGCCCTACTATGATCATGACCTTGGGCAATTTATCACTCGTCGGAACGGATACCACACTCTCCATGGAAATCGTGGTGACAGCAAAACCATTGTTGTAGACAATTCTAGTGCGAAGAAATCTGGGAATGGAGCTACTGCGGTCGAAATTAACGATGGCAGGAATGGAACTACCACTACTATCCTTTCTGCCAACGGGAGGCAATCAAACAGTAGCTTAAAGTCTGTTGGTTTTAACAAATATAAATTTGAGAAAATCTTCACGACGCCAGAGTCAGACGAGGAATCCTCTTCGGATGATGATGATAACTCCTCAACATCCTCAACAGACTCAGATGATTCTCATCGCTCGCGTCAGGGTAGATCCAACCAACGTAGTTCGAGTCGAAGTAGAAGCCATAGCGGGAGCCGAAGCAGATCGAAGTCACGCTCTAGGTCAAGATCTAGAAGTACCGACAGCCACCGGAGAGAATTTTACAGGCCGCCATACCCACGTCAAGGACACGAGTACCCCTTATACCACCAACAACAAGTTGTCCCAGTCCCTATGGCGGTCCCGGCCCAAATGATGCAAGCATATCCTCAGAATATGAGTTCGTTCATACAACCGCAAAGGCAAATTGGGACCGGATTGATTACTACTGCACCACAGCAAATGGTTATGCAACCGGTGCCCCAAGTGTTGACACAAGATCATATGCACGGTATCCATGGCCAGTATTACCAGGGTCATCGGGTTGGGCCAACTGTCCCCCAGACGATGGTTCCAATTTCAATGGTTGGACCTCACCACCTACTAACTGAAGTCGAGGAGGATCAAGGTTGACTTTGAGCCGTGAAGAGATATTGATTTGGGGATAAAGTAACCTCGTTTGCATTTTCTTAGTTATCTACAATTTTATGCAGGCTTGCAAACGTGGTTTTAGCAATTCTTTTATCTTCCTTTTTATCTTTTTTTTTTTTACAGTTTTGGACTTCCTATCCTATCTGTAATTATCGGTTTAGTCCTTGGTAATAGATCCGTTAGCGATCCACTCCCAAATATATGGGCAAAGACATTGAAAGAAAACCTACCGACTTACACGTGGGCGATGCACTCAATCTCCACATCAGTTCCGAGTGGAAGCTGGTGAACAGCAATGCATGATCGAGCCTAAGCAAAAGTTAATTATAATAACCCAAACAAACCAAATAGACAAAAATAAACGGAAGGGAAAACATACTGGCTTCACATCTCCGAAGAATTTCTCATAAACGGAGTTAACCTCCTGGAAGTCTTTCATATCTACCAAGAACACAACGACCTTGAGGACCTGGTTCATGTTCGAGCCAGCGGCTTCAAGAACAGCGCCGAGATTCTTCAATGCTTGTTCCTTTAGTGATATAAGATTATATTAGCCAAATTCACTTCTTTATCCAGCTTTGGAGTCACCATAAATTTAGCCGGAACTTACAGCGCGAACGGCGATGGGACCTTCCAACATCTGCTTGGTCTCGGGGTCCATTCCCAACTGACCGGAAACATAAACGGTCTTGTCGTGAAGAATTGCCTATAACAGAACACCGGGAAATTCTCCGTCTTAGCATTTCAGTGGACCCCCACAATATACTCCGGACCTTCCATAAATTGCCCCACCTGGTTATAAACCGGAAATGGCGGGGGCGCCTTATCCGTGCGAATTGCGATCTTCTGGGACGACATTGTGGTTGTAGAAAGTAGCTTGGATGAAGAAGCTGGTGTTCTGAAGGTCGTGATTGGTAGGATGAACGGATGACGTTGGAATTTGCAGAATTGGTGGTGGAGGAGAATGCGAGGTTGAGAAATCCGAAGTCGGTGGAGGGACATGGCGGGGATTTTTTGTGTTACATCTCATAAGCAGGCTGTGATGCACTAATCCTAAGTGCCTTCGCTTACCGACGGCCTATCGATCTGAATGAATATTAATAATCCAATCTACCGCCAGCAGAATACCACACATAACAACAAATTAGGGATCTAGAGGGCCTCATTCATATGAATTCATCAGTTTGCAGTAGAATTTCGGTCATATGCAATATATGCAATCTCTTTAAAAAAGATTCGGAAGAAATTGCCAAGAAGAGGGACTCCTCTTGCTTATTGACGAACAGCCCTGTGTAACCCTAGAATAGGTGTTGATCTGCAGCTGAATATTAATTAGCATATATAAGTATATGGCCTGGCAGATCTGCAGACTCCAGATGAAGATACGTACTACCGAAGTACTTAAATACTGAAGCGTATATATACCAAAACCTCGATCAAAGCTTCGATTATTACAGACAGCTCATGGTTTAACACATCTACCCAAGCTACGACGTAGAATTTACATTCTCATACCACATAATACTCCTTCCGTCGGGTGAATGTATGTGGTTGTTACTTCCATTTTTTCGGATTTGAAGAAATTACTGGGTATATAAATAGAAGAGACTACCGGCATTGTAATTGAGCACACCCATAGTCGCGACAAGCTGTTCCAAAAGTATAGTTTCAAGAGAAAAAACAATCCTATCAATTGAAAGTACCACTCGTATCGCATGATTGCTTATACTAGATATCACCTAGAAGTTTGAGCCGCTTCTGTGTGGCTACCGACTGCCTATCCAGCGCTATTCATATAATTGCAGTCAAAAGTATAAATTGTAGCGTTGATGAAACCGATTTAACCGACTGGCTCCCACCGAAATAATATCAGCGACTAAAGGTATTTTATGTATCATGCGGCCTGTGTGATAACTAGTTCTAGGGGCCAAACGGGATAGGGTCAACAAGCCAGGTGAAGAGATATTGCGCTACACTGCGCCACGAGGTGTGATCGTTTTAACTCACGGGCCTTCTTTGTTCTTTTCCCTGATACACGAATTCGTAACATATTCAAATACAATACGTAATCGATAACGAGTCATTTCCCCGCACTTTGTTAGTCCGATAAGCAATAACGTCCGGACGAAATTTGGGGTTCGAAAGCAGAAGATATTCTGGTTAATAACTGTTAACCATCTGCTGGAATTCGTATGAAAAATACTATCAATTTCGGCCGATTGAAGTCCAAAATAGAAATATCGATCATATAATTGTGCTATTGCTTGAGTAGAGCCGGATATGATGTATACGTATATACTCTTATCACAGTGTTGGCAATATATTAATATGTTAATATTCGCATGGATTCGAGTCTAGCCTAGATTTTAGTGTTAGACGATGTATCCGTACGCGACCATGTGGTGAAACCGTGTCGACGCATGTCTTTTTTATCTCCGAAACGGTACGAGGCTGGCCAGCTGAACCGGAAAATATTATCTTTCTGAGACTAGCGCTGCCGATTGGGAGCAGTTTGTCGCGGCGACCGTGAGTGTTGGTCCCCTGGCACCATAGCTAAGATACACCTATGTATGATATCGCGAAAGTTGTGAGTTTGAAGCCTTCAACAATTAATTGCCGGAAAACATTCAATCTTAAATGTTTTGCCGTCCACGATAACAAACGGTCCGTCCTCGTATTGGACTTCAGATTGCGGAAATATGGCTTGTCCGGCATGGCTAGCATTGGAATCATTTCGAATTCGTGGAGTGTTGCCGAAGTATCGCCAATTTGTCCGGCGTGCAGGTATAGCGTAACTTCGCTATGTCGATCATTTTATCCTAGGCAGCTGTTCTCGTTGTAGCCAATCAAAAGAACAAGACTTTGTAGCCGAGTGGGTCTGAGGTCTGAGAGCTGCGCATGATGCTGCTGTACGATATCTGAATGCTGTTATTACGTCTGAGAGCCTGGAACATTGATATTACAGAGTGAGTAAAGTACCATATATGAAGGTATAAAATATGAAAGTGGTCAGTATTTTCGGCCGACAAAGGGGAAGAAGAAGCCCGATATCGACTCCAGATGTATTTTGCCTACGAGTATTATATATCATGATATCTGCTCGTCGTTTGCAATATATGTGTGCGACAATGATCGATACGTATTTAAAACCGACCTGGATTGTGAGATCTGCGTGGGTCGCTCCCATGCGTGAGTGATCAGACTAATAAGAAAAGTGATTGAGATGAGCGTTGTAACTCGATTTCAAATTTCAGCGTGTGTCTGCTGACATGATTTTGTGCAGTCAAATTTAAAGATAATTTACCAGTAACTTGGCTGCCAATTTGCCTAATCGTGAGTAAGATGAGCCGAAACCGATGATGCTAAAAGGTTGCTACAATGGTAATGTAAGTTCCGCTTATGCGCAAAGCTGTCATCTTCAGAACTTCTGGTATGAAATTTCGGACTTCACACCTGTCAGACAATTATATAATACTGTCAACGAAATGAAACCGATCGCACCAAGCCTGTGACTCCCAATTAGGAACTATTTTCCGTCAGATAAATTGCATGCAATTCCATTGCCCAGAAACTTTAATTTCACACACAGGCGATTCCGAATTTGGTGGTAGCGGGCTGGGCTGCGATACGCAATTTAATTGTATCAGGTTTCCTAGCCGAGCTTCACCCACCTTGCTTCAAAGGAAGACGAGTTTCATGATAACCACAACGTCAACACGACAGGGTCATAGCTCATATGTATTACACACCGTTGAGTAAGCTCTCCTTTGTGCCGACATGTCGCCGCAAGCACTAAATCGCAAGCAATCGTTATTTATGGCGGGGTAGTGAAGGCCACTCCAGAATTCAGGAGGAGGAAGTGGACGTATGAAAAAGGTCTTCGAATCGAAGAGTGAGTCGGGGCAGGCGACAAGGGAACCTTCGCTACGAGATATCACCTTATGACTGGGATATCTCTGCAACCCTCCCGTCTAGTATTACCCGTGGTCTATCGGCAGGCATCTATGCATACCGGGAGGTTGCAGAGCTAAAGTACAGCTGCAGCTTGGGGGTGGCCTGCTAGCGAAAGAAAGGCTACAGATCTTGCATGCATAGTGTGCATAGTGCCTATGTCGACGGGATGTTCACCCGAGAGTACTACCACGGACCCAATCGGGCCATGTCTGGGCCATCCCACCTAGCATTATATGTATGTGAGCATTCGCTCAGGGTTTTTCTCAGGTAAGATGAAATTAATGATAAGAGATTTGGAAGTTCTTTCTCTCTTCGGCAGCACAGCGACTCTTTCGACCCCCAAGAAATTCCGGTTGTTCTCCTAGCCAGTCATCGGACAGCCAGATAGCTTTAGAGCCTAGGTAACCAATCCTCATTTACATTTGAAGATGGCGATCGCAAGGAGTATCCCTGGCGGAAGGTAACGAGGTTCCAAGGTGACGATGGTGCTCGACCTGCAGCTTTCCAAAGGCCTCATTTAATTAAGCCGGGAAACTAGGAACAGGGTTCTTGAGCTATGTGACCAGGCTGCAAAACTTTTAAATGGACCTTCTCTTGAACTTTGTATAAATATTGCAGCACCTCTCTCTCGTCACACCGATTTTTCTCAAGTCTTCCTTTTTAAAATCTGCGAATTCGGTTTCCTAAACGCTGATAAAACCGGCATAGCCCACCTATCACCGACTTAAATACGAGGTTCTACAACATGGTCGACATTCGGATTTTAATGTTTTTAGTTCCCTTTTCCCCTTTATCACGACAGATCGTTGTCACTGTTACGTTTCAATTTCCGACGGAGTACACCCCTTCGCAACCCACCACGGGCATAGGATCCCAGGTGGAATGAAGTGTTGGATCTTTTTTGTTTTTCTAACCCACTCTCAGGCCCATTTGTGTGCTGGCTGCCCTTGCTTTTCGGAGAATTTATTGAGTGGGCGGGGAGAAAGTGGTTAGCTGGAGGCGGTTTCTCAGCCAATCATTGGACAGAACCGTAGAGTGGCCCGACACTTCACGCACGACGCAAGGCAACCTCGCAGCAGGTTTCTCCAGTTTCCCATGGGAGAGTCGCAGAAGGGTGTGCCTTTTTGGTTAAACCGTATCGACATGTCTCGATAGTGATACCGTCCGGTTCCTTGCAGTGTGCCCAGGCCCGTTCGATATTTCGAAGAGCTCATAGGTATAATACCCCTGAAAAAAGCCTCAGGTATCGGGGACTTTACAGTATAAAGTCTACGGAATTTTCCTGTCTGAGCCTTTTGATTTTTTTCCAAGAATTGATTTCTACCGGTTGGATTCAAAAAGTTTTCCGGTTGAGAGACTTGGAAAACTTTTCCCTTCGACCCATTCTTTCAACATATCTTCAACACTTTCAACAACAGCGCAACGCAAATTATGTCGCAGTCGGAAAACGGTACGGGTTCAGATTCCCGGGCTGTGGCACCAGCAAAACATTCCGACTAGTTCTGTGTCACAGGTATTCTTTCCGAATAGGTTGGAGTTTAGAGCGAGGAAGGTGAGCGTTTTCATTTTAGTTTTGCAGACTATCTGACATGAAAGATGTAAAAGAACACGAACGAAAATTTTTTATCTTTTGTTTTTTGAATAACTTTTCCTTTCTTTTCTATAACTTAACAATCTTCAGTTAAAACAAAGAATAAGTGGGTTTTGAATGGGTATTTCCATTCTATGAAAAAGGGAAAGAATTATGTGTCGACGATATATCGATATTTAACTTGTTCGACTACTGGATTTCGGCAACTTGCAACATAAATAGACAGCAATATAAAAATAGCAAAAGTGTCAAGCTGGACACTACCCCTTATCACCTTCGACACCGTATATCAGGATGCACGCCGAATTTTTGGAACAAGCAAATGCAGAAGCGGACAGAAGAAAAAAAAAATTTGGTCCCTGAAAATATCAATTGAAACCCCAGAACGCCTTTTTCTGAACCCAAATGGAAAAAACGACACTACCAGGATATCTTGAGAAACAAAGCGCAATATGGACAATAAACAAAGAAAGAAAAGGAAAGGAAAGAAAGAGAGAGCAAAGGAAGAATCGCAGATCGATAAGTTTGATCGCGGAAAAGGGTGTGAGAAGATATTGAAAAATAATAAAATGTACAAATAGTTAGTAGAAGCGGTGAGTTTGTCTGTTGTCGGGGAACCTCTAGGTTTTGAATCTGCGAATTAATCGCGAAAGATACATTCTGCTTTTCTGGTTTCGTTCTTGTTTTTTTTTTGCTTTCTGGAAGTTTCACTCCATGATTTCTTTGAGTCCAATCCTTCCGCGTCTGGGTATTGCAGGGTCGGGGCCTGGGCCGCTATCTCTTCGCGCGTCTCTTTCAATGGGACTTGCTTGAATTCCGTGGCCCCGAGATTCATGGTCCCTCTGTGGATTTCCAACCGCTGGGAGGCTACGAAGCGGTGGTAATTGGATATGTTCGGTTCGGGGTGTTAATTCGGTAGGAGATGCATACATCGGCCCGACACCAGGGGACAAAATTGAAGCCGAGCTGTTTCGAGTATCGATTGACGAGGTATATGAAGACGACATGGAATATTGGTGGAGGGAAGATATAGAACCATGTCCGTGTGACGGTTGAGTTTGCAATGTTTCGATCGAGTTATCTCGTCTATGAGTTTGAACGGCTGGGGGCGGATATGTTGACGAAGAAGGCAGGACAGGAGCTGCCTGTACACCCATTGGTCGAGAGGTTGCCGGCTGTACTGGAGCTGATAGCTGTGGCTGTCCAGGTGGGTTTTGAGGTATCTTCTGATTTTGAGGCGGGAAGTGCGGCGAGGAGAAAGACCTATTTCGCTGAAGTCTCTGGGGAAGAATGCTATCCGCAGAACCCCGGTGCGGTATCTGAGGAAATATCGGTGTTTCGGGTGCCCTGGTTGTCGACGGCCCCGTGAATGAACGGTTCCTCACAACGGCTACTTCCATCGCCACAAAGTAAACGCTGGCCCTGCTCAGATAAAACCTCGCAAACCCCTTGATCACAGCAGAATCGGATCTACGAAAGTCGAAATATTCTTCTATGACAGGGCCTCCCCGTAAACCAGCCCGTAAGTCCATTGAACTCGACCTTTGTAAAACGTTGTAGACATCCTGGGAGGCAGGGGTTCTATAATGGGGATCTTCCTGCTGTATTATTGCCTTGATGCAACGTAGTACACGGTCCAAATTCTTGAGATCAGTTGGAGAGTCGGTAGCAAGGTCGTATACGGTCCTCCTCAGATTCAAATCGTGAGCCGCAAAGCCCAAAAGATCTTGGAACCCCCCGGTTGAACTAGCGACTACCAAATCTGTCGTAAGGAATGCCGTGGGAGGTATGTACTGATTTGCTTCGAAAGACTGCCCGCGCGGTATATGCAACGGTTCAGTGAACATGGATCGCGAGGAGTAGTCTTGCCTCGCGGGATCGGATAGGACGTATGGTGCGGTCCTAGACGAGATAGAAGTCCGTCCCACTCTGTCGGGACCGGGTAAGCGCATTCCTCTGCCATTCAACGACCCGGGCGAGGGCAGCCCGCCTCCAAGGTTCAACCCAGACCGCGAGTCAATCGCCCTAGCCACTTCAAAACTATGCCGCACATCCCTTAAACGCGGACGACCTCTCTTCTTATGCTCAACGTCAACGCACGAGTCCTGCAACACAGAGAGGGAGAAGTCAGTAAAATAATTTAGGTGGCGGAAGGGTTTCTTAATCCCTCCCGGTCATTCTTTTGTGAAGGTAACTTACTTGCTTGCCCGTTGATACACAGCGTGGGCAGGGCCTTTGAACTAATTTTGGGTCGTTAAATTAGCAATTTAACTCGAAAAGCAGCCACCAAGAGCAACGATTTTTAAAAGCCAACATTCCCAACGCAGGATGTCACAGATGATCATCACTAGAGCTTGAATATAGAGCTCTGATGAGGTAAAACTTTCATATCGGGTTTTCGAGTGTGCAGGGAGGGTGAAGGGGTTTTTACACTTGTCGAGGTTGTTTGTACCTCGGCGGCCCCATACACCCCCCTATACGGAACCGAGACTGCAAAACAAAAAGGGGACTCTATGTGGGTGTACAACTTACCATCACAAGCTAGGTGGGCGTTTTTACAGTTCACACATGCAGATGGAACATGTGCCTTAGCCCTTCTAGGGGGTTGCTGTGGTGGAGAGAAAGGCTGCTGTCGAGGTGACTGGTGAGAAGAAAAATAGGATGATTGACTTTCGGGGCGCTGTGATGTTGGGGACGAAAACTCAGGACGAGATCGATACCCCGACGGTGTCACAGGCAGATGAGCATTTGGATCACTTGTCGGGCTTGTTATTCTTGCCGCCGCTACTGTATCTGTTGATAAAGTAAGCCTCGAGCCAGGACCAGCCGTTGGCGCCTGTTGGGTGGCATAGTGGTCTGTGGTTGGTGATCTTGCAATGCCATTCGGTGTCGAAGCTGAGGGATAACTTGATCGATATGGCAGAGGCGGGGTCGAATTGGACATTGGCGAGAGAGGATAGTTTTGTGGCCCACCAGATTTGTACGCTTCCTGCCTCTCCTTCAGACAGTCCGAGCCAGAATTTTTCAACGAAGAATTGTACTCAGACGAAGGGGGCGAGAGTAATGGCGATACGACGCTACCGACGGATGGGTGCATCTGGCAAGTATTTTCTTGCTTGATATTGGACTCAGCCAACAACAAATATATCCTTTTGAAATCGGTTTTCTGAGGTTATTCCCACGAGATTTTGGCCTGGTTGAATTTCGAGTTACGCAGTACGATGTGCTTCACGAGAAGAAAGAAAGAGAAAAATCTTTATCCACCACTAGCAGACGGGCTCCGCAACCTAATGAATGTCTACTGCAGGACCAGGGAGGCGAAGGGGAGAGAGAAACGAGAGACCCTAATAACTATTAAGTTGTCCAACTTTTTTTTCCGTCGAGGTACCAAAACGACACATTCGGTTTTTTATTCGCGAACGGTTAAATTCCAATAATTAACGTTTCTTCGGATTTTTGCCTGAGCTTCGGATGTATAGTCGAACCAGACAGAGAATAGGTCGGTCGAGTGTTCCAAAATAATAAAAACAGATAAAATAGAACTGCGGACAATTTTTTTTTAAAAAAAGAATTTTCGAGGTGGTGTCCTTGAAGTAGATAAAGTATGTACCCAACTGGAAGACTATTGGTGGTAGACTTCCTGCGGGTTAGCTTGCCTAGGTGAGATTCGCAGGAACACAAATTGACAAGTTCAAGAGCATGGGCCCCAAGAAAACGGTTTTCGGTAACCAAGGAGTAGTCGGGTTCTCCAAGGTGGGTTCAATATATGTATATGTATGTCACAAGGCTTTAAGGTCGGATATCGAGTAGCTGCTGGCCGGCTGGATGCTTGAGGAGGTCTGATGTTGAGCTGCCCTAAAAAGCTTTCAAGAAAAGAAAAGGACCTTCGAATAGGCTCCAGGACGAAAAATAGTTTCCTGCAACGAATGAGGCGACATTATAATAATTGAATTTAGAGATAGTGGCTGCTGCTATATTGCTTGTGCTGGCTGCGGGGAGATTGGCGGACGGGTGTGGTAGGCGAACAGAAGCAATTTCTCGGCAAAGTTGTAAGGGGAGGTACAGGTACATGTACTAGTCTTTTAGTCCGTTACCATCGGGCTCCCATGAAACAGGTCTTTCCAGGTGGTCATTTGCCATGGGTTATTCGGCCATCTTGTTTTTGGGTTACCGTTCAACAGTTGCAATTGCAAAGGCACTAGTGTGGGAGATTTCAGGAGTGATATGGCGTGAGCAAGTGAAAATGCATAAGCGGGTGCATCTAAGCTCCAGGGTATCCCGAACAACATTCTCTTAATTCTCTTCCCACCGCGCGAGACACACAGAGAGAGGGGAGTAATCAATTCTACGATACCATAGTGTATCCTTTTGGGCTAGATAATTAGAGTTATCCACCGCATTCCTAGCACATATTCCCATGGTCATCCAACGTTCGACCCCCCCTTATCCTGTCAATTCAATAACGAGCATAACACGTTGGATCTTTCCCAGGCCGACTCCATGTCCGATTGACTCTCGGATCTCTTTCTCGAAAAGGTATCAAATAAAGGAATGCGGCAGGAAAACCATGGGTCGCTTTTCAACGGTCCGGTCTATAATTTACAAGTTGATCAATTGTTGTTTCCGATTGAATTGCAATTGTCAAAAGGGAGCGCCGAGAAGTTGGCTGAAATGCGCCAGCTCTCGCGCCTTGCCCCTCTATCGGGTCCAAATATCGATTGACTTTTGCGATAAACATATTTGGAATCTCCAAATCTATGTGCACACATGCCTAATTCGCTAGTTTACAATGCAACGGGAGTGGGACTGTCAGAGATGATTTGTTTTTCCCCCTCCGCTCCGTGATCCACACGCAAAGACCAGATGGTCCTGGGGGAAATGCTGTCCTTGTTCAATATGTGCTAGTCAATTAAGGTTGGACTTATTTCGTGCGAAGCATCTTGACTTTGCCCTCCGTTCAGCCTCCAAAATCTTGGGCTTGCGGAAGGAAAGCCACAATTCGAATCGATAAATTGCAGGTACGTCTCCCCATACGACCTCTGAAACTATCAAGCTCGCATGGCCCTGAAACCTTGTTACTCCACGGCAGAATTAATTATAATGGAAAAGAAACGTGACAAAATTTTCCTTGCGATTAAAATATTGTTTTCAATATTATAGCGAAAAGTTAGTATTTTCAGGAACACATATTTTTTATTTTTTTTGCCTTGGAATGCTCAGGGCGAGTGGCTAATAGTTTCTAGCTGCCGACAAGCAAAAAAAAGTTAGGGACCTGCTTACTGCATCTGGAACTTAGGGAAAATATGGACGGGTTGGTGCGAAATGTCTTTAACTGCCGGCGGGCGCCAAAATCTTGCGGCGGCGGGCCATGGGCAATCGTGGAAGCAACGATCGGCACCGGGGACTTCTCTTCAACTGTGTACAGCATATGCGCATTTTCTTTCCTTTTGCTTTGGCGTGCACAGGATCCACCATTCTGACGCACGAGAGTGCTTCGAACATGTTCCGTGGCTGCATGGCGAGCCTTCGTTCGCCAATCGTTCCCCTCTCTCGCATGGCGATCGAATTAATTGCGAAGGAATGCAAGATGGTGTGAATACCATTTGCAGGTTTTCCCTGAGGAAATTCTGGTCTACCGCCTCGGAAAGAATAAAGTCTCGGAACGATCAAGGCATCGACGGGAACTGTCATCGACTGGATGCAATTACGTACTGCTTAACTCCGAGGGCTGTCCCATTATCCAGACCACTGGGATCAGAGCCTGGGACACGGTGATGTTGTCGGCCGGGCCAAACTGCAAGATCATTTGGGACGTTTTTCAAGGGCTCTAATCGTGCAGTCATTTGAATGGCCACGCATTTGGCTAGTAACTGGGAACTAGGATCTAAGATTTCAATGATCTGGGATGCAAACACGCTTGCCAAGTTTATTCGGAATCTTGTCTGAAGTGTGGCGCGCTGACATAGCCAGGACCTTCCTTTTCATATAGTAGTACCTCGGTTTTTCCAGAAACTAGACAAATGTTAACAAGTTCTATTCGAAGCATTACGAGTCCAGTCAAATTCGTATATTGTGTCTTTAGGTTAAATGGCCCTCGGCACCGATCGTGCCGCTACATTGAACCGCAAGGTAGGATTTCATATTTTTATTCGAGCTCGAGATCAACGAGGGTAGGATCTATTCCTTCCCTGTCAGCCACCATTGAGCCTGGCTTCCTTGAAACTTGCAATATTGCGCGTATATCGGAAATATCATGACCCTTGAGGGTGGTGATACATGTGTCCCTCATTTTCCATGTGTGCACACAAATAAGAAATGCTACTTGAGGCTGTAAATTTTCGCCCTTCACAAAATCTTATTTTATTCACCCTGGCGACAAGCAAAGTTTGGTACGGTAAACGTTGTGGAGCGTGCCGTGCAGATTCTGGGAATCCAGAAACCCTTGTCCTAGGCGAGAATGGCTTACCCCCGCAATTCAATATCACCGCCGCCCTCGTGTTATGATTTTGTAGGGTTCAGTTCAGTTAGGTCCAAGCAGCCGAAATCTGCCAGATGCGCAAGGACCTTCCACTCTATGGATGGTGTTTTCCGACATTGAAAATTTCTCTGTAACGACGAGAGAATGTAGGTCTAGCGCTCTCCCTCTCTCCACATGACACGGGGTACTCCGGATGGACTGCAAGTTCGCCTGTTATAGCCTCCAATTTTTCTCAAACGCGAATAGCGACTATCAGACGAATTAAACCGCAATTAATTGCGAGTAATCAGTGACTTCCAAAGCGCCCTTGGGCCTTCCCGTGTGAGTTACAACGGATGCAATATCATGACACAAACATTCCTCCCCGCTGAACCTCAATACCGAAACCTCGATAACCCGCATTGCAGATCAAATCCCGCACCTTCGCTATCGACATACATATCTATCTCTCCGATCTGTTTGGGTGAGACATTTTAGCCGTCATCGTCCAATTAGACGAGGTGTGTAAGCGTTTTGTGGAGGAATTGGGCAGGCATGTTCTCGCTACACACTATGCAGTGTGCAATCCTGCAGACATTTTCCAACTTAGCATGTTGTATGTATTGGGATACTCGTTCGTATCTCTCGAGTTTGTCGTCTGATCTTGGGTGGCCTGCCATGTGGGAACCTCCTCTCCGTTCCTGCGAGAACGTGTTAAGCCGCAGCCACGAGAGAAAGAGCCGATCGGGGGCGCCTAGATTCCCGGGAACTAAAGATTTTCTATTGGAATCCGAGCGCGACGGCCCCGTTCCCTATAAATTTGTGTTTCAACGCTCCCAAACTTTCAAGCTCCCTTCAATTTCAACATCCTCGAAGCCCTGTGACGTAAAGTGGGTCCGCCCAGTGCACCGTGTGTGGCCGTTTTCGAAGCCTTTTTATTGGACTTCTTCTTCCATCTAAGACACAGTCTGTGCCGTCCTCTGTTTTTGAACTTTGGGCTTGAAACAAGGTTAACCTTGCAAACAGGCTCTGGATAGCAGATATCGTGCTTTCCCTCGTTCGGGACCGCGAGCCGAGCTGCTAATTGTTATCGGGTGAACCACCTTTTTTGCATTCTTATATTACCCCGTTAAGAGGAACCCAATGGCAACGTGGCGGGCTTGATTTTTCCGCAAATTTTCTCCGAATTGCTCCAACATTTATTAAGGACCATCGCCTCGTGGTAAAAACCGCGTGTCAGTGGTACTTTCTACAAACATTCCGAGTTACATAAATCCAGAGGATCGTGCCGTGTGCGACGAAAGAGGAAATAATTGAGTATACGGAATAATACAGCATGATTTAGAGAGGTTTCCGTCGGCACAAAGCTGTTGAGGTTTTCAGGTGGGAAGTTAAAGTTGAGCTAATGTATGAGAAGAGCTTGTCTTAAGCGTCTTCTGACAGGCCTGCCCGAAAACGTGCCTGCGGCGGAAAATATCATTGTTTTTCGGCTGCACGGAAGCATATACATTCGAATACCTGGTTTGTTTCGACAAAACATCCTAATTAACAACCACGTTCGAATGTTCTCGGGGCATTTAATCCTTGAGGTGCATCTCGTATCGCAACCTGGAGACATAACTGGCAACCTAGCCTTCACAAGATGGCATGATATACACATCGCACAAAGCAAATACTTCCCAGCTCTGTCGACATGCAGATGTGTGCGCATGCGATCAAAAGAGGGCCGGCGTGTATATTCGCTTTTCCCTACTCCCCACATCTGCTTATTGGTCTGAGTGGCTCTTGTCTGCAGAATCGAACCCACCATCTGTGAGAAACAAGGATAGAGTGCCCCTCTCACATGGGCCATGTGCATACCACGGATTGAACCCTGATTCTGGTTCTTTCTGAACCATCAGCCTGGTGGCAATGACGAAAAGGAAGGGATCGTGTAAAGCCAAAAGCCAGAGATCCACCTTCGGCCCAAGAAAAGTGTGGCTGCCTAAGCCCGAGTCGCCTGTTGCTACTCGATGGAAGGCGTACATACAAGATATGCTCGGCGTTCCTTTTTACGGAATGTGGAAGCCTTCGAGAGACGACACAAACTTAAGCGTAAAAACGTACTGATGCAAGATTGCAGTGACAACCTATTTACGTTTGTGGAGACACAAGACCTCACTTTCGAAGGGCGTGCCATTTCGATACGAGGATTGTATTCGGAGAATTGCGTTCTCGCTTACTGAGAACTGTCCAAACAGAAAAAAAAAGGGGAGGCTTATTTCCCGCACCTGTGCTCGTCGCGATAGAAGGACGGAAGGGAAAAAGGGGATTTGTCTTGTCTTTCGTGGACCCGATCCCACCACCACGAGCGGATGGATGTGGTTTCCGGGTGTCATCCATTATCATCAAGCCATTATAAGTCGGTTGGGTTAGTGTGACAGGTTGTGTTTGAGGCAGGTGCAGTTAATTCGTTCGCAATTAACCGACTAACTATCTGCTTTCTTATGGGGCGGAATACATGCATCCGGAATATATGCCTATTGGAGACGTCTAAAGCGCTCATACTATTATACAACGTAGGAGAATAAGTTCATATTTGCGGTGTACTATAGGCACTCGCCAATTTTGCCATATGGATTTCCATAGAACATTAACTTTTTTTTTTTTTTTTTGGGGCGTGTGTCCTGGGGCATTTGAATAAACAACTACCGTACGAAACCTGGGCAAGCTGTCAAATCAATCTTATCCGTTGACTTAGCCGTAGTTATGGTTTGTCGGTATGGTACAATGTCACGTCCTCGCTCTCATTGGTCCCGAGAGAAACTTGTTCCGCCCGGCAGACTTTTAGAGACATCTGATCAGTCCCATTTCCAGAAACCTGGAGACCTCCTGCAATGTCTGGGTTTTTTTAGGAAGTGATCGCTGCTATATATCGGCCGGGAACTCGAGTTTTCTGGCTAAGATCATCTCCAGCGGTTCCTGTGTCTTGGTTATGGGACACAGATGTGTGTGTCAATCCAGAGAGGCCATGGCCACTGTACCGTTCGCAAGTGCAGCATTTGACGTTACATGTATCGGAAGAAACATCTCAGTACGACCTTCTCGTGTTCAGATGCAGGAGTACTATACGCACATACGCACAGTATACAATATCCGATCAGAGTCATGTTTTAAAATTCTAGGTTGCTACATGATCATATTCGAAAACAAAAATGAAATCTCGTGAAATATTTAAATTTGAATCCAAATATCTCCGGGAAACACCGAAGAAAAAGGCTATCACAGACCAGAACAGAGTGCACATACGCCTTGGAGGGGGGAAAGGCGGACAGTTGAGAGATCTACAAAACTAGCGAACGGAGCGTAAATTATATTGGAAGTTTCCTTCTGTATCTCCCGTCCGACATCCCTAGTCTAGCCATCTGCATTGCATGTACGAGCTCATGCGACGACTTTAGTATAAAATAAACGAAATGCTTGGGGTCTAAAAGTATTCCACCCTTCCTAAAATTAGCCCTTGAAATCAAACACGTCGACGGTTCGTCATTTTTGCGCTCTGCATGCCGTGGTTCCAGGGCAATGGGTGTCTGATCAGGACGGCGGGCCTTCGCATGTACCTCTACCTAAATCGTGATACCCCAAAACGTGATAGGGCTTTTCGAGGACGTTCCCCGAAAAAGATTGACAAATCGCTATCTATCTGGCACCCCCATGCAAGCCCTTCCCATGTCTCCATCAGTCGCCGTATTTTCCCGCCATTCCCTCACATGGGAGGCAGCCTCAGGGCAAAGCCACTTCCCACTTGCCTCATCAAGCAAATGATGAATAAACAGATATCCTTGGTCGATGACATGAAAAAAAAACGTGCCTCAGGGGAATCGATAACGTTATTGGTTTATACTTCCAATCTATAATGGAGATATTGAGCGAGATAACAGGGTTGAGCGTTTGATGTCGCAAAGTACGAAGTGTTTTTTTTTATTTTTTAGGCAGGCAAAGACCGTTACCACAGATTGATGCTGGCGAAATCAGGGACACCCGCAACGCACATGAGCGTGGAGTCAGCATGCCAGTTACCTAATGTAATATACCGCTGTCCGTGACCCATGCTGCGGTGGGCCATGGTCCAAAATCCAAGTTGGGCCGAGGCTTACAAGATGGAGAGGGATGTTCAGGTTGGCAGTGTATACTAAATTTATTTGCGGTTCCTATGCTGCTTGCCCTCGTCGTATGTAGTAAGACTGTACTGACCTCGTATGCTAATGCATGAATGAGACCCTATGTATGTTCATGCAAATCTTGGAGGGGTCCCTTGGCCGATTGGTGTGTAGAGTTCATTGGCGGATAAGGCCCGCAGCGCTTGAAATCTCTCTCCACAGCGCCTTTTGGTGCGTTCGGTCCGCATAAGCGCCAATTTGAGACGTCAAGCGTATCATTCCTTTAGGATGTGGCGTATACGAAGATCGAATAGGAGAACGTAAGCTTATATTCAAATATGTTGAATTCCTTATAAACCTACAGCCGGTCTATATCTTTTGATTTTCTGTGGTCGTTTCAACACGAATTTGGGGTCCCTGACGTTCTTATTCGGGAAAGAGTTTCTGTGTAACAGCCCAACACAAACCACAATTTACAACCACAACTCAAGACGTCTACAAGTTTTGAAGTTTCGGATCTATTTGGAGGATCGCTATATATCGAGTATCGAATTGTCGACATTGGGCCTTTGAACGGGGGCTTTGGTGTCGTCTAGATCTAAAGTGGGTTATAGTGGGCGTCGCCGGGGGCAAGGAATATTTTTTTCGACTACCCAGGACCAACATATCGACTATCGAATCTCACTATCTTCCTTGGTTAATTAATATAGAACTATACAGATATATATTATATGTTATTCCGGAATACCAAAATATAGCCCAGTCAAGAGTTTCCAATCTTCTCTGAGTAGGATCTATAAACATCGATCCAGTGGTTTTTTAGGCCAATCGGACTATATATACCATGGAGCTCCGGTTAATAATCCCAAGTAGCCCGGCACCTGGTCGCTATGCATATGACATCGAAACTACTTATCCAAGTAGTAGTGCTTTATCTAGCCCTCGATATAGGAGCAAGGAAGTAGTTTCATCAATATCAAATCCGGAATACCGAACGACAACATATGATAGGTTGGAAATAACAATAAAGGAGCGAACTAAGCCCTCCCGGAGGCACAGAGAACATCGATCTCCTAGCGGGAACCTAGTGTGTATCCCAAATTCCAATTATTCGAAAGTTTCCACTGGACTAACTTGACTTTTGTGGCTTAGATAGCATCTAGGTCTACACCAAATTTGAGACGGGCATTGGAAACTGTTCCACGGCCCCCGCCTCCTCCGCCCATCCAATCAGCTCGGTATGAGCGGCATGGGCAGCAACCATTTCCATATGAAAATTCCGATGCATCGAAGATTAGCTCGGCATTAAATTCACCGTGGTCGAGTTCTTCTTCTTCAAGTGTTAGCGATATTTCTCCTTTAACGCCTAATAATGGCCAAATCTATTTTCTCCCGTCGTTTCAAGAACGGGATGCTGGCCTTGCCATTCAATTTGAGCCGATGGAAGTTCAGTCACCGGCGGAATCTTTTGGGCCTCATACGGGGCTTTCGAATCATACAATGGTTTACGAATTAGAGGATACTTCGAGGCGCCGGACTGAATCTCCAATTGACCAACGTTCACCACTTTCTCTACTTGAGAAACCATTGCCTCTTTTGCCATGTCCAAAGTCTGTAGAAAAGAAAATAAACAGATCAGAGCCAAATAACCCACGGCACAGATTGAAGGAAACTAATCTTTCGAATCACAAGCCCGAGCTTCGAAGCTCGAGTATGCGTTCTGAGCGGAAACCTTCTATGGCACGGCAAGGCCCTTCACCGCCGTATTTATCTAAGAGCTCCGCCCAGACTACGGTATCACGGGCAAAAGACTCTCGGCCTAACACCAGTAATTCTAAAGCTGTATCATTCAGGCAGCTGCAGCCTGACAACCAGGTTCCCAATCAACAGCACCAAATGGAACAGAACCAAGGCCAAAGGAGAAAAAAACAGCAAAAACCAGCTTTCTCAATCCACCTTGGCAGACTTCATCTGGTATTCGGATCGACGAAAGAGGAACTTGCCGACTCAAGAAGAAAGGCTGGCATGTACAGTGACTTTGAAACTTTCGACAAGTCATATTGCCAGGATTCTCGGGGTAGAATCCAACATGTTTAGAAACTTCATGGAATGGGTTCTTCCTGGATCAACCTATGACGCTTTCACTCTTATTATTCTAGGGCCTCTCAAAATATAAAACATCTCAAGAGGTTTTAAAATGTTAGACATGTTGGATGGCTTTTTGTGCAGGGATCTGGGCTGAGGGAGGTCAGCCACGTGTGGAGCTGCATCAATCCTTCGACATCGATCCTTTTTTCTTCGAATGTTCTATGACAGGATTCCTTTGGCATATCAATTCCAAAGGAATGCCGATCGAAAGCAATATACTATGTCGCACCTCAAATACATTTACTCCGAGCAACGTGGCTCTTGCAGCAACCGAAGTTCTGTTTCCCTGCTTCCTTCAATGTTGGCTTCGAAACCCTGGAGGCTCCTGTAAGTTGAGGGGCTTTGAGATTAACACTCGGCCGGATCAAAAAATTTTCGGCGGCTGTTACGAGCCCCAACAACTGTTGCCTTACTTTATTTTGTAGAGATGCTACTGGTTAGAGTACCTTGTTTAAATATTCCATGGTCGGTGCTGAGATTGTATGTTGGGGAGGTAGGCGGTGGCTACAGTGCTTGAATGACTTTTTGTAAATGTTTCATCAGGGGACGGAAAGTTGTCCGCTTTTATGACGAGGTAATGGTAATTTTGTTAATTGTTTGTTCCTTAATGGTGGATGGCCCAGCAGATCCCTTTTTGCTCCTTTGCATTGGCTTCTTCTTCTTTAATGTACATACATATCTACATGCCTGCACATACATTGAATAACTGTAATGATAGCACTGGTGGCTCTAACTATCTTATCCCTCGTGCCCTACCGATCCTATAAATCGATAAGCTGGTTATAGGCCGAAAAAGAAAAAACCAGAAGAAGAAGGAGGAGGAGGAGGAGGAGAAAGGCGATCGTTTCGTCATAAGATTATATCGAAGTTTAGAGGGGAGGTAAATTTTGCATTCCAATGCGCCTCAAGTATACCATACTGAACCATGTGACATCATATGAAACCTTTGCTTGAATCTGGAAGTATACGTTTATATCAGTACTGTTCACAAACCAAATGGCCCCAAGCCGACTTGGTTTAAGCTAGAATGGCGCCCTGGGGCCGTTTTAAACCGAGCCGGAGTTCGCACTTAAAATAAGAGCTATGAGAGTATTGGAACAGGGACTACATGATCACATGAAACGGTGTCCCAAGTTGGCATCTTAACCTCTTGGATTTTCTGGGACCTATTGAACCTAAGCTATGCCCGCGATTGCAACTCTAATTAATGCAATTGATCAATTGATCGATTGATTCATAGTTTGATAACTGAAATACAACACTAGCAACGCAGGTCGATTGACTAGCTTGTTTCTAAAATAGCTAAGTGTTCTCACCTAGGGGGGAGAAAAAAGCATATATATAACTATCGACATACAGACTTCCTGGGGCAGGTATAAGGGGCGCCCGACTGCATATGCGTTTGATTGATTGATTCAGGTTCTTATCGGTTTGGAAGATCAGGGTTTGCAATTTGAAAAAGCGCAGAGCCCGTTACTAGATCGTCCGCAAGATAGAAAAGAAATAAGATAAAGATAGAGTCAGCACGCCTTTTTGTAATAGATACGGGATGAAATGGCCAACAAAAAATTATACCCTGTACGTTCCGGTTCCCCGTTGAAAGATTATCACGTTTAGGGACGCAATATACGGTTGACGGAGAAATGTTCGTAACGATCGATCAATTGACTAATTGGCCAAGCCGGCGGTAATGTTTACATCCATACGGACTGTGGTTAATATTTCAATTGGAATTTTAAATTTTATAGTTGTGCACCGACTAGCGGTGATTTTTGGGTATATTTTGCCTCTAGTAATTATACTGGGGTATATATTCAGCCCATTATATGTTGGTAAGCATAAGCCTTTTCTCAAAAATTTAAAGTTTCTGTATACTCTATAATATGGCTGATATTTTTATAGCTGGGTTATCAATATTCAGCTTCTCCAACAGCTATATCTCGAGTTTTCCCAAAGGTTTCGGGGAGCTAGAGTAGGAAACATCCGAATCCGCGACTTAGGCACCGGGCATCAAAAAGTTCTTCTAACTTGTACCTCTACATAAACAAATTAGCTCCACTTATTATGTCTTGTCCCTACGTCGCCACGAGGAGAATGGGATGCTCTAGACTCTATTTTGGATGATGACGGGGATAGGGTAGACGCCTCACGATCTGGCGCTCGGTTCCGGTGGATTTTTTCTTATTTATAGATCTAGCCACTTTGCGATAGGTATCCTCTTCGACGCTTTGTTGCCAGGGTATGTTTGTAGATATCATTAGTAAATAAACTCAGGGCTACCTTCCGTGGCCAGCTTCGTAGCTGCCTTTCTGCAAAACCTCCTTGATTCTGCGCATTTGCTTGCATATATGCATAAATCACAAAGTTTTAAACCTTTCGTTTCTCCCTTCGCTCCTTTGGTTATTTATGTGTCGTCGTCAATTCGGAAGGTCATCCGCGGCGGGAATATATCCTGTACCGTTGCCCGTATCGTAGTTTTTGCGGTTGTGGGGGCTCGCGGCACCGGTGGGCAAGTTTTCCAACCGTTCATGCTACAATCTGGCATAGATCTACTCTGCCCGGGAGGAAGCTCCAAAGGTTAGTTCAATATGCATAGGATAAGCGAATATGGAAGCCGTGCACGGGCGGCAGCGTGGATGACCGTTAGTGAACTTTAAATTCAACGGGTCCTCTTGTCCGCGGACATTTTCTGACTTCTGGGTGTAGCCTTTCTGGGTCCTGTTCAACTCCTAAATGCATGAAGGTGGATTAATTGATCGACGCCAATTGGATCGGAATGGGATTAAGAGAGGAGGGGAAGGCGTGTCCCGCGCCGGCGCCTTCTGTTTTGTTTGGAGTCGTTGTTAACATTTGATTGATAAGGGATCCGAAGGGCATGTAATGAATATCGCAGGGTCTGTGGTCTGTTCAAATTCGTCTGATTCGACTCGAGCGCAAAATAGAAGGCCCCACAATTATCGGGTCACGAAACAGTTTCCCTTGGTTTTTTGGTTTATGCATAAATTCCTCATCGTTCATGCTGCAAAGGATAATATTCACAAAATGCATGTGTACATGTACTGCGTGTGGCAAGGTCAACTTGTCTTACTCACGTAAAATTTTCAACTGTTATATTGGTCCGGATAGAAATGTTAAGAGAGCAGGAAAAAGTCACCGATGCTTTACAGAGTAATCCAGGTTAGAATCCTGTGAAGTGGGTCCAGCAAGGAAACTGCTTCTCGCCTGCATCGGAACAGTGTATTTTGCCTCCAATTAGCCGATCCGAATTTTCAGGTGGGCCCTCGAACCCTCATTCTGGCTTCGAGTGCTTGGTCTTTAGCCACTCATATTCGTCTCGAGGCATTATACTCCACAATGTATCTGCAAGCAAGAATTTGAGGCACTACACAGTTCGCACATGATCTCGAGGCTAAAAATATTGTTTCCTTGGCTTCAGGAGAAGGAGCGTCTATCACTTTTTCGAATGACATCGTGGACCCACTCTGCTGAACGGGCTTGCCGCTGTATGCGGTGATTCTTCGTTCCGAGGGCCAAGCAAGCCGAAGCAGAAGGATCCAATAGTTGGTCTAGCCGTCTTTGTAGGAGACCCTCCGAGATATCTCAACTCGTCGAACTGTGGTCATACGTGTATTTGTAGTGAAAGGGTGCATATGGCTTATGTACATACGAGCACACAGTCCTGGTACGCCGCGGCATAGATGATACCGAATGGCTCTAATGGCGTTACATGGGTAGGTGTGTAGACATGATGTACTACAAGCAGCAAAACGGCCTAGGGCACACGGGCTGAGTATAAGTCTCTCGTTGATACAACGATTACTTACAAGATAACCACAGGTTCGATAGATATGCATGGGCTCCAACCCCAATTCCGCTCGATGTTAGTTTGATATACAAAGGCATTAGAACAATCGCATCTAAAGTATCGCTATTATAACATGCAAGAGCGTATCTAACAAAGTTTCTGTGTTACAACCTTCACTCCGTTTTTTCTTCCTTCGTGTCTGGTACCTCCTCCTTCGTTTCCTCCTTCGCTCCTTCAGGCGTTTCTTCTTCTTCTGTAGGCGCTTCAACCACTTTAACCCTCTCAATCGGTTCCTCCCCATCTTTGATTCTATAGTGTACAACTACGTCTCCACCGGTCCTCCACACATGGGCCTTCATGGTCGCCAATGTCATATTCAGCGGGACCACCTCATCCTTGATAATTAACTCAAGCCAATCCTCTGGTTTTCTCTTCTCATCTCCAAAGTCCGTACCCGGCCCACCGGCTTGTGCAGGTAATGGGTCAAGTCTGTCGTAAATATATGTGACAATTTTCCGTGCGCGGAGCATACGGTTTGCGTTTAAACGGTTGTTGCTGCCCAGCCTATATTTGTTAGCTATATATGCCCTAGAAATGATATCGATAATAATGATATTGCTAGAGATAATGTGAAATTCGGGGAGGGGAAACTCACGGATCGGTTGCATCACCAATGCTTGCCAGTTTGTCCTTCCAAGGTACCAATACAAAGCTGACTTTCACGACTTCCTTCAATGGTACTTTGTTAAGCAAGATTGCATCAGCGACCCATCCTGGGAGGACTTTTTCTAGCTCATCGGCCTCATCGCCAAGGGCTCCTACGGTACCCCTGTAAACGTCCTTCATACCCCCAGAATCTGGCGAGTCTTCTTGAATGATCAACACCATTTCAGGCGGGTGCTTTAGTACAGGTGTTTCTGAGGGTAGAGAGGGACAAATTGCAGATTTAATGGTGAAATCTGGGTTTAGCCTGTCTGGGCTGTATATTTCGTAAGACTGCCTGATACGCTTAAGAACGCCCGCTAGGGTATCATCAAATTGCTCAGGTTGTTTGACGGGTTCGGTTGGCTCCTCCGGCTTTGGCTCCTCCGGCTTCTTCTCTTCACTTTGTTTAGATTTCTTGCCCCAGAATTTAGCGAGGGAGAGCTTAGAGGTTGCCGCTGGAGTGGCAGCAGCGGGGGGTTCTGCGGTCGACGGGACGCCGCCTGGGGTTGTTGCTGTTGTCGAAGGGCCAGTGGTGTTTGCAGCTGATAGCTCTTCGTCCTTGGGCTTGGATGGTATGGATGAAAAATAGTCGTTATCTTCCGAAGCACTGGGTTTATCTCCAGATTTTCTCTCTTCTTCCGCCATAGGGGGGAGGACTGATCCACTGGGTGTGTTACTAGGGAAGTGGGCGATGGCAGGGGTAGCGAGGCCTATCGACATTCCTGGTGTTTGGGGGTATTGAGCACCCGATAAACCATTAAGGCCGGGCCTTGGGGTCGCAGCGGAAGGTGTAAGAGGATCGTGAAGATGAGATGGTGGTCCTGGTAAGCTTATTGCAGAGGGTGCATTTTGCCGTCGCACCGCCTCTCTCGCCGCTTGTGCTGCCGCAAGTTCCTTCCGGTATGCATCATCCCGGCGGATTTCTTCGTCAATGAGATTCGAGAAGAGGTATCTCAAAACCCATTTTCCAAGATTAATTCTATGGTCGTCTCGGAAATCGATTTTCTCCTCTAGCTCAACCTCATCGGCGTAGGTCTCTCCATCAAAACAGTAGTTCTCCTCAAGCACGCAAGCGAGTCGGCCGGTTCGAGTATCAACTTGGCACCAATTTGACAAATTCTCGCGGGGATTAATCTCGCGCTGGACTTCTTCAATATGCCGCTTACCCCATTGCTTCAGAACCGTGCACTGTATAATACTGTTAATACACCTTTCATGTGCCGCCGTGAATAACGGGGGAAGAATAACATACCCTGACAAGATCCCACTCAAGAACGTCTCCGGCTGAGTCAACGGTCAATACGCGTCTCCTGTCATTGAGGAGAATGTGCTTTATCAACCCATTCTGGCCTTCGATTGTTTCATCTGGTTGGTCAAAAATCGGCTTTGTGTCCCCGGTGTCCTCCACCCCCATCATTGCTTCCGTGATGGATGCATGCCTAGCTTGCGGGATAGAGTATATGGTAACCTCGTCGGGGTCTCTAACATCGTGTGTCGTGAATGCCGATGTATTTGATAATTTCAAGATTGAGCTTAGTTGAATCATTGGCTTGTTCGACTTCTTCGGGTACCCGACGACAGTAGCTATAGAGGCATTGGAAGGTCGGTGTTGGTGCAAGATGGGCAGCCCAGGTAGCGCAGGTGACCTTGAAGCCACTGGTACGGTCTCCTTTGGCGATACTATCTCCGCATTGGTATCAACGTCTAGCCAGCGATGTATCCTTGAACTCGATGTAGCAGTCCAAATGTAATCCCCTAGCCCGCCATCCGCGATAACTTTGTTTACACCTTCATTCTCCTGGCAAACAGCCACGCAGATACCCTCCTCGATCTCTCCGATGTTCCTGATGTCCGTCTTAGCAACTAGCCCGGTTCTATCGGCGGAATGGAAAAGCTCGAGTTGAGGATGTGATGAGTGTAGTGACCACACACTGTCATTATGCATCGTGAGGGTATGTAAACAACGGCCGCCAGTTACAGACCACATCTTCACAGTGGCGTCCGATGAGGCAGAGAGTATAATATTTGCATCTTCAGAAATCAGGATAGACCTGACGAGATCGGTGTGGCCGACAAACTTGGTAATTGGCTTTCCGGACCTTGGGTCCCAAAGCCTGACGACGCTTTCGGGCCCTCCAGATGCGAGAATACCACCGCCTATACCAAGTGAGTAGACCGATCCCTTCGGGTTATCCTTGTCGCCACCATCGCCAACATCGATGCATGATTGTTCGCCTTGACCAGAGAGATCCCAGAGGAAAATCTTACGATCAAGTCCACCAGAGGCGACCCATGTTCCACTCGTTTTGGAAGCGGGCCCAGATGCGACCACACATTTGACATAGTCGCTGTGGTTGCCTAGATCGGAAGGCGGGGCCTTGGAGGACGGACGCCAGAGCTTGACCGTCAAGTCGGACGAGCAGGATACGACTGCAGAAGAATCGGAGGTTAAAGCGAGATCATTGACCCAATGAGTATGCGCTTGAACCTGGGATTTGAATGTTGATGCTGGTGGCCGCGGCCTTGACGTTGGTGTATCCCCGTTCGCAAGAGAGGGGTCTGATGGAGCCGTCAAGTCGGTTTGGATATCCCAAGCGCAAATGACGCCGTCGCGACCGGCAGAATAGCTGCAGGTATCATAGAATTCAAGTTAGATATAATATTCTATCTCTTGAGCGCCTGTGATTGTCTGCGCTGTTTCGCCCTGCGGCCTCGAATCTCTCACGCGACGGCGGGCTTCGAACAATGCATGACACTCGGGTTACAATTAATTGACGTACAGGGTTCCTCGGAGATCGAGAGCGAGAGAATTCACACCGAGCCGATGTCCTCCTGGAGAGTTCGGGAGCGGCAGCACTGCAGTGATATATCAATCTTGTTAGTCCATCACTTGCGGAGGTTCCACGGCATCATTGCGACAGTCGCAGGGAAGAGGTATTATTACCATAGCTAATTTTCTGGCGGGCTTTGCGCGCCATATCAAATAACCCGCCGATATCCGATGTGTATGTTTTATGGTAGGAAAGAAAGAAGGAAGGAAAGCAATCGCAAGAACAAAGGGTATTATTTTGGTATTGTACAAGAACAGAAGCAGAAAGGACTATACGAAAGCTGGATTCAGGAGCTATGCCGGCGACAGGTCAAGAGCTGGGAGGAGAGAAGGCCGCGTGGGGAAGTAGCTTCAGATTAGGCTGGCTCGTTTGTGGTTTGGACTGGCCAACATGCTAACACGCCTAAATCCTGGTTAAAAGCCGGGCGATACGAACAATCAGCCAGGTCTAAGTCTAAATAGTAAGTATACCAAGTATTCAAATGTGTACTCAGTGTAGAACATCATGGCATATAATAGGTATTTAGGTAGTAAGATTATATCTAAATATATAAAGATTGTCGCCGTGTATTATACTTCTTGATCTTGTGGAATGGTATCTCAAGGGCGCAATGGTATCACAATCGAATGCGCCATATTCGAATTCTGTAAACCCTGCGGCTCTGGATAAATGGACAAGCATAGACTCCATGGTTATAGGTATTTTATATTCGTACACGGTGCGACCTGAAGATAAGGTTTCTCTATGCAAGTAATCCGGCAGCGAGGGCTTCTAGGTCGTCCAAAGTCTCCGGCTCTTCTTGCATCTCGACAACTTTACCCTTTCTCTTGGCCTTCTTCTTCTTCTTTCGCTCTTCTTCAGAATCGTCTTCAAACCATTTCTTCTGTTTCTTCGCTGGCCTATCCTCTTCTTGGACAAGTTCTGGTGCTTCATCGTCGTCACTCTCTTCCCTCCTGGCATCGAAATCTTCATACGGTATAAGTGGCAACCCGCCAGTGAACCCTTCTTCTTCTTCATCGCCATCCTCTTGCATCCTCGCCTTCTGCTTCTCTTTTTTCGCCCTCCTTTTCTCCTTCGCCACGTTCTTATCTTCTTCATCAGCAGCGCTGACCTTCTTCTTTTCTTCTGCCAAGAATTTGCCTCTCTGTTCCTCTGCATCGCCAGCTTTCTTGAACTCCTCTTCATCCTCAAATTCATAGATTGCATGTGCTTCACCTTCTTCGTCGAATACCAATTTGGTACCTTTGCCTTTATATTTGAGCAAAGCCTTCTTCGAGGTTGCCAGTTTCTCTCGTCGTTTCGAGTCCACCAGTAATGGATCTTTGCCGTGTACTTGAATGAACTTTTGGCCGTTGTTCGGACCTTTGTTGTCTTCGGTATCGGAGCCATAGCCGTGACCTTTAACTGCAAGGAAGTCCTCATCCCTCTCTTCTTCTTCTTCCTCTTCTCCATGTCGCACCATGCCGGTGTAATGCGATGTGAAGATATTTTGATTTTCTGTAAATGGTTAGTACGTTCACCAGGACCAGATGCACCGTTAGTGGAGGAAAACTTACGTCTTTCGAACATTCTATCATATTTCGTCCGCACCTCCTTCTTCTTCTCCTTCTTAGTATCTTCCTCACCGCTTTCTGCATCGTCGCTGCTGTCCTCGTCTTTCAACAGTGCCCTTGGTGCGTTCTTTCTCTGCTTTGTATCCTCTCCTTTTAGGAACTTTATCCTAGGGGCACCCGGAAGGCCCAAACTAGTCGCGAATTCTTGAAGCGGTAGCTTTTCTAAGTCGAAGATATCCTTATCTTTTTGCACATACACGCTTCTTGCATAGCTTGTAAATGCCTTTTGCCCGAGGTACTTGATCTCCGGGTCTTTAAAACAAATCCCCTGAAGTTGATTCTGCACACTCTGCTTTTTGTTCTGCTTGACGTTGATTTTCTCGATTGGCACTTTTTTTGTCTTAAGCCTTTCCAGCATACCTTTCTCTTCCGTCGGACATAGAAACAATACTCCTCTACCATCTCTCTCGTACCTTGCTGTTCTGCCCACACGATGAATATAGGTGTCTGCATCTTCAGGACAGTCCGCTTGAATAACCCAATCCACTGCCGGAAAATCTAAACCTCTAGCCACTACGTCTGTGGCAAACAAACACGCATTTTTCGAACTCGAGAATTTGGCGGAAACCTCCAATCTTGCTGTCTGTTTCTGTTTCCCCGTCAAATGTAACAGCGGAATACCGGGCTGCATCTGTCTGAAGGTCTCATAGACAAATCTGACCTGTTTTGTCGACGAAAAGAACACCAGTATTTTCGACTTGACGTTGGCTCTTATGAAACTCCACAGAATATCCAGTTTTTCCGGTAACGGGGTGACAATGTAATGTTGCTGTAGTTTTCCTGGTGTAGCCGCACTTGCGGCCTCGTGAACAGCTACGTACTCCGGGTCCTTCAAACTCAACCTAGCCAAATCGTTCACATTCTTTGTTTGAGTCGCACTAAACAATAGTGTCTGTCGGCTCTTTGGAATACCTTGAACAATTGCATCGATTGAATCTTTAAATCCCATATCCAGTATTCTATCTGCCTCATCCAGTACAAGGATCTGTAGATTATAAGTATCGAGATCGGGATTCTGTTCTAGATGTTGTTTCATACGGCCGGGCGTGCAAACGAGGATATTCATCCGACCGAGCCTCTCTCTTTCATCTTGGAGGTTTTTACCACCGATTACGAGGCCGGCGGAAAAAGAGTGACGCTGGCCGATCTTACGGAGGACTTCGAATATTTGAATTGCAAGTTCGCGGGTCGGCGAAATTATGAGAGCGCCTAAGCCGTCGTCGGGTGTCCATTTCGCACGATGAAGTTTTTCGAGTACCTAACAGTGACCAGAGAGAAGGATTGTGAGTGAAGATTTCCAAAAATAGATAACCGGCGAGTGAAATGGCATACGGGTATTAGGAATGCCAAAGTCTTTCCACTACCAGTTTTGGCAGCACCGAGTATATCTTTGCCTTTCAGTGCGAGGGGTATTGCTTTTCGCTGAATGTCGGTGGGGACTTTGAAATGCGACTTGTCGAGGCCACTGGCGGTCTGTCTAGACAATGGAAGATCGGTGAATTTCGTAAGATTAGAGGGATCCTATACATAGTCCATACTTGTTAGAGCAGTTCTAAAGCTATATCATGACGTCTAGAAAGAGGTAGACGACATACGAACTCTTGCGCCGCCTTTTCGAGGTTTTCGAGTTCTTCCTCTTCACGCTTTCGCTTTAGAGATTTCGATTCTTTGCGGCGAGGTTTTAGCTGCGGCAATGAGCCGGGTAATTTGGCACCTTTGGCCATTGTAAAAGTATCTGGTTGTGTTCTGCCAACTCTGTCGACCGTCGCTCTTGTGGTTGGTGAAAAGCAGTGAGGTTTTGAAGATTTGAAGATTTGAATCGGTCGCGAAAAATTTCAGCAGGGATCATTTGCTCGTTCTGCAGCTGGCTGGTATTTTTGGGCCGAGACGAGTTGTGCAGATGAGCTGCCGCCACTACCCACCGACAACAGAACCACACAAACTCACACACACATACAAACAAGGCGCGGTTCTATCAGCTTGCGATTCAACATATACGGTTTCGGCTCCACGTCTACGCAACGATACAAAAATCGATCGGGATACCATAAATAAACGTGGAGATGTCGGCTGCCGCTGAGAAGAAAAAAGAGGAACCGACTAAGGTGGAGGAACCGGAAGGAGAGGTTGAGATTGATAAGGAGTCATTGAGTGCGATCGAGCGGGAGGAGCTTGAGTTCCGCAAGGTACTATCTCTGCGACTTTCTGTGGCTTCAGAATATACATGAAGCTAGCTTATGGCTAATTGTTTATTATAGGACACGGAGATTCAAAGTATGTTTATGCAATCCTACAGACAAGATTCAAGTCTGGGCCCGAGTCAGATTCCATGTCATCGATACTAATCAGTGGATTCCAGGGATCTTAAATGCCTTCAAACTCGACGCGTAAGTTTTACTACTAGCTGTTAATGTTTGGTTGCGAATCGGCTTGTTAACTATGTCAATTGTTTTCTAGATATGCTGTCCTGGACCTCCAGCCGGGTGTTCCTGAGTCTGACATCAAGATGCAATACCGAAAAAAGTCGCTACTGATCCACCCTGACAAGACCAAAAATCCACAAGCGCCAGACGCTTTTGACCGTCTTAAGAAAGCGCAGAACGAATTGATGGAGGAAAAGACCCGGGTTAGGCTCGACGAAGCTATTGCCGACGCTAGGATGCTATTGATCAGAGAGCGAAAGTGGACTGTGGATCACCCCGACCTACAATCCGAGGCCTTTAAGAAGGACTGGAGAGAGAAAACAAAGGAGGTCCTTATCGATAATGAACTAAGGAAACGAAAGCAGATGAAGGCACAGATGGCTGAGGAGGGTCGAGAACAGCGGAAGGCCGACGCAGAGATCGAGGCGAGGAAGCGGAAGCGGGAGAACGAGCAGGCATGGGAAGATACCAGAGACCAGAGAATTAGCTCATGGCGAGATTTCCAGAAGGGCAAACAACCTGCGAAAAAGAAGAAGATGAAACCGATTGGTTAGAATACCAGGTTTTTTTTGGTCTTAACCCCGTACGAATGGCGATGGCAGATGTGTTTTGAGACGGTGGTGGTGTGGTGACTTGGTGCTATTTGATCTAGAGGTTGCTTTTTATATATATATGGTTGCAAAGGGCGTTCTGGGGTTTGAACGGGCGCATTGGTGCGATGTCGATAATCCGAACTGAAGATTACAATACTTCTCTCCTTCTCCTTCTCCTTATTTTGGCCCTGAAATTATATAATCTCCTGTGCAATTGTGATCGTGAAAGGACTGGAAGGCCTGCAATCTCGTTTGAGATAACTCTGCTAATTAGCGTCGCGCGACTTCTTCGAATTCATTCATGTTTGTCGCGCCACCAACAGACACCCTTTTCTTACGTACCAGATCGCAGCTCGGAATTTGAAGCCTAGAACTTTGACTGTTATCGAATGCCCGCGTGGAAGTCATGCTCTCGAAGTCATGATACCTTTCCGACTCCATAATATCATATCGATACCACCATAAGATGTCAACCTCTCGCCTTCTATCTCACAACAACCGCTCGAGCGAGGACCTGGCACCCGATGAGCTTCCCCACAACGAAGCACCCCCAGCTGAAAACATCGAACTTCAGATATTCCGTCGAAATACTCTGGGCACCGAGCCTTTAGACCATGTTCTTGTCACCGACGATGAATCCGATGACTCCGATCTGGACGAGACGTATCTCTTGTATACAACGGAAGAGACGAACCGTGTTATCAGGAGATTCGATCGTTATCTAGTACCTTTCCTGGCGTTGTTGTACATGTTGAGCTTTTTAGATCGGTCTAGTGAGTGTTTCTATACCGAGTTTTGGGGGGAGAACTGTGGAATGTTCAGTTTTATTGGCTAACAATTAAGCTCATTGGAATAGACATTGGAAACGTGAGTCTGACGTCGTCGAATTAAGTTCCAGGAACGCACGCAAATTAACATGGTTTGCTATGTTAGGCACGTATAGCGGGGATGGAAGCAGATCTGGAGATGTCGCATGGGCAGTATGAATGGCTGCTCACAGCGTTCTATATTACTTACATCGTGAGCCCGCGCGAATTCTTTAAACCCTAATAAACCTTGAATCTATGCTAATTCGTCTTTTAAAAAAAACGGTAGCTTTTCGAATGGATGGCGCTACTATGGAAAGTCTTTCCTGCACACGCTTATGTAGCCGTTTGTGTCGCAGGGTAAGCTCCTCCCATATATTTATCGCCTTAGTGCGGGACCGAAAGCTGATCGATGAACTACTCAAGCTAAAGTTGGGGACTTGTAGCTTCACTTCGTAAGTCAACCTAGAAGCCATTTTCATATCCATTTTTCCGACTACTACTTGGCCTAGTCGTAGCTAACAGATAACTTCGAAATGTAGAGGGCATCGTCCCAAATTATTCTAGTCTGCTGCTTGCCCGTGCTGCGCTGGGTATCGCCGAAGCAGCATTCGGCCCGGGTGTACCATTTTATCTTTCTTTCTTCTACAAGCGTGAAGAACTCGCCTTTCGTACTGGCCTTTTCATCTCGGCTGCGCCATTATCTACCGCCTATGCTGGTAGCCTCGCATATCTCTTAACATCGCTCAGCACTGGACTGGCGCCGTGGCGGGCATTGTTCATTATTGAAGGATGGCCCAGTCTGATCGCCGCAGTGGTGGCGTGGTGGTACATACCTGATGGCCCCGGTGATGCCTGGTTTTTGAAAAACGAAGAAGAAAGGCAGATTGCGGTTATTAGACTGCAAGGTCACAGCAGGCGACAGAGACGGATGAGTTTCTTCAAAGCCGTCACGTCGAAAAATGTCAATAGTGGTAGATTTGACTGGCGAGAAGTCATGATAGCTCTAGGGGAGCTGCAGAATTGGTTAACAGCTGTAAGTTTATGTATCATATACGGGTTATTTCCCTTTAAACTAACACCACTTTAATCCTGGCAAGCTCATGTTTTTCTCCTGCAATGTCGCCTTCTCTTCACTCCCGGTTTTTCTTCCCACAATCATCAATGAAATGGGCAACACCGCCCTCGCCTCCCAAGCTCTCTCAGCTCCGCCATATGTGGTCGCATTCATCACCGTTATTCTAGTTTCCTACTTCTCAGACCGGTTACACTCTCGAAGCATATTCGTCATAAACTGCGCCTTGGCTGGAGCCTTTGGGTATGGCATCTTAGCGTTCGCTCCACAGTTAGGATTGTCAGATTGGAAATGGCGATACGCGGCGGTATATTTCGCAGCATCGGGTATCTTTTCCGCGATTGCTATTATTATCCCCTGGACTATTGGAAACTCTGAGAGTGCCGAGGGAAGGGGTACCGGTGTCGCTATCCTGAACTTAGTAGGGCAATGCGGACCTCTATTAGGAACAAGGTTATACCCGGCTCGAGATGGGCCATACTATACAATGGGGATGACAATATGTGGAGCTTTCATGTTAGCTGTTGCTGGGTTAGCATTTTGGTTGAGGGTTATGTTGGCGAAGGAGAATAGAAAAAGGGATGAGGATTATTTGAGGAGGGCGAGAGGCCAGGCGGAGGCTGGAACTTATGTTCCAGGTGAGGGTAAGGGTTTTAGGTTTATGTTATAGGTTGTTGTTTGGGGTTTATTTTTTTGAGGGTTTGATCTTGAGGCGATTGTATCAAGTGCTACAGTGCATCGCCTAGTAGTTATATGCATATTATAACTTGTTAGGGAAGGGGTTAAACGTTTTTTATTTGCCATTAGTTTATTTCTTCATATGTTAGCGATAGTGCCTGTATTATTAATTAAGCGGCCAGCTAATCATCCTGATTATTTGTCTGATTCAGTACATAGTATTTGAGTATTTGGTGTGTGTGGTAGTTTAGATGATTCGCCTCACGGTACTATTTGAATTCCATATCTATGTCTTTCTCGTTATTTCATCCATTACCCAAGCTGTATACCCGTAGTTGATCAACTATAGATCTATAGTTGCAATTATATTAATTAGGTACCTAAGTGGTTGAGCAGATGTATTCTACTTTATACATTCTGAGATATTTTGTATGGCGTCCCAAATACGTCAGATGTTTACTTAAGTATATATCTGGATACGAGACTAAGTATATACTAAATATATATTGAACGAAAAAGTAGACCCCCTAATTACGTTTGAAAACCAATTTACCTGCTTTAAGCTATACCAAGTGCTTACACGTGTTACAACCTAGCCTATCATTAGCTGGATTATAAGTTGGTTTGCAAACAAATAAATTGGCTGCCCACCAGCCTATCTACTAACCTATTTACTAGATTAAAGATATGCGAACTGGCTTCCTAGTTAACTTACTGGCTAACTTACTAGCTGATCTACTAATTGGATTATATTATAAGCTGGTTCGCAGGTAGATAAACTAACTACCCACAAACCACCCTAGCCAACCTATAAACCACCAACCTGTGAATAAGCTTGTAAACCGCCAGCCTATAAACCAGTTTGAAAGTATACACGCTACCCTAAAAATAACAGCTTATAAACCAGTCCCTAGAATATATAGGTAATTGATTTTGCCCCAAATAAAGTAAGTAAATAGTTACTCAATGTAATAATATTAACAGGCCCACTTTTCTACCCGACATATATATAAAAACATCTGATACATTTGGGACGCCATAATTTTGGAACACCCTAAATCATAGACACCACAACAGAATTGAAACAGATATATATATGTGAATATGCTTTTGATAAGCTAGCTTCTAGCCATAGATTAAATGGCCACATGGTATACCGTTACTATTGATCATTTAAACGATCAAGTATGTTGGTGCCATATATATATTCAAGTGTCTTGTAACGAGCTGTGAGCTACAACGCGGAAAGCTTCAAACAATTGTGGTATTCTTGTTCATCAAAATTATCATTTACCCTTGCCATTCAAATGTTCTTGTAAAGAACATGATAACTTAGGGCTTTGCCAGGTTATGTAGCTACTTGGTGAATTTAAATCAACTTATATACTACTAGGTATTCATTGATCGTCAACGAGTGTAAAGTGATGTATGGCCGGCCTGTAATGCAGCTGCATAGCTCTAGCGCTAGCGCTCTGGAGCCATATGCAAAGTTTTTGTCTGAATTGCCTTCTGTTTGAAACCCTGTCAACTGGGAAAAAAAAAACTCTTTCAACCATTGATCCTAGCGAAATTTGAAGAACTCCTTCCGATATCGTGAAGGCTAAAAATTATATACCTCAAGGGCAAAACCAAAGAAAAAAATTTGTAGTAATCTAATAGATACAAAAGCAAAAGAAGAAAGCCAAAGGCTTTGGAGACACAGGGAATTGAACCCGGGACCTCATCCAGACTGTAGGATTTTATCCCACGCTAAGGAAGCGCTCTACCAACTGAGCTATATCCCCATCTTGTTATCTCCGACTCAGAAAATTATGATTATGAACGTCTGAGGAAGCTAGGCACTCAGTAAGTCCCACATCCCGTTATAATATCTAGTGTCTAGTATAGTGGTATGTGTATGTTTGTTCTTAGATCTTATTCGGTTGTTATTTATTTAATAATAAATTGCTTAAGCATATTGGAAGATGTCCATGCAAGCTGAATGAGCCAGAGATGAGGACAGGCATATTATAATTAGTTCAGACATGCACCAAGCCTTTAATATAGCTGTCTGTATACAGGTGGTGATTCGTTTGCAATGTACCAGTGTCAGTATCATTAGTTTTGAGGATTATCTTAAGTATCAAAACTTTGTATATATTCTTGTTAAAGGACCGATATTGTATTATATTAACAGATGGAAAGTGATCTTGATGATGAAAAAATTAGACCTAGCCACGATCCGCCACAAAGATGTCCATATACTGCGAAAATCGCTAAGCTGACACGTATTAGAGAAATTAAATAATATAGACTAGAAATTATACATAGGACAGAGACTCCATCGTAAGATCGGAAATGCGTGACCACCGAAAGGGAAGACGTCTACAGCTTCCAAGCAATATCGGGTCGAGAAAAATTACAAAAAAAATGCAGTCTTCGACAATAAAATGACTGCGAAGTAGGGTATCCCTTCGATAAAACTATACGAAGATGCTTTAAGTGGTGAGGGCAAAGACTTCGACGAAGCCATCACCTCCGCATTTCTCATCGGTCTTGCCGACGCAAGCTGTGGTACATTTATCAGTGCCGTCTTGGATTGGTGCACTGATAAACTGGTCACCGCAAAAACATTCCCTAATTAAGAGGCTGATGTTAGATTCTATCTGAAAATATCGAAAATTGAGAGTTGTTAAAAACTTACTTTCCATTCTTAAGACCAGCAAAGGTGAACTGCTGACTAAAGCAGGTGTCCTGGCAGATCTTCTGGGTCATCTTAGGGTGGGTGAAGACGCCCTCGGAGATGAGGTCATTCTGAGTGGTATCGTCGTAACAACCAATGCTTCGGCCGATGGTCTTTGACTGGACATAAATCTCAAAGATACCAGTACCGCCGCAGAACTCATCATTATCGGCGTCACAGGGGGTATCGCATTGACCCTCATCCAGAACCTCCAACCAAGGGTTTTCGATGCTGTTACCGCAAACACAGGTGCTGTTCACAATTTTATACCATTAGTATCATGTAGACTTTGAGGAAGACTATATGTGGGCTGAGACTTACTCTCCGCCGGTAAGACCAGCCAAAAGGAAGTTATCTGTCGAGCTCGAGAAGCAGTGTTCTTGGCAGGACTTTGGTGTCACACCGGTGTTCAAGGGCTTCTCAGTGAGCAGAGGGCCATTATCAGGATTAACCTTGTAACAACCGGCATATCTTGGACCAACTACGCCAGTAGAGCTCGGCACCTCGGTTAGGGTGGTTGTCGTGACCGATACGGAAGTCGATACGGAAGTCGATACGGAAGTCGATACGGAAGTCGATACAGCGGTTGTTGTTGCAGTCAACGTCGTGGTCTTCGTCACAACTGGCTTGATGATAGTACTAGTGATGGTCTTGGTGTTTGTTCTCGTGTTCCATCTCGTATTCCACTTTGTACTCCATCTCGTATTCCACTTTGTATTCCACTTTGTCGTCGTCTTAGACCATCTCGTAGCAGTCTTGGTTTTGGTGATGGTTCGTGTCTTAGACCATTTTGTGCATGTAGTGGTCTTGGTCACATATTTAGTGGACCACTTGGTGGCGTACTTAGTCGACCACTTTGTAACAGTGGCAGGCGCTCCATCTAATAAATGTAATATCAGTATTTATCCTGTGGTAGTATGTAATATTGGTACCATAGTCGATAACTTACAGTAATTACGCTTCTCAATATCCTCTGGGACAGCAGAGGCGAAGACACTGGTAACTGCCGCGAAGGCCCAAAGAAGAGACTTCAATTGCATCTTGATTTATTATATATTAATGCAATACCCGGAAATAAGTTCCAATGAATCGTAGTATCGACCTTTCTGAAGCGAGTGATGCTGATGGTCACGACGAAAAGTTAAGTAACATATTCATGGAGGGACCGCAGTATTTATATATAAGGTAATATGATAGGGGATCTTTTCATGTTCAGAAAGGTTGATATGCCACCGCTTTGACATCGGCACCTGTATTCCCGCCTAAACGGCATCATTGTGATCTGATCATGATGCTAGCTAGAAAGATTTGAGATTAGAATGGTGTTTCTCGCCGCGAGGGTATGGAAATTATTTCAACACGGCCGGCCAGACTCATGCTGGCATTGAGAAGCGGCGCCTTGGAAGATTCTAACTTGTGCGCACTAATGCCGCCTCTCATCACGGCCTGCAAAGGGGTGGAGAAAAGTACTCGGGTCCGGCCAATTGGGACGGATCCAGCGCGGAGCCTTCTTCTACAGATTAAATTGAAAGTTTCAAGCTCTGGGAATTCGGCATCGCTGCATTGCAATTAACCACACAAAAGTCTTTCAGCCTAGTTGGTCCCTATGAATAGACAGGTCTCGAAACCGGTTAACTTCGATAGATCTATGGGTATAGAAAAGGTGAGCTCGAGGGCGAAACATACGAATGTCTTGCACTTATCGATAGCCGGGCCCCAACGCTCGAGATAGTCTCATATCATCATCAATGGCAAAACATGAAAGTTTTTCCTTCCTGGGAGGCTATCATGAGAGAGAGAGTTTTTGATAAACTTCCGTCGTGAAACGGCGACTATTGGTCCTTTTCGCCCTCGGATTTCTTTCTTTTCGCGCGTGTTGAATGTTGCATTACACAGTAGTTGGACCTGCCAAGGGACTTCCTCTAATCTAGATCATAATGTCGGGCAATTCGAACTAGGACACGGTTCGCCCCGCAAATAAAGAATTAATCCTTTTGGTCCGGAAAACCGCGGCGGGGGCAGGGGCAATTACCTCCACTCTGCGCAGTTTACTAGCAGCGCTGTGTCGATGAAATTTGCACCTGCAGAAAGTCTGCCCTGGCTCGTGAATAGACACTTTGGTATCGGATCGCAGCTGCAGGAATTTGGGCTCTTTAGTTCGCAGGCTATACCTTGTGTGGCTCTAGGTTTAGCACAGCCAGCCTCTGAAATTAAGAAAGGTCCCTTATAATTCCACCGCAGCGCGGAAGATACGCGAAGAATTGCTCGAACAGGCATCGTGAACGAGGTTTAGCGCGCCTATGGCTTTTTCACAGTGGGTACTGCTTGTCTACGATGTGTAAGACAATTACATCGATTGCACACAGTTCATAAAATAAAAATCATCGATGTCAGGATCTTATCCGGTTCCATGAATGTCAGGCGTTCTGCAATGTCGAAGTCGCCATTGAGCCTTTTTATAATTTTAAAACAGTTCTGAAATTGAGACGTATAGGCGTTAACATTTGGCATGCATTGTTACATTACAATATACCGAAGTGCTTCTGCAGCTGCAATATTGACATCGAGTTTGACAATCGATAAGTCCATGCACTGGTGCCGTATCCGTAGTCCTGCTGCAATGAAGGCTGAGATATTAAATCCGCCATAACATCATGGCGTTTTCTCAGAGTTTTGTACTTTGAGGGTTAAGTATTATATGGGTATGGTTCACCACGGCCCACCAAGAGGGCTCCTAAGACTTGCCACTTTCCTCAGCGCGCATACAGGCCGTCTCAATACATCATGTTATCACACCATAATCGTCTGTGAAAAAAAAAAGAAGCCAGACTCCGAGTAATCAGGATAGCCACAGTTATATGCAGCTGTAAAAACAGCGTTTACACATATTGCTTTATTTCGGTACCCACGCACATACGTCCAAACGTTTTGCTGTCAAGGAATATCGAATCAACTGGCGGAATATTTCAATACCCTTGCGCATGTTAAGTCAACATCTCAGGGTGTCTGGACTACTATTGATAGGGTTTAGGATCAAGCGTGAGTTGTTCTATCAGCCCCGAATACACTTTTTATATGATCATGTGCTACCTATATGATAAATCCAACTTATAGAACCCCTTGATGATCGATGTGGAGAAAAATTAAGAAATTTTTGATATGGCATATGGTACTATTAACTTCTTGTGCGGCCAGATAGCTGGGCCATGGGAAAGCCCTGGCCTCCTCGATATTGCGGCAATATTGATAGATCATAGGCAGCGTACCGCCAAGATATCTTCGGGATTCTTGTGATAGATCGCGGCAACGGAGAGATCTGGAAAACTATCATGATGAAAAATCCCGAAATAGAATGACCACTCGATGGAATCGAATCTAGACGTAAATCAATAATGTCAAGGTAGGACTTTTCTTGGTCCGCGCTGGTAACCGTTAGCCCTCCAGTCCTATGCTTGATATATTGGTATATTGATTTATCTACGTACCTACTCATGTTGGACCATATACTCTGTAGTATAGTGAACATTAAGGCGTATTGTCATGTGCACGTGCATATGCTGGGATTCGCTGCCTATGCCTATAGGAGCTAGGCGTATTAACTAAGTATATAAGTGTAAGTTAAGCTGACAAAGTTGGTTCAATGCAATGTGTGGTCTGGGAGACGCTCATGCAATGTGGATTGCTAGTACAAACTGCCCCAGATCGGCCTTAGCAGTTTAGTCTTGGATCTCGTCGAAGGCAAAGGAATGGGAAGCTGTCACGCTCTTAAGATCTTAAGAGTCAAGTTGCTTGTTGTAGTTGCTAGTTAATTACGTTAAGTACTTAGTTGACCAAATGTGTTGAATTTGCTCAAGGAAGTCTGGCTACGAGATCTCGCGAGACTCGATGGCAAAAAATAACACACGAATCAACACACAACTGCCTTGGATAAGATATATTTGAATTAAGTTGATCCATGGAACTGGAAGAGGAATATGATAAAAACGGTATTCCTTCGTAAGTCGGTAAACCGGGCCGAGGCCAAACAAAGTGATACCTCGTTTTATAATGTCTAGGAACGAAACTAGGCTGAGATTATTTCTGAGATTTCTTGCTCGATCAATGTGGTCTATAGGCGAGGACCCATTAATCTAAACTAGCGGTTTTTTTTTCTTAAAAAAAAACTAAGTTTTAGTTCCATGTGGCCCCACATATACAGATGTTGACATAGACTTTTAGGCCAGCTGTGCTCGATCTTCGTAGCTAATATATATGAGAATACTAAAGCAAAACAAGCGCATGGTTATTCAAACATAATGTCTATGTATATTATGTATTTTAGTTAGATCAGAAGCAACCTTATGTCTTTGAAGGAGGTTTCGGGTGCAGGTATCCGGATTTTGCGTCGTATACACTAAAGAGATAATTAAGGCATTTTCTTTTATCCAATAAAATGTTTTTCGTGTGACTAGCTAGGTAGTTATCAGGTATATATCGTGGTACAATTGCCTAGTTAGCCAAAGAGACCTGCAGATTATTGGGTTGCAATTTATGTATTCCTTCAATTTTGTTCAAAATGATAATAAATACTGGTAAATATAATAAACTACTATTTACGATGTAGTGTAATAGGTAAAGGCACGTGGTTATTGGGCTGACAGTTTCCTTGGATGATATATTCCATCTTTGCGTTTCTAAAATACATTGCGTGGGTTTCTTCTCGTTTGCATGATCGGCGTAGCCCGTGGTCTCGCGTGCCGCGGGTAATACCGGCCAGGGGCCGCGTGTTATACTTTTTTTATATATACGTGGAATAGTCCTCGTATAGGCATGGGAAGGTTAAAGCAATGAATCGGCTAAGCATTGGTCGGCCGTCGGTTAGATTTTCTGTGATTTGATAGAGCCGAGTATCTGGCCCAAGATATATCGATAGATCTATCTATCAGGTTCGTTTTCGATATGGCGAAAGCTTGGGCGGTGCACGGTGGGCATATGTACGTTTCAACTTGACACCCTGAATTCGCAGCGCTTTACGTCATGGTGGAGCGATGCAATGCACAGGGTCGTCAACTTGGCAGCTGACACAGGCCGTCGAAGTTTGAAGCCCTCTTCGAAGCACACCTTTTTGTTCCATGACCCTGGCTAACTGTAAAGCGAAAGGTTGCAATGACAAGCTTTTTTAAATTCCTGGAATAGAAACCGCCAAGGATAGCTAGGGAAAAAGTCCCCTAGTTCTGTAACCTTCTTGCTTGTTTCGTATTTCCGCGCATGTAGGCACATGCACTTTAGAGCAAGATCTCCACGTCTGCGTCGGGTACATTACCTCGACTTGTGTTCTCGGGCCAAATACATTAACATATCTTCCCCCCTTAAGAGCGAAGGAAGTGTCGAGTGGGAGCGGCAGCGACAACGATGCGTTCTTTTGTATTTCTCGGATGCCTCTTGTTAAAAGCCAGTTTCAACTTGAATCTGTGTGTGAGGGCGGGTCCTCAGCTAATCTTAACCACCCTCGTTTGATGTTCAATGCAACAGTAACAGAATAAGCAATTCGGGAACGAAGGAAAAGGCAGCCTCTGGGCTAGACGTCGACATTTCGGCCGTAATCTCGACCTTTTTCTCTCTTCCTTCTCTTCCTCCCCTATTTCCCGTTCACATGATATTTTCAACTCGACCGTAGTTTCAGGATTGAGAAACAAAAGGTTGGTGACGTCTCGGGTGGCCGAATTTGTTAGGTGGTCTTAAATTACGACGACAGCTTCAACACAGAACCCCTTCGACCGCCGAATACAACACGCTCGTTACCTCGCACCCTCCATCACACCATCAGCCATCAACGGCTTCATCATCCACGACAGACGTTATCCTGAAATCCTGCTGGGGGCTTGACTCTCTTGAGAAACTCTGGTGGGGTTTTCCGCATAGCCTTTAGCTGGGCTCCTCTTGGGGATTGGAGGGTTGATACGCTCTTCTGGTTCCTCGGCACCTTCGGCAGCTCTCCCCAGGGCTGCATTGCCCTTCGGTTCACAATGTCGTTACCTACCAGTCGGCATTCGCACACCCAATACTCGAATGGCTATTCGAATGGATATTCAGGTGGATATAAGAATGGTCATGCGAGCTACTACAAGGATGAATCATGGGCAATGTCTCCTCAAGAGTACGGACCTTCGCCTCCACTGTTCGCTTCCTCGGAATCGTGGCCTAAGATCCCTGCTAATTTCTTTAATTTTGGGTGCAATATAGTTCTAAGTATCATCCTAAATTTCGAAAGTCAGCATACGCCCGAAGACGTTTATTCTTGAAACTTGGCTTTGTATTCTTGGTTGTCTTCGGATTCTCCTTATTGGTATCGCCGTCTCTAAGGTTCACTGTCTTCTCCGCCATCGGATTGGGGTATTCGCTGTACAAGGACATCCCTGGGGTTGAATACCATGATCTTTCGCTATACAAAGGCAGTGCCACTGGTTGGCAAAGAGGAGAAAGAATATTGTTCCTTTCGCCTCTTCGTGACGCCGAGGCCCACTTGCCCATGTTCTTCAGCCATCTCCGGAATCTTACATACCCTCATCATCTCATCGACCTTGCATTCCTGGTTTCCGATTCGAAGGATAATACTATGAACCTCCTAACTGACCTATTGAAGAAGCAACAAAGTGACGCCGACCATAACCAATGGTTTGGCGAGATCACAGTCATTGAAAAGGACTTTGGGGCTGCCATCGGGCAGGACTTCAGTAATAGACATGGATTTGCCGCACAAGGGCCTCGACGAAAGTTGATGGCACGTGCTAGGAACTGGTTGCTGAATGCTACTTTGAAGCCACATCATAGTTGGGTATATTGGAGGGATGCAGATGTTGAGACCGCCCCGACGTCTATCTTGGAGGATTTGATGAGACATAACAAGGATGTAATCGTCCCTAGTAAGTCACTATTCGTATTTCGATATAGTAAGATGGATATTAACATTAGAAACCTTTAAGATGTCTGGCGACCTCTCCCCGACTGGCTTGGGAATGAACAACCTTATGACTTGAACTCCTGGCAAGAATCAGAAACTGGTTTAGAACTTGCTGCCAAGCTTGGTGAGGATGATGTTATTGTTGAAGGTTACGCAGAATATGCTACCTGGAGACCTCACTTGGCGTATCTGAGAGATCCTCGGGGCGATCCGGACGTGGAGATGGAACTCGATGGTGTCGGCGGTGTCAGTATCCTAGCTAAGGCATCGGTATTCCGAGCTGGTGCACATTTCCCCGCATTCAGCTTTGAGAAACATGCCGAGACCGAAGGATTTGGAAAGGTATGTATAAGAAACCACAAAATCTCGTGGGGGGCTATTGGTTGCTGATTGTTTGGTAGATGTGCCGCCGTATGAAATTTACCGTTATTGGATTACCTCACTACACCATTTGGCATCTTTATGAACCATCATCGGACGACCTTAAGCACATGAAGGAGATGGAGGAGCAGAGAATAGCTCACGAGAAAGAAGAGAAGGAGAAGGCAGAACAAAAGACTCGACTAGAAGAGGGATGGGATATCAAGAAAGATAAAGACACCTGGGATAAGGACCAGAAAGAAATTATCGACGCAGCCCTCAAAGCAAAGGAGGTCGAGAAGGGTGCCATGGCTTCCAAAGGCACTGGAAAAGATTCGGGGAAGACACCAGACCAAGATTTAAGAGGTAGCCGGGAAGGCCCGATTGCACATGTTGATGAACCTGGAGTTGGGGTTCTTACAACTGAGGATGAAGAGAAGAAAGGCCAAATTGTGGTAAGTACGATCTGATACCAAGGCTACTTATGCCCTAAACTCTAACAAAATCTATGCAGGGTCACGAAAATGGTCGAGTAAAACAGAATAAGCTACCGGTTGAGCCAACAAAGCAAGAGTCTCAATTCGCATAAGCACGATTCGAACAACTCCGGCCTTATAGGTTACGGTTTCTTTATATGATAATTTCGGTGGGTATAAGTCTGAACGTAAGAGCGGCATCAATATCAAACCTCGGGCATTGTGCCCAAGAAACAGTCCCTTCTTGATTGTACAAATATTATTAGTATTATTTTATTCTATAGATTTAACGGTGAACATAGGCGTCGTCTGTTTTTCTGTATTGTACCCCTCCTTCCTTATTGTTTTTGCCCGTTTCCGTTTTCTCCTCTGAACAAAAGTGGCATTTTGCGTCAACTCTAGCTCTTATAGTATTATACTTCCTTTTCGTTCAAGGCTAGCTCCTCGTTATTGCGTGGGCTGTCTGATAATATTGGTTTTTCTTCTTTCGTTACTCCCTTAACCTAGCCACTCGGTATCACGCATCTTTACCTAGTATGAACTCTTATGACTAACCGCTGGCGCTGATGTTCCTTCTTTTCTGTCCAATGCAACCTGCAAATGCTTTTTTAATATAGGTACTTATTTAGCAATAGCCCAAGCGCTGCGATTTGGTAATTCCAACTCCCATTATAATCTCAACATGATACAATCGATCGCTATTCAGCAAAAAGTAATCCTCCAAACAAGATAGAACCTACATACTAGGGTACCGGTACTAGTTAGCGATCAGCTTGAAGACCTGAACAATACCCATCCCCGGAGCATTGAGGAATTTCTCTAATTTTCCGTCTTATTTGCGCCCTCGGGGTATAGCTCCTTGTATAAATCTGGTAGGAAGCGTTCAAGCCGCTTCCAGGTTTGGTTCCATAACTCCTTCTGCTTTTCGTTTCCGGCTTCTTGTTGTGACGGTGGGAGGAGGAATCCACCACCTGACATGACGAGGAGGACGTTTTTGAGGGATTCGGGGACTGCTTCTTCCTATTCGCGGAAAAGTGATCCCGTTAGTTATCTTACCAAGGGACTCCGTGGAAGGGTTAAACCGAACGAAACTTACTAAGTGATCGCTTTGTCCACTATTCATTAATCGATCCATGATATCCAAGATCCTCAACCACAACCCCAGCATACCGTCCCACTCACTCAACAACACTAAATAGTGTAAGAATATCTTACACAGTAGTGTCGCAGCTTGAACTCTTGTTTCACTCATACCCCTAGGGTCGCTTTGATAAACTTCGGGCTTGAGTAGCATCGTAATAAGTGGGAACATGACATCGCCAAAGATTCCTGTCCATTCTTTATGATCTTTGCTGGCCAGTTCTGGGGAGAGCAGGGCACGCTGTAGACTGCTGAAGGCGTTGTGGCGGATTTCACGACAGGGGTTGATGCATTGGGTGGAGAGTGCTTGAAATATGGGGGACCAATAAGTGGACCAAGCCTCGGTTTGTTCGAGGTGGGATTTTTCAATGAGAGCCGGGACACGGGTGGTAAGGTTGTAAATGCCTAGTGCGGCTTTGGTACCGCGGGTTACAACGTCGGCATCACTACTTTTACGTTAGTCCATGTCACAAAGTGGATCGAAATTCAGAGTGACTTACGGTCTTTCCGTCACCTTTGTGATCTTGCCTTTCTTCATTCGGTCTTGGATTTGCTCGAATTTAGCTCCGATGCTGCCTGCAGTCGCGAAGTCATTCAATACCGTCACGACAGCAACATAGTTGTCTGCGGTGACATTCAAAGGATTTTGAATCGCCACCAAATCAAGAATATCAAAAACTTCGGCCGAAATTTCGGGGTTGGTGGCCAGTAGTCGCAACAAAGACCAGAAATCCGGGGAGCTTATGATTTCTGACTTCAGCGGAGTGGTGGAATCGATGCAACTACGAATACCCTTGACGATTGGCTCCGAACATTTATCAAGCAATTGTTTATCCAGTGTGACAATGGAGTGTAAGATAACCGGCGCTCTGACGAATTCATATTCATACCCAGCTTTGAGCACGGCGAGGAGGTAGTATATGCACCGGGCAACGACAAGAGGGTGTGCCTGCTTTGCGCCGCGGATGATATTTTGGAGGGAGACCGCGACGTCTGGGCCGAATTTTTGGACTGACTCGGGGGTTCGTAGGGCTAAGCAAGTTGCCAGCTCTGTTACGTAGAGGACAGCCGGATCATATATTTGGTCTTTTCTTTCTGGTGTAGGTTGTGCGTTTTGTGGCATGACAGGCAGTTCGTGCTTGATAATGACGACCGGCGAACTTTCCTCTGGGAGTTGTGATAGAAGAGCTTTCATCAGGGCAGCTGTAGAGGCTTCGTCCATATTCCTAACATATCATTGTCAGCATAGGTTTGGGTGTTTGGTGGGTACAAGCAATTCTCTTACACTACATTGGCGAAGATGTCACCTAAATAGCACGAATTTACACAATCAACAGTGCAAAGTGTGCTTTCAAGTTCTTCATCAGACGGCTCCGGGGGATCATCCGCTGCATAGCTTGAAAGATAGCTCGATAGCGTTGAAAACAAGCCTGAGCTATTTGGAGCGTTCCTTCTTTCAATTACATGTGAAGGATTCCTTAAAGGTATTGGCGGAAGATCCAGCGAGTTTTCATCAGGCAAAAAGAACGGAGGTATTAAGGAATTGACAAATAGGTTTAACCATATTCGAACGACCTGATTCCATCCTTCTCTGATTGTGACTTCTTTGCCTGTGATGATTCTGAATAGAACAACAGTGGCCAGTTGAGCTTTGAAATCGCGGCCAAACCTAACCGCCATTTCGCTGACCATAACACTGTTATCGTTAACTTGAACCTCAGTGTTTAGCTTGGTGCTGGGCGGAGATTCAGTGGCAAGTGTGCTTATCAAGCTTAGACATCTGATCACACGGTCCAAGCAGTCGTATAGCTGGTATCTTGATGCTATCTTTGCGATCTGATCGAAGCCCGTAATCACTCTCGTGAACACAGCATCATCGGTAGCAGACATGAATACATATGAAAGGGTTGCGACGATGGGCTTCCATGTTGATGCAAACATTGGCGCGTCGAAAATGTTGGTATCGCAGAGGATAAGATCCCCGGCACTATGAGTTTTCATCAGGAGTTCTTTCCAGGCATAGTCGAATGCATGCTGGTTGTCGTGTTCTTCTGGCAGGATTATCTCATTGGTTCTAATGGTTTCGAAAATTGATTCAAGAAATTCCGGAGCGAAGTCTTTGCCACCGTTGACACCTCTAAGGTTTTTGGTGAAATCCGTTATGGCCATGCGAGTCTATGAATATTGTTAATAACGTTTTATCGAGCCGCAGGGTATTTACATCGCCTATCCTTACCTTGACAGTTGGATTGTGTTGGTCGGTATTCAACATAATGATTGCGTATGTCAATACGAATACTGCATCTTTATTGTCAATGTCTTCAGTCTGTGACAGGTCGTGATACTTTTCTGAGAAAATAGTGACCAATCTCTCGATGAGTGGTGATTCTCCAGGTAATCTGAATGACCCAAGAAGTTCTCTCAATGCTTCGTCCAATCTCTTTCCCTTATAATCGAACAGATCCAGGAAAGCATTGAGTACCGGGCCATTGTCTTTTTTCGTAAGATATTCGCCAAGCTGTTTCTTCGATACTCTTGATGTCCCTTTCAAGAATTTGGCTACCGATAGATGGTCATCCACATCGCTAATTATGCCGTTCTGAACGAGGAATGCGATACCTTTCTTAGGGGAGTCGTTGAATTTCGAGGTCCCGGCGATGACTAGTTGTTTCTTATCTCGCTGTTGCCGTAAGATTTGTGGGTCTGGATAGCCCTCTGATATAGCGACATTGTCTAATCGGTCCGAGATGTACTGCACGTATCCAAGCAAAGCATCCAAACAAAGGGGGGGTACGTTGGTTGTACTCCATGTTGCTGAATCTGGGAACGCGTTCTACCGAAATTCTGTTAGTAAAACCGGGTGGAACCTTCTCCTTTTAAGCGCTTACCCGTGACAAAAATCCAATGACATCCTCACAAAGGTCGGTTCGGTCGATGTCACAGTCGTAATTCACGTAGAGTTCTACCATGAAGCTGGGTATCCTGGCAAGTGCCCCAATGCACTCTACCATTGCCTCTCTTGCATCTGGTCGTCGCGTGCCACCTTCTAACCCTAACCTTTGTCGTTCCCTCGGCGGTGCCGGGCTATTTCTTCCATTTGCAGCCTGGGGCGCGGGTGAGTTAGAAGGTTTTGATAATTTTGGTGCTTGTGGGACACCTTCATATAGGATTGGGTCGATCCCGGCTTCTCGAGGGATCTCAATCTTTGGGTGAAGGCATGCTACCACGTAGGCTAAAAACAACTCTTGTTGGAGTTTCAAGCCGGAGCGGGAGGTTGCTAGAAGTGTGCCCGTCACTCTCAGAGATTCTTGAAGGATTGGCATAGTATCTGAGCGGACCAATTGAAAGAGATATCGGCATAAATTATCCTGAGCTAGGGTCGCTAGGCTTGGATGTTTTGTAATTGCGGATCCAGAAACCTCGAAGGCGACATCGAGGATCCTCATAGCCATCACACGGAGCGTATCTGTGTGCTGTTTATTGTGCGGATCTAGCAATGATACCAATACTCTGAAAAGCTCCCGTATCGAAGGCAACGAATATGGTTTGACCTGGTTATCTGCGTCCTGTGTCGAATCCTCTGGATCTAGCTCTGCAGAGGGTCGGACATTATTCAGTGTTGCAGCTGCCGTTTCGCCATTAACTGAAGGTTCAACCTTGAGATTTTCATTTGGCTCCGTGGATTCCTCAGGTTTTTGACCGGGGATCTCTACTGCGACCTCCAAATGCTTTAACTTTTCGAAAACGACCTGGCACATTGTGACCATGCTCATCTCTGCAGACCGTCGCAAAACTTCTGAAAGCCTCATTTGACAGCATATACTCAACGCCGTTTCCATCATTTCGCATACGCTCTCGTCGCCTAAGACCCCGGAGCCAGGTCCATACATCATGACTTCCATTAGCCTTAATATTCTAAGGAGTACAACCTCGTCCTGAGAAGAGTCCGAAGCCTCAAAACGGCAGTGAGTAATCGCTGAGGATAAGAGTTGCATTGCTAACGGTAGGCGTAGGGAGGCGGGTGTTATAAGGTTGTATGAGAAAAATTTTGTGATAGCTATTAAAGCGAGAGAAGTAATTGGTCCTGATGTAGAAGACGACCGAACCACTTGGAGGAAAGGATGTAGCAGTGAAGGTGTATCAAAAGTTCGGATATCTAAAGGTAAATTAGCTACCGTATCTGTTTATAACTCGAGGTTTGTTTATTACCTCTGCAAGAAAGCAGATCCCTTCTTAGTTTTGAGAAAGCCGCGATCAATGGATTATCCTGATTCAAAGTCTCAGTATCTCGTGGTGGTAATTCAAGCTTGATATTAGACAGACCTGGATACTCTTTCCACGCTTTCCCCTCAAACCCCACCTGCCGGCTAAAGTGGCATCTATGGGAGTAGCACTTCTGCTTTCATCCTCTTTCTCAAGCCCTTTCTCCAAGGTTTCTGGTCGACTATCAGTCGAAGCAGCTCTTCTCCCACTTGGAGCCCGTAAGGAACCCCCTCGGGGAGTGGATGCACCGCTAGGGACTGATAGAGTCGGACTATTAAGCCCAGGTTCACCCACACCACCGCCACCTAGTATCGCAGCCACAGAGCTTTGAGCCCAGCGCGCGTTCTTGCGCATGGCCGAAGTAACTGTAATGCACTCATTGGTGATAAGAGCTACAGGGTCGACAGCTACTTGAACAGATGCACGCGGATTCCCGTAAAAAGAGTGTGCGAGTTCAAGGTTTAAAGATTCGGTGCCGTCTGCAGATGGCGAGACCGGTGTCGCTGGGGCAGGAATTGCTATGTTTTCGGAGTCCTGTGATAAACGAATAGATGGCTGAGGGGCGTCGCTTTCCTCCATGATGCCTTATAGATGGAAGGTCAACCTCCTCCTGTTCCTAGGAATGATATTAGGAATTGTGTCCGGTAATGTTGCCAAAGCCCGACTGGGGTGAGGCTTTATATGGCAAATCCCTGTATAACGAGACAGCCTGGCCGCTTTGGCTTTTATATGAAAGGGATCCAACAATTAAGCTATGACGCTGTCCGAGACCGAGGGGATGAGCAATAATGCTGAAGAAGCCACGTCTTGATATCGATACGGAGGGCCTCAAGCAATACGATTCTTGCAGATGGAGACTGTTCGAGTGGTATTGTAGGTAGCCCTGTGGTGGAGCCCTTCCGCGTCCAGGTAAATGCAATGTCGGTTGGTGTTGCGGTTGGTATATGGTAGGTCAGTGCTTAGAAAGGTCGGTAGTAGACAGCTGGTCGGAAGCTGTCTGTTAACGCCGACTGGACCGACCACACGCCCGGTTTGACCTGACCTTGACGGACCAACTCTTGCCCTGACCAGTGGAACCTTCCGGGCAAAACCACACAACCAAACAGGCACTTAATTGGCACCGAATAGCTTTCGGGCCGCCTGACTTGAAACCGAGTAACCGACCGAAAGCCCTCGTCTGCTGCTCTGCTGGTGAGCCTCTTTGGGAAGTCCTACTTGCTGTTGTGGGTCGACGCGACGACCTCTATTCTCCTCTCCCTTATCAGGTACCACGACTGTCTATTGGAAACATCACCACTTTACGATCATCTCCTGCCGAGCCATTGCAGGTTCGGCATCCGTTCCCTTTACTCTATCTTACCTGATTTCTAACATTCTACTCTTGGAGCTTCGACGGCTTCTTCTTCTTCTTCTTTTTTTTTTTTGGCTGTGGTTTGGTGTTCTCTTGCACAATAGGGATATCATTTTGACACCTCTTCAACTGTCAATAGGTACTTACCTGATTGTTAGCTGAAAACATTGCAAAAAAACATTGCGGATGATACCGATACTACTCATTATTTAGATAATAGACCTTCTAGAGTTTCGATATACTCTATTCATCATTCAACATTTACAAATCTTGGTCCTATATTCCCGCCCGTCATGGATACCCTCGCTCCTAGGTCGAGCGAGAGGCGATCCCCCTCACCAGGGGCTTCTACTCCCTCGGCCTCTACCTCTAACGTCAATCCGGTGACTCTACTTGATCACATTGTTCATGTTGTCGACATTACTTTAGGTGCCCCGAAGCGAGAGCTCGAAGGTGCCGGTAACATGCTGAGCAGATCCCATTACTCCGATACCTTACTTCGGTGCTCGAGGTTTTGCGGTGAAGGACCAACGGCATTATATGTCTGCAAGGAAATGGTGGAGTCTGCTGGAGATACATCGACAGATTCTATCGAAGGTAGGGTTAATGCGACCCCTTACTGATATATATGATAAGATAAGAGATCTGAGTGGTTCTAACTATGATTGTTATCAATAGGCCCCACCACCCCTCAGTACAAGTTTTCAATCTCGTCGGAACTCTCCACATCACCCCTTACTGTGGCAACTGTAGCTTTGATCAAACGTCCTGCTGCTCTCGAAGCCACGATTCCACTTGCCAACCAACTCCAGATAACCAACCTCCCTGGAAACTCTCCCTATGAGATTCTACACTCCCTCATGCACCATGCCTTAGTGCCATATTTCGACGCCTATATCAAGGCGAATCAGACACAGAGCGGGAAGAGCTCAACCCAGGCAGCTGGCAGATATGCTGACAATGAATCTAAATCCGGTATACCGGCTGCTAAGAAGAAGATGGCCGAGCTTGAACTTGCATTTCTCCACTTGCAGCAGAATATTGAAATTCCAGAGCTCGCACTTGTCATGCACCCGACCGTCCAGGCTGCCATTGAGGAAGCTGCGTCGAAAGGCCAGAAGCCTTCACTTGACCTTATCCCTTCCACCATTGTTAATGATTCTATGTTCCTCAATCAACTCCAATCAACCGTCAATTCTTGGATTAAATCGATTCAAACTATTACCAAAATGCAGAGAGACGCTGACTCGGGCAGTGCTACGCAAGAAATCAACTTCTGGCTGAATATGGAATCTGCCTTGGAGGGTATTGAAGAACAGCTCCGAAGCGAGGGAGTTCTCTTGACCTTAGAAATTCTAAGACACGCCAAACGCTTTCACGCCACAGTCTCCTTTATTGCAGATACCGGGTTGAAAGAAGCATCGGATACTGTCCAAAAATACAACCAGCTGATGCGTGATTTCCCGTTGGACGAGCTCTTGTCCGCAACGTCGCTTATCAAGGTCCAGGAAGCGCTTGTCAAGATATTTGGTCATATCAACAAGAAGTTAAGAATCACCAGCTATCCTATTAGGAGAGCTTTACCTCTTGTCGAAGCTATTTCAGGAGATCTCGATGATCGCTTGCACGAACTTTTGTCAGGAAGGAGATTGATGCATATGGAATACAAGGATTTTGATGCTCTGATGAACGTGGCCGATAGCATCTTCAATACTTGGGATGAAAATGTTAAAGAGTTCACCAATACAGCTCGTGAAGTTACTCGGAAGCGAGCAGAGAAATTCATCCCTATCAAAGTCACGAAAAGGCATAGCAAGACCCAAGAGCGTCTTACATATGTCAGGGCTTTTAGACACGGCCACGAACAACTCCAGCGAACTATCCAAAATGTTCTCGGCCCTGGAAATGATTCTGATGCTCGCGGTGAGCCTGGCGGCCATGCCGCAATCGAAGAGATCGGTGATGTCGATGCTGTAGAGGAGGTTGCTTCAGCGTACGCTGTCCTCAAAGATGTCGATGTTCTCGATGTCACCTTGGAAGGGACGGATATTTGGATCTCGGCGGAAAATGCGTACAACGAACGCACATCTCGTGTCGAAAACTCGATCATAGCAAGATTGAGGGATCGACTGGCTACTGCGAAGAACGCCAACGAGATGTTCCGCGTCTTCTCCAAGTTTAATGCTTTGTTCGTGAGGCCAAAGATCCGTGGGGCTATCCAAGAGTATCAGACCCAATTGATCGACAATGTCAAAGCGGATATTGCAGCCTTACACGAGAGGTTCAAGCAACAGTATGGGCACAGTGAAGCCCATGCAATGGCCCAAATACACGATCTTCCACCGATTGCTGGGGCGATTATATGGGCAAGGCAGATAGAGCGCCAACTCAATGCGTATCTAAAGCGTATCGAAGATATTCTAGGTAAGGGTTGGCAGGACTATGCTGAAGGCCAAAAGCTGTTCAGCGAAAGCAACTCATTTAAGACGAAACTCGATACTCGCCCCATATATGAGGCCTGGCTTGCGGATGTTCAGCGACGGAACGTCTCAATTTCCGGTCGTCTTTTCAATATCAACAGGAACCGTGCTCTCGGTAACCAATTGGAATTGCTTGTAAACTTTGATCCTCAGGTCATTGCTCTTTTCAAAGAAGTTCGAAATCTCGTCAACCTCAAGTACACTGTTCCGCACGCTATCAACAATGTTTCGAAAGAGGCAAAACGGGTCTACCCCTATGCAGTCTCCCTGATGGAGTCTGTTCGCACACTGGCTCAGACCAACAAAGTCATTCTAGATATGAGTGATGTCTCTACGTTGTTGTCAGGTTACCAAAACGAAGTACATGTACTGATTGCAAAGGGAATTCCGCTGAAGTGGGAAAGCTTCGTTCACAGCTATGATCTCCACATGCGTAATGTTGTATCATATCTTCCAAATGGTAACATGGAAGGCGGTTCATCACTCGCTGGTCGGGAGTCTCGTCATGTCCAGTTTGTCAGGGAAATGGCTGCGGCGGTTAACATGCTTCAAATAAAGACACAAACATTGAGCACGATCAACGACAATATCAGAAAGGCGCTAACGGAACTTAAGTCTTGCCCTTATGATACCGAATCACTGAGAACGAGACTTGAGGTTATCCAGACAGCCGTCGACCAGTTGAATTTGGAAAACTTTGTTAACCTACCCCAATGGGTTGGGGATCTTAATAATCAAATTCAGACTATTCTCTTGGGCCGACTCGAGGAGGCAACAAATACATGGATTGCTGTTTTCGACGGAACCCTTGCGGAAGATGAGGTTGCACAGCCAAGCAAGAGGCGGCCAGATACTGCTGACTCAGAGGGTGAAAAGAAAGACGAGAACGCCGTAATTTATAAGCCAGTGATGAAGCGTTTGGTCCACGAAATCAGCATCAAGAACCAAGTCATCTACTTAGACCCCCCGATGGAGTATGCCAGAGCACAGTGGTATAAGCAACTACATCGGTGGCTTGGTATGTATTACTATGGGAAATCTCTGGCTATTATTGCATGACTAATTAGTTGGGTAGGCATTGCTTGCAACCTGCACAAGGTTAAGGCTTCGAGATACGAAATGACAGTCCATATTACTGAACGTGAGGTTGAGGATAACTTTGCTGAGCTTGTATGTATCCTTTCCTGTATACTCCAGCGAGTGTCGCACTAACATCTAAAGTAGCCTAGCCACTTCCCCGACATGCTTTCAAAGGCATACAATGCCGTCGAGAAGAAAATCACGGAAGTTAGCACTTACGTTGATAAATGGCTTCAATTCCAGAGTCTTTGGGATCTTCAAGCCGAACAAGTATACGATGTCCTTGGCACCAACCTTTCGAAATGGCTGCATTTGCTCCAGGAAATCCGCAAAACTCGATCGACTTTCGACACATCGGATGTCAGCCAGGTGTTTGGTCATATCACAATCGATTATGAACAAGTCCAAACCCGTGTCAATGCCAAATACGACTCGTGGCAGCACGAGATTCTTATGAAGTTCGCTGGAAAGCTTGGTGTTCGTATGCGCGATGTTCATGCTGAGATTGAGAAAGCGCGCCGAGATCTTGAATCGCAAAGCTTAGAGGCTTCGTCTACCGCACAAGCTGTCACTTTCATCACTATAGTTCAGCAATGCAAGAAGAAAGTGAAAGCTTGGGGACCTGAAATGGAGACGTTCAGACAGGGTCAGACTACGCTAAGCAGACAAAGATACCAATTCCCTAATGATTGGTTGTTTGTTGAGCAGATTGACGGGGAGTGGCAAGCCCTCAATGAAATCTTGGGACGAAAGAGCAAGATTGTACAAGACCAGACTGATGCCCTCAAGGCTAAGATCATTGCGGAGGACAGAGTTGTTACGGACAAGATTACCGCGGTTGTCCAGGAGTGGAATGATGAGAAGCCTGTCTCCGGTACTATTGCTCCTGAGGATGCCTCGAGGACATTGAGCACTTTTGAAGCTAGCCTCAACCAACTTAAGTCTGAGTCTGAGATGGTGGCCAAGGCTAAAGAAGCTTTGGACCTGCCTGCTGGGCCGGATAACATTCTAGCGTCTATTCTCGAGGAAGTGCAAGATTTCAAATCCGTCTGGTCCGCCCTATCGACGATTTGGAAGAGCCTCAATGACCTTCGTGATACTGTCTGGACGTCGGTAGTTCCGCGAAAGATTCGACAAGGCCTTGACGGTCTTATTGGTATGACAAGAGAGATGCCCAGTCGTATGCGCCAGTACGCTGCGTTCGAGCATATCCAGAATGTACTGAAGGTGCACGTCTCGGTTAACCCTCTTCTTTCGGAATTGAAGAGCGAGGCTGTTAGGGAACGGCATTGGGCCAAAATATTCAAGGCTCTCAAACCCAACCAACGTATCTATCTCACGAGTCTTAATCTTGGACAAGTTTGGGACCTCAATCTCAAGGCTTCAGAGGTCATAATCAGAGACATTATTGCTCAGGCTCAAGGCGAAATGGCTCTTGAAGAATTCGTCAAACAAGTCAGAGAAACTTGGACAAGCTATGTGCTGGATTTGGTGAATTACCAAAACAAGTGCCGTTTAATTCGCGGATGGGACGACCTATTTGCCAAGTGCAGCGAAAACTTGAATTCCTTACAAGCAATGAGGCACTCCCCCTACTACAAAGAATTCGAAGAGGAGGCAAGTAGTTGGGAAGATAAACTCAACAGAGTCCATGTTCTTTTTGATGTTTGGATTGATGTCCAGAGACAATGGGTTTATCTTGAGGGTGTCTTCACAGGCAACGCCGACATCAAGCACTTGCTTCCAATCGAGAGCTCCAGATTCCAAAACATTAACTCAGAGTTCTTTGCCGTCATGAAAAAGGTTTACAAGAGCCCATACGTTCTCGACGTACTCAATATCTCCGGTGTCCAGAAGAGTCTTGAGCGTTTGGCTGAGTTGTTGAACAAAATCCAAAAGGCATTGGGAGAGTACCTCGAACGAGAGCGTGTTTCATTCCCAAGATTCTACTTCGTTGGTGACGAAGATCTGCTTGAGATCATTGGTAACAGCAATGACACACATCGTATTGCGAAGCACTTCAAGAAGATGTTTGCTGGACTGTCTGGGCTTTTACTGGACGAGGATTCTACCATCTTCGGGTTCACATCGAAGGAGGGGGAAGAAGTTAGACTGAAAAAACCGATATCATTGATCAAAATGCCAAAGATCAACGATTGGCTTATGGCCCTGGAAAACAATATGAAGAGTACCCTCGCGGAACTATTGGCCGAGGCGGTTGCGGAATTTACCCCGATGTTTGAGAGTTCTGATTTAGACATCGAAACGTTTAAAGAGTACATCGAAAAGTCCCCGGCTCAAATCGTAGTCCTAGCTACACAAGTTGTTTGGAGCATGGCGGTCGAGCAATGTCTGATCAATGGAGGCGAAGATTTGGGTAAGCTTCATGCCCAAGAAGTCAAGGTTCTGAATCTATTGGCTACAACTGTCCTTGGCGATCTGAACCCAATTATGAGGAAAAAGTGCGAACACATGATTACAGAATTCGTCCACCAGCGGGATTGTATCCAGCGTCTCAAAGACAACAACGTTACAAATCCTCAACACTACATCTGGCTCCTGCAAATGAGGTATATGTACAAGGCTGAGGGGGATTTCATGTCTCGATTGAAAATTAAGATGGCCAATGCCACATTGGAATACGGATTCGAATATCTGGGTGTTGCAGAAAGACTGGTCAGGACCCCATTGACGGATCGGTGCTTCTTGACATTGACACAGGCTTTGTGTCAACGACTTGGGGGTTCTCCATACGGCCCAGCTGGTACCGGTAAAACAGAATCTGTCAAGGCGCTTGGTGTTCAGCTTGGACGGTTTACCTTGGTTTTCTGCTGTGATGATACTTTCGATTTCCAAGCTATGGGTAGAATTTTCCTGGGTATTTGTCAAGTCGGTGCCTGGGGATGTTTCGATGAGTTCAACCGCCTTGAGGAGCGTATCTTGTCTGCCGTCAGCCAACAAGTTCAAAATATTCAGCAGGGTCTCAAGCGTGCTACTGAGGATCCTGAGTCACAAATTGAACTCGTTGGAAGGAACTTGAAGGTCAACGGAAATACTGGTATCTTCATCACCATGAATCCTGGTTACGCTGGTCGTTCGAACTTGCCAGACAACCTGAAGAAATTGTTCCGAAGTGTCGCAATGAGTAAACCGGATAAGGAGTTGATTACCGAAGTCATGCTTTACTCGCAAGGTTTCAACCAAGCCAAAGCTTTGGCTAAACAGACGGTTCCTTTCTTCGATGAATGTTCGAAGAAATTGTCAAAACAGGCTCATTACGATTTCGGTTTACGAGCTTTGAAGAGCGTACTTGTTAGTTCTGGTGGACTCAAGAGAGCTCGACTTCAGGACACCGACTCAGAACGGTCTCAACCCGGCAGCGAGCTAAAGTGGGAAGCCCAAATTATTCTTCAAAGTTTGAGGGAGACCATTGCTCCCAAGTTGATTCGCGAAGACGTCAATATTATGAGAGGCATCGAACTTACCGCTTTCCCTGGTATCGAGTATGTCCCTGGCAATCTGAAGAAGTTAGAGGAAGCTATCACCAAAATCGCACTGGAGCAGAATCTGCTTGTCACCGAGACCTGGATGACGAAAGTACTGCAACTCTACCAGATTCAATCTATCCACCATGGTGTTATGATGGTAGGAGAGTCCGGGTCAGGCAAGTCGTCAGCTTGGAAAGTGCTCCTGCAAGCGATGCAACAAGTTGAAGGCGTGGAGGGCGTCTCTCATATTATCGACCCGAAAGTCATGTCAAAGGAAGCTCTCTATGGTAGTCTGGACTCGACAACCAGAGAGTGGACTGACGGGTTATTCACAAGCATCCTGCGAAAGATTGTGGACAATCTGCGTGGTGAAGATTCGAAGCGGCATTGGATCGTGTTCGATGGCGATGTAGATCCAGAATGGGTTGAGAATTTGAACAGGTAGGGATCATTCTATCCTAGTTGTATCTCGAATATGACTAATATTTTCTAGTGTTTTGGATGATAACAAGTTGTTGACCTTGCCAAATGGTGAGCGTCTTAATCTTCCGCCAAACGTGCGCATCATGTTCGAAGTTGAAACTTTGAAGTATGCGACACTCGCCACTGTCAGTCGTTGTGGTATGGTCTGGTTCAATAACGACACCGTTACCGACGAAATGATGGTGCAACACTATCTCAAAACTCTTTCATCGGTCCCTTTCGAGGATCTTGACGAGGATAATGTCACCACTGGACAGGCTTCCATCAAAGCATTGACTGTGCAAAAACATATGGCATTATTGCTTGAACAACAGCTTCTACGGGATGGGTTTATCACCAACGTCCTTCACGAAGCAAGCAAATACAACCACATCATGGAGTTCACCGAGGCGAGAGTCCTGAACACTTTGTTCTCCCTCCTTAACAAGACTTGCAGAACGATTATTGAGTACAATCTGCAACATGTCGATTTCCCACTCGAAGACACCCAGATAGAGAGCTTCGTGTCAAAGAAGATCCTACTCACTCTCGTATGGAGCTTTACTGGAGATTGCCCGCTCACTGACAGGCAAGCCTTCGGCGAATATATCTGCGGCAGGACTACCATCGGCCTCCCATCTTTGGGCGATGGCGGCTCTATTATTGATTATGATGTCGCTCTACCCAACGGTGACTGGATAAGCTGGCAAAACCAAGTCCCACATGTTGAGGTCAACACGCATTCCGTCACTCAGACCGACGTTGTTATTCCTACCCTTGACACTGTTCGCCATGAGGATGTTCTATATTCCTGGCTTGCAGAGCATAAGCCCCTCCTTCTCTGTGGCCCCCCTGGTTCCGGTAAAACAATGACGCTGTTCAGTGCTCTAAGGAAGCTACCAAACATGGAAGTTGTTGGCCTCAATTTTTCGAGTGCAACTACGCCTGACCTTCTCATTAAGACATTTGAACAGTACTGTGAATATAGGAAGACTTTGAACGGAGTCATCCTTTCCCCAACCCAGATAGGTCGATGGCTCGTCATCTTTTGTGACGAAATCAATTTACCCGCACCAGATAAATATGGAACGCAACGTGCTATCTCTTTTCTACGACAGTTGGTTGAGCAGAATGGCTTCTGGAAGACAAGTGACAAGACATGGGTTACGCTTGACCGGATTCAGTTTGTGGGCGCTTGTAATCCGCCGACTGACGCTGGTCGTACCCCGATGGGTGCCCGTTTCTTGAGCCATGCGCCGCTTATCATGGTTGACTATCCCGGAGAACTTTCACTCATGCAAATTTATGGAACATTCAATAGTGCTGTGTTGAAGATAATTCCAACTCTCAGGGGTTACTCCGAAGCACTCACTAAAGCCATGGTTACGTTCTATTTGGAGAGTCAAAGGAGATTCACGCCGCAGATTCAGCCGCATTATGTTTACTCACCCAGAGAGTTGACTAGATGGGTTCGAGGTGTTTACGAAGCCCTCAAGCCTCTTGAGACGTTGACACTCGAAGGGTTAGTCAGGATCTGGGCTCACGAAGCACTCCGACTGTTCCAGGATAGATTGGTTGCCGAAGACGAACGAGAGTGGACCGACGACGCTGTTAAGAGGATCGCTCTAGAGTGCTTCCCTAATATCGACGAAGATAAGGCACTCAGGGGACCAATCCTCTTCTCTAATTGGTTGTCGAAGAACTACGTCCCTGTTGACCGTGAGCAACTTAGAGACTTCGCGCGCGCTAGATTAAAGACATTCTGCGAGGAAGAGGTTGATGTTCCGCTCATTCTCTTCAATGATGTTTTGGAACACGTCCTGAGAATTGACCGAGTGTTCAGGCAACCGCAAGGTCACTTGATTCTGATCGGCGTCAGTGGTAGTGGAAAGACGACGCTATCTCGCTTTGTTGCTTGGATGAATGGCCTTAAAGTCTTCCAAATCAAAGTGCACGGCAAATACTCCGGTGAAGACTTCGACGAAGACCTGCGGGATGTACTACGACGTTGTGGTTGCAAGGGCGAGAAGATCTGTTTTATCATGGACGAGGCTAATGTCCTTGATTCTGGTTTCCTGGAGCGAATGAACACACTTCTTGCCAATGCAGAAGTTCCCGGTCTTTTCGAGGGTGACGATTTTGCGGCCCTAATGACAGCATGCAAGGAAGGTGCTCAAAAACAAGGTCTGCTTCTTGACTCCCAAGAAGAGTTGTACAAGTGGTTCACTCAACAGATTGTCAAGAATCTCCATGTTGTGTTCACAATGAACCCGCCTCAGGGAGGCCTCGCATCCAAAGCGGCTACATCTCCTGCGCTTTTCAATCGTTGTGTGCTCAACTGGTTCGGTGATTGGAGTGACCAGGCCTTCTATCAGGTTGGTACAGAGCTCACGCATGGCCTCGATCTTGACCATGCAGGGTACAGTGCACCATCAAGTATTCCTGTGGCTTACAGAGGATTGAGCTTGCCACCTTCGCATCGCGAGGCTGTCATCAATGCCATGGTTTATATTCATCACTCAATGCACCAGTTCAACGCTAAGTTACTGAAGCAACAGGGCAAGATGACCTTCCTTACCCCACGTCACTTTTTGGATTTCGTGGCGCAATATGTTAAGCTCTACAAGGAGAAACGAGAAGACCTTGAAGAACAACAAAGACATTTGAACGTTGGTCTTGACAAACTTAAGGATACTGTTGAGAAGGTCTCAGATCTGAGGAAGAGCCTGGCAGAGAAGCAAGGTCAATTAGAGAGAAAGAGTGCAGAAGCCAACGAAAAGCTTCAACGCATGGTTGCTGATCAACAAGAAACCGAGAAAAAGCGTGCTGAATCCCTCAAAGTCCAAGCCGCTTTGGAGGTCCAAGAGAAAGAGGTTGCAGAGAGAAAGGAAATTGTGCTGGCTGACCTTGCCAAAGCCGAACCCGCTGTCATTGAAGCCCAAAAGAGTGTTAGCAACATCAACAGAAAGCAGCTTACCGAAGTCAGATCTATGGCAAATCCACCGCAGGGTGTGCAACTAGCTATGGAAGCCGTCTGCTCTATGTTGGGACAACGGGCGGATAGCTGGAAGAGTATCCAACAAATTATCCGTCGTGAAGACTTCATCCCAAGCATCGTTAGCTTTGACAACGAGAAGATGATGACCAAGAGCTTGAGGGCCAAGATGCAAACAGATTACCTATCAAAGCCCAACTTTACCTTTGAGATCGTCAACAGAGCTTCTCGAGCTTGTGGTCCTCTAGTACAATGGGTTGAGGCGCAAGTCAATTACAGTGAGATTCTGGATAGAGTTGGACCTTTGAGAGACGAGGTCGCAGAATTGGAGCAAAAGGCAGAGGAAACCAAGGAGAATGCCTCTGCTATGATGGAAATGATTAAGAGCCTAGAAGAGAGTATTGCACGATACAAGGAGGAGTATGCAGCTCTTATCAGTGAGACACAAGCCATCAAAACGGAAATGTCGAAGGTTCAATTTAAAGTCGATCGTAGCGTCAAGTTGCTTGATAGCTTGTCTTCCGAAAGAGTCCGCTGGGATGAGAGTAGCAGATCCTTCGAAACGCAAATAGGTACTTTGGTTGGTGATGTGCTCCTCTCCTCTGCCTTTTTGGCATACAGTGGTCTCTACGACCAACAATTCCGAAAGTACATGCTTGAGGAATGGATGAATCATCTTCAATTGTCTGGTATCGAGTACAAACAGCATAACCCAGTTACCGGATACCTCTCGTCTGCCGACGAACGGTTGCATTGGCAAGAGAATTCTCTCCCTGTCGATGACCTTTGCACAGAGAACGCGATTATTCTCAAGCGATTCAACAGATACCCACTCATCATCGATCCATCTGGAAGAGTAACAGACTTCTTATCTAACTCTAATAAGGAAAGAAAGCTCACGATTACAAGCTTCCTCGACGATTCATTTACCAAACAACTTGAGAGTTCTCTGCGTTTCGGTAATCCGATTTTAATTCAAGATGCGGAACATTTGGATCCCATCTTAAATCACGTTTTGAATAAGGAGTACCAAAAAACTGGCGGTCGTGTTTTGATCCAACTCGGCAAGCAGGAGATCGACTTTTCGCCTGCATTCAAGTTGTATTTGTCGACTCGTGATCCATCAGCTTCCTTCCCGCCAGACATTTGCAGCCGTACAACGTTTGTCAATTTTACCGTCACGAAGAGCAGTTTACAAACTCAGACACTCAACCAAGTCTTGAAGTTCGAGCGACCCGATGTGGATCAACGACGAAGCAATTTGATGAAGCTACAGGGCGAGTTCAAGTTGCATCTCCGAAAGTTAGAAAAGAGCCTTTTGCAGGCATTGAACGAGAGCAGAGGCAATATCTTGGACGACGATCGTGTCATTGATACCCTCGAAACTTTGAAGAGGGAAGCAGCCGAGGTTTCCAACAAGATGGCTGAAACTGAGGGTGTCATGAGCGAGGTGGAGTCGATTACCAAAAAATACGAAATTATCGCGAAAGCTTGCAGCTCCGTTTTTGCCGTCCTAGAGCACCTACATCATCTCAACCACTTTTACCAATTCTCGCTTCAATATTTCTTGGATATCTTCCATGCTGTTCTTTACGGGAACAAACGCCTAGCAGACGAGAAAGACTACAATGCACGAATTCAAATTATCTTACGAGACTTGTTCATCACAACCTACCAGCGTACTTCGCTTGGTCTATTGCAGAAAGATCGTGTCACGTTTGCTATGCTGCTCTCTCAAGCCTCGCATTATGTCTTTGATCGTGGAATGATTGATATTCTGCTTGATGACAATGTTGCCGGAATCGATGTCTCCAGCGAACCTGATAGGCGCGAAGAGGCTCTTAAGAAGGCAAGCAGTCTACCACTGTTCGAAGGTTATCTCGCAAATGTCACACAGGATGATTGGGAAAGGTTTTTCGGAGAGGAGAAAGCAGAAGATCATGTTCCAGTACTATGGGATGAGAAGACCTCCGAGTTGGACAGGTCGTTGAAACGCCTCATCATGGTTAAACTTTGTCGTCTTGATAGACTTGTCCCTGCTGCGGAATCATTCGTCGCAAATGTCTTTGGCAAGGAAATTTTGGACGCTACTGGAGACTTGAGCGATGTGGTGAAGCAAGTGTCCGCTACTACTCCCATTGCTCTTTCGTCTTCGCCTGGTTTCGATGCAAGTTACAAGGTCGACAACCTCGTTCAGCAAGTCGGCGCGAACTGCCTCAATATTGCCATGGGCTCCAATGAAGGTCTCGCAATGGCCGACAAAGCCGTCAGCAGCGCCGCATCCGTTGGATCCTGGGTTCTTATCAAGAACGTGCACCTTACTCCTGGATGGCTTCAATCTCTTGAGAAACGCCTCGATGCACTCAAGCCACATCCTGATTTCAGATTGTTTTTGTCTATGGAGTCGTCGCCTAAGATTCCAGTTAACTTGATCCGTGCATCAAGAGTCTTGATGTTCGAACAACCGGCTGGTGTTCGTGCCAATATGAGAGACTCGCTGGGCACTCTTGCCAACCGAAAGAGCAACCAGCCAATTGAGAAGGCCAGAGTTTACTTGCTTCTTTCCTTCTTGCACGCCATTGTGCAAGAGAGACTACGATATGCACCTACATTGGGATGGAAGGGTTTCTGGGAGTTCAATGATAGCGACGTAAGTACTTTCACCTGATTCGATATTTTGTGCTCAAACCGAAGCTAATTTTGACTACAGTACGAATGCTCTGCATTCATCATCGATACCTGGATTGAAGCAGTCGCCCAAAACAGATCAAATGTGGCGCCTACTAAGCTCCCTTGGCCAATGATCCGTTACCTCGTCACAGAAACCTACGGTGGCAAGATTGATGATGAGTCAGACTTCAACCTACTCAGATCGCTCGTTGAAACAGTCTTCACTCCAGCTGCGTTTGAGACGGACCATAAACTCGTCGCTGGTGAGAACCCGCTACTTGTCCCTGATGGTAGTGGGATTGATCAGTTCAAGGCCTGGGTCAATGGATTGCCAGAAAGAGAGCCACCAACATGGCTCGGATTGGGGGCGAACAGCGAGAAGTTGTTGCTTGTGGGGTATGGCAAGAGGATGGTTGGACAACTTGGGACAGTTACAGAGTTATTGGAGGAAGGGGAATCTGTTGGTGAGGCTGCACCCGCAGCTTAAACCGTAGTGTTTTTAGCATAGTATTTTCATTTAGATCTGTGGATTGGTGGTTTTGACCAGCAATTCCTTCAACTGTGTACGTTTGTTTGCAATAGAGACGCTTGTAACCAGAGAGAATTGAATCAATTGATCATTGACATGACATGAAGCTAATGAGATGCAATGCGTCCCATATCCCTCGGCCTTTCCGTTTGGAGGCTTGCGTGTGTTGTTTTTTTTGCCATGACTCAAATGCCCCGCCAAATTTCTTCACCTTTGAACCGCCCCGCCATTGATATCCCGCCGTCCCACCATCACTAGCACATCACCATCATCACCAGTTTTCATTGATTACCAACATTTTTGACTAAGAAGAGGTTTAATTGAGGTTGTCTTTTCGCAAAGACATAGAACGAATATTCAAAGCTGTTTAATCGAAGCTTCTCACCCTTCGCTCGACATCTTCGTCGGATTGTCCCACTCAGAGCTACCAATCTACCTCCTGCGCCCTTAGTTTCCATTACTGCTATTAGATTCGCCAGCAAAATGTCTGGATCTCTCGATTTAGCGCCCACGGACGCCGTCCTAACTCTCATCACAAAATCATTTACTACTATTCCCACAACCACCAACCCTTCAGCATCTCAATCCACACTCCGTCTTAGTGACGACTCCACCGTCACGGGTACCAATACTATTGCCACCCACCTCTCTTCTACAATCTTCTCAGCAGACAAATATGAATACTCTGCTCTTGAGCTAGCATTGATCGATCAATGGCTTTCCCTCACCGGTCATGGAAGTCTGAACGATGATGTTGTCAACCAGCTCAATGTGCACTTGAAGGACAAGACTAGCATTTTGGGCACCAAACCTTCGATTGCTGATATCGTGGCCTACGTACGACTCAAGGACCTGGCCAAGAACTGGAGTGCAGAGGAGAGAACAGGTGGTGTTGATGGTGGAAAACGTTACATTCTTAGATGGCTAGATTGGGTTCAGAATAGCCCTGTTGTTGGGTTGAAACTTGAAGAGACTGAGAAGTTGGTTGTTGATACTGAAGAGGTCGGAACTGTTGTTAGAGGCGAGGAACCAGTTGATGAGAAGAAAGCTGCTAAGAAGGCGAAGGGCAAAGACAAGGAAGCTACCGGAGATGCTGCTGCTGGAAAGGGTGCGGTTGAGAAGGCTAAGGATGCAGTTCAAGCCGTAGCTGAGAAGATAGGAGTTGTCGGGAAGGACGAAGGTAGTACATCTGCTGCTGGTGGGAAGAAGGAGAAACAAAAGAAAGAAAAATCGGCAAGAGCGCCGGCGAAGAAAGAGGGTGGGTTGATGTTACCGTCTTTATGAAGAATATTGATGAAACTGACGATATTGCCTACAGAGCCGGCTGGACCGTCACCAATTAACATCGACCTTCGAGTTGGTTTCATCGAGAAATGTGTTCCTCACCCAGACGCAGACTCTCTATACGTCTCGACTATTCACTGTGGTGACTCTGAGCCCCGCACGGTCTGCTCCGGCTTAAGAAAACATATCCCACTCGAGGAAATGCAGGAGAGATACGTTGTTGTCGTCGCCAATCTCAAACCCGTCAAGATGAGAGGTATCATGTCACAGGCCATGGTTCTCGCAGCAAGCCCGGCACTAAAGGAGGGAGAAACCGACGACCATAAGGGTCCTATTGAACTCGTTGCACCTCCTGCTGGGGCAAAGGCTGGAGAGAAAGTCTTCTTCGAAGGATACCATGGAACACCAGAGGCGGTTTTGAACCCCAAGAAGAAGATTTGGGAAGCCATTCAGCCAGGATTTACAACAACCGAGGGATTGGAAGTTGCATTTGATGCCGCAGCTACAGCTGGTGCAGTTGCACCTGCGGGTGGAGAAGGCGTAAAGAAGCTGGTCACTGAGAGTGGAGGCGTTTGCACAGTCAAGACTCTAGTCGGCGCTGCCGTCAAATAAGAGCCTGTCGATTGGTAATGGCATACCGTAGGAGGGAGGCATCGCCCTTCTATATACTACTAAGTAGATAGCTGAATAGATTTCTAGCTAGCCAGCCTTACAGCAAACGCACATACTAGGGTCTACGGTTTATATAATAAAAGCCTTTTATTTTTTTCCCCATGATCTAAGGAGGGCAGTCTCTATTACATAAACTGTCAACGGCAGTAGTCTCTGTCACAAAGTCGTGGCCTTCGCGAATTCGCTGCACACGAAGGAAAACGGTGATAGATAATGAAGGTCGACCGAGCATATAGAAATATAATAACTCTAACTTACAACTCTGGTAAATATAAATTTATAAATACAATCAAGCATTCATAAGGACTGTCGATGTTGCTTTATATAATCCAATATGACGAAGAGGAACAAAATTGAATTCGAGAATAAGGACAAAACAAAACACCTAGGTAATGCCGTAGCCGTTGGTATCCATATATGGAGACTCCATCAAGGCGTTCTTTGATAAAGAACCGACTTGTCCCAAACAAAAGGCCAAAAACATCAACTCCAAACTCGGGCCGGTTCCGGATAATCCCATTTTTGAAGGAGCGACAGTAAAAGCAGCACGAGAAAGAAACACAGAAGCAGGACAAGAAGACAGACAATGAGAAAACAAGAGGTCCCAGCTTTTGCCCACTTCAAGCAGTCTTTTAGCACCATGCGAATTTCTCATTCATGCACCACTCGATTCCTTCTGGCTCTATTTCTTCGCCGCCATCTTTATCATACCACATCAGACTGGCGATACTATCCATCTCTCGATGCACCAAATCGTACCCAGTTCCGCTTCCAAACACACTCTTCACAGCCGTTTCCGTTATGTCATCGGGGTTCCAGCTGATAATCTCTTTGAAACCCCAAGCGTCGGCCTCGTTCGCTGCTGCAATGATGACATGCTTGATAGCTTCAAGGATCGTATTTTCATTGCCCGAAGTAATAGTAGGGGTATGAAGTCTCAAGAACACGAGTTTCTTGTCCGCATAATCATGGGTCCAGATAACCCACACAGCATTCGAGCCGTCATTGCCTTCTTGCGGTGGGTATTCGGCCCCCTGTTGGATTGGTACCCATGCACCCTTGATTGTCGGTGCTTTCGAAGTCGCATATTGTCCGATAAACTCCTCCCTTGCATGATGCCACTCCATAACCTCCACAGTCGGGAACTGAACGCATCTCACTTCCACATCCGGTGCAAAGGGAGTTTTAGTCACCGCCCTTCGAATATGCGCACAGTCTGACGCACACAACGCTTTCAAATCCGACTTCAACACATTCTTTGCCTTTGACGAGGGTGCCGAAGTTGGTAATTTCGACGGAAACGAGATGTGTGAACTCTGGTGAGGTCGCCAACCGATTCTGTTGTAGAACTCTTTGCCAATATCGGAGTATAGAACGCTGAATCCTACCCGCAAGCTCTCTTCAGGTTTTGATGGGTCTGGTAGCGTCTTTAGCTGATGTCCTAGCCTCTGTAGCATGGACTTTGCGTAGCCCTTCCCTCTGTGTCTCTCAGAGGTATAAACGCTGCCGATGCCGTAGCAGATTACTTCTTCTACTTCACCGGTTTTGCGAGCAATCAGGCAGGGTTTACGGATTACTTCGCATGCTGATAGGATATGGTCGGGAGATTGTGGGCATGCTGTGTTGCATGGCGAAGAAGGGTCGACGAGGATCCAATAAGTGATTCCGCCATTGCGAGTGAGGTCTTGAGAGGCAATATGAGCTTCTCGAAGGTAGTAGGCATTATCTGTGAGTATTCCCTTCCATGAATGTTTATTCAGAACCCAGGTATGGTGTCGTTCTGGGATTGTAGCAGGACGGAGAACGAGGCTAGGGTTTTTGACATCAGGGGGCGAAGAGGAGAGAGTTGGGCTAGACGGGTGCGTAGTTGAAGGTGCCATGTTTTGGGTGGATGGAGCTTGGAGATGTCTATGGAGCTCGAGATGTCATTAGCACTCAAGTTGTCCTCGGCTAGGTTAGCTTTTGATTTTCAATATATATTTTTTCTCTTCAAAAAGAAATAAAATAATAAAAAAGACAACCACGAGAGAAAAATGGCCCGGCCTTCGTCATTTAAATGGATTCCCAGGCTTTCGACGATTTTCGTCAACCAGGAAACTTGGATAGGGCAATTTTGTGGAGAAGCCTGGCCTGCAGCAACAATGCAACTTACCCTGTTCCCCGAAATCCCAACTATCCGGACTAGCAACAAAAGAAGTAGGTGAACGTATCTTTCACGTTTTGGACTATTAAGGAGGTAGAAGGTCCTGATAACGGTATTCCGAGAGTAATATCAAGAGGCGGCGAGGCGCCATAAGCATGCAAGATAAGTACTTGCTGTTTGGCGTGTGTGACGAAGTGTGATTGTCTTTGAAGCGATGCAGTTCGCGGGTGACTGGGATTTGATTCTAATGCGGTTATCGAGTGGTCACAGAACAATTGTTCAAGGAGGGCGAGGTAACCTAGGATATATTCCCGTGAATATAACTACTTGAGTCACTAGGCCTCTTCGTGCTATGCCATCTACGTCGATAACAGCCCAACCCTACATGTAGATTATGACGGTAATTCCAATTGTCCTCCAAGCGACCAAGAAATCCATAAAGTGCATCCCGTCACATCGCATCGATGTGCATCCCGAGCAACTAGTCGTTAAAAGTCGATTTTGCCAGGGCAAAAAATCGAAAAAAGTCTAAAATGGACAGTGAAACAACACATGCCGGGGATGTCTCTTCGGTTACCTACGGGGGTATCTTTGACTTTTCTTCGATCTTCTGCCGCTAGAATGCTTGATTTGGAGGCCATTGAGCAGCTTGACCGGAAAACGTGCTTAGTGGGTCCCATGACGGTGTGGAGAAACGGAGCTAGGGAGCTGAAGAGTTCGGCCAGTGAAAAAGGCTCCGAAGGGTAGGAGATGCCAGTGTGAGACGTGCAAAGGGATCACGAGGGCGAGCTCCGACCGATTGGACACTCGTAATAGAAACGTAAGAGCATTTCCGTTGGAGTGCAAGCGTTGATGAATATAAGTTTAGAAACGAGCGAGCTCCAAGACGCACTGTGTCCGAAGCCTTTGGACACAGAGTATATCCCGGCCCAAAAAAGAAATCAACTAAGATTCTTGGAGCTTTTGCTGGGATCGGAGTTGGACCCATAAGATCGTTATCTTGCTATCGAGGAAGCGGGAAACACGCTACCGCTGTGCTCCCAGGTAGGAGCCTCTAATCACTAGAGGTTTCCTCTTCGATATCTCATCGAGGAGGATACCGTGAGGCGCCACAGCGGGCGGGTTCGGGTCCGAGTGCTTTGCAGCTATTAGCCCAACGTCTCTCGCCCCAAAGTTTAGCAGGACGGTACCGTGATTTACTGCGGCGAGGTGGGTCTTTATGACAGATCCACCAGTTCGAAGGGTATAGCGAACCACATAATCGAAGCGGAAGAACAGCGACGGTGCACAGCACATATAGGAGAAAAGTGTGTCATTTTCCTAGTATAGATCGCTTGTTGTGCGACAATCCACTAGAGTTTGAAGGGTTGGATCATTTCCCGACCTTGGGAGCATCGTATCTCGACGTAATTGGATATAGCTATGTAATCCGGGGGAAAGTTGAGCGCTGAGGCTGGCTGTCATATGATCATATATGAACGGTCCGAATAAATACCTATATCAACGACGTTGCTGCTATGTACTTAGTACTTAGTTGCCCAAGAGAGATAGCTACGGGCATTGTTTGAGGTAGTATGGAGTGATAATTTCGAACCAAGTTCGGTGTAGTATAATAATATCGAATCCCCAAGAGCCCCTATAGGTGAGTACCTAGCCCCAAAAACCTTGTCGTTGTGAATGTAACTTCTAAGATGGGCCGATTACTTCTGGGTTTCGTATATTCAACGACCTTCTCATTGTTGAGCCTCTTAATCATTACTCAAGCTCAGTGCAGCTCGGTCTGGGTTAGGCAGTCTCGGTTACCCTTCCTGTGTTGGGATGTAAGCAGCCAGAGGAATGTGTTGTGGTGGATGTGTTGCGTTGTATTCTGGTTACCAGCAGTCTTGTAAACAGTTACGGAGTCGGAGCGCACTGCGGCCTTACAGGGCCACCACGGCCCGTAACTACAAGACTGTTGTTGTGTTGTTGAGACGCGCAGATCATCAACAACACAGAGGCTTCTTTCACTTAGCTTCAGTTTAGCAGTAGCGAGATCCTGCTTGTCTTCACCGCTGTCGTCCGGATAAGAGACTCGCCATACGCCAGATATACAGATACCATATCCACCATGGACTTCAACCCTCGAGGATCACAAGGCTATCGGCCCGGCCAGAAAGCTCCTCCATCTTCAGGGAAGATGCGACAGGCGCCAGTGGAGCACGACAGCCTTGCCTTCCTGTTGATGGTAAGGATGCAAATAAGAATATCTATAGACTTGTACGAAAAAGTCAAAAACTTATGATCTTATCTATTACTTAGGAGCCAACAGAGATCGCGAACTGCATTACAGATATCGGTATTCCTTTCTCCGCAGACAGTATCAACAACCCACAGTCTCCCATGATTATCCGTGTCGTTGAACGAATCCTGGAAAATCTTACCGGACTTACCGTCGAAGGCATAACCCCCGTCTTGGATATAGTCAGTGAGGATTTCGAATTCGGCGAAACCATGATCGATACTATGCGCATGATGGCCTGTTTTCGGTCGTTGCGTTCGCTCCTCGGTGTATGTGGGATGAAAGACTTGCAGCTTAGCGACTTACTCGCACCAACCAGACCCAGAGTTATCAAGATGTTTTCATATCTTATCAATTTTGTGAGGTTCAAGACCGAACATCAGCCGACTATCGATGAGCATGCGAATAAATTCGAAAGCATAAAGCAAAGGGTCGATACCCTTGAGATCGAGCGCGACGAACTACAACATAAACTCGAAACCCTTCAGATTCAACGGAGGCAGGAAGAACCGCTTGTTAAGAAGTTACAAGAGGAGAGACAACAGGCTAGAATCTTGCTAAGCGAGTTAAAGAGGGAACAGGAAGCTTTAACGAATGAGTTCCAGGAAGCCAAGAATGAACGGAAGATGCTGAAAGATGCATTGATACAGGCAAACGAAACAAAGCTAAGACTGAAGCAAGATTGTGAAAGACTCCGCCCGTATATTTTTGATGAGCCTGGTCGCTTGCAACAGCTCAACAATGAGATGGCCGGACAGCTGGCGATGGAAAAAAATAAGCTTATGCAAGCCGAAAGGCGGGCAAGAGCACTCCAGACCACAGCAGACTCCTTCGGAGTGATTGAGACAGATGTCAACGCTTGTATTAAAGTTATGGAGGAGTGTGAGGCCGAGCTGTTGAGGGAGGAAGAAGGTGATAGAAAAGCCTCACGACACAAGGACGTTCTAAGAAAACGACAGCTCGAATTCCAGGATATGGAAAAGAGAGAAGAAGTATTGAAGGCAAGATTGATCAGTTCACAGGAGAAAGTCAGCACTGCGAAGCAGCAAGCAGAGAGCAAGGGCAATGCTGCGAGAGCAAGGATGGCAGAATTGAGGGGCGTGTACGATCAATTAGCGAGTGAGAGAAGGGAGAAGAGCCACGACATGGACAAGCTCAAAATGCAAATCGACTTGAAAGAGAAACAGGTACTTACTCTTTCATCCTTTGTCTAGATATACCCTAAATGCTAACCATGCCACTACTTACAGTGCCAAGATACAAAAGAGTTTGTGGAGAACGAAGCCCGAGAAACCATGAACGAGTTCGGCAGGCTTACTGCACATGTTAACTACTATATGCAGGAGATGAAGCAGCAAATGGACTTGATCTCGGTTTCTTAGTGCTTCATTTCTACCTGGAGTAGTGATGCCCTGCGCCGGCTAGAGCCCTTTCTGTTACACTTTTTGACCCTATTGCGTTAGAGCGTGTCCCTCAACGGTGTTTGGAGTCCATGGTCTTGCGAGTTGGTGTGTTTTTCTTCATGCAATGTAATGACAATCCATGATATCATTGAATAAATACGACTTGAATAATATCTTAACCCTGATCTACCTTGACTATTCTGATCTACTACCTATTTATGTCGACCTTTCAAATTCACTCTGCCCCAATCCTTCGTCCGCTTGCTTACCCCCTTGACCAATTAATTTCCACGATTTCGATTCCCTCTACCAGGGCTCGTTTCTACCTACAATTCATTCAGCAAGCATGGCAAACATCCACAGGGAAACTCCAACTAAGCTCTTGCAGAGTGGTGTGTGTGTATATGGGGTTAATCAGTCCCGACACTGTTCCCCACTAGGGAAAGGGTAAGGCGACACTACATCTAGACATACGAGCCTTTAGTACTTCTCTAATTAAAGAATGCTTACAGGATGCAGTACCTACCGGCGGATATGCAGGTTGCTACTATCCGGCAGCTGTACTATGATTGCGCCTCCATACACTTTGTTGTATATGGGATGAGGTGGGATTTGGCCACGGCCTCGAAGTCTACGTGGATAGAATCTGTACGTTCATGGGGCAGTAATAACGATTACTTTAAATTGAGAAGCTAGAAGAAAGCAAATTAACTAACTTCTTTTCTATTCACATACAAAGTACAGATTCATTCCTTGCTACGTGTGGGTTGGGGCATCTACAGAAAACGTCCTCGAGAAGGGTTCCCATTCGCGACTAGTATCGCTTACAAGCGCTGAGGCTGTAGAAATGGGAAGACTCGAAGCTGAGTATGCATTATGCCAGGTGCTTGACAAGTGCCTTGTCAGCTGTGGGGAGGGATATTTCTGCCTCCCAGGGCCTAACGGTGCCACTCACCCAGCCAGCATAGAACTAGCTCCACGAATGCGCCTCATTTTTGATGGTGAAAATGCATATGCTTCCTACAACATGATCCTAATTCCAAAAGCTCTGCGACGCGGTATTACTAGCATTTATTTTTCTTCGAATAATACTTCCGACGAAAGATATTACCTTAATTCGGAAGATACCAGCACTGAATCCTGCCTACAAAACGTCCCCTTTTGGGAGAATGTGGGAGTGCTCTATGAACCGGAGAAACCCGAACGACCATTGCTCAAATACGCAATAATCTATAGACCTGAAATAATCAAAGAAATTTTCCCAAGTTTGAAATGCATGGCAATTGCGGCGAACGAGGAGGGAAAAGTTGAGAAATCCCCACTATACGTTGGGTTTAGCCTTTTGTTCGATGGACTGGAGCGGTTAGAGATTGTCTTCCAGAATCCCTCTACCGATCGATTCCGGCGAAATAAACTGTGGGAGGATCTCAGGACGATAAATCTATGCAGGTATACTGCTGATGCGGGTGGCCAGTTCGATCTTGTATGCCCAACATACGACGGAGGTCCTGGTGCATTGAAGCTTCGTAACAGTACTGGACATATTGATTCAGTTAGTCTCCTCCTTGAGAAAGTTGGTGAGGAGGAGCTGGATGCGAGAGGCCGACATAAAAGGTCCGCTTGTCTTCAGGGAGGGCCTGAGTTTGTGCTAGAAGAATTCGAAGTATGGGCTTGGAAAGTAGTTAGATTGCCGGTGTTTTCCTATCTTCCTTTGGTATCCGGCAGGCCGCCCCCCGCCCTCGAAACCCAAATTTTAGTTCAAAACGAGATTGTCCTATAATTCTAGTTGATCTAGGGTACATTGGTCGTAAACCAGCCAATAACGGGGTCCAGGGTACACAGAAAGAGGATACATGAGTGTGATCGGGGAATCACTTCTATGTACGTTAATTAGGTCCCTCAAGGAGAAATAGATATTGAAACCTCTTGCACAGCCTGCCGCCGCGTAAGGATATCGACATGTAAGATTACCTAGGTAGTTCAAAGTTATAATTATATTATACAGCGATGAATTAGCAGGCTATAGCTAGTTGGCTAGTTGGGAACCATCCTAAAAACAACGTTCGTCCCTCGACCCGAGCTGAGTGAATCTTACGATACCAAGCCTAACGTACAACGCTCCAGGATGTTTAATTATTTGATATTTACTTACGTAGTATGTATGTGTACTACTAGTACGTTACAGCCTAAGATACAATTATAGTTAAATACGATAATTGCTTGAATGCGTATACCATAGCCAAATGAATACAGTGGCCAATAGAGCATTTCGTTTTTTTCAGCGTGCCTGCCACCCGCGGAGCATGGATTTTGTTCCAGAGCAAACGCCCTTCATACCCCTCAAAATTTAGACACCTTGCTGACTAGAAACCACGGTTTTAGTGTAGTATTCCCGTCAAAGTGCAGCGCAAAGTGATGACATGACATCGACACCGTTACATGCATGCTAGATCAATGATGGATCTAGAATCTCAAAGATCCAAGATGCTTGTGCACATACCTTAATTGGTCTACTTCTGATTACTAGTATGACCGGAGGGATTGACTCCAACTATGTAGAAAGTACAACCTTCAGGGGGCTCTCGCCATAGTAAAAAAGCCTCAGCCTTATGTCCTACATACACGAGATACTGCGGAAGCGAAAATAGGAGAACTATGCTTTGGAGCTCTGTACCCCAGATATCACACACACCCCTCCCTATTTATAATCTGTGTAACGGAGCATGTAACTCTTTACCAATTTCATATGTCAGAGCTCAGGGAGGTACATCATTAGGAGGATCGTGCCGTCGAAGGGTGTGGCCCATAGCGGGTTCTCGTCCCGTCTATAGCGCTAGTGCGGTACTGACCCATTACTAAGACCAAAATCTCAATTATTTCCCTTTTGTTAAAATATATAATTTGAGAAAATTTTAGAAGCTTGCGCGGTGGGGCTGAGCGTTTGGGGGAATATATATCCCGATTCGATAACTGCAGCTAAGGAAACTGTGCAGATTGTTGGAATTTTGTATGGGACAACGCGGTTCTGACCGTAATTTTTCGGGTTGCGGGAGGAGTGTGCCCCAAATGGCAAAAAAAGCGGAGGGATTTTGCAACGGTACAGGCTAATGGTTTGTCAGGAGATTACATATTTTGTATTGATTTTAATGGTACTTGCAGGGTTTGGTCGGAATTTATGACGATGAAGATTGCGGAGTGCGGTTTCGGAAGGCGAGGGGTCTAAGTGGCCTCGAGCTCAAGACGTTCAGGTGTACGTACTTGCACAAGCTTTTGCCATGCATGTACCCTTTGGACTCTACATTTACAGACTTAGTATCTAAGATATTCGTATTGATTATAGATTGTGGTAGGAACAGGTAGATATATATATAGGGTTATCACTTTCAAAAAATGTGTATATAAACCGGTATAACCCACTCTTCAAATCACAGTATCATTCAAAGCATCAATCAATCAATCAGTTCTCAAAAGCCATCAATTCGCCAAAAAAAAAAAAATCTTTCGCCAAATTTTAATATTTATAAATTCAGAAATTTTAAAAGTTCCTACTCAACGGAAATCCAAAATGGTCTCCATTCGCAACATCCTCGTTATTGCCACTATCCTTGCCCCAGTTTTCGCTTTCCCAGCGGATATCCCTGATAAATGTCTTCCTGGTAGACGTTGTGCCACTGAGTGCTGCGCTGCCGATCAAATATGCGTCACCGATGAGAAATTCCCTGATGGCCACTGCGTCGACCGTGGTATTGGTACGTCTACCAGTATAGTACCTACACATCTCCGGAATGCGATAGCTAACTTTATATAACACAGTTCCTACTCCACGCATCTGTCTTCCAAATAGACAGTGCGGCCTCGATTGCTGCCGTGCGGACCAAAAATGCGTGAAGGATGAGAAGACTGGCGACGAGAAGTGCGTTGATAGTGGAATTGGTGAGTACCTCGTAGTCTAGCGACCACTTCAGTTGGCCAACCACGGATTTTAACTCTTTGACTGTGCGATAGTTCCTCCAAAGAAAACACCTCTTCCTTGTATCCCCGAGCAAGTTTGTGCGGACGACTGCTGCCAGGCTGACGAGATTTGTGTCGAGAAGGTTAAAGGGGCTGGGTTGGTTTGTGTGAACCGAGGAATTGGTACGTATATGCAATTTTAATGCTTAGTTGCTTATGCACCGTCTCTAATTATGTTTTTATGTGCACAGTTCCTGTTTAAACGGTCATAGCTGGAGTCATTCCAAATCTAGAAGGTCTATTGATCGATCGGTTGTGCAAGTCTAATCATAAGATTTTAGAGGGGGGTTCATCGATTGCTTGAGATTTACTCGTTTTTCCGTTTCCAACGAACTTTATTTTATTTTACATTTACACTTGGTTGTATTCAAGCTGTATACCTATATTAACGTATTCTTATTATATTATTATACTCTTTCGAAATACTTCATGACCCTCAGCTATAGTTTGCAAGTATACCCGGGTAGTTAGCGTTCGCGCTAGTACTTCCTGAACTTTTGGTCACAGTTAGGTTTTAAATTTTGTAAGTTCTTCTATTAATATTGACAGATACAGTTTTATGTTGAATTATCATGTATACTTAATATCGAGGGCAAAAAAAACCTTCTATCGAGCCATATCGATATAGTCATGCTGTTTACCAGACACTCTTTGCTAATTCCATTACCAGCTCAAGTTTCTTCTTCATCCCAGCTTCATCAATCGCATTTCCTTCTTCGTGGCTGCCAAATCCACACTGGGGGCTGACGCTAATTCTCTTCAGCGCATCCTGTTCACTTTCCCCACTGCCTTTCGCCATAATTCTAGCAGCATCCATAACCTTCGCTTTCAACTCTTCCAAATCCTCCATTGGCTCTGCAAATTTGCTGGTAACCAAACCTAACACCACCTTTCTATCCTTCGGCACGTCCGCCAACGGCTCAAAGGTGCCAGCACGAGGAGTATCATACTCAAGATAAAACACATCCGCAGGAATTTCCTTAAACACTTTCTTGGCAATATGCTCGTACCCACCTTCGGAAAAGTGAATGGATTTCCTGAAGTTTCCGCGACAGATATGAAGACCTACAGTCATATCCGGTTTTCGATCCTTCAAACAGTCTTGGTAGAGTTTTATGTATTCATCTAGTAGTTTCTCTGCGGACTCGCCGACGGCGGCCATGCCATCTAACATTGATTGCGCGCAGAAATATGCTAGAAGTGGATCGTCGATTTGTACGTTTCGGCACCCGGCATCGTAGAGGAGTGAGAGTTCGTACCGATAGGCGGCGGCGATGTCGGCGAAGTATTCGGCGTTGGAAGCGTAGACAGATTTAGAGTATGCGTGTTCGCCATGACGGAGGTGGAACCACTCTGGTGCCTGTTTTTTCATGATATAGAAGTGAGTATTTTGTTTTATGTACCACTCCCAATACGGTGCATGGGTGTTAACTTACAGCTAAGGTCATTTTTACTTTCTCCCCATCGCCCAATTTCCCTTTTATGTAGTTGAATTCTTGAACATATTTACTATTACCTTTGTGGCTGATCTTTCCAGTGCAGAGGCATGTACCGGCGGGTTCGATACCCTGTGCTAGGAAAGCTTGAAGGTCTGGAACATATTCCTTGAAGATCGCACGGGGTGGTTTGGCGACTTCCTCCATGCCATTAAGGTTGTCAAAGAACCCGTCATAGAACATGTGACTATCCCGTAGTAAATATATCAGCAATGGAACAAAAGTCTGTTAAGAAAAAGGGTACTATATATATACCGTCTGTATTCTCCATCGGTGAATGATTGGTAACCAATTGACCGTTGTAACTCAATTGCTCCATCAATAGCCTTATTTTCGAGTTCCTTCAACTCGCTTGCGCTGAGACTTTTCTTTTCTCGGGCGTCTAGGAGGTATTGGGGCCGTAAGAGGGAGCCGATATGGTCGGCGTGTGCTTGGCTGCTTGAAGGCATTTCAAAACGTATCAACGATATAAATGCGATGTATACTAAATGTTCGGACCTCAATTGCAAAAGTATAATGTATGTGCAACAACTAAATCATAGATCTAGAAGAGAGGAAATTAATATGTAAATCCGTATACCCCAGATTCTGATAAAATGCTGAAAAATAATGCAGCAGATCAAATGTAAATTTATAAATGCGGATCTTGGAAAGTATTTATACATCACGCTAAATTGACTAGAGTGGAGATTTGAGAATCTCCATGTCTTTGCTACCCCGCGAACGAAACAAAAAAAATTCTTTCCCGAGGTCCCGAGGAAAACTGTCAAAAGATCTCAGCCTCCTTCTACCCGCTTCGTTTGAACTAGATACATTTTAGAATTAAGCCCGGATGATTAGATGCTGTCGACAAGACGTCAGAATCTGCATATCTGACAGAGATAGTGTTGTTTCATAGAAAAATACAACAGCCAAATGTCAATCTCGACGTCACGCAAGCCATCATAATATTGACATTTAATAGAGAATCTGCATTTTTTTTTTTTCTCCCTCCCCCAGTATCGAGGGTTTCGATATTGAAGCTTCCCAGTTTTCCAGTTTATCATTGATCTTCCTTTTTGATTTAGGGCGTGGTGGTAATTTTTGGCCTTAACGTTAACGAAAGGTTTCGATCCGAAGCCATGATATAATCTTATCCCGCCCCGCAGAACCAAGCTAGGTCCGGCTAAAAGAGCCGGCAACGAACCAGATAACAGCTTTGTCCCGCCATCAGATTCAAGCTTCCCTGAAACCAAATATTCGTTCGTCTCAGGTCACCAGCTCTCTTTTCCTTACATCTATCTTATGCTAGCTATGCTTCCCCGCTGTTCACGAAGATGGTTCCTAGACAACCTCATACCATTATCGGGATAACCCAAGTCCATGAATTCTAAGTTTGGCATGTAGTACAACAGAAGAGGGATGAGACTCGCACAATCCACACCCCCAAATACTGCTCGAAGACTCTGTGGGCCTAAAAGTTCGTCTGCCAACGCGCTGATTTGGTTCATCTCTTCCTCCGTCCACCTCCACCGCAATAGCTCTTCAGCTCCCGAAGGCGTGATGATATAATGCGGCCGACCCCAAGCTATTGTTATCGACCGAAAGCGCTGGCCGATTTTTGGGTTGGCGAGAAGGCAGCGGACCAACCGCCATGTTTGTTGAGAGTAGTGACCGATTCGGAGGATGTAGTTGCACCTTGGGTAATGTTGTATGATGTCGCGGAACAGCCTGCAAACTAGCTGACAGCGGCGCAGGTCTGCAGGGGTGAGTGTCTCGTTGGCGATGATTTCAGCGAGTATTTCGGTTGGGAATATTGTGGGATTAGATGTTATCGCTGCCATACTCTAGCTGGTGATCCTAAGGATTATAGAAATCGAAAAATAATAAAGCCTCTCCTGGAGCTTCGGTGATATGAGTGCTTGGTTTTTAAAATGATGAGATCTCAGCTCAGGGCGCAGTTGATTTTAACCAGTTGGTAGGAGCGTAGCCTTCTTGTCAAGAAGACGCGGCGGCAGCAGTCAGCACCCACTCACGTGTCCACAGGGGTTTCGGTTCGGTCCACGTTGGATGTGTTACACAGATGGGAACGAATGACGAATTGGAGTTGAGGTTCGAAAATGCTATTCAAAACTTATATAAGCTTATTCGGACCGGCTATATATATAGTGTCCTCAAGTTTAAAAAAATCATAAAACTGTCCTTGACATATACGTTAAACTAAAATCAAAGGGTAATTATGGAAATGGATTTATACCACTTAATATCAAGTCGATGTACGTAGTGTGCGGTTTTTATGAGGTTCTTTTACAAATGTCAAGTAACTAAGTTATTCCACTCAAATCGACCCTATACTAATAGAGCTCGAGCTACCTAGATTCTTTAGACTGAGCATTTTGGGCAGCGCTCAAACACCGTTATGGATATATATGTCTGGGTAATTGTATACTTCTCCTGAGATATTACAGTTTCATTTTTAGCTATAAGCTTTACAAAATAAAATACAAGTCAATCTATAAACCTAAACACCGGTAGCTATGGATATACTATGAAGCCAATTCAAACTCTTTCATAGATTTCTATTCTAGCGTATGAAGGCCCAAGACAACAGTAGCCAAATATGCTGTAGAACCTGTGCAAGTGAGTATACCCAGATTAATAGCCTAACTAGCTGTAGAAGCCTAAGGTCTGGGGCCCTGGGCCATGGGAAAGCCGGCAGCGAATTGGAATTTGTGTAACCAAGAAACGCTCGAAACAATCCTATACTAAAGCAATTGATCTACATGTACAGACGGCTTCTGCCGATCTGTTTTACCACACTTATTAAATCCTGCGGTTGGCGTCGCACAAACCGCATAGCTTTAACTTAAATACAGTAGCCACCTGTTCTCGAGATCTTAAGATCGATTCGGTCCCAAGTTTGATCTAGCATTCTGGATATTCTCAATCTACCGTGTTTGACTAGTCGACTTCGACCTCGAATACAGATTATATCGATTATATTATACGCAGGATGGAGGGCCTCCATACCCAAGGCCGTTCGTCTACAGGTACAGGTAGCGAATCTATAGCTAACGAGAAATTTGACCTTATCATCATTGGAGCCGGAATCTACGGCTTATACACCGCTAAAACCTTCCTCACAATATGCCCGACAATAAGTCTTCTCGTAGTCGATTCCGTATGTATATCGGCCCAGATTCACCCGCCCGATTTGCACAAAGAAAAAAAAACAGAGAGAGACAGAATATCGTATCGATATCTGACAGTTTAAGGTGCTAATCTCATTTGGAAAAAAAAATTAATTCTTGCTGTATAGCTTGCTTCGATCGGTGGCGTATGGTCCAAGGAACGAGTCTATCCGGGTTTACATCTCCAACATCACTCTAAATTCTTCGAATTCTCTGAGCTACGCTACGAAGACGTACCGGAAATCGAAATGGATTACAACGGTAGAGGATATATAAGTGGTTATTCCTGGTATCGATACTTCCAGGCCTGGGCGGAAAAAATTGGGGTTATGAAGTACATTCGATTGAACACTACAGTCCAGCAAGTTACTCGACAAAGTGGAGATGAGTATCTTTGGAAATGCCAAATTGGAGACGACGATAAAAGTCTTTTATCAAAAAAGTTGATTGTCGCGACGGGGATTAGTAGTTTCCCCCGGTATCCAGATTTGGATTATTCTAAGTTTTCGGGACCGGTTATGCATCATCGATATTTTGGAGAACGGTATGAAGAGTTGGTATCGGAAAATGTGAAAGAGGTTGTTGTTTATGGTGCTTCAAAGAGTGGTCTAGACGCCGTGATGCAACTCGCGGAACTCGGGAAGAAAGTCAAGGTATGTACGCTTCCTATGGAAAATTTAAAACGGACAATCGTGTATAAATCTAAACTTCCATTTTGAAAAAGTGGATTATTCGAAAAGAAGGCCGGGGACCACCCTGGCTAGTCGATCTGAAAGGTTCACGTTCTGACCTGATCCTTATGCGCATTGTCAACACTATAGCTCCAGCTGCCTACCAAGGCGACGGATTCTACGGCCTCCATTATGTTTTCAAGCAAACATATCTTGGTAAAGCCTTTCAGAAATATGCATTTGAGAAGTTCGGGCAGCTTGTTCAAAAAGAATATAGATTAGATGATTCGCAGGTGGATGAAATATTGATTCCCATGGTTCCAAAGCATTCAATCATATGGAATTATAACATTTCTGGGACTGATAATTATGATGCTTCATTGTATGATCGAATACGTAGTAAACAGACCGAGGTAAGCAATAATCTTTGTATCCACAGTATGTTCAATATAGGCTGTGATATCCTGGTCGGCTGACTTTTGCTGTAGGTGGTCAGAGAGACGATAACCTCATTGGAAGGTAAAAATATCACTCTTTCCTCGGGAGAATCTTTAACTGCAGATGCAGTCGTTTTCGCGACGGGATTTAAAACTACAATTCCTTTCTTTGCAGAAGACCTCTCAATGCGCATTGGCCTTCCTTCGACTAAATACACTGAGGAATATCTGGAAAAATGGAGATACTTGGAAGCAGAAGCCGATGAGCGAGTCTATAAAGCAAACCCAGTTCTGCAGTATGCCCCACAGCCGCCGCCATACTTTCTATCAGACCCGGCTGCCGGTAAGCTTAGACTATATCACCATATACTCCCTACCGACCCGGAATTTTTGGATGGGAGTTTTGTAATCTTAGGCTCGTTTTCTGCGGCTTCAACGCTGCAGAGCGCAATGATCTTATCACTTTGGGCAGCGGTGTATATGTTCGGAAAGATGGAGTTACCTCCTCAAGATGAGATGGAAAAGACTGCAGCGTATGAGATACGAATGCATCAGATTCGAAGTCCTGGGATGGTCAACGATTTGCCCTGGGTCTCTTTTGATTTTTTAGCGGTAGGTGTAACCCCAAAATAATCCTATACCCCCCAAAATTCACACTTTATCACAATAATTTTTCAATTGGTATTTCATCAATTGGTTTTTGCCTGGTCTAACTCTGCGTATGTATAGTTCTCGACCATGATGTTAAAGGAGTTGGGATTGAACCCTTGGAGGAAGAAAGGGTGGTATGATGAGTTGGTCCATGCATATACATGCCATGACTATGGTGATTTAGCTAAGGAGTGGGTCGAGTTGCACGGAACAGTAGGGGACCCTGGAGGTTGTTCGCGTTCTTCTGTACCCACAGGGTCTATTTCTTCCGATTTCTAAGGCTCAATGGCCATATATCCCGAAGATTGGGTCGGAATATTGGCGCTTAGATATCATGATATGATATACATGTGTTCACTGGTCATTATATCAATAGCATTCATATATAACGGGAGAGCTCGAGCGAGACGTGATTAAAAATCGGAGCCGTTTCATTCGCTCTCAAATGTAGAACAAGGGTATTGTTATGCAAGTCTTTGCACCAAAGTATCTCCACCTGCAGCTGCAGGTCGTAATTCGGATTTCTTTTTTGAAGCATTTCATTTATGAACTGCTCTATGTAATATACCTCATGACCGGTACCGGCTGTGGGTGACTGGCCAATGAGCAGCCCCGGGTGTGGTTTCCCGGTGTAAAACAATTACCCATGGGAGAAGGCAGCATCCTCCAGTTGATGGTTGAATAGTGTAGTTGGTTATCACATCGGATTTTGAAGGAGTCTCACAGCTTGGCCAGAGCTCCTAGAAACATTCCGGGGACCCGGGTTCGAATCCCAGTTCGACCTTTTTTGGCATTTGGAATGATACCGATTCGGCCTTGCATGAGCAATTTTTTTTTAATTTTTCTTGATTTCTTTCTTCCTTTGTTCCTTTGGTGGGATGAGAAATGTCTCATGCAATCCTTTCGTCTCGAATATTATGTTGAAGATCGCAAACCAAGCTTCGGTTTGGCGAAAACTTGGTTGTGGTGTTCGGGATGGCTAAGCTTCTCACGAGATTTTAGGTGCGGCTGCGAAACCTTGACGTTCGAAATGTCATCCGATTGGACCGTCGATGAAGTACAGGAAAGGAAGGCTGCATTGAAATTAGTCGATATCCATCCCATTCGAATTCTAGAATGTCAATTCTAGTCTTATCTATCAGCCTTACGAAGTCAGCTCACCCGAATCAGAATTCTATCCATTGATTTTTTTTATCTAAAAAATATATAAAAAAATGTCACAAAAATGTAATAAAACGAGTTAGGATAAAATGAAGTTATACACTTACAAATTTATGAACGCCGTAGTCGGTGGTGGTCAATGCCTCGATGAATACCAGTGGTATTCCGTACCTCCACTCAGTTAGTAATGCATCCCACGACTGACATCCGCATTGTCGCTAGTCTGCAAGCTCGGACACACAAGAGCTAGCTAGAAGTGGCCAGGGTAGCTCGAGAGGTACCGGACTGGTCTAGGTCCCATACATGCAAGTGCGTATCAGCTTACCTAGTTGTTGCGTGCTTGCTTGCTGACTTTGGTTGTATTTCATGATGCATGGCCTCCAGCATGGCCATCACATTCGACTTTTTCCGATCCCGTGCCCTTCCCAATCCCTTCAGCCCAGTCCCGACTTGCCCGAAGTAGTTCGTTAATCCACTTGTAGCGCTGTTGCATACTTATATCCTGTCATCTGCAGTTGTTTCGATTCTGACTTTCAATTCACATCACCCAGCTTCATCGTTGCCGTCATTATCGTTCGCTGCAACGTTATCCTGTCGTAGTTCATTGTTTTTCGTTCCTAAGCAAGGAGATTCAGAAAAAGAATAAAAAATATAAAATATAAAAAAATATAAAAAATAAAAAATATAAATTCACCTGGTTTCGATTGATCTCGGAAAGCTTAACCCATTTAATTTCCAACTTGTTTTCGTCGTTCAAAAGTAGTTTTCGATCAACTTGCGGGCTTCGTTCGCTACCTACTAGCCAAAATGAATTGTAAGTCACCTAGATGCTTTCCTTCTTATTCTTCCTCTTCTTCTTCTTCCTCTTCCTCCTCATATATCGAACCCAATCGGATTCGATATATTTCCAATTCAACGTTTTTCTTCCCTAAATTTCGCCTTGCTCTTCTCCCTTGCGCCGTTGCGGTGACTGGGGTGTGCAACAAGCAATTTCTTAGTCGGCTTGTTCCTTCGGGCAGACGCCGGGCAGGCTTGGCTGCCTTCGAAACCTCGAAACAAGATCCCGAAAACTGCTGGGCCTGACATTCCCGATTCAACGAGCTAAATATCAGTGTTCATGTGCACGATAACGATGACCATTCTGACGATTTAGTTTTCGTTATCATCATAATTGCCTCATTTTATAGGGAACAAAAAAAAAAAAAAATTTTTTTTATCATTTTGTTCTCATTAACAGCAGCCCGCTAACATAAAATGTCATCCAATCCTCACCAGGTCCATCTCGTGTCGATGAAACGATCGGCCATGATGAATATAATCAGCAACCAAACCACCTCCCGGCAGACCTCACAACCAACTCCGACCTCAATAACGTCTCCAACATGAACCGCCGTAATGATGCCAGTCGTGGCGGTATCAATACGTTCAACAACTCTGCTGGAGGCGACGGTGTGGTTGAGTCCCTGGACAGCGACGATGTCCAAATCACCGCTGTAGGGGGTGGTGGGGAGGGGGGCGTTTCCGGCTCACCCCGAGCTGGAAACGTGGATGAGAAGAGTGGCTTGCATGATGTTGTTGAAGTTGTTGAAGACGAGAAGGGGAAACTAGGAGGCGAGAAGAGAACTGAAAAGCCAAAAAAGAAGGTCTACTTCTTCGCCAGTGCTGGAAGGCGTGAGCCTCCGGTCGGTGGAGCTGGCCCTGGAGATACCTTTTGGAAGAAAGCACTCTCTATGGCCCTTAAGTATGCCAAGTTCATGGGTCCGGGATTCATGATCTCTGTGTCTTATATGGATCCTGGTAACTACGCTACCGATGTAAGCTTTACCTTAATTATATAACATTCCCACGCAGTATAGTTTCCTTTTACTGACCCTTTCAACTAGGTTGCTGCTGGTGCTGCCTTCAGATTCTCACATTTGTTTGTCATCCTCCTTGCAAATATTCTCGCTATCTTCCTCCAATCGCTCTGTGTCAAACTTGGTAGTGTCACCGGTGTCGATTTGGCTGAGAACTGCAAGAGAAGTTTCCCACGATGGCTCTGCTGGACACTTTATTTCTTCGCCGAGGCTGCGATCATCGCAACCGATATGGCCGAAGTTATCGGTTCCGCGATCGCATTAAATATCCTTCTTAAAGTTCCGCTTGTAGCTGGTTGCGCTATCACTATTCTTGACACTTTCATCGTCTTATGGTTCTATAATGCCGATGGTCCCGTCAAGCACATTCGCTGGTTCGAGTTCTTCGTTGCCCTCCTGGTTTTCGGAGTCGTCATATGTTTTGCTATCGAGCTAGCACATATTGAAGACACTCCGGTCGGTGAAGTTTTCAGAGGTTACCTTCCTTCGAAGGCCGTAGCTTCAGGAAACGGGTTGTACCTCTCTTGCGGTATACTTGGCGCCACGGTGATGCCTCATTCGCTCTTCTTGGGCAGCGGTATCGTTCAAGCCCGTATGAAGGAGTACGATAACTGGCATGGCAATGAAAGTACCGCTACTGTCGCTACTGAAGACACGGCCATTACCATTGAACGCAAGTACAAGCCTACTTTGGAGGCCATTAGATACACCATGCCTTTTTGTATCACCGACATGGCGGTCTCACTATTTACTTGTGCCCTTTTTGCAAACTCTGCAATCCTTATTGTCTCCGCTGCTACCCTTTCTAACACTCCAGAAGCCCAAGACGCTGACTTGTTCAGTATCTATGAGCTTTTGGTTGAGAACCTTGGCAAAGCCGCCGGTATCCTCTTTGCCGTTGCTCTCCTTTTCTCGGGAGAATCTGCAGGAATAGTGGTTACGCTTGCTGGTCAAATGATCTCTGAAGGATTTCTCAACTGGCGGATGAGACCATGGCTTCGTCGTCTCATCACACGTGCTATCGCCATCCTGCCGTCCATAGTTGTGGCCGGAGCGGTTGGGCGAAGGGGCTTAGCAGAGGTTTTGAATGCCAGTCAGGTCACCCTTAGCATTATCCTCCCCTTTGTGACTGCACCATTGATTTGGTTGACATGTCGGGCAAAGTATATGCAAGTGGAGGATCCTAATGGCGAAGTTATTACCAACGATCAAACCGGGGCCGAAGACGGGGCAGTGAGAAGACGTTCTGTGGATATGAGCAACAACTGGTTCACTTGTGCATTCGCGGTTGTAGTCTGGGGCTTCATTGCTGGTTTGAATGTGTAAGTTTCATCTTTCGGGCAGTTGTGCCACCCTTTCTTCTCCAGATGAAAAACAAGGCTAACCAAGGCAACAGGTATTTGATCATAACCTTGGCGATGGGTAATGCTTAAATTCGGCCTAGGCAGGCTATAGGATCTAAGGATATATGCCATAAACAACAGCTATTAGACTTTAGCTACTTATCTCTGGGGAAGGATTGGTAAAAATAAAAAAAAACGGGAAACTACAGGCAACATTTTTCGGTCTACCCGTAGTTTATGCTTTAACGATGTGCCTCGTAGATGCATCGTTTGTATTGACCAGCGTTTGTTTCATCACGCTCTTTTCTCTCTATTTTCGAACCCTGTCTCTTTGGGGGCCTTCAAAAAACCCTTGACAGTTTAATGTTTATTTCTTAGTCACTCGCTTTGTAGGTGGAAGGTTTCAATAAATTATTTTTTTTACACTTCAGACCGGCTACTCACCATACTGATACGATGAAGGGGGCTATTAAGATTCAGATTATTAACAAGTATCCATACATGCTAATTTTTCGTCTATAATTTAGACGTTGATCTAGAAATTTAAAAAGTACAGCCTCAAGTAAAACTGTGGTATTGGTGCCGCGTAGCTTAACATGTTTAACCGTCTTCTTCGACGTGCAACAAATTTAAACATGTTTACTAACGTTCTAACAGCATATTTCGCTAGTTTACCGACACGGCACGCTTCGATCGGTGGGTATATTTTGTAAGTTCAAGTTCGGACGATTTTTTCTTCTTTTTTTTCCTTTTAAAATTTTCCTCCCCGCAAATTCGGATGCATCTTGTTGCTGTACTGTGCTGTGTCTCGAGGTGTCCAGTTGGCCTCGAAGTTGTCTCTATCGGGAACCTATAGTACTTACATCTAACTATGCTCTCCTCTGCGCCCGCTTGTATTTAATATAATATTACAATTTTGCAACTTAAGTATAACTACTAAGTAATATAGTCATTACATAAGTATGCAAGTTGTATCACCAATCAAACCCTGGAACGCAGGTCGGGTCGAATTAATTAATTGCAATGTTGGATTTGTATTAATCTCACATGACACTGCGAATTAAGTACCAATCCCATTATCGAACGCCATTTAGCTTAGAACAAGACTCATTAGATCGTTATGGCGAAGATGTAAAACTTCTAGAAGCTCAAACTATTTGGTGCCGGGTCCACCGATATTATATTAAAGACCGGATCATAATCTTAATCTCAAATATGTATCGCTGGAATTAACACCCGAATGAACACTAGGATATATTATCGCTCCTAAGCCAAATAGCAAGTACGAAACGCAAATCAGGAAACTGTTGAATTAACTGACCTCGAAACTAATCTTAATATGGCTTTTCGGCCGATTGAATACGCACAATTCGCGATGTTCGAATCGGGTTCCTGATTTGTGGAGGTTGATTGGGCCCAATGGATCGATATCGGGTCCAGAGATCCTTGAACCATCGGGATATTTTCAGAATCCTTTAACCCACCGTGTTCGCAAAACTAAACATTCTGACCACGACTTGCCTCCTCGAGATCACGGGCTAATGGTGCCAGTTCACGAACTCATCTCTCGCAACCGCCCAGAGAGCCGCCCAGGTTTCTCTTTTCAGCAACGTCGCACAGCCCAAAAATAGCCAGCTCCACAGTTCGCTTCAATTGGTGGGTCGTCCCTGTCCGCCAAGCACATCTCATTAATTTGCACGGCGGCAAGTGCTGTTGGACTAGACAACAACACACCTTCCAACGACAGGTCGTGTTCAAACATTGCAGCACCGGAACATCTGCTGTCCAACAGGAAAACAATCCAACGACCTTTTTGTGACGGGAAGGGTTCCATATGCATGGCTACCCGTGAGCTAGGATCAGAGGAAATGTTGGGAATTTCCCGGTCTTTGCGGCTTTCGTCGTTGGCAAAGGGCACGAACACCTGCCTCATGGTGGAAAGTCCGTGGTCGTGGTCTTGAGGGGAAGCGAAGATGCATGATGGCGGGTATGGGCCTTGGAAGCTATAAGAATAGCTATAGCCGCTTTGGAGCCTCTCCAATTTTACCAATGGTTCGCCGTTTCCTGGTGGGGATGGTGTCATAGCCGGGCCATTTACATATGACTTTTGTTTTATTTTTCGATCTCGAGCTCTCGGAAACATAGGTATTGTACCTTGCACATGCGGACCCTTGCCTTTCTATTTTTCCTGCGCATACATATGCAAGGACGTGAGATTTCAAAGATAGGCACATACTTGACTTTTTTCCCTTGATAAACTATGAGACACACCTTGATTCCCTAAGCTACCCATATCCCGATTCGGCCAAACTTTTCCTCTGCGCTGTCGCTCCTGAAGAACAGAAATTTGGCTCTTTTGGGACTAAGTATATGAAGCATTTGGTACCCCTAGTTTCGTTTTTATAATCTTCTTTCTTTCCCCCCTCTCTTTTACGGTGCAGGTACTGGTTACACATTTTCTTGCGTTCTTATCATTCCCTTTTAATACATCTAATATTCATTTCTGCGACACGCGGCGCACTTACGCATAACTTTCTGGAAAGGTTAGCTGGTTTATATACGACATTATTTGAAGGGGATTGATCCCTTTATAATTTCACGTTATCGTTTTATTGAAACAAGGTGGATACGCTCTTTGATCCAGTACGCAGGTTATCGAGCAATCATACCTTGCAAGGGAATAGCTTGTCAATGAACTTCCAGCAAACAAGTTTATAATATTGCAGTTCATTCTTTCATATGATCAAGATGACACGTCGAGTGCACCGGGTGCCACTCGGCCCCTTCGTGGTCCTCTTCCTCATTCCTATTCTTTCGCACGCACAATCAACGTTGTCTTCATTACCATCTTCATCTAAACCGATATCAACATCTACAACAATACCTTCTACTACGACATCAAGTACCGCCGCATCTTCAACAAAGACAGAATCACTAGTAGCAACGGCAGCAGTCGAAGAACCGAAAAACATGTTGGTTACAGTTTCGTATATCGGAATAGCAGTTGGATGTGCTGTGCTTGCGATCTTTGCTTTGACGATTTTCTTTTCTTATCGTCAGAGGAAGGCGAGGACTGAACAACCACCGATGACGGATGCGAAGAAGGAGTATATCGAATATTTCAGAAATCAAAACAACGGTAATGGTAGCGGTGGTCAAGGCGGTGCAGAACAGGGAGCTGGGAATAATGGTTCTTGGGTGAATTCGATGACGAACTCGAATGCGAAGTCTACCGAGAATACAACCCATACTAGATCTGGATCCAAGAGTTCTCTGGCGCGTTTTCATTTTAGATCTTCTTCAAAATCGCAGGAACCAGTTGTGGAGCCTATCCTGAAGATCGAGGTAACCTCCAATCCTTCCCTAAGGCCAGCGAGTGCGTTCCCAGAGTCCCTTGTTCCAAAGAGACTCAAGGCTCAACAGCCAAAGACCACTCCATTCGAAGGAAATAATACTTCGCAAATGCCCCACATGCCAAAGTTTGAAGTTCCTGGGAAGATTATATATGAAGATTCAAGAATTTCGGCGCCACCGCACGCAATGACTACGTCCGACAATGAGAGTGGATATAAATTCCCACCGCGGACAACTAGCCGAAGGGCACCCCCTATGCCCCTCGCCATTCGACCCTTTGCTCCATCCAGTGCGGCGGGAACACCAAGGACTATCGCGATTCAGTCGCCACAGTCATTCACCGCCGTCGGACTGAGCCCTACTCCACCTAGACGTAATGAGGCGCAGCCACAACGAGCGAAGAATCCTTACAACCAATCACAATTATCACCAATCCAAATGCAGCCAATCAGGCCTTACAGCCCACTCGAATCTGCTTCTGGAAGGAACAATGAGCCTCAGCCATACATCCCATCGTGGATGGATATGCCAAAACAAAACCCTAAATTGGATATGGAGCCACGTTCAATAACTCCCCAGCAGCCTAAAAAGCCCATTCCTCGGGAGCTACGTCCCATGTCATCAACTACTATTGCTAGTGATGCCAGTCGCGCTAGTCACAGCTTCTCCGATTATGAGTACTCTAGCTATGACGAAGATGACTACAGTGAAGATGAGGATAGAAACTACGACTATCAATCCCAAGTGTATGATAGCTACCGCCGAAGCACTGATAGTTACGACGACCGAAGGCCCTTGAGTGCCCGGTCTTATGAAACTGGATGGTCTTATGGGCCATCTCACTCCTCAAGAGACAAAGCACAGGCGGCACCGAGGTCACATGCCGAACCATACGCTTCTTCTTCTCAGCTTTCTGCAAGGGATAATAGAAGTGGATCCAATGGTCGTCAGAAAACGCCCGTGCCGGTTAATGCGAATTCAACACTTAGCCCCACCACTTACATCAACAATAGGGGTGGACGGGAAGCCGTAAAGACCTCCCCTGTTACCCCGCCTCCAGCACCTCCACCAAAGGACTGGGAAGTCATTGCGATCAAAATGGACCCATACCCGGCGTTCGAGGCCACAGTTAGATCATCGCCGGCTCCAAGAGGATATACACCACGACCGGCTTTGAAGGCCAGTGGGTTGCCAAACAACCCTAAGACCAAGAAGCAAACCGGATGGGATGAGGATTTGGAACGAGGCTATTATTGAGCTGACAGTTTTTTTTTTTTATGGTGCCGACCGTTCCGTTTGAGTATAATGGAAAGAAGAAAAAGTTATAGTCAAAAAGATACTTTAGAGGATTCGATCTCCACCTTGATGAAAGTTATGTACCGTATATGACATGGTTCCCTGGAGTTTATTGATTTTTCTTGTTATTATTAATTGTTTTATTGTTTGTTTCTGAGCCTTGGATTCCCATTTTTGTTTTTTGGTTCGCCAGATCTCTCTCTCTCTCTCTCTTTTTTTATTTTTCTTCTTTTCGTTTGGGTTGAATTTGTGTCATTTTGGGTGTTGAATGGGCCTATTTCCTCCTTTTTTCTCCTTCCAAAACCTCTTTCCATTCCTCTTCTTTCTCTTTCTCTTCCTCTTCTTTTCCTTTCAATCCCACCTTTTTTATTTGATCATCAACATGGTCCTATCCTGCAATGTAAATTTTAATGACGATGGGCGTGTAGATAGTCTCTTTCAGTAGGCACCAATCTTACTTGAAACTCACCACCATAAACAAAAGCCCACCTTTCTGCCTGCCTTTCAAACGGCTTGCGGAATATATATCTAAGAAATCGTGAATCCCAGCCCTGATCCAACTTTTCCTGTTATAACCCCCTTCCCTGGTCAATGATGGAAGAAAAGAGAGAAACTTCCACGTGGGAAATGACAAAGCCCGCCACTGACCAGGTGCACGGCCCAAATGTCTTGTTAATTGTCCAACCACGACCGTGCTGGTGGAGTTGCCACGCGAGACTAGACCCCTTGTATCGGTATTGCGGCAAGGGCTAGCATTCATTGTGTACCCACTTTTGGAGGAGGGAAGGGGAGAAAAAACAGTTAAAGTTTCTATTCTACTCAGGCAATTAACTGGATTCGGACTGGACAGGCATGTGGGTTTATGGCGAACGAAACGGCTTGGGTCTGGGTCGGTGGTGTAGACCTTACTAAGTACTTATTTATTAACAAAGGCGTATTGATTCTCGCATGACCTGTGCGAAATAAAAAGGAGACGGTGTCTACGGAAAAACTTTTGGACTTTGTGTCTATATCTCTATTTATCTATCTATCTATCCATTTACATCGGATTTCTTTAATTCAAGCCTTGAATTTTGCTTCTCGAAAAGCACTTTTCCTCCTCGACGGATATTTCTTTCCATACAGACTTACTTATACACAAAAAGTATAGATACTAGTAAACTCGACTACTAGAAACTGACGATTCCCAAGTCGGTTATATCTGCTACCTTCACAATGACGCTCCTATCACGGTCCATGTCGGCCTTCAAGTTCCCAAACAATACAAACCAGGCGGGCAGTAGCAGCAGTAGCAGTAGCAGTAGAGCAGAAGCAGGACCCTCCCGTCAACCACCCCGTCCCTTCCCCTTTCTCCGACTACCCCGCGAAATCCGTGACGAAATATATTCCTACCTCGTCCTCTTCGATCCACAACCTCTCGCCTCGACCGCCAAATACTTCCTGCCACAATTCCAACAACCCCTAAGTACGATCCGATCCGCCGCTCCTCTTGTAAAACTCCAACGACCAAGACTAGATCTTGCGATATTCCGTGTAAACCGAAAGATCCATGAAGAAGCAGCTAGAATGTTTTATAGGGAGAATACTTTCCCTATTAGGATTATTATTCGTAGACCTGGGTATTCGATGAAATTTCCCGCGAAGAAGGGTGGGTTTGATGTCTATTATGAGACTCTGTGGGATCGTGTCAACTTCTTTTATCATCCGGATCAACAGTAAGTACTCTCTTTCTTTTTACAGATGCGGATCGTAAATTAAAATGTCTTTCCAACGGTTCCCTTTTTATTAATCTTCCATTCATAGTGTCCGCGAATTCCAAGAAGTCCAAGAATTCTACCTCGGCCGCACCTTCGCCCCCATCCACAACCCAGAATCCGAACTCCTCCCAGCCGCCATCTACCGTCCCGTTCTCCGCAAAGTTCACATAGACGTAATAGACACCCGCACCGGCGACGAAGATTGGAGAGAAGAGCCCCGCTCAAGCGTCCGCACGGTCCTAATGCCCCTCGTAGCCCGTCTAAAGCCCGTCCTAAACCCTGCAGGAAAGCGTCTAAACGTCAAAATTAGAATCCTAACCATAATGGAATCATACAACCCCACGGACCCGAACTACGGATCCTACGAAAATACATCCGCATGGGGGGATGTTTATAACGATATTAAGAGGAAGAAGGTTAAACGACCGTCAGAGAAGAATGTGAAAAGACTTATTGCGATGGCGTGGCCGTTGACGAGGGGGAAGTGGAAGTATTCGCTTGTTACGCCGTTGGATCTACACTTGATATTTGAGAAGGCTATTAAAGCAGAGTTGGAGAAGTGTAATAAGGATGTAGGGACTGAGGAACAAGAAGCGGAATATAAGAGTGCGAAGTTGGGGGAGATGTGTTTTTGGACGAGGGAGAAAGGGAGGTTAGTGGTTATGAGTACTGCGGATTAGTTGGTCTGGTTTCCACTGGGAGGTAACTATGATTCTTGTAATTTAATATTTAACGGTCTTTGCATAGTCGGTTTTAATTTTACTGTATATAAATATCGCTGGTTGTAATGCATTATTTAATGGAGTTCAGAGCGTGCGAAGTTCTTCTCGTTATAACGTTACACTGATACCGCAGCGCTAAACATACCGCTAAATCTACTTAGTTTATGTAGCGTAACAGGTATAATGTTATCCATATATTAATATATTACCTGTTTGAGGTCTACAGATTTGTAGAGTGAAGATCTATTAATATACATTACTGTACCGTAGCTATAGTATACCTAAGGACCTCGAGCTCGAACTTGCGTAGGGCTGCAGGGAACCAGTCTTTAATCATATCGTCCCTCAACAATCCCTCAAGCAACACACAAAATACAACGAAGTCGACTCTCGAATGGAGCTCAACCGACGAATTCGGGTCGATTATTTTTCATACTTCATATGTGAGGTTATAAATTATTTCGTAACTTAACAGCGTCTCGACTGTATTATAATACATGAACTTTTCTACATAAAGCGACTGATGATTTTCAGAAAGAATGGGAATGGAGCCACAACCTCAACCAGCCCTCATAAATTCAGAACTACTTGACGAAGCGGTAACACCGGCTCAAATAGAGATGACCAAACGACGCTGCACTGGTTTCTCGGATAACCTAAGGCCATGCATAGTCCCTTTACATGTTTAATTCACCGATTTGACAGTTTTAAACCGCAAAGGTGTATATAATATATGTACCGAGAATTCATAGATATGTGCATGAATCTAACGCACTCTGAACTTCGCAAAAGGAATTAAACGAATGTCGATGAGAACACGCATATGTAGTCGGTTGATAGACAGTGGTAACCGTGCGTATGTGCGATGTTGTAAATATCGATAACGGAATCGTAACGGTTTTCCTTGGGATAAAAAGCTTTACCGGGAGCTTGAGGATGTTTGCGATTAATTGTTCTAGGGTGGCTATAATGCTGTAAGGTATTCCAAGAGTCTCGGGGTTTCCTAAGGAGTAAGAGACCTCGGACCGGCATTCGCAATTCAATATTCCACACTCGTAATCCAAAACTGATTTTAACGGTGTAAACTGATGTATAATGTTTTTCTGCGATCCAAACAGGACCTGTTTTGTCCTTGATACTTTTGCGGGCCGTTTGTGTTAATATGTACCATGAGCCGTGGAAACCATTTAGAAGTGCACATGCATGACCATGAGAATAATGTTTTTTGATAGGCCCGAACTGATGATGCTAGTGTACGGACCGACAATATCAAACCCTCCATAAAAAATCGACAAATTGGATGCTACAGCCTTGACCTGAAGTCATAAATTTGGCCGCCTTGCTCGGCAAAGTCTTGGAAAGGTGCTTTAGTTCGTATCGATTTTAGAGGTGTGCTCTCGCGCCCCGTAGAGCTTGGGCAAGTCGAAGTGACAATGCCTATGTTCGCTCCAAACAACGTCTCCCTCGTCGAGTTTTTGAATATATAATAGTATTATATATCGTCTGTTTAACTGTTTGCGCTGTACACTTTCAACCTTCGGACATACTGCTGGTTCAAGTGAATGAAAGCTAAGAATTTCTGTTAGTACTAGTCTTCTAAAAACAAAAGAGATTGAGGTATTAAAAAGACGCAAAGGGTAGGATTTCCGCTGACATACCAGCTTCATCAGATGAGCTATTATTATGTATCGAAAAGTCTCCTGATCAGAGTGTATCGGTGTTTGTTGTGTAGAGGCGTAACAATGACAACCAAGAAGCATATTCGGGTACCGGTAGAACTAAGTCGACATCGCCAGCAACCTGTCCGTGCCCTTAATACCTTGTCCTTACCAGTACCCGCTATCCAGCACCTGGATCGCCACTTCGTACCCGAATGACAGCCGCAGGAAGCTATAAACCAAACAATAGCTGCGGACGTTCGCCCATGTGTCTGACATTAAATCTATCCGCTGGAACATTAGCGTAGTTCTATAATTATTGCGTTATAACTAAAAAGACAGCAGAACTTACTTCAATTCTAATAACTATGTCGTGTAGGCGCATGATCGTAGTATTGCTGAAAGCCGTGATATCAAAAAGAAAATAGCGCGCATGTAGGTATAGAGCCCTTCCATAGAAAACTTTGTACAGAAGTTGAGATGGTCTCTCGATGACTTGCAAAACCAGATGGGTCCTGTAGATACGAAACCACCTAAGGCCAAGATTATGACCGAATGAACTCCAAAATCTTTCCTATGCTGCCCATACCAATTGCGGAGAGACACCAACATCTCCAGATGCTGGTATATCAACATGTATAAAACTTCCAATCACCGAGAACAAATACACCTTCTTTCAACCATTCTCGAATTGCAAGCAGAGGTATATTTTTTGACTGGCAGCCAGGTGAGCGCTCGGGCTACTCGATATTTGTTTATTAGGGAAATAGTGGTAGTGATTCTTTAAATTCCGGCACATAGAATCGATTCCGGAAGAGAAAATTCGTCCATTGTTTTGAAGACAACTATATGTACCTGCGTGTGTTCCAGGGCAAGTGACCATGACTTGGTCATTGTCTTATTATAATTGTAAGCCGATACTGCGAACATATGATCTCAAACCGAGAGAGGATTCGGAGCATGTATTTTTCGTCCGGCAATTGTTTTCGTCGTAGCTATTTGGGCCTCCCAATTGCTTCGTCCCACCTTAATTTTATGTTATATCGAGTCTCGACGCGGTGAAGAGGTGGACAGGTCTTCTTTTTTTTTGCCGTTCTCCGCCGCAAATGCTGGTAGATGAATCTGAATGCAACGATTTCTGTAATATCTGGTGACAATCAAGGAAATTTTCTTGGAAAAGATTTCGTCTCTAATTCGCTGACTGATTCTGTAAACTCATATGCCCAGCCACACATAGAGAACTAGCCATCCAGGGACAGAACAGAATGCTGAAAATCAAGAACGATCTCGAGAAGTATTAGACCAACGAGCCTTGACATTCCAAGTTGTTGAAAAATTATCCGGGAAACGCATATGACTGACGAGGGATTCGAAAACAATGTAGAGAAGTATTCGAAACGTTATACCGGTATAAGAATGGAAGACACGAATAACGATCCAATACCAGATAAGTGTTCCGTTTCGAGTATATGATTTTCCCAAAAGATATTTGTCCCAGACATCGGAACCGCGGACTTAACATTAAGAGAATATGTTCATAAGTATCGAACCGTATCTCGAAATTGGAAGTGAGTGGAGTTTGACCCGGAAAATCATATTTCCCAATGAGTCAAATACTCCAAAAAGAAGTCGTAAAGATGGTTGAATACCTGATCTCCTTGAAGAGAATCTGGACTAAGAATTTCGTAGTTGCTGCTAAACCTCTGAAAGAAATATATTTGCCACTAGTTTTGGATACCGGAGTTGAAAGAGCGATCAAGAACATAGAAATTCATATGTCCGATGAGGAGTCGGGTTCGAACGTTCCCTGAGTGCTGGGGCTACTCGAAGATCGGGGGAAATTTTCCAATATCGCAATATCTCCAAACTTCTGTGTAGCCATCATGAAGGCAAGCCTGGATTATCTTGTAAACCAGAGAGCCTGGAAGAAGTTCTGGAACATCTATGAATTTCATCTCAAGGCTCTGTGAATGGGTATTAACGCTGAGGGGGAGCGAAGACGGAGATTATCATGTGTTCAGTGAATTGAATCGCATGATATCTTGAGATTCGAAAGTTACAGGGGTAACGAAGTTGTCGATTAAACTGTAGAGAATATTATGAACTCTATACCCGTCTTTCAGGATCAATGACTCAATAAAGCTCCCACAATAGGGTCGAGTTGGTAATCGTGTTTTCCTTAGAAATCCGACTTCTCCTGTGCGAAACCATTTGTTCTCGTCCAACTGTCCCGAAGGATTGAATGTATGGATTTTAAACATGGAAATCAGATGGCCAAATGGGCAAACGATAAACTTTCCGCAACAATGTCGATTATTTGAACTGCGGTATAGAATTCGTGATAAGAGCACAGGCCCACGACCAACTTGCGCCAATAGTGCAAACGCATTTCCATTCCAGAGAACTATAGGAAGCTTTTGTCATATTAGTATAAAATTTCCTGTATAAAAAATACATTGTATCACTTACAATTCTTATTGGAGTCTCGTCTTTAGACCATATCATATTTATACGTGTATATCCGAAGCGAGTTCCAAGAGGCTGTAATTCAAATCCAAGTCTTCGGGAGCGGTATGTGTAGAACCTTGCAATTGATCTCATATTTCCGCAGAAAATATCAACGTCCAAAAGAAGATCGAGGCCAACCTAAGCTCTTGATTTTCTTTTTATACGATCTCTCGCAAAAACAAGGCTCATAAACTGTTGCCTGATATGCATATGCAATATATTCTTCGGAGAGATTGCCCACTTTAGGCTATAAAGTTGTATGAGTGCGGTGCTGTCAAAAGTTTTCCATTAGCTTATGCATTCACAAGAGAGAGAAAAATTGACTGAAGTGGGATAGTACCTTGGATGTTTCTATAAAATGTCAATATTCTTCTGAAATCTTTGCTTTTAGTCCGGGGCTTCTGGTACTAGGCATATATATCGATCATAGCCCGGCAATAATATTACATGTAGTATTCTTATTAATATTCACGGAGTGTTTTAATGATCTGGTAGTAGTTCGGGACCATGACTATTCCGTAGGTAGGTAAGTAGTTGATATGTAGGTAAAACAAGAGGACTAGGGTATAGATAGTCTTATGGAGTGTATATAAACTCAATACGAAAGTAAGATACTTAGGTATATAGATAAAATATAAAAAAGTGGGAGCGCAGGTATGTATATCTTGGGGCTGGAGGAGAATGAAGGATATAGTAAAGAGAAAGGAAAATGAGAAGGGAGCGCAGGGGGAGCGCAGGGTTTATATATCCTCTCTGATCAATTACGGAGGGAATATCAAGGTAAATACGAGAATGTTCTGAACAGTTTCCACGACGTTCGTGCAGGACATTCGTGTAGCAGATTGCCACGTCCTTCGACCTTCTTTGAAAGAAATTCCAACGTTTATATTCCATATGGTAATACACTAAGACTTAATATCGAAACTCCCCCGGAAATAAACCTGAGCTCTCCCCTTGAGACTACTTAGCCAAAAGCTAGCAGATATGTACACCGACAGAAGCAGCGGCCAGGTGGCTAGGCGGATGCAAAACAAAACAACATATCAAAACAGCCAGAGACGCCCGCAAAAGTAGCAAGAATTCGGAGTGGTAGGTATACCAACAAACACTAGTAAGTCATCATAACATAAAGACCGATCGACTCCGGCCTGGTGGTTTATCTTCTATATCCCAAGCCAAGATTTACTCCTCTCCCATACCAAGAAAGATGTTCTAAAAAATCAGGTTTTGTTAGTATATTTTCAATGCATGACACCAAACTTGGAAGCACTTACGCAGTCATCGGCACAATCTTGACAAAACCGATACTCAACCCAATATAAAAGCCTCTGAATCCTCTTTCTCTAAATATCATCTTCGCAGTCTCTGCGACATTGAAAGCTCTGCCATCGCCTACGGCTCCACCGACTTGCATCCGTCTTCTAATAATCTCAAGCGGATAACTGGCGGTTTGTCCCACCAATCCTGCAACACCACCTGCGAACAATTGTGCTGGAGTCGTAAGTTTTGATCGCTGGGAGTGGCTGTACGGCTCCTTGCTATCAGATGCCACCCCGGTATTTGGCCTAACGCAGTATTTTTCGAAATCAGGAGAACGGAGAAGGTCGCCCATTAAATCGTGGGCAAGGAAAGAACATCCAGCGTATGGCAAAATGCCAAGAATCGTCGGGAAGAAGCCGCGGTAGAAATTTGCGATACCAGACAAAGGAGACCTGACTTGTTGGGGAAGAGCATCGTATGTTGCAGCTGAAGCATCGGAAGCTGTTGCAGCAGCGGATCGGGCGATATTATAGGCTGCATTTGCGGATTGCAAATTGGATGAGAATGATCTTCGAGACGGTGGCGGTTCCTGGTAGATTTGACGGAATATAGTGGTGATCGAGGTTTTGTAATTCTTTTTCGTTTCGTACGCCAGACGGACACGGGTCAATTCGAGTGGATAGGTAAAAAATACGGACGTCACGCCTGTGGATAATAATCAATCAGTCTATCATTCCGAAGATATCACCATGAGATGATTTCGAGGGTGTATGCATACCAGCCAATGAACCACTCAATAACCGTCTGACCACCGTCTCATGCTCCTTGCTTGAAATCAATATCGCTCGATACTGCTCGTATGCTAAAAATTTGATAGCAGCGTAGGGAAACACTCGAACCAGGGTCATAGAGTGCCCTCTAAATAGTCCGATGAACCCATCCTGGTGGTAGATGTTGCGCACCGCATTTCCGAAGCCGAACCAGGAACCGGTGTATTTCTGAAACTGCGGAGACGATGTCTGGAAAAGGATTTTTACACGATCGAGAGGAGCGATGAGAGTTTTTGCCTACTCATTACAGAGTATTAATTGTTAGTTCTACCTGTTATCTAAGTTTTCAATGTCGAGTTTTGAAGCGACGAAGTACTTACAGTGCAACCGGCAACGCCACCGGCTAGACCACTACGGATGAGAAAATCCAGAGACTGCTCCTTTCGTCTCGGAGCTTGTATAGGAGCATTCTTGGAATCCTTTTCTGGTTTTAACGGGGATAATAACGGTGGTCCATCGTGGGACTGCGGCATGCTAACGTTCATCTTGGAGAAGTGAAAGGGAAGAAAGGGAGAAAGGAAAGGGCGACAGCCGAAAAATAATAAAAAATAATAAAAAATAGTATGGCAAGTGACGTCGGCTGAGCGAACGTTAATGCACAACAGAAAAACAGGACAGCTGAATCGGATCACATGCGACCGCACTTTCTTCCTTCTATGCGGATATCGAGATTAAAAATTTAGAAAAAATTACTGGTGAAAGATGGGATATTATTAGAGTCAATTTGGGGAAGAAATAAATTTAAAAGAAGGGGAAAAAAAAGAGATATCTGTGGAGTGGGTACTATATAGTACTTGAGATAGGAAAAAAAAAGATAGATGGCAGGCACAACCTTAACCTCAACCTCAACCTTATCTGCAGGCTAAGCATTCTTAAGTGAGTTCTCATGCGATGGGCTTCACCACTTGCATACATGTACCCATGACCAAACTGTGGGCGCGAGATACTTCATTGTTAATTGGCCAGCTTCGGTTGGCCGCGGTGTCAGCAGAAATGGTCGGACATTCCCCACAGAGAGCTCCAGCCAGGGCGACTAGCCGAGGGTTTAACGTTCTTCTCGCCACCAGGTCCGATAATTTATAATATGACAATCCGACTCCAGACTATTATTCCGGCTCACGAAATGTAAAATCCGGGGAAATGCGATCGCGCGATAATTTTAATATTTAGCATGTTGTATTAAATGGATATCTCGAAGGAACCGTCGCTAAGAAACTCTCACAGAAAGGGGATAGTTATATATAGAAAAAGAATCGAATCGAACAATATAATATGAATTATCGTGATCCCGGCAGCTCACCCCTCGTCTCTCCGCTATCTAGCTCATAGACCGACCGTCCGTTCGACGGCGCCCTCTCAAGGCCTGGTCTTAATCTCTCATCTCCAGGCAGTTCCATGGCCATTTCGTTCCCAGGCTGTGCGTTTTGCTTCAGTGCGTCAAATGCCTCTCCGTTACCCGTAGCCCCGGTTTGCGCTTGCAGAGGCTGTTGACTTCCATCTAACTCTGGCTTTTCATATCTCATCATCTGGTGCCTTCCAATCGGTGCAATACCTGTTGCCAATGGAATACTAGGCATATCTTCCTCCTCTGGTTGTCGTTTTCGAATGAAGAAGAACCAGATCAATCCTACAATTAATGCGATCCCTAAAACACCGCCTACTACTCCTCCTGCGATTCCGGCGGTATTGGGACCGGATGGTTCGGAGTCGGTATTGTTATTCGGATTGCTACCTGCACTTGTAGATGTCGAGGGACTTGGTGAGGTTACCGAGAAATCAGTAGGTTGGTCTATCCTCTGCACTGTCGTGGCGAATATATCTTCCAACAGTGTATTGTCGAACCCATTAGGCGGTTCCTTTCTACCAGCCAATCCTCGCCAGCTATATTCCCATATTAAATTAGAATTTTAAAGGATTTATGGAAGAGGAACTCGAAGGAATACTCACTCTCCACCAATCAGCTCATAAACTTGCTTCGGCTGACTATAAGACCGATTCGGATTGAACTCATCGGTCCACTCGAAAACCGTAGTATCAAGCACTACCAACGGCGGATGCGTCGCATTGCATGCCCCCGTATTCACTGGCGTATTATTTCTTGCATTGTTGCCCTGGATCTGTCCACCAAATACAATCATTTGTGCGTCATTCCACATAGCACATTTATTTGTTTGTCGACCCCATCGGTCGTCGCCCAATCGCTGATCACTGGGTGTTACATCTAACCATTGAAATGTTGGAAGAATGAGGACGTGGACGCGATTTGTAGCAGCGACGTTGGAGAGTTTGTAGCCGCCGTAGATTGTGATTTGGAAGGATGAATCGTCTGGGGCCGCTGATACGCCGGAGCAGAAGCTTAGACGGCCATCTGGGATGTCTCTGATTCCATTTCCACCAGTCGCTTGTACCGTGAACCTGGAGTCGATCCTTGTAGTTAATAAAATGCACTTTCAGGTTTAAATAATACCAAGGGCCAGACATACCATCGCTGAGAATCGATATCAAAGACAAAGATATCTCGCATGTCTCTGTACGAGCCCACGTTGGGATCCGCGAATTGGCTGTGGTCGTCGGGCTATCGATTGATCCCCCCTTTGTTAGCTTCCGCTTCGATGTATATAACCACTTTTTAAGAATAAAACTTACATCAACTCCACCAAAGCCCACTAGAATCCCTTTCTTCCCGTATCTGACATACTGTAACGTTCCGTATAACAAAGTCGGCCCTCTTCCTGCTCCCTCCAACCATTTCACTTTATCGTCTCCTTCACTCGCATCTAAAATCTGCATCCAAGGTCTCGTCGGTGCTCTCTTCTCTAATACATTTTCCTCCTCCTTTCCGCCAGTCAACCAACCCCACGACCTTTTTCTTTTCTTTTGTGAATTCCTATAACTTCCCGTGTAATACATCATCCCCGTAGCCGGATCACTAGCCCATCCGCCAGCATATACTTGTTCCGGAACATTTTGATCATCCGCGACAGTTATTTCCTTAAACTCTTCCGTATCGGCGTTATAAGTCCAGATTTTGGAATTTGATATCGAAGGGTCGTAGAAGTATATTGTGGTGTTTGTGTAGATTCCTATTCCCGCGTCGGAGTTTACGGGAAATCCGGAGGGGGTATCGATCGATTTATAGATATTAGATTTTATGGTTGTATGTGCGGTGACAGGGTTTGATAGGTCTATCGAGAAGAGTTTACGCTCTGTATTTAATTTAATTTTTTGCGAGTTAGCTATCTTGAAGTCTGGCGGGATTATTTCGGATTGCGAGAGAAGTGTGTATATTTATACGTACGACGGATCTGGACATTGCCATCTGTGAATGTATATGTACCTGCGGCGTAGAATAATTTACCACCGACGATTGCGGCTTTATTTCATCCAAAGTTAGTTCCTAGCAAAACTGCCAATGCATCAATTCGAGGAGAAGATGTAGAATTGCTTACTGGCTTGGTTGATAACTGTACACAGATCGCCAGTCGCCCGGGGTAAGAGCGCATGCTCCTCTCCGTAGAGAGTTGGCATCTTCTCGTTTATGTATTATTTTTTAGAGTATGGAATGCTAAGGTATATATGTTTCTTTCGTAAGTTCGAGGAGATATCGGGATATTTCAATATCGACCTTCCCGACGGAGAATTAACTTGTTGATGAGCCAGCCAGATAATCGTGTATCCTAGATAAATAAACCCCAATTTCTGAAGAATTGAGAGTCGATATCGATAATTGCCCCCCCTTTCCTTCTGAAGAATAGGATCAAAACCCTCCTTGATTATCTAGTGAGGTGATAGTTCGGTGGATTGAATGGATTTTTGTGAAATGTAAGAATCGAGGAATTCCGTGCGACCTAATTACAATTACAAACACAATTGGAATCGAGGCTCCATTTTTAAGAGGATGTCAAGTTTCCTGTATTCTATTCCTGTGGCGCGCCTAGGGCAAAATAGGCAGTTACGATCCAGCACAAGGTTTTATGTAACAGCACTAGTCTTGCAGAATCTTTCGTCGTGGTTGATAGGTTAATTAAGTAATTAATTTCGAATCTGGAGCTCCTTTCGAATACTAATATAATACTGGTATTTCGTGTTGTCGACGCTGTTAATGTTGGAAATGCAATTGCAAGTGCAAATGGACGGAAATTGAACCTGCAAGATGCAAATGTCTCTCTCAAGAACGGAACCAAAGAAGCCGGAGGAAAATTAAAACACCAACAATGGTTGTTAGCTTAGTGCGACACGAAGGAGTATTTAACAGAGGAGCAAGCACGGTTCATTTTTGTTCCAAAAAGCTAGATCTCCCTTGTTTTTCTTGAAACCAGCCCAGCGTTTTTATTCATGGGATACTGCAACGCTAGGCTTCCCGACGGCAACAAGGAGTGTCATCATCATTCGCTTCGCGCAAGCCCAAGATTGCATGCGAAAATTAAGCCTGACCGAAGAAAAAGAAGACACTTGACCATGAAAACGGTATCCCCAACCTGGTCTAGCAGGTTTTTCTTCCTCTTCTTGTTGGATGTATTATTTCAGTGGGTTTGCATGGGTTGATTGATTGATTGATTGATTGATACGAGCTATGAGTGGGCGGGTTGATTGGATCCTGGGATATCGACGTATCACTTCCCGAAATTGCATGGAGCGTTGGCATCTCGCCCTGAAGGCTTGTTGTTCAATCGTGAGACCCTGTTCCCGGCACTTGGAGCGGGTGAATTCTTGGGTGTGGTCAGCGGCGGGTATATGTAAATGTCTATATCAGATCATCATAGCATGCCTGCAGCTGCGCAGATAGCGAAGTAAGTACAAACATACCTAGTACGCGTACGTAGTATACTCCGTATATTACAGTCTTTCCTTGGAATCTCCATTTCACCCTGCGATCAAGGGTTAAACTTAATATTAATATATTACACAGTGCAGGATATATTTGACATCCAAGACATAGTCTCGGAGCCCCATGGCCATGGCCCAAGACATATGCATAGCAGGCTGGATTAATATCGACGTCGAGAAGGACTCGTTGCAGCAAAACTCTTGCTAATTATGTTAAACACGGTCAGATCTAGTACCATATTACAGTACTATTGGATGTTGGCGATTGAAAAGCAGATAAGATCTAGATTCGGATATTCGTCCGGGCAGCTCGAATTCAATCTCACCAGACTAGCGCTAGGTCAGTCAGTCCGCTGTCTAGTTAGCGAGCTTGTTTGGATAGATTTGGTCCCTGTTCATGCCGGCACGCCGGTGCATGCATCGTTCGAGCCTAATTTAGAGAATTTCTTGGCAACTTGGGTAAGACATCAAGGTCTCTTGAAGTCGACTGGTCATGATTCGTGAATGCAGGCTTGTGTAACCGGATTCGGATTTCGAGTTTAATTTTATCAACTCGCACCGCGACATCCGGTGTGCGCCTACATATACTACGTACTACCTATTACTTAAATAATACAATATAGCTTACATCATTTATTACATGCGTCGACGTCTACATCTTTCTGTCTTTCTTTCTTTAGATCAGGACTGATGATGTAAAACGTTTGACCGTTTCAGCGTTGTATTTAGGCGCCGCCCTTTCCGAGAGGCTTAAGGCCCCACTTTGGAGCCAAGAGAAATGATCTGATACCTAGTCGATATCTACATGCACTGCTGGGCTCTGGTTGAATTCATAAAGTCGATCGATATGGTATACTCTTTTTATTAAATATACTAATATAATCGAACATTGGAATACCCGGAAACTTGCTATCACAAATACGCATCCCGGGAGCCGTGTCGCCACTTCTTCTTTGCCCTCGCGAGATTCTCCACAGTATTATACTACAGGTTTGGTTTTCAGTCCCTGCAGATCTAGAAACAGGATATGTTAAATATAAATCATAATACTAATATATCTTAACTAAAGTGCGATATCAAAAGTCTACTACTTCGCTTCTGAGACCCTCTTCTACAGATGCGACCTCGCTCTCCATTTCTCCAGAAACGACTTCGGACTGGATGAAAAACTACTCGAAACCATCCGGTCTTGCAATCGGGTCTCTGGCCTATTTCAAGACATCCATGCCAAAGGCCAAAAACATAAAATCTCCTGAATGAACGAAATGAACGGGCCATTGGGCGCCATGCCTTTTCTTTTCAAAACTATATGAGAGTTATACATGGACCATTACCTGTATACTGACCATGGCCTATAAAACGTGCCGGTTTAAGGCAACAAGAAGAGCTTCGGCATGTGAAGGACTACACTATGTTGAGTATTAAAGAATTCGGGCGGTTTCGGTCAGCTTTACAAATCTGAAGCCTTTCAGGTTTAAATTGTTATTCATTGGGCTTGTGAAGTTTTACATATAATTTAATATTAATGTGTGCCATGTTATATGGCTTAGCTGACAGGTTTATACATTAAACTACATTATACTAATGCTCGATCTCCGCTACTGCGCAGACTTCTTGATACAATTGTACGAGGGGACGATATGGCCACTGGATTTATGCGGTATCAAAAGTGGCTCGGGATGTATCCCCCATCACTCCTTTTGTTACCCACCTAGAAATATTAATATGGACGTTTAGTTTAGACCCGGGAACAACATTCTTAGGTACGCTTTTCCCTGATAATACAATCGATTTTAGAATTCTATGTATACTGTACCCGGCATATTTGCATACTAGGTACCACTGGGGGAACATCTTAAGAAATATTAAACTCTGCGCGGTAGGAGGCTTCCGGAGACCCCCTAGCCTCAGGAATCTAGTATTTCAGACCAGAGCCGGAGACAAAGACAGACATACAAAACCGAATTGTACGAGGTTCGGTATTTGTCATTTCTTAGATAGCCAAAGAACTTCCGTTCGACCTTCATACTTTAGAGATTAGAACCCTCGAAGTTGAAGATCTCCAAGACGACCTCGTACCTATATTTTTATCGGGACTCCGGAAGATAGTCGCAGATCTAACAGAACCAATACGTTAAATATCTAAGGAGCTATGCCGAGAATTGGATATTGGCCCCACAAGCATGGCTAACGAAGACGATCTGGGATTCCTTGCTGCAGCATTTGGTTGCCCTCCGTTATTTGACTGTGGAGAGCTAGTTTGCGTCGCTCCTGAGATACCTAATACTCCGCCCGCGAACGCTCGAGAAAATTGATATAAAAATCCGGGATCACGCTTGCCCATGTGATGGTAGTTGCAGCGATGCCTCTACGGAACAGCACTATGAGGCCGAGCATGGGGCCGTCGTTACATTCATGACTATCTTTTGGGAGAAAGTTATACCCTAGTCTCGGAGCCAGAGCTGATCAGCTCTACGAACCCCGAGTATTCGACCTCCAAGTGGTCATTTTATATCTGATTCAAGCGCACGAGCTAATCGGGACTTTGCCATGTATCTGTCAAGTTTGACTCGTGGGGGTTAACGTTCACGGATGATGCAAAGATAGCGCTAAAGGTTTGCCAGAACCTGGAGCGTCTATATGGGTAGGGGTGGGCCGTTATAAGCATAGATCAAATGATTTCTTACTTATGTATGATGGGTATTGGAGTCAAGATGCGACTAGATGAGGCACTATTCTACACTTCAAGACTCCTCCTCGCTTCAATTGCAAGGTGTCATACTTTGAGATCATGATGTACCAATAACTATCACTTCTGGGCCAACAAATCTCTTAAGCCTGTTCCCATTGACCATGCTATCCTTGCCGCTTTCCACTGTTCTTCCCGTACTTTGGCGTCCATCTGACCCTTCCAGAAAACCTCAGTCGAATTAAACCCTCCTTGCCTCCCAGAGCACATCAGATACCACGGTTCCTTCAAGTAATCCAATGACCTCAGCGGCGCCATCCTCCCGTGCGCAGCCTTTATGAAGCAGTAACTTGCAGAAAAGCAAAAATATTCCGACTCTTCAAACCTTATATACCTTAGAGGATCCATAGGATTAAGAATTAAAACTATTTTCTGAAGAATTGAGTACGGCAGATCTTGCAGTCTAATTTTAGGCTGAGGTGGCAGAGGTATAATTTCAAACCCACGAACTATCGAAAGAAGTTGATTATTCCTTTGTAGGTCCACTGGGTATAGTCTTCGAGGTTCAGGGGCGTTTGGATTGGAAGATGGGCCAACTCTATAGTCTGTAGCAACATATAACCAGAACCCCTCTCGCGGTAAGACATATTTACGGGTCGTCCATGTATTTGCTAAGGTTTGGTCATTCGGAAGGTCGAAAACTTCAATTCTTGTAAGTCTGACTGTGGTAACTCCGCATCGAACGCAGCCTTTACGATTACCTATGTATTCGCAGAAGCAGGAGTATTCGTATGGTGTCGGTAAAGATCCAATCATTTGACAAGAGGCGGAGCGGAGACAATGAAGGCACAATAGACTGTATGTGTATGCCTCGTGGACTGGCTTTGGGGATACCGTATTGGATGTTGCTGAGCCCGGATTTTCTAATGGATTTTGGTTCGATGGCCGATATCCCACACGCCATCGATCATGTACCCAATGTCCTAGATCCTTGGAACTGCACACTGTTCTCCATTGAAGTTCAGAAGCTGTCTGAGTATATTCTGTTAAGAATTTATGAGCTCCAGCGCTAAGTGGTGAATTCAAAAAACTTGGTCCTGAAGATGAGAATAAGTTCCTCGGGCATCGGTGATGTTCACACCATATCGTTGAGTAGACAACTTTCTGTGTCTCGTTCTCACCAACAGTTCGAGTCGGTACGTGAGAGTTAAATAACAACTTTTGGATAATGTTGGTGGAGTACTTGAAGACCGCTTTGTTTGTGTGGTAGAACTGCGCGGGGTAAAATACACCACTTAAGGTATCAAGAAAGAGGGCGGTTGGACAGGACGGAGGGCATAGTGGATGTGCACAATAAGGGCACTTGTCATGGGAAACCTTAGAGGGTGGAAGAAATCGCTGGTGGATCCGGTGAGAACAACGAGCCTCAGCCTTCTTTTGATTTTGAAGTAGTGATTTAACCCTAAGAGGTATTCTAATATTCAGGGTGTCCGGAAGGTCGTCGTCTGCAAGCGAATCAATGGCGGGACGAACCCAACGGAGTTTCTTGGTGGTCAGAGATAATGCGATTAGATCTCGCGTACGGAGATAGTTCAAGAATAAGACGAGGACGTCGATAGGGAGGTTGAGAAAGGCCGCAGAGCTAGAGCTAGAGTCCTTGGTCGAAGCCTTTAAGCCTCCCTCGATGACGCCGCCCGAAGGCAGATTAACTGTTGCCTCGGATTCAGATAAATGCAGTCTGCGAAAGACATTTGTTAGCATCGCGGTATGCTTTGTTTTGCCTTATCGAGGAGGTGCCTCAAAGGATCCCTGGCCTGGTTAAGCTAAGCTGTAAGATGGCGATGCAATATTCCGTTCCGTTAGGTAAGTTACGTTACTTTGTATGTATGCTAGACAGGCCTGCAGGGATGCATCCGACTCGACCAAGAACCAACAGCCAACGGCCAACGGCCATTCCATGCAAACCATTCAAACAAACATAGCCAGGGCGACATCTGACAAATATTCCAACCGATCTTGTCGCACTAGAAAGAGCCAAGATCCTAATTACAAATATCTGTTGCATTAACATCGCTCGGTCGGAAATCTGGTTTGTCGTCGTCGTCAGGGCTTATGTCCAATCCCTTCGTTGCTTTTAATAATAAACTCGTATCGCAGCTTTATGCTTCAATGAATTTTCGAGGTTTTGCTTGGCGCAGTGGCTGAAGTTTGTAGCTGCATTATCTATGCTGCCGACTGTCAGACGGCTGAGCTGGAGCTGACTGTATAAAGAAGCTTCCCTGGACGCGAACAATTACTCCGCAACTTCGAATAGTTGGACTACAACCCTCTTCCTTTCTCCCCTATATCTGTTAAACACGGGGAAGATCATTGACCGGAATCATGAAACTCACAAAGTTTTATTCGCTGGCCCTTTTGTTCGGTAAGTGTCTTGAATCTACGTTACGATCAATGTAATACTTCGGTTGTCGTTTGATGCTGGAGCTAACAGCAGCCCTACAGCCTGCCAGGCCCTCGCTAGTTCGGCTCCACCCGAATCCAGCCTGCAACAACGAACCGCCCCAGAATTTGGGTCACCAGCTTCACTTCACAATGCTCTTCCAGAATCCCTCTCTAAACGTCAAAATGTAGACGGTCCAGACTCTGCAGCTGGCGAGCCAGGCCATGGTGGTCGTCGCACAATAAAAACCACACCAGCCCAGCGTCGGACTTTTCGTATCGCTCATGGAACAATCATGGGAGTTGCTTTCACAATTGGGTTCCCATCCGGTGCCATATTCATTCGTGTCTTAAAACCTCCAAATCATGTCTACATCCACGCCGCCACTCAAATATTCTCTACAGCCATGGCATTCACTGGGATGGGGCTGGGGATCTGGCTCGGCCTTAATGTTCGATATCTAGATTACCTCCACACGATTATCGGTTTTGCTGTTATGGCCTGTTTAGTCATCCAACCAATCATCGGGCTGATCCATCACATCAGATACAAAAAGGTCAAGACATCTACGTGGTGGGGCTTCATTCACAGATGGTACGGCAGGGTGATCGTAGTCCTCGGCATCGTAAACGGCGGGCTAGGGCTCATGTTGGCAGAAAATACTCGGGCGGGAGAGATCGCATATGCTGTCGTAGCCGGACTCGCCGGATTCACGTACCTAATGGTAGTGGTACAATGGATATTTAGGACTAGAGCCGTGGAGAAAAGTATGCAGAAGCAGAAAAAGGATTATATGGAACCCGCCGGAGAGTCAAGGGAGGCTGTGGGGTTGATGCCTGTTTCCTGATGGCGTGATTGAAGATTTGATATTAGGAGTTTGGGATTGGTTTATAGGTTATGCATGTGCTTTTGTTGTTTCTCTCCGAAGCGTGGGATAATTATGTAATGGGACTATTGGGTTTCATAAATTTTATAAATTTTATAGAAGGTGCTCGATTGCTTTTGGTTCCCTGGGATCTGGCCGAGGGATACCGCAGTGCACCGTGGTGCTTACAAATTAAGATGTTTTATATTGCTTTTTAAAACAATCTAGACTATAGACATTCGGCGTTCGCCTGTAGCATAGGCTTTGAGCGTTTGTTGTCTATTGCATGGCCCGGAAGCGAGATACAAAAACATCAAGATCAATACATTTTATAAAAACAAAAGATTTCTTTTTCTTCATATGCAGGCGAGCTAAATCAACTATCGGAAGACCTAAATACACTCTTAAAGAGCCGCCATGAGTACCCCAACACCACCAAATGCGGCCATAATGCTGTGCCAGTTGATATTATTGGCCACACCATCACCGGTGTAGGTTCTAGAAAATTTATATCAGTATAATTTGGTCATGTTAGTGTTTTTCTAGCATAATACTAAGGTACTTACGGGGCGGGGATAGCGGTATCGGTAACCGTAGTATCCGTAGTGCATGCACATGTCTCGGTAGTAGTACCGGTCCAAGTGGTAGTAAATGAGGAACTAGCCCAGGTAGTGGATGCCGTGGTGGAATCCGTCATAGTTGCTGCAGTCGTAGTATCAGTGACTGTATCAGTAGCAGTCGAAGTGGCGGTGTCAGTTGTCTCCGTAGCCGTGGTGCTGCTAGTATCAGAGACAGTAGTAGTTGTGGTTGAAGAATCCTCTATAATGATAAATTATATACTTAGTCAAAAAGTAGTAAAAAATTAGGCAAGATACATATGCATACGAGCTAGGACGCCTGCCGCAAGGGCGAGGACAGAAAGACTAGTTAATTTGAATTGCATTTTGGCGATTTTTCCTTTTTGGAAATAATCGAGGATATGCGGAGATGAATTTAAAATAGCGAACGACAATGGCTTCAGCTGATCAGCGTGCGAGAAAGATTGACGAGTGTGGAGAAAAGTAACAGATGTGAGAGTCATGTCTCCCCTTTTATTGATGTACAGTGAAACTGTGGCAAAGGTGTTACGAGATTTAGACACATTTACATCATTTTTTGCGATGTTTAATTATGTGAGCGGGATCTGGATGAGGCGATATAAGCCTTCATGGCAATTAATCTGGAGTTGTGCAGAACAGTTCGCAGGTTATAATATACGAATTGCAGGTTATTCAAGCACACTGCGCAACTGTAGGCTAGTAAGTTCTACCCCCATACTCTATAATTGTCAACCTAAGAAAATAATAAAATTGGTATTATATCGTCTCCGTCTAAAGTCAATGTATTTTGGGGACGGAGTTTAATTTGAATTCGAGAAAATGGATGTTGTTGCATTTTAGCAGCAGTCTGCGTTGTCCTCCTCGTGGTCGCACATCAACAGTACGGTCCTTTTGTGAAACCGTAAACTCTGTGGATCTCCTGAAAATCGATGCAATCGAAGACATCGTAAGGTGCCCTTTTCCATTAGAAAAACGTGAATGTCATTCGGTCATAGCACTACTTAGCACGAGTAATTGTATACGCAATATCCATATCATCCACACGAGGAACACAGCAAAGCTAACGACATCAAACTCCTGCCGCGTGATAAATATATAACGCCGACGCTGTATTTACTAGCTAGCGTAATATATTGTGGTTGAAATGGACTACATATTGAACACGTTGCGATCCATTCGCCTTCCCGCGCGGTACTATTCAGTCGTCATACCCGCCGTTGCGACAGTCATAGTCCTGACTATACTGTTCAGTATTATCGATAGCCACATTAATGCATTCGCCCCCCTCCCAAAGTTTCTTTCTAATTCAAAGCAACGAGAGCTTCCGAAGACTAGCGGTGACAGTATCTTATATGGTGGCCACTTTCTCCCTCACAGGAAATGGATGGTCCCGCGACGTTTGGACAAGTTTGAAAAACTGTTCTTGGACTCTTATACGGAATACCGCGCATTCCTCGATCGTCAGTCGAGAACTTATGCCGACGCTGTAAAAAATTACAAAAAACGGTATAATCGCTCACCACCCCACGGGTTCAACAAATGGTTCAGCTATGCCCAGACCAAAGCGTCTCTAGTTATCGATGACTACGATAGTATCGAAGAATCAATTGCACCGTATCGGAACATGTCACAAAAAGAATTTCTTCATCGGATGGAGGAACTGAGGGTTTATGACAAGACCTTTCGGATTGCTGAGTATAAGGTTATAGAGCGGAATGAGTGGATGAAGGGGCAGGGACTGTGGCATCTACTCGATTGGGATTTTTTTCATGATTTACCGGAGGGCTTTTCGATGTACATCAATACATGGGACGAGCCATTCGTATTCCCCCAGGAGCTTAATAGGACACAAAAGATCGAATTCCTCGATCTTGGCCGGAAACCGTGGTGGCCAGCGTTATTGGAGCACTGTAACGTATGGGAAGGGAGGAACGTACAGAAAAATAATAGGAACGATTATATCGCAACAATCCAAGATGCGAAAGAAGCATTAGACCTTTGCGCCCATCCGGAATACGAGGCAATGCATGGGTTCTTTAATGCACCAAGCAGTCTGATGGTGACGAAACAGCTGGTCCCCATATTCAGCGTATCCAAGTTGTCGGTGTTTAAAGATATTTTACTCCCATCAGCTGCACCCTGGCATCCGGAATTTTTAGGGAATGGTGGGATCAAGGATTTCGTAGGAAAGACAAAAAAACTATACTGGAGAGGTAGTACGACTGGTGGAGATAATAATGGGGAAAATGTGCTTAAATCACACAGAAGCAGACTGGCGAGTATTAGTCAGGAGCACCCCGATCTTATTGACGCAAAAATTACGACATACTTCGGAGATCTAGAAGGGCTACAGCAGCAGTGGCGAGAGTTTGGAGAACCTGAAAGAACAGACCACGGCGCTGAGAATAATTTCTCCTTTTTAATGGATATGGATGGACATGGGCTTAGTGGGGGGTACTATAGATTGCTGAGGAGCAAAGCTGTGGTGTTCAAATCCACGGCAGTGCAGCAGTGGCATGATGACAGGATGTTTCCATGGGTGCATTATATACCCATAAGATTGGGAATGAAGGAGCTAGCAGAAATAGTTAAATGGTTTGCTACGACGGAAAGGGGGGACGAGATTGGGAGAAGGATTGCGGAGGAGGCGGACTGGTGGTCAAGGACGGGGATGAGGGAAGATGATGCGAACGTTTACACTTACAGGCTATTCCTCGAATATGCCGCGCTCTTTGTTGAACCAAGACCTAATTAGCGTGTGCGTATACATAATATAGGTCATGAATGCATCTACACCTTCGCTTTGAGCTTTTGAAGTTCGACAAGTTCGACAAGTTCTAGACATAATTATATAAATGCATTAGATTAGTCAGCGAAACCGAAGCTGAGAAATTTAAAGGGGTGTTGCTGTGGTATTTCTGAATCTGGCAGAGGAGAGCCGGCTTAATACAGCTCTCTTGCGACTGACGGCTGCTCTTTGAAATCTCCCTTTCAACTTGACCTCGTTTTCATTCTAGACCAGATCCAAACCCCCAAAAATTGAAGCATCCAATATGTTTCAAAGTTTCCGGTATGGTAGACCCCGCATCCATTTCGTGTGTGTATTCCAATTAACACTTCGATAGCTTCCGTAAGTACCATCTCATAAAATTACTTTCATTGCATGGCATGGCCACGGTGGCTGGTACGGTGGCTTCGCCCCCACCATAGCGTCAGGGGAGCTCGTTACGGGGCATCATATTACGGCATTCGCCCGCAAAAAAACACCGGTTCGGCGGGTCCAAGAGCAGGTAGCTCGAATTGCGTGATTGAAGGGCGGCCAATGATAGTGTCGCCAATGACAATTTTGGCAGGGGTTGCTTGGAAAGCTGGGCCGACCATATCGATACCCGACACATCCCACCATTGAACAGCATCACCGGCGCCCTTCCCCGACAAATTTATTCCCTGCAAAGGGTAAGAAGTCATCGGGTTGGCCGTGGAATTGCTGTCTTTAAAATAAATCATCTTTGACCATTTTTTCTCGCTGAATAATTCTTTTCCTCCCTCCCATTGAGATTTAATTCCAGCTCGTTTGCGAAGCTTCTTGTTCTTGCGCAATCTGCTTTTAAATTTAAATTTGCTGGAACATTTGAAGAATATATACCTCGAATTCAGTATTAATTTTGGCTCACTGTTGCAGAAACGATGGCGCCTGCTCCGGATCTCCTCGAGAGTGCTGAGGCTGCTGGTAAGTGTTCTCCTGACTATTTCGGTGCATTGTATGCCCTTGTCAATAATAACTAATACCTTTCTGTGCAGTTGCCCGAATTGCATACCTCTGTAGCGACCATGTCATTTCTGTGCAACCATCGCTGAAACAAAAGACACCATATTCGTCACAACTTGATAGATTATCTGCTAGCTCTACGCCAGGCATTATCTCTGGAAATCCAGAATCTGTACCAGAGGTACTGCCATCTTTTTAAATGCTTCACTAGCAACTTGAGATACTAATGTGGTGTGGTGAATATAGATAACAAGAGTTCGCCACAATGCTGACCCTTTCCTCAGCGCTTTCGAGCCTCTACGAAGCGGGCAGCTCGTATCTATTCTCACCGTTTCAACCACCTTAATTCCTGCTATTCCACATCTCTATAAATTGGCAAATTATCCTCTTACGATACATGTCTCTCTCGTCCCCCAATCTTTCCCAGACTACTCCGATATAGCTGCTGTGCGGCAATCGGGTTTTACAATTATCCGGTCTGATTCTGTCCAAGAAGCCCAAGATATGGCCGCCGTAGCACACGGCGTAGCTGTCAAGTCTGGGCGTGCGGTTATCCATTTCTTTGAGGCGGACAATAGTCGTGATGACCCCGTTCCGCTCGAAGACCGCCGTGTCCTTGATCGCATGCTTGATCGTGCAGCTGCCCGGTCATATCAGTCTTCTTCGATTGATGCTTCCAATATATACGCTGCTGATGGTGTACAAGCACAAACTCGGGTAAATCCTGTTACAAATGGAGTAAATGGCACCTCCAATGGCGTCAAGAGTCCCCCACAATCCCCTACAGCCAATGGTTTCACAAATGGAGATTCAGCTTCCTCGAATCTCTCACGGACAGACTCCGTAACAAGTGAACCAGAAGTTACTTACCGTCCAGTCAACTCTGCCGATGTCTACAAATACCTTACCGCTGGGTTTGAGATCGTCCGGCAAGTCACAGGGCGCTCATACCGTCCCTTTGAATACTACGGTCCTACATATGCCGAGAATGCCATTTTCTTGTTTGGATCCAATGCAAAGTCGATAGCGACAACAATTGCCTCCGCAGCTTCCACAGAAGACTATGCCAAGACTGGTGTTATTGTAGCCAGAGTATACAGACCTTGGACAGGACAGAAATTCTTAGATGTCGTTCCCAAGACCGTCAAGAAGGTCGCTGTGCTGGAACAGATCAAGAAACGGACAACCAAGTGGGGTCCCCTGTTTTTGGATCTCTTGTCCACCATTCGTGGTGGCGACGTAGAAACAAAACGGGATCTCTCGCTGGTTGGATATCAACTTGGATATGTCAGCCCTTCGACATTAAAACTAGCATTGAGAGGTGTTCTTCAAAACCTCAAGCTTGACAAGCCTATTCAAAACCTTGACATCGGTCTTCCAGAGGGCCCCGCCAAATCTGCAGCTGGCTACGAACTTTCTCGTCCAGAAACAGAAAACGCCTATTTCAAGGTCTTGAACCAGCTCTTCGGCGAAAGACTGCATATTGCCAACGCTCTTGAAAAATCCACCGCCGGTATTCCTACCAGCATAGCCACCAGCCCCGAATTCGGGTTCGGAAGCCTGCTAGCTAGACTTGAGAAGAAGGAAAAGTTCCAACAAAGAGTCGAAGATGCAGCGAAATCCACTTCATTTGTCACATCTGTCTGCAACGATTGGCTAGCTAGATGGCTAATTGCTGCGAACGACGCAAAGAAGAGACCGCAAGTCGCAGACGGGCTCATCACTCGCCTTAAGAATGACGGTAGTGCTTTGTCATCAGAACTACTCAGGGACAAAGCATATTTCTACAACGAGACAAACTGGTTAATTGGCTCCGATGCGTGGGCTTATGATCTCGGTAACTCTGGCGTTCATCACGTTATCACCTCTGGAAAGAATATAAATATGCTCATCATCGATTCTCAACCCTACTCTGAGAAGGCAGTTCATGATGCTGCTCGTCGAAAGAAGGATATTGGACTTTACGCTATGAACTACGGCGGGTGCTATGTTGCTTCCGTTGCGGTTTACAGCTCTTACACCCAAGTCCTACACGCTTTGATCGAAGCAGAGCAGTTTAACGGACCATCAGTAGTGCTCGCCTATCTTCCTTATCAAAAAGAGGATGAGTCGCCCCTGACTATCTTGCAAGAAACCAAGAAGGCGGTTGATATTGGATATTGGCCACTATACCGCTGGGACCCAACAAGAGAGGAGAAGGGCAAGGGCGATAACTTTGAGCTTGATTCTGAGAGAATCCGTAATGAGATGAAGGATTTCTTGGAGAGGGAAAATCATCTTTCGAAGCTATTGAAGCGAGATCCTGTCTTTGCGGCCAATTTGAAGGGTAGTTATGGAGCTGAGGTTAAAGATGCACAGAAGAGGAAGGCGAAGGATGCATTCGCCAAATTGCTTGAAGGGCTAGAGGGAGCACCATTGACAATCTTGTTTGCTTCAGACGGTGGTAATGCGGAGAACTTGGCGAAGAGGCTGCAGAGACGGGGTAAAGCAAGAGGGTTGAAAGCTTATGCCATGAGCATGGACGATTACCCGCTCGAGGATATTAACGGGGAGGAAAATATAGTTTTGATGACTTCTGTGGCCGGACAGGGCGAGTTCCCACAGAACGGAAGGAATTTCTGGGAGGCAGTCAAGAACTCTACGGATATCGATCTCGCTGGAGTCAACTTCGCTGTGTTTGGGTTGGGCGACAGCCACTACTGGCCCAGAAAGGAGGATAAACTTTACTATAATAAGCCAGCGAAGGACTTGGATGCTAGACTTGAGGTACTAGGTGGAAAGAGGATTGTCGATGTTGGCTTGGGAGACGATCAAGATCCCGATACCTATCAGACTGCATATGCGGACTGGGAGCCAAAGCTTTGGACCGCTCTTGGTGTTGATAAGGTTGAAGGACTTGCTGACGAGCCGCCACCAATTACCAACGAGGATATCAAGATTGAATCTAACTTCCTAAGAGGAACAATCGCTGAAGGATTGGAAGACATGTCGACCATGGCAATTTCGGCAGCTGACCAACAGTTGACGAAGTTCCATGGAACATACATGCAAGATGATCGAGACTTGAGGGAGGAGCGAAAGGCCCAGGGGCTAGAACCTGCATACTCCTTCATGATCCGATGTCGATTGCCCGGAGGTATTGCAACACCGAAACAATGGTTACAGATGGATGACATCTGTGAAGACTACGGCAACAAAACCATGAAGCTTACTACACGACAAACCTTCCAGTTCCATGGAATCATCAAAACCGACCTCAGGAACTCCATGAGGGCAATCAATCAAGCTCTTATGACTACCATTGCGGCTTGTGGAGACGTTAACCGAAATGTCATGTGCAGCAGTTTGCCATACAAATCAGCTTATCATAGACAAGTATGGGAGTACTCGAAGTTGATCAGTGATCACTTGCTGCCGAGCACCACCGCTTATCACGAAATCTGGTTACAAGATGAGAATGATAAGAAGACACAGGTTGCAGGAGACGCGGTTGTCGACCACGAGCCGTTGTATGGACCAACTTACCTACCCAGAAAGTTCAAGATCACAATTGCCATTCCACCACGTGAGTATACAGTTCTGAAATAATCGTTTTAGGACTTAACGCTAACGCTATTCTAGACAACGATACTGATGTTTACGCCCACGATATCGGTTTAATCGCTATCAAGGGTGAGGACGGCAACCTCGCCGGGTTTAATCTTCTTGCCGGAGGTGGTATGGGTGTCACACATAATAACAAGAAGACTTATCCACGAACGGGTAGCATGTTCGGTTATGTTCCTAAGGAGAACATTCACCTTGCCTGCGAGAAGGTTATGCTCGTCCAGCGTGATCACGGAGACAGAAAGAACCGCAAGCATGCTCGATTAAAGTACACAATCGACGACATGGGCGTTGAAACCTTCCGCGGAAAGGTCGAAGAACTCCTGGGCTCCAAGTTTGAACCCGAAAGGTCTTTCCAGTTCCAAAGCAACATCGATACATTTGGATGGCAGAAGGATGAGAATGGTCGGAATCATTTTACATTCTTTATCGAGAATGGTAGAATTGAAGATACTCCTGAGTTCTTGATGAGGACGGGATTGAGGGAGATTGCTAAGCTGGGCAAAGGAGAGTTTAGATTAACAGGAAATCAGCATTTGATTATGTCGAATGTGGAAGATGAGGATTTGACGGAAGTTAAGGCATTGATGGAGCACTATGGACTAGATAATGTTAAGTTTTCTGGTCTGAGGTTGTCTTCAAGTGCTTGTGTGGCGTTCCCAACCTGCGGTTTGGCAATGGCAGAGAGTGAAAGGTACCTGCCCAAGTTAATTGACAAGTTGGAGTCGACGCTTGAGGAGGCCGGACTACGTCATGATTCGATTGTAATGAGGATGACGGGATGTCCAAACGGCTGTGCCAGACCTTGGTTAGCGGAAGTTGCGTTTGTTGGAAAGGCGTATGGCGCGTATAACATGTACTTGGGAGGCGGGTACCACGGACAGCGATTGAACAAATTGTTCAGAAGCTCGATCAAAGAGGAGGAGATCTTGGAGATCTTGAAGCCAATGTTCAAGAGGTATGCGGTTGAGAGGGAGGAAGGTGAAAAGTTTGGCGACTTCTGTATCAGGAGTGGAATTATCAAGGAAACGACACACGGTACCAATTTCCACGAGGGGGTGAGTGATTAAGTTCTTCTACATAATCTTTATCCTTTAAAGTTTTACATGGGGCAAACGAACTGACATGGGGTTTTGTTTTTGATAGGTCGCCGAAGAAGATTCGGAGGAATAGACAAATGTGGTGATTTATGGGGAAGGTGGGATGCATGATGATAGAAGGCCCTGGTTTGTTTGTTTGGCTCTGGATGGGATTACAGCTTGGCTTGATATTTCCTTTACGTTTAGAAATGCTTTTTTTTTCTTTCGATCTTAGCTTTCCCCCTCCCCGATATCAATGAAGCAAAAAGTTTTGCATTCCTTTTCGGACGCACTGCTAAATCCACTGTACATACATGCGCTTTGATTGATACCGTATTCTGCAAGCAATAATATAATTTTGGCGTACATACATCCAGTATTCATACATACATACATTACACCCACCTCATATCAGATGTGCATTCTATGATACAGGAGGTTTATATCCTGTCGCCCAAGCTTTGATTGGCAGCTCGTTCAATTCCTTCAGCGGGGCTCGCTAGCTAAACTGACTTTCGGATCAGTAATGCAACGTTCGCCTCCCTGCTGACTGCAAACCCACATGCAGGCGTATAATGATAGAAATGTCAAAAATTAAAAAAAAAACGGAGTACTTCGGCACAAGCCTAACGTTATAATCCATGGATCCCAAGCCGATCTAGCTAGGCTGAGCTTTTCGGTGGTCGGGTCATGAATACTTCGAACAAGTAGTCGAGCAACCTGTGTGACGGGCTCGAAGTACTGACTTGGTCAAGACCGAGCCTAAATATGCGGCTGCCTGAGTGTAACCCCTGACGCCTGGGCCCTGCGATTCTTATTGCGCAAGTAGCCCGGGTTAATTTTAGTTTTGTCTCTTTCTTTCTGGCAAAGATGGAGTCGACTGTAAACTGGCATCTGCTGGCTGTTTCAAGTTTTTTTTTACTCCATGTTAATATATATTTGGGGAGGGTTAGTTAATTTACTTTAAGATGCTTTGCATTCCCGCATGGTCATTTTCTCCGGATATCCCTTCTTTTTCTCTGTTTTTTCTACTGTAACTTATCAATTTACGAATCAATCGGCAAATACGAAATAGCAGAATAGGGGGACTCTTTCTATAGTTTATTCTACCGCTATCGATATATCGATATCACCAAATTTCCGAAATCTGAGCCTGAATTTACGAGCGCTGATTTATTTGTTGTTCTGCGCGCTGTTCCGATTTAACGATTCCCAACTGAGAAAAGAAAAGTCGAGTCAGTGCGACCGCCGCCGACGTCACGAAACAGCCAGCCCGATTATGGGCGACACCAATTCATAAAATCCAAAATTTTAAAAAATGCATTCGTCACAACCGTTCTCCATCCCACTCGCCATCATAGCACTTCTCACAGCCCTCCGCCCCACATTAACATTATCCCAATCTACCACAACAAAGTCCGCGACTTTAAAACTCACCACTGTCGCACCATATCCTACAACATGGACTGTTTCCGCAAACTGTTTCTCCGAAGTGTCGGCAAGAGATGATAATCAGGAGACGATATATAATATGGGATGCGGAGCACAGGTTAGGAAAAGTTGTTGTCCGCCGGGTTGGTCGCCTGGAGTTGTGTTTGGGGATATAACGAGTACCGTTGGTGGGAGTAAAGGGCTTTGTCCTTCCGGGTATATTGACCGACCGGAGTGGGGAGGACCGACGGAAGGTCCAATATTGACCAGAGCGGGGAGTGTGGAGAGGACTGTTGTTTGTTGTCCTAGGTTCGTATCTTCGGCCTCCAGTGATACTTTAATGAAAGGACGGAAATTTAGGCTAACTTCTTTGGATTCTCTTTCTATTTTTTTTTTTTTTTTTCAGTGAGATATCACTTTGGTCTTTATTTGGACTATCGCAAACGCCGCTTTGTTATACGCAAAACCCATCTTCTAGAGCGAATTCTAGGCTTTCGGATCCGTACTTTGTGAGCACGTATGCCAGGCCGTTCTTTTTGGCGGTGGAGGCGGTTGTGACGGCTACGTCTTCTCCTCCAGAAACTACGGAAACTACATCGAATAGACCTACGACTTCGGGATTAGGGACAACAGCCGGTGGGAGTATCCCGACAGAAACTGGAGGAGGAGGAAACGGTGATGATGTTGATCAAGGAGATAACAATGGGCAAGGAGGAAAGAGTGGCTTGAGCTCAGGGGCAATTGCGGGAATTGTGATTGGTGTCATAGCACCAATAGCTATTGGAATCATTGCATTTATCTTTTGGAGGAGAAAAAGATCATTCGGAATGGGTATGATGGATAGAGGAATCGATCCACCAGTTCCACCACCACCGACCCAAACTAGCGGTAATAAGTTCATACCGTTCGACGACTCGCGATCATCGAGTTATGGGAAAGTGGAGAACGGGGCTTATCGGTATAAGCTGCCGGCAGGGTCTGAAACGATATTAAGCAGTAATGCGATGGGGATGAGGAGTGGGGAGAATGAAGAGAGGAGAATTGCTGTGTTTGAGAATGCGGAGAAACTGCCGGAGCCGAGTGAGAATGAGGCGGTGTATGCGCAGCAGAATTATAAGTTTGGAGGACCGGCGCGGGCTCGGTGATGCTATATTTTGGCACATTATTTATTTATTCGTGTATATACTTAAAATACTATTTACTTATATTTTATCATATGATGACTGATGGTTAAATTCAAAGCGTTTAGCATACAAAAGATACACTTTTTGTTAATTGGATTCTATAATCTAGTTGGGTCTTATACATGTAGTATACGCCCCACTAGATCTAATCAAACTATCGCGCATATATCGATGCATACGATTATATTATATAAAAGGTAGTATTATATTTTATTTAGCTTCGAGCGCCTCGCAAATTAAATGAATACTGAAAAATACTTAACTAGATTCAGAAATACCCCTTTCCTCTCACTGAAAACAAGATGAATTTGAACAAAGCATGTTCCTTGACAGACCATCGTGTGATAAACCCTCGTAGTCGCGTGATAGTTCTACGTTCTGGCGCCTCGGTGCCCGAGACAGCACATTCCCCAGACTGAAAGCAGCGGAGACTGTTGCAATTTTTGCGTTGAAAGTCGGGTCGGCGGTGACGTCGTGTGACCGAGTGCAGCCCGCGTAAACCCGAGCGAATCAAACCTACTTGTTCGACGTAGCTCGACACCCAGGCCAAGCTACTTAGCTAGACTCAACCACGAATCTGATTAAATTGATTCACGACCTCTCCTAACATACACATCTCTTCGTAGTAGGTGCTTTTTGACGACCATTCTACGACGACTCGTTCGATTCTATCATTTATTCTATACGACCCTTCACCATCCCATATAAGACGCCATAATGTTTAAGTGGGCACAAGCAGCGTATGTATTTAGCTTCCACGAGTTGACTGTTTCAACATACTGTGCTTCTTCTCCTCATGGGGATCTCTTTTAGCTTACCCGTATTATCTGTTCCAGAGTGGCGGGTGTAGCTGGTACAGCTGAGCCTGAATACGGCCCGGAGGCTATCAAGACCGTTCACCAGCATTCCGAAGCCGATGCCAACAAGCCTTTGTACACCGAAACTACCTCTAAGGATCTCGCCTGGGCTATTTGCACTGGAACAAATGTTGAAAGCCAGGTCTTCTACATTACCACTGATGATGGGCGAATGGGTATGGCCCAGGTGATCTATAGCGTCGTCGTCCCGTAAGAAGCCACCTGTCGTCTATCGTATCTATTTTTGTCGTTTTTATGAACACACGCTGATGAATAGTCCACGCGATCGCATGTTAAAAGTGGCGTCAAAACAACCGCTCAATTTAACATCAAGCTCTTCGACCCAAAGAAACCCGAGGAGAAACTCTGGTCTTCAGTCCCACTCACCAATCCCTCTTTCCATGGTCCAAAGCCTTCCGGAGATGGCTCAAACGCCGAGGCCCCACTTGAAGACTATAAAACTTCCTTCTATGCTGACAACGTTGCAGTTACACTGAGTGAAGATGGTGGTGTCTACAAGGTCAAATCGCAGGCTGATCCTAATGCCTTCTGTAACTTGGTTTTCACAAGACTCGCTCCAGGATTTATGGCTGGCAAGGACGGTAGGTCGACTTACGGAACTGATCAGGCAAAGCCATGGGGTGAGATCAGACATGTCTTCTGGCCAAGATGTAAGGTAGAGGGTGTGTATGTTATCAAGGGAGAGACCGTCAAGGTTGACGGTTCCGGTTTGTTTATTCATGCTCTGCAGAATATGAAACCCCACCATGCTGGTAAGATTCACAGATTTTCTCTCTACATACAATATTATCATCATTGTATTAACAATTTCAAATAGCTGCCAAGTGGAACTTTGCAAACTTTCAGGGCCCCACCGTCTCTGCAAACTTTATGGAATTTACAACCCCGCCATCATACGGCTTGACACGTGTCGCCGTCGGTGGTATTGCGATGGACGGAGAAATCATCTCCGCCAGTGGCCTCCCTGAAAATCTTGCGGAACACTTATCTTCTACAGAGGATCCTGAAGCCAGATGGCCCGAACCCAAAGATGTCAAGTTTACCTGGAAGGGTAAGAACAAAGATGGAAAGGATGTGGTTGCCGTGATCGAAACGACCTGGCCTAAGAGAATGGACCGGGTGGATATTATGAGTGAAGTCCCCGGGTTCGTGAAATCGATTGTGTCGGCCGCTGCTGGAACAAGGCCTTACATCTACCAAGTAAGTTATTATCATGACTTGACTAAAGTTAAGAAATTGCTAACCGCAAACTTAAATAGTTCTTTGAGCGAGTGAGCCTGAAAGTCAAGGTTGGTGACCATGAAACAACCGAAGAAGGATGGGTGTTCTCCGAAGCGACTTTCATTTCGTAGATAACTAGACGTTGGCTACTTTGTCTTTGTCGCGGTAAATACTTCAAGTTCCTTTTTTGACCTTTCACGAAAGAACACGTTTTGCTATCTGCTGTTTCTGGGTCTGGTAATGCTTGAGGGATGTAAGGACCTGGCGTTCAGATTATCCACATTCGCTTGGTATTTTGTTTCTTTTTTGAAAATAAGAGCTTGGTTTGAGCCTTTGTGCGGAAGACAGACTGAGATACTTTAAATTATGCATCGAAAGTCGGTCGTTTGGATATAACTTAATATTCGCCATAATACCTAATCAAAAGACGTTTACTTTACGATCATCTTTTTTTGAGGGAGTATAATATCTAAAACTGCGTGATATCCTTCTGTACTTGGTGATATCAATGACTTCTTTGGTATTAATCGTTAAAGTCTATTGGATTCGCATATATGTATTGGTTTTATGTTCCCCCAATCAGCCGGTAGTTTGGTTTCCCTTTGTAAACTATAGATCATCTACCGCTGCTTCCCACGCATGATAGCATCGAATTCAGTGTGGAAGTCCGGAGTTTCACCGTCCAGTCTATCGCCTACGAACACATCTTCCCAATCAATCCAGCACTCACGACCATTCAGGATGTCCATGTGGAGGTTAGATGGGCCACCGAGGACCGCAGGTCGGAAATCCTAAATAAACCCATAGCAAATCATTAGCAAGGCAAGCCCCACATAGAGTAGAGAGAAGAAATGCAGGGAAGAACTTAAGGTCGTAAAAGAGAGTTACGGAGGGGGAGTACATACAGCACCAACAATCATCTTTTCCATACCCCTCCTTACTGGCTCAGCTAGCCCAAAGGTACGCTTCAGACTCTCCATCTTGAGGTTCTCCTGTGTGGCTTCCCAGTTCTTAAGACGGTTTTCGAGAGGATGGTGGGAGTTCAAATCTGCACTTGTGGTTGGGAGGCCATGACGGATGGTGTCGTGGACGGAGTGGGAGGCCGGAGCACCTGTTGTGGAGGAGGAGGGGAGGGAGATCTTGCTTGGTTGGGAGGAGGATGGGACGAAACGGAGAGAGCCGGACTGGATATTTGAGTTAGTTATCATTTAGACATGTCTGAAGCTGGAGGAAGTTACCATTGTGAATTATAGCTTGCTGTTTATTTGTTAAATGGCCTGGTGATGTCGTGGGATGGAGATGTTGATAACGAAGAAGTTGGAGTTGACGAAGCTCTCTTAGCTGGCTGTCGCGTCCTTTGCCATGGTCTGGGCAGAGCCTCATTTCTTGGCGTGGAGTTTCCCTTGTCCCAAATTTCCGTTCGCTTTTGCTTGTCCAAAAACAATTTCAATTCGCTCTTTTTCTTCAACCATTCAAAGCTGGAAATTTCTGCGACAACAGCCAAGGAAAACCCCGCCGGTGTCGACGCAGAATATGGCAAAACGGCCATTCAACCAGGCCGATGTCGAGGGTCAGGATAGGCGACCGGGGAATACGCCCAAGAGACACAAGAAGGACAATTCTACACCACTGAAGGGTCTGGCGCCCGAGGATATAACCTCTGCTCGACAGGTACAAGGACTTTTTTCAGATTATTCGAATGCTGGGAAAATACAAGCCGGTACTACTCTTTCAAAAAGAAAATCCACAATGGTATTCGACAGTAAAGCTAATTGTCGATGGCTGGTGTCTAGGAATTCAATCTTTCAAGAAGTTCCTCGCAGAATGTCGAGATTTACAATATGCCCTTCATACAAACGAAGAGGTAAAACTCTGCACTTTACAGGAATACCTCGAATCGCAGATATCGAAGGACGGCGATGAGACTTGTAGCGATCTGATGCAAGCTTGGTCTTTTGCTTCACAAGTATGATCCTGTCTTTGATAATTTGAAGGGGACACATCGAAATACTGACTTCCAGCCACCTCCAGTCGAACAACTTCCAATTACTCTCCTCAATCCCCACAATCCTTAACCTCCTCCTACGTACCATATCACTCTTCCCGGCTTGGAAGAAACACGGAGTCGCTCTTGTTAAATCTACTCTTCAGCCGCCGTACCTCAAACTCATCTACCGCTCCTTAGGTGGCTCCAAGGATGCTATCTCCTCACCTTGCCTCCGTCTCCTCACGGAAATCAACAAATTCGATAATGGCAGTCTCTGCCCCCTCCTCCACCAATCCCTCGACTTTACCGTCAAAGACATAACTCGAAACCTCGAGATCAAAAAGACGGAAAAGCTTGATCAAGTACCCGTCGAAGATCCGGACAGACCGAGCGTACGCACCGTATTCATTAGGTTTATAATCTCATTTTTTCGATATGGCACACATAATATCAAAACCGATATCATGGGACTACGGACGTTTACTACACCTTTATTCAAGTATATTCGTCAGGATACGGCGGCAGTGATAGACGAGGTTTTAATCGCCTTTAGAGATAACATTGTGGCGGACCAGGATATATCTCGCAGTTCCAAGACAAATTATTTCAACGATTGGAGTTTGGGCCGGCTTGGTGAACTTTGTTATCGCGACGATGCTATTGACCCCGAAAACCCGGACCGAACGGTTGCAGATGTAGTGTTTGAATTCTTAGGCGGAGTGTGTACTACGCCTGGGAATGGTGTATGCTTCAAGGACAATGGATGGTACAATGGGTCCAAATCCGACGCATCAGAGAAAACAGGGAAACAACAAGTCAACAACCGGATACTACTCGGATTACTAAAATCTCTACGACCGTACTCGAATACCTATCACCTAAGGCTCCTAATTGCAGTGTTTACAGCAGCACCAGAACTAGTAGCGGCATACTTCAACGAAAATACAGCTTTTACATTCGACCCGAAACTAACTGCGACATGGATCGGTCTTTCGTCTGTTTTGCTGGAGACGATTCAGATTCCTGTGCCCGAAGGGTTCGGGTACTCAGGTGGAGATGGGGTACCTTCTTCGCCGCCGCCGGTTCGGAATACCATCGAAAACATTTTACCGCAACAGGTTAATCGTGCTGTGTTAATGAAATGCTTGGGGTTCAACAATAACTTTGTGAGATTCATTGCTGTGAGGATACTCAATGCCGCCTTTGCAAAGCTCGCCGCTGTATTGGATGTTATGGGACAGATGGCGGAGGAACTGGTAGATGGGAGTGTCTGGGCAAAAGGTGTTTATGATTTAGTGGACGAGTTTTCAAAGAAGGTCCCCGAAGTCAGCGTCGTGGTTGGTGTTTTCAACCAAATGAAAGAGGATGCTAGCTTACAGAGGGAGGCGGGGAGTCGGTTACTCAGGAATTATTACGAGTATCTGCCTTCCATCGTCGGCGCTGTTTCGGGTGGCTCTAGTGGGAAAGGTGGATTCGACTTTGGTCCCGCGTTTGGTAGAGTGCTTGTGAAGATTGGTGAGAGTAAAGGGTTTGAAGCGTTGGAAGTGAAGCATTGTTTGCATTTGGCGAAGTTATTACCAGAGACGAAGTGGTGGGCTAAGCCTGCTGCTGCGAAATACTCGCCCGCGATCACCTTGATGAAGGTTTTCAAGGATGGTAATGGGGGTGAGCAGACGAGTGATGTGTATAAGCTGCTTGAGAAGATTGTGGATGATAGCCCGGTGTTCGGAAAAAATGGGGGTAATGGAAGGAATGGAGTACATCCTCTTGAGGCGCTTATGGAGAGTTTTGAGTGTGTAAAGGGTAAGGAGGGGTGGGAGAGGGTGTTGACGTACTTGGATAATGCATGTGGGAGACTAGTGCAAGGTCCTTATAAGTATTTTGATATCGTGGGGGAGACTTTGGAGAGTGTTAAAGGGCAGAGAGAGCTGAGTCCGCTGCTTGCTGCATTATTCCATCAATTCAACTTTTTGAAGAAGGAGGATGAGAAAAAGGAAGAATTGGAGGGATTATGCAAGTGGCTGCTTAGCGTTGCGAACAGCTTCTGGATTATTGGTGAGATATCAATGGTTCAAAAAGACGGAGTGGATATTGCCAGTGTCGAGGTAGATGGTCTAAGTGAAGTCTTCGCTCAGTTTGTGGGGGGCGTAAAGGCTTGGAGACGATGTTTAGAAGAGTCTAAACTCGGAAAGGCAGGTTCTTCCACTAACCTAGCGGGATTCCCTTTGGAATTTGAACTCCCAGAAGCCAAAGCCTTATCGAAGCTTCGAAAGTCAAAGGATGTTCGAGAGAAATATGGCTATTTTTACACACTCGCTGAAGCCCTAGAGACACGGCCAACCATTGTCACATTCTACTACTGGAAGTGGATACAACATGTTGTGGAGATACTTCTGAAAGCGACCTCTAACATTGATGAATCGCTTCTTGAGGAAACCGAATTTTCCGCTTTGGAGAGTATTCATAATACTGTTTTTCAGGTGTATGAAGATGCTGCACGAAAGGTTCTCAAGGACGATGCCTATGAGACGGATTCTCGCTCAAATAAGTGTCTTAACTTTATGGTCGATACGGCAGGAAAGCCGCTACATTTGGAACACTTCGCATCTACGGGGCGGCGATTAATGAGTCGATTCGATATCGGTAAGTTTCTTCGATTTGATATTTTCGTAACGCAGTCAGTTCTAACAATCTCAAAATCTAGCACTTATCAACATTTACTCCCTCCTACCTATCGGAACCCTCAAGGATGACGGTATCAAATCAAGTCTTTTCAGGAAACTAGTACAAACACCTCCGGCATCATATTCAGCCGATCCCAAACAAGCAGCAAAGCTGTCACCTTTCTTCAAACAGTTGTTAGACGTCAGCGACCTGAAGAAATGCTGTCGAGAATCTAATACAGTTGAATTGCCTGACCTAGCCTGGAAGGTAATTTTTGAGCGTCTACACGCTTCAAGGGAAACTCTGGTGGGGGATGAAGTCTGGGGAGTTATTGGCGGTGGCAAAGGTATCAGGGAACACCCCTGGATGTCATTTGTGAAGCTGGTTAAACAACAAGACTTGAAGGGATTGTCGAATATATCTGTTGGATTTGAGACGCTAAACCAAATAGTCGTTGAAAGCTCCGCAACAGCATTTTCGAGTTTCCTCCTATTGCTTTTGCAAAATGGTGGTTTCGCGAAAGGAATTGAGGGCCTATTGGATATAGTCAGCAAATACCTTGACGCCAGCCCGAAGAAATCTCTAAACCAGCTTACGAGCCTAACATTCCCAGTTTGCAAGGCTGTCAAAGATTTCGCCATGGAGAGCGACGAATCAACCGGACGACTTCGCTGGAATAGACGAGATCTAAAACACGGAGATGGCATGCAACTTGATGAAGACTGGAAGGAAACCTTCATCCAGCAATTTTATCTCGATACCGCCCCGGGTACATCCACGCCTCTCCATCAAGCCCTTTTAGAGGGTTACAAAGGTTTAGGAAACATGGATTGTAAGGCGGAATACTTTGAAATCGGCCTTGACTTTGGACTCATAACCTGGAACGAACAAGTTCTGAACCTCCTCCAACTCGATGATAAGGATAACACACTTTTATCTGTCTCTGATTTCCCATTATTCGAAGCAGCATATCGTCTGTCACAGGGCAGTGATATGTCCTGGTTCCATACAAAGCTTCAGAAGATGGTTTACACCCTCACCGTTGAGCTCTCAAAGCCCGAGATTTCGGAAGAAGCGGATTCGGATCTACTAGATGGGTTAGAAAAGTTTGGAGGGTTTATGGGGAGGAATGAAGTTGATCTATTGGATTATGTGGCGAAAGATGCGGTTGATAGTTTGCTTGAGGTTTTGTTTGAGAAGTTGGGGGTTGGGAGGGGGGTTGTTACTTTTGCCGCTGGAATAATGGCGGGTATTGAAGATGTTAAGGTACGTTTTTCCACTCCGCCCTGCTTTGATGATCTTACTCGGATGCTAGAACGACGATGCTAATTATTATACCACAGTACCTTCAACATTCGAAACTCCTGCAACTCCTCCTAACTACGCCTACCTCCCTCTCATCCTCCCCACGCAACCCTGAAAAAAATGAAGAAATTCACCATCTATCATATATCCTCAGAAGACTCTTCTACGCCTCAAAGGCGCAACATAGTAACATTACTACTCTTGACGGAATCCTTTCCGTATACGGCGGCACTAACGATATCGTCGATTCAATACTTTTGGAAATAATGATATCGATAGAAGGATACATGGAGCGCAGCATTCTAGAAAGGATCTCATCCGTTACAATAACCGATGACGAAACTCGGAAATTTGTGGAAAGAGACGGGAAGGGACAACTCAAAATCTTCGTATCTTCGAAAGTCGTTGGAAAATCAATGGGGAATTTCTTTCGAAGGAAAGTACAGTTTAAGGGTTTGATTGGTAGTAGTGACGGACTCAAAGGGTTTTTGGAAAAGTGTAGAAGAGTCGATGAGGAAGATGAAGGTGGGGTCAGGGGAAGGAGCTATGATGTTGGTTTCATCGCTGGGTTGGTGATGAATGGTATGGTGACCGAGAAGGAAGAGCATAAGGTTGATGTTAAAGATATAATTGAGAAGGGGCTTTTGGGGTATACACTTCTGGCGCTTTCGGCCGACAGCGGTGAGGAGAGGGGGATGGGTGAAGCTGTGCTTACGGCTGTTGTGGGGAAGTTGGAGGGTCTTGCTGGGGTGAGGGGGTATAAAGAAAGAATTGAAGTGATGCATTTGATATGTAAAGTGCTCGCTGGAATCGCGGTTTTGAACTCGGATGGGGGAGAAGATGAAAAAGAAGAAACGGAAGGAAGTGGATTGAAAGAAAGGGGAATACCCACGATCACAGCACTTTTACTTGCAAAGATCCTGGGAATTGTATCCAACCCTTCACATTTTCTTTACGAAAAAGTGATGGTGTGGCTACAATCCCGAGCAACCGTTGATTTGAAGGAAATACCCATGCTCAAGGAGTTTTTACGAACCGAGGGAGAAGGGTATTGGAAGGAAGTCGGATGGATAGTCGAAGGGTTGGCCGGTGGGGTCAAGGATAAAGTTGATATTGAGGTTTTTAGGAAAAGAGGGGTGTTTGAAGAAGTTTTGGGGGTTTATGGGGGTATTGTTACTACGACCAATAATAACAATACAAACGTGAAAGGGAAAGAAGAAGGGATAAGGAAGAAGATATTGGAGATATTGTGGAATACGGCAGGAGTTGAAGGAGGGGCTACGACGTTGATTACAAGAACTGGAGTGGTCAGTTGGATCAAGATGATGATTTCTGTGGTTGATGGTGATGAGGAACGGATATTGCTAAAGAGATTGGCGGCGAGGTTGTGGGAAGGGTGTGATAAAGGATATGTTAGACAGTGGAGTGAAGGGCATATTGGGAGAGTTTTGGAGGGATTGGTGGGGTTGTAAGATATTTACTTAGGTACCTACTTACTTAGTTACCCTTATATGGGGATATTGATCTGTATGATAGATGATTCAGCGATGTATTATAAATGTATGTTTTATCGATCGAAGTTTCGTTTGTAATATATTTGTTGGTATATCGTGTAGTATAATTTCCCTCGTCTCGGTGTCGCTAGTTGTATTGTTTGTCATTCGAGTCTTTTCCATTTACAGAAGATGTGTTGGAGGTCCATGCGACCTTGACCTTCCCACACCGGCTAGCCAGCACCACTCATGCCCGTAACCAGACCGGCACGGAGTAGCCAAGCCGGTAGCTAGCCGGTAGCAAGCCGGTAGCTAGCCGGTAGCAAGCCGGCCGGCCCGTCTCTACAGTAATTAAGTAGACTAGCAGTTTACCAGACAGACGATAACAAGGCCGGTAACTGGGCCAGTGTGCTTATCTACCACTTCCAACACATCATCATACACTTTCGAGTCCGAAAGTAGGAGGTATATCTGGGGGAAATACCAATTAACGATCCCCTGTATTCAAATATCAATCTTTAGTTAGACCACTTGCTAACTACTTATTTTTCTATATATATATAGTGGATGCTATGTATATTAAACCTGATCTATAATATAGGCATGCAAGGTGAATAGTCGGGTAAGTACTTAAGTGGTTAGCGAGCGACGATAGTTGGTCGGGGTGCACAAACGTGTTAAGTTAACACGGTTATACTAATGCTTTTCGCTTAGCCGAACTCATTGCATGCATACACTTACATACCGGTACCTCTAACATTCATTATATGGTCTGTTACATGGCCATGGGACAGTAGTCGATTCGATTGATACGAAATTAATTCCTATAGTTTTGAAATGTCAGTGGATCTTGCGGAAACCCCTCACATGAAAGGGTATCACTATATATATATATAAGTACTGAAAGGTACTTATATTTATAGGGAATAACAGAGTTTAGGAGGAGACATTATCTAAAAAGCCTAAGTTAAGCTTTGGAACAAAACCACACCATGTGGCAAGTATATGCGGCCTAGGCCTATAGATAGATACTTGTTGACCAATATTGACCGCTTGGTTTAGCTTGGAGATGATATCTAATTTTCTGTTTTTCTATTTCTATTTCTATTTCTATTTTCTATCAAACAAAAGGAGATAAAACGGCGTAAATACAGGAGGATATGTCAGGGACTGATAGACCCCACTTCTGTATATGGACAGATATTCCATGAAGAAGTCCCGGGGGTGGGATTTCGACAAGATCTAAATCTAAAGTGCTGGCCACTCAGCTTAGCTTAGCTTAGTAGCTATCGTTTCCACCATTGTCTCCATCGTCACCATCATCCCCACCTTTTCCACCATTGTCTCCACCGTTGTCTCCACCGTTGTCTCCATCATCGCTATCGCCAGTTGGCTCTGGAGAAATAGTGATGGTCTTCGTAGTATCACCGCCCTGCCTGACATAAACAGTAACCTTGCGACCACCCTTTGTAATATACCTCGTTACAACGTTAGTCTCAACGGGACCGCCCAGTGTAACAGTCCTTGTAGAATCGACTTTTCCACCGATATACTTGATATAGATAGTCTTAACTCTTCCACCCTGGTTAACATATCGTGTAACGGTATTCACATCATTACGTGCAAGTGTAATGGTCCGAACAGCTCTTTGACCGACATAAACCACGTGAAGAGTCCTATCGCCTCTTATAACAGTCTTGGTAACCGTAACCTGCTTAACAACAGGAGGAGGGGCAGGAGCAGCCGGAGGCGGGTTGTTTCCAAACCCGTAGGCATCAGCACCGGGTGTTCCAGCCGGAGAATTCTGGCACATATTACACAGAATACCATAAGTTCCATTTTTCTTCACCTTATTCGCACGAGCAACCCATTTACAACCAGCCTGTCTGCATCGTACGGCAGTAGCATCTCGGTCTGCCTCGTTCTTTGTGGCATAGAAGACAAAGGGTGCTCCGTTGGCTGGGATGTCTTGGGCTTGATCGAAGGCGTACCAGGTACATTCGGGTGTATCTGGTAACGTCTGTGGACATTGGTTGACAAGAACTCCGTGTCTGGGAGGGTTTGTATTATCCTTTGCTACATATTTGCAGTTTGTTTGGTGACCGCGGATTGAGGCGGCGTCTCTGTATGCGAATGGCTTTTCATTGGTTCCTGGTGGGCAGACATAGGCTATGAAGGGAGCGCCATTGGAGACGATTGCGAGGGAGGAACCTGCGCAGAATGCGATGCTGACGGCAATCTTGGAGATTAACATCTTTCTGAAACGAATGAATACAGAATAAAGAATGTGGATATATATAGAAGTGCGTTCGGATTTCAAAGAGAGAATATATATAATGAGCGTGTGGGTTTAATGAATGTGAGTGCACTTCGTTCAGAGAAGATGATGTCGTCGAACCGGTAAATGATAGAAGAGTATCAGCCGATGAGGATTAAACAGAAAAAGATGAAGCTCGGGGAATTGAGGACATATTTATAGGTCATCTCGAATATAATACAATAAACTGTAAAAATATTAATAGCATTGTTCAACAATGATCATGATCGAATCGATACCGGTATACCAAGCAAGCAAGCAGAAGAAGAATAATAATAATACTACCAAACAAGGCAACAAGAAACTCAAGAAGGATAAGGATAATGCATGCGACCTCGTAAACCAGATGACCTCGAAGTCCACGGAGAAATAGGACAGAAAGATGTCGACGTCGACGTCAACCGGCATCTTCCGTAAATCCTATATTGAAGCTCTAGCTATATCTAGCTTCTCTTTTCCCGCGATGGCGCGAATCGACCCGCGCTTCACGATCTCATGTACGTACCACGGCCGCAGCCTAGGCCTGCCCTTATAATATCAATAACAGTATAGGATCATAATAAAAGTATAGAAGCAACCCCCCCCCGGGTTCGTCAATGCGACAAGGGAATGTCCAGACGCCTTAGAAGGTAGCACAAAGCCAAACAAAGACCAACTACGATGCCTCAAACCGCGCGGGGTTCCGAATGCTGGGATCCGGAACGGGGAAAAATACCTCTCCGGGGGAAAGACCAAGCTGTCTGTCGGTAAGTCCAGTCTGCATGATTCCGGTTGTAACTGCTTATTGGCTATCTTAGTCAACATCATAAAACCGATGTTATCGAAAACCTAAATACCGATCCTAATCCAGGTCAAAATAATTCCAAGTAGCAGGAATATGCATATGCATAAGAACAGAATCCTATACCCAACATAACTGCCAGTATGTTGTGTAATTAACTCAATTAATTCTCCCGCCAGAACGCGGGTTCGATCGATATCTCGCCTATTGTCGTAATTGAGAATTCTAGAAGTGGACATTACCCCAGGTACATGTATGTTACTTTTGTAAATAGCATCCCATTGGCTGTCTCGGCGTATCATTCATCTTTTCGGATCTAGCCTCGTCTCGAGGTAATACACACCGTCACAACACAGGTCGACTTATTTTTCTACAAAAAAATCTAAATGTCCATTATATAGAAGTCCCACGAAAGAAAGACAGAAGAACCAAGTTATTTCTTAAGCTCAGATTTGATGCCCAAGTGCTTTTCTTAATATTCCATTTGATAGAGAGAAGTAGTTTGTAGTTATAGTAAGGGGTGTGTAGCTACGCAGTAGTAGTAACGGTAGTCGTAGGAGTGGCCAGAGTAAGTTTAAGTTTTCCTAGAGGTTGGTTTTCACTTTTCCTTTGCCCATGTTTTTTTTGTTTCCTTTTGGCCAATAGTCCCTCCGCCTCGAGCGCCTGGATTTGAGGCTACGCACATCTTGTAATTCCTCCTTGCCTTGTCATGTGAGAGAGAGAAAAGAGAGAAAAGGGTAGTGGCTGCCCGGAAAAGTGAAGAGTGATGGGGAGGGTCCATCGACCATTGTAGGAAGAGACAAAATGAAAATAACGAAAAGGGAAAAAAGAAAAAAGTAATTTAAATATGAAAAGAAAACTTGTAGTAAGCCATGGGAACAGATAACCATAAAAAGATTTGACAGGATGAAAGCACGGAAACAGCAAAAAGAACAACAGCGAGTAAACCCGGTAGAGAACAAGAACAAAAAACAAAACAGAAAACGGACGAGCGGGAAGTAATGCAGCGTCCAGTATCCGCCAGGACATAAAGAAAACAGGAAAAAACAAAGGGAAAGCGGCGGTTTCCAGTTTCGTATACAAACAAAAGCAAACAGTCAGGAGTAGCAGGAGTACAAAGGCATATTTGTACATTTTTTGAGTTTTCACTGATATGTGGTCGGTTGTTAATTGCATCCCAATAAAAATAACCTGGGAATCAATAAACCATTTGATAAACAGCTGATGAGATAATGCTTCACATAGTTGTTTTTAAAGTAATCGCCATCGTTGTGTATTATGTAACCAGAATGGCAACTCTGAACAGCTGCAGCGATTTATCTTCCGCTGAACATTCCAGGAGGAGCACCTCCCAGATGTTGGTGTTGTGGACTCCTCAAGCCATCTGGTCCAGCGCCAAACGGCATCATACCCTCGTGAAAAGGAAAGGGTGGGAATCCTTGAGGTGGCATAGGTGGGGGTGGTCCACCGGGTCCGGGTGGTGGTGGGAACGGGAAAGTTGCCATGTTCGGCATGTTCGGCATGTTGGGCATGTTGGGCGGCGGTGGCATACCATGTTGCCCAAAAGGCAATGGTGGCATACTACCCAATCCTGGTCCAGGTCCATAGAATGGCAGTGGTGGCATTGGGCCAGGACCGCCAGGACCGTTAACACTTCCGCCATTTGCGGGTACAGGCGGCCCACCGGGTCCTCGTTGGAAAAAGCCTGGTGGTGGGCGCTGCTGGTTTGTGTTACTGGCAGGTCCAGACTGGTTTTGCTGTGATGGATGTTGTTGCGGTCCTGGTGCCCAGTTCCCGGGAATTTGTACATTATCTCCTCCCATACCTGGCATGCCCATTGGTGGACCTTGATCTGTATTCTGTGGTACTTGTGGTTGAGGGGGAACCCGTTGCTCTAGCCTAGGAGGCGGGTTTGGCGCGAAGTTCCTATGTTGGAGATCTTGAACACCCGCGGCATTCATCTGCATTTGTTGCTCAATGAGTCTACGCCGTTGCTCGTTGTGAAGAAGCTCAAGGTGACGTGGATCAATTGCTCGCTGCGGTTGCTCATTCAGGTAGTTGGCCTTTTGAACTTCTAATGGAGTGTTCCGGTCCATGCCAGGTGGAGGGCGGATGTCCATTCCGGGAAAGCCCCGATGGTGGGCTTCGAGGATCTGGGAGGGACTTCGAACATGCTGTGGTGGCTCGTGGTATAGGTTTTTCGGGAGCCCGGGCGGTCCACCGTCTCCTGGACGTCCAATGGCCCTGATTGCAGGATCATTCAAAGCAGCTGCGACGCTATTTTTGCTACCGCGTTGAACCGCGGGAGGGCTAATGGAAACCGGAGGCCCATTTGGGGTGTGGTAGTCCTGAAGGAATGGCGGCGGCGGCGGCGGTCCTTGTGGTGTAGGCATATCCGAGTGACGTAAGAGCTTTAGAATAGTTTCATTCCCATTACCCGACCCGGTTTGGGCAGACTGCAGAGCACTCGGGAGTCTATTCACGTTGCTATGGGGCTGTGGCTGTTGTGGTGGCGGCCCAGGAAGATTGTTCGACGGATGACTAGCAGGAGGAGTCGGGTGAGTATGAGAGACCGGTGTGCCCTGTTGTGAAGGTGCTCCCAAAATCGACAAAAAGGCATTCTGTGCCTCGGCATTAGGGGGCGACGATAGACGAGCCCGTCCCAGCATTTGCAGGATATTGTTGAATCCCTCTCGGTCCTCCTTCGAGGTCGCCTCGAGTTGCTTGTCCTTTGCGGCTTGCTGCTGTTGTTGAAGAGCGGAAGCCTGGCTCATCTGAGACTGGTTCGAGTGCTGTAACAGTTGGTTTTGATATTGCTGGTATTGGGAGATGTTCTGTTGTAACTGCTGCTGCTGCTGTTGTTGTTGCTGCTGCTGCTGCTGTTGCTGTAACTGCTGCTGTAACTGCTGCTGTAATTGTTGTTGTAATTGTTGCTGTTGCTGTTGTGGTAGTTGAGCTTGTTGGGCCTGTTGAGCTTGCCCAATCTGCTTCTGCAAAGTCTGGTGCTGCTGATGGATCTGCTGTACTTGCTGGGCCTGAAGTTGCATAAGTTGCTCTTGACTACCATTCTGAACTGGAGTAGCCGGAAGTTCGGCGGCCTCTTGAGTCGGCGCATTGAAGAAATTGCGGAATCTGGAAGATCGTTCAACAGCGGGTGTTTTCTCCCCAGGAGGTACAGCGGGCAACTTTGCGCCACCATCGCTAGCGGTTTTAGACGCAAGGCTAGTCGACGAGGTATTCCACCCCCAAAACCTATCGACTCCATTCTCTGCAACCGAAGGTGTAGGCGCTAGTAACATTAAGTTAGTCCAAACCATAGGTAAATATCGCGTGAAAAATCTTACGCTCTTCAACAGGCTCTGCTTGTGCCTCTTCTAAAGCTGTAGCTCGTTTCTCGGCCTTGGACTTGAATACGATCTCCTCATCCTTCTGTTCCTTTGCCGCAGGTTTCTCCTCAACTGGCTGAGATTGTTGTCGTGCGGGCTGAGGTTGATTCTTCGCTTTCATAGCTGCTTTCCAACGCTGAAATTCTTCAGTCGAATGGGCCTTAAACTCTTTTCCATCATCCCCAGGTGTAGCATCCATCCATTCGGGCTCCTTTTCTTGTCTCTCGAAACCTCGGCCAAAATTCTTCGAGTCTCCAAACGTCTCACGATTACCTCGCGGCCGATGCTCCTGGTCGTGGTCTCGGTCATGTCTGGGGCCTCCATTGCCAAAATCTCGATTGCGTTCACGTTGTTCGCGGAACTCTTTTTCTTTGATCGCATTTCTGATCGCGCGCTCTTCATCAGTTAAGAACCAACTTCCCTCCTCCCGTGCTTTCCCGCCCTGTCGTTTATTATGATCCCGATCCTTCCAGCTAGTGACGTTAGTCCTTTCACCGTCACGATCGCGATCACGATCGGTCCTATCTTTCGAAAATGGCTCATATCTGTTTGTTCGGTCCTTATTGTCCCGGTCTTTGTTGTTGTTATTGTCGCTAATTCTTCCATGCTCTCGCCTGAATTTATCTCCGTCGTCATTATGGCCGAATGATTTTCGAGGTCTCGTCACGGTATTCCAACCACCCTCGTCGCCGTCTTTAGCACCAAATCTGGGGCGGGTGGTAGTGCCAAGCTTATTATTATCATCCCTGTCGCGGCGAGTGTCATCGCCGGTTCTTCCAAATCCACGGTCGTTCCTGTCGTTACGATGCGTGGTATTGGTATCCCTCTGCAGTCCAAATTTGTTAAAAGAGAATCTATCGATGCGTGGGGTGGTCGAAGTGTTCTTATCATCGTCATCACGGTTTGAAGAAGTGAAGTGAGAGAAGCGGGTATTGCTATCAGACGTCGACGATGAGAATGCATCGTGGTCGTTTCCGAAGGGCTTACGTGAGTGCGTAGACGTGAATGTTGGTTTCGATGAGCTAGTTCCTGAAATCAAGTCATCTGATGTTGTATATACGTGTTAGTGGGGTGATGGTGATGGTGATGGTGATGGTTATTAGAGGGTATTGTGTGGGAGTACCTGATCCTCGAGATGTGTGGCCAAACCCGGTCCTGCGACTAGAAAGATTAAAGGTGTTAGAATAGATTCTTTCGACACCAGTTCAAGTAGGTGGTCGTTTATGGAGTGTTCTTGTAGAGGAACGAGGGTCGGATTGGGATAATACCTATCCTTATCATCTATGCCAAGCTCTTCGCCGGGCTTTCTCGGTGCCGGCGTAGGCCGTGTTGGTAGAGGCGAACTGTAGCAATTTTACCGGAGATTAGTAGCTGGCCAGATCTCGTTCTCATGGCATATAGGTGGATTGGTGGCACAAGACGGGGGAGAAAATGGGAAATTGCATACCCCATCCATTCTTCTAATGGAGGTAACGAGGGTGGTTTCTCGACTAATGGGGAGTTTTTTATGAGGATTAGTTCCTCGATTGTATATCTGGGACCCATGACGGGTCAATTGTGATGTGAGAGATATGCTCGGTGCTTTTTGTAGGTCGGTGATGGTCGATAAGAACGATAAGAGGCTAGTCGGTCTGGCGAAGTTTCGATGTCGATGTAGATGTAGATACGAGGAGGAGTAAGATGGACGTTGGAAGTGTGGGTGGGTCAGGTCAGGTCAGCGCTTGCAAGCTTGCCCCGGACCAGGGGTGGCCGGGGGAGAGATATCGGGGACGCGAAGAGCCGTCGAAAGTGACGGAAGGATGCTTTTCGAAGAAGCAAAATGGAATGATACGGCGAACTCGAGAAGTAGTTAACTCCCGGGATATCGTATACACACGCTGTCGAGAGGATTGTAAGAAAAGTGATGTTGATTGATCTTTTTTTTTGGAATTTTTTTTAGAATTTTGAATATTTTTTAGATTGTTTTTTTTTCTTGTTCTTTCTTTCTGTTTAATTTGGATTCGGTATGCAGTTTCTATGTCTGACCAGACCAGCGAAGGCTGGCTGGAAGCGATTTCGGTGTATGCGTGTGGAGGTGTGGTGGATTTGGATGTACGAATATGTGGGTGTGTGTGTGTGTGTGTCTGTTAATATGTGATATGTTGGTTGACGACGCTGTGCACTGGGGAGGTAGAGGAACGACTAGTCTCGTGAGGGAGATAGCAGTGTACGGTAGATAGAATAGATTCTAGAGTTAGTTGATGAGAGGGAAGTGATGAGGAAGTTGTCGCCAGGACGGGAGGGATCTGAGTGAGCGGGCAAGAGATACTGGAAGCTGATGGTGGTTGAACGTTGATGATGATGATGGTGATGATGATGGAGGTTGTGTCGATGTTGAAGGGAAGTGATGTGATGTGAAGTGATATGGCAGTGGCAGTGATGTGAGGTTGATTTGATAGAGAGAAGGAGAGAGAACGTTGAGAAAAAACAAGTGTTGGCCAACCCAGCACCGGCAACCAAGTGCCTGTCCAGCTGCCAGGTGCTGCCCTGTCTTGTCTCACTGCACTGCACTGCACTGCTCCTGCTCCTGCTCCTGCTCCTGCTCCTGCTCCTGCTCCTGCTTCTGCTTCTGCTTCTGCTTCTGCCTCAATAGTCTAGAGTTAAGCAATTACAGTCAGTTAAGACCATATACATCCTTACATATGTACTTAAGTAAGGAAGTCCTTGGTTAGAACTAGCCTGGGATCAATCAATCGAATCCTACAGCAACTGGTGACCGGGGTTATATTTTACTATGACTTCTTTGGTATCGGGATATGATTATTCTTATATAGGGCCTAAGCTAAGGCTGGGAGCGGCGATATAAAAATCGGACTCTCAAACAAGACTACAACATCTCTCCTCACTTCTACGAAAGACAGTCTAAAATAAAAATAATAAAATTAAAATTAAAGGTCCGTTTCATCAGCCATATTGTCGAGTCTGGTGTTATCGATAGAGTAAAGGGGAGAGACCGAAGTCCCGCTTCGAGTCCGCGCGGGGGCCATCCGGAAGCCCTCATTGGCCAATTAATATATCATCTCCACTTCAACTTCAACTTCAATTTCGTGGACTTCGGTTTCCGTTTCAATTTCAATTTCTACCAAAGACTAAAATTCTACTATCTACATTCTGAAATATTATGTATATTAGACGGTGGTGGTATCATGGTGGCATATATTAATACTGTATTATCCATCTAACATCCACTCCTCTTCAATCATTCTCCCGTCCACCGTTCCAAGGTCGTCCCGAAGAGAAAGCTCCCGAAAATGATTCGTCGTAAACTTCTCCCCGTCTCCTATCCACTCAAATTGCCCATCCCTCACGGCCGTCAAATAATACATAAACGGGTTGACGACGACCTTGTTCCCCGCCATGCTTTTCAACAGACCTCTGGTCGCGATCCTCCCGCTGTCCCCTGTAGCAGCCGACAGGCCCACTGAAAAGTCCAAGTCTCCCTTGATAACTAGCTGTGCGAATACTCCCCCACCGTTTGGTAGAGTAACAACCCCATCCGGTATTGGGCGAGAACGTATGAAATGCACCATACTGCCCGGGCACGGCAGCTCCTTCGACCTCTCATTCACAGGTCTATCATCCAATCTGAAATCATGAATATCGACTCTACTAGCACCCCTCGCCAGTCCAGCCTTCAGTATTTCCAATGGCAATTTCGCACAAAAACCGGGGAAGGCGGGGTGTTCTTCCCCTCCACCCCACCCGAGGATATGCATATTGACCTCCAAATACCTCGTTGGGGCAATAGTCCTAATGGCCTCCAATAGATGCTGAGCGCTACAATACAAAGCCGGCACCGATAGCCTTACATAGCAAAACTTCAAATTTCGGCAGTTCGCTAATGCTTTTAACACAATATTGAACTTGTTGATACTTCTATGGTGGTTATGAGTCGCGAATGAAATCGGATAAGGGAGATATATGTTACGCCGAGGCACACCTTCCACCCGTTCCATAGCTTGTCGATTCCATAATAAAAATATTAGGGCCGTAAGATTTGGCTGGAATCCTTGGACTCTAGCTATCGTTTTCCCATGTTTTCGGTCTTTATCGAAGATGTTGAGTTGGAATATCCCGGCTAGCACAGAAATTGGCATCCATGCTGCTGCAGTTTCAAACGTACACACCGAACCGTGGTGGGCACCTCGACAGGGGACACTGCGGTGGGCTGGAGGGATTTCGGGAGCTTCTCGACATATTCGGCGGACGATTGAAAGAAAAGCTGGGGAAACGGCGGCAAGATGGTGCAATGTCTGAACGTGGATGGCGGACTCATGTTGACGGTATTCATCGAAAGCGGGGGTTATAGCCCAGTATATTATATCTTTTTTTTTCCCCCCTCAAATTAAATCATTGCCATCATTCTACCGTATAGGATGGGCTAAACATAGGTGAAAGGAGGAAATACCAGTAATTATTTCATACGGAAGAAACGGAATTCGCTCGGGTGGCGCCGGATTGGCAAAAATCGGAACATCTTCGTATGCCGGTGGGAGAATACTAGAAGTATCTCGAGCTGAAGAAGGTGAGGTCGATGTCGAAGGGCCCGAGGCTGAATTTGAGTGGCCGTGGCCGGAAACGGACAGCCGTTTAGCAAGTTTCTGTTTAAGGGACCTTAAACCCATGTCGACTCATATATTCACGGCGCGGATCGAATTTATAACAACTTGCAAGAATTAATAGGAGAACAAGATGAGAAGAAAACATTTGAAAGGGTCAAATAATTAATAATTAGGATGCTACTGAGGGGCACCAGTAGTAGCACAAGTAATATCACATCAGGCAGCGCTATACGGAGTACTGCACACGAGTCCCTTAAGCTTCGGCGTCGGGGAAGGTTTGCATTTTGCATTTGCATCCGCATCTGCATTCATTCGCATTTTTGGGGATCCAACTGTGGAGGAGGCACAGCGCAGCTCGAGCTTGGCGCGGCTCTACCCTGGCAAAACAGAGGCAATTAACATTACAATTGCAATGTTTTGTGGAGGTAATGGGCAATTGCCTGCAGCAAGTTGCAGGTGGCTGCAGTGCACTGACTTTTGTAATACGAGCATACTTATTAACAGGACTTATTTGTTAGTACGGGGTACTGCGCGCTGAACTAAAAGATTAATGCCGACGCCGACATTTCGGTAGCTACGTTAGTACGTTAGCTAAGTGTATGTAATGGTCAAGTGCTTACTTGAGGAAAGCGTGTGGATGCGATGTGGCTGGTGCCGATGTTTCGACTAGCACAGCCCCCACAGACATCCTTACATCCTTACGTACTTCCATACAGATCCCATGTAGAAGTATCCACGCCTCTCACGTGCACGTGTAAGCTATACACAGCGGGCGGATGTATGTATGCATGTACTTATGTATGAAGTACTGAAGTACTAGTACTGATGTACGGTACAAACAAGATCTTGGTATCCGGTGGAGTCGTTGGATGGGATTTCGTCATAACATCGCTTGTATGTAATATACTAGTTCATGACGTCCCAGGGAACCCGGTTTGATGGTATTGCATTATAGGTCTCTGATATTACCAAGCACCAATAGGATGCCTGTCGAGTCAGTGTCATCATATGTATACCCGTTTGACATTCATTTGAGGAAAGTCAAATACTTACTTCCAATCAACATTTGATATTTGATTCTTACTTTCGAAGTAGACATTAAGTATCCTATACCAAAATTAACATCTCGTGGAATGCAAAGTATAAATATCAAATGCAAGTATCAGTATGCAACAGCAGCTCGAATGAATGCAGCTATTGACCCCCCCTGCCAAAATTAAACGCTCTATTATACTTACCTACTTCCTGGCCCTGGACATTCGGAACAACTATAAACTTCGCCGGAACCTGTCAGACACAATTCCTCTCCGTTTTCTCTCCTACTCCTCTCTAGTTATAATGTCCCAAAACCAGACAGTTGTATTATAAGAAGCCCATAAGTATAGTGCTGTGCTGTGATAATTATAAATTATAGAACGTTGATGCATGATGAGGTTGTGAGTGGTGGAATTTGCCATTTATTAAATTTAAACCTGAACGACAACACTTCCTTCCTGACTTACTAAGAAGCCAGCCCCCTTTCGCTCCCTCTCTTCCCTTCTCTCTCCCTCCTTCCTCTCCTTCCTCTCCCCTTCTCCTTCTCCCTTGATCTAACATACATCATCTCCTCCATCACAGCCCACTTCCAGACTCTTTTACCATCGTATTCGCTACTTCCGACTAATATCCGACCACTCACAAAATACCCTCATCTCTCTGTCAGGACGTTTCCGGTATCGTGTCTTGGGTTAATACTACATTTGCCTGAATTGGGTTCAACTCAACTCAACCAACCATCCATCATCCATCGCGAATGAACACCACCCCTCTATATACACTAGTCCTCACCAGCATCGCTACCTTACCTTCACGACTGCAATAATAATATCGGTGTCGATTTTTACGCCTTTGGTTGGATTCATCGATCCAGACTTCTATCAGGTTTCTATTTTCCGACAAAGAGGCAAAAAGTCAATAAAAAAATAAAAGGAAAGGTCACAAGCCATGCCGGAGGAATCCGATCCTACTCACCCCCCATCATCGGTCCCTCCGACATCCTCTTCCACCAAACAATCTCCACCTCCCATCGACACTACATCTCCAAGAACATCCATAGTCAGGCCCGAATCCTCTATAATCGCTACGACCCCATTAGCAATGGAATCTGCCATGCGATTCGAAGAAGAGGCCAGGAAATCCCTCCACTTGGCGTCTACGTCCAACCCTCCCGTTGATGGAACCCAGGAATCTACATCCGCCTCTGAAGATAATGCTATTACATCCTCTCTGGGACTACCGGATTCATCAACATCAGAAGAAGATCCCTCACCCGGAATCGTCATCACTTTGTTAATATTATCCGGCGCACGTTCGACGTTTACATTGAATCCTGGCTATATCAAGAGGCACAACGTGCCCCATGAAGATGCAATGATGATGACAGTATACAATCTCAAAGAATGCATCTGGAGAGATTGGAAAGAGGGTAAATTTATCCTCCCGGCCTTTCAAAACAAGTGAACACGCAGCTAATATCATTCTGTTTCTGGGGTAATAGAAGAATTAATGACTAAACAACCTGCCAGCCCACATCTGATACGTCTGATATTGCTGGGTAGGCTGCTCGAGGATAAGAGCTTACTAAAAGGTAATTTCCCAAAATACCTTCCTAATACGACTTAACCCTCCTCCCCACATGAAAGCCAAGATTATTAACCGGTGGGGATTCTAGACTGTCGGCTTCAACTCGAATCACCTAATGTCGTCCATCTCAGTTTACGACCTGCCGATATTGCGGAGGACGAAGTTACAACGAAGAGTGGCAAATTTACCGGATTCAATGGGAACAATGGAAGAACAGGCGAAAGACCAAGTCCTGGCTGCAGATGCGTCATATTATAAACGATGATGGTATCAAAAGAGATCCGGCGACGGATGGGTGCCTTTTTTCGTCAAATTTTGGGAGACAAGGCCGTCATATCTGAAATTTCCGGAAGCGATGATGATCTCAGTCGATGTGATTGGTTGGATTTCTCATGAAATTAAGATCTGGGAGCAACTATTACCGACCGACCGACCGATAAATACCAGGCCCGATCAAAAAAAACAGGTATTCGAAAAACCACTGAAATTTACAACTTACCCTTCAACAAATTCGCATCCGCGACGCAATACCCATTCCGACGTTTTCCTTTTCTTCTTCTCCTCCTTTTCCAAAGCCAGCGAACAGCCTTCACGATAGTTCATATCTCTTTTCCTTAATATTTTCCGGCGGCACCACAAATATCTTTTTATCGCAGTATACGGGTTTTAATTCTGGGTTTTATTTTTGATGGTTTTTTTTTTTTAAGCTACGCTGGTCTCATATTTCTCTTCCTCTTCTGTGTACAGGTCTTTCCTTTAGTTTTGGGACTTTCGCCTCCCTTTTTTTATATTTTGATTCTGGTACCATTGTTCAAATGCATATTCCGGAGAAGAGAGCGCGGTTGATTCACAGTAATGGGAATGCTTCGAGGCTAACGCTAGGGTATATAGTCAAGAGGCCTCTTCCCCGATCCTTGTTCTTTATGTGATTTTGGGAGCATCGAATTAGTAAATAGATACATATTTTACTATACACCAATAATCTTGTAGCATTCTGCTATTCTTCTTTGATTATTTTGAAGCAATTGCGCAATGTATGGTTGTTAAAAAGTTTTTTTTAAGTAGGTAGATGATTATAGAAAACTATTGTTCCTCAAATTGAAGGCCGAGTTAAATTTAACTGTGTATGAAATTTTCAAACTGAAACTATTCCGAACTCCTCGCTTTAAATTTAATTATCATAAAACATTCAAAATGAAACTGCAAGAATCAATGGCATGTATACATGTAAAGTATATAGATATCTATATATTAGATTTTCTTGCCCGTTACCTCCGCCACAACCTGCCTTCTAATCCTCCTCGCCAGAATCTCCGAATTCCTCTTCTTCATATTTTTATGCTTATCTCCATGGACATCTCTCTTCTGATACTGGTAGTAATACCCATATCCAGGATAATAGACATACTGTCCTTGCTGCTGCCCCTGTTGTTGCTGAACCTGTTGAGCACCACCAGAACTTCCACCAGCATAATCCAAATGAACATTCGCTACCGTACCATTATCATCGGTAGGCTCATTAGGAAACGTCTGTGGAAAGCTAGGGTTATTATTACTCCCATCATTCAGCTGAGTACTCGGCGTAACCCCCAAACCCTGAGTAACCTGTGGTCCGGGGATAGGATAAGACCCCAAACCCTGAATATTCACAAACAATCCCTGAGTAGCGCCGGTATAATAATCCTGAAGTCTAACACCCTGAGGGACCGACTGACCCGTCCCACCTTCAATATCGAGATTCGTACAACTGGTGAAAAACTGCGCGCCATTCTGCTGAGTAGCAAATTGCAATGCAATCATCTCATGTCTCATCAAGTACTGTCCGGATTTAATATTCTGCGGCAACTGTATCTTCCACTCGTACCCCTGTCTGATCAAATGATCTGTAGCCCAATAACCCTGTTGTAACAACCCGGCCTCGTCGATTTTAAACCATTGTAAATTCGCCCCACGGGCTTGTTTACAATCCCCACCACAGTCGGCAAGGTACGTTATTATGGGTCCCTGGTGATTTGACTGCCATCGCGACCAGCGGAAGGTTATTTGACTTCCCGCCTGGGCTTTTGCGACGTTTTGAGCTGGGGATGGGTTGCGACCGCAGATTATGCCGTCGCCGTCGGAGAGTCGCATGGGGCCGTCGGTGTTACGGTTGTTGGTGTCCCAGGGTTGGACGACTCCTTGCGGGGAGGATTGGTAGAATGGATCGAAGCCGGCGTAGGTTTGACCGCCGATTACGAGTTCTTTGATGTATGCATGGCAAAGGGCGGTGGAGGCTAGGGAGAGGAGTGAGAGGAGGGTTGTAGACTTCATTTTTAAATTTTATATATATATGGAAGAGGTCCCGGAGGCTGCCTGCAGGTCTCTAGGGATCTGTCAAAGGAAATGAATAAAAAAACTCAGAGAGTATAAGAAGGTAAAAGCCCGTCTAGAGCGAGTGCAAATTCTATCTGACTTGCAGATGTTCAAAATGCAAAGAAATGAAAATATAGAAAAGCGAGTGTGGAGGACGAGCGACGAGAAGTAAAAGAGAGGAGAGGAGGAAAAGTCTATCTTTCACGTCCTATAATATATATAATTAAGACATACCGTTGATACTAAAATCTAAGACTATGCCAATGCAGGTACGCAAGCCATACATCTCCGTACAAAAAAGAAACGAATGAAAAACAAGCAAAGGTTTCCTGAAGATGATCGTGAAGCTTCATGACTTGTTGTATTTTGTTTAGTCCAGTTTCACAGTGAAATTCTTTGCGTTGTGGCTTCGAACATTTTGGTGGTGTGTAATCCGTCCTGTGTCTTTTTTGGGACTAATAGGACCCCCTTGCCTTACCTATCCGAGTTCAAGTAACACCACACGAACCCTTACAGAATTTAAGACAGCATGGGGGTGGCCTTACACGGTATAGTTTGGGGGAAAGGGGAGCGCCTCGCAGCTGCACAGGCTGGTGTAAGTTAACTAAAGCAGTTTACTGTGTATGTACTGCAGGGCTTTGGAACTTCTAGAATGCGTCCGCGGAAGGGGGCTTCAGAGTCAATCATTTCATTTGAGTTTGAATATTTTTAAGGTTTGAAGTCTGAAGCGCTGGGACTAGCCACAAAAAGGACTGGAGACTATAAAAGTAGCTGGAGGCAGTCGTTCCATTTTTTTTTCTTGACATTACTTGAGTTTTTGCTGGGCCTAGCTGGGCGGTTTTGATTGCTTGAAGTTATCCTCGATTTGGATTTAAGCTCCGAGTACACCCAGTTGAGAGGTTCCTATGCGGAACGGGGCAGTTACATACAATCAAAGAACACCACTTGGAAATTCTCCAAGAACACAAGAGATAAAGGGGGTGGTTTGGCGGGGGAATGGCATTACTGCGAGAGTAAGTAAATCGGGCTACGTAAGTTTCGAAGGTGGGAAAAAGAGTTCCTTCCGACTTCTTCCCTTTTATATTCCTTCAGCTATTATATACAAATATTAGTACCTAGGTAAGCATGTAGTCAGCACACAAGTAGCTCTGTCAACATGTCGAGGCTCTTGGTATCAACTTCTGAAACGCCGTTTTTTTTCTTTCTTACCCGACCAGGGGGTACGGGTCAAAATCATGAACATAGGCTACATAATAGAGTTATTTGCACTTCAGACTAAAAATACCATCGGTACATCTGCAGCTGTACATATGCACATTAAAAGCCGAATAAATCGTTTATTTCCCCGCGCCCCGCAATGCGTGGAATAAAGGCTAAAGTCTCGAATAACAAAAAAACGTGCTCGCTCTTAAACTTCTAACGGTAAAGCCGAGTTGGTAGATGTCATGTACGATAATGATGTTATGCCCTGAGTAAATTGTACTTCAGTTGATAATTGCCTTGATTGCCTTAATTGATTAACTAATTTAATTAACTAATCATCTTTGTAATGTGGTCGGGAAAAAAGAGTGAGGCAAAAATAACAGTCACGCCGGAAAGTATAGACTTGTTTAGACGTAGACGTCGACGTCAGCCTCCTAGGCTGTTTTATACAGATGAAATCAGATGAATACTACCCCAGTGCTAAGCACTACATTGCGGGGAATTATAGATAGCTATCCCGTTTAGCCTGATCATCAACCACAAAAAATAAAAATAAAAATAAGCTGGCGTGTTTTACCTAACTCTCGAATCGAACTATAGGCTCATGATAATCGAATCGCGTAGCTAAAGGGATATGGCGGTGCCCACTCCGCCGCTAGCCACTTAGCCAACATCTCGTCTGTGATACACTATACTACGGAAATACTATGAATGTACCGTCCACACATACACGATCGAGGCCAGGTCCATGCGGAGCCGATCAATCCCATGGTCACCCGCGCGGGGAGGTTCCAGAAAAGGATATTTCATATTTTGGCAAAATACGTTCTACCGGGGTTTTCCAGCATTTTTTCATGGAGAAGCAAAAAAATGTCGTCTTGTTTGCTCTTTTTCCCCGTCACAAGAAATGTTGTCCAGTGGTCATTATAACAGGCTAAATACCTTCTCCACAGTTTATACTTTGTTTCGTCTGGTTTTCGTCTGTGGTTTTTTCTTTGGTGGAAAGGAACCATGGGGCATTACCCATACAGGTGCAGAAGCCACAGTCCCGCTTGACAAGCAGTTGTCAGCCTTGCTAGCTTGGGCAGGAGGGTTGGAATCTTAGAAATCGCTGATATTATGAATGCAAGGGTATGGTGTTCGATGTGGTATTTTACCCTGGTTTAATATATGCATCACTTACAGCTAGTTTTGCTAACTCTTTCAAATGGGTACACAAATACCATCCTCGGCAATCGGTAGACTGGTAATTTTTCTTTTCTCTTCCATGATTTCGTCTGACGATGGTGAATGATGAGCTTTTCGAAAATAGCCTAAAAGTTAAAAACAAAAAAATGCCCGAAAGACAAGACGAAAGTATCACACCTGATCTTATTTTGACGAAAGCCGGGGTGCTGGTGAAGGGAAGTGGGAACGTTGTGGGATGGACCAGCGGCTAGATGCCGGATTGCGCTAGTATGGTATTGGGTCAACTTCTTGGTTTCACCCGCTTCGGTAACTTGGCCGAAATATGGGTATTATACTCCATGCGTGTTATGCTATTGTTTGGTTCTGGACTAGCCGGACATACTAAGTTATCATCAAGATAGGAGGCTAGGCATCGATGATGTTCCTTGCACGGACAATATGTTTATGATCCACTGTGATACTAAGGGGGTTGATCGGATGGAAAATTCGGGATGGGAATCACAGTAAGCAAAATCGAGGAGCCTTTCAGGCTCATCTGAGTATAAATTAATTAACTTAAACTTTTTGAGCTTTGAATACCTATGAGATGAAGTGTATAAATACCTGGACGATCGACGCCAGTTGAAGTTGGAATCGAAGTCCTCATCATCAGCTAACTCCATAGAGTCGTGATCTACTCCTCTGAATCACTGCAGATAAAGCTCTGATATCTATCTTCATACCTACATTTTTTTGTTAAAAAAGACTCCAAACAAAATGGTTTCTTTTACATCTCTCGCTGTCACCCTTCTCGCGGCGACCAGCGCCCTCGCTGCTCCATTCGACTTCCTTCACGAGCGCGATGACGGCAACGCCACCGCTCTCCTCGAGAAACGTCAGACAACCGCCAACTCCGTAGGAACCCATAATGGATACTTCTACTCCTGGTGGTCCGATGGCGGTGGATCTGCTCAGTACACCATGGGTGAAGGTAGCAAGTACAGTGTCACCTGGAGAAACACCGGAAACTTCGTCGGCGGTAAGGGATGGAACCCAGGAAATGGACGGTAAATACACCTATCAATCAAATTTTAAAAATTTTCTCATCTTGCTAATTTCAATTAATTGATATATAGAACCATCAACTACGGCGGCTACTTCGCCCCCTCCGGAAACGGCTACTTGGCCGTCTACGGCTGGACCCGTAACCCTCTCGTAGAATACTACGTCGTGGAATCCTACGGTACTTACAACCCTAGCAGCGGTGGTACCTACAAGGGAACCGTTAACACCGACGGCGGTACTTACAACCTCTACCAATCCACCCGTTACAACCAACCCTCCATCGACGGAACCCAGACCTTTCAGCAGTATTGGTCTGTCAGGACCAGCAAGAGAGTCGGTGGCAGCGTCAATATGCAAGCTCATTTTAATGCTTGGGCTAATGCCGGCATGAGACTTGGAAACCATTATTACCAGATCGTGGCCACAGAGGGGTACCAGAGCAGTGGAAGCTCTGAGATTTATGTACAGACTAAGTAAATAAGCACTTAGGCTATATCGGTAAGCTTGGAGAATTGGTGCGAAGGGCAAGGTGGGGTGGAATTTGGCGACTAGAGTGGATTAGATAGTTAGGAGTAGTCAAGATTCGATGGATTGATGTACGATGGTTCTATGCTAAGGGTGTGGTACGAGTTCAGTGCTTTGCTGTTTTTTATTCTGTAAATAGTCGACTGAGAGGAAGAAATATTTTCTACCTTTTCGGTTTCTCCGCCGGCGGGTTCCGCTTCCCATGTTCTCTCATTTGTCATGAGGTGAACATCCAAAAAAAATGAAATTATATGATACTTGTTTGAACAGCTCGTGTTGTCTTGTTGCATTTTTAACCAGCTTGAGATCCCATAATGTGCTTGTGTAACGATTCTCTCGTGCGCGTGCATCGTGTACGTGTCGAACGTGATTCTCTCGTGGAGGTACCAGTTAAAGGTACCAGTCTGGGATCATATAGTAGTAAGCCTGGGAATGGGAGCTATATGTAGCATACCGTCTATCAAATGCGAGTCGGGGTTGGATATAGTAGGACAATCCATACAAGTAATATTGATAAGTGCATCTGAATACATGCATAGGTGAGTCGTTAAGATATGAATATTATTTTCGATCAAAATATAAAATGTAAAAAGCAAGTAGTATAATGCTTCCCCAAATATTTAACAATATTCAGATAACTTAGTAAGTGGTCTAGTTAATACTTCAGCATCATAAATACATCTGATCTGCTAATAGCATACTGAGGAAATGTATTGCAAGCTGAAAGCATCAGATCCAGTGGATCTGAAAGAAATAAAGAGCTAAACGAGTAAGTAAGTATCTATATATAGGTCATGTCGCCTACCCGGCGCAATCTGAAGCGCTGCCGGCTGCCGGGGGCTAGTTCTAGTTAATTGGCGACAATGGGAGAAGATACTAGCGGTTTCTAGAACTAGATGGTAGTATAGAGGTTTGTAGAAATCGCCATTGTAATCTAGCCATGCATAGTATCTAAGAATATACTCCCTTGTTTCCTATAACTACATCTTGAATGAAATGATAATATATTGCATTGCATCGGGGAGGGATTAAAACAAGGATCTGTTTGGTGGCACAGACAGAGAAAGAGTGCCTGAAAAGCGGTCCAACACCTCTCCATTGACACTTGCTGAGGGCTCCTGGCTCTTTCTTCATCAAAACACCACACCATCAACGTGATCAACTTCCCACCTCACGTCGACGCGTCCCCCATCAGGTGCTACTCTGCAACCATCTATCTGTGCTCAGATACTTCTTCTATATTTCTACTCCTCCTCGCAGAATACCCTTAGTCAGCTCTATTTTGCTTTTTTCTCTTTATTCGGCCTCACACTTGTTTGGGGAATACCACACTAGCAACACATCACATAAATCGTGCGTGTGTGGACACATAGCTTTTCATATCTAAGCTTTCCATCCGGGATCTTCTTCAACTCCATGAACTTCGAAGGCTTGTTTATTTATTGACAACATCTAGTCCCATACTTTAAAAGAGTCTGACTTGTCTCTTCACTCTTGGATTCCTAAAACAAAATAAAGTCCCAAAAAAAAAAAAAACGTCTCAGGTTTGAGGAAGCAATTCATCTTTTCTGTCCACACAATATAATCCACCACCCTCACGATGCCGCCAGGGAGGGATCTCAACGGAAGAAATGCTCCCACTCGAGGTCCAACAAGATTTAGTCGAACAGGAGGCATGCCAGAACCGAGAAGAATCGGCTCTGGGGCTGTTGCCACACCTCGAGGGACCCCAAATACCTCCACAAGACCAGTCCAGGCGGGACCGGCTTCGTCCCCGAACGCTTCACGGGTTTTTAACATAAACCGAAATGTCCAAGGTGAAAGTAGCCGTTCGGGTGCACAGGGTGCCGCTCCGGCGGGAAGGCCTGCTGCTGGGAAAGTCCCTTTTCAAATGCCTGTACATGGACAAGGGAGAGGGAAAGGGGGTAAGGGGTTGGGAAAATCAGGGGCTAAGAGACACAGAAAAATTCTCAGAGATAATATTCAGGGAATCAGTAAGCACTTGCTCTTCTCATATCTATCCTTTTTTTTTGTCTTCCTAGCTTTGGTAGCTGTTGGCTGACTGCAGACCCTCCCGAAATACAGCAAGGCCAGCTATTCGGTAAATACACAACTTCAACCAGTCTAATGATTTAGGGACTGTGCGATTTATAACTAAAAATACTAATATTGACATTGCTGTAGACGTATCGCCCGTCGTGGAGGGGTGAAGAGAATCAGTGCTTCGATCTATGAGGAAATCCGAGCCGTCATCAAAACCTATTTGGAAACGATACTAAAGAGCTGCGTAGCATACACGGAGCATGCTAGGAGGAAAACTGTCACAACCACTGACGTAAGCTACACCGTCGTTTACTGATGACCTTACTCGCCGATGATGCTGACTATCACTCTTTAGGTTGTCCATGCGTTGAAGATAGTGGGTGTCCAAACTTTTTTTTTTGTATTGATAGCAAGAATTATTAACAAAATGGTTTGCAGAAAGGAAGAACTATTTACGGCTTTGACGATCCTTCAGCGACTAAGAGTGGGAAGTCGAAAAAAAAGTTAGCAAATTTCATCGCTCGCAGGTAAAAAAAAGATCTACAAAGAACCAGGTTTGGTATCGGGTTCCAGATTTGCTAGCCATATCAAGATTTGCTGGTGCTTCTTGTTGGCGTCTTGGGATATTTGAGCATTCGACTATTTCCTCAAGTTTTCCAGGCAATTTTTCCCCTTTCTTTCCAGTTTTGAGGCGTGTTGGAGCTGGAGGCGTTTACTCATTTCAAGATACTGCTGTTTCTTTATTTTCCCGGCTTTTCTCGAAGAAACTCTTTTTCTTCCTTCTCATTTCCCTTCTTTTTATCTTGCAAGAAAGTGAGCATGTGGTGGCTAGATATGAAGCTGTCTTGACTCCTCGAGGATGTACATATCCCTACTAAGAACGTATTCATCGAAGAAATGGCGTTGTATTCATGGAAGTTAGGATGCCCCGCATTTCCTCCGAGCCAAAAATCAGGATATTTCATCTACAGTCGTCAATTCTGCTTTAGGACTACACTGTTAAACCACCTTTCTCGATTGTTATTATCTCGAAGCTTTTACCCTTGGGATCTTGAGCAATTTTGTCGCATACTATTGCAATTGTTGGAAGGGGGTTTAGAAACCAGCCCTTTCTTACAATTGCAATTTTGGAGTTTCAAGCCGGTGTTGATTTTGTTGGTCGGCGCTTTCTGAAATTTGAAGAGCAAGTTCTAACGTTATAACGTCCATGCTCGAACGTTCATGTTAGGAAAATTTAAATACGATAGTTATGCTCGATAATAGAATGGTTGTAATTAAAATTTCTAGAGAAAGCTTTACTCGGGCGATTAGATGATATTTATTATTTCCCTCCCCAAGATTTAATATCCTTGTTATCGTGTTCGATAGATCTAGAGCAAAATTGTAAAATAGTGTCTCTATAGCTCTAGCGACCAGCGCTCGTGTTTCAAAAGGCCAGCAAAGCACATATCAAATGATGTAAAATGTCTGCATCGACACTATGTTTGGCCGTTCTTAGAGGGTTTATCGACTTGGTCTTGTTGTTCTTTATCCTCATCGTTATTCTTAGCTTCTTCTTTTCCTCCTTCAGTAGATTCGTCCTTCTTTGCACCTTCCCTTTCACCCGTCTTAGAATTATTTCCGCCTGACCCCGACCTCCCCGGCGTAACCCCTCTCTTCCAAATACTCCCACTACCCACCGCCCCAAAGGAAAGACTATTCCAATAGTAAGTATCCCTATTACTATTCGGCCCCTCCAGAAAATACGGTTCCTTCTCCCCCGGGACAAAATATCGTTCAGCAGATTGATAATTCCTTAACTGAGAAACCCTCAAATTCTTGGCAGCAACGTCTACACCTTTCCCGCCTCCTTCGCCCTTGTGGGATTTTTTCTTGTCAGTTTTGTTTTTCCACCATCTGTTGAAGGCGCTGTATAATAGTAGATCCTTTGTTTGGTCTTGTTCCTGGTACATGTCGAAGTCTTGGGTTGTGACCCTGTCGATGAAGGTCATGTCGTCGACTTTGGTGGGGTCGACGAAGGGTTCTTCGGGTTCTTCTTCTTCCATTTGGATGTGGCAGCTGCAGCCTGTTTATTTTTTATTTTTTATAAAGGTGACATTAGTTCTTCTGTTTCTTTTTATCTTCATTTTATAATTGTTTAACCATACTTCAAATCGATCAGATCGATCATAGAGGACCGCCCATAGAAGGATTAAAAGGGAAAAAAATTAAAACATACCATACATAGCAATACAATTATTCAAAAAATCACTATCGGGACAATGTCTCAAATCCGGATGTCCCGTAGGAGGTACATTATAGAGTCCATTCTCGTCGCAATGACAACTTTCGCATTTCGATTGTTCGTATTGGATAGTCGTGATCGCATCTTCGTGTGGGAAATCACTCGATGCCCAGTCCGGCCAGTGTTCCGGCGTTATACCCGGTATATGTGAATGTGGCACGAAATTCTCGTAGACATCTTGACTGGGGTCGCATTCTACGTAGAATCCACCAGTGCTGTAGATACTTGTCGGGGAATTTGATTCCGCGCGTGGTCGGTTGTGTAGGGAGGGGTTTGGGGTGGTTTGGTTGGAGAGGTTGAGGTTAAGGTTGGGTTTGAGGGGTGTACTGTTTACTGCTGTAGTGTTCACTTTTATGGGGGCGGAGAGGTTTGAGGGGTTGATTTTATTGTTTTTGAGGGGCGGTATAGCTGTTGGAGATCTGATAATGGAGTTTATAAGTGTAGTCGTCTTCGCGGGGTGTCTACTTGAACTTGAAATAGTGGTATTTGAACTCGAGATATCGATACTTTCTGTTACGCTACAAGGCTCTGAAATCGTAGAGGTCGCATCCGGCTCCGTCGTAAGTGAATCTGAAGCGCCGATATAACATGGTATGGCTAATGTTAAAGATAGGAATTGAATGAATATAAATAACAGTCGTGGTGTCGAATAAACCGGACTCCTGGATTTCTGCATTCTGTGATTCTTCTCCCTATTTCTGCACTAAGAGGCGCATTTAACCTAAAGAACTCGGCATATATATATCCTATTTACCCTTTGCTGGCGAGGTTGATACGATCGATCGTAGAAGATAGAAGCTTGTAGAAATTTCGAAAGTGCACTGGAAATTATCGGCTTTAAAGATGGAAGAAAAGAAAGCGCAAGTCGAAGTTGTCCAGTTTATATTGCAATACGTCGGAACGTTAAATAGCACTCGAGACTTTCACCCCGAGCTCTTCAGGTGATCAAAAGTATAACAGATGTCAGATCTGGAGCAAAGATCAAAATCCGTATCCAATCAGGATTGTTCCGAAATGTGCCTTCCAACTAGATCTTTATAGCATTCTATTTCCTACAGTGCAGTGCTAATCTACTATCATATGTGTCCCTTACCGGCTTTCAGTATTCAATTTAAGTTGTAACTCTTGTTCTTACGGCAAAGATTCTCAAACGTTCTGGAATGACCATATGATTAGTATTACAACATTAAGGTCTAAAGCTTAGGAATACCTTGAAGTTTGACAAAATTTAATTCAGGGCTTATATGTATACATATATATATATATCTATCGTTGCATTGCATTGGAGTTTGATGTTGTCGTCGATGTTAGCGATATATATACATACTACTGGTGGCCTTGTACATACGTTCATCCTGATAAAATTCGATTTACTACTAAGTATATAACTACCAATCCTAGTTTCTGCCAAGGCGTTACCCTTCCTTCTTTTCGTTCCTTTGTTTGAATGAATGAATGAATGCAATGTTAAGTTAGGCATAATTCGGAATATACTACGCATATTGTTGGTCGCGGGGTTGTTGTTGTTGTAGATGTTGTGTTTTATCTCAATACCCAAGATTCACAGCAGGCCGCGAAGAAGTACAACTTAAGATATCTTGGTACAGCTCTTATGACATAAAACAATACGAGTTCGAAGTTTGCAATTGGTATGGAGCAACAGGATCATCTCGAGTTTCAAAGTTCTAGGCTTTTGAGATATATTTTTGATTGTGGCGTAGTATGTTGATACTATGTTAAATTTGGCCGCAAAGCTAGCTAGCTTCAGTGTTTTTCGTTGGTATCACAATGTTATATCAGCTTCTTACAAAAGGAATGTTAGACGAAAGGTGTGTATTCTGATATTGACGTGATAAATATTACATAGATAGACTAGGTCTCGTAGGTTTATAAAAGATAGTTAGATGGAAAAGCGTAAAAAGTGAATTTGTAGCTATCGAAAATGCCAAATTTATAAATGAAAAGAGAGACCGATCTCGAGATCTCGAGATCAGAGCAGCATAACAATAAAAGTACGAACAAGGCACCACTCATCGTCATCGCATGAATCAACTTGAAAAACGACCAGCTAACACCCATTTTATTTAAAAAGCTTCCTTCTCGACCCCTCCCAGGTCATCCGCACCCTCTTCTCTCTTAACCATCGAACTCCCAAAACCGCCCGAACTCGGACTATACTCCAAACCCAACCACCTATTCGACAGTTCCTCTTGAAATTCATCAGGTCCTTCAAGCCAATAAGGCTCTTTGGTATCCGGTGCCAGTGTCCTGTATCTTTCCGCCCCTTCCCAAGACAAATAATGGCTGTCTCCCCTGTAAAACTGACCTACGTCGAATCTATAATTTTTACCGATTTTGTAAAGATTGGGAATCCTGTCGAGGGCGTCTTGATAATCGACTTCTTTTCGCCGTCTGGACGAATCGGGGGCCGTTCCATCTGTGTTAACCAATGCGCAGCCCAAATCCATAAAGTTGGGGGGGGGGGTACAGAATTGCACCCACTTGTATCTTGCACGAGTAACCCAAGTCAGTAATATAATAGAGATTCATGACAGCTCATAGTCCTTCGAAGCTTCTCTATTGATAGTGCGTATACAGCCAACGACTTGTGTCACAGGGCTTGAAGATGTGCCGCTAACAGTAACAGCTCGTGAATACCTCAAGTACGATACTTACGGGTGATAGCAAATAGTTTGAGGGAATAATACGAAGACACACTTCAAGACCTTGAATCATCAGGGTTTGAATTCATATCTCTCTATCATACAATACATCCATCCATCCTGATTCAAAGAAAATCTGATAAAACGAAAAACATGAGGAAATATATATAAATCATCGCCCTTTGCACTTCTTCCGTACAAAGTGGATGGTTATTTCAACTTAGCTTCCTCCCTTCATCCCCTTTGAAAAATGAAAAAGAAAAGAAAAGAAACATTCAAGAGTGAAAAGACATGCCCACTATGGGAGCGCCGTATTAGTTACAGAACGTGTCTCGTGCCCATCATAATATTCGTATCCGAATCCTCTACAAAATAAAATAAAAGGTGTAGCGAGAAAAAAAAGGAATTTTGAGAAACAAATGCCACTTTTACCTTCGAGAAGGATAATCTCCATTCTCCAGTGCAAGAATCCAGTATAGTATAGGGCAAGAACAATTTTGAGTTTCGCCAGGCAAAAAAATAAACTAAAAACATAAAACATAACCCATTTTGTATCGAGAAAGCATGGCAGAAAAGACATATGCCAAAACAATAATACAATATCGTAGTGGCAGCTTCCTGGAAATTGTGAGGCCGAAGAACGAGCAATGCTCCTGGCATAAGCGACCAGCGGGATGAAATAATAGAACGATGTTATCATCAGCAAGTCGAAGGGAAATGCGGACGATTGAAAAGGCAGATCTTTAAGCTTGTTGCGTAGGAGAGTTTTGCGTAGGTTAGACTCCGCAACCACATCGGGGAAATGTGTTGCGGCGTCAAATGTGGGAAAAGAACTCATGCGAAGGTCGCTAAATATCGTACAAAACTTCGAGAGGAGAAAAAGAGAGGAGAGGTCAAGATGGAGTAGATCAAGTTAAAAAGAAGATATGACAGGTGGGATATTAAAATCCCGTTTACCGTGGAGTCAACGAATGAAGTCTCTCCGGAAGGCATTAGATGTTGATGTAAGCCAAGGGAGTTCAGTGATATCAACACGCTTGAAGGTTGGGTATGACTTTGCCGTAATTATACCCGGCTTCGAGGCAGCTGGGGAATCTTCATTCACCCTCCAGGCAAAGTCAAAGCCATGGAGACGATATCCTCTGAGCTTAATTAAAGCCTTTTCCTTCTCCCTCAATAGGGTGCAACTTTCTACCAATTTCTTCGAAACGCGCTGGAACGAAGAAATGGCATTCTCTGATCGACGTGTATCTGGAGTGCCAGCTGCCCGGTCGAACAAGACTTCCTGGATTTGCTTAGCAGCGGGGATACTGGCTTCAACAGCATCAGACAGCGCTTTGTATGCATCAATCGTGTCACAAACCGCTTCACGCTGTATCAGGGTCAGATTGATGTTTGAGTAATCCCAAGCTTGGGCTTCAGAATTCGTCGGGACGAGAATGCGCCTTGTGAGGTCGGCAGGAGTTAGAGGAGTTTGAACCAACGGCAACGGGACTTCCCGTTCCTCTACTCCAGAAAATATGGAGGAGACAATGGTATCAAATGTCGTGTCAGGATCCTGTGGCTGTGCGAGAGGGTTGTGGGGGGATGGAGTAAGATGTTGTTCTGGTGTTGCTGAGCTGAGACGGGAGGGTGTTCTGAAGGGCGAAGCAAAATTGCTCGCCGGAGGAGCGTCATGATAGTTGGCAGATTCTGGGTCAGGAGCAATGTCAATTGCTTCGAAAGTTCCACCCACATTTATGGTGATGGCTGATGATCTGGAGTGAGAACGGTGGATCCTGGCACTATTGGACTTAATAGAAGAACGACTAGAGCGTGGACTGATAATTTTGCGTGGCGGAGAGTTCGGAGGATTTCCCGAGGCATCATTGGTCGGAGACTGAGAGAGAGAACCAGAGGCTTTGCGGCGAGATGGCTCTGCGTATTCGTTATCTTGGGCGTTGATGCGCTCAAGGCGCGTTTCCCGAAGGCCAGTGAGTCTTCGCTTTGTCTCGCGGCTAGCGTGGGCCAAGATTTCTGGGGGTGTTGAGTATTGAGGATTCGAAGTTTGCGAACCATCGTCTGGAGTATACTAATCCCCAGCTCGCGGTTCAGGCTCCGGAGTTTTTGGTGGTGATATTTCTGATTGTAGGGTAGGGGTTGGAGATATTGATCCCGGATATATTTGCTCTGGTGATTCCGGGTGTGGCGAACAACGTTCATCTGGAGAATACTAATTACCAGGGTTCGGTTCGATTGGCGCTGGTGGATGATCCGAGCTGTCAAGTCGTTCTAGTTCATCTTGGCAACGCTGGAGAAGCTTCTCTATCTCGGCACGTTCCTTTTCGATCCTTTCGCTTTCTTCTGTGATTCTTTGCATCTCAGACTCGGCAAGTCGCTTGCGAGTTAGGAGCTGTTGGCGTTTGACAGCTGGATCAGTAGACATCTGGAGCACTTGGGATTCCATTGGGGTGGCGGGTTGGTTGAGAATGGAACTGATGCTCTGCAAGCGGGTGGTAGAAATATCTGCAGGCTCCCCAGATACATGGGAACCGCTGCTCAGTGATCTTTTACGTCCTACGCTAGGGGATGTAGTCGATTGCAATGGGGAAAGCCTTAGATCGTCTGGAGCCTGACTATTTGTCATTGGGGCCAGTGTTGTGCCCACGCTTCTATAGTTCGTAAAATCCTGAGGCGCGTATCGTCCTGAATTCACCAAGCTCGGATCAGGACCCATCATTGCAGCTCTATAGTTGGGTCTAGAGGGATCCTCGGTATCAGACATTCTGGCGTCGTCGTCGCGGTGCGAAGGATAGTTTGATGGCTGTGGGGAGGAATGAGGAGAGTGGTGATATTCGTTTGGAAGAATTTGCCGTTGTGGACTTGGATAGTCCGGTCGAGCCAGAGGATGCCGCGGTATCGGCGGAGGGGGAAAATGACTTGGGGGAACAACACGCTTCCGCCTCTTTATCACACTCTTCTTCATTGTCTCCGGACGGTGGACTCCATGCAACTTATGATAGAGACCTGCATTATGATCAATTAGCCCCCGCAAATAGCTCACATAGATAGATTTCCCGCTCGGATTTTGAAAAAAAGGGCCCATGATGAAAAGAGGATAAAGGTAAAGCTTGATGCTAAGCTACCTAGCTAGACTCAAGCTCCCATCCGCCTCTATTCGAGATCCTAAGGTGAAAATATAGTACTTACCGCACGCATTACATATGGTATGCCCAGACTCGTCTCTCCTCCAAAGCGGTGTAATCGTCGTACCGCAATTCTGGCAAGCGGGGACCGCTGTCGTCGTCTGGCCCACCGCATCGATCCTTGGTTCAGCTAGCTGGGGTCCACTCGCCGGTCTCGGAACGCTTTGAACATCGCCGTTTTGGTTGCCAACACTGCTGGCACCAAAGCTACCATTGGCAGGCTGACCTTGGCCTTGTGGCCCATCTACGGCGAAAGCGTTCGCCCCATTGGCAGCGACGACAAACTTGGCAGCCTTCGAAACTCGATTATTAAAGGCCGGACACCCGTCGCACCCGTCCTGGCCACCAGTCCCATTACACTTTCCGCCACCTGGACAAGTACCAGCGGTTAGGTGGCTGTCCGCAACGTAGTGCGCGCCAGCATGTGTGTTGGCCTGGGCCTGGCCAGCTGGTATGGGGATTGGCCCCTCTCCTCCGATCGAGACGGAGTTGGGCGGGCGTTTAAGAGTGCTTGGACGAGCCGCGTTTCTGGCCTTTAGGTATAGGCCACATGCATTACATATGGTCAGCCCATTAGGTGCCCGTCTCCACAAGGGAGTTCTCGTCGTACCACAGTTTCTATAGGTAGAAAGATAAAAATTAGTAAATGAAAAGAGAATTTCTACGTAAATCAATCAATCAACCAATCCACTTACGAACAGACCTGTCCTTTGGACTGCGGCACAGAAGTGGAAGCCATGGCACTTTCATGTGCCGCAGTTGCCAGCTGTTCAAGGTTCTGGGGTTCTTCATAGGCGAACCCCTGCCCAGGCGAGCTTTGCGCCTCACTCCCACTTTCATCTCGGCGGTCGATGAACGAATCATCGACCGGCCGATCTGGTAGCTGGATATCCATAGATCGGGACCTTTCATCGTGACTGAGCGACGGAGTGCCGCTAGCCGAGACATCCTCCATGATCGCATCCAGGCTAGGATCGATCTGTTGTTCCGAGTTTGGTTTGGATGACATCGTTGTTGTGTGTATCGATTTTGAGACGATAGTCTCAATCTGGTGATCGGTGCTATCTGTCCCCGTTCCTTGGTGAGTTGGCTCGGGTGTCGACATATATGGGGAAGGAGAGTGTTGGTCGACATGCGGTTCAGGGTTCGCCATTATATCTATTGTTATCCCAGGCATAGGCCCGAGTCGTCCCCTAGGAATGTATGAAGGAGTAAGGTGTAATCCTCGATCGTAATGAAAATCGGAAGTTACGTGTGAGAACGTATCCAATCGAAGGGTAGCGAGTGTTGCAAAGCCTCGCTAGGTACGGCGTTCCCGAGCCTCCAGCAGGCCTTCGTGAGCTCCAGGAAATTGTTTGGTGAAACAATTGTTGATGCCGAAGGGTGGCACAGAGTGGATAGGCTGCTTGACCAAAAGCAGCTGAGCTAAGAGAATTGTCGGCGACAAATCAAGCAAAGCTGTCGGACTGGTTATAGGTCGTGCCGGAAGTTGCAACTAGTCCTGCAGAGGATTTCCAAGTGAAATTTGCACGCTGATTGATGGAATGACAGGGAAGGGTTTTGAAAGATGGATTAGATAACAGTAACAGACAAAAGTTCCCAGGGTCAGACTTCTTGGCTGTAGGAGGAAGAAGCAGAAGAAGAAGGAGGGAGAGAAACCATGGGAAGTTAATGGAGCTGTAGAAGAAGACTGAGAGACGAGTAGAATGTGGACATGAAGTAGATACGAAGATAGCGATATGCGATGAAGCTGGGGATGATGGTGGTGATGGTGATGATGATGTCGAGGTTGATGGTGATGTTGATGGTGATGGTGATGTTGGGGTTGAGGTTGATGGTTGATGGTTGACAAGAGGTGGAAAGAAGAGGAAGGGAAATAGTGCGATGCTGGTTGGCTGGTTGGCTTGCTGCTGGCTGGCTGGCTGGCGGGCTAGTTACTTACTTTAACCTGCTTGGTTGCTTGGTGTGGGCCTGCTGGCTGGACGACGACTGCAACTGGGACTGTGGACAGCAAAATAAATTATTAGACACTGCAGACTTTCATTATAAATTAAAACCCACAGCGCAGCATGCACTAATTACTCCCCAATTCCACCGCCGTCGATTGGTCAACTGCAAAAAAACGGATTGGAACAGGAAAGTCTCTCTGACAAAGGTACTCCCCAGGCAAGGCAGCTGCACGCAGGAGCTCGACCCGGTCAACTTGTCCGCCTGTCAATGGTTCGGCGCCGGCACACTGACTGAATGCAGATGCAGATGCAACATTGCAGTACTTATCATTGAAAAGAACAAAGTCCGGCGCAGGAACTCCTTCCCGTTCTTCCTCTGAGAGAGGGGAGGGGGACCTCGAACTACATACATACATACACACACATACATGCACGTATGTAGAATGAGCTATCGCTCACACCATGAAGAGGCAAGATGGTTGCAATGGCCGCTAGCAGATTACCGGCTTGGACGCCAATGTTCGGGAATCGAAGATCCACTATCCCCTAGGCCACCCTATGCACAACTTGCACACTAGGCTAGGGTTGCCGGTCTCCCCGCGAAAGTAAATGCACTGCCCTTGCCCAACATCTAACGTTCAAGCTAGACGTCTTATTAATCTTGTTGGAGGCGTGAACGTGGGAAACGAAACCTCGATCCAGTGGTCTCTTCGGATATTTACCCATGGGCAAGCAAGTACAATCTAGCGGGAGAAGAAGAAAGGGAAGGGAAACAATCCATTTAGCCTTCTACACCCTTGAACATCGAAGTTTCCCCAGCTTTCAAAGGAGAAGGCTCGAGCCAAACGACCATGTTGAGAGATTCAATCCCTTCCGATGACTTCAGAACGAAAGGGAAAAAAAGGATTTTGCCAGTCCACGAGAACGAAGACCAATGATATGACACCAGTGACATCGAACAAAAGGACACTAGCCCATCCTGTATGAATCACAGGGAATAAGAAACAACTCTGGCTTTTGCATTCGAGTGTGGATTCCAAAAAAATCCAAAAAGTTGATAAACTTTATACATAGCTGGAGCTTCTGTTGGAGAGTCCAAGCTCATGTACATGTATGTACCTCCTGCCCCATCAATATTGGTGGACTCGGGTCCCTACCCAAATGCAAGCTGCACGCTCTCCTTCACACGAGGAGGCTGGCCTGGCTATCTTCCGGGACATCTTCGACACCTCCGCGGCCAGGGTGCCAAAACCGGCGGCGGCATCGAAGTATATTCTCGGAAAACGACGTTTCGACGCCATGGATAGCTACCCGATAATTTTTCCAACCGCATGCGCGTGCTATATCCGAGAGAGAAGAGAAGAAGAAAAAGATAAAAACGAGTTTGGGACAAGTTCAACGAGAACGAAACAAACGGAGGCCCAACTGATTATCGCGAGATATGAACTGGCCATCAAATCTGATAGATCTGATAAAAAGGCGCGGCGGCGTCAGCCTTAATTTCCCCACACAACTCCTTTTCACTCACCAAAATCCAACACAGCTGTTCCGATAAGGGGAATTTAAATCTGATGTTGAAAAATCAAGCTTTTCTGCAAAACCAGGTCGGTCTCGCTTTTCGGAAGGTATCAAAAATAATGGATTCCAGGTTTGCGTCAGCAGACGTGTTATCTTCCAGAAATAAAATAAAAAACACGATGGAAAAGAAAAAGAAAAGGAAACTTCAGGCGAAATACGAATAAAAAAACGTTTGGAGAAAGGAGCCTCCTGAAGGTGCGTGATTCAACGGGTCATCCACTGAAAATCCCCCAAGGGTGCTTTACCCGAAACAGACTAGAGCATTTGTTGAGACCTCGCTAGCGCAGGTAAGCACAAATACAAACATTCCTAGTGGTGCGCATTCGCCGCGATCCCTGATGAAGGGCTCAGAGCCAAGTGCTTTAGCGTGGGATGCAACCGCTTGGCTTTGGTTATCAGATCTGTCCCATTATCAGCTGACAAATCACCGAACGAGCTTGGGATGCTGACGAGTTCGAAGGCTCGAAGTTCGGTTGTACAAGACAGACTTGTGATCATGCAGTTGGCTGATAATGATGCAACTTGATGGCGAATACCAGGCATACATCGATACTACATTGGTTCAGAGCTGCCTACTATCTTTTGACTAGTTCCTATTGCGTCTTGTGATTCAAAAACGGGCCTCGTCATCTCTGAATTAACCCACGGCTTCTCCCGGCTGGGAATGTTGTACAATGCAGTCGACTTCGAACTTCATACATAGTGATATATACCTAATATAATACATATTAATACAAGCAAGTTGAATCACATCTGCATCCGAGGTACGTATAAGCACGTAGAATATCTCCGCGATCTATTATATTACATAAGAACTTAGTCCGCATATTTAAAACAAAGGATCCCCAAATTAATAATATATTCCCGAAATTCTGACAGCTGAAATCGAATCTGATTAGCTTAAGATAAGTCTATATGACAAATTCACGCTTATGAACGACATGCATTATATAATAGCAACGACAGCGCTCTCAGCCCAGCCCAACCAGCCAGCATCTTCTATGCAGTTATCTTAAAGTATAATAATATAAGACCATATGCTTCATATGCTTTTTTTTTACCTGACATAAAAAATTAATGGGCAAAAGTCGAAGGATCCAGTCTAGAATATTACTTCAACGGAGGATTCCGTGCGACACCCAATATTTGCCTAATTTACCCGACCTCGGACTCCTCGAGTCTTCTGTCCAATCAACGCAAATGATATGACAATATAAATTCACATCCCTAGCATATATATTGATATCACAAATTTCAATTAAATGTACTTAGTAATTCGAATCTTATATCATTATTTAACAGATATAGGTCTCTGTAGAAAGCTTCAGCTATGAAGGTTGAGCGTCAATGCGATGTTGGGAATATACCGTCGAATTCGTGACTACCTTCCTCAGGGTGTCCACGAATCAAGATTCATGGATTCACCGCCTAGTCCCTGATCAGATACCAATCCCCATTTTAAGGCTTCTGAATTCGTATGTATGTATGGTTGTCTCATACCTAGTCAAACCTGGTCGATTGCACAGGTCCAACCAGGTACCTTTCATCCCGTCACAATGTGAAATGTAAGTCCTGATATCAATATCTGCAATGGACGCCAACGTTGCAACATACAATATCCTACATCTCAATATAAGTAAAAAAAAGTATATACATGACTTCAGCTTGTCTAGCTTCAGCCTCTAAATAACGTATGTATAATTTCCTTTCTCCGGGGTCACCTTCCCACCGCTCAAAAAAGCTTCACTTCGTCTCCTCCAATTCCCAAACTCCTGGCCAGTCCCCGGCACCCGTGCTTCAATGAACTCCACGCAGGCCACTAGACCCTCTGCAACCCCATCAGACACATCCTCCCTCCCAGCATACTCCTTTTCATAATCCGACAACAAGAACCTTAATCCCTCAATCGTAATCCTCACCTCTGCCTCCCTTGCAAGTAACTCCAGATACAGTGCATACAAGGACTTTGGTCTCCTCACACCCTTTCCGGGTAACCACCTCCAAAGATTCTTCAAAACACCCCACAGCCTCGCTCTCGCCAATGTCACAAACATGGTTACCAAATAGCTTGGTAAGGTTTGATACCTACCCCTCGGATTTTCCGGTGGATATTGCATACTCTTATGTAATAGTCTGCCGAGAACTTCCTCCTCCACCGCTGGACCCCTGAAATAGCTGCACTCCACCGGTATGAACTGGAAAGGATCATACCATCTCCGATGAAATTGTTTGTATAGATCCAATCTATGATCTACAGCTCTACTGAAAGGCTGATCGTGTTTTATCGGCTCACTTCTGAGACGTGCATTGCCCAGTGTAGTACTGTATTCCAGAGTATCCTGCGGGGCCATGGCTAACCATAAGCTCTCGAAAACTTCGGGATCATGCCCGACGTCAATGCCTGAGACATCCATCTTGCGAAGGATGTAAAGTGTCATGACGGAGAGAGTATCGCTGGTACGATTCGTCCAGAAGGATAGAGACTTAGGATGGTCTCCTCTTAGAGCCGGGGAGGTCGCGAGTGCTCGAAGGATGGTATGGTAAGTGACAAGTGGGACTTGATTGCCGCCTTGAAGAATTTCGGATGGCATGCGGGTGTACTTTTTGATAGGGTATAATAGCGGTGAGATATTGTGGGCGGCGATATGGACGAGCGTGCGGATATGGTTATGTGTCGGAGCAGGCCTCTTCGGGAAAGACAGCATAAAGGACTTAAAGAAGGGAGTAGAATAGATTTCTTTAGGATCAGAAGACAAAAGAGTCGTAGTAGCGATGCCTCGTGGCATTAGGAGGAGGTGGTTAAGGTGAGCGAGCAAAACTAATGTGGCTTGCGCATCAGTCCGAGGACGAGGATATGCCTTAAGGACCTGTTCGTATCTTCCCTGTCTTACCAATTCCTCTGTAGTCAACTCCTCTGAGTAAGTTGGGCTTAGAATCGATCGTAGATCCACAGTCGGAGTAGCCTCCACGAGTGTACTGTATTGCCTTGCGCTAGTCGAGAATGCACGCTTTGTAGAGAATGAAACAGCTTCCAACTGTTTCTGTTTCTCTCTCCATGTGAGCTTCTTCTGTTTCACGGCAGGTATGTCGATATACCTCTTGCCTTCCTGCTTCTTCTTCGATTTCGAATGCATCTCAACAACCTTGAGTACATCATTAAATTCCTCCAATCCGACCTTCGAGGGGTCTTCCAAGGGTGGTAAGACTTCAGACACAATGAGCTTGGCCTCTACTTTCCTCGCCTCAATTGCGTCCTCTTGAGCATCGTACTCCGGCGCCATATCCAATCGTTCTGGAAGCTCCCGGGCCACCGTCTCCCTAACCTCGTCCTCGCTCAGACCTTCTGCCAGTAACCTATATTTTAGTTTCCGTTTCATCGAAGTGTGTATTTTTCTGGACCAGAGACCCTCCAGATTTAGCTGTTCTCTTCTCCAACCTGTCATTATTTGAACGACAATTCCTTGGCCAGAGTTGACACAGACCCAACCGACCCTCATGGCTTCCTCATCTTCTGCAGTTCGTCTCTTCCCCTTTCTTCGTTCACGTCTCTCGCGGAGTCTGATTTCCCCACGACCAATTAATCCATCCGCATAGATTTCCGATCCGTCTAGAATACTCCGCATATATCTGGCACACTTGTCTGATGCAATAGTCATATGTCTTTCCGATCTTGCAGTAGTAATGAGCATAATAGTATTAGCCCCCAGTGCGGGTGTTGGATCCAGATCCCTCAAGTCCATGATTTTGATCTTAGAAAGCGAGAGTTCTTTGATAAGGTAGTTTAAAAGTGTATCAAGATTTTTTGGTGGGTTTGGTGGGAGATCGGGCATTTGTTCGATGAGTGGAGAGACGAATCGGCGAGGTGCGGGTTGTAGAGGCGATTGAAGATACCATGGGGTTCCTTCTGAGGCTGGGGATGGTGCAGCAGGTTCTGAGGATCGGTATTCTATGTCTTCTTCGTCTTCCTCTTCGGCACGGATTTCTGATTCTTCAATTCCCTCAATACCTTCCAGGCTATTTTCGATGTCTTCTTCTATAAATTCGAGGTCTTCTTCTACTGCCTCATTCAAACCCTCAAGATCCTCCTCAGGAATACCCATCGAAATGCTGGCATCAGTTTCAGACTCCGTTATAGCACTCGCCAGCTCCGGTTCTTTATCAGACTCCTCCAACTCTGCCTCCATCTTAACTCCAGCGCTCTTCTTCAACCTATCCAACCGTTCCAATATATCTTTTTTAACCTCCTCACCATCTTGCCCTTCAGGTACCTCCTCAGAATGCTCTCCCCCCTCCTTAAACGCCGTATTCCGTATCATATTCGCCATCGTCTCCGCCTCCAACAATTCCACCTTCTTCTGCAACAAAGGATCTTCAACATCCTCCCGTATCCCGCGAAGTATATCCCTCAACGGACTTTTCTCCCACTCTTCATCCGTTTTTTTAATCTCCTCGGGTGTAGGATCGAATTCTCCATCATAATCTCCATCATTTCCCAGTTCCTTTTTCGAACTACTAAATGATCGTTGCTGCTGCTGCTGCTGCTGCTGTGTGATGACAAAACCAGAATATGCCGTCCCATCAATTCTTATATTCCTATGAAATCTACCTCCATTCTTTGAGCTCAGGTTACTTAGTTGACGATATCCAGTTCTTCCGATTCGACGGGCTTGTGTATTGGGTAATGTTGTTCCGCAGACTGAGGCGAAAGCTCGGAATAGAGCTAACGAGCAGGATGGACACCATTTTGGGGGGGATATTAGTTGTCGAGAAGCTGATAATGGCATGTTGTTGGGAGGAGTTATATTGGTGGTGGGGGTTTGGATTTTTCTTCAAAAGTCGAATCAATATGATTTCGGGCCGACTGAGTTCGCATGGCTGTTTCTTTTCTCATTGAAATTTTGTTCGGTAAAATTACCTATTTTGGATTAGTATTTGGTGGAAAAATAACACAGCTTCAACGCGGTGAGGGAGGGCTTGGCGGGGTTATCCTTAGGACGTTTACTCCAGACAGGCATGGTTGTATTGGAGTGATTCACGCTACAACAACCTCAGACTCTGGCTATTAATACTGAAGAACAAAGAAAAGGGTTACGATATCGATACAAAAAACTTTCGAAAGAAGATATACACGATGGCAGAGACAGCAGAGGATGATCTTCGCGCTTTCAAGTTCGAGCGGATTCTTAACCAAGGTTTGTCCCCGCACTGGTACCCTCCGTTTTAGTCACATCCCAACATTTACCATACTAACAACAATATAATACGAAAAATACTAGACACCGGCCGCAAAACCCTCAACCTCCTAGGAACAATCAAAGGACTCCCAGCAATCATAACAGCCGAAAAGACAGCCTTCAACACCACCTCACCCTCAACCTTCGCCTCCCCAGAAGAAGGTCTTCTCTCTCTAAACCTTCTCCAAAAGAATGATATCTACCATTGGTTCATGGGTACGATCTCACAATCTGCAACATCCAATGCTGCTGCAAAAGTCAATTTGATATACCCTTGTACGGACGTACATATCAAAAAGTATTCAGCTCAGCAGCTTCACATGGTGGTCGAAACCCCCGAGATTTATGAAAAATATGTGAAGAAGTATATTGTACAGAAAACCGAGGGGGGTAGGTTGAATTGGGTTTATAATATTCTTGATCATAAGGCGGAGAGTGAGAAGATTGTGTATGAGGATGAGGATAAGGAGGTGGGGTTTATATTGTTACCGGATTTGTAAGTTTTATGTCCCCCTTTGCCACAATGCATCCTTATCATCAGTTATCGTACTGGAGGGAGGGGGTACCAGGGTAAGGATATTACAGCTGCATATCCTGGCGTACCTACCCGCCCGACTATCCCAAGCGAAATCCATAAATCGATATCTACCCATATCTACACATGTCTCACAACATTGAGTTTTAGAAAATGGGACCTCGTAACCATGACCTCCCTCTACCTTTCAGTAATCGTCCACCGCACCGACATCCGATCAATCCGCGACTTCACACCGGCACACATTCCATTCCTAAGTTCTCTCCGTCATAAAGTCCTTACCGCCGTCTCCTCAAAATACTCCCTCCCGGGAGATCTTCTCAAAATCTACGTCCACTATCAACCATCATACTACCATTTCCACGTTCACGTTGTTCATATTTCACATGATATGGGTGCCTCCGCCACAGTTGGGAAAGCGATCTTATTGGATGAAGTAATACAAGTTTTGAAACTTATGGAAAAACTTCCGAGTTCAGCTGGATCTGGATCTGGATCTGAGATTGTCGGATATAAAGATCTTGAAATGACGTATGTTCTTGGAGAGGAACATGATTTATGGAAGAAAATTTTCGAACCATTGGGGAAAGGGGAGGAACCGAGTATCTAGAACACTAACAGAAAAAAAGGACCGCTAGTGTAACCGAGCCACGTTTCGATATTTTTTATTTTGTTATGTGGCTCGGCTGGGTGTGAGGAGGTGGCAGAAGGGACCAATAGAAGAGTTTTCGTCATGCAGATAGATAGACCCATTTTCGGTATTCGCATGCATCTAAACTAGTTCAAACCTTTTGAGCGATAAAAAGCCGTGCATCAGCGGAGGGGTTTGATAGGAACCACGCTTCAGTTAGCCTTTTTTCCCACAAGGGCGGTGGCTGCTGCTACTTGCTTGCTTGCTGCTCCCCCCTACCTCTCCCTGCAGGGGGTGGATGGTGGACAAAAAAATGGTACCTGCAGGAGAAAAAAATGTCTTGTAGTTTTATTTTTCCCGCCAGAACGGGGGGAAGGTTAGAAGCAACACAGCGAAGGACTAAAAGCGAATTGTTAGAAAGAGGGTATAAAGTTCGACGTTAGATCCCTCCCCTATGGATTGAAACTTTTTTTAAAAGACACAAAAAAAAAACCTGTTCGAAACAGGAATTTTAAGGAAGTCATTCTTTTTTTTTATACTTTTTAAATCATTCGTTGAATATTTCTCCTTGAAGGAGTTACCGATTCATTCTTTTATTTTCTACTATTTATCAATCGATACAGAAATACGTACTTGGACAGTACACTACAGTCACTCTCATTTCCAATCGACTCAATTATATATCACCAAATTATCTTCGAAATAAAAATAAATCAAATAAACATGATCTCCAGACTCCCCCCACCACCAATGATCCCCCCACCCCCCACCACTCCAGAAATCACCTTCACAGTCCGCGGAATCCGCCTCGTAAACCGCGAATGGTCCCTCCGGGACGCCTCCTTCCCCATAACAATCACCAATTCCGCCACAGACCCCACCCTCTCCGCCACCGAAGCCTCCATCATGCTTCGCGAAGACGCCGTGGGTCTCTACCACCACAACTCCAAAACCTACATCCCCATCCGTCAAATCTACCTCCACTCCGAATACCTCACCGGAAGCGAAGAAAGTCTTCGATCGAGGAGTAGCTCCAGAGCTAGTAGCACAAGAAGTAGTAATAGTAGTGCTGATAGGTATGGTAGCATGGATTTCGGGTGTAGAGGCACTCGGACTTTTAACGATAAGGTGTCACCGATTGGTACTGATGATATACATCATAGTGATCGGATGACTTCGGACGGGAAGGTTGTTTGGGATGTTGTTTATAGGAAACCTACTTCTTCTTCTTCTTCGGCATCTTCCTCGTGCGGAAGCTCGACTTTTTCGTTCGAAATGGGCGATGATTGTGAAGGAGACGAGGAGAGCATGAGGGGAAAGAAATTGGGGAAGTGGGCTGATATTAAGAGGTGTGCTTGGATTCTATGGGATGGGACTTATGTGTTTTTGAGCATCAAGAGACCGTTGGTTTATATTGAGGATTTACAGAGGGGGATGTATTCGACGACTTGGAGGGAGAGGGGCAGGAAGAAGGTCGGGGCGTGGTTTGGACGGGATAAGGGCAAAGAGGAGTTTAAGCTCTGCTGAACGATCGTAGTATACACTATACTACGATGATTTGTTTTTGAATACTGGTTACGAGATATACGCCTTTACGATTTGTTACTTTCTTTCTTTCTTTCTTTCTTTTATTCTTACCTTTACTGTTAAATTAGCAACAGGCGTTATAGTTCTTGTATTATATTGGTAATCTTATAGATAGATAGATGGACTTGGGAAATGGTTATGGTTATTTAATGAACTGGGATGCAATGGTTGTCTAGATACCGTCAACTGGCTGGCCAGAATTCATACATTCACATTCACATTCACATTAACACTTCTTCTCTTGATTCAAAAGTACAATAATAGAAAAACACCCCTGAACAGCTGAACACCCCTTAAAAATCCCAAAGACGGGAAGAGAGACAAAAAATGCCTCGACCCTCCTGCAGTAGACGCATGCACCCACATACGGCCGTTGCATATGCAGGAACGGGCGGTTCATGAATAAAACCATCCTAACAAAATAGCACCAAAAAAAGTACAACAGACTCAACACAATATGATAGATATCGATATATATATCTCCACGATACCACCACGTGGAGATGTTGGACATGATGATCGATGATGATACTAGAGAAATTGTTAAATGAGAAGATTCTATTTTTGTAGCTTTTGGTTATGATATAGTCGGAAGCGATCATATATATATTTTTAACGGGATGGTCTGTATCATTCCTGATCAATCATTCTTTAACCTTCAACCCCGGACTAGTACTGTACTGTCAACATTTATATATTATCATCATTGTATATTCAGAACTCATACAATTAATAATTTATATAATAAACAGGCAGTGGATATTAATTCACTTTAAATTCCAAAATGGAACCATCTCCATCTTCAAATCCAACTTCAAAACAAAAGAAATCGACTCCTTTAATATCGAAACTCCCACGCATCCCGTCCTTCAAACCATCAAAACCCACCTCCTCTAAGACCGGAATTGGAGCATCAAAAGAAGAACTTCCTCTTCCCGATCTTCCACCCCACCCGCCTCTCTCCCACCGTCGCCGTCGCCGTCGTCGTTCCTCCCACTCGACAACCACCCCCCAACACCCCGAACCCCGCAAACCCTCCAAACTCTCCCAACTAAAATCCCGCCTCTCAAGTCTAAAACCCTCTAAAGCCACCACCACCACCACTACCACCATTCCAAAAACCTCCCCTCCCCCCTCAACACCAGCCCTCGAACCACCAACCACCCCTCCCACCATCCCCTCCCCAACACCATCATCTCCACCTTCCTCCCCCGCACAATCCTTCCACACAGCCCACTCCTTCTCCTCCTCCCACCAAACCGACATCGAAAACCCTCCAAACACACCTTTTATCCCCTGCGACATCTCAATAGCCTCCTCAGACGCCATCTACCAACTCTCCAGTCCCGCAAAATTCTGGGAAAACATCCACAAACGCAATGAAATGAAAAGGATCAAAGCCGAAAAACTAAGGGAGGCGGAAAAAGAAGTTAGTTTGTGTGAAAGGATTCGGAGGGAGAGGTTTAAGGTGAGGAAGGTTGTTAGTGTTATTGACGAAGAAGAGGAGATGGTGGTTTATATGGATGGGAGTGATGAAGAAGATGGGGATGAAGATGGAGAAGAAGAAGAAGAAGGTGGAGAGGAAAAGGAAGCTGAGGAGACGGAGGAGGATGGGGATGAAAATACGGGGTGTATGGGGTTTAATTGGGTTAAGAAACTTGAGGAGAGGTATTATGGACTTGATGAGGGGGATGGTGGGGTTGATTTAACTACTGAGGAGGATCACGGTCCTATTCCCGACGACATTAATGTTAACGCATCTACAGAAGATCGTGATCGTGACCATAATGAAGATGAAGAAGAAGATAAGCCAGAAACGACGAGTACCTACTTGGAGAGAATAGATGAACTACGAAGGGCATTAGGGAATGCGGTAGCAGATGTTGCACTTAGGCCTGCCGATTGGAGGAAGTTGATTGATTGATTGATTGATTGATTCATTCATCTTAACCAAGAATTTTGAGTATTTAGTATATATACTGAGTTTCTTTTACAGACTAATCAGGGAAAACAATCATCCGCATTTTTTTTTGCTCCATTAGGTTTTAGAGGGTTACACATTCCCCATATATATTATAGCTTTGTCTTTTTTTTGTTCGCTCAAACGAGAATCAATAAATGATAGAACTTTCAAATATATGAATGGGAAAAAAATGGAAAAACACATACTGAGTTAATAAGTTGTGCAATTGTGTGTAGTGTGTAAAGTGTATTGGCTCGAAGGTGACCAGCATGCAGGCGTGCACAGTACAAGGAATGAAATAAATGATCGTGAGTGTGGGGGTATCAAAAAGTAAGTATCAATGAAGGACGAGAATGAATGAATGAATGAATGTAGGAAGGAAGGTGTGTAAGAAAGTCGTATATACAACCTCGCCATTAAAAATAGAAAGAAAAAAACTATCAAGTTCGCCGAGGAAGAGGGAGAATCAGAAGAATAAGAGGAAGAAGAGAAGTAAACGTTACCCATGCATCACTGACCACATAAAAGAGACATAGATGATAAGAAAGAAATAGCATAAATAAAATAAAAAGAAACTCCTGAAGGATATGAAAACACCAAACATATACCTCCTCAATCCACCTAAAATCGCCTAATGAAATCATCCTTCATGTTGACTGAACCTCACACTCCTCACTCCAACGGATTCACTCTTTTTATGTCCTTTCCTCGGAGGTTCCAATTCTTGCTCCTCCATCACACGCTGATCATAATCTTTGGGCTTTCCGACCACGTTTCCGTGCTCACTTCGGTCAACTCGTCGACTAACCGAATCCTTCTTTTGCATCTCAAAACCCGGCTTGAGACTGAGTTGCGGCATGCTCTTTCGCTTCTCGATCCTCTTCTTCCTAATAACGAGGTAGGCGATAACAGCGCCGATGATGATGACACCTAGACCAGCGCCGATACCGGCACCAAGCGCGATGGGAAGGATGTTCGATGGGACGGACTGCGAGGATTCGTGGGTTGCGGTGGGGGCAGTGGTGCCGGTTTGAGAGGGAGCGAGCACAGGTGTGGTTAATGGCGGTGGGGCGCTGTTGAAGTTCTGACGTTTAATACGCGAAGGGCTATTCTGTTGTTGAAGTCTTTTCGCGAGAGATTCGAAGCTAGACATTTCGAACGAACGTTTCGCATTCTTTATATTCCCGAAGAAGACATCACCGGCAGCCTTGACGTTCTTCAATAGTTCATTTTCATCAAGTTTTGGGGGAAGAATAGAGGCTTCGAGTTCTGGGTTTTCGAAGGGAGCGGAAAGCTTCTTCTTGGATGCATCGATAATCTTCGGTCCAAACTTGTCGACTAGGTAAAGCTCGAAAAGGACGGAGTCGTTGTCGGAGAACTTGCCACCGGCCAAGGCACCCAACTGGAGCTGATGAGTGAAATACGCCCATTCGAAGTCCTTCCCGAGGTCCATGTACTTGTGAATCTCCTTGAGGCTCCTGGTACCCGAGTATCTATCAACAGTATTGCCATAAACCGAACACCCCAGCATCGGCGCCATATATGTAGTCATTCCCTTAATCATATGCGTAAAAAGCTCGTTTCCGACCGGATATTCCCTTCCGAACTGTGTATAAGTCTTCGTAGTATAAAAGTTCACTTGAGTCGGTTTTCCGTTCACGTTGGTAGAGTTCAAGCTACCATCGAAGTATTTCGTAAGGTCGACGGGTGTCCCCCACATATCGCCCGGTCGGAAGACACCATTATACATCCCACTCTTCCTTCCGAACCGACGTTGAAAATATGCATCCGGATCCTTAGCACCCAGGAAGGCCTTTTCGACGATTTTTTGGATCAGGAGTTTTTGCGTTTCTGCGTTGTTGGAATTGTAGTTTTTGAGCGCGTAGTAGTCACACATTGGCATCGACGGCGGACGCACGTCGGGAAGCGATTGTGCGGAGTGATGGTGAGCATGATGAGAACAGGCGAAGAAAGCCCTCCAGTCCCAGATAGCGGCGAAGAAGAAGATGAAGCGTACTAAGGCGAGAAAGGAAAGCCAACTGATGATTACGAGGACTAGACGGTAGCGTGGCGATGGTTCTTGTTTGTTTGGAATTTCGGTGTTGTTGTCGGTGTTGTTGTTGTCGGGTAGACCTTCTAGGTCGAAGTCTTCTGCTTTGCGCTCGTCGGCGCTGAGGAACGGTACCTTCTCGTCCATGGTGGATGTCTCAGACAGTCGAAGGAGCCGTGCCTTTCCTTAAGTCGTACGTATAGTGTATATAGAAAACTAATGAAGTTGAAGATGAGATGAGAGTTTCGTTAAGAGGTGAAGTTTGATATGGTTCGGAAGTGACAGTGAAGTGGCAGTGACAGTGAAGTGACAGTGATAGTGATAGTTTCACACGGCACACAAAGTAACGTTTCGAGTCTGACAGTACAGCTGGAAAGGATTCGAATTCGCAGAAAACGAAAACAGGAAAGAGCCGAGCAAGTAAAGTAAGTCAAGAAGTCAGGAAGTCGGTAAATAAGTTAGTCAAGAAACTCCCCAGCCTTCAAGGCCGATTACAATTTTTTTTCTTTCTTTCTTTCTCTTTTCTCCACCGGTGAACGAACGAACGAACGAACGAACGAAGCCGTACGGGGACTGCAGGGTTAAAGAGGAAAAAAGGAGAGTAAGCGGAAACAAAACCGCAAATCAAAAAAGAAGTTCGACGACCAGGTCAGAAAAAGGAGGGTGGTAGACGACCAAGAGGATGAAAACAAGGAAAGGCCCAGGTCGATGCAGGCAAAGACGCTTTATTTAGCTGCAAATGCAGTGCGAACGTTACGAGAAGTGGAATGACAGTGGAGGCGAAGAATCTGCTTTTTTTTACCCCTGAGGACCGGACGGACCCACTTTGACACCGTTCTTCAGCGGCTGACCTTCTTTTTTGTTCGACTGGAAGAATGAGGATTTCGGAATTGGGCTCGGAGGTTCGCGATGTTTAATATTTTTGCAGAGTACGATATGTAAGGATGATATGTATGATAGTATTATATATGAGAATGGGGAGGACGATGTAGAGGCAAATATTAGGATTTAATTTAAATTGACGAGGAGCCAATCTATGCGAAACCTATACACGGGCAACTGCTGATTAACTTCCAGATGTTAGATTTTATATTTCAAATATTAAATTTTCAGATTCCTGGCTCGTGGTGGTCTGTCTATTATAAACCCGATCGGGCCTTGGTTCCGTTAGAATATATTCATAGGCTGTTGATGTTGAATATACAGATATCGATCAGTTAACTTAAGTATCTACACAGTATACTACAAGCAATGTAATTAAGTACAGTACAATGCTACACCGCATCGACGGATTTATTTATACACACAGACTAAACCTTGGACGGCCAGGCTCCGTTGAATGTTAATGTTAATGTTGGGTCTTCCCGTGTGCCTGAACTGATTAAGATCGAATTGGAAAACCCGAGTGTCTATCAGACTTAAAAGCCGTTGGGGGCATCGTATCTGTTGAATATTTACTTACTAGTACTAGCTACTAAGTAAGTACTATACAAGTTACTATACGTATACTAATCATGTGCGATTCGATTAAATATCCACTGGTGCATAAGTAAGGACTTCATGAGCATGCAAGTTCGATCACCCGGCTATTATATATCTTAGAGGTTGTTTCGAATATAATATAATTCGACTATCGAGAATATTAATATTACACTCGAGTACTCCCGAGGTTGATCCTATACAAAGCCAATGCTATGTAAGTATAAGTATATCCCATCATGATGACTACTTAGTACCCAATATCCTTCTCTCGAAGTACTTACAGACTTAATTCTTCAGGAATCTCGAAGGATCAAGCAATTCGAATTCTAAGCGTTAGCCCAGACCTTGGCAAAAACTCAGCCAGACATCGTGATCGATGTTTGTATTCAAAAATAAGCACCAATGCCACTCCTCCCAAGCTCTGGGCATCTCAATCCAGCCTCCACCAACAAAATACATGTACTTACCTATACTTGTACCTCCAGCGTGCGATTAGATGTCAATGGTACATACTCCTCAGCCGCAAAATTTAAAAACTGGCGTGAGGGCTGAACGGGTTTTTACAGTCCTGCTTAGCCCTTGTGATTGATCCCTTCAAAAATAATGGTAATGATGATAATGATAATCTTCAATTGAGGAAAAATTTACCCTCTTCGACATGTCTTGCCAATTGCCAAAAACCTACCTCGAACGACGACGTAACCGGATTGCGAATTGACTTTTCAGCCGTGGAATTACTTACGTGTTTATCCAACCTGTGCATGTGCATACATACATACATAGTATACATGTTTGATTCTATGGGATCAATGCAATATGCAATATCGTGGATTTCCAATTCAAACTTCATTATATAAGCTGGCAGGGTTGAAGGTTTCGTGTAACCAGCAGTCTTTTGACTACACTTCAAATCTCAAGCTCGGATTCGACTGCCTATAAAATATAACATCTCGAGTCCTCCTCTTTCAATATCTCCAATTGACATCCAATCAATCAATTACCTATTATATAATATACTTCTCTCACCTATATTTATATTTTAAATATCACTCGGTATCATATACCAAAAACCCATTGATACATCCAAACATCAATCAGGCAATCAAATATGGCTGCAAACGAACAACTTCTCCCCTCAAACACCGATACCCACCACGGTCAATTACAATCCAGCAGCCCCCAAATGACCTACCAAAGACAAGATCCCATGCAACAAGAACAATCCCAAAAAGCCGCCCAAAAGGCCGATAAAAAACAAAACAAAAAGAAAAAGAAGGAAAGAAAAGAACAAAACGACGGATATTCAAAAACGGAATGTTGCGCCGATTGTCTTAACGTCTGGTCCGGTTGCTTCGAATCATGCATCAGAATTATAGCCTGCAGAGGATCGAAAAACGGGGGAGGAGGTTGTAATTGTGATTGTGATTGTAATTTCTGCTGCTGTGGTGATTGTTAAGGCTGTCTTTTTTTTTATATGTTTATAATTTTAGCTTAGGCATCTACGTCTACTTGCTCGATATTATTTTGTATCATGGTATCATATGACCAGGCGTCATGGATATTATGTAATATCGAGATCGAGATACGAGGTTTTGGGAACGTTATATGGTTCGATTGGGAAGGAGGTACTTCTATATACATACATTCTATATACTCCACTGTTATGTAATCCGAATTTGATAGAAAATCTAGATCTATTTGCTTTCCTTTCTTTCTTTCTTTCCTTCACATGTTTATGACATAAATCCCCATGAGTAGACGCAAGTGGCTTGCAGTAGTGAACCTGTTTACGCGCTTGCCATGAAGGCTTTGCAATGGCTAACATGTCAAACTCACTCGAATCATGCCGGAATCGAAAGGCAGGACCCCCTGAGCTCCGAAGCTAGCTTTGAAGCACTAGTTATTACTAGTTCCCGAGTAGTTATACGAGATCTATCGTTCGAATTCGAAGCTGAAGGGGTTGTTCCGTTTATCACCGCCAAGGCGAACTCGAAATCCAACATGACCTCGTATTCACTTCAGCTAGAGCTACCATGTATGGGTGATTAAATCGATTTATCTTTTAAAAGACACTACTACATTTTATTTAATTATTCTTCTCAAAAAATTTTTTTTTCTATATTTTTTGGTTTTGTTCGTGGAGTTGTGGGAAGTTTCGAAATTCCGATACCGTAGAAAACGGACAAAGACATGCATATGGTGGAATTGGGAGAGAGAGAGAAAAATCTTAAAACCCCCCCGATGTCTCGCTGTGTAACAAGTATCGTACTCGCCTCAGCGTTCCAAACTAAAAAAACCTCCCCCCAACTGATGACAACATTTGTTCTTTCTTTATACAAATTCCCCAACTACAGTAGTTGATAAAATTTTACAATTGTGTTCTAAAATTTAAATGATGCGGGGGGGCTTTGCTGTAAACCATCTGGCCGATTGGGGGGTGAACTGCGCTTTCGACCCCCGTAAGAGCTCGAAACAGGGCCAGGTACCATCCCCAAACCCTTGAAAGATTTTGATCGACTTCCTGATTTGTTTTAACTGTTAACCAATTTCGAGATATCTTACTTATTCTACAACATGCATTTTTGTTTTTTTTCTCTCTCTCTTAATGACTAACCAGGAGTAAGGATTATTTGGGTATGCATGTAACTGTAACTGTAACTGTAGGGCTGTGAAGTGTTCCTGGAATATATAAGTCTTTTGATAGAAGGTGTATATGATATTTATATATAACCGGCGGGCGATAACATCGAACATTGGAATTTCTGATTCGAATTCTTTCTATTCTAGAAATATCATCTCATCAGCTATCATACCTCTTCTATATTACATAAAACAGCATATCCACATTCAATCTTCCATTCGAATTTCTAAAAGAAGCCTTCTAGGAAAGAGAACATCAATTCGAATAAACAAACCATTTATACCCTTCAAAATCATTCTTACAAAATATCCAATTGATATATATAAAATAATATCCTCCAAAATGCCGGCTTCAACAACATCCCAACAACCTCCTCGATTAAAGCCAGAAACTCATCGTAACTATAATAACAATATCCGCACCGAAAGGTCGCCCACACCCCCTCGATCCTCCTCCTCTCGAGGTTCTTCTCGAAGTTCCACCCGAAGCGGTCCAAAATACAAACCCTCCCGGGGACCCACATATATCCCCTCTCAACCGATGTCAAATACACCACCTACTACAAATAACACAACAACAACCACCACAAACAAGCCTAAAACTCCTGCTGAAATCCAAAAAGAAAAAGAAGGGGAGAAAGAGAAGAAAGGAGGTTGTGGAGGATTTTGTTGTGGAACGATTTTTACGGATTGTATGGCGGTTATTGGGGCTTGTTTTGGGGCTATTGGGGCTTGTGTCTGTTGTGCTGCTTGTTAAAATTAGTACTTACGACTGAGAAGTATATATAATGATTATATGCCGGTGGTTTGTGAAGGTGTTTTTTTGTATATAGAAAGTGTGCTTGTTTCTTTGTTTCTTTTCTTTTCTTTCGACTTGGTTTGTTTTTAGAATATAAGGATACCCAGACATCATATCATTAATGCATTCCGAAGGTTATGCCGAATATATAGTATGATAGTATAGTTATGAGAATATCAATAGACATTATAATTACATTACATTATATTACATTAGACCTGGTTGTATGTTAATAAAGTAGAGAGCAAGCAATAAATGCGGAGAGAATATTATAATACCGAACATCCAGCGAACGGATCGAATGGATATAAAGTATCAAACCCGTGAATCAACCTCACCACCCCCTTCCATTGTCTCCTCGTCCTCAAACGCCTTATACCTCGGCAACGGAAAATCATCACCATCGGCATCATCAAAAAGAATCCCTACAAGCCTACTAATAAGCCACGGCGTCCTCACCACCTTCGAAAGCGCCGATCCCATAATACTGATCAAAAACCTATGCCCCGCCCCATTAGGATGTACAAACCCCGGCAACAACGACGGAACCTTCTGTTGTTCCTCCACAAAAGGTCGAAATAGACTTTCATACCTCTCAAACGCCTTTGACGGGTGTTCCCCTTCTTCCAGTTTACTAAGTTCCCCGGCAAGGACGTATGCTCCGTTAATTGCAAGCGAAGTACCCATCCCCGTCAGCGGTGTCGGTGCGTATGCCGTATCACCCAGACAGACAATCCTCCCCGTAGACCATTTCGTCATTTTTATCTGCTGCATAGCTTGGAAGTAAAAATCCGGTGCGGTGGGGATCGAATCCAAAAGTCTTTGAGCCTGCCATCCCGCATCTGTAAATTCTTTCCTTAACAACGCCTCCTGTGTTTTTCTATCCCCCCTGGCAGCCGTAAACCATTCCTGTCGATGAGCTTCGTTCAAGGGCATGCGGGTGAACATGGCTCGAATGGTACCGTAAGGGTCAGGTCTCAAACTCACGAGTCTACGTCCCAAAGCCGCGTAGATGTTCCACCAGTCGTTATCGGTGGGGATTCTCGGTATGGTCCAGTATACCGCGAACATGTCCTTATCCACGACTTTTACTGTTTCAGCGGGGAAACATGATTTTCGTAATTTGGACCATTGACCGTCCGATAGGACCAAAAGATCGTAGGTTTGGACTTCTCCGTTGCTTAATTCGACTTTAACACATTGCCCTTCCGTATCGTTAGAAATAACCTGTTTAACCGTAGTATCGAATAAATAAGTAACATTAGGATGATTCCTGGTAGCTTTATAAAATACGGCCGCTAGATCTCCACGAAGGATTTCGAATTCTGATGTGAAGCTCATGGATCCGCTGTTCCCCTTCTGAACGGGGAACGGAGCGAAGGGACGGCCCTTGGGGTCTATGAGTTGGGTTCCCTTTTCTGTGGTGTTGAACCGAAGGATTTCGTCCACCAGTCCCATCTTTTTGATGACCTTTCGGGCACTACCTTGGATGTCGATGTTTTGACCGTGAGGGAGGATGCATTGTGCTTTTTCGACGGTGGTGACTTTGGCACCGGATTTGGCGAGGAACCAGGCGAGGGAGGGGCCGGCTATGCCTGCGCCGCTGATGAGGACGCGCATTATATATAATTTATATATTTAATAGAGTGAAAGAAGGGGTTTATAAGGAAAATGTATAAACTTCAAAGAAAAAGTGGGTAGATTAATACTTATACTTACTTACTTACACTCCCACATATTTATATTTATACTCTCGCGTCTTGAATTCGAAGGGGGTCTCTTTTGTACTACATTCTATTTCCAACACGTATCATATCATATCATACCAGCGTTAACGGAAAAATCGTTGACATCATGACTCAAAAAAAAAAACGAAAAAGTCGGAGAACTGATGTTGCGACTTCTCGGTCCAGTCGGCGTCCCGATGTGGAATGATCAATAGTTAACGGTGTTATCGGTATGTTGATTTGCCAATATTTAAAAAATATGAGGCTTAAAATCTTTAAACCCCGAATGATCCTTTTTATTACCGGGGTTGTTTTGGTGTAAACTGGTATTTGGATGGGAGTCCGCGGTGTCCGTTTCGTATTTGTTGCATATTGGAAGGCGTTCGAGTCGATTTGATTCGTGTATTTTATTGGGCGCCCGTTTTTTTGATGGTAATAGATTGGGTGATATATTATGTGGTCGGGTATAGTATAGAAAAGGGATTCGTAAGCTGGCGACGTATTTGGACGAAGGAACTTAATAAGAGGAGGATAGTGATTGCGTATAATGTCGAAGTCCTAATTCATATTCATATTCATACTTGGTATCCGGTCCTTATCGAACAGCAGAATTGCTTTGACGAGAAGTTGTTGCAGTTTGTGGCAGACGAGTTGACAACACGCATTCTAATATTCTCAGCTCAGGACGGTCAGTCATTAATATGATGTTCACTATATTCGGATTTTGGGTATTTACGTACAAGTGAAGTTTGTTAGTAGGTAAGATGGTCTCGCGGGACACTTATGATATATTTCTTTGGCCATGCATAGTGTGAGTAAAATGGTGTTCAATGGTGTTTTTTGGTTCCGGTTAGGTTTGAATGTTACCCACGGCAAGGCTACCAACGTTCGATATCATGGTATACGTATATTACGACAAGGAAAATGAAATACTTAAGTATATATATTTACGAACGCTGTGAAATTATCTTATAACTTCATAAGTTTTAGATGTAACTGACTAGAAAGTTTTGTTCCCAAATGAAATATCAAATTTGATTCGCAACTTATCGAGCTATTTAAAATTAAACAAAGAACAGTTATAACACCGACAAGTAAAGTACATTCGTAAAGTTATTTCATACCACCCTTTGATACACACCGCGCGACCGAACTCCTAATTTAAAGCAAATTCCCTTGAAAAAGAAACAAAGAATCATCTACAAGTAATTATAATGTTACACGATCCTATTAAACCTAATAGAGATCGTTATGTGCAGCCTTGATATCATCAGCTCCCTTCTCACCACACATATAAACCGAGTTCTGAATACGGCAATCAGGCATAACCGGAAGTGCCGAAGCATCAATAACCCTCAAGTTCTTAATCCCATGAACCTTGAACTTATCATCGACAACACCCTGAGTGATATCCTTAGAAACACGGTTAGTACCAAGGGGATGGAAAGCAGTCTGACATCTATCCAAGACAGCGTGTCGCATAGCTTTATCATCATCCAATGGCATCTCCCAAGGATACTCGGCAATTACAAGATCCTTGAAGGCTTCTCCCTTAGTAAGAACATCGTAGCTGAAACGGATACCCTCGCGCATAGCGATGATATCGAGTTCGTCGGCGAAGAAGTTAAGGTTGATGGCCGGTTGGACGAGTGGATCGGCGCTTTGGAGGGTGACTTCACCGGGGGCGGAGATGGTGCGGACTAAATCGACAACGACGCTGATGTGAGAACCTTGCTTGGGGATGGGGTAGTGCCATTGGAAAGCGGAACCGAACATTCCGACGAAGTCGAGTTCGAAGTGGGGTTGTCCGTGTGGAGAAAGAGGGTCGAGACCACCGTTGGCGGCCTTGCGACGGTTATATTCTGCGTCCTTTTCGAGATACTCATCTATACGTGGGAAACCTACGAGTTCGAGGAGACCGGAACCGACGGGGCCGGAGTGGTCTTTGGCGTAGGTGGACTTGGCGGCGAAGTTTTTCTGGTTGTTGCGGAGGAGGACGTCGTCCATGCAGAGGTCGTCTTTGACCTTAAGGACGAATGGGACGGCTGGGTGATCGATCAAGTTTTGACCGACGTGGGGGGAGTCGAGGAGGACTTCGATGCCGAAACTTTCGAGCTGGCTCTTTTGGCCGATACCGCTGAGCATGAGAAGTTTGGGAGACTCGAAGACACCTTGGGAGAGGATAACTTCACGATCAGCGTAGAAGCTGAGTTCTTCGCCGTTCTTATCAATAACAGTGACACCCTTGGCGGTCAAACTGGCCTTGTCGATGATGAGCTTCTTGCTATGAACTTCTGGTAAGATAGTAATGTTCTTCTTGGAATCGGGAACGAAGAGGAAAGAACCATTTCGGCGACCCTGGTAGATAGAGTCGACACAATGAGTGAGACCGATCATATCACCATCATAAATGTTTTCAGTAAGGGTCCCGCCCTGAGACAACCAAGCCTTAGTCAGAGCATCACGGAAAGGAGCCAATTCAGGGAGCAATTCGGCATGGGAAATATTAAGTGGGCCACCGGAACCAATCTTGGAAAGTTCGGTGGGGTAAAGACCCTCGTCGTCGTGATAAGTAGCCGACTTGCGAAGATAAGGCAAAAGCTTATCCCAAGTCCAGTCCGCGCCACCGTACTCCTCCATGTAGTCGAAGGTAGCCTTGCATCCTGGAATCCAGGTGAAGTAGTTGAGAGAAGAACTGCCACCAAGGGCTTTACCACGGGTGTTTGGCTTCTCGATACGTTCGTAGTCGTCACGCTTGACCATGGTGGTCTTGTAAGCCCAGTCGTGTTTGGAACCTCGAAGACCCATGGCGTTGGATGGAGTCATGATCTCTTCGATTTGCTGCGGGTTGCCGACACCAGCCTCGACGATGAGGATGGTGGCGTTCGGGTTATCGGCGAGACGACCGGCGACGACATTTCCTGCGGTACCACCGCCAACGATGATGAAATCGTAGTGGGCACCGTTGGAAACACTGGTAACGACAGGCATTTTGGGAGTAAGGAATTAAGATATTACTGAAGTATATTTATTTTTAAAAATGAGGAGAAGATTGGAGATATAAAAGTGAAGATTAATAGAAATCGAGGAGAGTATGGTTCGAATGTATTAATTATTACCAAAGAAGTAGCTGAAGTAGAATATTTTTTGAATAGATTTTAAATTTTGGGAAAGATAGAAGTATATATTAAATAATAAGAAGATGGATACTGAATTGTGGATTTGATGTGATTGCGATGCTGAAGATGCTGAAGAAGATGCTGATGATGTTGATGATGCTGATGTTGATGATGCTGATGATAGTATTTCCTCAACTCTGGGAAACATTTGATCTATTTATCTTTTTCTTCAAATCTTCATATTCCACAATATCCTCCTTTCAAACGATGATATCATATACCACTATCGATGCATCGTACGACAACCGTATCACAGACTCGGGTCTAGCTACGCATACACAAGCGGCATATTCGGAGAAACGGTTGACGTATATTCAACTTCCCATTCCTCTATCTCGACTCGGTATACCGAACTTTACTGCAAGGTGAACAAAGTACGAGGAAGAAGGCTAACTGAAGTAACCGTGCGACCGAATTCACCAAAGGTAGCCCATGTTCAACGTCTGCCGAATTCCCCCATTCTGCACACTAACGAATTTTCCACCAACCAGAATCCACAGAGTCGTTCATGTTGTACGAGGACGTATGTAATCATGCATATTTTAGCCCTACGAAAGGCTTCTAAGCAACATAGCGTACTGGGACCCTGGGATTCGGACTTTGCCAGGGTAGGCTCTAGTATGCGGAATCGAAGCGGAAACTTTAAAGTACTAGTATACTACTCTAGTCGCCATAGCGAAGGGGCAGGTGTAACGCAGGATCTATATTAATCAAAGTTGCTAACTAGTCCCTTTCAATGGGAGGAACGCTAGTGACGAAGTTAACTTGGATTCGGCCGGAGTTCGGATGTCGACGGAACAGCACCCAGTTTGGATGGAATGATTGGTTCGAGCACAGTGACGCGGTAACTAGTCCAAATCTAACCAGATTCGGCCTACAAGCGCGGACAGTTTCGGAATAGTCTGGGATGGGAAACGTTCGGGATGCATTTCCATGATTTTCAGGGCCCGTTGAGATTAGTCAACACTGGAAATTCGTACGAACTAAAGCTTAAAAGCTGTATTCCAATTAATACGTACGTCGAGAGAAAAATACCTGGGTAAAGTATCATGCAGGATTCCCGCATTTGCAGGGGCGGAAAGAGAGCGAAGGAGGTTTTTTATTGATACTACTGAGCTGAGCTCTTGAAAACAGTCCGGCGAATTAAGAATTTGATATTTTGGGCTTGTGATTGGCCGGCCAGGTGGAAGAATATAAGGTTGACCGGGGTGTATGCATAATGACATCAGGCCACATACGCGTTTTAGCAGCTATCGATTCGATATCGTGACACTATCTACGAAATACTTTGAGAAAACACTCGCGTCTTTGGGATACTGCGCTCGCTTCTATGTACTGATTCTGTATGTGGAAAATTCCATACTCGAGTCAGTTGGCTCGGATATCGGGAAATTCTGGAAAACTGGATTGAACGAATCGAATCACTGAGATCTCGTACGCGGTGCGCATATATATCGATATACTAGCAACGAACTGTGTATATTAAGGCCCGGATTCCCCAGCTTCTTGGATCAAAACCAATCATCAGCATCTCAATTGCAATCCATTGAAGCCAAGTCGACATCCAATCAAGAACTTTACATTCTATCTGCAAAACTTTCTATTTTTATATATTCACTTAATATTAATTAATACATCTGCATATTCATCATGGACACTGTACCTACATACACTGGGGCCGAAGGTAAGTGCCATATCTTCCAATTATATGTATATTCTTTGGATTCTAAATTAACATAATGGTATCTTCACCACTACAGGCGTTCCCTACGCTAGCGCCTCCACAGCTCAACACTTCGGCGGCAATAACATCAAGGGTCTCATGCTTCTCCAAGACACCCAACTTATAGAGACCCTCGCCCATTTCAGTCGTGAAAGAATCCCAGAGCGAGTAGTTCATGCCGCTGGTGTTGGTGCATGGGGAGAGTTTGAGGTTACACACGATATCTCCGAACTTACCGATGCCAAATTCCTCAATGGAATTGGCAAGAAGTCTAAAGTCCTTTTGAGGGTTTCCACCGTGGGACCTGAGAGAGGAGGTGCGGATACTATTAGGGATGTTAGGGGTTGGGGTATGAAGATATTTACTGAGGAGGGGAATCAGGATTTTGTTTTTAATAGTATCGTGAGTTTGACTCTTCCAATTAACGGGGCTTCAACGATGAAATGGATCTTAGCTGGGGGCATTTATTGGATAAAGCTAATATTGGATGTGAATATAGCCTGTATTCTTTGTTCGAGATCCTATCAAGTTTCCTTCTCTTAACCGATCTCACAAGAGGCACCCGGCAACTAATCAAGGAGACCCTACTATGGTAAGATATCAATATCCTCAATGTCTTGTAATTCTGTTTTAGCTGGTACTAGACTAACATCGGCTTTGCATAGTTTTGGGAGTATGCATATCCATATTAGATTCATCTGTTAAATTATCAAAGTAGTGGTTTACTAACAATATATCTCTAGTTTCCATAATAACAACCAGGAGGGAATCCACGCCATTATGGCCCTCTTCAGTGACCGAGGTACCCCCAAGACTGTTAGACATCTTAATGCCTACAGTGGTCACACATATAAGATTACCAAGGAGGTAAGTCATTACATCCCATAGCCCGAGGTTTACTCGAGGATCTATTTAACTCACTTATAACTTTATGATAGGACGGAACATTCCACTACGTCAAGGTCCACATCAAGACTAACCAGGGTGTTGAAACCCTTACCAACGATGAAGCGACTAGATTAGCTGGCGAGGCGCCAGGAATCCATGGCGTCGACCTTTACGAATCCATCGCCAAAGGTGACTTCCCATCGTGGACTTTCTTCTTCCAAGTCATGACCCCAGCTCAAGCCGAAAACTACCGCTGGAATATCTTCGATATGACCAAAATCTGGCCACACTCCGATTTCCCACTCATCCCCGTTGGCAAACTTACCCTTAACAAGAACGTAAGTCCTATTACCCTATCCTAGACTATTGTCATTTCGAGTGTAATTAATAAATTACTGACGATAATAAAAAAAAGCCTGGAAACTACTTCGCCGAAATCGAACAAGCCGCCTTCTCACCTTCAAACATGGTCCCCGGAATCGCCCCCTCCGCAGATCCACTGCTCCAAGCCCGCATGTTCGCCTACAACGACGCAGCCCGCTACCGTCTCGGCGTAAACTACCAACAACTCCCCTGCAACCGCGCCGTCTCCCGCGTCTACTGTCCCTTCCAACGTGACGGTTCCATGACATTCACAGATAACTACGGCGGCGATCCAAACTACATCGGTTCAGATCTCAAACCGATAAATTATAAAGGTAAATTCGGAGCGCATGGGTATAAAATCGGTGGACACGAGGAATGGATCGGTAGTGTCGTTGGGTTTACGAGTGAAGTTGTGGATGATGATTTTGTGCAGGCGAGGATGTTTTGGGATATGCTGGGGAAACAGGAGGGTCAGCAGGAGCATTTTGTGTATAATGTGGCTTGTCATTTGAAGGGGGCTATTCCGCAGGTTCAGGAGAAGGCACTTGGTAAGTTAGCTTCCGGGTTTTTTTTTGAGAATTTGTTGTAATGGCTTTGCATTGGGCTAACATTTTGATTGTGATTTTATAGGTATGCTTAGCAATGTCTATCCGGTTATTGCTGAGAAGCTTAGAGTTTCCATCGGAAATTTGAAGAAGGTTGCTCCATTGAACTAGAGGCGATATTGAACACTTGTTTTAAATTTTGGGGCGTTGGATTTTTTTATATTTGGCGTATATTGGTGTATTGGTGTTTATGGCGTTTACGGAGTGCTCTTCGGTATAATAATAACTACTAAAAAAAAAGGCTTTGAACAAAACTAGATATTGGGAGGGTACAATTCATTCATTCATCCAGGGAGCGAAATTTCTTTGTATAATAGACCGTTTTGGAGTTTTCAATTAAAATACATTTCTTGGGGATAACCTTTAACTTGTGCAGAAAACTCAAATATCAGTGCATACCTAATCGAATATATAAGGAAATCACCAGCAACTGATTTCGAATACTCAATTTAAATACCAAGCCCGACATACATACAAAAGAATGAATTCGCCTGCCAAGTGCTTACCTTCACATCTGGGCAATTTGCAATTCAAAAAGTCGAACGAACTAACTACCGAACACACCCTCCGCACGCCAAGTAGTTAACAAAAAGCTTGGTACCCTGCACCGCCCAAGCTTGACGTAGGCGAGAAAGTCCCAAATCCGACCAAATCAGGAAATAGAGATGCCAAAATGTCGGTGTAACCGTTAGGCTTATGTAACTAGGTGCCCTCCTTTCGTTACTTAATCAAGTGGTCTCGTATAATTCGGAGCTTGGCATCCTCTGACTTCCTGTGGATTTCTTGGATTCTTTGAGGAGGCGCAATATGGGTGTTTTACGTGTTAGCTATTGTGGATCTTGTTCGGTTATTGGTATGGATGGTGTAGATTAGGTCGTAAGGGTTGAAGGGGTTTGAGGTGTTGGTTATGTATATCCGTGACGTTATATTTTTCTTGGGTAGAGAATTGGCATGCATGATCTCAAGGCTGGGAATTGGCGGTGAAGCTTCGTGGGTTAGCTGGGCTGGGCTTTTATGATGTCGGGATATATAAAGAGTGCGTCCCTTCCCGACTGGCATGCACATGCTGTGGATATCCTTTGGTTACGAAGAAATATAAAATACATCAACGATCGATATCGGTTCATTTACTGCCGCAGGCTTTATATTTATACCAGATTATTTTAGTGCCACCTATTGGGCTTTTTTTAAGAAAAAAACTTGAAGATAATATCCGGAGCAAAGTTACCCTCAAAAAACCAGACCTCTACTTGCTTGGAAAACTCGTTTCTTGATCTGGTTGGCTTCTAAAACGTCGCCTGACGGATTACATACTTCAAAAATGGAGGCTACAAGTCCCCCAGTCCGTTCCCAAACGATCCCGCCTCCAGCTCAATCTCACGACGAGACATACTATTACGAAGCCTATGAACCTTCTCAGGAAGAGGCACTTGAATTTCACAGACGAGCAATTGAGGCAGAACGTCAATTACAAGCACGTCAATTACAGGAGCAGTCGAACACTGGTCCGGATAAAACTAAAGGGGAGAAAGTTTTGGATAACTCCATCAAGGCAGCGAATTGGCTGATCTGGGGGGACGTCGGCGGGAAAGAAGTGAAAGAACAAAAGAAGAGGGAAAAGAAAGAGAAAAAGAGGAGGAAGAAGGAAGGGATAGTTGATAGTGAAGACGAGGAGAAGGATAAGAAGTCAAAGAAAAAGAAGGAAGGCGAAGAAAGCGAGTTGAAGAAAAGGAAGAGAGACGACGATGGTGTCGAGGATGATTGGCTTGTGGAAATACTACAAGTGATTGTATAGTTTGGGTATTATTCTCAAATTGAAACTTGGCCTGCTAGACCTAGCTTTGTTATATGTAAACTATTATGGTACGAATTAGCATGGAATAGAACGCTTCTTAGACCAAGAGTAGAATGGAAAATACCAACATTTGGGCTTGTCAGCTGAATCCTCTAGCCAGGAGGATTTATCAACCTTCTGCTATCCGAACACTGTAACCCCCATATAAACCCAGTACTCCAGCAAGTAACTCGAACAATCATACTGCTCTTTGCTATATCTTATCTAACCCACAAAATCACATCCTCCGACTGCTTGCTTCTCCGCAGGAATGAAACATCGGCATAAAGTTTAACGATCTCCTTGTCCCATTTATTGACTAGTTTCCTTTCCTCAGACGTAATCAATGGATCATCGAGCGCTGGTAACATATCCTTCTGTTCGAAGGCGTTATTAAGCATTCTTAGGATTATGCGACGGGAATCAATGTAGGTGAGTTTGTGACATCGGGGCATGATGCAGGACTTGTCGAGACCAGGTTATATTGATACGCTCCAAAATGATAATTAATAAGCTTCTGGAAGGATCTATTGAAGCCTACAATCGTGGTCGGAGGTTTGGCTTGGCCTTAGAACCCAGGGTACGACGAAGGGTGTTTGGATCCCAGATAAAAAGATCAGGAAATGAGCAAAGAGGCAATTTCGAAATTGAATATAGGCTTCGAATCCCATAGATTGTAAATATTCTCGTGGCTGTAAACGTGTCGAAGCGTTTAAGGTTGAGTCTAGAGGAATCCCAGCCAAACTCGGTTGCCGGGCAGGGTAGCTACGTTGCACAAGATCGTCAGCGGCGTGGTGTGTTGTGTCGCGTTCGGCTTCAAACTCTTCAGCTTGCGTTTCCTTGCTCGGCCTTTTCGACCACCTTTTCTGCAGCAATTGACACTCCGCGGGACACCAAACCTGTCAATATATCACGATGGGTGGAGAGCCATCATCACCAGGGTTTAATATTGGCCGTGATCCTTCACTAAGTCCCTTTACACGAGCGCTTCTAGTATGTGTCGTCCTCTTATCTATCTTATCTGAGGCCTGGCCCTGCTAACCTTTCAATCCACAAGGCAGGCGCCGTCGCCGGTCTCACAGTCGATCTAACCCTCTTCCCTCTCGATACTCTCAAAACTCGTCTTCAATCCTCGTCAGGATTTCTCGCTTCCGGCGGTTTCCGAAATGTCTACCGTGGTATCGGGTCCGTATTCCTTGGCTCTGCTCCGGGTGCAGCCTTGTTCTTCGTCAGTTACGAAGGTGTGAAAAGCTCGGCGTTTACAAAGAGTTATTTGGGAGGGAAAGATACGCCTGCAGCTTCAATGCTTGCTAGTGCGATCGGAGAAGTGGCAGCTTGTACGGTTCGAGTTCCTGTGGAAGTGGTGAAGCAACGGGCGCAGGCAACGGGCACTGGCAGCTCCTTGGCTGCTGTCAAGTATGTCGTAAACTTGGGCAAGGATCGGGGCTTGCTAGGAGTCTGGAGGGAAATCTACAGAGGCTATGGAGTGACGATTATGCGTGAGATACCGTTTACGATGATTCAATTCCCATTGTGGGAGGGCATGAAGAAATGGTGTGTTCAAGTCAGAGGTGGGGGTGATAGAAGGGCAAGTGGAGCGGAAAGTGCCGTTTGTGGAAGTGTAGCGGGAGGTGTGGCCGCTGCTGTAACAACCCCGTTGGATGTGATGAAAACGAGAATGATGCTGGCTGAAAAGGTTCGTCTTATTGATCACATTAGCGAGGGGAAATGCTAATATCGGGATAGAGTATATCCATGGCTTCCATGTTTAGGAAGATTGTGGCGGAGGAGGGAGCTAGGACCCTCTTAAGCGGAATCGGACCGAGAGTGATGTGGATTAGCGCTGGAGGAGCCGTGTTTTTGGGTGCGTATACAGGAGCGGCCAATACTCTTTCGGAGTTATAAGAACGAGAGGTAAGTGGTTATACAGTGCCTTGTAAATACTTGTAAATAGGAGGAGTAAATGGCGTGATCCGTCCGGCGATAGAATCTAGTGTGGCGTCCCTGCAGACTTAACTACCGTCCCTCTCATTGGTTGAGGTTACATCTCTACCGCTTCTTCCCAGCCGCGAACTTTTCGTGCCATTTGTTCTTCTTCTTGTTCGCCGGTGCCGCACCGCCCTCGCTATCGGTGCTATGGATGTACCGAATCACTCCTAGCACGGACCGGGTGTGCAAACCTTCTAACAACTTCAAATCCACGAACTTCTCGCACTCATCCGGCGCTTTGGACCGCCAGGCCTCCATGAACTCTCTCTCCGTGAATGATTTATTTGGATTAGATAACAGAATATGTTTACCAACCCATTTTGTTGTATATGGAGTGTCGTATGAGTATACTATGGAGATGATATTAGCAATAGCTCGAGCAGTTTATCTAATTCCAACTTTAATACAGAATCGACATACCCATACTACCGTCTTCGGTTTTCTTGCTCTCAAAAGCGCCCCGAATAACTGCCCTGATAGTATCAGGTGGGTATTCAAGATCTCCATCCTGCTCTACCAATTGATTAAAAAAATGCATTCCCATCTCGTCCTTATCGATTTCCTCAACTTGGCCACGACTGAGGACAAGGCTGATCAGAACTTCAAATATTTGCAGAGCTGTCGAAGGCGACAATCTCAGTGCCCAGTTATCAATCTCGAATGCGGTTACATCCCGCCATCCTTCGTGAAATTCAGCATCCGATACTGGCGTATTTAGTAGAATTTGGGATTTTGACAGAGGTTCTGAAGGACGATCTGGTGGTGATTCAAAGGATTTGTATTCGGTAAGTGCTGACTGAAGGAGTAACTCGGTATTTGGCTTCGAAGGTAGGAGTTCGAGGTGTGATGCGCATGTAGAAGTTACAATCATCCCGGGTTTTGAAGTAATGACCGGGTCGTCGACCATTTCGGTATCTGAGTCGGCATCATCTTGGTCTGGAATAATGGGGATTGGAACGGGTTTAAGTATGAAAATCGAGTTTGAGGAGTGCACACTCCGGATATTATAAGTTTCGGTAGCTGTAGTAAGGACGGCAAATGGTGTAGGTCCGGTGGGGGTAGTATTAGGGCCGTTGTCAATAGGTTTTGGAGGTGCTTTAATCTTGAGCCTATAAGCTTAGAAGTCAGCATACCACTTCGAACAAGTCATGTTGGAATCGTAGAAGATTGAGTACACTGGTGCCGAGCTTTGAAAGGTCGAATTCTCAATCAGGGAAAGTAACGATGGAGGTAGCTCGAGTAGGCGGACTGGAGTTTGTTCATGTGCAAAGGCCAATGGTATGGCCTTGCTATCGTCTTGAGTCGACATGATGGTTGTTGAGCACGGAAATTGGGACGTGAGCGTGGGGTGAGCGAGGTTGGCGACGCGTTTGATAAGTGGGTCCCGGGGAATAGATACCGGGGCCACCCCCGGTACTGGTGTTCTCGGGGACTATTCCGCACTAGCCACTATCCAACAGCCACCAACACAAAATCCTCAACCGCAAAAGACAGCAACACCTTGCAATCAATTACAATCAAACTGCGGCATCAATGGGCTGAAAGGAACGTAACGCTAATGAACAATGACCTTCGATAAAGCTGCAAGATGGGAGAAAATCCTGCAGTAAGGATGTTGTTAAAATTGATGAACTCGTCATCGAACAGCAGAGACATGAAAGCCGTGTCTTAGAGCTATCCGGCCCAGGATAGAGTATTACAGATTGTCTACACAGTTGTCCAATCATATGCGGACGACGAGAGGGTCATGTTCAGCATGTGCATTCGCATGCATATGCGGGATTGGCTGGCAGTCCCACCTTTTAATCCTCAACCACTGAGCAGAAGGGAGAAATGTCGGATGATACTCCCTTCCAAGCGAGATTTCTCTCGTTCGGATGAAGTATTTATATTTCATCTCGAGTGATTAAGAAAATATATATATATTTGCCCCGCTCTGTATCTTCTCTTCGCATCTTACAATTATTTATTCGAACTCTCAGATTTCTGAGTATAATCGCCATTGATCTCATTCTCGCTGCATATTTGTAGAGGCAGGTCTCGAACAAAGCCTAATTGGGCTCTCTATCTCACAATATTCACCTACTTGAGTATCCAAAATGACCAGCCGTGTCCATCTTCCCTTCGAACTCGATTTTAGTTTTAAACTAAAACGAGCCCGAAGACGGTCACAAGAGTACATCCCTCCTCAATACCCCTTTGGCAAAAGTCCCCTGGTCGAAACAACTCCATTGTCACCAAATACTCCAGTCGTCAGTCCTACTAGTACAACTCAAACCACGGCTCCATTCAATTTTTCAGGATTGGGAAACACGCAAAACTTCGTCCCGCCGGTAGAGCTTCCAGATAATACAGCAAATATCCCGAGACCTCAATATCAGAATGGAGCTCCAGCGAACGGACACTCCGGAGCTAGCAATCTTCGGCCCTCATCGTGGTCCGGAGCACATCCAGAACTACCACGAATAATTACAAGTCCGCCCACTATGCTTGGAAATCTAGAACCGGGGCTAGGCCCGAATAGATATCCCCAGTCACCGATGAGTCCTCCAGCTAGTCCAATTGGGAGGAATGAATTGGGACTCCTGAAGTTGTATAGAACTGTATGTTACCCCACAGATGCTCATTTTGGGCTTAGACGGCTGAATAGAGAAACAGGTCTTCATTATCGACGACTCCACTTCCATGATCTCCTCAAGCCATCTAAAATCAGCCTACGATCTCCTTAACGCTCTCGTCCCTCTTGTGACTGGAGTTAGTGAAAAGGCTGTCGAAATCCAATTCCTTTCAGACGATAGACAATCTCATTCTCAGAAAATCAAACCGGGAGATAAACTTCCAGCTGGTGAGATCTTTTGGCATGGTGTGACAGCCCGTGGAGGTGCTGCAATGAGCGCAGGGCTGAAAAGAATCATTAAACCATACCTAAGCGGTATGAGGAAAAGCAAGGTACTTGAGAAGGAAGGACTAAACATCATCGTAATAACTGATGGGAAGCGAAAGGATCGAAAAGATGTGGTAAAATATATCGTATCTGTAGCAAGGAAGTTGACGGATAAGGGGGCACCGCAGCACTTGCTTGGGATACAATTTGTGCAAGTTGGTGATGACCAAGGGGCAAAACTCTTTTTTAAGTCTGTGGATGATGGACTAGAAGAGCAGTATCAAATAAGGTAAGTGTATCCAAAATCAATCTACGTAACACCCATCCCCGTGGTTAGTTTACTAGGCACCGCTTGGATTGAGTTCCCACCAAGATACTAATAAGTCTGGGTTGACTAGGGATATTGTCGACACTGTGGTTCATACATTGCCCAATGTTCCACTAACAAAGGATTGTATCGAAAAGATCTTGCTTGGAGGGATTTCAGATGATAAAGACAAGATGACTATGATTTGATATATTGCTATCGATTTAGCTAGCCTCTGTAATATACGTAATATACTCGTGCACATATACCTAAGTACTTACATACCCTGTGTCTTCCGACTTCATACGTGTACATGCATGTAGAAGCATGTACCTCTTGTATTATTTAAAAAATCAAACAAAGACAAAATGCCCCTTACTTCCAGGTCTGGGTACGAGACAACCCTTAGTCTAAAAACCAGCCGCTCGAGATATAGATCGCCCTATCGCTATTCCGTAAATCCTAGGCTGCGCATGCGACAGTAGACTTCGCAAGAATCTCAGAATATGAAATTTGGCTACCACGGCCACGGTACCATTTCGTAATTATAATTAAAAGTGAATGTACAAGGGGTTCGTGTCCTGCCAGTTCGTAAACGCCAGGGTATATATACGTATATACCTAGAAATAATTAAGAATTAATTGAGCTCTGTGACTCGATCGATCGAGCTCAACAACTTCAATCCCTATACACAATTAATTACATATAATGGACATGCACATGTACCTTGGCCTTGACCCTAGCTTAGCAGCCAGCCAAGTGCGAACCGAGAGAGCGCAGAAACCTGGCCAATCAAAATATAACTTTCTGCGATTCCTGAGTTCGGAGCCAATCAAGGCGATGTATTTTTATTTTTTTTTGTTTTTGTTTGCGAACCACACGGTAGCCAAGATCAGGATAACGACAAAAGAGCTGAAGCTCTAGCCGCACGCGCACGCGGACGACGTCCGATGAGCAGCTGCGCAATCCGTGCGCGTAAACTATTTGGCTGGATGCCTGCTCAATCCCTAGTGCTAGTACAAGACTATACTCTGCCTAAGGAGTACACTAGTCTCGTACATACCCAGGGCGTATGCACTGGTCTTCCCAAACCAGTGGGAGTACATATAAACCGAGTTCTGGCCCTTCTGACATAGTTCTCATCTGTGTATCCTCACGACAAGCAATACAGTCTCAAACCCAAAATTTGCAAAAGTCCTCTCAGGATCCTCCTCAAATCGATCCACCACGCGTCTGCAAGTTATTTACTCAATTATCTAATTTATACATCAAAATTTATATCTTTACTAAGCTTCCTAAGGCGCTTAAGCCCCGAAATCTATTTACTTCTACATACCAGCTAATTATAAATTCATTGGCATATAAACACAACTGGCTTCACTATATTATACATTCTAAATCGCTTGATAAGGCGATTATATAGACACATCACGGCCTCGCAGAAAAGCCCTGTCAAAAACGCCATATTACGAAAAACCTTTTTGGAGGAACAAAATTCCAAACTTTGGTTGTAATTGTATTCGGTCATATAAAGAGTAACTTAAAAATGGCTAGTTGTGCCCAGTGCCGCCTTTCCGAACGCAAAAAAAAGGGTTGTACAAATCCTCAATATCGAATACTCGAGTCTGGATTAGGGCTAATCTTCTACTGGTTCTTGATACATCTATATATTTAGTGCACACCAGAAACTCGAACCTGGCCTAGTGAGCGTTGCGATTACTGTGTGACATCAGGCTATCCTTGCTCGGTGTTTATGAGTAAGAAACAATTGATGAACGTATCCGAAAGAGAACGAACTGAACTACTAGAGAAAGAAGTTCAGCGTTCAGCAGATGAAATGTGCGTATATAAGAGACGTATTTCTTTGACCCTCCATATGGCCATTCTCAAAAGCGCTGGAGCATTGATCCACTTTAATTAGTAGTATTTTTATAGAGCTTTTCGAGTTTGTGCTAATATAAATAACCTTCTCTGTAGGATATCGGAGTTCGACTGCCTTTACTATTTATTGGCTGAAGCTAAAGATCTTGAAGATCTGTCGCTCAGAGGACAGCAGGTTGCTGCTGTCCAAGTGATTCGAGCTGCTTCCAACCAAATCGAGAAAAAAATTGCAGAAGCTCGCGATGAAACAAGGAAAGTAATCGATCGACTTATTAGCAAGGGCGACAAACGGAATGCGTACTTACTGGCCACAATATCTTCTGGTAAGATCAGTTATGAACTGAAGATCATAGAGGATGAATATATGGCTGGGGACAAGTACATGGCGACAGCACGACAGCACAGCGTTCAGGCTTGTCTAGACGCAGGCATTGGGCTTCATTTCCGGAGGTTCAGGGGGCTTGGAACAATATCTAGGAAGGCGAGCTCTGCACTTGAGTACGCTGATAAACTGAATATCTCAAACATATCGCTTCTTTACAAGACCTTGGATACAGTTGGCCAGATCTGTAATGAAGGTCTCGAATACGACCCAACTCTTGCAATATTTGGCATCACTGAGTCAAAATACGAAAGGCTCTACGGCAATGGCTACCTATTTCAGAGGCTCTCTCCATTGTTCTTCACCGCGTTCTTCCTTAATAGTGAATACTTCCCTGGAACGGATATATGTGTTAACGACTGGCCAACTGTTCTATTTCAACCTCACGTCAAACCGAAGAATATTGATGAATACAGTGTCGAATCTAAGGCTCATCTAGCTGCAGCCTCTTATTTGGCGGAGAAGTCGTGCTTTCTCTTGGCTATTAACGTTATCCGTAACCATCAGTGGGAATACTTCGTAAAGTTTGAGTTAAATCTAGTTAACGACGCCCCGATCCGATTATCGATCATACTTCGCCTTTTCGATACTTTTGAGTACTTCATCAACCTTTATCATACATACTGGAAATTTCACAATGTTAAAAAACCTATTGTTCTGTCCTATCCGCCAACACTACCTGGGCTTGAAAGAGCCAATATATCAAACACACTAGATTTGACAGCATTTATGTTGGCAATCATCTCTTTCAGCCCGGAAGATGTCCTGTTTGGGAAGTTCATCGATCGCTTTCTCGACCCAGAGATCTCGCATTTATGGACTGGCCCGATCCAAGTCCGGTTGTCTTCCATTTCAAATCACGCATTCGCCCAAGACGAACCTATTGATGGGATATACTTGTGGCCAGTCCATCTTGCAGGGCTTGCAAAACACACCGATCTCTTCAAGATACTCTTTCAGACCTATAGCGCCAATCTAGCATCCACAGTCTTCACAGTAGCACTAGTGGCTATAAAAAATAACGATGCTACCCTATTTCCGCTTCTATCAAGTTTCCTCACCTCGCCAAACTGGGGCGAGCATCACACACGTTGGCTGTTCGTTTTTGTCACCAAACATGGCAGTACGGAATTGGCCCAATCTTTACAGGAGTTCCTTCTAGGTCCGAGCATGAGAAAACTGGAGGTCCTTCTAGTTTCGGGCACGAGAGAACAGGATTTAATTAGTTTGGAATCTTTTGCTCAACGCTCAATATCAAAGAGGTCCCTCCTATTTCTGACACCGATGGACCTCGACTCTTATGGAACGGATTCATTGCTTGAATGTGATCGTCAGAATCCGAAGGGAGGAACAAAAACTTGTATTACTGCAATAACCGCTACATCGAAGTCTTCCTCAACTATTTCTTCAAATAAAACCCTTTTATCCGTAGGAGGGATGACTTTTTCTGTTCCAAGATCTTGAAAATCGATATTGGACACAGCAACCATACCGAAGCGGAAGAGGCCCGAGGATGATGGGATCCTAGAGGAGAAAGGGGGAGGGGAAAGAAAAGGACTAGTTAACCCTTCACACCTTGGTCAAGACGGAACTCGGAATTGCAACTGTATGGGTGTTTTTGTTTTTATAGGGTTTTTTCAGTCTCCTATTTAAATGCAGGCTTGCCACTAGTATTACTGTTTTATAGGATTTGATTTCGTTATATCGACACCGGTGCGTGTATCCAGTACCTCGGGTACTCGTCAAGCGTGAAGGGCCCGTGGGTTTTACCTTCCTAGGTACTCATTAAGTAGTACTTAGTAGGTGATAGTTACATGCTGCCTCGTCACTAGTGACGGGCCTGGCGACAGAAACAAAGGTACTGCAGGCTGCTAGACTTTTGCCCTTTGAGTCGCCTGCGAACTCAGAAAATCAAATTAATTAAGCTAAATTCGTTTTTAAATTTAACACTTCGCCCCCAAAGTTGAAAATATCTTTGTTTCCGAGCAAAGGGTCGCTTTAGAAATATAAGATCTCGGAATTTATTGGATTGCAAAAAGTTTAGTAAACTGCCAGCCGTTTCTACAATACAGCTTATATGATGAAGTGCGTATGCACATATACTACCGGTGCACGGGTAGGCGCTGATTGAAGCATGGTGTTCCGAAGCGAGAACTGGCCAAGACCGAGCCGTCTTGCAAATTCAATAAGTCTATCCCACCGAGGATATCCATCCCAGCATAACAACTATGATAAGTATATAGCCACGTTGACAAAGAAAAAGAAATTGCAAGAAATTATATGCTTTGCTTAAATTGCGTGAATATTTTTCATGGAAGGTGCACTGAAGCAAATTTCGATTGGGTGTGACCCTAGGGTGTTTAATCATAAATCAAAAGTCTGCCGTCTACATGATAAAAGAGCAAGAAAAGGACCACGATACAGCCAAATATCTCGATCAACGGTAAGAAAACCATAGTAGTCGACTGCAAATGCAGAACAACAAAGACATTTCAAGTAGCACAGCATTCCGTGCATTCGAGGAATTTGATTTAGGAGGTACGTTGGTATAGTTATGGTGGTATAGTAGTGCAATAGTAGTCCTGCACTCGGGTACCCAAATGCCAAAGCTTGGTTTCGTATGATGTATGTGTACGATATACACTCGGGTGGTCACAATGCTAGTATACGGTCTTAGCTGTAAAAATCTGGAATGTTGGGGCGGGTTAGGCTATGCATGAACTGTCAGCTCAGGCTTTCAAGATGATTTTTGAAGTTTTTCTTATAATTATAATTATTGATAGAGCTAGAGGTCTTTGTAAAGTATTCTTATGAAATGAAAGTAAGTATAGATGGTAGAATACTGGGAACGGGACCAGTAGGAATAGATTCGTATGGAGGGTTATGACTTGTACCCGCATGCATATGCAGCTCGTTGCAATGATAGTTACTAGACCATGCGACGGATATCAGTACCCTAAATAAGTGAAGATTAAAAGATATCGAGAGTTCGATACGAGAAAAGAGACATGCAGTGGATTTGTCAGATGTAAAATTACTTCATAGTTTCTCCAAACGGTCATTACTCCGCTCTGCAATTGATTCTGTACTATCTACCTAGGCCGTATAATGTCAAACAAAAGCCGACCAAACCACTATAAGTATAGATGAAATTCCCTAGACCCGCTTTGCAAATTTGTCACTCGTCTAGTTTTCTTGCCATCGATATTCATAATCTTGCGCCCATATCTGTGTACCTTATCTGACATCCAATCGTATTTCACTTTCGATCAGTGGCTTCCGGGTGGGCAATTCTTGAATAGATTCATCCCGATAGCCTAGTTCTAAAACGTTTTATCTATAAGTCCGAAGGATATCTATGAACCTGAGCGCTCTAGCTAAACCAAGTATGGACGGGCGGTCGCATACTATAAACAACTTTATGGCATCTGGGCCCGAGCCGAGACATTCTCGACCCTCTGCGATGAAAAGTTTCGGAAAGAAAATAGTCCAGTACGCGGTCGGCGTCCACAAAGACAAAGGGGATCGAGAAACTCCTCGATCGCAGGCCCATATTCATAATATCAATCAGCATCCACCAATCGAAGAACTTCTTTTTGGCTCTGCGGTTCCACGCAAAATGCCAGAACCGATATCGATACCGAGTGTCTATCCTGGTTTTGGTCCTATCGAGGCAACCGAGCAATATCCACAGCAAGCAAGAGATATTCCGAGCTTCCAAAATCCTGAGGAGACTCGTCTTCCTCCCAGTCCAGTGTATACGATGCAATCTAATGGCCATGGGGATATCGACATTGCGCCCCTTCAACTTAGTGATCCGGGGCTTCCATCTTCACTCGACTTGCTAAAAAAATATCAAACCGTAAGCTATCATTTTCCGTGCCCTTGACTGAGTTATTTGTGAGTAATAGTTCTAATTTCGTCCTAAGATTGTCTTGATCGATGACTCTCAGTCGATGTATGCGCATCGTCAACCTGTCCACCGAATCATTCAGGAGATTCTTCCACTCGTAGTACGTGGCAGTAACAAGCCAATCGAGGTCCAAATTTTGAGTGATGAAATGGGAACGAATAAGAGATATTACAGTGGAGTTCCTAGCTTTGAGCACTTGTGGAAAGGCGCAAGATTCAAACCCGATACATCATTTCAGGCTGGCTTGGGAAGGATCATTAATCCCAAAATCCAGCAAATCCAAAACCTCAAGTCTCAAGCCACTGCTAATACTGTAGGCGGATTAAATGTCATCTGTATTACGGATGGAAACCAAAGCGATAAGAAAAGTATTGCGAACTACATTCAAAGAGTTACAGGGAAGTTGGACGAGAGGGGTGCGGAGGACACGCTCATCGGAATCCAGTTCCTTCAGGTTGGGGATAGCCAGCAAGGAGCGGACTTTCTAAACTTTTTGGATAATAATTTGAGGGGAATGTATGTTGGATCCCATTCTAGATATATTCTCGGTTGACTGATTTTTACTAACCCGGATTTCTTCTTAAGTGATATCGTCGATACGGTTAAGTATAGTCCGTCGCCTGCTGGGATACTCTCGCCTCGTGTGAAGGTGAAGATGGTATTGGGTGCCATTCACAAGTCCTTGGATGATGACTCTAACGACGAATAGTTATAACTACAAGCTTTCTGAAAGTTTCTTTGGAGCTTCCTTTTAATAATCGCCATATACCTGCCAGTATTATTGTATTTAACTTTTGTAATCAATCTTTAATGTCATCTCCATATTCTTATATTGCGACGCCGATGGTTTCGGGACAATCACTTAGGCCCAACTGATAAGACTTAGTAAGTAGTTATTTGCAAAGTTTCAATTGCAAATATTCAAAGTGTATCTCCTTCGTAAGCACTCAAGTAAATGGAAGTTCATCAAATCTATGACCTATGTAGTCCATCAGCCAGATCGCGGTGTTCTATACGTTCAGTGTACTTGAAAGAAATAGACAAGGAATTACCACTGCCTTCACACTCCCCTTCATACACGCAGGAATTAAAACCGGGCAATGCAAAGACAGGCAATGCAAAGATACTAAGTAGATATGCGCAAATGACCATGTACATGTACATATATGCATACCGACCCAATCATAATGACCGCAACAGATGCGTTGGCTTCTGTTGGATAGAGTGGATCTGGTCTAGCGCATCTTGGTGGCTCTGATGTCACACAAAAAAGCCCGAACCCCGGTATGTTTCGTATGCTTCGGGGATGTTCTCGGGAAACTAAGAATAGCAACGGCGGGACGTAAACAATGCGATTGCGATTCCCGAGGCTCCAGCTGTCCCATATTCGCTATCAACGATCACGAATGAAGCGGTGCAGGCTTCCTGCACGGGGCCGAACAGACGCAGGAACCCAGCTGGGCCAGCCTCACGACTTCAAAGACAGCGCGGCGGTCTTCTCCTATCACGTCTCGAAGGGGTGTCTCTCGGATGGAATGCTTATTGGCGGGCTAGCGCGACTGGAGATATCGATAGCTGCTGCAACAGCGCATTCAAGTAACTAGCCGGTGCTGGTCAGGCCTGCTCTTTTTCTGGCGGACGGTCTTAGCGCCCGAATGAATTGAGCTTAACCGTCTTTCCATCTTACTCATCCGAATAATTATCGATCTAATCGCTATTTAATCCGACGGCAGTTTACGTGCTTTCGCGGTCGCCGTTTCAGATTGCTTGCTGGGATTCCTGTGCTGTTGCTGTTGCTGTTATATTGCTGCTAACTAGCTGCTGGAGACCGCTGCCTGTCGACGTCTTCAACAACCTCTTCCTCTTCTCTTCTCTTCTCTTCTCTTCTTCTCCACCATCGGAAGCAGCATCGTCAATCGTCCCGTTCACCACTGCACTGCTTCCGCTCTCTCGCCCCATCTTTCTCGATACCATGCGCATCATCTCGGTCTTCTAACATCCGCCGTCATCAACTCAACCCGAACGAATATCCAAAAAGCTAAGATGGCTCGAGTTAGCCCCCAGCTACCCAACCTGGGTCGGAACCACCAAATCTTCGTCTCTCCGCCTGAACCTTTGCTCACCCAGGTCGTCATCTTTTTTCTCCCATACTCCGGTACATCTTCAAGGGTTGATGCCCATATCTACACTGCATGTGGCTTCGTCTCCTACTCCCGGATGACCGTGGATCCCTCATCTGCTGTTTACCAAGCTGTAAATTTCATGCCGATCGAAAAGACCGAATCCGAAATCTACAGAGCGCTCGCCTTCGCTTTATGTCGCTATTTTGTCGAACTTACGGTTGGCATCAAAGGCACTGCGAGTGCGACTGCAAAAGTGGCTAGGTCTGCCAAACCGGAACCATTCTCTGCTGCTCATGCCGGAGAGCTAGCTGCCAAGCTTGTTCGAATTGAAGATGACCACGCTATCTCGAGTATTCTTGCCGCCTTAACACCTCGGTATATCCCATCAATCGATATTGATCTCGTACTTCCGCAGCCTGGCACCTTTCAATTATCCAAATACCAACGGTTACTCCAGTTCGTGGGAGACGTCCATAAACAAGATACCAACCTCAAACGCCGTCCGTCTCGAGTCGAACGAACCCGTCCTAAATCAATCGTTTCACTACCCCAGTCGAATCCGGAAAAAGTCGCGATAAAACTGCAGGAGCTACTGGATACCGAAGTCAATTACATCGACAAATTGCAAAAGATAATATCAGATGTGGTCAAACCGGAACGACAGATTGCAGAGAGCGCTGGCGCGCCAGAGCCAAACGAAGCAGCACTTGCTCGGCTATTCCCGTCTTATCTAGATGAGATATTGCAATTGAACTCCAAGTTCCTGGATGAGCTGACTAAGGCTATGGATGACGATGATGGGGTCACAGGAGTTGCCGAGGTCTTCTTGCGACACGTCAGTACTTGATTCCAATAGTATTTGCTACTCGACCCCGAATGCTAACGCTACAGGCAGTTCCCGAATTTTCACAACCCGTATAGCCACTACATCGCATTGAACCCTGCGTCATCGGGTCTCATCGGTGAACTCATGAGAGGCGGCACAGCATTCTCCCAACGATTAGCCGTCAGTATATCTTTCCTCCTTGCTGCTAGTGTATTTTCTAACGTGCTTATTAGGGTTATGGTGAACAATATCTCAAATCGACCTTGATGGAACCTATTCAACGATTACCTAGATACACACTCATAATTGATGGTATGGCACGCTGAACAAAATCTTATCCATTTCAGATGTTAACGAGCTTTAGGTGTTATAAACAATATCGCTGTCACATCCCCTATTTCTAGCAAGTTAATCGAGGCTCGAGATATTGTATCCAAGACCTGTGAAATGCAGTCCGCTCCTGCTCAAGAAAGAGCACAAACTATCGCTCGACTATCCCATCTAATATCCGGCTGGCCGACGAACTTTAAGCCTGGAGGCCCACTTGTAACTGCAGTTGATCTGACAGAAGTTGCTGCCCCATATACTGACGCAGCCGAGAAAACCAATGTTATTCTTCTCGTTTTCACGGACTCAATCGCATTTATAAATCGGCCAGGCAGTGGTAGCATGAAGGCTCAGGGGGTTCTCACGGAAATCACTATGCCGCCATCCATCCAAAACTCTTTCCGACGGGACGCTGCAGACCTGCACTTTGCCGGGTGTACCTCATTGAAATACAATAGATATTCGACTTCTGATAACGGTAGAGCGATGTGGATCACTCTAACAAAGGACTTAGAAGAGGTCTACGATATGCGAGAGTCTGCTGTTGGTATGAAGAAATTCTCGCCATCAGGATCGTGGGAAGGAAAGGCGAATGAACTTGTCGAAGAAATCATTCAAGCTCAGCTGCAGTCTAAGAGCCGGGTACAAGAAATTCGGTGGTCCGGAAACAGTAACTCGAAATTTGATGCCTTGGAGCTGTGGACATCTGTCTACGAACCTAGGAACTACGAGCTAGAGAAGTCTCCTAGCCGAGCGCTTATCCAAATGGGAGTCGAGACTCCGAGCTTTGACATAAGAACCAAAACTCCAGAGATCTCTGCCACAATAAACTTCGTTAATTCTGGGAAGATTCGCATTGATATCTTGGATATGGGGAAAATTGCTTTCACGGAGACTATCGGGGAGCTAGACATCCTAACGGTTATCACAAAACGTATATCTAGTATACTTGACAGGCAATCCCACACTTCGCACCCCCCTATTAGTGCAGCTATGATTCAGGGCCATCGTCGAATAATCAGGTCGCTGAATCTCTCGGCACCAGACTCCGACTCTCATCATTCCAAGTTCAAAACATTTAGACCTCCCTCGCCAGTCAAGCTCTTGCACACATTCCTTGGCTCTTCTAACGTATCACCCGGCAAATCCCCCTTCAAAGCAACTTCTTTCGAAAGCACAACCGAGATGGCCCGACCCACTGTACTCCTGGAAAGGCCTCACAGTGTTCTATACCGTGCTGATGGTAGCAGTGTGGCCCCAGTTGAGGATGCTGCGATTCGTATGAAGGATATCAGTTTAGTAGAGAATCACCCGCAGCAGGGTGATAGCTATCATAAACAACTTGAACGTGTGCTAGATGCCTTTGTTTCAGTTCTAGACGGTAAACTTTCGAAGGAGGTGCAGCCCGGATTCACATACTCTCGCAAGAACTCAAATAGTCACGTTGTGGATCAATTGCTGAAGGCCATGCTGACGGATTCAAGTAAAACGGCTGCTGCACAAGCGGCTGGAGTCGATATCGTGCTGAATTCGTTCGAAAAGTTCCTACAAGGCAAGTGGAGAGAAGCCATGGGGACACTATTGTCGCAAGAAACAGTCAAAGATCTCCAATCAAAGCTAGGTAAGCTTAATTCGGCTGTTCTAACGTCCATTCTCCCCAATCTAACAAAGAAACAGACTCACTTCATCCGGACGACTTCTCAAAATACTTCAAAGACTTTCTGGAGAATCTAGGTCCGCAGAATAAGAGAGGGTTTAACAAAATCACAACATTATTTTCGCGGTACGCTTCGAGATACCTTGTTATAGTTTAGTATTCTAACTAACAAACGAAACTTTACAGTTCCATCCATAGAGCATCCACCGACGAGGCCAAAAACTCTCTCAGGACAGTGTTCACCGAAATTCTCATCGCCTCAGGTCTTACAAGTTCTAAAATCAGTGAAGTCGCCAAACTACACGCCGAGCTACTTCTCTACATGCTCAACTACATCGAAACTATTAACATGTTGAATAGTAAGTTCCACAAATTTCCTACTGAAGTTTGTGATGAGGAAGATATGCCACCTCCATTACCACGGCATTCTGCCTACTATCAGGATTGCTATGAAGTTGAAAAACTTGATCATGAACCCATGAAAAGACCACCCACTGTATCTCGAATACCTGAGCTCTTCCGCACTCGTTCTCTGAACCCAGTCAAGAAAAGCCTGTTCGAGAGGAAAGACTCGATCCGAAGAGGTCAAGAACCGGATAGGTCCCCAAGTCCAACACGTGGACGACCGCCTTTCAAAACATCTAGTTCCATGAATCCCCTTCAACGCGGCAGTGGTTTCGAATCAAGTGAATCCGAATCTTCTATTTCGCCAGTTCGCTCTGATAAACGAGCCATGGACATGTTGAAAGAAGGATGGCAAACTGCAAAACAATTAACCCGTTCTTATTCACCTACTAAACCCCCATTTACAGGCTATAGTGAGGCGAACTCGAGCACCCCGCATACGCCAGCGCAAGACAACGGTGTGTTGAAGAGGAGCAAAACGACAGGGACATACGGGGCTAACGCGAGCGGTGGCACGGGTATCCCCACAGTCGTACCGCTTTCAAGTTCGAGTAGTTTACGAAAAAGGTTCGGATTGTCGAATACTGGCTCAGAAGTTGGCGAATCACCATCTGCTACCACTTCTGAAAAGGGGACGAACGGGACAGCGGCGAACAGTGGCTATGGTAGTCTCAGCAAGTCGTCTGTTAAGTCGATGTTACGACAAAGAAGCAATAGGAGTGGTAAGGAGAAAGAAAAGGAAAAGGAGAAAGATACATTGTTGACCACGCCTACCAAGCTGGGTAACCTGCATCGAAGCCAAAGTACAGACACTGATATTCGTCGAGACTTCTATGAACGGGACGTAATCCCTAGGCCGATGAGTCGGGACAGTGGGCCTAAGATCGGAAGCCCCGCAATGCCAGAACGTAGTGCTGGTCCAACCTTAGTTATCCCCAAAAATACAGGTGCCAGTACCCCTTCGGCGAATCCATTAAGTCCTATTGTCGCAAGCCCTGTGGCCGAGCCCACCTCACGAAACGCTTCTTCAGCTTCGAATAACATCACAGCGGAGGGATCGCCATTGCCCGCGCTAAGAAGGAAGAAGAGAAGAAGTTCACTAAGCGATCTAGTAGCAGCTAAGGATCTGCTAGATGCAGATGGCGAAGAAGCAACAGATTACGATGACCTCCCACCAATTTCTGGCTTGGATATTTCCCCAAAGAGGAAAGATAGTGTTGATCGCAAGGAGAACGTGCATTCCAGTGTTGGAAGCATGGGTCCACCACCCGTGCCAACTCACGCGAAGAATGCAAGTTTAGGAGGAACAAGGGATAGAATAATCGGAAGTCCTGCCCCGCCGGCGATGTATATGGATAACATTGCCCCATTGAATGTTAGCGGTGTAAGAATGAATCGTGCACATAGCGACGCGGGCAGCACCAATTCGACGAAAACTAAAAGCTCAACGACTGGTAGCACGACACAAACCAAACCAGATTTGGAGAGGACTGGAAGCACAGGCTCAAGGGTGAGCGCTGGCGGGAACAACAGCAGGTTAAGTAACAGGCTTGCTGGTGAGAAAATGAATGTTAGCAAAGTCTCTGGGACTTTAGAGCAGGAGTTGGCGTTGATTGGGCAGGAACTACTCGCAAAGAGTTCTTCGAAAAGAAATAGTGGGGCCAGTTCCACCATTACCAAAACGGAAACAAAAAGTATTGTGGGGAATCATAACGAATCTAGACTTTCCCGTGGTGGTAGCTCAGGCTCTACGGGTGGAGCGAGTTCGGCCAGTGTTGATGAAGGAATTCGCCGGAAGCTACGACTCATGGAGGGTAAGCTGAACAGCACGGTCAACGACCTAAACAAACGGTATGAAAATCTAAGCAAAGAAACTCATGCTGCACTTGCCAAAGAGATAAAGAGAAACCAAGAGGTAGAGAGAATGTGGCAAGATGAGCGAAATGAGAATGATGCGGTGTACAATAAGTTTAACGAAGGGTTGGAGAAGTGTGTCAAAGGGCTTCAAGGACAAGCGGACGAGGATAGAGTTGGGCTAGTGAGGATGCTAGTCCAGAGTCAAGAAGAGGTGGGAAAGTTGAGGGCGGAGGTTGCGTATGTTTATAATCCCCTTCTCGAGAAGAAATTTGAGTATTTGGCATTATTTCTAACATCGTGGGATCATAGTGCACTAAAGAAGGAAAATATCAACCTCAGGCATGGACGACTTACAGAGCTGTGAAATGCTCTACTCGAAATTGCATCACTTGACCTTCTGAGCCCCATATCCGGTTTTTCTTTGCTTAACTAAATCCCCTCGCGTTTCCTTATATCTCTGCCATATTGAAAACCATTCTGAATCTTGTTCCCGGATCCATGGAGTCTCTTCTTAAGCTTGTTGTCTTTTGCGTACTTTGTTGGGAGGTGAATTAACGGAATTTCTGGAGTCGGGAAATGGAAATCACCAATTTTATTGAGCGTGTGCCTTTTTTGCTTTAGAAATCTTAGCCTCGAATTTCCACCTTGTTGGTTCGATTGTTTCTCTCTCTCTCTCTCCCTCTCCCTCGCTCTACATTACCGCCTCCTCTTTTTTTTTCTCTATACTTTGTTTTTCGACAGTCTTTTATCCTTGCACGGCGGATACATTTGGGGTATATATATCCTACTACTACTACTACTTCCCTAAAGTCTCCCTGCACGTTTTCATATACTACGCATATATACTATAGACGATTTGTTTTTTCTTTTATATTTCCTCCTGCAATTTTGCATCGATGAAGAGTGTATGTTTAGAGATAATAATGCTATAATCGTTACTTACGATGGGGTCAATAAAGCCAGCTTAAAACAAGGCTATATATATTATGGTCCGCGCAGTTGTGCACTTAAGTAGGGACCTAATAAGAAAACAGTTGAATGATATCATTCCATTGGTTTTTACTTTACGATTTATTATCTAGTGGTTTTTCTTAGCGCGCCTATATAGGAAAGAAGCCTTCGATCTTGCACATATTACCATCACCTTGGAAAATAATAAGCGCATCGATCGAAGAGTTAAAAAATGGAAATGAGAACCACGCCCCCTCATATCACAATGCCTCATCCACAATAGATACAACGGCCTCTAAAACAACCCCGAATTCTCAAATATAAGGTAGTATTCCAACCCCTTCTTTACTCCAACTTCAACCGTTCAAAAGCCCGAATGCTCTCCTCATAAGTTCCAATCTGCGCCTTAAACTCCTCCGACTTCTTGGCATCGGCCTCTTGTGTAGCCTTATTAGCCTTGCTCAAATAGTTCTTATCACTCAACAACTTCTCCTGCTTCGTCAGTCCATCCTTAGCCTTATCGAGCTTCTGTTGTGCCTTTTGAATTTCCTGGTCAAAGTCAACACGTCCCTTGACACTCAAGTACACAACGGCACTTGCGTTAACACGCAGAGCAACACATCCCTTCGGTGTTTCACCGCCAATGGAGACGATATCAAGGGCATTGACACCCTTTCCGGAGAGAGTCTTGATGCTAGTGTGGTTTTCCTCGACAATGGAAAGGCTTTCCTTATCATCGACTTGGACGAATAGTTGACCCTCATCTTTAATCATGTACTCAGCCATCAAGCTTCTGACACCTCGAGAAACATCCAAGACAAGCTCGTAAGCACGCTCGCTCTCAAGGTCGTGAAGTTCTTCGGTGAAAACCGGGTACTTGGCGATGGTGATCGATGGGGTAGAGTCGCCTGGGCGGCGAGCGAGACGTTGCCAAAGTTCCTCGGAAATGAATGGCATGAATGGATGGATCAGAAGTAGCGCACCCTCAATGGCGGTATAAAGAGTTTGTTTAGCAGACTCCCGAACTTCTGGGGTTCCATCTTGGATCAAAGCTTTGGAGTTTTCCTATTAAAATACGTTAGATTTCTCTTAAGAATTATATGTGGCGAAAATTCACTTACGATGTAGACATCACAAAGGTTGCTATACCAGTATTGGTAAACAGCGTCTGTTGCCTTGAAGAAGTCTTTCGACTGTAATGTCTCATTGACAATCTTAGCGGTATGGTTAAGTTTATGCAAGATCCACTTCTCAGCCAAGGTCTCTTTGCCAGAAAGGACGGTCTTCTGAGGCGTGAAGTTTTCATCAAGGTTTCCGAGGACGAACTTGGTCGCCTGGAAGATCTTGTTACAAAACTTTCGATAACCGTGGAAGACGTTGATTTCAGTATTGATATCCAAACCTAGGTCGCTTGGTCAGTACCATGTGGTAATTATAGTGACAAAAGGGCTGGCTTACTTCCAGTAGTATAGGATATCAAAGTAAATCTCAATGCGTCAGCACCACACTGGGGGATACCCTGGGGAAAGGCGGTCTTCTGATATTTGGTAGCAGTGGCAACTTCCTTAGGGTCCAGATTTCCACCTTCAAGCTTATCATGTAGTCCTTTAAGGGAGATACCTCGGATAACATCAAGTGGGTCAATGACGTTACCAAGAGACTTAGACATCTTTCGGCCCTCAGAGTCACGAATGAGACCGTGGCAGTACACTTCGTTAAAGGGAACGCCACCCATAAGTTTGACTCCAAGCATGATCATACGAGCAACCCAAAAGAAGAGAATATCCCAACCAGTTTCCATGAGCGAACTGGGGTAGAAGTACTTAAGATCATCAGTTCTGTCCGGGTAGCCCATAGTGAAGTAGGGCCATTGACCCGACGAAAACCATGTGTCAAGGACATCCGGATCCTGTTCAAGAGTAAACTTCCGCTCAGGGTATTTCTCAGCGGCTTTCTTCTCTGCATCTTCCCGAGTTACAGCAACAACCCAGTGGTCTGCATCATCAATATACGAAGTCTCCCCCTCAAATTGGATGTGGTAAGCTGGGGGTTGATGTCCCCACCAGAGTTGTCGAGACAAACACCAGTCCTGGATTCCTTCTAACCATCTGTAGTAGTCGTTCTCTGAGGTTTGAGGCTTAATCTTGACTTCTCCAGCTTTAACGTGGTCGATTGCAGCCTGAGCCATATCACTCATCTTCATCCACCATTGCGGCTTGAGAAGTGGCTCAATAACATCCTTAGATTTCTCGCAAAGTGGAATTTGCATCGGATTGTCTTTGGTCTCAACGTACAATCCTAGCTCCTTGAGGTCGGTTTGAATCTTGTATCGGACGTCGAATCTCTTCATTCCTTGATAAGGTCCAGCGTTCTCATTCATGGTTCCGTCATCGTTCAGGATATTGATAAACTCGAGGCTATGTCTCTTGCCAAGTGCATAATCGTTGAAATCGTGAGCAGGAGTAATCTTGACAGCACCGGTACCAAAGTCAACATCGACATAATCATCGGCGACAATTGGCATGATTCTGTCGGGGATGAATGGATGTTTAGCACGTTTGCCGATAAGATGTTTGTATCTCGGATCATTTGGATTGACGGCGATGGCGCTATCACCCAGCATGGTCTCAATACGTGTTGTCGCAACTTCCAGGAACTCATCGCTAGCGACAATGGGGTATTTGAAATGGATAATGACACCAAATTCGACCTTCTTATCATATCCAGGAACGGTCAATAGCGTCCGGCCGTTCAGCTGCTTATTGTCAACTTCTAGATTGGATAAAGAAGTGTTGAGTTTGTGGCACCAGTTGACAAGTTTATGACCTCGGTAAATAACGCCCTCGTCGTGGAGTCTGGTGAAAGTATCGGCAACAGCGTTCTGGAAAGAATCTTGCATAGTAAATGCCTCGCGAGACCAATCGAAGGAAGCACCCATAGCCCGGAAGGACTTGTTGATCTTGGCGTGGTACCTATGATTCCAACCTTGTCAGTCCTGAAGCCAGAGACTTTTTTTCGCAAACTTAAACATACTCCTCTTTCCACTCCCAAATCAATTTTACGAGCTTCTCTCGACCAACATCATATCTGGTCTGCTTGTTCTGTCTCCATAACCGGTTTTCAATGACATTTTGTGTCGAAATACCAGCGTGATCGCAACCCGGTAGGAAAAGAACAGTCTTTCCTTGCATACGATTCCTAAATGCGAAAATTAGCATTCAGGAACACATACAATCACCACCAGTATAGACCTCCCTACCATCGAACAAGAACATCTTGGAGCGATACGGCCAATGCGTGTCCAATATGGAGGGCACCAGTAACGTTGGGTGGTGGAGCTGTAATGACGAAAACACCTTCATCCTTCGGCTTTCCATCCGCCTTCATTTCAGGCTTGAAGAAGCCTTCCTGTTCCCACCATGCATTCCATGCGGATTCAACGGCGATCGGGTCGTACGCTTTGCCAAGAGGTTTCAGGACTATTTCAAGATTCCAATTAGTATCGCAAACCGTCTCAGGAGAGCTAAGAATGATCCATACTCTTCTTCTGCCCTGCCGGAGTCTCTTCGACGTATTCCTCAACTGGAGCCTCCTCTTTCTTCTCCTTCTTAGCTTTTGGTTGCGATGCTTGAGCGAGAGCTTCCGACTTGGCTTTCTTTTCGAGGAATTTCTTCGCCTTTTCGGCTTTCTTGGCCTCGGCCGCCACTATATTTGTATAAATTTACAGGTAAGATTACAGCCATGTTATCATCTGTGGGGGTAAGCCAAAGCTACTGACACTGCTTTGCTGTCTTCGGCTTTGATGCTTCAGCTAGAGCATCTTCCCCAGATGGGGCGACCCCAGGGTAATTGGGAGTCGAAGGAGAGCTATCTAAAATCTATTGTCAGCTCAATTCCAAGCATACATCATTCAGACCGTTCGCATCAGCATACCAACAAGATCCGAAGCCTTTGGGGTCGACATATTTGCGATTAATAGCAAATGGGGACGTGGTATTCGAACTGCAGAGCGGAGATTTGGCCGATGAGGCCGTAAAAGAATCGGTAGTCTCCTGATCGTGACGGAGGTTTGGTAGATACCAGCCAATTGGGGTGGGTGAATAGCGATGTAAGGGAAAAGGAAGGGGTAACGGTTTGCTGGGGCAGACTTGGGCGATTGGTCACTTTAGTAGCTATTTGATCCAACCAACTGGCTGTGTGACTCTGCAGAAGGAATGTGACTAACAAATTTTGAGTCTGCCGACACAACACTTCTATGTGGGGTGGTTATCGATAACAACGACATCCAACGCAGTTTAGATGCCCCGCCATGTTGCATTTTGTGCTGCCAAGACGTATACTAATTTAGCTACTTTCGACTCAAAAATATTGGTATTGATATTGGTTCGATACCGATGATAACCGGCGCATTTGAAGTGATTTGGATTGAGGAATGTAGCGGTAGACTTACCGGTCGCAAGGCAGTCTTGGTTCTGTTAACTTATAGCTCCCCGCTTATAAATTTGTGTCTAAATAAACGACTTAGAACTAATCCCTTGATTGCTTCGACATTTAAAGTTGAAGTAGAATTGATATTTTATTACTTTCAATTCCATTAATATATATAAGCTACTATCATATATATAATGTAGTGAATGCAGATTATGGTTGCTAGCACTCTAGGATTATATATATTCTAGTGCCGAGTACTCTAGTCGAAAAGATCATTCGGGGGAGATATGAAAACTAACACCTTGACCACCCACATACATGCCAACGTACTAGTCTTCAATCTGTAGATAGGAAGCAACTTCAAGGGCTATGCATTTTACATAGCTTTAAAATCGATACTTTTGTTCAAATTGAGGATGTTTCTGTCAAATAGATAACCTAAACTTGAGTTTTACCAACTCCCTAGTCTAGTTGTTTAGACGGGTGCTGAACCAACTCCCATGCATAACAGGATGACAACCGTTAACCTTCCATGAGTCTAGCCTTGATATATACATATAGGCTTATGTTTTAATGTATACTTTAAATCATAGTTCCAAGACTACATCCAACACCACATATCAGTAGCTACGAAATCGCGTCAGGTCAAAAATGAATCCTTGGCCGACCAATCAATCAACTTCTCGCAGCTCACCTTGAACCGAACGGATCTTCAGAATCTTCAATAACCCTTCAACTGCGTATTACTAGGTAAATTTCTCGCCTCCATTATTCCTTCATAAGAAATCATTTCCTATCGATCTAGCAATAATACTAACAAACCTATATCAGTTTATTAGAACTTTGTTCAATCCCTCACCTTCAAGGGCATCCCCAAAGATGCATAAACCAAAGCACGAATCCTACCCTCGAGCCCGAGATCGAGATCGGTTCAATGATCACGATCCATATTACTTCAGAGGACGTTGGACCGTCCCAAATATGCAATCCCTGCTTCAAAATACTGAAAGAGAAGAGCTTACGAGCCCCCATCAACCCGAGAAGCGCGCCAATGACCAAGACAATGATATCACGAGTAGTCTAGCAGCCAACCAATCCCCAAGCGCCATATGGGCAAAGAGAAGAAGAATATTCCTCCTTCCAAACCCGCCCAAACACTAGACTCGAATATTGAAAATAAGATACCGGCTATCTCATCATCATCATCATCATCATCATCATCATCATCATCATCATCATCATCATCACCACCACTACCACCACGACCCTCTCCATCAAAACCTCAAGAAAATATTCAAGAAAAACACGACATGGGAAGCTCAAAGGCGTCTAGTCAAGATGGGAATCAAGACCTCACGATCGGGGGACAAAAATTACTGGGGGCACCGGTCAAACCCTCTTAGAAAGAGGGAGAATTCGACCCTCCTGTTCCCTGTATCCGAGATAAGCCATCAAACCCCAGTGACACTCTCCCCAAGCCTTCCAAAGGCCATCTACCGCCAAATAATACTCTACCATCACTTATTCCCACAGCATCCAAAGGTTCCTCTCAAATCCGTCCTTTCATTCCACAAACAATCCCACGACCTCCCCCACAAGGGCAACAGCAACATCGGCAATTAAAACTTAAAAAAGGCTCTTCTTCCTCCTCCTCTTCTTCTCATGATGAAGACTCCCTCCTCTCATGCGAACGAGAATATCTTTCTCAAATCAAAGAAACCCACAAACCCAAGAAGTCTAAGAAAGAAGATCCGCCAGCACCATGGGGTCAAGATATCCCCCATCCCATCCTCCCCAAACCCTCTCCGGACAAAGGTATCAAAATATTCCACTCAGAAACCCTACCAAACGATTTCAACCTCCCCATCTGCGAAGCTTGGCTTCAATCCCTCACAGATGGTAATATCCGGTTTCCCTACGGCCGCATCCACCATCCACCCCCCTCCTCCGTCGACACCCCCTTCGGCCTAACCATCAAATTATCTATCCCCTCCGACAAATACTACGTCTTCCACTGCCACGATCTCATAGAATTCGCCACAATTTGGCTAAAAGAATTTCATAAAGTCCAAAACAAATATTTGCCGCAACTACAATCTATGAATGCTCTCAAACCCGGGAATTTTACGGCTTCGGAGCCAATGTTTTACGGTGTCCACGATCCGAACCCAACAAAGGGCGAACGAGACTTTATTTCACCTTATGTTAGAGGTGTTTGGACCGGAGAAAAGGTAGAGTACAATCGTGCTACATTTTTGAGTAAGATGTTTGAGGAATGTCCTTCCACTGAAGGAAAGGTAAATATGGCGGCTATGATTTGTCTTATGACCATCTACTCAAGAAAAGAGGTTACTGTCATTACGAGTTTGGGCCAATTGGTAGAAAAGTCTAGAGAGTCATTGTTCGTACCGGAGGGATGGGTAGGGAGATGTTTATCCGATAGTGGGTATTCACGATTAGTCTCAATGACGGATGACTTCTTCAAATATATTTACATGAGATGTCAGTATATCCTCAGTCGTTAAACTGCCATAACTTGTTCGTTGTTCAGGAGGGCTAACTTCACCATCGCCATAGTCCGCCGCCTCCATAAAATCTCTCCGATGTACGAATACACATCTATCGAGAACCAGCATGAAGGACTCAAACCACTAGCTAGGGTCGTAAGCACCCGCCACATCCACCCTGTACCAAATAGTGATATATAACTAACCAATAACACCTTTAAAGATCCTACGAAGAGACGGTAAAGAAGACGTCTTAGGTCGTAAAACCCCAATCCACTGGAAAAGAATGCGATCAGATGACTATCTCCTGCTCCTCAAAAAATGCATCATCGAAGGAGAACGCAACGACGCAAGAAGAGAACAAATCCGACAGAGCACTAAATCAAATGCTACTGCTGCTACTGCCGGCTCCCAAGAAGCTTCCTCGACATGGGATTCTACAGCTTCTACAAAAGTTGAGGATGCCGAACTATCCTGCTGTACGATATTCCCAATGGGAAAAGTAGATACCACCAAGGAACTTCATGATGTAAGCTGCCTCTCTCCATTATCCGCAGCTCTACCATTCAAATATAAATGTATATGTATATTCTTTAAACTAACCCGCCCCAGGACCACCCCCACGAAGATCAACTCCTCTGGTTCCTCCTAACCCTCTACACCCCAACCTTCCACACCCACCTAACCCCCGTCCTTGCCACCCCCCAAAACGCCATCCTAACAACCCCAAACATCACAACCGGAATCCACGACCTCAAAGCCTGGCTAGACCCCTACACCGACTCAGACGACGAAAAAGAAGACCAAAAATCTCCGCCACCAACCGAAAACCCACACTTCGAAAAAATATTCCAAAAGAAAACAGAAAGCAAACCCACCACACCCCTTCAAACAGACGCAACCTACAAGCTTTACTGTCAATGTTTCGAAGCCCATCTAGCAGAAGGATGTTACCCGGTTCCAACATATGGATGGGAAATGTACCCGCATTTGGTATATTTCAAAGCCAGGGAAGGTATTCCACTACCTTCACCAGAGATAATCAACCTCCACCGTGCCATCGCAATTGCTGCAACGGAAAGCGGAGCATGGGGCGCTGGTGACGAGATATTGGCTGCGGAGGAGAAGAAATGGCATCAATGTTGTAAAACTTATGAGCCTCATTATTGTTTGATAAGTAGCATGAAGTTTCCGGAAAGAGAGGAGTGGAAAGAATGATTACTTTCGCAAAAATAACTTTATAGCTTGCGGAGTTTGTATTTTTGTTGAATCACTGGGCATGCAAATCGCCATCTTCTTCAAAAGATTGCACATGGTTAAAGCAATAGAAATGAAGCACTTGAAGGGACTTTGATAATATTAACATTTCTTATAACTAATGTAACTTGAGACAATGTAACGTCACGAAAGAACAAAATTAAAGCCCTATGTGCCTCGAGTCTCCACTAAATATCCGATGATATGTTACAAAATATTTCCATAAAAAATAAAAAATTACAAGCACATCCAGATGTCTAAATCTGTAAATATATTTTGAAAATCGAAAGCAACAAAGAACCCCCCGGAATTCGTCATAAAAAGAACCACGACGTACGAAGAATATAGTTGTAAGACCAAAAGACTTTTGTTGATTCGATCGAGGTAAAGTTATGGTAGATGTATCATGTCGGTCGTAAATAATTATAACGTCCAAGAGTATGGGGGGGAGGGCTGGCCACCTGGTACAAGATGTATGCGTGTACGTTTGATCCAATTCAAAAAAATAAAAATAAAAGACAATAAAAGGAATAACTCCGCGAATACTCCAGAACAGTATGCAATATATATCCCCCAGGAAGAAGAACGCCGCGCCAAAGAAAAAAATAAACAAATAAGCAATTTCTATGCATGAGAGAAAAAAAGATTAAAAAAAAGTATATCGATAAGATGCCGGGGAAGTCTAGGCTGAAGACAAAGACTCGAAAGGATTCTTAATCTATCCTGTAATCTTGCGGCTGGTGAGTACTTCAAGCAAGAGGCCTGGGTACACGGAGAAAAGAACGAAAAGAAGAGGACCTATCGGAACCGAAAGGCCTGGATCGAAGAGAATAAGAAGAAGAAGAAATCCCGGGGTATCCAAATGAAAACAACAGAATAAAAGCAATACCAATTAAAAAAGCAAGTGGAACGTGGAAACATTGAAAACTCCGAAATGCAATTCTAAGGAATGGAGGATAACTTCAAGAGAGAAAGACACTTATTTACCTCCTCCTCGCACTTGGCGGGTACAGCGGTAAACCCTTCATCATCAAGCCTTCAGCTGGCTCGATCCGATCCACCAATGGAGCCGTTGAATTGGCTGAAATATCACTGGTTGGCTGCTCCCCTTCAGACGATGAGCTTCCACCCTTTCCTTCGTCTTCGCTGGTGGTTTTCGAATCATTTTGCTCCTCCTCAATTGCACCGATTGCACCTGAAGTTTCCACAACCGCAGTACTCTGTTTTCTATTATTTCCACCGATAGACCCTTGCCTACCCAGGTCTGAAAAGCTGAAATTCTTCCAGAGATCACCGACGCTTCTAGACCTTTGCCTTCCAAGGGATCTGAAGCTGCTAAAGCTGCTATTTCGCGTCGGAGCCTTCCCGTCAGCTCCAAAGATAGCTCCGGGCGTGGCTGGCACAGCCAAAGAGCTCCTTCCAGCATCTCCTTCTTGTCTCGAACTCTGCCTTGAAACGGCAACTCCACTAATATTCGCCCGCTCGAAGGTATCCCACCAGGTCATTGAGTTCTTTCGTCCCATCCTTAATTTATTCTTCTTCTTTTCAGCCCTCTCTTGTCTCGCAACTTCGTTCTCTTGTTTCTCTCTTTCCCTCCTCAGATAAGCATGTCGTTGTCCTTCTGTCATAGCCTCGATATTCAAATCCTCATTACTCGGCTCCTCCCAATGTCGTCCCAACATCCAAGAGAAAAAAGGCTGTTTCGTTTGTTTCTTAACCAGTCGCCAGGGCTTCTCGCGGAGTGAGAAGAGAAGACAATCGATAGCCCCTTGGATCGGAATAGCGATCGCCGATATACAAACTAAGGGGAACGAAGGCCGTTCCGCAAACCGCTCGAAATACTGTAACGAGTGATTGACAAGCGGTATCAACCAGATGAGAACGTAGACGCAAGGGTAAATGAATAAGAACCGGAGCTGGCGTTGGATAGCGTACTGCCTTTTTCGGAGCTCTTCTTCGGAGTCTGAAGTGGCTGCGGTGGAAGGGTGGCTGGTGTCGAGTTCCCGCCTGACCATTCGAGATGTTGAGTCTTGTGTACTATCACTACCAGCACCATTTCGACCTTCATCTGCAGAGTCGTCTTCAGCGCGGCGGGATGTAGAGGGTTGGCCCTTTTCGAGATCGATTATTCGGCTTGTCCCTTCAATCTCTTCAATGTCGTCGTTTGCTGTTTCGGATAGCCTCCTAACCTCTGTGACAATTGGATCGATGCCAACGTCGGCCTCTCTTACTTTCTCGGCGCCCTTCCCGACTCCAGGGAGTTTAAATGTAGCCCCGAATACACTTAACACTGAACCACGCCTGTCGGTAACTGTTTGACTCGAATCGAGTTGAGAAGGCTGAGTAGCATCGGTATCGAACTCTGATGTCCTAAATCGAGCACGATAAGCTCGGAAGGTCACTTTGACGTAAATATAGATGGCGAGATAAAGCCCAGTGATGGATAACATGATAATGTATCGAGGGATCCAGGCCAGGGCGAGACGGTACCAGAACGGTCGAACCTAAAAACAGTAACAGATAAAACCAAAATGTTAGGATCGTCAAAAGGTAATCCAAATTTTTGGAAAAAGTTTATGCGTACTGGCAAGTAGCACCACGTAGTTTGCGCTACATATGCGGGTGCCTTGTTCGTGAAAGCCAAGGCAGCCATAGTGATAGGTAGTAGTATGAGTATCGCATAGACGGTGTGTCGATATTGATACAGGCCAGATTTTCCCTGAGGCCCTGTCCGTGGAAGAAAGATGCTGATTGCAGCATGGATTGCAATAAACAGGATGCAGAAATCTAGGTGTCCAATTAAAACTTGTCAGTTTCGTACTACGTGAAAAACGATATCGCATAGGGCTGCATACCCGCAGTTTCAATCCCAAAGGCAAAGAAAAATCCGGATGCTTGACAAAAATTACTAGTAGTTGCAACAGTCGAATTGGCGAGGGCGACCGCTGGGAAAACGAAACTCCAAAGTGATTTCCATGTGTCGCAGATGATAAGTATCATGATAAGCCTAATCCCCAGAGTCTATCAGCGGAAAGTTCCCCCTTGCGCCCCAATGCATTTTTTTTTATTTTTGAAAAAAAAGTGGAATATTGGAAGAAACATACTGCCGCCTGAAATTCCGCTTCATCCGCACAAACCAGTGTAACACAATTGCCGAAGCAATGAGCGTGATCGCAGAACTGCATAATGCTATTATTCTAACAATTTTGAGCTGCTCCCTCGTAAGGGACGCAGTTGTCGGATTGGGCCCGCCTAGTCGTGACATGTCGATTAGGATTGTTGGAGGATAAAAATGGGAACCATTAAAAGATGAAGTTGAAAAAGAACCCGGCTCTGGATCAACTGGCATGTCGCCCATCTTAAAGACTTCATTTGAGAGGGGGACACCACGAGCCCCCACACCTCAGTCTGGAACACCCAAAGCCGTGGAATTGCTAACTTTTTGGTTTTTCTTTTTCTTTTCTTTTTTCCTTGGGTGGGAAATTCAATGCTTTTCCCTTTGGGTTAAACCTTCAAAATCACTGTTTTGAGGTCTCCTTGCGCGGTGCTTCAAGCTTTTCTGGGGATAGTTCGAGTAATGCAGGTGGAACCGTAAGGTGGGTGGATGGATGATCCTGCCCCTGGCTGTTCGCTTCCTCTTGCACGGTACAGCGATATACTTTTTGACTCCTCTCACTCTTTGACTTTTTTTGACTTTTTTGACTTTTTTTGACTTTCCTTGTCACTCGAGAGTATAGTAACCTAATTCTTCGACGGATAGTAACTTCGGAGAGGGACGGGCGGACTCGTGCGGGTTTTGGTGTGAGCAGTCTACACAAACCGCCTGCCTGAAGAATGTAGGCACACACACCAAATACAGCGAAACACCAACAGAATAATGTCGTATGCCGACACCTCTTTGCGGCGGGAGCAAAAGAAAAGGTCAGATCCGTAAACGGGAGATAAGCGATCAGGTCTAGAAACGTGGGTGGCGGCCGGAAATGGCGATGTTAGAGATTTGGAGGTCCCTTCCCCCCCTGCCGTCCTCTAATTTGTTCAGCTGGTATGTAAGTACCTGCGTGTGTGTCTGTGAAGACCAACCAGAGAAGCAGAAGAAGAAACAGTATGTTCCTGACGGAAGAAGAACTTTGGAAACTTGTTGGAAAGTATATAAACGAGAGACCGAAGTTTGATAGAATTCCCTAGAAGAGCATATTCTTTTATTTCCCGATGTGGATTTTACCCCGATATTTTTCAGTTTTTTTGAGTTCGTGAAGTTGGATTTTGGGTTATTCGGAACTACGGCGTCGGGGAGCTTTGAATTCGAAGTGAAGCTGCAAGTTGCAATTGGTCCGAGCGCCAGGAAGTCAAACTCAATCGCTAGATCGGGGCCGAACGGAAAATATATGCAGGAGAGACTTTTTAAGGATCGTAGAAAGATGAGTGGCTGGAGTTTTGGATTCAAAAGCCTATCCCTTCCAGAGACCCGTCCGAGCTCAATTGATCAAGGCCTGAAAAATAGGTAGTGCCTGGCCTGTTGAAGAAGTAATTCAGGAGAAGAAGAAGAACCCGAGTCAAGACTCGACACGGGCGACCGAGCAGGCTAAAGGATGATAATATTTAGCGTTATTAGGACAAGTCGCTCTTTCCAATTCGCCGTTAATGCTTGCGGCATATCATATCATATCAGATCATATCATGCATGCACTCAGGATGTAAGTACTATGTGAATATCTGTGTGATGTGTGGATCTGTCCAAACAGGTTAACACCGCGCGCGAACGTTTAGTAAAACGAAATGAAATTAACAGTCAAATAAAATAAAAAACGACAATCATACAAGATAATAAAAGATATAAAACGAAATAATAATATAAATTTGCATGGAAAAAGTACTTTTCGATAGTGAAAATCTGAAACGAGTTTGAAGATACATGTCGATAGATCCTATACTCGTAGCAAGGCTGGGGATATGCTATACCAGCTAACTGACTTACTTCTTCGAATGCGATGTATTGCATGCACGGACGGTAACGATGCATGCAATTGCAGTTGATTTTTGAACTTTAAAGGGTGAGCGAGTCAGATTATTCGGTCGACAGGAAGCAGACTCGGCGAACCTGCTGCAATGCGATGAGATGAGATAGCTAGCCGGCAATTTGCTGCAGCTGTATGTTTGTATGTGCGTCTGTCGGTGTGAAGTAGTATGTTTGGTCGATGTTTCGATATAATATCGATATCAGATGACAGCCATCCGAAATTCAAGTCTAAGAACAGAGGCGAGGTACAAGAACTGAAAAGAAAAGAAAAATTAAAACAAAAAGGACGGAGGGAGAAACTAGAAAAGCCCAAAAGATTGATTTGTTCAATTGGCATTCCCTCGATTCCAATTCCAAGGAAGAGAAAAAACCCGATCTGTCTGGGTCTGTCTGTCTGGGACTGGGTGGTGGAGCCTTCGAAACGGTAGTTCTTAGCGGTTAGGCGCACGTCGCTCCACCACGCCATTCTTTTTTGCCTGCAGCACCACTGTACGATCCTTATTCCTAAAATACTACAAGCACAGCATGAACGACAATCAATTATTATTATCTGATGGGCGCATTCATGTGCCGGACAACCTGCCTGCCAGCCCTGCATTTTAAAATTTACGGATACAGCTGGCTAGTCCTACTCGAGTTGGCGCTGGCCTGTGATACCGATTGTGCGATGATCGATGATACCGACTTCCAGTAAGTACTCATGTATATCACGACTGTCACGTTCCCACCAGATTGATCTCATGTTTTACACATGCTTATAGTTACTTACTTATATACTTAGGCTCTTCAAATTGTATGTTAACCCCTCAATTGTTCATCCGAAAATGCTGAACGGATCGAAATCAAGCGAGAGAGGCTCATGACATCCAAAAACCACTCAGAACGGCAACCAAAGCCTGTTCATGACTTTTCCAGTTGATCGGACTTGCAAACCTCAAGTCAAGCTTGGTGAGCTCGAGCTCATACCCATGTCCTTTCACAAAGTTAAACAATGCATCCCAGCCAATCTTCCCACAGGAAGACATAAATACTCATCTCTAAAACCCCATTCCAACGTTCATGAAACATCTTTTCTCAAAATATTTTCCTTTATGGACTAACACCCCACAATAGAAATAGAAAAAATATTTTTTAAAAAAATAAGGATAGAAAAGCGAGCTAACGAGTTATGCAAGCGAGGGCCGAAATCGACATTCATTCATGCGAACCTGCTTTGACAATACAGAGCAGGTCTCGTACGTATCCCGTTCCCCACCAGGCGTTCGTTTGCAGCTGCTCTGATTGGAGCCTTGAACCTCGCTTTGCCTTCTGTCCCCCTCTACCACCCTGGCCTACTTTTTAGGTCTGCTTGTCTATGACAAGGGTAAGAGGACCCGCACGTCATGTAAAATCCTTTAGCGAAAAACAGGCGATGTGGGTATGTGGATAGGACAGCTTGGCGAATTGACTAACAATTCGTATCGTATGCCAGATCAGGATTAATATCGTTCATCTTAGTTTCGATTTAATTTTGAATGGAGTCATTGACTACTAAATAAGTACTTACCTAGGTCATAGTATCGATCAAAATCATCGATGTATGCACAATGATATTGATTTTGCATAGAATGTTCGAGTTGTGGGTGTTATAAAATACCATTCGTTCAAACAGATATCAGACTGGAATGCTCGTTCTATCTGCATATGAAAGCGGGACGCTAGCGCTAGCATTCTTGCCCGCTTCGATTAAAATTAAATTACGATGGAGGTACACTCATTATATAAATCTGTATGAAGTCACCATCGATTTCCTCGTTGGCATCGGTCTTGTTGATTGTAGTTATTATCATGCACTGTACTCTAACTTTTATGGGGGGAAAATTTCGACTTGAAGTTCATCTATTGATTGGTTCATGAGACAAGTCCTTCCAGGTACTCTAAAGTACTCGCGACAATGCTAAAATGTCTCTCTAATTATAATACTATCCCGGGTTCGAAAGCTTAAGGAGGAATTCTTGGTTAACAGAAAAAATCTTAATTACTAAAGATATACAAATGTACTGACTTTTAAACGGGTAAACTCTAGAATTATTGCCTTTTCGAGTAACTTTTTAAATAACGACTCAACTTTGAAATTACCTTTTTTGTTCGTCTCTTTTTTCCCTCTTCAACTTTCACCACACCCACAACGAAAAAAAGAAAGATTCAAGGTTCACAAAAGAATTCGAAAGGAAGGGAGAGATAAAAGCTAAAATCTTACCGTTCCTGAACTATCCCATCTCCGGCATCTTTCAAACAAGAATCAAAAGCTCCAGCGAATAAAGAACAGTGAACATCCAACCAATCACCCACGATCTTCGTTTGTTCCACCTGAATGCGGTCGCTGTTACGGGATTGCATCTTCCCATCAGCCCGTGTTCGCACATGAACCCCACAAAAAAAAGGAATACTTCAAAATAACAATTCTAATTGATATCGATAACCGAGAGCTCCAGGCTGCAGTTCCAACTTCGGCGATACGGTGGGGTATATGGTCTGTGTCGTTATACATATATCTGGCCTGCCGCTGTTCGGTTCCGTCGATTTCTGGAGGGTTTGAGCTCTGAGGTGGGTATGCAAAGGCAAGGTATACACGTTTTTCTTGGATTTCTTGGATTTCCCTTGGATTTCAATTCTGTTGGTTGGTTTTCCAACAAAAGGCTTGCATGCTTGATGGGTATAGTATGTGATGGAAGGGTCAATGGGCTGTATGTGTATGCATGGGATATAATGACTGGCAACTGGAACTCTCAAATCGGAGACTTTGTCTTGTTGGACCTCCATCAGTTAAGACAGCCTAATAAACACGCGGTAGATCCTTCTTCCTTCTAGAAGCTTGTCCGGGGAGATGCAATAACGGGTTATATCTCCGGTCAGTGCATTATAGTTGGTGGCGAATGTGCGATTGGAGTTGTATATATTCTTTCCACTAACCGTAGAATTCTGCTTAATCACAATCCCTGGCCGATCATAGATATGTTATGTATGAGATGTTGGTTGGGTGAATCATTAAGAATATCGACTCTATGTTGGTAGTCCTCAGTGCTAGTTGAGGCTGTGAAAATCAGATAATTGCAAAAGACAAAGGCATATTCATTAATTTGGTGTCATGTCTTTTTTGTCCGCCTCTTGTTTGTCGACTTTGGTGTATCTGTCGCGGAAGCCTCTGCGGTTATCGTATCAGTTTCGTCACTGAATGCGACCTTCTTGCCGCAATATTTTTGGCTCTTCGGCTTCGGTGTCACATCTTTCTCTTTTGATTTAGACTCTTTGGCTGCCTTTGCCTCTGCTTCTTCATCCTTCTTCTTCTGCTTGGCCCTCTCAAGTGCTGCCGCTTTCTCTATCTTAGCAACTTGTGCTTTTGATACCTCGAACAGCTGCTGCCCGAGGATCTCAGACTCAATCTCAGGCTTTCGATATCTAAAAGCGTATTAGCACTACCTCTCTCATAACCACTACAACGTGGGAAGAAGGGGAAGAAATACGTACGGCGAAACCTTACACTCCCTAATCAATGCCCCTCCTTTCCCCTTCCCAAATTCGGGATCATACAATCCCGCAAAAAAACCCTGCGCACCTTCATCCGTCGACTTCAAGACCACCCACCAAAGCGGCCATGTAACCAAATACCCCAACAATCCAACCACACTCCCCAAAGATAACCACCTTCTAGTCCCAGGACTCCTCATAATCCCCGGATCCACGCACCAAATCTTCACGTTGGTCGGCATTCCATCAGGTCTCTTATACTCATCGAACTGCTTTTGAACCTCCGCCACCAAAGCCATTACCGCAATCTTTGCCGCTCCATAGATCAACCAAGGCCTTCTGCCGGGGTACCTCCTCTCCAAAAACTCCGGATCGTTAAGATCCAACTCTCCAAGTATATAAGCCGCACAAGTAGAAACTAAAATCCTAACATCCCTATCCGGTGGCTGAACCTTCAACGCAGGCATCATCAATGTCAAAAAATGATAGTAGGCAAGGTAATTAACCCCCCAATGAGCCTCCACCCCATCCTTTGTCACCGTTCTAGCTGAAAACGGCGGAGCCATGACACCGGCTGCGAGAACAATACTGTCTAGCCTTCGGGGCGGGGCGTTGTCTAGCCATTTTGTACAGAATAGACGTATGCTGTGGAGGGATGAGAGGTCGCATTCTTCGGCGTAGATTAGGTTGTTTGAGTATTTTTTTCGAAGGTCGGAGATGTAGTCTATTAACCAGTAGTCTTGGGTTGAACGAACCAAGAGGACGATTTGGGCGCCTTTGGAGGCTAAGTCGTGTACTATTGCTGCACCGAGGCCGGATGTACCGCCCTAATATATTTGTTTAATCATATTAGTTACAAGAACCCTGTAGCTTGAAGCATAGCATGAAATCCTGATTGATGAATATATCGAAAATAAACTAAAAAGAAGACTTACAGTAACCATCACGACCTTCCCATGCATTACACGTTCAACCTTATTCGTCTCCCCACCGAAGAACCAACGGAGAATGTAGATTAAGACAGCCCATGGTAAGACCCGTAGTATCGTCGGTAAGTACGGAACGGATGAAGCGCCCTCAGAAAAGACCTGACCCAAAAACTCGACGGGCATGATGGGGGAAACGAACAAAAAGCCCTGGCAATTGAAGCTTTGAAGCCCTCGTCACCGGGTACGGAAGGAAGGAGAACGTGGAAAGTATGCAAGCTTAGAACATGACAAGGGTAAGCTTGACGAGTGGCGAATGTGTTGTGGTTGCAGTTCTCGCGTTTCGATGTCTTGGCGTTCGGGCCAAAGAAGAAAGAACGAAGAGGCATCCTTTTGCGACTCACCAACTCGAGGAAAAGAAGGTTCACGAACTTCTTTCAACAATCCTTCGACAATCGCCCTGCTTCTGAAGTTCGGTATTCGATACGATATCAATATGAGTCTCGAGGACTTACAAAGCCTTGAGCTGCTCTCGCTCGTCTCGAAAATTACCACGGAGCTAACGAATCACTTGGGCATGTACGTGTCTTCACAATCAGACCTGTTTCTCTTTCTATCTAAGGTTCCCAAAAGCATGCTTTACTAACAGAACATCACAGAAATGACAAGACTCTCGCGGAATTCATCATAAACCTCCATAATGACTCCAAATCACTCTCCGACTTCAAGTCCCACCTTACATCCATGGGCGTCGACTTCCCGAACTCGCTGGCGGAATCTATCGACCGGTTGATTCTAACGATGCACCCACGGCACAAGAACAAAGGGAAGAAAAAGCAAGTTGAAGACGAAGATGAAGATATGGGTGGGCTATCTGCATTCGAAGATTTGGAAAAGAAGTCGAGGGTGTTCAAAGGTCTAGCATTGCCTGATGTCGATGACGCGCCGTGGAAGGCTGAATACGAAAAGGCGGAGAAGGATGCCGGCGAAAAGGGCGCGAAAAATAAGGAGGAACCAGATGCGATTGATGATACGCTAGCCTTGTTGGAAAGCTTGGAAGGGAAGGTTCGGGCAGAGAGGAATAGAAAGAGGACGAGAAGTCCGAGCCCAATAAGAGAGGATAGAGATGGGAGGTATGGGAAGAGCAGAAGGCGAAGTCGGGATCGGAGTCCGGGATATGGCGGTGGGAGAGATCGAAGTCCGAAGAGGAGAGATGGCGACTACGACCGATATGGAAGGAATGGAGGCCGCGATAAGGAGAGAAGGGGCAGACGACAAGATGATTATGGCGATGATGAGGAATTCAAGCGGCCGCCTGCTAAGGAATTAGATGATGCGCCAACTATGTTCAAAATCTATGACGGTGTTGTGTCGGGGGTCAAGGACTTTGGCGCCTTTGTCAACCTGAGGGGTGTGAAGGGGAAGGTTGATGGCCTAGTCCACATTTCTGCGATACAGAATCAAGGGCGGGTTAACCATCCTTCAGACTTATTATCGCGAGGCCAGCCGGTGAAAGTGAAGGTTATATCGATTGAAGGTACTCGAATCGGGTTATCAATGAAAGAGGTAGACCAGGAAACTGGGAGAGATTTGATCCCAGGGAAGAGAATAGGGACCGGCGCGAACACATCTAAGTTATCCGGAAGGTTTGGAGCGCACGAGGAAGTCCCGGTATTTGAAGATGATGATGATAACAAGGGGAAGAACAAGAAAAGATTAACGTCTCCAGAGAGATGGGAGATCAAACAACTTATTGCGTCCGGTGCACTCAGCGCGAAGGATTACCCTGATATCGATGTCGTCAACGATGAGGTTGAAAACGGCGGAGAGTTGGAAGAAGACGTTGATATTGAAGTTCGAGAAGACGAACCGCCTTTCCTTGCGGGACAGACGAAACAAAGTTTGGAATTGTCTCCTATTCGTGTGGTCAAGGCGCCCGATGGATCAATGAACCGTGCTGCCATGTCTGGAACTACTTTGGCAAAGGAAAGAAGGGAATTACGACAACAGCAACAGCAGGATGCGGCGTCCGAAGCTGCCCAAAACATCGACCTTCAGGCCCAGTGGAACGACCCTATGGCTGGTGAGCGACAATTCGCCACTGACATCCGGAATCAAGTTTCCAAGGCTGGTGATGTGCCAGAATGGAAGCGGGTTGCAATGGGCAAGAACGAGAGCTACGGAAAGCGAACATCGCTGTCTATAAAGGAACAGAGGGAATCGCTCCCTGTGTTTAAGCTTAGAGACAAAGTTATCGAGGCGGTTCACGACAACCAGATTCTCATTGTCGTCGGTGATACTGGGTCTGGAAAAACGACACAGATGACACAGTATCTTGCTGAAGCAGGGTTTGGAGATCGCGGTATCATCGGTTGTACCCAACCTAGACGTGTGGCGGCCATGTCCGTCGCAAAACGTGTAGCTGAGGAGGTGGGATGTAAGCTCGGCCAGGAAGTTGGATATACCATCCGTTTTGAGGACTGCACAAGCCCGGAAACCAAAATTAAATACATGACAGACGGTATGCTTCAGAGAGAGATCTTGCTGGACCCTGATTTGAAGAGGTACTCCGTGATCATGTTGGACGAGGCCCACGAGAGAACGATCGCCACTGATGTTCTCTTCGGACTTTTAAAGAGTATGTATTCTGATTCTCCTCTTCTGATTTGAGCTGCAAGCTAACAACAAATCCATAGAAACCGTCAAAAGGCGGCAGGATCTGAAGATCATCGTAACATCTGCTACGCTTGATGCCGAGAAATTCTCCCACTACTTCAATGAGTGTCCGATTTTCTCGATCCCTGGTCGTACTTTCCCCGTGGAGATTTTGTACACCAAGGAACCGGAATCGGATTATCTTGACGCTGCCTTGATTACCGTTATGCAAATCCATTTGTCGGAACCACCTGGTGATATCTTGGTGTTCTTGACAGGTCAAGAAGAAATTGACACGGCATGTGAGATTCTTTACGAGCGTATGAAAGCCCTTGGACCAGCCGTACCCGAGCTCATCATTCTTCCCGTCTATTCCGCCCTACCTTCCGAGATGCAGAGTAAAATTTTTGAGCCTGCACCACCTGGCAGCAGAAAAGTCGTCATCGCTACAAATATTGCCGAAACTTCAATTACAATTGATCAAATCTATTTCGTCATCGATCCCGGTTTTGTCAAGCAGAACGCATTCGATCCAAAGTTGGGAATGGACTCTCTCGTTGTGACCCCAATTTCTCAGGCACAAGCCAAGCAAAGAGCTGGTCGTGCTGGTCGTACAGGTCCTGGAAAGTGTTATAGGTTGTACACCGAAGCTGCCTTCCAGAGTGAAATGCTTCCGTCCTCGATTCCTGAAATTCAGCGTCAGAATCTTGCCCATACGATTCTAATGTTGAAGGCCATGGGTATCAACGATCTGTTACATTTCGACTTTATGGACCCCCCGCCAACAAATACCATGTTGAACGCTTTGGAAGAACTCTACGGCCTTGGAGCCCTAGATGATGAAGGACTGCTCACCCGTCTTGGAAGAAAGATGGCAGATTTCCCCATGGACCCGGGTCTCAGCAAGGTTTTGATTGCATCTGTGGATATGGGCTGCTCCGATGAGATGCTCACGATCGTAGCGATGTTACAAGTTCAAACTGTGTTCTACAGACCGAAGGAGAAACAACAACAGGCCGACCAGAAGAAAGCCAAATTCCATGACCCTCACGGTGACCATCTGACGTTCTTAAATGTCTATACCTCCTGGAAACAAAACAACTTTTCGAGTCCATGGTGTTTTGAAAACTTTATCCAAGCCCGTTCCATGCGTCGCGCCCAGGATGTTCGACAGCAATTAGTCTCTATCATGGAGAGGTACAACAACCGAATCATTAGTTGCGGAAGGAATACTATGAAGGTGCGACAGGCGCTTTGTACTGGATTCTTCAAGCACGCGGCACGGAAGGATCCAACTGAAGGGTACAAGACTTTGACGGAGGGGACGCCGGTTTATATGCATCCCAGTTCGGCGCTGTTTGGAAAGCCTGCGGAGCATGTTATTTATCACGAATTGGTGCTGACGACGAAGGAGTACATGCACTGTACGACGGCCATTGAACCGAAGGTATGTTTTCTCAAATCATCCCCTAAACTTCTTCTACCGGAATTAATACTGATGTAAATTCTTGTTATAGTGGCTTGTTGATGCGGCCCCCAGATTCTTTAGAGTCGCGCCAACGGATAGGTTGAGTAAGAGGAAGAGGAACGAGAAGATTCAACCATTGTACAATAGGTTCTCCGACGGAGACGACTGGAGATTATCGGCACAAAGAAGACAAGGAAGAGGTGGAGGTGGTGGTACTTGGGGTTAAAGCATGCTGTAATGCTATTGTCCGGGGCTCCTATTTTGTTAATTTAGGATTTGAGAAGCTGGAATTACATAATTGTGTATTTTGATAATTTAGAAAGAGATGTATGTATGAGTAACGAAGTCAAGGATGAATCCTCTCTCTCCCCGGCCCAAGCCTAGTTTTGTGGGTCCTCCCTTTACAGAACAGCTCCAAAAGCGCAATAACATTATATTAGTTTTATTCCTAATGGCCAGAAGCATAAGACGAATGACTCCCAGCCTAGTGGAATCCTAGTTTGGTGGTGGATTGTACGCATTCCGTGTTGGGAGTAATCCTAAATGGCAGAAATGCCGGGGTTTTATATAAACCGGAGCTATACCATAGCTCCCTCCAAAGCTCCACCAGCGCCAAACTCCAACCGGCTTCAAGAAAAAACATCATCGATCGAACAACCACCGTAACAATAATCTACACCTTTAAAGAAGCCATCTCAGTCAAATAGACAATAATCACCTTCACGATGTCTGAAATCAAACGTGTCGCCTTCATTCCTCTTGAATCCAGTATGTCATGTCATCCCACTTCTACCCCTCCACGCGTCTACCCACCAAAGAAATAACAAGGACTATTTTACTAACCACCTCCAAAACCTCCCCCCAAATCAGACCCAGATACCTTCAACTCCCTTGCTCTCAAACTCGGCCTCTCCCCCGCCCTCTCCTTCACCGACGTCTACTCCCTAACCGAAGAATCCCTTCTCTCCTTCATCCCACGCCCCGCCCACGCTCTAATCCTAATCTACCCAACCAGCGATGACCCAACAAAGCAAAACAACCATCTATACGCCGAAGCCAAAGCCGACGGCCCAGTCCTCTACATCAAACAAACCATCAAAAACGCCTGCGGTCTAATGGCACTCCTCCACTCCGTCCTAAACGGCGCTGTAGCCGAAAAACACCTCTTACCGGGCTCGAACCTCGCGGCGTTATTGGAGGAAGCTAAACCGTTGGATCCTTATGCTAGAGCTGAGTTGTTGATTAAATCACCGAGTTTGGCGGCTGCGCATAAGGAGGCTGCTGAGGCTGGGGAGACTGAAGCTCCTGATGCTGAGGCGGAGGTGGATTATCATTACATTGCGTTTGTGAGGGGTACAGACGGCGCGGTTTACGAGATGGATGGGAGTCAGAAGACCGGTGAGAGGAAGATTGTGGAGTCTTCTGGTGAAGATTTGTTGGCTAGTGAGGAGGTTAGGAATGCGGTTGGGAAGATTATGCAGGATACTGGGAGTGTTCATTGTGGTATTTTGGCACTCGTGGAGGGGGCGTGACGGTTACCCACGAAGCCTAGATTGTGAAGATTTGGGGGGGCGGATATAAGAGGTGGGGGTTGGATCTTGGGTTTGTAGGTGTTACTTTTGGATTTATAGTTCATCTTCTTAAAAGAACAAAAAAAGGGTGTTCAAGGCGATGTCGGTTCTTCTTTTGGTCATTGCATGGTCCGGTCTTGTGGGTAATGTTATCAGCATACACGACTAGGCGGCTGCATTTCCGTCTTGTAATACTGAGCTATTGCAATATTATAATACCGCAGGATTCTATAATCTTAGGTTCGGTTTTAACATTTGTACCCGATAGTGGCCATTGTTCTGCGAGGTATCGTCTTGTAATATTAGGCAAAGCTGATACCACTTGGAACTCGTTATCACGGGCGACAATATATACACCACTCGCACGGTGCGTCATATTGTAATTATAATATTGGTAGTCTGGTCCACCATCTAATTGTAAACTTATAGGTACTTGATCACACTAATCAATTAAACCTAGTTGAGCCTATTAACCAAGTCTAAAAGCCATAGAAAGGCGTTCCAGAGACCTGAGATATCGATCTCGAGATTAGAATAGTAAACTCCCTATGGCCCAGTCCTTACCATCTCCCCAAACGTTAACCCGAAGAAAAGTACTTGCAATAAAGAGAACTCCTGTCTGCACATATACCCCCCCCCAAACCCTACGCCAGCATCAACCGCCCACCAATAACCACCCAATAAATCTTTCCAAACTTCGGGGAAGGTAAAACCAGAATCCTCCTTCTCCAATCCTCCCTGCCCCTCCATTCACGAGTACACTCCTCAATAACCTCCTCCACCAAGTTCGGAGAATCCGTTTCAATACGGGTCACCCAATTCACCTCAGGCTTCCACAAACAATTCATAAGCGGATAAGTTGTCTGAATCACCTCCCTAAAGGCGCAATTCCTAGCACGTTGAAGATCTTTTGTAGCAAAACCACCTTCGTGTGTCTGGAGTCCCTGCAGGCATATAGCGTCCCCATCTCCTCTCACTGTGACGTTTATTTCACCTCCAGGGATATATTGTCGCAACGGGCCGTCGAGCGAATCCTCAAGTCTTTGGCAGGCGAATAGGAGGATCTTTGTACAGTCAGGTCTTGGACCCTGCTGTACTGGAGAATCTGGAAAGAATTTGAGTTGATCATAGAAAGAGAATTGGACGTCAAGGTTGATCTGGATTTTACGGATGAGATGGCTATATTCAGGCGAAGGGAAACGTCTGCCTCGGGGGCAGGTTTCTCGTGGGGCGCAAAGATTGAAGCCAGATGACATATAAGATATATAGCGTCTGATAGAGGGGGTGTAGTAATATCTCCTATAAACAATTTAGTACATCGTCCATATGCGTATATATATACGTCTTTCTTTTAACATGCCAGACCGATGTGTAAGTACATATGGAGGAAGAAGAAAAAGAACCAGAAGAAGAATGAGAAGATGGAAAGACACTCACCCCTTCCTATACTGATAATGGATTACCTCCCACGGAGCCGTATATTCAACATCACAGTTATCAAACTCACGATCCGACCATTTCGCCACAATCCGAATAGGGAAAACCATTTGAGTATAGAAAACCCAAGACGCTTCATCATGGATTTGCTTGTTAAGCCTCAAAATCGAAAGACTGCTAAAATTGGGTGGTGATGATAATCTTCGACCGCGAGTGCGTTCATGTCCCCTTTGGCCATATCGTCGAGGATTAAAGCCGTGGAGAAGGACAAGTTGATATATCTCGTCTCGGAGTTCACGTGGTAGTTCCAGAAATGACATTGGGGAGTTAGTGTTCATTGGAATGGTTCTTAGTTATGGGATAACTGGATGGTAATGATGAAGCTGTTTGAATATTGAAGACGTATATACTTAAGTACCTAGATATAGTAGACAACTGGGAAGCAGAGACTTATAAGTGCTTGAGTACTGTACAGCTGGACCTGAGTAGTAATGGACCTGAGAGTATAGTAGTAGACTACCATGGCTACCAACTGCGCCTGACTACACAGCTGCTACTCTTATATCTCGCATTCTGCCTTTGTTGCTATGTCGTCCACTGTTACTAATATCAGTATGCCCTTTATCAACATTAAGCGAGAGCGGAATAGATGATTAGATAGAGGCGGTCTTCAATTTCAGATTCATACGTATGTACAAAAGCAACGACCCCTTCATGACATAGCCTCGAATCCAACTTTGGCAATGGCGATATAAAAAGCCATATTATAATATACAAGAGGGAACGTTAACCCCCTGTCCAACGACCATCATTATCACTCTAAATTACCTCCCCATCCTCTTCTTCTTCTTCCCTCCCGTATCAGATACATTCGCTCGATTCGTCACGCAAAGCTTATGCACCGCCAACCGTTTATCCCAACAGCTGCTAGTCCCTAAAACCACACTCTCAACTTCCTCCGCGAACCTCTCCGGTAAACTCTTCATCCTCTTCTTTCCGTCAGCAGCTTGTAACATCCATTGTAAGGCCTTCCTCCTCCTTGTCTTGACTGGCAAGGGGACAGGTACTTGGTTAACACTGCCTCCGGATCCACGAGTACTCTTGAGTTTAAACAATGGAGCTATAGAATCAATTGCTGTTTGTAGATATGCCACGGGATCTCCGGGGAGTAATGAAAGATCCGGTGCGTTGGGGACAAGCGGGTATTTCCCTTCTCTGGGTGCAGGCTTTGTACGAAGGATTTGAAGAATCTTTTGTACCGTTGCCTGGGCGGTCGCGAGTTCTCCATGCTTCATGAAACATGGAGTTAATTGTCGTAATAGCGGATGGTCTCTATGGTGAATGCTATGCAGCGCTGGGATCGGTAGGAGAGGAATTGCAGGTCTGTAAGGTGGAACGACGACTTTTGGGGTCGGATTGGAGAATTCGTTCAGGGCATCCGGAGGGAATAGCATGGCTGTTGTTTCGGCAGACAGGAGGGATGTCGTGGGTTTGCTGAGTTCTTCTTTGACGATTTCTGGTGCGTTCTCGACGTCATTTTCCCGCTTGAAGATCTATATTTATATATATAACACCACCCAATTGATCAATATCAGAACCTTGAAATTCTCAAAAATATGTACTTTTCGAGCTGTCATCGAGGGTTCATAAGATTACCTCGCTGGCAGGTGTCCCAAACTCCTCCACATTAACTCCTTCGTCTCCCATGATCTCAGCTGTCTTTGACGCCTCCTCCGTAACTGACCCCTCCGTAAGTTCGGATTCTCCAGATTTCGAATCGCTATAACTTCGTCGTTGATAAAGTGGGGCGAAGCCCGAGGTAGTGGTGGTGGTGGTAGTGGGGCCAAATCGATGAGGCCGCGGGGCGAAGGTCGCGAGACATCGACGGCTCGGTATCGATATCGGTCTTGAGGCGGAACCCAATGGAAGTCGTTCGAGGGCCCTCAAGGCCGACGGCCGTAAGAAAGATAGCGGGGCTGCCATTCCCGATTGGCAGGATGTCGGAAATCCAATGGTCGGCTGGGGTTCTTGAAAGTTGTATGTAGCTCTGACGAAAGATTCGATTCGACGCCGAACGTTGAATTGAAGTTTCGCTAAAAAATTTACAACATAAACAACGCACAAGCCGGCAAAACGGGCACACCAGGAAAAATTCGCCCCTTCTAGTAAAAGAAGCAGATGCATTATTATTTTACAGTCTTCTCAACAGTTACCAAAAGACCAAAGCGAAGTCCATGAAAGCAAGAACGCCTTGAAAATGCATATCGACAATTGAGAAACAACAAATAGTATTAAAAACGACTTTATTTTAGACGAGCCCTTTTCTTTTAGACATAGATTGAGAAGAGGAATTGAATCCTTTGGTATGGATAGTCCACTCAACCGATAGCCTGACGGTGTATTAAACAAAATAAGAAAGGAATATAATAAAAAGAAGAAGAAAGCAGAGGAATTAATATAGAGACGTAGTATCTCCTGATTACGATTCCGCCAGGTATGTTGTGTCCAGCATAATTGGAAGGAGAGGTTCCGTCGGTGATTCCGTGGGAAACAAGAATAAAAAATGAAGGAAAGAAAAAAAGATATGTAAGGAATGTGAAATCACCTCTTGCCTCTTCGGGACTCTCCTTTGGCGCGACCTTCGAGACTGGTAGTGTCGAACGAACCATGAATGGTCTTCCTTCGACTGTTTCGTCTCGTCCGCTCAGGTGTCGGTGTAGCAACCCCTGAGTGGGCCAAAATCTCACGAGCTGGAGCGGAAGCGCGACGACCGTTTCTCGATGCTGCAACCACCGCCTTTGCACTAGATTTCTGCCCGTGTTCTACCTCACCGTCCGATTCATCTCCACCTTCTACACTCTCCTCACTCTCGCTTTCCATCTTCCTCTTCTTGCTCGCCCTTTTCTTCGTCGCGGCAGGCTTTTCCGATGTATTTAACGTTTTCTAATCGTCACCATCATCTCTGCCGCCATCGTCGACAGGCGAGCCGTCGCCCTTCTTCTTACGCCTCTTAGCCGGTTTATGTTGGGGTGGCGGCGTCGTTCCCGTCTTCCGTTTTCGTGGCCTACCTCGAGCACGATGAGAAGCAGCGTCAGCTCCTCCTGCTCCGGGGCCGTCGTCGTCGTCATCATCGTCACCACCACCACCACCGAAAAGGTCGTCGTCTTCGTGTTCGGTAGTACGCTTGAACTCGCTGTCAACGGTGAGAAGCTCCACAAACTATAGGATCTCAAAAATTAGTACTTAACAACGCTCCATTGGCTTACAGAACCGGGAGAAGGAAAGAAAAAAAAAGCTCACTTCTCGAAACTGGTTATCCACTCCAATATCACTATCCAAGGCCATGATTAACTCCCCCATTTCGTCCCACAAACCCCTGCCCCCCATCCCCACAACTCTCGTTGGAGCTTTGGTCAGCTCCTTGGTATTCTTCGCCTTCTTCGCCATCGCTTCAGAAGTAACTCCATAAAGCTTTCTCAAATAGGTCCTCGTATTCCAGCACATATTCAAAACAACGGAGGCCATACACAGTCTCCTCTTAACCAGGGGATCTACAGGCTTTGTAGGCTCCGTGGTGTCAAGACTGATCTGAAGGATATCGGTCTCGATGTGATGAACTACTGTGGTTCCGATGTTCCCCACAATCTTTTCCAGGCCTAATGCGACGAGGTTGACATCTTCGAAGGAGACGTAGTCGAAATATGCTAAATTCTGGAGCACGAATCGCGCGTATGTCAAATGCGATGGAGTAGCCGATACCTGGAGCTTATTAGGATCGAATTCCAGCGCTGCCAACAGATTCCCGAGAAACTTCTTTTTCACTTTCCTGCTGGCGACGGTAAGAGCGTATAGGTTCGCAAGCTTGGAACTGTACGTGGTGCTGTCGGCACCGTCCCCCGATTCAATGACCTCCAACTGGTACTTAAACGCGAGTCGGAAACCTTCCATATAGGCCCTTTCAACAATACTCTCATGCTTTTGGGCCAGTGTTTTGAGTTCTCTCTTAGCCACGTTCTCTATCCTAGCGTCGGGGCAGGTCATCAACGCTACCAAGGCAGGTGTACACTCTTTTGGATGTACTAATCCCTGCCTTAAAACAGAACCGGTGAGCTCAACCGCAGCATACCCGTAATCATCGACAGCGCTCAAAGCGATATCAACGATATAGTGTAAGAACGTTTGTGCAAGAGCCGTAGAAACACCATCTCTTGAAGTCGCGGTACTAGCACCAGTCAGCCTCCCAGGATCGTAGTCAGCGTTTGCGACACTCTCCTTTGACGCTGCCGGAGCCTTGCCTTTCTTTAGCGCTTCTTCAGAACTTCTTTCTTCGGCACTCAAAAAGTCGAATAGACTTTTTAATACCAATGACTTGAATTCCTTTTGGTCTGATTTGAAGACCTCTTCGAAGGCACCGGTAACTTCTAGTCTCATGTATTGTTCAGGGTGGGTTTTGGCAACATTTCCAACTGCTTCAAGTGCTGCCTTACGAACGCTCGGATCAGCATTCTCATTAGCAAAGCGCAGCATAGTATCCACGATGAATTCAGAGACACTAGGGGTTTTAAAAGTGACGTTGCCTTTAGCGAGTCTGAGGCGGATTTCTTTGCTGTATCTTTCAAGTGGGCAGTAATTCCCGACAAGGCCAACGATGCAGATTAACCGGGATATCTTCCTTAACACTTGAGCGTCAAGCTTGCTAGTATCAGCCGTGAAATACGGCTTCAAGATGTTGAAACTCGAACAGAAAACAGCAATTAATCGACCGCTGATGTCGTAAGATTTGTTGATTTCGGAAAGGCAGAAAATCGCTTCCTGCAACTCGGTCATGGGAAGCTTCGAGACATTGGAAAGCAAAGCGGTTGCAACGTCTTCTAGGAACTTCGAGTGAGCAGCCGAAAGGCCAGGTAGAACACATCTGAAGATCACAATTGCAGATCTATAGATAGCCATATCGTCCGTAGAGCTTAGGTTTTTAATGTACGGCTTCAGAATATCTAGTTGGTCGACTCTGAACAAACTCGCCGACGCCCTTGCGAAAACCACCAGCGTGCGCATGATACTCTGTCGACGTAGCTTATCCTCATCGTTGCCTGTTGAATCGACGAGGTCATCAAAAAGGGCCTGCACCATCAACCTGCACACTTTGGAGTTCTGTTCCACTTGTTTGTTTTCGTGGTCTAGAAAATATTGGATCAAGCTGCTGAGAGGCGCGTCGAGCTTTTCGTTCGTGATTGCCACTTTGGTTATAACGCTCACTCGCTCTCTAATTATGACCTTTCCCTTCAAGCTTAGCTCGCCATCTTCGCCATCCCGAAGTTGTGGATAAAATTGATTAATCCAGAGTTCCTCGAATGACTTTCGAGCTTGCTCCGCTACCGCAGATTCATGGTCCACGACCCTCATAAGTAGGCACTTCGCGATATCCACCTTGTGCTCTGGGAAATTTGTGTTGGGGTAGATCTCTCGAAGGAGCTTTATGGCCCTCTTGCGAAGGGGGATATTCATATCGTGCGCTCTGGTGCAAATGGTAGGCAAGACTCGAGGCTCAAGTTCAGGTTTTAGGTTGAGGCATTTGCCGATGATGTCTAGAGCAGAGTCGCGAACTGATGGAGATGCATCTTTACACCGATCTAGCAAGGTAGGGATGAGGCCCTTGTCTTCAAGAATAGATGTATCCTGCTCTACTATATTCATCAACGCTTTGAGACCCTTGCTTCGAGCCGAAGTTTGGTCTCCGCCAATGCTGTAGATCAACCGGGCTAAAATGAGGAGCCTATGACTGCAGAAATCCCCAGCAAGGATGATGAGCAAGTACGCCTGTCGGATTTGCATTGGCGTAGGGTCATTTTTAAAAGCGCCTCTGTCGCTACATATATCCGTTAGTCGGGTCGTTCAAGGTATCGGGGGCTGTACACTTACTTGACTTCATCATCATAAAAATACCATGCCTTTTCCGTAATCATCCCATATAAGTCGCTCGACACGCGGCCTATGTCGGATGCCAGGGAGGCATCCACTTCCTGGCATTGCTGGAAACCCGCGACGAGCCTACTTGCCCACACAGACGCGAAGAACCCCCAAGCAGTCTACCGTCATATTAGCCCAGTGTTAAAAGTTATCCGGATGATCATGTGTCCTACCTGAAGATTATCAGCATCTTCTTTTTGGTCCCTACCCCAAAGATGCTCCAGAATCATTCTGAAAGGGCCCTTCCATAGTATCATCTTGCGAAATACGGCGTCTCGTTCCTCTTTCAATTCATGACCGGCTTTGCCATCAGTATTAGTGTGATAATCGATGTAATTATCAGTTATAACAGAAAGTATTCCATCTATTGTAGAGCTAGAGGGATTTCGGTCTCCGTGGATCTTCTTGAGATGGCTGAACAAGGAGCTGATCTTGGACCCAAGCTTCCCCAAAACTTCGAGGGCGGCAGATTTAGCCGGGACAGATGCCTTTGGATCATCAACAGTGTGGATCTATCGAGCGGGTCAGTCGCGGAAAGGTAAATTAGTTTAGGAGGAGGGAACATACCATCTTAATGCAAATTATCTTTAAAAACAACTCGGCAGCTGGCCATTCCGGGTTGTCGAGAACTTCAAGGAAATCTTCAACCATTAGATCTAATAAGTTCCTGGAGTTACTTGTATCCGAAGATTTAGCAGTATTCAATGCCCTGTTTACTATGTAGGACGTGACATAGGCGGTTTTCTCCTGAGCAGTTTTCATTGAACGCATGATAACTTCTTCTAATTTCATCACGACGGTTTCCGCGTCTCGCGAGTGAGAGCTGCCTTTCGCGGGCCCATCCTCGGAGTTACCACCATTAGCCATCTCTTCGTCAGAATCCACCGCGTTCCGGGAGTTGGATCCATTAGCTCGTTCCTGGTATGTCCCTGCGGATTGAACTAGGTTCATCATGAAAGCACTGATAAGTTGGATGCTTTCATTACCAGGGATCTGGAAGTTTTTCGCGCTCTGACGGCCAACCGGCAATCTCTCCAGATTGCTGAGAACCTCGTTGATGATGCCGTCGCCTTGGTCAGGGTGCCTCGCAAAAATCTTTGCAAGAGCATTCATTGCCGCTAATCTAAGATTTTCTACCTTTTTAACCCCGAACACAGAGTCTTTGTCGCTTGTGGCATTATCGATAAACACCAAAGCGACAGAGGTATAGATCATTTTGATCAGAAAATCCTCAGTAACCTCTTGATTCGAGATCAGCTGAGTCAGGAGCTTGATGATCTTTGTTGTATCTTGCAGCAGGTCCCTCAGGAGCTTCTTTTTAGACATAACAGCTTTAAAAGCCTCTTCCCTGTCTGATCGAAGGGCGATTAGAGGTACAATTGACCCTTCCAGAAGATTCTTGATGACGGTGTGGATAGATGTCAGAAGCTCCTCAGAATACAGCTGTTTTTCTTGTCGCCCGCCGTTCATAACCCGTAGGATAGTTCTACATGCCTTTACCGAGTTCTCCGCGAACGCTATTTTCTTATCCCACTCGGATACGGGGCCCCCTACCTCTGATGGCTCTCCGACGTCTTCGCTCACTTTGACATCTAGGTTTTCTGCAACTTTCAGAGTATTATCACAAGTTTTCAAGAGACGAAGCAGATCATCGAGGTCCATTCTGTCCAGCCGGTTATATAAAGTAACCTGCCTAATAGCGTGGTCAAGTTTCACCTGTGTGCCAACAGAAAGGCACTGACCAGTCGCTTCTGCAGAGTATCCAAGGGCCCCAGGAGGTATAAATGACCCAGAAGAAGTCGCGAGCACGTTCCCAGAGGTATCCGGTTGAAGATTGTCCTCGTCTTCGAAGATCCTAATCAAAATAGCTTGTAGGTTATTTATTGCAGATTCAGCCTTTGCACGGGTGTCTACACTCGAAATTTGTGCTTCGTGCTCGTCTTGGTCTGCTAGCTTGCGTCGCTTCCTTGATTTGAAGTTATCGGGTATTAGAATGCGTGCATCAGCTTCCTGATGGGTAGAGTAATCTGCCGGTGTGAACCCTTCTTTTGGTGGTGGGAGCACGATTGCAGCAAGAAGCTGCCCAGATGAATGATGGTCGGAAATAAGTGGCTTAGCCTTATGAGTCGGAGTGGTATCTCGCTCCTGTTGTAATTTTGTTGGAGTCAAGGATCTGTCGTAGCCATTGATATTACTCCGAGAGGAAGAAACAGGAGGTATCTCAATGTAGAAATTAGAACGAGAGCCTGAAACCTCTGTTGGGGGGAGAGGAGAAGGTTGTGACTGTGGTAGTGGTGGCCGTTGGTGTGTAGATGGGGCGTGGGTAGTAGTCTTTGGCGGCTTCGAAGGAGTCTTGACCTTGGGAACAACGGTAGGAGGTTGGTTCAGAGACTGTTGAGAGTCTTCTAAGGTAGAGAGAGGTGATCTTTTAGCTAGAAAGATACACCAATCGATATTAGCTCCTATTCTTTGTACTAATGTGAGGGTAGTATGGATTCCTTACAGGGTTTCTGATTGTACGTAGGAAGTTTATGGAGGATAGCGGTTTCAAAAGTCCCAAGTCCAGAATTCTGGAGCAAGTCTTCAACCGTAGTTTTAGTAGTAGTACCAGTATTGAGTGGAGACCCAAGCTTGGATTTTTTAAATTCACTGTGAAATTGTTCAGCATTCTCGTTAGCAAACCATGAGATTAGCGTTTGATGAGAGTGAGGAATGGCATACAGCTGTAGACCCTTTTTCTCAATAGTATTGTTGATATAACCACTGATATCGCTCGTAGCCGTCCTAAACCTCTTTGACATAGGGTCCAGCTTGTTGAAGTCTTTCAAAACCTTCCTACCGACTTGTTCGGATTTCGCAGCGAGAGCAGAACCGTCGATAGTTGGAATAGGGATGATATCTAATGAACGTAGGTTAGATCAGCATTGAACCTTAACTTAAAACGAAGAAGAAGAAGCAACCAGCTAGATAAATAAGCAGCTAGCAAAATATTAAAAGATAGAAGAGTCTATGGGTAGACAATCACCAGCACCACAAAGGAAGTAGGCTTATGAAGAGGATGTGATGAAGTGTTACTTACGTCCGTGAAACGGTTGGATAGAAGCGAGAGGAGTATACTGGAGAGCTTCTTCAATGGTATTAGGAGCTTGAACACCTCTGGAAGAAGAGGTAGATTGGGTGGCAGCAGTATATACAGAGCCAGAAGCAGCAGCAGAGGAAGGATGTGAAGGGTAGGAGGTCTGGCGATGCTGTTGAGCTGGAGGTTGTGGTCGAGATTGGTAGAAGTGTTGAGGTTGGTGGGAGCTGGAATGGGAGGGGTTATAGCGGGGAGATGAGGAGGTGGAGTTGGAAGCGGAGGAGCGAGCAGTGGCCGAGTAGTTGTTAGCAGCAGAGGGAGAGCTGTATTGCTGTCGGTGATGCTGGTGGAGGGGCTGTTGTTGTTGAGACGCCATGGGAGGGAGAGGAGGATGATGGTGGCTGTTGTGGGGAGAGGTGGTATAGGCCTGAGGGGGGTATCCACCACCACTGCCACTACTACCACCACTGCCAGGAGGATGCATGATGGTCTGCTGCTGCTGTTGGTGGTGGTGATGATGGTGGTGTCGATGGTTGTTATGAGCGCTGTGATGAGGTCTAGAGGCAGATGTAGAAGTAGTAGGAGAGCCGTACTGCGAGGGCGAAGGAGGTATGTAATTGAAGTTGTAGGAATATCCTGAGTGCTGGGAGCCATAGAAACCCTGCTGAGGCTGCTGCTGAGGGGCGAGGATATGATGATGAGGGGGGTGTTGGTGGGGGGTCCCTTGGCCAGGAGGAGGATGGCTACCACCACCGTACAACTGCTGCTGTTGCTGCTGTTGCTGTTGCTGGGCCTGCTGCTGCTGGGCTTGCTGCTGCTGCTGATGGCTATAGCCATGATACCCCGGATTATACCCTTCCATGGTGGGCGACGACGATTCTATCAATCCCCCTTTTATACGAACTATCTACACATTTCCCTTCCTAGATGGTGATGCAGGTACCGAAAGTCGCGTCGGGTATTCTTTTCTCTTTGTTATCGACAACGGCGCATTTTCCTTCGGTCGGGGTTTTTCGAGTTTATTGTTCCTCCAGAAAGTCGAATACCATATGATATCAATGTTACTGCAACTTGTCCGGTTCGTATGACGATGTATGTACTATCCTTTGCTGTCCAACAGACCGAATCCAACGATGCCTGAAAATAACCCTGCAAGGTCGTTAGTTACTTATGAACGACACTAAACATCGGCTTTCCAAACAATCGCGATTTGATTAATTTGGTTCTGGTTCCGCTTTACTAGTCTGCGTCTAACCGCTTTGGGCCTCGGTTAACTGGCCACTCATGGTTGGGAAACATGCCAAGATTGATATTCGCTCCTTGGCGTTATCCAGCTTAGCCTCATGGCCATGACGATGCATGCGACGCGATGGTCGAGGTGCCAGTCGGCTCGACATGCAGCCAGGACAATATATACAACAAGTGCTCCTTACTTAGTACTTGTTAATTAAGTAGTACTTAGTACCTATTGTCGATATTATAGAACTCGCTAAGTGGGCCGATCTTGGGAAACTGAGTTTTGTGTAATATACTACAACGGCTAAGCTAGGTAGCGCTGCGAGATCGAGATGTTGACGAGCTGCTTTGAGCTCTGGGTTTTGAATCTTTCACATGTGGTATGATGTCCTTTCGATCGATCTAATTGATTACGATATAGACACTGACCCTAAGCCGCATGCGAATGCTACTCCGTACTAGGTCCTAGCTATTCCGCTCTAACTTGAAATTATCTGTCACAAAAATTTACTAATTAGTACTTAGGTCGTCTACAGGCTTTACACTACCTCTTTATATTATAGGTTGGCGATAGATGGATGTGCAGCTGACTTTAAATTGATAGCAGAGCGTCGACTCACAATTAGAGTCGATTGAGAATGATCTAGAATCAGTTTATAAATTTATACCGATCTCACTCCGAGACTTGATAGTATGAATTGACATCATGCATCATGCTAGCTCTTGGTTAGTATTTCGTGCTGCAATTCCGGATCCCGGATCACACCGCACTCGATTACATCGGTAGAAAACTGGACATATCTTTCTCAACATTCCGATTAATCCGGGGATCGATATTTCCGCGCCAAACCGGTTCTCTCTCAGTCACTTCACAGGCGGACTCAAACATACGATCGAAACGCGATTCTTATCCAGCCTGGCACCAGACAAACCACGCCTACATGGGCGATCGTTTTTCTAAGCGAAAATACCTGATACTCACCAGATGCGATGCCTAAATGACCGTGGAGTAAAATTTTCGAAGCGGTTTAGCCCGGTTATGCATTCCCAAGCCGCAAGCAGCCTATCAAAGTTTCGGAGGCGAGCGCGCGGACGCAAGGAGTCGACGATTACATATGCATCATGCATCCTCAATGACATATTTGCGCTGATACCAGGTATGTATATTTACACATAAGTATATCGACTAGCTTTCAAGTACTCTAAGTAATTCCTCTGGCCTCGTTAAGTCATCTTCACTTGTCCATTTACAATCGACGCGGTCCATATTAACAAAATAAATATTTAAGTAACACTGGTCTCGTTCCTAGACGTCACAAAGGGAGACATAGTAGCACTCTAATAGGTCACTTGTAGATGTTTGGCTAAATATAGGCATACAATTAATCAAGAAATATGTTATGTTGAGCTTAATATGCGTAGAGGAGCATTAATTCTGGTTTACGAGACAAGAAGTACCCATCTAACAACCGGACTAATGCGTCGCAAGAATTTCATACGGTTAGTACTAGTACTAGTTGTTAGGTAGATACATATATTTTATAGTATACAAGCAGACCGGCTCGTTCCACAGAGACTATATATATACCTATATCAATATCTATATAAACACTAGTGACCCTCGAGCTTCTTTAGCTTCAAAAAGTAGAATTGTACGAATATCATATTGATACTTACGATATATAGTTTATACCATAATATTCACTATTTAATATAAGAAATGGGTGCTAATAACTCAGTCCCAGGCCGTCCATCGAGCTCAAGCGCCCCGGTGCCCGATATTATTAAGATTAATGGCCACCAAGTTGAAGACGGCCAAGCTGGAGACCACCATCCAGTGGTCGCATCTTGGTTTCTCGGCCCTCGTGCTGAGAACTTCAAGTACATGGCTCAATCCTTCCTACAGGTTCTCCACGATCAAAAAGAAGCCCGCCATAGCCTTTTCCCCAATGATCCGGCGTTCATAACTCCGGAAATCCAATCCGACGAAAGGTTTCAAGCATCGATTGAGTATTTGAATAACCATCTTCATTTACTATCTGAAAAACTAAGCACAAACTGTATTCCATTTTGGAGTCCGAGGTTTAATGGGCACATGAATATGGATACTACTATGCCAGCACTGCTTGGGTGTACGTCTTCTAGTTCCCCCCTTAAGTGCTTTTGTTTTGATTTCTAATAGTCATACTGAACATGAATAGATTTGACAGCGATGCTGTATAATCCCAATAATCTTGCAATAGAAGGAGGTCCTTTGACCACAATGCTTGAGATTGTCGTCGGAAAACAGTTGTCTGAAATGCTTGGCTATAACGTTGTTCCGAGTCACGATCCCTCCGTCCCAGTAGGATGGGGACATATCACAGCCGTAAGTCCGTTTTCCATTTTCCGCTTTCTAACTATGATATATATAAAATACAGCCAAGCTAGCTATATTATATTCATATTGATGGCTTCTTGTCTATCATCTGCATACCCGGTTATATCTTTTGATTGCGGTAGCTTCTGGGAGACTTTCCTCCATATATCCCAAGAACTTCCTAGCAAGCAAACTTATGCATGAATATTAATACTCTGATATCAATACCTGAAAATAACCATTCTGACTGTAATTTACTCCACCAGGACGGCTCTATCGCCAACCTCGAAGCCATCTGGGTCGGTAAGTACTTCTAGCCATCCCCAGTCGTCATGAGAATATCGACTTGATTAAACCTAACCTATTAAACTACTTAATCAATTAACCAAAATATAATAGCACGCAACCTCAAATTCTATCCACTATCCTTATTTCTCGCTATCACCGAAGGCCCCTTAAAATTCATAAAATCCAATCCAAGATCCCTAATAGTCCCACTTTGTGATGGTAATAAAAAGCCTTTCGTCGACCTCACAACATGGGAACTCCTCAACTTAACCCCTGATGCTGCCATGAGCCTCTCTAATCAACTTAATGAACTCTATGGAATCTCACAAACAGCTTTAACTAAGGCAGTAACGCCGTATTTGATTCAGGATACTGGTAGACGCTGGCTTGAAAAGAAGTTTGGGATCGAGAATGAAGCAGTTATGTTTGTTAGTACTACGGCGCACTATTCTTGGCCGAAGGGTTGTGGTAGGTTTGGTCCTTTATATACCCGTATCCCAAGATCCTAAGATGATACATGACGCTCATCTTTTTTTTCTGTTTCTAGCAATTACCGGCATCGGTGCAGCGAACATCATCTCCGTCGACGTCGATCTAAACGCTCGTATGTCAATCTCTAATCTGAGATCTAAACTTTCTGACGCCCTTGCCAATAAAAGAGCTGTCTACTCTGTCGTTGCAATAATTGGCAGTACCGAACATGGTGCGGTCGACCCTCTGAAAGAAATACTTGAAGTTCGCAAAGACTTCCGAAAACAAGGTCTATCATTTCTTATCCATTGCGACGGCGCATGGGGCGGCTATTTTGCATCAATGGTCGATGTTAAAACGAAGAGGAAAAATAGTATTTCAAATAGTACTAGAAATCATACAATGGGGTTTGTACCGAGACAAACTTTGAATCCTTATACTATTGAGCAATTGGAGTCATTTGGAGAAGCGGATAGTGTTACTATTGATCCACATAAGTATGCCCCCTACCTCTTAATATGAACCCTTTCCTACTCTATGGGCTTACTAGGAGACTAAAGCTTTCCCTCGTTATAGATCTGGATTATGTTCCTACCCAGCTGGTGGACTCTGTTATCGCGATGGTAGGCTCCGCTTTCTCGTCACTTGGCAGAGTCCGGTCGTTTATCGATCCGGTGATCAGAGTATTGGTATATATGGTGTTGAGGGAAGTAAACCAGGCGCGGCTGCGGCTGGTGTTTGGCTTTCTCACGAAGTTATCGGACTCAACAAGAATGGCTATGGAACATTACTTGGAGAAGGGGTCTTCACTTGTGCAAAGGTATGTAAAGACATACTTCTTTCTAGAAAACTCCTGATACACCCCGGGCCCTACGCTTGAGGGGTTTGCTTTTGCAACCATTCAGCAATGCTAACGGCACTTCCTATGTGCTAGCTTCACGCAAACTGGGCCACTCTATCCACGGATGAGGATAACTTCATTGTGACTCCGTTTAACAGACTTCCAGCTGAGGTCGATGGGAAATCCCCTGAAGAAATTGAGAAGCAGAAAGAATTTATTCGAAAGCATATCATTAAAGTCGATAATAAAACTCTTGCAAAAGATAAAGCAGCTCTGGAGCTTCTTAAATTGATCGGAGGCGATCTTATGGCGAATGCTATGGCTTGTAACTTCAAGTATACAGTTGGCGACAAGAAGGTCCCAAATACTAGTATCGTAAGTAGTTACTTATACCTAATATACATCTAAGATTGCTCACCTCTTTTTACATATTTCACTGAACATAATGTTGACAAAAACTCCACTAGGTCGAAGCGAATATTATGAACACTAGAATATTCAACCGTGTCTCCGTCACCCGACCTGGCGAGGAAGTCAAAAAAAGAGAACTATTCCTCACTTCCTCCCAATTCTCGCAAGAGAACTATGGCGAATGTCTCACTACTTATAAAAAGCGACTGAGCCTTAAAGGGTCGGATGACTTATGCTCTCTCTTAAACGTCACAATGAGCCCCTGGCCTACGGACGGAAATTTCCTGACGAATGTTGTCGTAGCAGGATTTAAGAAAATCGTTCAGGAAGAAGCTCAGGTACGACTTCTGACCTCTAGATACCTAGACCTTTCAGCAGGTTAGATTTTAATACTCATATAGTATGCTATTGCCCGAAACACAACTTCCCCCGATTTTCACGGTTTCGTCATGCAAGGCGACTCCCCCCTTCATCTCGTTCATCTCCCCATGTTCAACATGAAAAACCACCGCTACCAATTGATTATTACTGGAGATCTCCCCGCCGATATTTTCGAAATATACAAATCCGATAAAGCGGCCAACCCGCGTGCCGTGTATCTGCTTGGAAATAAAAACGCAGACATCCTCGAAGAACTTGTTAAAGCCACTGAATTCGAAGCAGTAATCGATAAGGGGTTCCCACCAGACGATGGATCCCATTGGCTTAGTGGGTTCAAACTTACCAACATCAAATTAGTTCTGAACCAATCACTAGAGCTCGATGATCTTAAAAAGGCGTTTCCGCATACTGACGATAGACTGTACCCTTCTCGAATGCCGTTTTGGATGTATGGAACTAAAGAGCAGACCCATATTGACCATGTCCTAACGTGGTCACCAAACGCACAGCTCAACAGTGAATGCGTAAAATGTGATTTTGAAAGAGAACTTACAGAAGAGGAGTTGAGTAATATCGTCGTCTGTACATTTGACGGCTTGGACGAGAATTTCATGCAACCAATGTAAGTCTTGTTCTTTTGAACTATTCTTATAGTATCCATAATGCCATCTAAAGGGTATAACTGACAATAACTCCCCAGCGCCAACGATCCCGGGCAAGAAAACCCAAACACAAATTGGCATACCCCTGGTCTCCCCTTTCATCGTTCCTCGACCTTCTCGGTCGAAATCTACTCAAATTACCACGACTCCCAATCCGATGCCGCCCCATTAACAAAAGGCACCATAATCCTCGGCGGCTGCTATGCGGACTGGGATATAATAAACGATATCCCCAGTAACCCCGGTGAATATAAGACGGACCCCCTTCTCGAAGATTACGATATTTTAAGTGATACCCCGGACTCCTCTGGTAAACATCGAATCCGAAGGGGAAGTCTGAAGCCAAATCTGACGGAAAGGCATCCTATTCATAACGCTTATAAGGAATTGTTGGATAGGAGGCGGATTGAGATTGCCAAGGAGTGGACTTTGGGGTTTGAGCCATTTGAACGGTGTAAGTCGGTCATAGCAGGGAGCTTGGAGAAGAAGAGTATGAAAGTAAACATCAAGAAGCTTCTGAAGAGGAGGAATATTACTTTAGAGGACTTTTAGGCCGGGTATGGAGATATCCACTTTTGTCAGATGTACCTGATGTTTTGTGCAATTGATATCTACGTTCACTGCTGGAAGACCACAGGGTATCCCGTCCGCTCTGCCTTACTTAAGCTTCCAAGCGGGCGCTCAGTAGTATAGTGGGTGACCGACACCTTGATTGACTCTATTACTTTACACGAGGGTTCACTAGGGAACGGGGTTCTTTAATATATACACAAGGGCATGAGACTAAAAAAAAAGGCTAGTCTAGCTTGTATTAAAACGCTTCGGCACGCCCAAAAAGGCTCGGTCAGTACAATTTTATATAAGTAGGTAGGTACCTAGGTAATTTTAAAGTTTAGAAAGAACAATAGAAAAGAAAATAATGTTAAGTCTCAACCTAGTTGATACAGTATATGTACTATGTCACACAGTCTCGTAACCAAACTGTGTATGTCACATTATATAGAGGCTATTGAGGAAATACCAACACAAATATGTAAACTACTAGTATACGTAGTCTCGACGCCAATTTTACAAATTACTTAAATCGCGAACGGTCTTTATCAGGTAATTGTAAGAGCCAAACTCACTTTTTATATAACCTTCTGTTGGTGAATCACAATAAATCGGATTTTATATCTATAGACACGGGAAGCTATAAGGGAAAAGATGGTCCGGTTTTTTCTAAATTGCATACAATCTTCTTCTCAACTCGAAGCTTCCTCCCTTTCAACATACATCCCTCTAAAAGTGAACAAGGTAATGTAGCCATATAAAGATCTCTTGGGGAACTAACCCACGACTCCGGTATCTACAGAATATCTCCAAGTATCCGAAGATTCCAGATATTAAATATAGGTAGGTGATAACTATCATCGGATTTTTAAATCTCATCACGAATCAACCTCCCCAGCGGCCACTCGACCATCCCCAGGAGCCTCCTCATATCCATCGTTACAACTTTGCAATCCCGAGTTTCCCCATTCACACTATCTTTGTGAAAGAAAAACACATCCGGGTTTTTTAAATAAAGTCTTCTTTCGCTCTAAATACGTACTCTATAGATATATATAGAGAGAGAATTCAATACTTATTACTTGCTATAACCGTTCTTCGTTGCCTTTTTTCCCCCATAAAGTGCCACCCTTTTTTATTTTCGTTTTCGCAAGCCATGGACTTCCAAGTATTCCTGGATTCATTCAATGAAGTCCCTGAAAACGCTACTGCTCTCCATGAATGGGCCGCAATTGAGCTCGAAACCATTCGAGCCCCTGGAACTGCCCGTAAATGGGCACAAATCGATAAAGAACTAGAAATGATTGGACCAAAACTTCTCGGCTGGAATCCCTTTCAATCTGAAGTTACTCTTCGTATGTTTCCATTTGCAAAATTTAAAACCTGATATTGAATTCCTAAACAAACTGCTAATTGATAAATCAGATACCCTGAAGTCATACGGTAGACTCGTTTGTATGAATTACCAACGCTTGGGAATCAAAGTCCGAGCCGTTGGGATCCGTCGCCGCTTCCAAATCGTTTTCGCTAAGGTATATTTATATATATCTGCTTCAAGTATTTTGATACTTCGTTGACAAGTTTTTGGATTATAGCAAAAAGAAATACTCGACATTACCGTACCTCGATCTTTCAGACTAAAAGCGTTAAATGTAATTAAACATTTAACGAAAGAATTCGGTCTCTCCACTGATGTTATCGACCGGAAATTCTGCGGAGTACAGGAAACTTCCTTGGCGGTCAGATATCTCGTTTCGAATACCGCTATAGAGTGCTCGGACCTGGTATATATATATGCTTCCGCTGTATCGTCCTTTCGTTGTACCAGATTTCTAACTTCGAGAGTCCCCCGCAGGCTGTAATGTATGGCCTCATATACATCATCGCATTATACCACGGCGTCAGGCCGGGATCGATTACCGTTTCGAAGGGATACCCTGACTCTGAAACATTGCTCTGGAAGGTGGATAATTAATTCCCTTCACTTTTCTTCCCTGACTTTCTGAAAAAAAGAAAAAAAGAGGATCCGGGGGGGCAAAAGGATCCTAAAGATTCCTTCGTTATAAGCGGTATCCGACTAATTCTTTAATATAAATAGGATGTGAAGTTTGAGCAGATAAAACCCGGAGTTTGGAAAATAACAGTTAAATACAACTGTTTGAAGAACTGTCACGACAAGGAGTCCCGCTTGTAAGTTTGAATTGATCCCATGGCCCATTCGATCAAGACCACTTTTACCAAATCGTCTTGCAATATACAATCTATTATTTATAATCCAATGAATGATTAGAGTTTTATTTCAGAGATCAATATCCACTCCGTAAAAAATGATCATGGTGCCAGCCAAGATTGTCAGTAACGATTTATCAACTAACGTTATTATACACATACTTTAGTCTAGAATTGTCCCTTGATGAACTCAAGGATCCCGAGAATCTCCATTTGGATCCAGTAATACAATTCTTCGCATGGGGCATACGCCGCGATGTTTTTGACGGCATTCACTCTTCCTCGGATTTGGCGAATTACAAAAAAAAATATTTGCCAGTGAAAAAATCAAAACAAAACACTCCAGTTTTTGTGAAAGCTGTAAAAGTCGGACGAGCCCCTGCTAAACTAACCCAAAATAGTGCTTTAAGTTCAGAGGCGTTGATCAAAAGAGTCCATACCGTCAATATCCAAATTGGACTTCCAGAGGGCACCACGATGACTTCTTGGAGGAAGGGTTTCGCCCGTAGTATCCAAAGACAGTTTGGCGACGAAATCGCCCGTGAACTGCTAGGCCACGAGCCACGCTCGAAAATATTAGAGGTAAGATTTTCAAAGTTCCGTAATTGATCTTATTTGATCATATGGTCTAACAACTTTCAACCTAGCGCCATTACCGCGGGAAACGGACAGATTTTAAAAGTAGCGGGGTCATCACGGGGGAGGACCCGAAGGGTGTTGGAGATGATAGTGCCCATTGGGCAGGTTCATACCAGTAATATATATACAATAACCCCTTATATTTCTCTTTGCATGATCACAGTAATGTTCTTTCGCATTATCCGTACGTGCGTGCTAACCCAATAAATCTCAAGAGTTCCGGGTGTCCAGGATGTTGCATTGACGAAATTGGAAAAGGCGAGCATGCCTAAAACTACCAAATATATGAAGTTGAAGCATAAAAGGGAAGAATACAGAGCCGGAGAGCTCGAAAAACGTGAAACCGTCGCAGGATTAGAAATCTCGGGAACCCGAACCAAAAAGCTAAGTTGGTCCGCTGAAGTGTTTCAAACCATTGGCTTTGATGAAGACCCGATATCGATGGACGACGATGGTGCCGACGTTGATGCTTTGTTTAAAGAGCCGGCGACAGGTGTCACATGTACACCTGAAGATCGATATGGTGCTCTGGAAACCTTGATCAATCTAAAAAAAATCCGAGAACTTGGGGTTTGGACTTGCCAAATGAACAAGAGGGACGGAAGTAAATGCGGTGCTAGGTTAGCCATCAGCGACGCTTCTATCGCCTCCCTGTGGTACAAAATCTTTGACATATGTTTTCCATACAGCTTCAAGACGCTTTCCCGCTTCGAGGACCATCAATGGTTCCAGCACGATTATGCCGCCCCGTATAAAACAAAAATTCCGGCGCATTTGAAAAAGGAGTACGGCAAGATTCAGGCAGATAGAAGAAGAGTCCGCGATCGTGCGAAGAAGGATTTCGAAACCAAGGGTCAAATTGCGGAGTCAAAAGATGGGGAAATCACTATTGATTTGGACGACGACTTTATCGCGCCGTCTAATTCTGAAAAGCCATTCCCTCCGCAAATATCGCAGGCCTCCAAAAGGTAATTGGTTCCAGAATACTCCTCACGAAAAGTTAATTATATCTCAAGCTTATGAAATATATCATCTTTCTACTAGGCATGTTGACGATTCGCAGGCGGGTGTAGAGGAGAGGCTTTCTAAGAAGCCAAAAAGCTGTAAGTTCTTGTTAAATTTATCGAGGGAATGAATTAAATGCATATATACGCTGACTTTTTTAACTTCAAGTTAAGAAATTACAGAAAAAAAATGCGTAAACTCGGATCGGGCATATGATAATGGGAGGGACGCAGATACACCCCCTGCCCGCTTATACCGATTTCGGGTTCCAACCGATCTTATATATTTTGATATATATCCACCATTTTATATGGCTTGGTAAATTCGTTTCCATAGTTTTGTCTCTTGCGCGCGCGCGCGGTCGTTTTCGAAACTTGCACCACCATCCATTGGGGATGCGTGCTAGACTTCCCCTTCCCTACTAGTAAACCTACGCCGTTTCCTTTTTTCCCCCTTCTGTTTCTCTTTTTTTTCTTCTTCTATTTCTCTTTTTTTTTGTATCAATCCCAAGTCACTACTTATGCATTCAAAGCTCAGAATGCACTCCCCACTTGCGCCTGGTTTACAATACCCTTTTCTTAATAAACCTTTGTTTTTTGGTGCGTCTTTCGAAAACCCCTTTTGATACAGTTTCTTTGTTGAACCCTACTCATTCAATGTTTATACTTTAACTATCATACCCTTCCTACATACTTATTACTTGGCTAAACTATTAATAAGCTTTAATCTTAGGAGGGGCAAGGTGAGAATATATGTATTCGGTTTAACTATTAAAGCTAGCAGTATTGTGATTTTTTTTCTTCTTCTTCTTCGAAACCCTTCAGATCGGTGTTGGAGGCAACTATGGCCACGTCCTGGACTACATATAGTTTATGATTACAGGGTTTCCTATATATTCTTTCTTTTGAGGAAAATGTTAGTAATAGAGCAATATCATAGTGTGAATCGCGCCTAACGTAGGTCTTCTTTTTTTGCATCTTTTGGTTATTTTTTTGTGATTTTTTGATGCTTCGTTCGTCTTAGGGATGTCGAAAATTGGATGTTCATGATACAGGAATGCAGAGTTTTCTGTTGTTCTTTGTTTGGCCTTACAACTACACAGTTTGGTTACGAGACTGAGAGTTTGTGTTGTGTTGGGTTTTTCTAAGACCACAACAAAAATTCTGGTGCAATTAGATTGGGACCACAACGAGACCAGGTCACTGCAGTTTATGAGCCGGGATTGAGTGGCCTCGGGGCCGGCTACGACCTAATAGGTATCTCGTTCTAGTTTATAATTATATATATATGCGAATTTTGTATCTATGATAATTTATTCCCACTAGAGTATGTAGTAAATTGTGGATTGATTTAAGTCGAGTTGGAGGATGTAAAAAATCTGCCTACCTAAACGCTGCAGATTGACTCCCACCCAAGAACAAAATGTATTAAGTAAAGGCTTGTACTTATCGAAGCACTATGACTTAGATAATAGCAAAGACACCAGTAATTAGTTTCATGCCTGGAGTGCTCGTATAAACCAACTAGTGACTGCAAATGCCCACCAATCGGAACCAAAAGTTATGCTCCCTCTAAAAAAGTTCAAGTTTATTCGGCGTCTGGGAACGAGACTACAAGTTTATATAAACTCTGCTGATAAAACCGAGTCATATGACGAATTTGGCCTTCAAAACATCTGACGAATAAATTCTGCAAGATACCGTCGGTTTCCAGAGTGCCCCCCGTAAATTGGCCATGTTACTAGTCTAGTTGTTTAGCCATGTTACTACTATTTTGGTTGTGTCGTTAGTTTAGCATGGTCTCACTTGGTTGATTAGCATAGACATTGCATACGATAAACTTGTTGCATTTCTCGTGTTGATCGACCATCGCAAATATGCGATGAACGTCACATCACCAAAAACACCCATCGTGATTGCGACGCCAATTCTTCTCTAAATCAGTTGATTTTTAGTTCAATCGAACGCTAAGATCATCATCTAAAAATGGTGACCCATCTTCAAAACAATTCTGAATTTTGAAAATCAAAAAAGTCACGTGGTGTCGCGCGGTTGAAGTCTTTGGGTTGCACGACGTATAAATTTTTAGTGCGACCGCCGGCAGAGCCCCAAAACCTTTAATTCAACGTCAAACATTCGAATCCCTGCTTCAGGTTTGGTCATCTTCACACATTCACCATAAAGCTCATGAAAAGAGGGAAAGTGAGAGGAAAAGAGTGAAAATGTCGACTTCAATGGAACCATTCGCCCAGTCCTTACTGCATCTGGCCCATCCAGATGATGATGCAGAAGCGACCCGTATATACAAAGAAAAAGTCGCCTACCGTCCCCTCGACTTCCGAAAACTTACTGCTTCCACAGCAAAACAAACCGACCAACGAGCCCGTCGACGCGAACTGCGTCTTGCCAAGAAGTTAAAAAAGGCCTCGTCAAAACCATCGTCAAAGCCGAAACCTCTGTCTGCACGTGAAAAGCGTGCGTTAGGAGTTTATGATATCCCCAAGGAAGCCCAGAAATATGCAATCTACGAACCATTGAATAAACTATGGATAGGATACATCCATGAAATTCTGAAAGGAAGCTTTGGAAATAATGGAACAGCCGGTCAAGCGACGGCGGCTAAGCTTTGTGCTGCGGATTTCCACGGCTGCGAAGTTGAAGTTGTGAGGAATCGTTGTCCCAGCCGAGTGGGTGTCAAAGGGATCGTGGTGAAAGACACGAAAATGACATTCGTGATTGTGACGAAGAAGGATGAAATTAAACGTATGTCTCCTTTTCCGGGGGAAATGAAAGGATGATAAACCTGGAGATTTGTGATTTTGGTGTTCTAATGACTTTTGTATAGATATACCGAAGGAGCACTCGGTGTTTCGGTTTGAAATACCGTGGCCAGATACGACGAAGGAAGGTGCTGAGCCGATTGTTCTGGAGTTGCATGGTTCGAATTTTATGTTTAGAGCTGCGGAGAGGATGAATAAGAAATTCAAGGCGAAGGCGATGGATGACTTGTGAGAGGCTTCTCGGAAAGCAAGTTTGGTGTATTTGGAGATGCTGGGAGATGAATTCGCAACAGAGGTCTGAGCTTCCAGTCGGTCTCTATCGGTGGACTACATCATAGCAACGGACCTTAGTGGACCATATCTACACGATTATTTGGCTCTTGTCTGTCTTAGGACAAATAATTACGGGGTAGATACGGTGTCACCATCCCGCTGATCACGGGGAAGGAGGCTTGGGTGAAGATGAATGAGTGGTACAATAAACTCTGCAGCATCAACAGAAGACTCTTCTCTCATCCCGCATGTCCTCGCTTATGTTATCTTCCGTTCTCAAAATGCTTCTCTTACAGATACTCTGCGGCTTCGGCTTTCTCCTAGCACCCTTGACAGCGGCACAGAGTGTCGTATACACCACATCCACAACCACAATCACAGAGTTAGTTGTCTGCACGACTACTCAATACACCACAAAATCTCTCGACTATTGTCCCTGTACGGCTGTATTCCCTTCCGTTTCTCGGTGCACTAACTGCCAGACTTGCTCAACTACTTTGGTATCGCCAACTACATCATCGGGTCCTTATCCGACCGGTGATGAGTTTACTGTTGACCTCACTATCGGCCTAGATACTGGTTACGAGAGGGTTACGCTATCCCGAGTTGGTAATACGGTTGGAATAGGAGGAACAGTAATAACATTCAATCTTTCGGACTCGGGATTGCTGCGAGACGTTCTCACGGGGGATATTGTCTACGTGATATTACCTACTGGCACCCTCCGTAAACGATTCGAGGGGTCGGTCGACTTGCTTATCGGCCCTACTCCACCTTCTACAGCTTCGAAGACGACCTGGTATAGAACTAGGCAAGGCGAATTGAAGTTCGAGATCGGGAAAGGTACTTCGAGTTCTATTACCCTTGCCTTCGGGGTCGCTCTTGACGAAAGTGACCAGATTGATACCACCGTTCCAATTCAAATGTACGACATCTCGGAAGGCGTGCCGTCAGATATTGAAACAGGCATTGCTGAGCAGAGCTCCGTTACTGGGAGTGTACCGATAACCAGGTCAGGCGAGGAACCATCTACAATCTCAATAACCTCGTCCTCAAGAACTTCACTATCTACCTCATCTACGGAGAGCTCGGATAAGACTTCTTCGTCTACGAGCAGTACGAGAACAATATCCACACGGACAACTATAGCCACACGGTACGGGCCGACAACCGGGATTTCGACCACCACTCAGGGGAGCGGGGTTGTAATCATAATCATAACATTGCTACAAGCCACACGGACTGCTACGCTATATGGATCTACCGCTACGACTTCCACCGAACCGTTCGACCCACATGCGCCGACTCTCACGGTATACGCCGTATCCATACAGGCTATTACTACCGTTACCTTCTATGGCAGTGTTGGTTACACTTCTACTCCAACTATCGGGAGCGTCTTCCCTACTCTCACTGCTATCGCCGAATTGCCTCAAGTTACGATCACGAACACCACCTACGGGTCCCAGTTCTCGACCATAAGCTTTCAAGAGAATTCGTTGATACCAACGATCACTATATACCTGCAGTTCACACCGACTACAACCATTACGACAACTTCATATGTGTGGAACCAATTCCCGATAGTGACGACGACTATCTATGGCACGGCGCCGACAGCGACTGAGTTGATTATCAGCAATCAATACAGAGAGTATTTTACTACGACTGCGACTTTCGACTCAACGATTACGATTGGCCCAGATAACCCGACTGCTACTATATCCTTTTTTGTCAATCCGACGACCACATTTACCGAGGGCCAAATAATTTTGCATTGGAATTTCACTTCAGGACAGACATCAACCGAGACGCCCTCTCAGACGCCAGGGTATACCCGTACTATTATCTTACATATGGCTTACCCAGCCGCTTCTTACATACGCTTTCAACCCTCAGACGCAAACCCGGCCTCGCCTCAATACTTTGCTGCCTCAACAACTTCGCTTACAGCGGCAGGATACTCTGGTGTAACCGCCTGGTACTTGCTTACCAGGGCTGCTACAAATTGCACATTCATATATCTCAACGATGAACTAATACTCGCCACCGATCCAGATTCTGGAACCCGTCTTCCGTTTCCAGGACGGTTGTGGTCGTTTTGGAATCCCGTCGAGCCGACCGGTAAATCCCTACTCATGTTTGTGCTTGACAGTGTGGTGTCAGTGAACCCCTCAATAAAATCACGAATAATGCCGATTACGACTGTATTCGCGAATAGAGACCTGGTGACTGTTCAAAGTGGGTTTACAAACTATCTTATCACGAGCCAATCGGCCAACTTTTATTATAATGCTGCAACGGGTGCGTCGTCGACTTTAGGAGACTCTTATACGTTTAGGCTCCTTAGCACGGAAGAGATAGTTGTCGCTACGACTGGAAGGAGGAATTCATTGGTGGGGAGCACGATGATGAGTATGACATCGTCGGCTCCGACAGCTTCGTAGCTTGAAAGCCCGGGACAGAAGCAGAAGTTTGGTATATTTATCTCGCTTTTTTTTTTCTGTTTGTATGGCGTGAAGGCTTCTACTATATGAGAGGTTTCTTCCACGATCCCCGTCTTATTTTACTTTTTTCTACTTTTTGGAAGTCTCGACTTGGAAATTGGGAAGCGGATATTTAGAAAGCCTGAAAGCTGAAGGCGGCGGCTTCTGTTTTTTCAATTAAATAGACCGTTTGGGGCAACAAAGCCGAATAGTATTGCAGTCCTCTATTCAAAAGTCTTGAAATCAATACCTTGCCATAACCACACCAATTGCAAGTCTTGCCAATATGATCAAAATCTATCTCACTTATAAAATCGATGTATAATGATAAATATAACATGGCAGGTAGAGTTGGGACTGTGTTAACAGCCCTCTGGGAATATATTAAATACTATTAAACGAATAAACAATATATCGATCGCAACTATCCTCATCGCGACCCTAGGGTTCTCCTTTGACACCCACAGGAGAAAAAAGCTACTGAGGCAATCAAAAATACCCGCTATTCCTAATCTAATTGTTATTTCACCAGTGATATGTACTTTCCAGATCACCATAAACGTCTTCCTATCTATTTTTTAATCCAGCCGAGATCTTACTACCTAAGATTGAAGTACAAATATGACCCGATCTACGTGAACCGCATGAGGCAAATTGCAACAAAAAGATCTTTCAAAAGCGGAATTAATTGTATGCAAAACTCCCACAGGTTGACGTTGAAAAGTTTTCGTAGCCTCGAATCCGGGAGTATTCGGAAGAATGGAGCTGCCTTGCACAATATATCAAAGAAGCTATTAAACGTGCGGAAAGAGTTCGGCAGCGATTAAAAGTGCTTTCGAAGACATAATTGTAATATAGTTGATTCACGTTGAAAAAGTGAATATTTATAGTAGTAACCAAACAATACTAGCTAGCCTTTCGTGATACTTCAATGTACATACTCAATTTATAAAGCCCACACTCTTACTCCATTATCCCAAACTCCGTCATCAGATAACTTAACAGTACCCCCAACTTCATCCTCTAATTCATTCGTCTCCTTTTCTCCATCTTCTTTTTCGTCTTCGGACCCAGAATCAAATTCAGACTCGGTTTCATCCTGCAAATTAACGCTCTTCCTCTGCCCCGAACTGGTCGCCAAAACTTCTCCACAAGGATGTACAGCAACAGCAGTCACCGGATCCCTCGCAGCCACAAATTTCTCTTCAGGCTTTAAATATCCTTCCTCCTCTTCCTCCCCCTTACAACCTTCAAATGGTTTCCAAATCCTTACTATCCCATCTATCCCCCCAGCTACAACAACACCACCCATCCTCTTATCTCCAGTACCATAACTAGAACAATAAGACACTCCAAGTTTTTGATTCGTACCCGCATTTCTACCCACCAACACCGACCAAACCTCCGCAGGATATCGTAGATCGTAAATAAACACCACATTACTCCTTCTCTCCGCCACCACCAAATGATTTCCATTTTCCGTAAAGGATATATTGGTAATCCCATTACCCCTAATACTCCCCGGGAAATTCTTAAACTGTGAATGAGTCTTTGTAGAATTTAGATTGATAACGTTAGTAAGTACTCCATCTTGATAAGGAGAGCTGTACAACAAAACTCTTCTTGAGAAGGTCCCCGCTGCTAAAGTATTTGTTTGGTGGTGTAGTGATAAAGCGGAGATTATACTTCTAGTGTTTGCATTATCTAAGTCCGATGAGGATTGGATTGTTGATGAGGAGAAGAAATTTGGTACTCGGGTTTTTGGGTTGTTTTTATTGGATTTTCGCTTTTTACCGGTGGTGAAGGTTTCCAGGGGACCGGAATTATAGCGGGTGACGTCGAATAGATGGATTTGTGAATCTGTTCCTGCGAGGAAGTGGGTGCCCGTTGTGGTCCAGAGTAGAGAATGTGGGGTTAGGTATTTTTCCGTCGTGGGGTGGATTAGAGGATAACTGGCGGTTATGTGGGGGTATAAAAGGTTACGGAGGTGGATTGGTTGGGAATGGGTGGAGGTTAAAAGTTGGGTTGTGGATGGGTCTGAGAGGGTGAAGAAGGGGTAGAGAGATGTGGTGAAGGGGGTTGTGGGGGTGGGGGTTATGGAGTAAGGGAGGAGATGATGAGGGGTGGAAGAGGTTAGGAGGTCGGGGGGTCTAAGAAGGTCTGTTAGAGGTTTCTGTGAGAGGGCGGGGCATGAGTGACTTACGCTATGAATGTACGGATGAAGTTATCCTCGGTGATGGCGACGAGGGAGGTGCCATCTGTCGTCCTGCAAGTTCACATGTATAAGTAAGTACCAGGGCATATATACTTCAGTATTTTGAAGTCATTCGAGGATTTTTATGTGATACTGGGGGTATTCAATAACATACCATTCTATGCTTCGAAAGACGTTACTTCCAAGTTTATTTGTCTTGCCGACAACCTTTCTATAATCCAGTTGATTCCCAATTTTCCCGTTTAATGCATTCCCCTCGCGTTCGTGTGATTCGGAAATGCCAGTTTGGTAGATATCACCGGTACCAGCGACGAGGCGTGGTGGTTTCCATATTTCTGGACGGATAGCTTCCGCCATTTTTTCGCAACTTTGTGGCTGAGAAACAAATAAACAGATATCGGAGCTTCGGGGTGAGCTCGACGATGTACAATTATAACCTTTGAGGCCTATGATACTTTCTTTTTATACACTGGATTTTTAGACATATCATTCATTTTTATTAGCTCGAGATCTTTCCCATCATTTTTTATACTTCGATCTTTCAAAGAATCAACTCACAAAATACAACAAACTTGGTCGCGTTTTTTGGTTTTCTTTGTGGAAGGAATGGGAGGTCAGAAACCATCTACAAGACGCCAGCGTCTCGATGTAGTAGAATACCGACCCTGGTGAAAGTTTGGATCATTCAAGGGGTTGGGAGGTGCTCTTTCGAATTTGATATTGATATATCGATATTAAGGACGGGGCGAAGAAGAAGAAGGAGAAGTCAACCAGCTCTCGCCCGGTCACGCTGTGGTCATAGTCACCTCTGTTGTATTTTGGGCACAACAACGCACTTTCCTCGAGTCGACAACTATCATACTTCATTTCGAATCCAGCCATTTATCACATGCTCGATTCTCGAGGAGATATAAAACCATAATCATAACTATCTACACAGGATATAACAAGAAACATGGCCACCCCACTGGCAATAACCTATTCCTCTCCTTGTTCTTTCCTCAGCTACTGCATCTCCCGCTCCGCAGCTCGACAATCCATTCTCTCATCTTTCCCTTCTTCATACTCTTCTTCTCCACCTACAAAGGATACTATAATAATCTGCTCCACCCGCAGTACTTTCATCCGAGAGATCCTAGTCGACCTTAACATCCCTCTAGACGACATTCCACCTCTAAACGACACCCAAGAACTCTCCTCCGCTCAAAGGTTAATCCTACAAACACCCATCTCCGCACTTCTAACCACAGATACTATATCACTGGTTTACTGTCCCACAATCCACCATTTGAGGGCATACCTCTCTTCTCTTAGTAGTAGCAGTAGTAGTAGTAGCGGAGGCTGCAATACAAACACTGCTATTAATACATCCACACCCGTCCTGTCACAATCAGAAAAATATCTCCAAAGACCATACCTAGCAATCCACTCCCTCCTACCCCTCCACCACCTCTCGACCGAATGGTCTTCTCAGGGACTTTCTCGGACTTTATCGTCGATAGTCTCGACTACGATATCGACTTCAAGGTGTTTGTTACTATCGATATCGGAGACTTCTGTTACTTTTGGGATCGCTGCTGAGTTGCCGTTGATAAATTCAAGGATGATGAGGAATAATAATAAAAAGAAGGGGTTTTATGGAGGTGAAGGGTTTGAAGAGGAAGGAGAGGGTGGGGAGACGGATTTGAGGTTTGTGGGGAGGGTTAGAGATGTTTTGAAAAGGTGGTGTAGAGTTGTTGGGGTTCGGGAGGTTATGGATGGTGGAGGGGAGGGGGGGGAGGAAGAGGATGGTGAGGAGATGATGGTTTAGTGTCTTTTCGATATTCAAGTCGGTCAGTTTATACTACAATTCTATGTTTTAACTTGTATGCTATCCTACAATGCACGGTATTTACAACCAAAAAGAGAAAAACTTCATAGCTTAAGATGTCTAAAAGAGATAAAGCTTGAAGGGTTCACAAAGGAAAAGTCTTCCCGCTAGCCACAGTAACAGGAATATTCCCAATAACAACCCCACCAACCACCAATTGTTTCTTAACCTTCCACTCCCACTCCCCCATCATATCCCCTCCGACCCCAAAAGTTGGAAACCCGAGTACCCTATACGGAACTTTCCACCGTCTAACCGGTTTCAACTCTTCTTCACATAAAACCGGTAATACAGTCCTACTCTTCCCAGGAGCTTCACCTTTAAACCTCACCTTCAACCTACTCAACATCTGCTTCCCACTCAAATCCGTGGTTGCATCATATTGTATACCATCATTCTCAAGACGGTACATCACCTCCTTTCTTGTACCCGTAATAAACACTCGATCGGTATACCCCTCTTTTAGACGGGCCCAAAAGGCTTCTGTGTGATCTTTCGTATCACCTGAATATCGAAGCCAGAAACGACCGTCGAAGAGGTACCATTTATTCGGATCTTCGTTTGGGTCTATCATCACTTCTGGAGTATCTGTTTGTCTTTTTGCGGATTTTCGGATGTATGGTTGACGGTAACAGGTTAGTAGGACCCCCTCCTCTCGGTTTTTGGCAGGTTTGCAGTAGACTGCTTCCCAGAAAATGTTGTTTTCAGTGATTACGCCGCCGTAGTAACCTAAATTACCGACATGAGGTCTGAAATCTTTCCTCTTTTTTCTCTTTTGGACTTCTTTTTCCGTCTCTGTTCGTCCTACTTCTTCGTTTGGCGTTGATGATCCGCAATTTTCGATGTCATTGTTGACGTATGAATAGCTTTTCCCTAGTGGGTCAGTAGTTTCGAGTATATTCTTCGCCACTCTGGACATTTGTACTAGATCTATTCTATCCATCGGCGAGATTACAGCAGCAAGGTGGGCGAGAACGCGGGTTAGTAGCTTTAATGGCATTCCGAGGAGGTATAGCGGGATGTATGCCTCGATTACGTTTGAAACGTGGATGTGGCGAAGGACGCAACGGGAGAGGTACCAGTCTACTAATTCCTTTGTTTTTGCATTCGAAGCTGCGATGGAGGAGGAGAAGTTTAGAAGGGAGGTTGTGGTTAGAGCCTTCGGGAGGAACTGGGGTTTTGAAGTTGGTTTTGAATGAGGAGGGAGGGTAAGAAGTGCACGAATTGCATTTCGAGGAGTTAAACCGACGTTTTTGTTCGTAGGGTCTTCGTGCCATGATATCTTTTCGGTTGTCAGAGTTTTTCTTAGTTGGTTCTATTCTTCTTATTAGCATCCTTATTATATCCCGATCATGGCAAGAGCTAGTCTCGAAGCCAGACGCCGGGTCAGAGCCTCAATTTCAGAAATGAGTTTCTTATAAAATAGTATATATACCTTGAACACCCCCAAAAACGGTCTCAAAACCACAATATCATCTGCCCCATAGATATCCTCACATTCCGGTAACTTCGCAACAGGACTTATCCCCGCCAACCCAGCGGTTCCACTGCCCCCCACCAGTCGCATTAACACAGTCTCGGCTTGATCGTTCGCATGATGTCCCGTTATCAAATGGGATATTCCATATTGTTGACACGTCCGTGCGAATAAACGATATCGTTCTATCCGGGCCGTTCCTTCCACTTTTAAATGTGAACACGAAGAGAATGCGGAAATAGGGATCGTTAAGAGGGAGGCGTGGAGGCCTTTATTATTTTTTTTGGGAAAAGGAAGTTAGTGAATAGGTTTATCTTTCGATATAAGGAAAGTATATGGGTGGATATACCCATCCTCTCCACCTGCTCGACCACGCTCTCCGCTTCCTTGGTACTCTCCTTCCGTAACCCATGATCAACAATCATAGCTCTGAAATCAGTGACCTGGAATTCATTCTTAAACGACGACAGTTTATGCGCCAAATGCGCTAGTGCCATCGAATCTATCCCACCAGAGACAGCAATACCTATTTTTCTCACCACAAACGGTGTTAGCATCCTACATTCCTTACAAATTACATCTTGTTAAAAAAAAGAAAGAAAGAAAGGAGGAAGAAGAAATAGTTACCGATCTGTTTAGGTATCTCAACCGGTTTATTCTTCAAAGCATAAGCCTGCTCCAGTACCCCACGCAGTAAAGAAACAAACTCAGTAGCCGCGAGCGGTCCCGTTTGGCTTACAGCCCGTACGGGGGATCTAAGTGTTGCCATGATTTATTCCTCTCAATTTTAATTTTTTTTACGGGAATAAATAGTTTTCGAAATGTGAGTAGTAAAAACCGGGGAGCTCTATGGTTCTAGGACAAAAAGAATCCCGATGGAAGCCATTGGAGAGGTAGAAAATGGTATCTATCTATCACCAATATATCAGCTTGAATGCATGCATAACCGAACCCCATTGAAATTAGCGATGAACTTACCAGGGTCTCATACCAACTCCCCGTCTCATGAAGGTCCAGTCCTTAGATTCAGAGCTAAGATAATGCGCACGACAGAACTTAAGCCTACTATAAAAAAAATATATCGGTAAAAACACAAGTAAAGATCACGGGAAGGTCAAGATCATCAAGGTTAAATCTTGGGAGTTAATTGTTGTAGTTTGACTTTTTGTTGTACTGTTGGAATTTAAGTTCACAAATTTGTGCAGGGCCGGAAATATATGGGAGATTCGAAAGGTTGGATTGAGGTCGCTTATGTTTAGCCGCGATTGGCGATTAGCGCCTGGCTATGTTAACTTATGGTATCATGAAATAAATAGATTAATGAATAGATCTCATCATATTAAACAGATAAAAGTACTGAAGCAGATTGTATATGTAGTATGTATTCCTTTTTGAATGCCACCAAGACAATATGCACCCCATTCGCAAAACTTAAAACTAATCGAGTCTTTTTTTTTTGAACAAATATCGTACGTAGAAAAAACCTGTAAATATAAAAGAGGAGAAGAGAAATAAGAAGGGCCTTCAAGCCATTCGGCATGTAGAAAGTAGTAAGACCCGTGGGGGGGAAGAAAAGATGATAAAGGAAGCGAGAAAGAGCAATTAAGTCCCAAAGGATACTAGTGGTCAAAAAAAGTTCCCTGATTTCTCTGGCAATATGGGTAATAGACGGGTTTAGAACGTAGGAGAATTGAAAAGTTGCAAGGACTAGCCCCAAAAAAAATGAAAGGAAATAACACCATTTTCTCCCAAGAAACCCCACAATGCAAAAGGGACAATAGCAATATCAGAGTTGGTTTTTTTGGATGGAGAACGTGGAAAAAGTGAAAACACCCATGTAATACGGCCAAGTGATAAAGGGACAAAGAAACAAAAAACAGATCCGAAGTATCCTCAAACTCCCAAGAAAGCACTATCTTTGTTTTAGTTTTCGGTATCGGGGCCATCCTTTGGTCCGATAGTTAATCCGTCTCTCTCTTTTCTCCAATCGACATATTGGTCGTACAAAGCAGGCCCTAGATATTCGAATTAGTATCCAATTGCTCAACTGTTAACTCCGCATTCTGGTAACACTTACAGGCACCCTCTGGATCATAGTTTCCAAGCATGTACTCTACCGATCGATTGAACGGTACAAAACTCTCCCATTGATCTTTATTGATCGCCTTGACGGGTTGCTTCTCGGCCAAAAACTCTAAAAACGGAACCGCATGTGGATACGGATGCTTCTCCCATTTCAACGGAACCGCAGTTTCCGGATCATACTTCAAATCGTATGTCGAAGGGTTCAGTACGAATGCTAAGGCAGCTAGAGCATTCTCGGTTGGGATAGTTCGGGCTTCCGGTGTGTTTTTCGAGAATTGGAACATGTATTTGAAGAAAGATAGGAAGTCGTCTGACGGGGGTGAAACCGGCTTAGCTTGCTGCAGCCAGCCGCCTAGTGCCTTCAAGAGCTGTGTATTGTTGGCGATATTGTATTTTTTCATTCCTTCGGTCCATTTTTCGCGGGGAATGGAACCCATGGTGATGAGACCGAGTTTCCAGCATAAGACATAGATTGCGGCCGATTCGAATTTAACGGAGAGGTCTTCGAGTAGTCGGACGATCCCTTGTATGTCGATTTGATTGGGGTCTTCGGCGCCTGTTAGATCTACCAGTTAGCATTTCTCCAGAGCCTGCGATTCGGAATACTAGACAGATAGAAGGTGGGCGAAAGTACATACTGGCATATGACTCAAACCACTCGTCGACATTCTTTGGTTGTGACTTTTTGGTAGCCTTGGCTGGTTTCGACACGACCTGCGGGATTACAATCACATCGTCGTTTAGGCATTCATCGGTGGATTTCGAAACTTTTGGTTTCTTAGCGGTGGTAGTCTTCTGTTCTGCGGCCGTTGTCGTTTTCCGCTTGCCCTTCCCGTTAGGGGTGGTAGATTCGTCGGTTGTCGGCTGGTCGGGTTTAAGTGCGGCACTATCATTCTGTTCAACCTCCGTACCATTCGATTTACGCGACTTTCGGGACTTGAGAGCCTTGGCTTTCGACACGGCGCTTCCCATATCGGCGTCTACAGAAGTCGTAACCTCGGCGGTAGGTTTAGTAGGCGATTTAGCGGAAGCAAGGTTCGAAGAAGAGCGGGTTAGGCGTCTAGTAGTTGGAGGAGCAGTGTTTGTGTCGGCGGAAACTGACAACTTCTTCTTTGGTGGCATCGCGAAAAGAAGAAGAAAGAGAAAAGAAAGAAGAAGAAGAGAAGAGGGGGGGGGGGGAAGAGGGAAAGAGGCGGTGAGGGAGGAGGAGGAGGTAGGAAGAGTAGGAGGGAATAATGGCAGTAAATGGCGGTAGGAATGTCAGGCGGAAGGGAGGACAATCTCAGGTCAGGGTGGTGGCTGTGGAGTGACCTCTCTCTCTTCCTGCGGCGGCGTCAGTTCTTCAGACCTTCAATTCGATCCCTTCAATTTAGACCAAATTGTTTGTTCACCGAGATCGATCAGACAAACGGCCTCGAAAGGACGCCTTGGTGAGGGTATTTTTTTTTCCAACTTTTATGGATTTCAAGAGACGGTGAGGCTTAGTTTGTCCTGCCTTCTTTCCCTTCGTCGTCTTCTTTTTAGTATTACTTATTTTTTTTTTTTTTCCAGGTCAATCTGGTACCGTCCAAGTCCGCACTTTGTGTAAGTACGAAAAGGAGCCTTCTTTCTTGTTCTTGTCTGGTTGGCAGTGACGGAAGACAAGCAGCAGGCAGGCGTGTTTCAAACAGGATCCAAGCAAGCAAAAAGCAGCCTTGAAGAACCCGGTCCAATGAGGTTCGCGTCCAGATTTAAGTAATGACCTAAAGCGAACCAGAAGAGACAGATGACTTAGATAAGCAATGAAATCGAGGCTACCAGATGAAATTAAGCGTCTAACTGGGGCCAGTGGAACTCACAAGTAGAATGTCCGTTGAGAGTGGAAGATGTACTTAGTAGTAGTATGTTGAAGCGATGTCATGAGGTTGAAAGATGAGCGTGGGGTTGATGATGTCTCTTCTCTTCTGTTCCGGTGATATCACTCCGCATTCATTCATTCGTTCAAACCCATCCCATTCATTTCCTCAACGCGTCGTTGTGTCGGAGCACCGTCGCAAAGAAGGTGCGCGTCTCTTCACAACACACTTCCCAATCAAGTAATCCTTTGATCAGACAAACAAAGTCTCGTAGAAAAACAACACACCAACACATTCCACTTTGTGGAAGTCTTGGCACTTCGAGACTGTTCCAATGGAACTGAACCCCGGAAAAGTTTTATTCCTTTCCATTCGGATTCCTCGACGAAGCAGAACTTCATTACTTCATTACTTTTCATCAAAAAAAAGATAACTATACAATCCCTGTTATCCCGTCTATCGCATTAACGTCGATTCTATTATTCTTTTTATTTGAAATCATATTATATCATCATCTCTTACAAAATGGTACTTTAACCTCCCCATCTTCCACGTTAATAACATCGATATCCACCCCCCACCTACCCACCAATCCCCAAAACACCTTCAACCTTCAAACCCCCCACAAACCACCCCCAATAGAACCAAAAAATATCTCTAACACTGTCCATTACAAAAAATACTAGGCCACCTCCATCCGAGCAATCAAATCCCTTTCCCCTCTCCTGGACCGTATCCTCGTCCAGCGAATCCGCGCCGAAACAAAAACCGCCTCGGGAATCTTCCTCCCGGAATCATCGGTCGAAAAGCTTTCCGAAGCTAAGGTTCTCGCCGTTGGACCAGGTGGATTCGATAGAGATGGAAAGAGACTGGAGGTTAGCGTCAAGCCCGGTGATAGAGTATTGATCCCACAGTTTGGAGGAAGTCCTGTTAAGGTTGGTGATGAGGAGTATGCATTGTTCAGGGATCATGAGTAAGTTTCTTATCAGCTTTGGCAGTCCTTTTTTTGTTTTCTTTTTTTGGAATAGAGTGAGATGGAGTACTGACTGTTTATTGTGCGTATCTAGATTGCTGGCCAAGATTAACGAGTAAGGGATTCTGCTATTGAAGTATAGTTGAAGCCGAGGAGGAGGAGGAGAAGAGCATTTATAGTACTGTACATATAGCCATTTACATAATCAATGTGGAAACATCCCATCTCCGCACAGATGAATCTACCGATTCTAAAAGTATCAAGCTCTTCGGTTTATAAAAACCATTCAGAATATCTATGAGTCCAGTAAACTTGCTCGATTTGATTACTTTATCCAATATCAAACAGTGGGTGGTGGTAACTATTGGAACCCCAAACCGGTCTAAACACTGGCGATATATATCTTACAAACTATATACAATATCCCCAAGAACTACCTACCTGGTACTTCAATCCAATCCCATCTTCTTCCTCCTCAGACCCATCATCAACTGCCTTCTAATCTCATCCGGCAACCTCACTCTCCTCAACCACAAAGCCCAAACCGCCAGTCCGGCAACAGCACCCGCCAAATGTCCAATATTCCCAATACTCTCCCCCCTCATCCCAATCCCCACCAAATCAAACGTCACAAATCCCATGAACAACGTCCTAACACTGATCCCAATCGGAATAAACATCAACTCAAACTTCGCCATCGGATTCACAATCGCAGTGATTGCTAAAAACCCAGACAAAACACCAGACGCACCCAATGCAGGTCTACAATGTTGTCCGAGTAACCAATGCCTATCCTCCTCTTCCTTTGTAGCTTTGAATCCCGTTTTGTCTTTAATCACTTTGCCGTCGGTTTCTCGGTATTGAGCTATCGATGCCGCTCTATCCATGTTTGAATAAGGATTTGTAATCCGATCGATAACTACGATTAATGCCAACCCCAACCCTCCGATGAGTGGGTACGCGATAAGTGCACGTTTAAACCCATAGTACCTGACCATCGTCGGAGCCAAAGCTTGTAACGCAAAGAAATTAAACGCCAAATGCCAAATTTGCGCATGAGATACCGTCGGAAGAATAAACTGCGCGATACTCGTGAGGAAAGGTTCCTTTCCTCCAATTGCCTTGGCGGTTGGTCCTGTATTGATGAGACCGAGACGTTCGAGGGCGACAACCGGGGAGAAAGTCAACCAACGGGTGGTGAATGTTTGCCAGGGTGTAACATATCTGTTGAACCATTCTAGCTCTCCTAATCTTTCTTTCGCTTCTGCGTGCGCATAGCCGGAGATGTAAGGAGCCCACCAGAGGACATGGACGACGAAGAAGATTACGCCGAAGATGGAGATGTACCGTGATGTTGCCTTTTGGGCTGGAGAAACTGGTGGTGGTGGGAGTGGTTCTTCGGAGGAAGAACCTTCGGGACGGACGTAATCTGCATAACGGATTGGTTCTTGTTCGGCACCTGTTATGGTCGCGGGTTTTGCAATTGTGGGTTCTGGAGGGGCGGGCAGAGATGGAGCTTGACGGGTTCGAGGACTAGCACGGGCACGGCGGTTGAACGAAACCGAACGGACAAGAGTGAGAGGAGAAGTTTTCTTCGAAAATGACGATTCAACGGTAGGCTTTGGAGGAATTGATCGGATAGATGTCCATATCGTTCGAGATGTCGTGGATACTCGTAGACAGGAGGATAGTGGGGTGTAGAGGGGTACGGAACGGGTGCCGGCGCAGAGGCACGGTCGGGAGATAAGCTGCGAAGCTAATCGCAGACCGAGAGAGGCATTCATGATGGATATATCGTCAACATCATTTGCCGATAGCGGTTCCTTTTTTGTCCCGTTTGAGATTGAGAGGTTTGAAGCTGTGGAGGGTGAGGGATGTTGGAGGTTTAAATGTGTGGCGTAGTAAGAGTTTTGGGAATTCCGAGATATGTGGCGGTGCTGGCGCCACTATCGCCTGATATTATACTATGTTTAACATGTTTCGCTGTCATGAGAGGGAGGTGATTGCGATAAACCCACTTTGACTCGATACTATCAAAGGCATCCCGACGTAAGCTAGATTAAGTACGCATTGAGTAAATTATCTTTCTTTTAAATGGCATCAATCATAGTTGAAACCCAAACCTCGAAATGTATATACGTATAGGAAATACTTCAAACAGTGCCAAACTTACGCAACTTGCAACTAAGGTATTTCGCTATACATAATTCCTGCCATGGCCATATTTATCTGAAGCGCCGCTACTAGCTATAGCTCTAAATGTTAATAAGTCAATTATAGTTCGCATGGCAGAAACCGACAGCCATTCGGAAAACGATAGTTCCAGTATTCGACACTTATCGTCTGTAGTAGATGCGTGGTTATCATTGTACTCGTAAAGGTGCTCCCATCATGAGTTTTGTTAATCAAGACAGTTTGTAGGTTGCTAGATCTATGTCTATACACCTGTCTTGTCTCGTACACAGACCTGGAAGATTATTATTCTTCATATCGATTTATCGAATAGACAATTTTCGCGCATACTCCTAGACAGATCTGGAAGATAATATCGTCATAGCTACTGTGATAAATTCAATATTAAAAACATCACATTCGTTCAAATTGAATTGTTTAGATCAGGCAAGCGTGATTCCTATTTCATGATTCGCGTACCCGTCCACGATCAAAACTGTGATTTGCAACTGGAGGACAATACAGAAAATGACCCCGTGGACTCGAAGGAAGGGTTTATTGTTAAATTGCGAGTTGATATCATGTTAAAATTCGAACGTCGAACTCACAGTGGTCCAGTCCAGTCCAATCCAGTCGCGATCGAGATGGGAAATGTTCGTCTGGGCAACCGCAGCGATATTATATTTGGGTTAAGGATTGCATGCTTTATTTATGGACCGGTGATTTGGAAAGATTAGGGTCTCTATGTACAGCCATCCCGATTCCACGGCTAGATAATATAATCTCCTAGGAATATCTGGGGGTGGAACAGAGATATACTTATTCTCCGAGCACCCGTATGATTGGGTGGGAACTCCATGTTTTTGGATCGAAGACGATGGGTCCTTCCAGGTCTGGGTACGAGACAAGATGGGTCCGTCAAGGGTGATATTTTGGCGGATAACAGTGTCAGCAATTTCTTAGAGAAAGTGTTTACGGTTTTTAGATCCGGAAATGCCTCGTTGTGTGGTTAATTAGGAAAGGAGAGCTTTTATTTAGTTGTAATTCTAGACGCGGTCTACAGGAAATCTAGTAAATATCCTCTGATTATGAATGCTTTCGGACACAAAAAAGTGGAAATTCGAATATTAAAATGAGAACTGGGATTGGTCGGATGGGGGTCAAGGTGTGGCACAACAATACCAAAGTCTCAAGTATATACCTAGGTATATAACTGGCCGTAGTGGTCTCCATTCTGGTAGCTACTCGTACATCATTTGGTTTGTCAACGGCCGTGGGGTCCTTTTCTAAACAAGGGCATTAGGTCTAAGAAAGGAAAGTACAACCCTCGAGGTCCTAGACGATGATTGTAATTGACCCTCAGTATGTTGCTCCTGAGACCAATTTGGCATCAACGGACGATTTTCACGTCATATTCTTTTCGTGAACTGTGGTACACTGGAGCAAATAATAAGATTTATTTCTTGAGAGAAAGAGCTATTCGCCTCGTGAGGCAGCCGATTGGAGGGGAACTGGAGATGTTTGCGAAACAATGTTGAAAAGAGGAGTGGGCGTATATATGAGGAAGGTATTCAATCAGTTGAATATAAGGTGTTATAAGAACTGATCTTAAGAACTAGCTTTTACCCCAAACGTACTGTAAAATGGTATTTATATCGCGAAAGGAGTTGCTTGATATATAGTATAGTATGTAAAAATAAACTACAGTAGCGTCTACAGATCAGTTTAAATTCAAGCCTACCTAGGTAATTATCGATAGATGATATAGTTAATTTATTTTATCAATATATTGGTAGAACTATCTATATTCACGCGGTAAGATATTTATACAAACCATGGAGTCAATGATCTAATATAATGAAAATACCATGCTATCAATGTAATACTTGAATCATCGACCCTGCAAGACAACCGACAAGGTGGCTCCCTCAACAATCATTAATTCACAGAATTCTAGAAGATATTAATAGACTATGATTTATGAGGTAAATTCTTGTAAAACCCATTTGGCCACCGTCGACCACAAATCTAGTATCGTAGCTTTACCGACTATAGTATAATTTTAAAAAGTACGGAACTACCGCTACCCCCGGCCCGAAGAATATACATACACAACCGTCTCTACGTTTACGACTTCATACTCGAGTTTCTAAAATGGCATTTCGCTACCTTACTAATACCCAGATTATACAACAGCATACATACCTACCCCATCTGATGGCTAACTAGCACATACCAGGGTAAGCGATCGGGGATACCGGATACGATACCGGATTCTTAAATGGGAAGGTTTAGAACATTAAAAATGATAGAATGTAAAAGCTTATCTATGCCCAGACACTGAAATACAAAGGTCAAGAGTTTATGTAAGAAAATACTTAATTATGTCAAAGAACCAATCGGCGATCGGACGATTGTCCGAAGAATTACAATTGGTTTTTTACGATCGGGATAGGACGTTCGGACCGGTAAATCACAAAAAAAAAAGCTCGGGGTTTCGGATATCATAGGTGGGGGGGGAGCTCGAGTAATGTAATGTTGCCGGGTTGCATCCGATGAATGCAATGTAATGTACATGTGTGATGCTGGCTGGAGTGGCAAAGATCGAACATGTGTCTGTTAACCATGCGTGGAATGGAATTTAATTAGCATCAGGACATAAAAATGATGCTAACTTCATTGAGACGTGGGAATCCTTCTGTGATTTTGTGTTGTTGTGTGGTATTCTTAGTCATCCTCAGACTTCCCCGTACGAGATATTCGATATATCCGAGGTGTTACCATAAACTGTACGAAGCTTACCTCCAACTGACTAAGAAAAGAGATTCTAGGATAAATTGGGGATCCGGCACTTTGAACCGTCCTTTTCGGGGAGATCTCAGATGATGATATATCTCACGTGGGTATCCCCCGGTTCCAGCAAGCAATCAAGCAATCAATCAATCAATCAAGCAAGCAAGCTAGCTAAGCTAAGCTTTCGTATTCCAAAACGAGGGCGAGGGAACCAGGGAGCTGCCTAACAGGGCAGGCTTGATATATCATTCTGGCGATAATATATAATACAAACAGGTATTATCACAAAAAATGCTATTATCTCACAAAAGGTTAAACAAACGGAGACGCCGTTAGTTTGTATTTTTCCTTTGGAGGAAGAAACCACCAAGGAAGGTATACTATATATAGATAGATACCTGGTATATAGCGGACCCTCCCGACGGATTCTTACTTTGCTGGGCTGGGCTGGGCTGGATCTGCTGACGACTTACCATTCGCGGTCGGCAGATATGCTTTTTATACTTACGATATGATATGATGTGATATTATGTATTTAAACATACTTAAGTACTTACTTACATTCTTGGGAAGATCGAAAGAGAAAAACGGGGAATAAGTGTAGGATGTAGTCGGAAGTTGGTGGTACACTGTTGTACGGGGAGGGTAAGGCTGCAACTGGTGTCACACTTACCCGCATGTACATGTATGTACGTGTACCATACGTAGTACTAGGTAAGTGTGTACGTAACATGTAACTTACTTATGCAATGTGCCAGCGGGAAGAATAGGAGATCAGATGCTATTAACCGTCGCATCCAATAAATTCCAATTCCGGGTTCTTGGAGAGGTTTGTTTCAACGTCAGTGGTCCCTGAATTTGGAGGAGGGGAACATAAGCTTAAGGGGGAGAGGGGGGGGTCACATGTGTTGGGGAGTGTGTTGCGGGTGTAAAACATACAACACAAGAGAAGGAAAGAAAGTCTAGAACATTTTGATAAGAAGAAGATGACGGAGTTGTGCGTGAAGTATGAATCATGGCTTGCTTAGGATGCCGGCCGGATGACTAACCGCCAACTCTCGGGTCTTGGAAAAGAAAGTCTAAATTTTAAGAGGAAAAGGAAAGAAAAGAAGAAAAAAAAGTCAACGGGCAGTAAGGAAGTTCCGCGGGTCCGACCTCGGGTCTTGGATCGGGTGTAAGGGCTGCAAACGGGGGGGAGTAGAGAAAAATGACAAGATCGATTGGGCCGACTCAGCGCCCAATAGCCAGATGCAGAGCTCTGGAATTGCATTTCTAAGAGGTGGGTCCCCACATGCTACATATTTCTTGATGTAAGTAAGTATACATAGTATACATGCTATCCTGCCTGATGTATACATGTAAGTCCTGCTTGTGCGATGGTGGTGGTGGTGGTAATCTGCGAGCTACGCGGCTCGGAGGGATTCCACAGCCCGACTTATTTTCTGCAACTGTGTATATAACTTACCCCAACAGCTTTCTCCGATCTACTTTGAGACTGTATCAGATCTACTGAAGTATGTAATATATGATACCACGGTGAGAGTACGTAAATTTTTAAAAAAGGAGCATGCGGATACGAGACCAGGTCACTTTATATTATAAGCGTTCATGTAGGACCTGCGCCTTTGAGTCACATTCCTATCAATACTGTTCATACATATCATGATCGATCGGACTTCGGAGCAAAATTGACTGAAAGGTTCCGAGAGTTGGTACGTTGTGTCAGGCTGCCAGCCAACAGAACAGGGGTAAGTTATCCAGAGTACTTACGTATGTACATACGCCCGCGGATGCTCGTGTCTCCGGATCCTTAATTAATTAAATTTAATTTTCTTCTTCCCGGATACTTATACTGATACTGATACTGATACTGATACTTATACTTATACTTATACAGAGTAGCTAATTAAGTATCATATCAAATAGTATTTGAGATTGTGCATGGTGGGGCCGAGTCTACATAGTAAGTAGCATAGCATTGTCATCGCTGCTTAGCTCATCTTCTCCATCAAAAAACCGCATCCGTAGCTTCCGGAATCTTGTAAATTCCGGCTAAAAACCGCCCCCACTGCCAATTCTCTCTTTCTTCCCAGCATCTTACTACTACTATTTACATGTAAATGTACCTACCATCGAATCTCTCTATTACCATCTGATCAGATCGTATTATTTCTTATTCTCCAATTCGATTTTCAAATTAATATTTTCAATTGCATGAAACGGCCCGGTAGATTTGGCTGTTGTGGTTTCAACAAGGAGCCGTTCTTCCTTCCCGGAACAGGCAAACCAAGGCAAACCATCCTCATTCAATCCAATCAATCCAATCCAATCCAATCCGATTCAAAAGTCCGATCCATTCAAATTGAATCATATCTTTGACAAGTCCATCTAAATCGAACTGCTTCTCGGCCGGGGTGAGCTCGCGGCAGAGTTTTTAGTTCCTCTTCCTTTTTTTTTTTTTTTTTTCCCTCTCTTTCCGTCTCTCTCTTGTCATTATAATCCCGACACGTTCCCACCTGCTCCCTTTCCCATAGGTACGGTACAAGTTTAGTACGGTGCAGTGCAAGTGCTGTGCAGGTTATCCGAATAAATATAAATATCATGTCGTCGTCACCCGTGATGACGCCGCCCGCCGTGGCTGCCAATACTACCGCTGCTACTGCCCCGGATCAATCGTCGCTGTCTTCCCGGATAGTTCATTTCGATACCCAAGCAAACCAAGTTCAGACAATTCAACCGTTGACTTCCCGGGATTCTCTGTCATCCGAAGACGACGACGGTATCGTTCTTGGCCAGGCGCAATCCCCCGTCGTCGCTCCGCCTCAACCTGTCAAGCACGCTCGTTCCATCAGCCGACAGGACCATCATATGGAAGTCCAAGAGATGGCCGAGAGGCTCAAGAAGGCCGGTCTCGCCAGGGGCTTTGGCTCCTGTCCTTTTCAGCATTGTGGTTCCATTCCGGTGTCGAGGGTATGTTAATTGTTTTTTTTCTTTTCCTTCTTCCCTTTCTCGGTCCCCTCCTTCTTATGCTCATTATCCCCTTTGTTCCCTTTTAAATTGCCCTTTCGCTGCATGCTCTACTAGGCTTCTAGTCTGGTTCCATGTTCCATGTTATGATCTAATCTTTTTCTTATTTTTTTATCTTTAATTTTTTTTTTTCGTTTGGATATATCTACATAAATAATTTTTTATTACTCCCTGTTAGCTGTTGGGTTTTCTGTTGGAGAGCTCTAACAAAAGTCACAATACTTTCTATCTCTTCTTTTTTTATTGTTTATCACTACCTTCATTTCTGCTATCGCTGCTACTAGTTACCAGCTGTTATTCTGCTTGGTAGCAGTGATAGTAGGAATAGTGCTCCTATCAATTATCCATGGGTCCTTTCAAATTCATCACCACCACCACAATGGTGCTAACATCGTCAAATCGACTGCAGGTCCCTTCAGCAGAAGGCAATGTATCTACGAAATCGCTCTCCCGTCCGGGTTCTCAGGAACACCGCTCTCCTACTCCTCATCGAAATTCCTCCCTCTCCAGTATCGAAATCCCTCAGATCAAGACCTCAGAGCCTCCCTTGCCTCGCTCCGTTCCAGCAGATCCGCTTACGCCAGCGGCTTCGCACGACCAGGGACAGAAAGGTGAAGCCAAGGTTGCATCCTTAAAACGGGAAGACGATAGCTCTACATCTGTCAATGTTATGACACCCGAAATATCTCCAGCTGCCCATAGTCAGAAACAAGACAAGCAACCGGCTCTTCCAACATTGACAACAGACCAACCGAGGGTGCCGAGATTTAGCATTGGATCAGGATCCGACCAAGAGCATCGCTCTAGAGACAGCTCACCTCGTTCTGGCGCTGTAACTCCAAGCTATCCATCTTCTAGACCTTTCACACCAACTGGCGACAAGGACGATCCGTATGCTCGTAGCAAGCGACCCCCTCAGAGCAAAAGTATCGAGGACATCGAACCACGATTCAAATTCGAAAGACATCACCACCACCACCATCACCATCACAAGGAGGATAAGAAACACGGACGCTACCTTGGCGACAACGATTCTCCCGGTGGCAGCCGTCAGAGTTCCTTCGCCGACCTCAAACGCTTCTTCAAAGGCTCCAAACGCTCGTCTTCTCCTAGCAAAACACAAGGCAGCACAACACCAAAAACACCGACAAGGACTAGTTCACGCCTTAGCGTCAACACACCAATGCCGTTCGCCGACGATAACGGTCTAACGAAAAAGTATGGAAAATTCGGAAAGGTTCTGGGCCAGGGTGCCGGCGGGTCTGTTCGGCTTATGAGGCGACCGACCGATGGCGTGACTTTTGCAGTCAAGGAATTCAGAGCCAAGCACCAATACGAATCCGACAAAGACTACGCCAAAAAGGTCACAGCCGAATTTTGTATTGGCAGCACATTACACCATGGAAACATCATCGAAACCCTTGACATTATTCATGAAAGAGGGAAATGGTATGAGGTCATGGAATATGCGCCCTACGATCTTTTTGCTACGGTTATGACTGGAAAGATGGGACGGGAAGAAATTTCCTGCTCTTTTATGCAGATTTTGAACGGAGTCAAGTTTTTGCACGATATGGGACTTGCGCATCGGGATCTTAAGTTGGATAATGTTGTTATCAATGAGTTTGGTATTTTGAAAATCATCGACTTTGGTAGTGCGGTTGTTTTTCGGTATCCTTTCGAGAGTGACATAGTCATGGCACATGGTAAGCTCACCCCCCCTTTTTTTTTGTGCCCGGAATGGCCGGATCTCCGCAGCTTCCGGAGTATCTGGTTTTGTTGGCGGTTACACAAAGTGACCACTTCAAAAACAAAAAATTGTATTAACTGACTCCTTTGTTTCGGGGGATTAGGAATTGTTGGATCCGATCCATACCTAGCACCGGAAGTCTGCAATGATCTGAAATACGATCCCCAGCCAGCGGATATCTGGTCTCTTGCGATCATTTTCTGCTGCATGTCCCTTCGTCGATTCCCATGGAAGGCGCCTCGGATGTCGGATAATTCCTTCAAACTGTTCTGCGCAGCACCAACTCCAGAAGCGGAAAGGGAAAGTGCAGCCGGTGGGCTCGGAGGTGGAGAAGGTGCAGGAGCTGAAAGCTCTTCCGGCGCTACCCCGGCCTCTCCCACTAATGAGAAGTTGGAGAAGAAGGACGGTGTTACACAAGCCAACCAGGTCATTAAGGGACCCTGGAGGTTGTTAAGACTCCTTCCCCGAGAAAGCCGGCTGATTATCAACAGCATGCTCAAGCTTGACCCTAAGAGCCGTGCCACTTTGCAAGATATCTACAACGATCCCTGGGTAAAGGGAGCTCTTGATGAAGGCAGAGTCTGCAGTCAACAAGACACCCATCTCGGGGACCCGAGTACGCACGGAAGAGGCCCTGTTTACCATGGAATTGGGCATGACCATGTTTTGGAGAAGCCAGTAGAGACGCAGTCCAACACCCGGAACTCTACCGCTAAGCCTACTTAGAAGGCAGGTGGTGTGGGACGAGTTGTTGCTGGAGGACTAGGTAGTCGGAGACGTTTCGAAGGCGCGGATTTGAAAATCCCCGCAAGGGATCAAAGCCGGTTGCCGATGATACACAGGAAAGATGAAGAGACAGAACACTCTGGGACTGGTACGGGGAAACATGAGGAAGAGGCGGAGAGAGAGGAAGATGGGAAATAGATAAGGCGAATAAATTGAGGCCGGAGAAGAAGATTTCTCCTATGACGAAGACGAAAGAGTGAGTTGATGATGATGACGAAAAAGTTTTAGTTCTTTCGGCCTGGTGCGATCCATCCTTTTTTACAACCTGACCCATTTACATTAATTACCTCGATAACACTACGAAAACTTCCGGTCGGGATAATTACACCTCGATTCAACCCATCCTCTGTTTCTTCCCTTCCTTGTTTCGATTTCACTTGTGAATATTTTTTTCTCTTTTTTTATTGTTTTACGCCCTTCGCGTACATGCTTGCTCTGTTCCTTTTATCGATTAGACGTATGGTTTTTTTTTTACACTGGGTTTTCCTTTCTTGTTACAAATAATTATGCACCCGAGACTGGTGGCGTTTGTTTACTGTGTCAATACCTTTTTTTTTCTTTCCTTCCTTTTTTTTCAATTTTCTTCTACTAGAGCCTGCGAGTGGATTGTTGCTTGGTGCCTTTTTGTTTTTCTACGGTGGGAGGGTGGGATGGAGGTTTCTCGGTTTCTGTCGATAAGCGCTATGGATCAAGTGGGTGGAGAATATGTGTAGATAGTATACCTCCCCTTTTTTCTCTTTTCTTTTTATTATTATTCAAAGTTAGGGGTATCGTACATAGGAAACTGAAACGAATGAGAATGAGAATGGGAACGAGAATGAGAAATATATTATCTTCTATCATCTAATCATGATCGTGATTTTGAAGTCAAAGTAGACATATTGAGCCCCGAGACTAAGATTGATATCGAATCGAACTGTTGTAATTTCCGCGTTGGGGTTTCCCTTTCAGTCCCCAAAAGATCTTATCTTATCGCCGCCATCTTTTCTACACCAAAATCCCTGCAAACTTCCAAAAACTCCGAAATCCAACCTTTTCAACTCAACCTCTCGAAGCTCTAGTCGACTATTCCGATCTATTTCCCCCACCTCCACGCCTCCCCCTCTCCACTCTCCACTCGAAACTACGGGAACGACCTAAGGAACTATTTCAACTCCACACGACGTCTCTTTAGTTTCTCCCTCTTTTCTTCTTCTGCCTTCCGAAGAGTTCCTCAGCAGAAATGTCGAAACACGCTGCGGCCAGCGCCAAGGTCGTCACGAACCAGATCGTAAAGCTCATTGTCGGCGCGGGACAAGCTTCGCCTGCACCGCCCATCGGTCCGGCACTTGGTTCTCGAGGTGTTAAATCCATGGATTTTTGCCGTGTAAGTTATCAAATAAAATTAGAATTAAAAATTAAAAAATTAAAAAATTAAAAAAAAATTACTAATCAAATATAAACTTCCAAAAAAAACAGGAATTCAACGCCCGAACAGCACACCTGGAAACCGGTACCCCGATCCCCGTAAAAGTCACAGTCCGACCCGATCGTTCCTACACCTTTGACGTCCGTACGCCGTCCACCAGTTATTTATTACTAAAAGCCGCGGGTGTGGAACCTAAGAAGGGGAAGATAAAAGGGGCTAAACAACCGGGTCATGATGTCGTGGGGACGGTTAGTTTGAAACATGTATATGAGATCGGGAAGATTAAACAGTCGGATGATAGGATGAAGGGGATTCCGTTGGAGAGCGTTTGTAGGAGTGTTTGTGGGACGGCGAAGAGTATGGGGGTTAAGATTGTGCCGTGAGGGGAGGGGAGGGGGGGAGTAAGAGCGTAATTTGGGGGGTTAAAGCTGTGGGCCGGGCTCTCACAAAGCCGCCGTTATAAGGCCAATCCGCCGGTGAATTGGCGAGTTCTAAGGTGTGACAATTATTCGCAGGGTACCATGGCGGATTCTTTATGTATATATGATTGTATAATACCATTTGTTTGATAGCATGAGTAATATAATGCGATGTTATATCCACTCAGGTGCCCTCATAACCTAGTGACTAGACGTTGGTAAAGGAATTGATTCTTCGGACCCTCAGTAGCTTACGGTCCCCAATATAATATTACTATTAATATATGAACTCCTCTCGCGTTAACGCGTTCGTTGTCAACCAGGAATTCGAATCAAGCACAGGGAACAAATATTCAATTGTCATCGTTATTAATGTTAATCTACATGAGAGCCATCAGGCCCGATTCTAATTTTTCTTTTAACGCCCTAAGTTCAACTCTTCTTTTCTGGCTATGCTCAGATTCTGAAACTAAACGCATAACCTTTTCGTCTGAGAACATGGTTATGTTCACTGGCGAAAGGACTTTTGAGAGGTCGGCCACAATGTGACGTTCAATTACCTGGCGGCACACATTATCGATGAAGGTTTTCATCGCAACCTAAGATATGGTAAAAGGTGATTAATCGATTAGTGAGTTCGAAGTCCACTCAAATTAGGAAACTAAACCAACTGCGGGGCTGTGGACCGACCTTGTAGTACGACCTGAGAGATTCTGTAGCTTCATTACATGCCTGTGCCTCCATATCTACAACAATTTTTGCTGAGCAGAGGCTGTGCTGTAAACTTGCCTCATAGATATATCTATCTTTTACTCTAGATCCTAATTCTGCTTCTGTAACACCTCTCACAGTATTTATAACCAAATCACTTAAGCCATCTCTCCGGGCCTTTTGGATATTATCAGAGTAATAATGATTGTATGTCATCGGAAAACGAAGCTCATCACCCCATAGCCTGTTGAGCTCGTCTTTTGCTTTCTCCAGAGTTTTAGCGAGGCTGTCGTGTACTTCGGGGTACATCTTTCGGAGGATTTGGTCGTCTTTTAGCACATCACCAAGGCATTTCTTACTAAAATTGTAGATGCATTGATAGACTTTAAGGAGATGGGCTTGGGCGATCCCCAACCATGGTGTGGACTGCTGGTGGAAAAGCTCGGCGAGAAGTACAGCATTGTGGGTTCCTTGCAGCTCGCATCCTCTGGTTCTTCGGTAAGTCTATTGTCTCGAGTTAGTCATAACTTAGATCTATAGAGAGCTAGGAATCCTGCCCTTTATGAATAAGAACCCCCCCCCCCTTTGGAGTACACTTACCTCAACAATCCAAGATTTCGCCAGGTCATTGACATCAACTTTGGTGGATGTTCTTCCGGAATGGCTATCTTCGGTCCCAGTTTCGTCGAATGCCACAAGGGAACTCCATTTCGCCCCATTCAACCGCATCTCACGAGCGAATGTATTGTTTGATATATGAATCTGGGATCTGACCCTGTTTTCTTGATCCTGAAAAAACAGGCCTCCGTGTCTTGCGTAGTTTCCGTCCAGAGATTGATTACATAAATCATGGAACTTCAGGCTGACAGTTGTCAAGAAAGTCCTCATTTCGGAAATTGTACCGCGCTCGGGACCAAGCGCCAGTATCTTAGCCTCGGTGTCTTCTAGTAACTTGCGTATCTCGTCTTGAACATTCGGCAACTCCTTTTCAATATGTTCATCCAAAACATTCTGTAGGTAGGTAGTCAAGAGAACAGTGCCCACTTTGCTATGGTCGAGATGCTGCTCATTCCAAGGCGGGGAAGCAAAAAAGTCTGTCTCAAGTTTCCGACGTTCTGCAGCACTAAGATCTCCATTATCTAAATCCTTGGGAGCTGGACTTTTAACGATAAAAAATCCCCGCTGTAGTCTCGTCGTATCTTCATTTCGCGATAACAAAGCAATTCGTTTTTCTGTCCCGCGATTGATTAAATCTGGTTTAGTTATTACACCGATAGTTCTTTCGCCTAGGGTATCAACTTCTTGAGCCTTTTGAATGATACGCTGGTTAGCAATGTCGTTAGTTGCCTGCACAATGGCGATGATTATAGTTCGTGGGCTTTTGATATATTTATCGACTAAAGCTTCCACAAGCTTGACATCGTTCTCAGTTTGTTCTTTATTTGCGACCGCTATAAGCCCAGGAAGATCCACCACTGTCAAATGAAGCCCCGTATTTCCTGATACCTGGATACTAAGCGTATCCTCTCCGAACGCGGGACCACTTTCGATGTCCCCGTATCCGCGGATCCCCATGATAATGCCAACTTGGCTGATAATTTTCGGTAGTTCAGTAAAGTCTTTCAAGTCCCACTTGTGCGAATCGAATTTAGCCTTCTCGTCCGCCGATCGACCATTATGAGGGATGATGGAAGCTTTGATTTCCGTTTTATCACTATTACTGTGAGATAGTGTAATTTCCGTGGCGAATTTGGTACATACCCCGTCGTTACGGGGGAAAGGTATTCCGGTTATACCTTCGAGTACTGAGCTTTTCCCGGCGGACTGGTCGCCGCAGACGACTAGTTGGGGGAGGGAGATGTGTTCTCCGACACCCTGGGCGCGCAGTTCGGCAACTTTTTGGAGAAAGCCTTGGGATCGACTGGGTTCCGTTGAGAGTTTGATAAGCGGAGTGGAGACCATTGTCGAGGCTTTAAAATATAACGAAAGATGTTTGTATATATATCTGGCAATTGATGTTATTATAAAGTAATATAACTTATTATCACTAGGCAGATATATTGTAATATATAGTTGCATAGTAGTTAGTGAAAATCAGATCGATATATATGCATATATGGGCGACTTGGGGAAGTAAGTGTGATTTAACTAATCGATTGTGTGTCAGTGGTGCACTGATTTGTTAGTGCTAGTGACTAGGATATTTGAGTACGGAACCTGCCATCCAGAAGTTTGATTCTGATACTACCAGGGCGAAATTATTTTAAATACTTGGCCTTTTCATTTCAAGTAGGTATTTCTAGGTATCTCTATTTTATCAAAATATTTGGAGAAGTTACGTAAGTTTCGTTGAAAAGACAAGAAGAATTTCTAATCGTGCCTGAATGTCGGGGATTGCCGCACAAACCCGCGCGTCCATATGATGGCAAGTTCAGGCACAATTTTCATAGGAAATTTTAAATAGACGAACCACAAATTCAAAATGGCCGAACTATGAATCTAGAAAGCCCTCTCGAGAAGATCTTAGCACCGTGCTAATTTAAATAACCCTATGGTGCTTGACTCCGAGGCCATCTATAGAATTTAGTTTTACACGCAATAAATGTCGATTTTCAACAGCAAAAATCTTGATTCTAGATCCATATAGAGGAAAGCTTGCAGTGGAGCTAGAAATAAACAGTAGAATTATTTAGGTATTCTAAAATTTAAAATCTTCAGATTGTTAGAAGGCTCAAAACTAGTGGTTCTAGCCAAGGCGGGCACAGTACTAGCCCTATCACGGTCCTAAATATAGATATTTTCAGCGCGACCTCGCTACCATGGTCAATTACAGTGAATGCACCGATTCAATGGGCCCCGAGCTACTAGAAACATGGTTGTGCTATGGAGGAAAGCGAAAGAAAACCTAGTCTAACCTTTTGATTCCACCCGTCTCGGGATGAGCCGCTTGCGGGATCGCAATTGCATTGATAGTCCCGTGTTGAGACCCCGAGATAATCTTAAACCAATTTTTGTGCATGTGAATCTATTGTGCCTCGGGGAGCTAGCGGTACATAGGAGTACACGAGAATTCTCATGCGCCTCGCTGTGATTCTTTGGGATGGGGCTGGGTACTAGACAAAGTTGTAGATAATATATCAATAATACCATCATTCCTCGAGGCTTTCAAGTGATATTGATTTAGATTGTTTATAATTAGGTATATAGGGAATTGGTCTCGTATACGCGTACCCGAGCACGCTAGCACTAAATTGCTGGTCACAAATAATTATAGGGTTGCTGGCTGCATGAACGATGACGTTGTGATATTTAGAGCATACTCTCGGAGTATCGAGATCAATTTCGACTTAGTTTGAAGTCATTGAGGGAGGTCGGCTATTTTATTCTTGAATAGAGGTCGGAACTTTCTTTAGGATATTTTTACGCCTTCGGTTTAAAAACATCTAATACGCCCCATGCATATTGCAGTATAACAAAATCAAGACTTAAATAACCAAGATTCTCCGACAAAAGAAAATGCGTATCCTGGCGGGTATGTCTTCGTGGCTTTGAGTTGGTTTTTTTAAGCCCCTCTTATGGTATCATTCACCTAATATTCATCTCGTAATTTAGAACTAGGAGTCCGGACTCCCTCTGCTTTTAACTGCGCCGAATAACTAGTCCATTATCTTTACTAGCCATGACGCACCAGATTCTTTAGATATTAGTGCATCCATACTCGAGCTAAGTCGATTTAAATGTAACCGGATATGACCTTACCACATATTTGAGCGGTTGAGATTGGGCTAGAGATTTTTATTTATCGTGATTGGCTCTCTTGATCGAGTATCACATCATAAGACATATGATGCTACGCTGCTCCTTTGAAATCTATTTTAGCGCCTCTACGCCAAACTCCTTGCTTGAAGGAATAATCAGGGTCCTTACATTTAATAGTGTCCGGCTACAGCCCGGAAAACTAGAATACGTTTAGATATTTCTATGCAAGTAATACATAGTCTCGTGGTCCAGTAACCAAGCACATAGTAGCTACAGCTCCCGCCTGCAACTTATGATGTACATACTTACGACCAGATGTGTTAGGATATACACCGATACTGCAGTGAAACTTGGATGTATGCCAGAAAAAACAGCATTTCATGAAATATGGAATTTAAGCAATTAAACTTTCGAGTCCGACAATTTATAAATTTAAGCCGCGCTCGCAAGTTCACGGGGCCGCGTGAGGATTGTCTTGCGTTGCGTCGTTACCTTCGTTATGAATATCAGTGCAAACTGGGTGTGTTGGATGTGCTTTGTTTTGCATACTATACACTCATTCTCCGCCTAAAAACCTCCGAGTCAGCAAATATTAATATTTCTATTATCACGGTCATCGCCTCGAGATTCTCGATTTTTTTTTTTTTAGGTGGTAGGAATCTACATAAGGCGCATGAGCTGAGTAGCAGTTAGTCAAAGACAACTTGAACCGCCTGCACGTCGGGCTGCAAACTTCCGATATTGATAACCAAAATATGGCTTGACATCGATAGATGTGTCTATAGAGACTATTGAACATTAGCTTGAGCTCGGGCTACATGTGCAGGGTATCCAAATCGAGCAATTCGACAGATTTGGATTCTCGTACCCCCCAACCCAGCGAAACATGCAACACAGACACTTGTGGTATTCTGGACGCCTGGCCTTTTAATGTCCGCCTAAATAATGCAACACGCACCCCCGCCCATTTTGCGTTGCTATCTATACTTATAATTAAGCCATATAAGTATACCTCAGTGGATGTGAGTATTCGAGTTATCTCACAGTCGCTGAGATAATCAGTCCGAGCCGAAGTGCTTATCTCATATAATCGATCACGAATTGTAGCTTAGGATCAACGAACTAGTTTGGATCAACAGGGAGGACTGATATCTGATATGATCTTGATATCCATATTCACTAACAACCACCTATGCCAACTAATCGCCACCACACCATAACTCGCAAGAACCCTCTTAAAAGACCCAAAAAAAGATGACAAACCTTAATAATGATATTGTAGCCCATAAACTCGTTTTTCCCGGTTCCTTTTTGCATCCCTCACTAGCGGGGGCAGATGCATTTCTAACCAAACTTTATATATAGCCGAGATTTACTGGTCTCGAGGCTACGAGATTGATTACTGCAACCGCGTTTCAACATCGATCACTTCACGAGGTGGATTACTAGATACTGTTGGAATGATATCGTCTAAATACTTTGCCACAAACTATTTTGACAACCAATATATGCAATAGGATTATGCCACATGCCCTGATCGAAGGCTCAACAGGATCGAATAGCTGGCCCAAATATTACAAGAAGGCGAGTAAAATTCGATTGAAGTCTAGAAAATGAGCATTTAATTTGGCTGTTTTAAGCAAAGGGGCGGTTGTATCCAACTCAGTAGGTGATTTCTGAAAGCCTATGAGCCCCGAAATATAGCACCATTCATAACTTTAACATGGATATCTAAAATAGGACAAAACCACGAATACAGCAGCTAGCGTGAAATCACTCTGTTGATTAGTCTGTCGCCTAATGCTAATACATCGTCATACCTCCTTACAACCGTGAAATTGAAGAAGTCCAGTCTACGAGAAACTGCAAGTTGGTTGGTTGTTTATGCACAGTATGCAGGCCGTCCAAGCAATGACATATATGTTTTATGGCACAAGAGGTTATTATTTATGTAAGCTATCTATTTATGCCAGTTGAATATAACATCCATACAACATTAGATATCTCAATGCGTATGGATCGGGCACTGTAGTATTAACTTGAGAACACATTCATTCATTTCTTGCGCATGCTGATCGTTAATTAGTGTCGTGGTCGGGTCTGTGGCTATTCGGTGTTCTAGCCTCGAGACCCGGTATTCAAGATATAGATGGTACACGCCTACATCATAAAATGATAAGATCCAATTACACAATCCAGACTTTTTAAATCTCGCAAAGCTAAGTCGCAATTGATATCCTAAAAGAATACCAGAATTCTTTTAGTTAATCTCCAACGCTTTGAATTTTTGGATCCAGTATGATCATATGAAGCGCTAAATGTATAAACAATAAAGGTTTCGGCTCTAAAATAGCAACGAAATTTGATGCACTGTGCTAGTATAGTTGTTGGATACTGTGCATAAAAAATGCAGGCCCGCTTCACGCTTTATACACATATACACACGCTCTTCTTTAGCTAGCTAGCTACGCACGTAAATGCACGATGCACGAATAAGGTCGAAAATAATACTATTCTGAAATTGCATTGTAGGACTTGATATATGGTAGCAGCTGTTGCTTTGATCATATCATTTTAAACCGAAATTATCAGGCCAAGCCAAAATTATAAGCTCATCGGTGACTAAGATTTATCATTTTATCAATATAGATTTATACAAGGTAGAGGAAAAGCGGTATCCGCTGGTCTCGTTGGTATCCGCTCTGCACAAGGAAGAGAAAGAGTATACTAACGACTTTGCTCAATCGAGACTTTCATACTCTTTTACCTAGGTAGTATTTCTTCAAAAATTGCTGTTGAGAAAGTTGCTGAGAAAATGAGTAATGTGTGGGTCTGATATGCCACAAACGGCCGTCTTCACCACTCGCGAAGGCTGCTGGTATGCCCAGCGAGCGTGTATATAACAGCGTAGAGCGTGCCCGAGCCCATCCCGGACTAAATTACAAGCCTTACTTCACAGAGCATATATATCATATCATATTAGTAGCAATAAAAATGACACCTGCATGTCCTACCAACATTTCACAGATCCACCATAAAGTTTCTATCAACGCATTTTTTATTTCTTAGCAACATTTTGAGCAGGTTCCTTCCTGAGCTTGCTTCAGCGGCGAAGATGTTATTCCCCTTGATCGTTTTGTAACTGATCCGTAACCAACGTTGCAAGAGAGTTGGTGGCAATACACATTCTCATGCTAGCTTAGGAGCTCGGAGGGTAGTTGGGTATTTTTCCTAACTTGGTGCTAGTATTTGGCCTACACTACGTATAACCAGAGTACAAATTAAAAGCCACTAACTCATCAAAGCTTTTTTGTAGCCTGCTATCACAAAGAGATGCGTAGACTAATATACATAATACCTCCTATTCCCCTCTGCTTTTGGGTCAATAAATATCTCTCGTAGTAAAGTCTCGTTAACGTCAAAAGGTCCTATACCAAAATTGTTGTTCCTCAATCAGATTCCCGAGCTAGGTCTCCCTCGGATTCTCTGGCTTTCTTTCTTTCAAGTTAGTTGAACGTTGCAACGCCGGTCCGGAAGCGGCCTTCGAAGCTCCGATTGATCAAAGCCATCCACGATGCACCTCCAAGCCCTTCGGATTATCTTGATTGGGCTTGGGCTAGTGGCCCGAGCGAGCTCGGTTCCACTCTGCCATAGTAAGCCTATGTGCCTTTTCCATTTTTAGACTGCTGCTGCTCATAGAATGTTTATTTCTAATCTTGAAGGCAATATACAAGTGCATCCTTACGACGAAAACACTAGGGGTATTTCATTGGAAGCCCAAATGAAGTCACCAGGGAAAGGATATAATATCACCAAAATTGATTCACAGAACCAAATTTCAATCGGAGAGACGGAATCAAAGATTGAAATAGGGGTTTCTAACCCCCAAGCGCAAGATATTTTTCTCTCCAACAACGAAGCCACCACAGCTAGAAAGAAAACGGATATCAAAAGTAATCTTACCGGGGAGCAGAAATCGGAAAACTCTGACTTTCGTTTGTATGATTCTGGTAGCGATTTCTCCACAGAGCGAGTTTCTACCGCACATCTTACCCCTCGTAAGTAAACGACAGATATAGAGACGTCAACGTTAATTTACTACGCTCAATAGCTAATATCGCATTGTAGAGAATGATATTCTACATGCTGTCGAAAACCGCAAAAATAAGGGGAGTGAAAATTCAATCCCTCGCGAAAAGCTTCGAAAATCAATATACAAAAGGGAGGTAAACGAGGCATCAACACTAGCATCAAGCACGATCCTCATTACGGCACCAAGTTCAAAACCAGTGATCGTGACGGTTTCTACTAGCTCTTCAGTATCAGCTCCGGCAATCTCGACTTCACCTATCCCCTTATCCACAGCTGAAAAAGTAGCTGCTGAAGAAGAGAAAGGGAAAAGCCACATAAGTAACATATCATTGAGAGTTGATGTTCCCAAGAGTTTTTTCATCAAGGAGGTGAATATAAAATGCAGGGCGGCGGAAATCACGTATGATGCTTCTAAAAGCTCTGACCCACGGTGGGCCGCTCTCAGATGGCCTGATTTTCAAAAAGAGTATGCCACAAGAGGTTACGCAATAGGGGCAATAAATTCTCGTCGTAGGAGCTGCATCGAGCTGTGCAAGTGCGACGAAGATGGAAGGATGGTGTTGAATCCAGATCCTGTAATGATGAGGAAGGGAAGTGCGAAACGGGGGTCAGGGGTCCATCATTCCTGTTCCGGACATATTAATAACCGGTTCGCTGATGAGTGTGCACTTGTTTATGGTAAGTAGAGCTTGTCAGGGAAGTCGAATTCGCAAAAATAAGTTCGCACCGCTAACGAAAACGTGTCCCATCATATTCATATTTTACAGGTTGTTTTTGCACCGCAGACCTTTTCGACAACCCAGATTTGGTAGAAGGGGCATCGGTGGCCGATTACCAAGCAGCATTAGATGGTCTACCAGAAACAGTGAAAAGCCAAAATGAGGGATTTCGATTCAACGCCGGGGCGCGTACTGGTGGCTTAGACGCTTGGATAACATATACCGAAGATTTAAGGATGTTCTCCAATCGACCTATTCAGACAAACGATATCGATTCCGCACCTCCGTTGGATGAGGTAGGGCCGCGGCGGGTGCAGCGGCCGTTGCCACCTGGGCATGTGCGCACCAGTAGAATATATCACGACTACACGGACCCAACCGAACCCGAGATCGACGAGTTTGGGTTCCAGAATTGGTTTGGTCCCGGTGATAATGATTTTGGTTATCCCGAGCCACAATATCGTGATCGTACCAAAGGTGGTAGGTATCCCAAGCCATATGATGGGCGTAAAAAAGGTGGTAATTAGAGGTTACGTGCCCCCCGGCTCTAGATCCTTATACCGCGTATGTATGTTCTATTGGTGGAGTGTATGGGTGGTTGGTTTCTTCTTCTCTTCCTTTTCCTTGTTCACTCAATAAAATGTTTAGATGTGTGTTCATCTAGGCCTATTGTCAATTAATATTGGGGATCTTTGGATTCCTCTCTTGTATCTACTTCGCCGTATACATGCCCCACTAAGTTCAAATCTATAAGATAGGCGTTGAGTTACAGATCTAAAACTGAATATTCACAGCATACATGTATAAAGATTGTGTTCAGATGCATACATGGAAGGTATATGTATATACTATATAGGAACACTGTCGCCTCAAATCTGGGAGCCCTATGTGGGAAAAGTATAGTATACCCAGCCAAATAAAGGGGTGTATTCCGTCCGTGTATATAACTCCGGCAGGATACAAGTGGAGAAAAGCTAAAAAAAATATATTTTGGCTCAAAATAACACCGACATCATTGCCTCAGGGGTATATTTTGGTGCCACGAGAAGCGGGTGGTTGGATTGAATACGAAGATCGAGGTATATAGTAATCTCAATAGTTAGATTTCATCAATCACGAAGCTGTAGATTGTTGGCAAGCTCGAGGCGTAGTATCCCTTGGGTTTCAGCACTGGTACTGTTATTATTCCTAGTGAGCGCTCTCGAGATCTCGATCAATAAATGGAAAAATCCTTAGCTGATAGCACTCGATAGTCATATCAGCCCCAACATTGCAACAGAAGTTGCTAGGCTGTGCATAAAAATGCCAATCTTGCGTTTCATATTGGATTGATTGTTGTAGTTCGATGATATTTACGCATCTGCATATGCAACAGTATAGTATAGGATCTAGCAACTTTATAACGGTGATGTTGGGCCCCTCAATCGTTTTGTAACCAATCCGTAACTGATATTGCAAGGGTGTCTTATCAATATTGATCAAGGTTTCTCTACGAATGTCAGCTTGAATTTTGGATATTATAGTGTCCTATTCTCCCTTGAGTAATTGAGATTGACCATGCATTTGTCGTTTGTATTATATAGCTGCAGAAGTTGGTATAATTAAGCCCTACACGAAATTATACTGTTCCTGCGGACTATCCCTCAGTCGAATCGATTTCCTGTCCTTTCAATTGAATATTGCCGTTCCCGTATACAAAGCGGCACCTATAGTAGCCGATTAATTTTAAATTATCCATCATGCAGCCTCGGGCTCTCCGTGTTCTCTTGATCGGAATTGGGTTAGTAGTTCAGACAAGCTCGATTCCACTTTGCCATAGTAAGACCGCCTACTCCCATCGTCTGCAGCCCTCTAAGCTATTGCTCACGAATATTCGAATACCTCACTTAAGAGGCCTCTAGCAGCACGCAGAGCCACCCTTGCGAAATGAAATCTGAAAATCCTTCATTCGAGTTACATGAATTGAAGCCACTGAAAAAAAAATTCTCGCACGGCAATTTTTTATTATCAGTTGAATCAAACTCCACTTGAAGAAACTAAGTCGACGTCGAACCTCGACATCGAGGACTCTCACACCCTAGCGGAAGTGATTCGCGCTCCTCGTAACAGAGCGACGGCTCCTAGTTCGAAGAAAGCAGCTAGTAAAATCGATCACATCGAGGAACAGCAGCAACCAAGAAAATTTACCCTTTACTTGTTCAATGATCCTGGTCAAAGGTCACCTACGGTGGGAATATCTACTCCGCGTCTTAGCACTTGTAAGTTTCCGACTAGTATCTCTCGTCCGATATTCATTTTTGCAAATGGCTAAGACTAATACACTAGATCCAGCCAAGCTTGTAGATGACGATAAACTAGGCGCGGCTGGGAATCCGAAAGATGTAGAAAGCTTACTGGACTGCCACGAGGCGCTTGACTCGGAAGAAGGTTCTTCAAAGCTCAAAGATCTAGAAGGGAGCACGAATTCAAACACAGGCTCCCTAGAAATGTCTGGGTTCTTGATTCATAAAAGGGACGTCTCCGATGCGAATTCGACAGCAACAGCAACAACAAGTTTAACTATTACTGCGGTGCCAAATCCAGCCTCGGTGCTAGATGGGACTTCAGTATCGACCCCATCATTGGTTCCAACCTCACTAGAGGCCTCGGTTTCATCTACCTCGTTACCAACTTCGGACCAAGTTGATGCCGACGAGGGTAAAAGCCATATCAGTAATATATCCTTGAGAGTAGATGTTCCCCCGAGCTATTTTATTTCGGGAAAGATGGTTATAGAATGTAGATCGTCAGAGGCCAATTATCAATCTTCTAGAAACACAGAACCACGATGGGCATTTCTCGACTGGCCAAATTTTCAAGAGTATGCCTCAAGGGACAAAGCGATGGGATCCATAACTAGACGCACTACGTCTTGTAAAGAGCTTTTGTAAGTGCGACGAAGAAGGAAAGATAGTGCGGAATTTTGATCCCGTAGTGGGTTTAGAAGGAAGTGTAAGAAGGGGCTCAGGTGTCCGACATGCTTGTGCCATTCGACGCGCATACCCGGAGGAATGCGCATTAGTTTATGGTAAGGATTTCTGGATATATCAATCGATAGGTCCCTGATTACTAATTTTGATACGTATTGTGATACTTAGGATGCTATTGTACTGCGCAGCTTCACGACAACCCAGACGCAATAACAGGGGCTTCGGTGGCGGATTACCAACAAGCGTTAGATAACTTACCGGAAACAATTAAAAACTCTAACGAGGGGTTCCGGTTCAATGCTGGTGCGCGCGTCGGCGGCTTGGATAATTGGATTACCTTCACAGATGCCCTAAGACTGTATCCCACAGCCAATCGTCCGGGCCCCTTCAGCGGATTTGAATTCATCGCGGAAACCCCACCTCCGACTTTCCAGAGAACTAAGACCCCCGGTTCTGGTCGGGTGGCTGATCCCTTATTATACGTGGATGAAGACGACCCGGAAATAGACGAAGCTGGGTTCCAGAACTGGTTCGGCCCCGGGAATAATAATTTTGGTTACCCTGAACCCAAGTATCGTGGAAGTACTTCTCATCTCAAAGGCCCCAGGGACCCAAATCAAGATGAGTAGGGCTCACATGGCCTCAAGGCTACGATTAGCACGATCTTAGACTCCGCCCGCAATTCATCTTTTAAATATATATATATATTTTTTTATAATTCCCCCCCCCCCCCCCTTTCGTAACGTTTCATGGACCAGTAGTCCGTGACTTCATAAAATATATGTGGCTTATACACTTATCGAAACGCTTGGCCTGGGGCCCCAAGAGACGTTGGATTCCTGTCTCTAAATTGGTCTTACTGGGGGCTTAGCCTTCCATTTTAGTTGAGTTTGAAGTTTCTAAATCTATACAATTTTTCTTTAAATACGATGTAAAGCTTCGGTGAGGGTCTTGGTGTAAACCAGATAAGATCTAAGGTGGGGCCGGCGAAGCCATTTCGATCCCATGGCAAATCGCAATACCGAGTTGTTGGATCTCAGGTAGAATTGTTCATTGATTTGAGATATGCAGACAATACACAATCAAGCATTGAGGTGATTAGGTGGACACGGTAACATGGTCCCTTAATTTGTGAACCGTACTTGCTTGACCGCATCGATCATAACTAGGTTGATATGGCTGGTATTTCTAGCTAGGTTCAAACGAAGTCTTGATCGCCAATCTTTGTGAAAGTTGTGCCAACATCTATAAACACGTAGAGCAAGATTTATCGCGATCGTGCGTCTTTGTGGGTAAATCTAAAATGATACAAGTACCGTGAGGGGGAAGGAGAAGCACTGATTCTGATAACATGAAGGGGAGCGGGGTAAAAGTAAACTAAAACGCGGGAGGAGGGTACCACCACCCCGTTCGAAGGAAAAATAAAAGGGCAAGGAAGCTGCAAATACCAGTAGCCCACGTGGTCCTGCTGAGTGTAGGAACTAGTCTCTGTAAACTAAACATAAGGGCCGCCTTGGTTCGAAAGGCTAAAGCCTGACGAAGAAGAAGTACTACTAATGGGGTAAAGAACGGCGACACTCCTTGAAGAAACGATGCGGTCGCTCCTTCCTTCCGTCCCGTACCAACTTGCTGAATGTCGAAACTAAGGTCCAGATAGGGAGGGCCTCCCCCTAATATACATTGCACTCGCCACGCTATCCCAAAGACTACAGGATCGTAGAAGGCCTGGGCCCAACATTCCAGAAGAGTGACGGCGTGGTCGGCGCCGGTATACCCATTTTCTGCGATGCTGAGTGCACCGTAAAGAAGTCGCCCAACAGTCGGGATGCTGCCCCCAGTATCGAGGGACATCGGGTACCCCTGATCGAAGTTGCGTTGGAACCATATATCGGCCCTGCGAGTCGCTATGTTGATGTGATCGCCGGGCCTGGAAGGAAGTCTCATTGCGGGGTCTTTAGAGAAGAAGCCGATGAACTTAGCCTCCTGGTGTATTGTTCCATGGCTTTTATACTGGCTGGCTCCGAAGGGCACCCAATGACAGAAATTGAACTCGAAGCCGGATCCCAGCACCATATAACGTCCTGATAGAGCTCTATGTATCTTGGGCGTTGTGAATTGACTACCCAAGGGTATAACGGGGAAGATCTCATAAATAGATTGGTACCGCTTGTCGAGGGCAGTATGTGATGTCTGAAGGAAATTCCTCCACGTAGAGCAAACTTGTGCAAGTATTGCATGATCGTCCCAGTCTGCACTTTCAAGTATCAAGTACTGAATATCGAGCGGAACATAAATATCGCTGGATTGTTGCATTGCCATTCTTGTGCGGGAGAAGGTTAATAGGTGGGTGAGAACAATAGGACCGATTTGCTTTGAGAGATTGAGGGAATGAAGGAAATACCATGTGCTGCCTTCGGGCGTGATGGATGAGATTTCTGAATAGGCTTTCTAGATAAATGAGCTTTGGACTCGAGGTATTGTTCGCGTGATTCCAATAGAGCTGAGATAAATTGCATTGAATCGACCTAGAAGTAATGGCAAATGGGGGGAACCCATCATAAAATGCCTTCAGACTTGATCCAAACTTCCAGTCACAGGTCATGAGGGGTCAGGTGGGCGAAATTTCTCATCATCCTTCAGGGCCAGGGAGCTTGTGACACGAAGACATCGATATCTCCAACAATCAACATGGCTCTTCCATCTTGTCACAATTGGTACGACCCAAGAATTCCATAACCAAGTCGATTGGCCATTATTGCCTCAATCTTTCCTCCATTGCTCCTAAAAGGGTGTTTTGATTAACCCGTGCCATCCGGTTGATGCATGAAGCCGGCTTGGTGGTTTGGTTTGGTTGGAAATATCTGCCTTCCAAGTCGCTACGGGGTAGCGGTATTTCAGCATGCTGAAGGAGAACTGGATAGAAAAGTGTGCCTGGTACCCCTTGAAATTCGAGTTTCGAATGCTATTCATGTTGAACAAAGGCTTTACGGTGGCGGAGAACTGGTTGATAGAGTAAAATGAGGGGGAAAGCTGTTGATTCTCGCTGTTGATCGTTTTGTAAGACTTCATTGGAGCTTCATCAGAGCATTTCGACGGGAGTCCCGCCAAGACGCGTCTCAACTGGCAAGATAGCTCGACATCGCAGTTTGCGGTCTGTTGAACCGCATCGGAGGGTAGGCAGTTGCCGAGTAACAGAAGCTAGTGTAAGGTAAATTGGTGCTGTACCTGACCTGGTTTAGAACATTCGGTATGAAGAAAGGGCTGACGATGGAAGGAGAACATCAAGAAGCTGCTAGAACACGAGGCTTGTAGTTTCACAGAGCAGACTAGCAAGCGCTTGCATAGTTGATTTCATAGATTACTATATTATGAGGGTAAATATACATTCTATAGCGAGGTTCTTCAAGTGCAGTTAGTATGTATCTTAACCAGCACGAGTGCGAGCAGCCTTGAGAGTCCAGGCCCGTATAAATGCCAAATGTGCTCTGTCTCGTCACCTTCCGTTTGGGTCTCATTCACCAGGAATATTTTTGACTTGATCAACGAGACCCATGCCACCCCACATTGGCTGGCATCTCGTTTAGCACCTGTCGTTGCCTGGAATTCCCCATTTTTGTTTGCTTTGCATTCCAGCCCTGCATCATACCACACCCAGAAGGATTCATGCTATTATTCCCTCCATCGACGAGACCAAGTCGTTGGCGATGGCTCTGACCATTTATGGGGGTCATAACACCAGCTGTAGATATAGACGTTAGCACAGGGTAATTGTATTTCGGAGTAACTTCCTGACGTACCAATGTTCTCTCTAGGCGGTCCGGTATTCCAATTTCCAAACCCAGCGCTTCCGACTCTTCCGTTCATTGGAATACGCGACCGTGAGGCGGATGTACCGACTCTTCTTCCACTCTCACTATTCCCATCGCTAACGCTTCCCTCCCTCCTCTCGATACTCCCCATGCCGCTCGGAATAGTCAGTCTTTCTCTTTCAGTAAATGGCAACTGGCCGGCTCCACTATTTCTCGCTTGTTGGCCTTGCTGATATGGAGCGTTGTTTATTCCACCCGATCCCGCTGGGCCGTTCGATGGGCCTTGGAACGAACCGAGAGCATGGTTCAAGGCCCTATCGGCAGAACTAGTGGCTGCCGTTTGAACATGCGATACCAAGCTCTTGCGTTTGAGTTTGTCATATCTTTCCTGGATCTCGATTTGCTTTCGCGATTTCTCACGGAGGGCTTCGCCTAACTCGTGGTTTTTGCGGGAGATGGTTTCATTCTCGATCGTCAAGGCTAGAAAGTCTGTTAGATTTATTCCCACCAGCAAATGCTTATTCGACCTTCAACGATGACATACTTTTGAGCTTTTCCTGAAGAGCACTGATTTCAGTGTTGGCTTCGTGGATTACATTGTCGAACTGGGTACTAAGTTGATTGAACTTCTCCATCAACGTTTTGGAGAGATACTCTTGGTAGACGCTTGATAAACAGGTATATTATCAGTAAATCTATCATCATTTGATGGGTTCGGATGGTTGAGACCGACGTACATCTCTTGGGTGGTCTGATACATCCAAAAACTGATCCCACGTCCGGCTATTTCAAGGATGATGCTGGGGCTCAGACCGCCAAGGACTGACGTCTTGTAGTCGTCAGTTGGATTTAAATTAGTCTTAACTATATCGTCGGGATTCTTCAGTTCCGTATGGCAAGCTGGACAGGTAGGAGCAATTGATCCGAGGTGGTGAGAAGATGCTGCCTGTTTGGTGAGGAGGTTATCGGCACAAGTAGTGCAGAAGATGTGACTGCATGTTGTAACGACGGCGAGGTGATTAAGGGCCGCCCTGCAGTCGAGCGAATTGCATTTCAAACTAATATCCATTGTGAAGCGAGTCTATCAAGCATACAATGACTAGTCGTTCGGTCAGCACTGGTACTGCAGTATAGTATAGCTATAGGTATTAACGGTATCTTGAGATAAGAACGATATGGCGATGCATGTAAGATGAAGGTGTTAGGTCGAGGTGCTTGCAGTATCTGCTAAGAAGTATTTAATATTAATATCTACATTTATAAATCAGTATAATATTTAATACTCGTACCTTTTTGGGGCAACGGTCTCTACCCACAGATACCTAGGTATCTTCTTAAGTGCTAGGTATTACCTTATAATTATAATTCTAATCGAGCCCTATATGTATACAGCCTACCTATATAGGTATCTGCCTAAACGATTTACGACATATCACAATACAATATTAATCTCTAGATGACACGGTTAACTCTACTTCTACAGTCAATGTGTTACATCGAATATTAATATTGTGTGTGCATGCATTGCATACTTGAGAATGTAAGTTCAGTGATAGTCTCGAGGCTAGTTCAGTGAAGTCCATGTGGTTGAGATGCACCAGTGTTACGGCGTACAGACTTAATTTGGGTTTGGCTAAGCTTACAGTACGTATACACGGGTTCTAGATCTCTGGAAGTAGAACTGAGCGAGCTATACTCGAAATGAGATGTTCTCAGGAAATATTTAGACTATCCCGTCCGATATGGTGACATTTTTGTGTAAAAATAATTGATGTATCGTATCAAACATTCGAATCTCGGGAAGAGGGACTATCACGGCTGTTTCTGCCAGACCTCAATATAGTACTCCCCGGTAGCTCCGCTGGGAATGCATGACTAGCGAGGAGCTCCCGACGATACTCTTGCTGGTCCTCTTCTGGAAGTTCATTGGGATATCCTCCACTGCCGACGACTTCACAATTACCATGCTTTGCGGGCATCTCGAACTTAGCCTGGCCCTCTAACTCGAGTCCTGCGGTTGGAGCCGGTGGCATTTCTGGCGCGTTTTGCTTCCTGAGTACGAGCCAGAATGCCCAACTCGCAACTGCCCCGATAAATATGAGTCCTGCTACTATGCTCCCCGCGAGAACTTGTATATTTACCCGTGGACCCGATTTCGACGGATTCCACCCAGATAGATAGCTGGTATTCGGGGCCAAAATGGCGGCACCATTCCACCCCACAGTAGCGACGATGCCATCTGCCCGAATCCCCGTAATACCGCTCGCCCTAACATCCTGCTTCGGAATTGCAAATCCCGTCTGGTTATTCTGATAGTCAAACCAGACATAGGCCGCCCTGAAGAACGGATCTCCTAGATAGATGTCTGCTTTGGGGGCATTGGCATTGATTCGCTCATAGTCCTTTGATAGGCCCAAGAAGATTCTGCACGCCTCTCCCGTAGCTGATTCCCCATAGGAGCTTCCCACATGCTGCCATTCCCCATAGCTCAAGTCAACTTTCCCTATCAGATGCTCCGAAGTAAGAGCGATATGGATGTTGCGCAATGTAATGTTAAGCGAGATTGTAATGTGGTTAGCATTTAGGCAGTCCGTGTACCATATAGTCTTGTTCGAGTTTTTTTCACGTAATTGATATGTTACGCCCATCCTTTGTATTAACCAGTCATAAAGGTATTCAGGAACTCGAATATCGGATTCTCCCAACAACAAAGCTGTTGGCGGAGACCTTAGAGAGGGGCCATTCTCATAAGTACTAGTATCTACAGTGTAAACTTTAATAGGAGCTAGAGTTTGTACATTGGTGGCCGAATCATGTTCGTATACCATCATAGGGGCGTTGTAATTCGCAGTGTCGATGCCTCCGAGGACTATCTGACTTGAGTTTTTCTCTAAAACTTTTTATCAGTGAGTTGCTCTTAGAATGTGATTGGACTCATAAAATACCGTATGCACCAAGGTACACCCCAAAGCCCTTGACTTTAATTAGACTTTGGTTCCAGATTGATTGTAGAAACCATGGTGTTGTATCGTTAGAAGTGATACCGAACCCAAGTTGCGGGAAGTCGTCTTCGAAGGGGGCAGCTATAAAGGGTACTGACGGCAACTCTAAATCTTCCAAAGAAAATCTATCGTAACCAAACTTTCCATTGCCTCTTAGAGAAGCTAGCTCGGGAGGGGGATTGAAAGTTCTATATGTAGACGACTTAGATCCGTCGTCTTGGAAAGGGATCAGTGGACAACAGCAGTCAGTGAATAGTTCTCAAAATTAGCCGTGGTCTCGTAGGCTTCACCGTCATGTAGGTTGCGGTGTGAGTTGTCATACAAGCCTTGTATTTTTCAATATCGTACACTAGGCAGCTAACACAGTGGGAGTACGTTTGTCTCGTACTCAGACCTGGAAGGGAGTAATTTTGTTTACAGCTGAGGAAGCCTGCTGGTGTTTTGGGGAGGTCGAAATCAGCACATTCGGTATATGAGGGAGACAATTGATCATCATAGTACGAGACCACCGTTGTTGACTGCCCTCCAGTCAACCGAAGGGTGATATTTTGGGGCGGTGTTCCTGAGAGTCGGATAATGTACTTTGTGAGCTACCATTTGATACAACTAGAATTGATTTAAAATAACAACTGGAATGAATAGACACGACCTGTATTATAGGTACCTACCAAGTGTTACATTTGCCAAGAAGCCATAATAGGAGGTCCCGTATGGCTATACGTCGGCGGTCAAGAGATGATTCGGATTCGAGTCAAACAGTTGAAGAATTTCACTTTCCAAGAAACTGAGGACTAACCTGTAGTGTTATATTTTGGAGAACCACTACTGCTGTCTCTAATCCTGGGTTCTGTTGCATTTGCAGGTCCAGCCCCGCCGTTACAATTCCAACCAGCAGTTGCACACACACAGCCAGTTTAAGAAATTGAGCTTTCCAACCAGATCCCATGACGTCGTTTTTGTCGAAGATTGGCGCCATAAACGTATAAGATCTCGAGTTTGCAAGAAGAAGAAAATATGAAAGGAAAGGAGAATAAAAGAAGATATTCGAACAGATCCTTCGGTGTAGATGCCTAGATATCTGACAAACGTCTATAGGATGGCATCAGAGGAATCAATAGACAAAAACGTCCCTTATATAAGATCATTTTGTGTTAGATTTGCGGGAAGCATTCAGGAGGCTGGACGGAACCGAATATGCAGGCTGAGATTTGGGAGCCAATTGGTGGTGTTGGTTTATTTTGTACTCGGTGGCACAGCATTATCACACACAAACACGGCGTCAACTCTGCAGAATCTGGGACAACTTAGGGCGGGTATTCGAGGATCTCAAGAGGTAGCGAAAGAAACCCGATCCCACGAAACCGACGGAGCTCCGGAGAATGCAAGGTCCTGAACAGCTCCTATACAGCCATTATGATAATAATTATAAACGATACTTCGGGTGGTACCGAGCGATTCTAAATTTTGACATGCATGCGCATGCGGATGGAAATAGGGTGCTTGGCAGCGACTCGCTCCTGGCCATCCTTTGGCCTCATCGACGTAAGAGTATTTGTAGTTGTATTAATGCTGTTGTACATTATGTTCATCAGAATAGTAAACGTTGTGCAAAACGGGGAAAGTGATATCATATCGCTCAAATAACAAGCAGGGCTCTGACTTAATCTAATTGAAAAATAACACCTTTTCTTTTGTAAATCATCTGGTCAATGTCTTCAAATCTTCGTTCACAGTGGCCACTTTGCTGGCTACAGCAAGCATGCCCGAGAATACAACTCTCTCTGCCTTAACAACCTCCCTCACTTTACTCTCAGCACTCATGTTAACCTGCCCGACATCTCTTTCAACGGCCTCCAGGGTCTTTTCCACCTCACCAACGGTCGCAAGAAAGTGTGTTGCTTTGCTCTCTAGTTCACTGGACTTCTCTTCAAAGTATGGCATCAACGAATACTCGGGGTTTGATGTGTGGTGTGTTGAAAGGTAGTGAGATCGTTGTGACATAGGAAGCCTAAGGATATCGATTGTCCTTGTGCTCAAAGTTGCTGTATTGATAAGTTGGGTAGAGGCGTTATGAAGCTGGCCGATGGAATGGCCATCGTTGTTCAAGAAAGTTGTGGCGAATCCGAGTTTCCTAGCGACATGCTCAACATCGTCTTCGACAGATTCCATCGCATCCTTGTGGGTGACCGATCTAGCGCCAAGTTCTTGCGATATGCCGATTGCCTTCTGGACATAGTCGTCTAGGAAATCTAGGAGAGACCGTACATCCGCGTGTAGTTCTTCATATCTTGTTGTTCCTCTCATATTGCTAAAGTTCATCTCTACGGCCTGAGGTTGCACTTGAGTCTGTGTTTGTGTTTGTCCGAAAAGAGACGCCTGGGGTTGCTGAACTGCCGATGCACCAAATAGCCCAGTACTTGGTTGCGCTGCAGGTTGGCTCCTATGAATAGTAATTGTGAGTATGAAATCCGATCTGGAGCCTGCGAAGAGGAAGATACATACAGGAGAGTTGGCATGGGCTTTGACGCTTGTTGGCTGAATAACCCACCAGCGCTAGTGCCACCACCACCAATTCCACCCGTTGTTGAGTTACCAAAGAGCCCGCCGCTTGCAGCTGGCTGGGGGGTAGCCGAGCCTGCACCAAAGAGTCCCCCTCCAGCGGCTGGTTGTGGTGTTGTTGTTGATCCGAAGAGACCAGAAGAGACCGGCGCGGCTGTTGTAGCCGTAGGTACGCCCAGTAACCCTCCACCAGTCGATGTGGTAGCAGGCGTTGAACCAAAGAGCCCTCCAGCAGCTGGCGCTGGGGTCGTTGTAGTTCCGCCAAATAGCCCTCCGGCGGCTGGTGCACTAGTTGTTGTAGTAGCGGAGCTGAAGAGCCCTCCAGCAGATGGAACCGTAGTAGCTGTCGGTGCCGTGGTGCCAAATAGACCACCTGATGGTGCCGTTGTGGTATTTTGGCCGAAAAGACCCGCCGACGCTGGGGGCTGCTGCGACGTCGACTGGCCGAAGATAGATGCACCGGCGACACTGGCCCCCAAACCACCTGTTGCCGCACCTGAACCTTGACCACTAGTGAAGTTCTGTTAGTTACAACCTTTTGTTTCATTAGTATAAAAAAGAATGCAATAACCTACAATGTATTGGCAGCTGTTGTGTTTATGGCAGTTGGGGTGCTCGAGACACGATTGAAAAGCGACGACATGACGGAAGTCTGCGAGAATCGCTTCTTTAAGTTGGATTACGGGAAGCGTCCAGTATCGAAAAGCAGGGCTAGTCACTATTTGGGGCGCTACTGTGGGGTTTGATGACTTCGCGGTACAATGGTGCTGTTGCTGCTGGGAGGTTGATGTGAAATTAATGTGAGGTTGGCGAAGGATATCATATTTCGTGTGGCGGAACGCGTGCAAGATGTGTGGCTGACTGAATTGTGGCTTGCATACGGGTGGCGGCGACCAAGAAGCAACATCCTGTCGCGTTTCACCCAACTCCATCCTCTCTCACCCCACATCACCACCATAAGAACCCAGCACGATGGAAGACGACGACGACGACTTTTACGGGGATGCATCCCCTCCCGCACAGCCTATCCATCAAGTGACTGTTCAGGACCTCCTTTCAAATGACAATTCTACTCCGAAACCTGCACCTTCGGCCGTTGCTCCTGCGCGCCAGGATATCAACATGAACGATGTAGCGAATGGCGGAGAAACTGCACGAGCTGGCGGAGAAGAAGGAGAGGAGGATGAAGAAGAAATCGAGGAGGAAATTGAGGTTGAGGATGATGACGATGTATTGTTCCCCAAGTTACCCTGTGTATGCACTTGACCATAGGCAACTAACAGCCTTTATCAACTTCACCTAGGATGTTGAATTCATATTGGAACTTAAGGCTGGGCAAGCCGTCGCGCCACCTCCTCAGGGTGCTACTCGTTACGGAGCTCGACAAGCCACTACTTCTGCTGCACCTCAGCGACAGGTGTCGCACCAGGATCTTAAGGAACGCGCCGCCGCTCCACAAGCCGTCTCCCCAGCTCCTCGTACGGCAGCACTCGTCTCCACTAAGACACCTGCCCCTCGAGGACCGACTCCACCACCTATAGCAACGTCGACTCTAGATATCAGTGCTATACCCATTCATCCATCTACCGGTGAAAAGCTGACTTCCCTTAACATTGATGATCTCCCATCCAAACCCTGGAGGAACCCGGGATCTGACGTCTCCGATTACTTCAACTACGGATTCGACGAGTTCACATGGACAGCCTATTGCCAGAAACAGGAAAACACGAGGAAGGATTTTGACCCAAAGAAAATGATGGAGGACATGATGATGTTTGGGAACATGCTTGACCCTTCGCAATTAATGAACATGACAGGTGCTGCCAGTGGGGCCGGCGCTGGAAATACCCCGAACATGCCTAACACAGGGGCAGGTGGTTTCCCCAATGGGATGCCTCTACCGCCCGGTATACCACCCGAAATGGCCGCGGCTATGATGCAACAAGTTGGGATGTCAGGGATGCCAGGGATGCCCCCTATCCCTGGGATGCCCGGAATGCCAAATTTTGGTATGGACATGATGGGTGGAGCCGGCGGCAACAATACTCCAAACCGACAGGACATGCAGATGTTCAACTCCGGCGGACAGGGCAGCGGCTTCGGGCCCCAAGGGATGGGACAATTCCAAGCTCAAATGGCCAATTCCTATGCCGAAGAGCAGCAGCGGTTCGAGCAGCAGAAGTATATGCAGCAGCAACAGCAGAGATTGTACGCTCAGTATCGTTCTTAAAATATACATTTTACCTTTAAGTCAGCCAACGTGACGCACTAACAAAACTATATGAAACGCGAACAGACAGCAGCAGCAGCAACAGCAACAACAGCAACAGCGTGGTTTCAACAATCCCAATGCCGCCTATGGCAACTTCCAAGCCCAAACCAACAACAACCAGATGGGTCGTGGCAGGGGTGGACCTGGAGCTCAAGGCGGTACCGGCAATGTTTCCCAGCAGAGGGGGTGGTAGAACCATTGGCATCTTTCTGGAGACGGAGTTAACGATATTGGGCCAAGTTCATTTTCCTTCCTACCCAGCAATATGAAACCCAGCAGGTCCTTGAGATCCCACCATAGACAACGATCCGGGGATCTCAAGCAGCAGAAGAACCCCGCCGAACTAAATACAACGGACGGCACCTGTAACAGTACCCAGACACCCTTGCCAATCTGCAGCATCTTGACAGAAGTTTCGGGTAACCCTCAGAATTTTTACCGATGTCCTCGCCGTCCTGCAGGATTACCTCTACAAACAACACTGAAGGTTTGCGGAACCCAAACTGACGACGAGAAAGCCAAACAAGAGAATATCAATCCTGCTAATCCCAATAGTGGGGTTGATATCGAAGAGCTCATACGCCGACTCACTGGTGGTTAAAAGGCTATCTTAATTGCAGGTTCTCTGTTTTCATTTATGTTACTCAAAAAAAGCCTTGACTTTAGTGTCTTGACCTTGGTGCCTTTGTTTCGTTGGACTTGACTTGGACTGCATACTGCTTAATGTATATTATCACTTTCACAACATAGAACGGCGTTTTACTTTGTTGGAAGCTTTGGGGATAACTAGCAGTTACGGTAATGCATAATATTTTGATAAACTTGCGGGGCTTTACTTCAGCTAGCCTTGTTAGACGTATTTGTATCCAAAATCGCCGCCAATAGGATGGTCCTTTCGATTGTTTGGGATCGATTCCGTAAGAATGTTTGTGCGTACCAGCTGTGTTGATGCACAGTCACCAGCATATGCAGACACAGCTTCAACCTTCCAGCTTAACAGAAGCCCTACAATCGCTCGTCTAGGCTCATCCCCACATCACATTACTCCCTCAATCCACCAGTCCGTTCTGAGCTTACCAGTGACTGTGACTAACTCTGATTCTGAACTTAACCCTGCCCATGATGCACGACGAATCCCTTTTGCTATATGCCCGAGCCTACGATTTAGTTGAGGGCCATACCTCTATATCACCACTTTCATTTATATGCCTGCCTTACGATACTGAAGAAGATGATGTAAACCTTATCACCAACTTCCTTGAAAACCTACCATTCCGAACTACTAGTGTTCACTCAACTACCAATGAACGCCTCGAAGTTGTCAAAGATGTTAGCTTGTTGTTAGCAAAGACGATATCGCTTCGTGTTTACGCCGAAAACCCTGAAGACGGATATCAAAAATCGGACGACTTTTATCTCGATGAACCATTACTATGTTATGAAGCTAGTTTATCGACTAATACGGTTAATGAACGCCTTGATTTGACTCGATTTCCTTTGAAGGGAGTGGTCCCAAGTAAAGAGGACGATGATGGGGAATTACAATTTCCGTATTGGGCTTGGGAAAGACGAAATGAGATCGCGGCGGACCTTGCCGGAGAAAGAATGGCAGTTGATCGAAAGGTTTTGGAGTTCTTGAGGAAGACGGTGAAGAACCCGGACGCTGAAAAGAAACCCACCAGAGATTGTGAGGACGACTGCTACGATGTTTCAACTGTTAGTGTGATTTCCATTCTCCATAGGAGTGCTGGTATCTTGTTTGGAGCTACAGAGCTAACTAGATGTATGCATAGATACTAATTCCAAAAGATACTACACCACCTCTGTCTCCACTGCCTGTACCACTAATTCCTTTAACACCAGTTCCGCTAAATAAGCTAGTGGAGCAGTTGGAACCTTTGAATCTTGAAACAGGGGATAAATTACCTTTTATCCCGACGTTTGAAAACGGTAATCTGATGAATGAGAGCCTCGACGAAGATACAGAAGCCGTTAAACTATTTAAGTCTATTCAATTGGCCCCCCTCATCAGTTCATCACCGATTAGGCCTCCACCAAAAGAACTCCATGTCGAGACACCGTTGACGCCTCCGCTCACTAGTCCAAATAAACACAATATCGTTTTGGATAAGACGGTTGGAACTGATATCCCACCAGAGGTATGTGGACCTACAAAGAAGGTAAAATTTTCGGATATTGTCGAGGAGTTCTTGATCCCACCATCTTTGGACCCTTCAGAGGGTGGGTATGACGACGAAGTTATCACAGATGACTACCTTACCCATTCGGCAATGGCTCAGCTTTCCCTTGAGGTTATGGAACCCGGTGCACAGTTCTTTTTGATGCAACTACAGCAAGAGCAACTTGAAGACTCGACGAAGTCAGAACAGGAGCCCAAAGATGGTTTACGTGTCGAGTTGCCAATTGTTAGTTGGAAGAGACCAACCCCACCGTGGGTTTTAGGTGGGATTCATGACGACGATCTAGTTGGTGCCATTGATAAGGAAGTTATGGTAAATTGGGAATATAGAAAGAGTCTTGATATTGCAGGCTTGTGCTGGACAATCGGGAATACGACTGTTTCACAACCTGGAGTTACGGAGACGATCTTTCCTGAAACTGAAGAGGAATTATGGAAAGGCATCGAAGATGTGTTTCCAGTGCTTCCTTTGGAGACGGTAATTGAAGATGAAGATGAGAGTTTCTGGGATAATGGGCAAGAGCAAGATGAAGACCTTGAGTGTGCTAAAATCCAACCCAAGACGGATCTCGATAGCTTGATCGAAAGAAGGAGGTTACAGAGACCTACTACCAACCACAAATATGTAGCAGCACCCCTTCTAGATCCAAGGAGCAATCTCTCATCCTTTCTGTCCCTTCAAAACCGTAGCACGGAGCCCCACCCAAGCACTACAATACACTCCTCATCAGCAGCCCCTCCCCCTATACCTTCAGCCATTTCTTGCTCGCAAACCGATCCGTCAACAGTACAGCCATCTATTCAAGTTTCCTCATTGCCGTCCGACCCTTCTTCCACATTCATAATCGCCGCCTCATTTCTCGCCAATCGTACCCTTTACAAGGCCATCAAGTCCTTTTGCCCCAATTCCAAGTTTATAGAAAGACATTTCGAGCAACTTTCTCCTGTTAGAATATTTGGAAAACAAGACCAAGTTCCAGAGGAATACACAATAGAGGCGGATATTATTGTTTCACCGCTGACGGGGATTATTCTGACCGATTTACAAACGATTAGACGACGACCTCTCCCTACCAATCTATCATCCCGCGGCGGGGACTCCATTCCAAAAACATGCGAAGAAATACGAGCTCGAATATCTGAACTATCTAGAAGATATGAAAACTTAGCTGTTGGGGTTTCTATTGACTTTGGAGGAAGCGGGGTGGAGTCAGTCGAGTTAAGTACAACGGATTGTGCAATCCTTGCAGCATTCATCGGATTCTGTGAAGGTATTGGTAACATCGAAGTCACTATCATCCCAGGCAGTGGGAAAAGCGGGGTTCAAGAACTTGGGAAATGGGTAGTGAAAACTATGGATTTCCATTCGACTCCATGGAAAAACGTTGGTTTGGAAGTTGAAATCACAGAAAAAGAGACTATGGTTCGTGTTCAATTCCTAAATATTTCCCTTATATTAATTCCGGGGTAATCGTTAAGATACAAGCTGACCTTCGATGGTGGTATAGTGGGAAGCCTTCCTACGTAATAGTGGAATGAACTCGTATGCGGCTCAAGCGATTTTGACCAAGCTTCATGAAAGTGAATGCGGCCTTGTGGATTTTGTGACGATTGAGAAGGAGAGTAGGAGGGTTATATTTGAGCAATTTGTTGGGAGGAAGAGTTTGGAACGGTTTGAGGAAGTCTCTGATGCAAGGTGGCAGTATGGTTGAAGACATGAACACTCAGATGAATTAGCCGGACAATGATTCATCCTCGATCGGTATTTTATACAGCAAAGCAGCAGGGAGCAAAGGCCACTGAAATACTTATGACTGTCTGACCGCATGGAACACAAACACAAGTCGTGTTCGTGGGCACACCGCTAACTAAATATTAGACTCATATAATTTGTATATATACAAGAACAGATAATCAGATGGTGAAGACAATTTGGAGATATGATAAATGTGTCGATCATCATTGTCTATTACAATTACAACTCCGCAACCATTGGCAAAATCCCAAAGATCAAACCTAAGAATCCCCACAATACTCTAAGGTCGATATGGTGTCGAATCGCAAGGGAAGGGACAGAAGTCTCGGGACCCGGCCCTGACTGTGAATTCGTCAGACCGGTGGTTGTTGTAGAATCCGAGGAAGTTACCCTCTCCGAAGATTGGCTAGTGCTTGGTACTGGGGATATACCTGCACTGCTAGTGCTGGATTGCATGACTGAAGTTGGGCTTGAAGTGGGCGATGCTGTAGAGCTAGTAGAATCAAGAGAAACCACTGTGGGCTGTGGTCGACTGGGGCTGTCATTCCCAAAGGCCACAGCTCCACCACCCCTCCATTCAAACCCAGGCGTTTCGGGGTCACTTGCATCCAAGTCAATTTCCGGATAGTTCCATACTTCATTTGTGATTTCTGATACATTGCGATTTCCTGTGAAAGTGAGGGTCATTTCTGTTCGATTGGCTTTGAGGTAAAAGGAAGCCTTGGCTTTATTATTGGTGAAAGTGAAGTCGACGCCAAAGTCATCGTGAATTCCGGTCCTAAATGCAGATTTATAATTTAGTCAGCTATTATGCATATATGCATGGTGAATACCGATTGATCTAATGGAGACGTGTCGTACCATTCTTGCTTCATAAAGTCTATGGAATACTTTGGATCCAGAAAGCATCCATTTTCGAAATCTCGCAGACGACCCTTATTCCCCTTATAATCCAGCGTAACGCTAGGCTCGTAGGTATTATTATTCAACCAACTATCTTTTCCCAATTGAACTCTATACCCATCACTACCTTCGAATTTCACTTTCCCAATTTCGGATTTTCCAAAGTCGACCGTCCGTTGCAGTTCATACTCTCCTGAATCCCCACGATCGAAGTTTAGGTCGATAACAGAAGATGCGAACTCCAGATTGTATATTTCATCATTGGTGTAAACAAAAAAGCCACCGGATGTGGTACTATCGAAGTCGACGCAGTTCTCGCCTCTGGAATTGCATTTAACGGAACTAAGGTGTTTGAGTTCGAAAAAAAACGGGTTGGGATCCCAATTTGGATGAACGCCGACGTAAAACCAGGAATGATTCTGTGGACCCATTTGGATGGTACAAGGGTCTCCGTTTTTTGTGAAGGTGTTCCAGGTTATGGAGACATCGCCCTTATAGGCGATATGAGCATTCTGGTTTTTGTATTGATAGACGAAGGCATTTGCGGCGAAAGTGCGCCAGGGAAATGCGCAACAAAGAAAACCGAAGAAAACGAGAAGATGCATATGGGAAGAATGTAACATTTTGAGGGGGGTTAAAATTGGGTTAATAGCATAGAGACTAAGTACTTAAGTAGTGACTTATGGGCGAGTCGCAGGTTTTCCAAAATTGCAATCTTATGCCAAGCAGGTACCGCCAGTTGGTTCTTAAATGTCCCATGCTAACGTTATGCGGGTCTTTCGATCGGATCTTTAAGCTTTTGTTCAATGTTGGAATGAGGAACTAACCCCTGTTACAAACGGCTTGGAAAATGTCGTTACCCTTGCGCTAGGGCCGGGTTATAATAGCACTGCTATAGATCAAACCATGGCAGGAGTCCTTAGCCTAAGATCGGTAACGTTATAACTGGTGGTCATCCGATCTTAATCCGACGATTTGGGAATTCTATTACAGGGCGTAATTTTGAGTGCATGTAAGTACTTGAATAGTAATAGATACTATATATGTTAAACTTTTAAATATAAATCATGCATACCCGACTTAATCGTTAACTACCTAGGTAGTTGATAAGTTTTGATAACATGGATTCTATATGGCTTGGATACCTAAGTCTTAAGCATATCTATATTACAAAACTTCTTCAATCACAGATTGAAGCCCGTACTATGTACATGATTTAGCTACCTACTTAGATATCAGTTAGAATGGCCAGAAATTTTCTTGATTCTATAAGTAACTATCTCAATTAACTTCTTGAAAGCTTTCTGAATCATGTCATGCAAACCAATCAATCCTGCATTCCCGCACTTTAGCTTCAAACCACAACCTCAAAGTGTCGGTATCACACCCTCTCGGACTAAACACCAAAATAGGTTCCCTCCCCATCCAGAACTCAACCACAGTCCCCTCATCCCACTTCCCCCTCTTCCTCTTTTGCAAGCATTTCGACATCTCATAAGCCACCACTTTGGTGACAAAGCTCAGGTAACTAGCCACTTTAGCAACCGGTCCCAAGGGTACAACTTGATTCTGTTTATCCCCCAAACTCTCACAGAATTCACAACAGTCGAAAGAGACCACGATCTCCCTTTCCGCAAGCTTTAAAGAGCCGCTATCCCTTCCCGGAAATATAGTAACCGGATCATCCTTAAACATACCCCAATGCATATCCGGCCAAACCCCGCAGGAAGGATGATACCCAGACCGCCGTTCGATAACTTCAATCTTGCAAGGTCGAAATGAACATTTTTGAATACCAGCACTATCCACGATGAATTGTCTGAGATAGGTCAAAGACTTATGTACCCAAGGTCGAGGTCTGGGGAACTCTTCTTCTCCCGCACTACCGTCGAACCCGTAGGTTGTAGCTTCGACGGGGAAATATCTGTTAAGTCGGATTTGTGCGGAAGTTTTGATGAAATTGCGCCAGAAACGACAGACTTGTGCGAGAATTGGTTGCAGCTTCCAATCTGCGGTTTCGAGTATCATCATTTGGAGTTCTGCGGGGAGGTAGCAGTTGGAGCTTGGGTTGGAATTGGTTGTAGCGGTGGGTGGTGGGCGTGGGATTTCGTTTGAGGTCTGTGCCCCTGCCGGCAGCCGATATTTGTATAAACCGTTCATTTTTATATTGGAAAGTTTAGTTCGCAATAATATTGGTTTGAATGTTTTAAATCTGCATCTGTGGGCGCATATCGGTGTATTTATCGATGTAGTAGCGTTGTCGCCTTTGCAGGATCATATCAAAACTTCCCGTCTAGCTAGTCTAGAAGAAACATCTAATTATAAAACCTGCACCGGAATGAAGGGGAATATATGTACTGGGCTTAGGCACCGATAGCCATTGATGTGCTAATCATGGAACCTACCTGTCCTACCTGAAGACTTTAATTATAAGGATTCACACTTCCCGCCTCGAAATGTTTCAGCTGGATTGAGGCTGGCGGAGTACGTTCAGAGTCGCAACACGGCAGAGAATGAGGCTGCCGAAATTCCATAATCAGCTCTTCCTGACAAAACGCGGAGACGGAAAGCTCAGATAGATCGATATGGAAGAATATAGTAAAGACTTATTCTTGCCGTACAGTTGGATTGTTATTATTATTGTTATTATCATCATAATAAGAGAAATACCCGTTTTGATTGCGTTTTAATACCCGTCCGTCGTCTATTTCTATTTCACCTGTAAGAATACATAGCACACGGCAAAGCCATATTTTAAATCCCTGTGTGCAACAATGACCAAAACACCTTCGTATAAAAACGATCCAGCTAATTAATAATTAAAATGATATATGGAACGGAACGGCAGCGATAAGAATAAGAAAGGGAAAAAAGGAAGGGAAAAAAAAAGGATAAAGGTAATCAGGGTGTAGATGTTAACCACAGCTGTGAAGCATGAAGATAGCTGGGTTTAGACCTTCACCTTTTTCCTGCCCTTAACCTCCTCTTCGCCTTCATTGATTCTCTTAGCACCTCTGCTAGGGGTGCTTCGACCACTCACGCTACCGCCCCCATTAGCTCCATTGACGGGTGTGGAAGTACCACTGATCTCGTCTCCTCCAAGGTTTTGATTGACGTCCTTTCTCTTTCTTGGGCTGCTTCTAACGCCAGCGGTAGCAATGGCTGGTTTCTTCGAGAAGAAGGAGTCCAACCCAGTTTGCTTGACCTTTTGTCCCGATCCATTGACCTCTCCACCCTTCTTTGGCACTGATATTTTGGGCATAGGGCCCCGAGGGGTTTTGACCCCGTTCTCTTGTTTCTTCCCTTTACCCCTGCTTTTCTTCGCACTGATCGTAGAGGTCGCGGTTTCTTCTCCCTCGTCTTTCACTCCACCGTCCTCTTCGCCTTCTTCCCCCTCAGCGTCCACATTTGCCTTCTTCCCCTTTCGAGTACCTTTGCCTCTTCCCACCTTAACATTCTCTTTCTTGACCGCCGCTTTCCCCCTCGTCTTTCGTTTCTTTCCGCCCGTGGTCTCAGTCGAATCGACATCATCGGCATCCACTATGATGACGTTGTTGTCTCCGTCAACTTCCCCAGCAGGCGTGATAATTCCACTACTTCCACCGGCAATTGTCGTACCGTCCGTCATGCTCTCAACCTCCATCTTCTCAGCCTTCTTCTTCGCCTCGGCGACTTCTTCCTCTTTTACTTTCTGTCTTCGATCGCGCTCCTCTTCTGCTTCCCTGATGATGTTAAGGCAGGTAGCATTGTACTCGGGATCCTTTCGACTTTCAACACAATTGTGGCATTCAACATAGAAGGCTTGTGGAATGGCATAGTAATCGAGAAGTTGGTATTCCAGGATTTCGTCTCCAATAAGTTTAGCGTTATCGAAGTCGAGGCAATCCTCGCAGTAAGCACGTTCACAGAAGCGGCATCGGTAAAGCATGTTACCAGCGTCTGATGTTTTCCTATACATTCGAGATTTTGTTAGTAAGCAGGCTGCGAGGTCTGAGGTCTGATAATAAGGGGCATATGCGTACTGTTCACAGTCGTGGCACTCATGCTGCGAGCAATGATACTGCATTTTTCCATTACTCTTGTACTTGTGCTCTTCATCGAGACAATCGTAGTGGTAGGAACGTGGGCAACTCGAACAGCAGACGATATCTCCACCGTCGGTACAGACTTGGCAGTAGTCCTGATTGGTGATCTTGGCCTTCTTTCGCTTTGGTGGATCCTTCAAACGAGGATCTTTCCCGGCCATGGTAGCTACTGCTTCCCTGTATGCGATCGAACTCTTAGCAAGTTTTACTAGGCTAGACGTTAGGATGGGCTAATACGAACCATTGATCGTTCCCGACTGTTTCCTTCAAGACCTCGTATCCGTCAACCATGACAGTTCGATTCTTTCCTGCTCGTCTGTCGCTCCTATCCAGCTCGGCTTCTGTAGCAGCCTTGACTTGCTTCTCCATTTCTTCCTTGCCCATTTTCTTTCCCTCAAAAAGCCTTGTCTCTACCTTCTCAGCACTATTCAACCATTCCTCTTCGCGTTCCTTCTTTGTCGTCTCATCTTCATCCTGGTCATCTCCGTCATGATCCACAACCGTATAATTCTTGCATTTCTCCAACATTGTTTCCCAGTCCCATGCCATCATTTCCTTTGGATCAATTTCGGGTCGCGCAATCGCTTGAGCTCCACGTCGGACGAGGGTCATCAATTGATTCATAGTAAACTTAGGCGCGTCGTCTTCTTCGTCCGCGACAGAAGAGGGGCCAACGGCTGGCTTTTTGGAGCCATGGATGTCGCGCATCGACTCCGTAACTTTGGCAGACAGGTACAGCTTCTTCTGGATACGTCCAATCATTTGCTCTTCTACCGTACCTTGTGTAACAAGTTTGTAGACAGTTACCTTCTTGGTTTGGCCGATACGGTGCGATCTTGCCATTGCTTGCAAGCTATCGGGTATGTTAGGATGGGATTATGAAAAAAGAATCGAGGGAATTGTGGGCACTTACTCGGCTTGTGGGTTCCAGTTAGCATCGATCATGACCACCTCTGTCGCACTCGTCAAGTTGATACCCAAACCACCGGCTTTGGTCGAAATCAAGAATACCTTGTATGGAGATCCGGCCTGGTTGAACAGTCTGATACTAAGATTTCTGCGCGCCCGGCCTGTCGATCCATCCAATCGCAAGTACTCGAATTGAGAGCCATCGCCGCCAATGATTTGTAAAAACTCTTCACAGATGTCTAGCGTTTTTGTAAAGTTGGAAAATATCAACACCTTACGGCCTTGTAAGATAACTAGTTGTCTGATAAGTTTCTCCAAAACCATGAACTTTCCTGATGCGGTGATGATGTGCTGTCCAAGTTGGTACGGCTCAGGCTCTGCGGCAGGGATGAGATAGGGGTGGTTGCAAATTTTGCGGAGTTGTATAAGAATGTTCATGAGTTTGCGCCACGAAGGGTCGGATTTGACCTGCTCAATGCTCTTCTTGACGGCCTCCTGCACTTCGTTCCATTCTTCATTGTCCGCCTTGATAGTGACCTCCTCGCCATCGTTGTCGACCCTTATTTCGACATTGTCGAGTCGTCTAGCCTCTTCTTTGGCGGCGGTTTTATCTACGGACTCTTTATCCTTGGAGTTTTTAAAGAGACGCTCGAGCATAGGATTGTCTAGTTTTGTAAGGATCATTGTGTACCACATCCTCTGCATGGGTGAAAGCGGGACGTAGAGGATGACTTCCTCCTTGTCTGGAATGCCAAGACTGATTCCTGGGGATTGTTTTGTGCGCCGCTTCATGATAAGCTCCAACAAATTGCGAGAACAGTCAACAAAGCTGGTGTCAACTTTCCCGCGAGTTAGATCAAAGGCCTGACGCCATTCGTCGCATGTACGATTAGTGAACACTTCGGGATACAGCCAATGAACTAAAGACCAAAGTTCGAACAAGTTGTTCTGGATAGGGGTACCGGTGAGGATCAGACGGTATTCAGCGTTAATGGATTGAAGAGACTGGGAAGATAACGTCTCGGAATTTTTAATCTGGTGCCCCTCGTCCACTGGGTTGCTCTAGGTTAGCTGAAGCTTCTATAATTATCCGAAGTGGGCAACTTACAAGCAACGTATCGCCAAATAAAGGCCCTTTTGAACCAGACTTTCTCGGCTACGAAGGTGTCGTACGAGGTAACGATGATATCCCAGCCACGCTTGGGATTTTCTGGATGTACTGGGTTTTCGCTTCCGTCCTTGCCGCTCTCTAGGCCCTTCTCAGCCAGTCGCTTCAACCGCATACGCTCTTTGATCGGTCCGTGAAGTCGCATAGCTCGTAAATGTGGGACAAACTTTTTCGCTTCGTTGACCCAACTTGTAAGGACGCTCAATGGGCAGACAACGAGGAAAGGTCGATGTGGGTGCGATTTGTCGATTTCGCTAGCAGCCTGGGAAGAGATAAAGGAGAATAGGGATAACGTCTGAAGGGTTTTTCCGAGACCCATCTCGTCCCCCAGGATACCTGAAAGGCCATTCTTATTTAACCAAAGAAGCCAGGAGAGACCCTCAACCTGGTAAGGTTTCATAGTAGCTTGGATCCTATGAGTTGTTAGCGTTGAGGTAGAACTAAGTTTTAATGGGGTGTAGAGACTCACTCTTTGGGCTGGCTTTCTAATAGCTCGAACGGAATCGGTGATTCGACGGTGCTGCCATATTCTTCCTCGAGCTTCTTTAGGTAGTTGCTATCGCCAACCAACGGCTGGAAAGTGTCTTTGTGAGTGATAAGGAAGTTGCTACGTCGTCGAGCGGTTTCAGCTGTGAGAGCGGCGCGTATCTGGGCCCTGGTCATGTCTTCGTTCTCGGGTTCCTCAAAGATACTTCTCTTAGGGGCCGCTCTTGAAGATGCTGTCCTCCTCTTTGGCCTTTCGTCTTCATCACTGCCTACACCTGACATCGCTCCGGATCCTTCATCCGAGGAGAAGAGGTCGTCGTAATCTGATAGTTCTTCTTTAAATCGTCCTTGGGCTGTGTTCTTCGCGTTCCGACTGAGTGATTGCCTCTTTGGTGCGATGGCGAATCGTTCGTTCCTCTCTTCCTGTCTACTTCTTCTGATTTGCTCTCTCTTTGAGAGACCGCGTCTCTTAGAGACGGCTACCGGCATGGTTTCAAATGAGATGGGTTTCCTTATGTTAGATCGGTCACGGAAAGTTCGACTGCCGATCAAGACCCCGGGGACGTTGACGTATTTGCTTCCAGAGATTGGTGAGGTGGTGACGTTTGTCATTGAGACTCGTTTTATCATCATTCGTGGTGTGCCTACTTGGTTGGGCTTTTGTGGACTTGGAGCGGCTGTGATTGTTGTTCTGATCGGAATGAATTGCGGTTTCTTTGATTCGAACTCTGAACCTTCGTCCTCTTCTTCTTCGTCGTCCGGCTCTGAGTGAGAAGAAGGATGATAGTCGCCTTGGGGACCTCTGTCAGAGTGGGAAGAGGAGTGATAGCCGTTATCGTCCTTCTGCTCAGATGTGGGGGTAGCTAAAACAGGGTTCTGGCTTGAGGCCGTGATAACATTGCCATTGCCAGCTTCTGCTGAATCAATATTGAGCGATGTGTCAGCCGAGGAGGCCTCTAGCGTAGGAGTCTGTATTAAAGGAATCAAGTATTAGCAATCTGAGTCTTCTGTCTCTTTCCATTCCAGCATATTCTTTGCAATCTGCAAGCTCACGCGTTTTAGGACAAAGACTTGGATGTTTTGGGCCATGAGGCTACACAGAGAAGGGTTCCTGCAGCAGCAACAGCCAATGGTGATAATGAAATCCGAGGATGCGAAACATGATCCTTACCTGTGCTCTAGATCTAGCAGCAGCCATTTTTTTGCCTTGAATTGTCAACAGAGTTCCTTGTCCCGGTTTTGTTGGTGATGCAGTTCTCGATCTATCAACAGGACCAGAGCTAGGAGCTCCAGGCGGTTCGGATGGCGACTGAGGCGGATTCGCAGCAGCAGCAGGACTATTGCCGAAAGGACTGAACATGCTTGAGAGAGAGACAAAAGTCTTTGTCCGATATGATGGATCTAGATAGATCCAGGCCGGATAGTAACTTGCAGTTCTGTCTTGAAATCAGACGGGTAGACAAGCCGTGGTTGAACGGACGAGGCTCCAGCGACGAAACTCGAGTTTAAATTAAGCTGAACTTCAGGTTGTCCCCGGACAGGGACTGGCTGGGCACCCAGCGACGAGAGAATCAACACAATTCCAAAAAAAGACGAGGAGAATGATGTCGAAAGATGATATCGAGTAGAGGATGTAATTGGGGACGGGAAGAAGAGCTGATTTCGGGGGCTCCGGGGGTTAATGTGAGGAGAGATGAATCTACGGAGGACGATGAGGGAGGACAGAAAGACCAAAAAAAAGGAGAATGAGAAAAAGTTGAAGAAGAAAAAGTGGCGGGCGAAAAGAACAATTTTCGCCAGATTTCTTCAAGCGGGAAACTTTGGACAAACATTCACTACCAACATCTTACTTAACTTAGAATCTCAGCTGTTATAGATTCTATTTTCTAGATAATTGTATTTTTACAATTAGTTGGAATACTTTTGAGATTCTATAGATTCTATTTTATAAGTACTCTATTAGACAATATAGTGTCTACTACTTCTAAATACAGCAATCACGTAGTCAATTGGGAGACGCGTTTGAACGCGTTTGATGGCTAAGAGGCCGCAAGGCTTAAAATTTTAGATAAAAAAATTTAGAAAAAAAAAAAAAAGGAAAAGGAAAGGTGCAAGGTATCGTGAGATCGGACTTGTGAGCCTCCTGGTAAGGCAAGCGCTGCTTAACGCCGACTGACAGTTGCCTGAGTTCATACGCTGCACTTACTTACTACCTAACCTATTAGTAGTACTTATATACCTCTCCAGCTAGCAATTTGGGAGAAGAGGTCATAAACCTAGTTTTGAATGCCGGCCCTGACTCATAGTTGATATTCACCTAGATGTTCCCACCGGAAATACTTCTTTCGAGTTACTTTTGATTACCATGTGATAGTAGAGATATATCCATTCTGTAACCTCAATTAATATCAATCCCCTCGAGACTACGAATCCGACCCTCTCGAGACTAAATTTCTTCTCGATTTATCGATTACATCTGCATAGTTACATGGTCTGATCTGATCCGATCTGATGGCTGCGAGTTGGGGTGTGGCGGCCGTTGTTAGCGGCGCTGCCTGTGTTGATGTGTTGTGGGGTTGTTGTTGTTCTTGGTGGTGTCGCAATCTCCCCGCTGGCCTTATCTCCCTCTCTCATCCCAATTCCGATTCTAATCTCCCTCTTCTTCTTCCTCTTCCTCTTCCTCTTCTCCTCCTCTTTCTCTTCCTCATCGCCATCGCCATCACAATCGCAGCTTCCCCGCATCGAATTCGTCGTATCCGACATCTGACGTCCTCTACCGCCATAGCCGTTTCCTACTCGCTCTTCAGCTTTCCCAAGACCCTTCCGGTGACCCCAGCGAGCTTCAAGGCCTGGTCACTGTTAACTACCTTTCCCATCGGTTTCCTTCCCCTCTGTTTTATGCAATCTGCGCCATCCACGACTTTTCCGAACGCTCCGAACCAACAATCTCTCCCAGCCACCCAGCCAAACCCCGACCAACATGGAATCTACCCGTCAGGTTCTCTCCCTCCTCACCACTCCTTATCAGGGTTTGGTGTCGAGAGTCCCACTTCTTCGCCAGCTGGAGAAGGAGATGACCAGCCGAACGGACTCCCTAGCCGACAAGAGAATGAAAATATCGGAGTACAGACCAATGGATCGGAGCCTACACAACTTCTGAGCTCGTCTCGTTCGTCGCCCGACCGAAAGGGCAAATCAATAGTAAACAAGAAATTCAAGTGTCCCAATGTTAAGGGCGAGATTTATATCACTAGACTTCCAAATGGTATTGTTATAGGCTTGGCATATGTTTGACTGGTTTGGTAGCATTCTGTCTAACAATATCCCTAGAGGTCCTTACACACACGTTATCCTTCTTGGACCCTGTCTCGTTGACGAGCGTGTCTTTCGTCTCGCGACGTTTTCATGCCCTCGTAACCTCGCCACATGCCTGGAAAGATGCCTTTTCTCGCTACTTTCCTCAGCATAATACTCATTCGGGCTCGGATGCTTACCCCGCAGCCGCTCGCTATTTTACTCGGCTGTCCAACACAGGCACTCACCGTAGCGAGTATATTCTTAGGACTCAGCTGCTTCGTTCGCTCAAGCGAGGGCGACCGTACGTCAATTCAGGGATCAAGCCTAGTTCGTCGAACAATCCGTCGAACTTCTCCATGATAACCTATAATCCGAAACTCCACGAATCAACCATCACCCATCTGCATGCCGATTTCTCACGAAACAGAGTGATTGCCGCTTCACAATATACAGGCTTATACAGTTACTCGGATCCGAGGACAGGCTATGTTGAAGTTGAGCAGCGGGGGCATCCGGGATATGCCTCCTTTGGGCTACAGTACATATCACCCGACGGAATCGGTGCTCTGGACTTATCCGAATCGAGGGGACAAATTATAGGGGATGCCAGGATTGGCTTCCCTTCTTTCTTTGTAGAGAGGGCCAATGGACCCCTCCCTCCGATCAGATTCGTTAATGAGCATGGCCCGGACGCCGCGATCACTTGTACCTGGATTTCGAAAAAGGATACACTCGTGAACACATCGGGGAACAGGATTGTTAGTGCTAGTGGAAGTTCGAAGGGCGTTGTCCAGTTTCAGGATTCCACAAATAGATGGATGTCCTTCCTGATTTGTCCTGGCATCCCTATTCTTGAAATCCGCATCGACGACGGGTATACAAAGGCTCGAGAGCGCCGGAATAGGATCTGGTGCATCGTTGTCAATGCCCTCGGGGAATTGTGGTACATGAAAGGGAAACTGCCGAATAGGTTGCTGGCGCTCGGTCGTAACATGGGGGAACAGCCACAGCAGGAATTTACGCCTTGGTATTATATTCCAGCGACGAAGAAAGACGACTCACCTGTTGGATTTGGCATCCTTGCACCTGAAGTTGGTGCTCCGGATATGGAAATTATGCAAGATCACAACACTTTGATGCATGCAGACCAAGACGTTATGGCGGTCACGTATTCCGACCATTGGGGGCTTGACTACTTCGTCGAGGCCGATTTTGGAGGACAGAACTTCATATTTGGCCGCAAAGGTGGTGAGGAGGGTCCGAACTCTAGCAAACAAAGGGCCGAGCTTGCCAAGTTCACTCGGGTTTTGGACAATGTCCGGGAAGAGCTAATCTCGGAAGTTTTTATAAAAAATGTCTATGGCCGTGGGTACCACAAACAAGTAGAAGAACCTGTCCCTAGACCCTCTGATGAGATTGAACCGCCAGACGAATGGCACAAACTGGAACTATCAATCCCAAAAAACACTAACAAAGACTGGGCATTTATCACGGCTATCGCTATCGATATGTCGAACCTAGCCCTGCTTTCACCAAATGAAGATTCGATTCTCACCCGAACTAAAAACCAGCCGTCGACATCATCCCCCCTGAAGGTAGCCGGTCAGCTTTCTCGATTGTTCGCAATCGGAACAGATACGGGGACTGTTCATGTTTATAATGCACGTCACCCAATCTCCTCTTCAATCATATCCCTCCCTCCCTTGCACACTATCTCCACGGCTTCTCCGTCTATATCTAGCCTCGCACTATCATCTCTCTACCTTGTTCATGGCGGTACAGATGGGCTGGTTCAGGCTTGGGACCCGCTCGTTTCGCTTTCTGAGCCTATCAGGGCAATTCATAGCCGATTCTCGACACGTGCAAGGCGCCGCTTAGCACAAGCTGCAACCTCGGTACACGGAATTGGCGAGAACCAGTTCGCGGCCAGGTCTATATTCTTAGACCCGGATGCAACACAACTGAGAGGAATAGTTGCATTAGGAACACATATCCGCAGCTGGAGTTTTAGCTCCTCAGTAGAAAAGGTTCAAGAAAACAGCAGTGCACGGCGGAGGAAAAAGAATGCGAGAGCAGGTGGGATTTCCCATTTGAGTGGGCGAGGGAGAGGGACGAATTCGCCGAAGACCCCGTTGGGCAGGGACATCATTGATGAAAGGGAAAGAATTCAGAAAATTAAGTGGGAGGATGAAAAGACAAAGACAAAAATGGCGCAAAGATTTGGAGTTGGGGAGGGTATGACAGAAGAGGAGATGATTATGTATGCAATGATGATTAGCGAGGAGTCATTTGAGAAGGAAAGGGGTCTCGTGGGAAGCGGTGAAGATTGTGGGGAGAGTAGCTTTGGAGGTGGAAGTTATGGGGAAGGATTTGGGGATGGTGAGGAGGAAGTGTGGGTTTACAGTGAAAGCACTGGGGGCAGCGCTAGCGGAAGAGTTTCGGAAGGGTCTAGTAGTCCTGGAGGTTGGATCGAAAATGAACAGCCGGAACCCGAAATCACCGGGACCACAAACGATGACGAAGCCTTAGCGAAGGCGTTGCAGGAATCCTTTGACCTAGAAAGTAACACTACGTCACCCGGTGGTTTGGAAATTCCTATCAAGTTCGCAAAGGGGAAAAAAGGCAAGGGAAAGGGAAAAGCGGCGATTGTGGGTGTACCCGCTACTGACACTCCCGGGAGAAGTAGCAGAAGGGAAAGTGATGACCAGTTCGACAGAGACTTAGAGTTGGCCATTCAACTTAGTATGGTAAGTTAGGATTCAGATCAGTTATAATTATCTCGACGATAACACGAACTAACCAGTTTTTTTTAGAAAAACTGAACCTTGAAGTTGAAGCTGGTTCAGGGGGATGTCAGACTGCCAATTTGTCCTTGCATGTTGCTCATATCGTGCCTTGTAGATTTCCACGTTGATAACGCTCTCTTTTTTCTGCGTCTAGGGATATCCTTGCCCCTTGCTCGTTGAACGCAGTTATAATACTTACTATTTTCCTAATTTACTTTTCCAATTTATCAGTTACTTTATTTCGTACCCAGCTATGGATCCACCCAGAAAAATCCCAGGATGCAATTTCTGTATATCACATGGATATTGCTTTGCGCACTAAGTCGGATGCTAATATAATAGACCAACAGATTAGAGATGGACGGACACCCGTGGCCGCCAGGAGCGTCCCCGAAACGTCCGGATTAGAGCCATGCGCACGGTTTATCTCTCCCCTAAACCTCTCAACCCGGGAATTGGGACTATTTCCAACAAGATTCTACACAATCGTTCGACAACAACCTCATCATCAAGGATGATGAGGTACCAGCAGGTTGGAGCTGACACTTTTCATGGTTTCATTGCATATCCGTCCAACACAACACAACCGTGAAAAATAATACAACATTTCTATCGAATTTGGCAAGTGTTCCCGTATTTGGACCCCTTGAACGTCCTAAAACGGGTGTGCCCAGGGTGTGAGTGCAGAACGACCGGGAAGGTTGCTGTTAGTTTATGTTTGTGTGTTAGTATGACCAAGTAATTGTTCCATGCGGGACGTGGTACATACTTATGCATAATGCGATGCATATGTCGCTAGCAGCGGGTGGTACAGTAACGTTTATAACTTGTTGGCTTTGTTTGATGTTGTGACGCTGGTTATGAGACCATATGGGATTGTGCGCCCACAACGTGGGTGCGAGTTGTAGTGGTACATAAAGCTAGTAGACTAACGGGGATATTTGTGACGAGCTAGCTAGTTACACCATGGTACCATCGTTGGAGTACTCGAGTGTTGGCGGCCCTGAGACTGTCTGAGGCTGCGCTATGATAGTATCGGGTACTCGTCGTGTTTCTTGGTACCTAGTGACCAATTAATAAGCGGGTGAGCGAGTTTTCCCTTCCGCCATTGCGGCCTAGGCGGTGAGCACGAGAGATATTATGGGCCCGGGAGTGGATAACATTAAACGAGCTCCATGTGTCTCATTCGGTTCGATTGGCACAGCCCGTGAATGTCACGTTAACGACTACATGAATACATCTATCTTGATATTTACTAATCATATCCGCTGATTGGTGTTATTGATCGCCATGCGTTTTCACCTACTTCCACCTCTCTTCTCAATTTCAATACTCATCTTAACCTCCAAAGTCTCATGCTGGTACCTCCTAACCCTTCGGTCAGACCGTAGATGGACCGCGAATAACAAACCCGTCTCAACATCCTGGCTTCGAGAAATTAACAGTTTGACGGAATGTGTTCCGAACCAAAATAATAGGAATAAACCTGTCGTCATCGATGCTGTTGCTCTTTATAACCGTCCGGGGACCACTATCGCCCGCGGCGTCGCAATCTACGCGAACTCTTATTGTGGGATTAAGAACCCCAATTCTAGAGAGTCTGTGAAAATCGGGACTCATGTGCCGGATATATTATTACTCCCCGATCAGAATAAATTGGAAGGTATTCACCTTTTCGACCTGAAGGGGATTGGAGTTGAAACCAACGGGAAATTTTATCGTGCTATTGATCCTGTGGAGGAAGTTAGATTTTTCGATGGATTATTATGGGAGTCCGAATCGAAACCCGGTGTTTATTGGTGGGATGGGGCGGGGACTTGGAAAAGGATAAGACATTTGGGAGATGAAAGAAGGGTTAAGTATGTCGATGGGGGTATAGCGGATCACCTGATCTCTACGTCGGCATTGTATGATTATGTTAGGCTTTTATTGGAGTTTTTTATTAATCCTGAACGTATGGGAGATGAAGAGGAGGCTTTGAAAGGGTATAAACGTATTGCGGAAAAGCAGGCGATCGATGGACCTCCGTCTGCCGTAAATCGCAGGGTGCCGGCGATTGCAAACCCAGCCGTTGTCAGTGAATATTTTCAACCGGAATCGACTTCTGCACCTTCCACATCTGCTGAAGGAAACCTTCAAGGGAATGATAATGACCAGGCTGGCCAAAAACCACCCGCTGAGAATACACGGGCGCAACAACCTCAACGTGCGGGGTATCTACCACTGGTATTACCAACGATGCCATTGCCATTTACATATCTTCCTTGGGGGTATGAACAATTACAAAGTGGATTAGAAAGTATCCTCAATATAGAAGTATTAAAAGGGATACAGGAGATACTTGGGATCGAACGTTTGGCAAATCCTGCCCCGTTTCGAGGGTTGGAGGGAGATTCCGCGACGCAACCGGCACAGGCAACTGACGAGATCAGGGAGAATACTGGTCAAGAATCGGCGCCTAAGGTTGCTAGTCGTAGAAATGAGGATGCAGTGCCAGGTGTGCATATTAGCCTAGACCTAGTTTCTGAATCAGGGAAAAGGAAAGATGAGGAAGTAATCGTTATTGATGAAGATGAAGAGGACATTCCTGCTTTAGAAAAAAAGAGGAAGACTGATTGATAAACCACTCCACTCTTTCTTTCACTTTTCCAGCGATATCGGAGTGTCCACCCACCAGTACTGTTTTAATACTATTTGTGCCCTTTTATGATATCATCTATTAAATATTATGATACTATACTACGGAAGTTCTAAAGTCAAATCGACTCATCCAAACCTCGGAACATCTCCAAAGCCCCTCAAAACCTCAGGAACTATCCAATCCTCAATAATTCTAATCCTAACATTGGTATTTCCGTCAAATTCAACGCCATCAACAGAATCCCTCTCAATTAAGTAGTTTTGTCCCGGTAGTCTAAAGCGGATAAGGCGAAGTGGGCTCGAAAAGCCAGTTTTGGTGAATCTCATTTGTATGAGATCCCGAAACCTCTCTGTGGCGCCTGCGTTAAGATATGAGTATGCCCGATTTCCGAAATATCTTAAGCGTGGGAAACTTTCAAAGTTAAGGACGCAACCCGGCTAGATAATTGAGTTTACGTATGTTAGCTGTATATATATATAGTTGGCCTTTAGTTAGGCGTAGAAACTAAGGCAATTTGGCGAAGAAGATATCGAGAATCCTTACCAAATCATGACTCGAGCTAACTGTCAGCATCTCCAGTTTTTGCAATGACTTGCCTAACCCCTCAATCTCATCCTCCGTTAACATCATATCCCCGAACACGCTGGCTAAATGCAAATATTTTAGCGTATCAGCAGACCCCTCCAATGCTTCCAACCAGTCAAACCCCAAATTTTGATGAAAGCTTAACGTAACTTTCACCAAACCCTTCGTATGCCGAAAATATTCCCCAAGCCCATCGCTATCCGGTGACCCCCTCGTTCCATTAGCACACTGTAACAATCGCTGAAACTGTAATGTCCCACCCTCGGAGACCGCAAGGTTGACGAATGCAAGCGCCCCAATTGCAACCTCAACATCTACCAAAGGTGAGTCTTGTACCAGGTTATATGGTCCAAACAGGTCGGTCATCATATGACCCACCCCATCGACTCGCCATACTTTCAGTTTGGTCAGCCTAATCCTCCTCTTCGCCGGGATTGATGGTGGGTTATCCTGCCCGCATTTAGTACACCCTTTCCACTTAGCGAATCCTTCATCCATGTAAAATAAGGCCTCGTGGACCCTACTTGGTGGTATTCTTCCTCTGCGTCTGCTCTGATATCGCAGGTTGTTACAATTTAACTCTTTTAAGACCTTTTGGCAGCTATAGAGAATGCTGAAGATACTGTGGTAATGAGTAGTGAAATCTTCTGCGTGGAAGGTAAATGAGGTGAGGTGTGGGACGTGGAATACACTACAATCTGAGCTAAGGGAATAGGAAAAGGTAAGATTTAGTGTCGTTAACATGTTCCCTGGAGAAAAGAGTGCCGAAAGGGTCTGCGGCTCAAAGAATTTGTCATCTGAAGATTCTTTCAGATCCCGATACGGGGAACAACTAATATCCCAAGCCATAAATCTAGTTAGCAGCTAGAAACCAAAACTCTGTATCATATCGGTGGATTCTCTAACTTGAAAGACCTACGAGAATTTCTTAAGCTGTTGAGGCGGTAGTCGGGACAGAAAATCGCGCAGATTTTGATTAAGCATGGCTTCCACATTGCATCCCGAAATGTTTCCCCCAATCTCTAGGCTCGGTGCGACATAAATATGCCTTGGCTCGATTCCACGACCATTTTTTTGCTTGAGGTCACCGCCGACCTCGAGTTCTCGAAGGTACTCGAGTGAAACATCCGTAAAAGCTCTTGAGAATATTTTTTTCGCACGGGCCTCATCAATCCTAGTACTAGTAACAACAGTGATCTTGAGAAATCGATTGATACTAGAGATGCTTTTTTCATAGAGCCCCCGGCATGTTAAGCTGGTGTTGTAAAGATCGATTCGAGAAATTCGCTAAACTTAAACATTAGTATACTAATATCAAACCCAGTTCGTAGTCTTGGGAGTATTATTAATTCGTAAATGTATTGGTAACTTACGCCGAAAATCTCGTCGGTGAGCTCGCTCGGAAGTTTCAGGAACCCGGACATTGCAGGTGCAGGTTCGCGGGATTCAGCGGACAGGCGCTTACATGTGTATACCTAGTACAATCTGGCAAAAAAAAGACGCGAAGCCGTTATGTCATATGCAAATTCGTTTAAATGCAAGAAATGGAAGTAGAGGAAGTAGCTAGACGAAATATCTGCCACGTTATGGCATGGTTCCTATTCACAAGTGGCCTTTTCCAACGTGTTATATAGATGCTAGATCCTTATTACTTTGGTGTGGATGGATTCTGGATTCCTCGTCCTTGGCAACAAATCTACCGAACCCTATCCCGAGTTGTGTCGGCCGGAAGTACGTAGAGATCCTGAGTTGTGTTGAGACCGTGGTATTCCGGAAGGCTTTCCGAATTTGGTGCCCAAATATGGTTATGATTGGCTAAGAGACAGCGCCACAACGCCACTAGCCAATCCTAGCAACCAGGGAACCTCTATTGATCTTGCATTGTCAGGTACTTAGTACTTTTCGGAGTGTCCCATTGGCAATTGATGATTTAAGAGTACTCTTAACTTCTAACCACCTACTAGCTTCACCTGATAGCTGGAAGCTATTGTGCTGTTACATATTACTCTTACGAGGACCCTTCTAAGCAGGGTTGAAGCTTATAGATACTACAAGAGACAACAGAAAATTGTGATGTTAAATTATTAACTCGAACTGTAGCTCCTAGTTCTTCCTAGCAGCACTCCATATGCAAGTCACCATTACAAAACCCAAAGAGAGAAGGGACACTCCACTTCAAAAGCAAAAACCTAACTTGCCAACCGAAAGACAAAAAACTCAAGCATATTACAAAGACGTTTTAACCAACCGAGCCGGGGTTTTATCAGGAAAAGAAGCCTTTAAGCTTCAATCTTCTCAGGCTCCCTCTCTAGATCGCTAGCTGGACCTTTTCCGCCCAACATTCCTTCAGCTCTTCTAGTGTTGGGCTTTGCGCCAGGGTTGGCCTCCAACCATTCCTCGTAATCGACAACATCTGCATCACGTCCCTTAGTTTCTGGGATGAAGAAGTATGTGATGATAGCTCCCAAAATATTGCACCCGAAGAAGATCCAGAGCACATTAGGCAGTCCGATCTTGTACGACGCAAGCCAATTGAAGAGGATGGCAGATAAGATAGCTCCGAGCTTGCCGACGGCAGCACTAAGACCGTGTGCGAAACCACGGACACGAGATGGGAAAACTTCAGCCGGAACAATGAAAGTTGTGGCGTTTGGTCCGAAGTTAAAGAAGAACTGTGCGAAGGCGAAGCAAACAAATTTTCCGGCGGTGGGGATGTTATGATAATCGCCAGCTAGGACACCAAATAGCAAAGCGGTGATAAGGAAACCACCAATCTGGATTGTTTTCCGGCCAAGGATTTCGATAAACGCGATTGTAAAGAAGTATCCGGGAACATAACCGGCAACAGCGATGATGAGATTACCCAAAGCATTTTTCATAAGCTTGTGGTAGTTGTTCTTGCCGGTAGTGAAACCGATGGCAGAAAGAATGAAGGATTGATTTAAATTGATCCCATAAAAGGCGATATCGACCAAAAACCATGTCATAGCGGTTCCAAATAGAGTCTTGAAGTGTCTCCATTCGCTAAAGTAGACGAAGAAGGTATTAAACTTAGCTTCTTGAACTTCAGAGCCAGAGACAAATGCGGGAGGTGCGACGCCGGCGTTAGGTGCCATCGATCCCTTACGAGCCATGCCAGAATCCTCAGTGTCAGAACCATTGGAACCAGCTTCGACAACCTTTCTAGGAGATTGAGCGTCGACTGAGGCGCTAGATGTCGAAGCCGAGTTGAGTTCCTGGGACTGTAGGAACTGCTTACCCTCAGGCATAGTAAGACGGGGCCAAAGAGTAGCGATAGCAGGGATGATTGCAACACCCATTTGGATACGCCAAACTGCGTCAAGTTGGCCTTCGTGTCCATCAACGTTCAAAGCTTTCTGGAAAGCTGCTAGAACAACGATTGTGACGATAGATCCGGCCAGAGTACCCCATCCCTGGTTAGAGAAGATGAAACCAAGGAGAATACCTCGACGACGCAGGTGGGTACGCTCAGAGGTAATAGAAGCGGACATTGGATAATCTCCACCGATACCCACTCCCATGAATATACGCCAGCAAAGAATCCAAACCATCTTTTTATGAGGTGTTGGGATGCTGTTAGGTAAACTGATGACCATAATCATGCCGATGATACAAATGATGAGTTCTTTGCCATAAACGAAACGACGGCCAAAAGCATCGCCGAGGAAGCCAAAAGAAAGTTGACCGATGACATTGCCGAAATTTGCTGCACCGTTGACGCAACCGCGGAGGAAAAAGGGATAAGATGATGCATTGCCGCCCCAGTATTCGTCGATCCAGACGGGTGTAACGAGATTGATAATGAATAAATCGTAAGAGTCGAGGAAGAAACCGACACTTGGCACGATGTTTAGCTAATATCACAATAGCTACGAGCATGTTACATATTCTTACCCAGCAATCAAAAGTAATTTAAGCTCGCCCCTGGTGAGGAAGTTCAGTTTGCCTTTGAGCGGCTTGTTTTGATCATATTGCTCCTATATATATCCACCAACGCTACTTGTTAGTTCAAAAATCTTGATAAAGACACTTGATGCTAGCACAAATTTGCAAATTAGTGTAAAGAATTCGTACAAAGGTAATAGGATTCCCATGTTCGTCCACGTCGTAACGTGAGAAGCCTTCTTCCTCCCACTTCATGATGTCAGATGTGTTGCGTGGTCGAAATAATACCAAGAAATCAGAAGAGCGAAGCTTTTGCTAAGAAATGGACAAGAAGCCTTGGTATTACGTTAACAGGCGGTGTGAAACCAAGAAATCGTCAGCGGTAGTACTGACAAGCCGTTATCAAGACCTGGTTAAGAGGGTGAGTGACCAAGATTAGAAAGAATCCGGACGAAAGTACGGGAGTGCTGGGGCATTTTTATATTTTCAGCGATTGCCGTTTCTCGGGGGCGTGCAAGCCCAGGCTCTCCAGGCAGTCGCGCAGGCAAGTAAAAGCAGCATCATAGCGGCTATGGACCAGGTAGCATCTTGGGGGTTTACGCCTGGGTTCAGGATTCCATTATTCATATCGCTTTGGAAAGAGAGACATTTGGACCCTCCATGCAGGCAGGCCACGGGCCATGTTGCAGCTGTAATTGATTTTTATCAATATACTTTTTTTTGCGAAAGAAAAGCAATTTCTGAGATCAATTGATCAATGAGACCCGGTGTGTCATTTTTTCGAGAAAAGTGCTTCTAACGGGGCCAACGGTTCCAATCACGCATTCGTTTTCAACCATGCCCACACTTGGATATTGATCGATAATCAAGTAGCTCTACAGCACAAGTTCATGCAGGTTAGCTAGAGTTATCATGAAGATCATCGTCATTAGAGCGTCGAGGTATCTCCCGGATTTCCCAAGGTAGTGATGATTCTCTTTTTCCTGGGACTAGCTAGCTCGATCAAATCCGGCCGTCGACGCATTTTGATTTAAATCGATTTTTTATCGAAATCTTTCCCATCACTCTTTATTAGAAGATCTTTGGCATGCGGAATGCCCCAAGTGTAGGGTACGTACACTAATCTCTGCAGGAGCCGGAAAGCTGAAAACTTGTCCCTTCGACACTCTAGTGGCCTCCGAGCGCTGCAGCTATGTAATTCTTGTTCCGGAATCTGGCATAGCAAGATGAAGTTACGCTAGCTAGCCATCGGCCGCTTATCCGAGAGACTCCGCTGTATCCCACTTAATGGGCCAATAGTACAATTGACTCGCCAGCCTTTGCAGCAAAACCAATATTCTTGGTCATAAATACTCAAAGATTTAACCCACGGATTGTAGCAACTTCTTCTGAGCCATCTTAGGCAGCTACTGTTCTCCTTCCCTCAACCTTATATATATGCCTAAGATGGCTTCACCGCCTCGGTGCAGCCTCATCTTTGTACCGAAAACAACGCAGTCCCTCACGCGACAGTGTACTGTGTAGCGCGGTCGTCGAATCGGTTCCAGGCAAATCTCATAGCTAAGACTTTTCCAAGACGCTTGGTGATGTAGACCAAGACTTCTTCTTTCCACTGCCAAGTCGGCAGGCATGGGTCGGAGAAATTATTGGAACTTTGGCTTCCTTGGCCGACGGGCATGGCTTTTTGGGGGGCATTTGAGCATGAGACGAATATCGGCGAACGCCATTATGGTACTTTGGACAAATTTTCACCGGCTGATGGCCACATGCTAGGATTGGTAGGCAACCATTGGTTTCATGATTTCAGCGTCGTAGACACCAAGAAGGCTGGTGGGTGGTGATAATCGATTCGTACGATGCAAGGAAGAAGCCGGACAACCGCTTGCAGACATCACGGATGTATGTCGTTCAAAGTATCCAATCAGAGCTGTCTGCATGAAAACGTGCCCTAACGGGTGGCCCTGATCTGCCGAGATGTCGTACAAGATCCCTTGTCATTGTGGGGTCTCTTGAATGCGGCTAGTCGAGGTGTGGTTAGTGCGGGGTGTCTGAAAGGAATGAGCGCTCCGTATTGCAACATGAATCGAAATCAGTTCTCCAAAAGTTTTTAATTCATAATCTTGTCGTGAACTTCAGGTACCTGAACTGCGCTCCCCTCGGAGACAGTTTCTGGATTTGGTGGCTATTGAAAAATTTTACTATCCTGTGCTGAAGCCAACACAATTAATTACGAATACTTAATGCATCTGCAATAATGAAACTTAACTTTCGCAAAATTGAGGCTCACAATGCAGAACTTAGTGGATCTTTATCTAGATCTCACCTCTTGTGATTGATATCGATATCGATACCACGATATCAGACCGGTGGGTCTCGTTGGCAGAGATGACGAAACCATTCTGTCATTTCCATCTGCGAAAAGGCTTGTCTTTCGCTGTGCATACTTGGCATATCTCGGCAACCGCCTCCTTGGACCTAGGTATATTATATTTTGCTGATATAATATTAATAACCCTCCCGTCTCGTGTTTTCCTTTTGGGATCTTTCGGACGCCACTATGCATGATCTCGCCTAAGACGCCGGCGTGTCTCTCCTGACATGCAATTCAAAAATGTAGGAATACCCACGAGGCTGGAATGCGGTTTCTTACAGGCTAGAGATTTCCCTTGTCCCTGGTTTCTGACAAGCCTTTGCCAATGTTGTGGGTACGCTGACGATTTTATCTCGTAGGGTGACAGTCAGGACCCAAGGGAGTGGGTAAGTAATACATGTTCCGACTGAGACCTTGAGTGGCAAGCTAGCTTCGTTGGGACTGTCCCATGAGGCCTAGAATTACCGATACAACTAAGTAGTCGAATTATCTCGTGCCTAACAGGAAGTAATTCTGCGGGTACGGGGTGGACTGAATCGTGACTGATCGCCTATTTTGTCCTTGTTATGTTTCGCAACATGCATTGCAGGTTTGAGGGATAAAATACGGGTATCGGTACCATCACGCATGAATTCTGGCGTTCGATTGCTGCCTCAAGTTGGCGATGTGGCTGTATTGCAGAGTTTTCTTGCGATTGTATGTATTGCGATAATAGCTTCATTATCCCGATATTCGGCTTTATCATTGACCTGAAGCCTGGGTACTAGACTAACTCAAATTAATATATAGCTAGCTTACTAGAATTCTGTGTGTATATACTTAGCAGTACAATTCGGGTATCTGCGCAGGTGTGTAAAGTTGAAAGTTAAAAATCGGTGTGTCTAGGATTAGATCTATCCTGACTAGAGCGAGGGTTATACCGGTATACCTTTCAGGACGTCTAGACATTTAACGTTTTCGGTTTTAGGGCGTTCAGATCTCAATTTTTTCCCCCAAAATACCCCCAAAACTACCTCTAATTAAGGAACGGATGTTTGATAAGCGGGCGTGAAGATGAATCCGGAGGGGCGATTACTAGGCACTTGAGCACCTCTGGCGCCATGGCGCGCGCTGCAGGGGCCAAGACAGACGCTTTCGAATACATAGGATTTTCTATACAAGTATACCTCGTTGAATATTTTGTAATTTATAAACATTTATCGACAGATATCGATACCGAATATATCAAACAAATGTCACCTAGGATAGTATCTCAATAGTACTCGGTAGTCACAGTGCACTATTTAGACTTCGTGGTGCCTTATATATGATTAGTCAAAGACTGCCTTACAGTGTTTTTGCCTCAGCAATGTCGATATCGGTCTCGAGGCTAGTCGACGTCTTCACCCGCTGTATACATATTCACATGCAAATTTTAGACAGCTGCTAGAATGTCAAGATATAGAGCATAGACTGCCTTACCAGCTAGGGAGTGGCTTCACTAGCGCTATAGTCTTGCAATTCTGATTTTTACAATTTATTGGAAATCTATAGATCTACTGTGGCAAAATGGTAGCAACATTACCGTTAAACTCTAAAAAGAAGCCGCGGGGAGACTTCCGTCTCAGTTCACTTGCAAGCTAGTACTTGGAAGCTCTGCAGCGACTAGACCTAGTGGCCTATGGTTTTGTATCAGCATATTTTGTTTTTTTTTTTCGATTTGAATCGAAATATGTGTTTAAAGACAACAGACACTTGGAGTGGTGTCGCTTCAGCGCATTTAAGTTTGTTAGCATGATACCTATCATTCATACGGTACCTGATTTCCTGACTGATTTAAGTAGATGTAATTAGTTCTCCCAGTTGGAGTGAGGTGCACTGGTGGGTTTGGGCCTACCAATTTCCGGACTTGCATTTAACCTGGAAAACAATAAGCTTACCGGCTTCATGGTTCGTGGAAGACATTTGTTTTGGTGACTCTTGGCCCTCCCGTCTAAACTAGACTAGAGTAGTAGCTGATTTTGGTAAAATATCAAGTACCACTGGAGCTTTCAAGGTGCTGGGTACGGGACCGGTTTTTGTAGTGATTTGGGCAAGTTTCACGTGCGCCCTGGTCTCGTTGGTACACCTTGGATTTGCATGATTGATAGCCGGGTGTGTTGCGACGACTCTACCTCTGCGTTGTTTTCGTTGGAATTAGTACCAGGATGTCATCTTAGCCACATCGAAACTCAGCCACAGATAAGTGTACTGCCACAGCTGCCGCGCTGCACGTCTCCCCACCTCACCTCCAAAAGCGCAGGACACGACCTTGGATCCTTCAACCTCAGTTCAGCATTCACATCTTGACATAACCATCAAAACTCAGAACACCACTCTCGTCGCCAAAAAGTGTTACCACCGCTTCTATCGAATCCAATGTCTGTTCCGGGGGCTCCCACCGCTAAAGAGAAGAAATATGACCGACAGCTTCGCCTGTGGGGTGCCGGAGGGCAGGAAGCTCTGGAAACAGCACATATCCTTCTGATTAATGCTACAGCGGCTGGGTCGGAGACTTTGAAGAATCTAGTACTGCCCGGTAAGCTTGAGGTTTACTCTTACTATTAAATAGACCGTAACTTATTGTTTGTAGGAGTTGGTCAATTTACCATTGTAGACCAGGCCGTGGTTACGGACGAGGATCTTGGGACGAACTTTTTCCTGGACGATAGTTCCATTGGGCTATCAAGGGCGCAGAAGGCTTGTGAACTGCTTTGCGAACTGAATCCCGAAGTTCAAGGGCATTTCATAAAAGATGTTAGTTTGTGCGCCGTGCTACATAACTTTGGGCCATCTGGATGACTAATATGTTTTCTTGTACAGACAATCGAAAATATCGTCAAATCGAGCCCGGAGAAGCTTAAAGACTTCACAACCGTTATTGCGACAGGCGATGTCTGTACGGATACCCTCCTTTCACTCGATGCGATCCTTTACCCGCTCGGTATTCCGATATTCGTTGTAAAATGTGTTGGGTTTACAATGAGCTGCCGTCTGGCGCTGGCAGAACATCCAATAGTCGAGACTCATCCGGCATCTACGGTTGATCTGCGCCTATTTAATCCCTTTCCGGAGCTTTCTGCCCTGGTTGATGAAAAGACTGCCTTCATAAATGATCAAGAGAAGATGACTACCCACGAGCATGGCCATCTACCTTACGTCTTAATTCTCCTTCAAACCCTCAATGAATGGAAATCTACCCATGATAATCAGCCCCCGTCTAACTACTCCCAAAAGAACGAGTTCAAATCCCTCCTTCGTAGTAAAATGTGGAATGCCGATGAGGAAAACTTCGAAGAAGCTATTGCAGCTGTCCTCCCGCATTTCAACCCTCCCAGCATTCCATCTGAGACCAGAGCCATCTTTCAAGATGAGAAGTGTACAAGCTTAACAAAAGAATCGACGCAGTTTTGGGTAATTGCTCGTGCAATCAAAGAATTTTCAGAGAAGAATGATGGACTGCTCCCGTTACCAGGTGCTCTTCCGGATATGAAAGCAGAGTCTAAAGATTATATTCGTTTGCAGAATATATATAAGTCGAAAGCAAGAGCTGATTTGGCCGCCGTGGTTGGGATTGTACGAGACCTTTTAAAAGGTCTAGGAAGGGATGGTGGCGAGATTGCAGAAAGCGAGGTAGAGACTTTCTGCAAGCATGCTGGGTATGCTAAATTGATTAGAGGAAGAAGCTTGAATGAAGAGTATGAGAAGAGCCCTAAGGCACAGGTTATTTGTAGGTTCTGGTATCTATCTTCATGAAGTTTCATTGCTAATATAACACCTGTCCAGCAAATGAACTTTCGGATCCTACATCACTGATACATTATTACCTTGGCCTTAGAGCATATGAAGCATTTATTTCTGAACAATCTAATGCACAACGTACTGCCCCTGGCGCCGAAGATTCGACGGTTGATGCCGACACGGAGAAGTTGAAAAAACACGTAACAGAGCTGCTCGATAAACTCAGCATCACATATTCATCGGAATTGCTGGAGGGCACCGAAAAGGCTATTGGTGAAATGTAAGCTTACTACCATCTATGTGAATTCTATGAGTAATGCTGACTGAAAGTAGTGTCCGCGCTGGTGGTGGAGAATTACACAACATTTCTAGTTTGACTGGCGGCGTCGTGGCTCAGGAGGTTATCAAAGTAATCACCAAGCAGTATATCCCAATGAACAATACGGTGCTATTCGATGGGATCAGCAGTCGAACAACTGTTTACCAGTTGTAATGAAACTGGTTTTTGTTATTGTAGTATAGCTCGGTTTCTTGTATCGATACATAGCGATAGTTCAGTAGATTTTGGAAGACAGAATTTTTTCCACCCGAGGATGCGGGATTGGGCTCGGGGCTACTGGGATGGAGCTTCACATAGCATATTATAGATGTTCGAGATGTTTTCTTCTCGAAACATCTCATACTTGGCTTTATATTGTGATCTGGTGTATTTGAAAGGCCTTATACCCGCCTTGGCACCGTTTATGTCGGTGAGAGTGATATTGCGGGAGGCCTGATCAGGCATCGGCGAATGTTTGCTCATGCGTAATTTGTTGCAAAATGTGTGTTGCGGCTCTGGACTTGGCCTCTGTTCCACCAACTCTGTCGCGTCGTCCCGATCTCAAACCTTTCACCACTTCATCACGCACATGTTTGCTTGGTACATGTACGTACATGCGCAACTTCGAAACGACGTGAAACTATGGCGCGGGTGGCTTTTCTTCGGGAGTCAACCTCTCGACCTCCTGTCCCAACCGAACCACTGACACCTAAAGAATGGGCAGCGTTTGGAACGGCTATTGGCGAGCCACAAGACGAGCAGGTTCCAGAGCACCTTCGCTTCCACAACCCTGCATGGAATCTCTCGCTTTTCAGGACCCTTGCTCAGAAACGCTGGGAGGAACAAGGAGGGGAGGGGGAGCTGGAAGAACCGGACCCAATTGATACATCCGCTTATAGCGAAAGTGAGGACATAGATATGGTCGATAAGATGGATACTACTGTTGACGAGGAGGGTTCATTCGCAGGGATTGCAGCTACGAATATCTTGCCAGAAGGAAGGATGAGAAAAAAGGCCAAACTAGACTATAGCGGTATGTTCATGCCGCTCCATGAACTCGACGATGAAGACGATGGGAAGAAGAAGCACAGATCATCTGTTAGAGATATAAGTGAAGATCATACCAGTAACCAGTTGCTCCTGGGATCTGCTACGCCGCCCGATTCTTTACCGAAACCACAACATAAGAGACGAGGGAGACCCCCAAGGAAACCACAACTTACTTCGGAGTTTATCTCTGAGGTGGACGATTTGTCTCAGAGCGAGGATACTCCAGGAGAGTCTGTATCATCTAAGGGAGTTCCGTTTCTCGTACGTACGGTGAACGTTCAAAAAGAAAGAAGGAAAGCACTTCTGGATGCTGGAAACAAGATGCCCGAAATAAACTGGCTAAACCGAGACCCGATACCTAAGAGCGAGCTATCTGCTATACCACCGCCATCAATCAGCGGCCTGGTCCTGCCTTCAACTGAAAGAAATAATGTTACAGGATATAAGAAGAGAGTTAGTTTAGCGCCTGGATTTTCTCAAAGTACACACCGCGCAATCATGAATACAATCAACCACCCAATCAAACAAACACCGCCCACAGAGGGAAAGACAACCGATCAGTTGACAACTTCACTACCGGAACCGTCCCCGCCGCCGATACGAAAGGCTGGCAGCAGCTCACCTACATCTAGTGAATACGAGAGTGTATCATCTGAAAGCCAGGAGACGACGTTTCCTTCTGGCCAGTTACGCCTTGCTGACTTACCCCGAGAAATTGCTGCCACGATCCCTAAACCTTTAGAATTCTTCAGTCGACGGGACCATATTAGTCCATTGATTGGGGGGAATCTTAGAGCTGTTGTTGTTACCACCTCCGCCGGAAAGCCGAATGCTCCAATCCAAACAAAAGGTTATATGGCAATTCAGCCTGCTTGGAATCCTCATGCGCCTAGGAAGGCAGGGGAAAACGGGAGCATGATGCAGTTATCTGAAACATCAACTGACCCGATTTCGAAAACTCAAAAGAATTTCCCCCTCTTCGTCGCTCGAAGGCCTCATCAATGGGAGTATTGTGGTCAATATAAGGTAGCAGAGGTTGTTAAGCTTAGTGCGTTCGAGAACTGGATGCACTTATCAACAGGAGGGAGTAAACTGCTGAGGCATTGGGGAGAATCAATTCTTCAGAAGAGATTCGAATGGGCTAAGAATATGTTTATGCAAAATTGTGGGTGGAATGAAGAGAAGTGGCGTACTGCGGCAGTTGAGGATATCATGGGCCCCATTTTAGCGGGGACTGTCCCTATGCATTGGGTGCATTTGCAGTGTGTCGGGTTTGACTTGGAATTTTACGAGGCCCTCTTGAGGCAAAAAGTGAAATGCGGTTTAGCCGCTTCACAGAAGATAATCCTATAGACTGCCTTTACCTGTAAGGTTTAGGATAATCGGGGGTTATCTCGTAAACCAGAATTAATTGCTGCTATCGGGGGGTGGGGGGTTCAGGGTTAGTGAATTTTATGCTTGTACTATACGAAGCTTTAGCCAAGCAATCCGTGGTATTTTCTGCGTTGACTTGTCGCCTGCCTGTTTCTTGGCTTGAATCGAATCCTCCAAACATTTCCCATCCTCTCCATCTTGTGTCATCATCCCCACCATCATTCAAAACCATCGACATCCTGTGAAGCTCACCAAGGGCCCCCGTACGCTACAATGCCGCCGGCAAATCCGAATAATAAATCATCGGCACCGGCAGTAGACCGTCCAACTCATAATTTCCGATTTACATCACAGAATGAAACCCTCGAAGATGTCCTCAAATCCCAAACCGTTGGTCTCGTGCACCTTTCCGATTTCAAGAAACGTCGCGCCGAACTTCTCGAGCAGAAAGAACGTGAAGCCGCGAATGTGAATCAATCCGCGCCGGGGTCTGCAGGTGGCAGTCGCGCCGGTAGTGTTGGTAGCGATGGGTGAGGCACTCTTCCCTTTGTCTTTACTACATCCATTCCAACAAGTTCAATACCGCGAATTTTAGAGTAGGACTAACAAGATTAGCAATGTTAAGCCCCCAGCGCCAAAAAAGCGCAAGAAGGCAGCTACATCACGTGGTCTCCTTTCCTTTGACGACGGCGATGACGGCGATGATTCCTCTGGTCCATCGATAACACCCTCGCCTTTACCGACATCCGCGAACCCATCTCGTGGCGGTACGCCTGCTGCGACATCCACGCCACCTCCGGAGAAGGCTACAGATACAAGCGCAAATACAACAGTCACGAAACGTAAATTCAACACTGCGGTCCCTGCTCCAACGATTATTACAAAGGCATCGCTGCGGAAGGAAGCAGAAATGCGGGAATCCCTCCGTAAAGAATTCAATAAGCTTCAGGATTCGATCCGTGCGGAAGAGATTTCTATACCTTTTGTCTTCTACGATGGAACAAACGTCCCAGGTGGGGAGTGTAAAATGAAGAAAGGGGAGGCCGTATGGCTGTTCCTGGAACGAGCAAGAAGAACAAGAGGCTTGTGGCACAGAGTTAGTGTTGACGATTTGATGTTCGTCCGCGGAGAGATCATCATTCCTCACGTAAGCTGCTCTAAATTCCTTTCTATTGTTGACGGGGAGTGGTGGCTAACTATTTGGTATTTATAGCATTACGAATTCTATTACTTTATCGTCAATGGCACCGTTGGTCCTCACGGCAAGCTGTTCGATTATCCGTCAGCGCTGACGTTAAAGGATGGAAAGATTGATGATTCTTCTGCTTCGTCTTCAGGAAAGAATGACAAGGATAAGAAATCGGAAAGCGACAGGCCGCCAGATGAGCCAACCCTTACGAAGGTCGTAGATAGGAGGTGGTACGAACGAAACAAGCATATTTTCCCAGCCAGTATGTGGGAGACCTTTGATCCGAACAAGGACTACGCCAACATGATTAGGAGGGATAAGAGTGAAAATTCATTCTTTTTCAGCTGAGCTGGCTCGAAAGGAATGATTTATGGGGGGTCGCGGTTTATCTGGCGCTTGGGATGCAATGCTGGGACTGTACACTATGTTTTCTTGAATTTTGCGTTGTAGAATAATAAATCACATTAATGGAAAATCTCCAAAAGAATTCACTTTCACTCGTTGTTTCTTCTTTCGATATCGATATATCCTTGATTGATATTTCCGAAATCAAATGAGGTCGCCACCATACTGTTTTTACTGGGCTCGAACAGATCAATTTGAGATACAACTATCTTACAACAAGATCTCCAATATTCAAGGATACGACATTTTGAGGCCGAGGCCAACTTCTAGCCGCAGCCACTCTCTGCTTCAGCTGCTTCAGCCGCCAGCTCCGCCGCAACTTCTTCTGCGGTTTTTTCTTTATGCTTTCCCTTTTTATATACTCTCTCATCCGCGGGCTAAAACAAATGTATCATTAGTGATGATGCTCTCATACTAGGCTGCTGGTTGTTGATACTCACATTAAATCCTCCATTCCCCCAAACCGCCCACTCCTCCGTCGGGGGTCCCACATAATCCAATGGCCCGAATTCCTTACCTTCTTCCAACAATTCAAAGAACTTTTGGTAATCAATAACAGTATGCCACCTACCATCAATGAAATAATCATTACTCGCAATCAGAATACAACAACTATGTGCATGCTCAGCAGCGATGCCGTATCCTAGTCCCCGTTTCTGCAACGCTTCATTGAGCCGTTTAACAAACTCGCAGACTTCCTCGTAAAATGGGACATTCTGCATCGACAGTCCTGCACCGACCGAAGTCGAAGTACCGCAATATGTGACACCCTTGACCTCTACGAACGCTGGTAGACCCTTTTCTACGAGATTCGCGTACCCTTCAACTTCATCTTCGATGTTAAAGCCTTTGACAAGAGTTAGGCGGTATACTGTCCGCATCCTATCTTTCTTTGCCTTAATAATGTCAAGGCACTTCATGAACCTCTCCCAGAAGTCACGATGTAAGGGCCTATCTATTCGCCTCAACGATTCCTTATTTGATGCGTCGATGCTGACATACAATTGGGTAACATATTGCAATCGTGCAAGTTGGTCGGGATGCTGAGCATTGCAAACCAAGAAACTGGAGATATGACGAGCGTGTAGCATAGATAGGAACTCGTTTATATGTGGATAAAATATCGGTTCTCCGACTAGACTCAGAGCGCAATGTCGAATTCGGAATGCTTCCGCAAATCGGTCTGCGCGAATTCCTGGTACACCCTTGAGGATTTTGATTTTTTTGTAGTGTCCCTCCATTGCCCCTGATAAAATCATTTCTGGGGGGTCGACGACCCAGTTCCAGGTTGTAGAGACGGGATTTGTACCATGGCGCCAACAGAAAACACATTTGTTACTGCAAGAGAGAGATGGAGTCGTCTCCATGCAAAGATGCGATTTTATGCCGTAGAAAGAATATTTGTAACAAGACCCTCGACCACGAAGGGCAGATTTGGTCCAGCGACAGAGTTTAACGCCAGAGTGGGAGCCGACAATTGTGTAACCTTGTTTTGTTAGAGCGGAATGCGTGGGAGAAGATGTCGGAACCATCTCTTTGAGCTTTGAGGTTCGCGGATTGGTCGTGGTAAAATCAACGGCAAGCGGAGCACTTGACTTCTTAGATTTAGGAGGCTTCGAAGACCGTATAGAGTTACCGATATCTTCAACGTCAACTAGAGGCTCGGTGGTAGCTGCATCTTGAGCGACATCCTCCTCGTCTTCACTATCCACACCCGTAGATTCTGGAAGTATCTCGCCTGTAGCTAGATCGTTGAGTGCAATCTCAAGATGCTTTCTCCATTCGTCCATACTAGCTAGGGCATCACCTTTGACGTCTCCCATGCCAATAGGGAATACACGTTTCCCGCCAGTAAGTTTAGACATCCATCTATCCGCTTCCTTTGCTTGACCGCAGAAAACACCACCACCCCGACCTTCCTCCGTTGGCCAACCTTCCTTGTCACCAAACCCAAATACAGAGAACCCGGCTAGAGACCGGAGTGGGCGAGTGTCTATACGGAAATCATTGTGAGTTTCGGAAAGATGCTCGAGGAAAGCGTCGACAGGGGAAGTTATTTCATAAGTCGGGATTAGTAGAAGATAAACGGAGGTGGTATTCGGTCCTTTGACAGTGGCCGGCGAGATGAAATAGTCGTCCAGGTCGAGGTAGTCTAAATTTTCGACGATCGGCGCGAGGAATGTGGCCTTTTCAACAACTGGTCCAGGTTCGGCATTGTCGACTGAAGGTGGTGTCGGTTTCGGGATATGTAGTGGTTCGGAGAAAAGGTCATTGGATAGTTTTTCGGCATATTTGGCGGTTGACCCAGTCAAGGAAGAGTAAAATATAAAAACCTGTATCAATTTACCGTTCGGTTGGGTGATTTCTTCACCCCCCTCAACAGCTGGTGGGGCATCCACATTTGGCTTTGTTGGCTTCTTCTTTCGGGCTTCGCCGCCCGTAATTCGCTTTGGCACATTTTTAGCAGGAGATAGTTTTCGTCTTTTATTTGAAGGCGAAGTAGCTTCAAACTTTTCGGGGAGGATGACCGTGCCATCAGGCTCTGCACAAAGTTGTGGCTCAAGCTTGGAGGGACTTGGAGGAGTTGTAAGAACGGGGGTTCGAGCTCGAAGTATACTTCTGAGACGGATGGTAATATATAGAACACCAATGGCGATGATGAGAGGAATCCGTATGGTGTGCCAGAGCTCGATGAGGTCTACAACAGGGACATATGTTAAAGCGAACAATGCTTGGGGTCAGTAGCTTGATTACAAGGTGAAGAACATACCTGGCGACCTAGATTTATACATCTCCGCCATAGGGACTATAAAGCGACTTGCTATCGCTATACAGATGGCGTCGATATGGGCCCGATGGTGGTGGTGGCGCTGCCTTCCGATGCGATTGGTGGTGATGTTGGTGGGGTGTGGGGGATAACCAAAAAAATTCAGACGGGTTTGATTGGCTAAAGGTGGGCAACACATTCTGCTGTTGGATTTCGAAGCATGATGTTGGACCAACACATGAAGGGTCACCGAGACTAGATATTGGACGGTGTGGAGCGTCTTCAACCAAAATTCAGCATTGCAATTGCCAGCCCAAAGCCCCCAGCAAAATACCCCCATTGCCACCTTCCCGAATTTAAGAAACTCCATATATATAGTAGTCTTGTCCTTTTGGGACTATATAATTTGTTATATTAAGCTACAGATCTCTTGCTAAGCGCCGAGTTTTAAATTTTGTAAGCTAGTCTATATTGCTCTTTACTTATGAAGTGATTGTATAATTCATGAAAAGGGTAAAGTTAGGCTGGGTATTACAGGATGCTCTGGTGGGAACGGGATATCAACCGCTTTAGCTTTGGTCCTGGAGATCTATACGACTATTCCCTTCCACCTGCGAAGTACCAAGGCCAAGGTCGGGCAGGTTCATTCGATGTCTTCGCCTTATAGAATCCCCCGTTTCATTTTCATTCTCTAGATCATCTTGGGGGCCTCGAAAATCGTCCCCTGTGAATGACTCTCCTGGAAAATCGATCGAGCTCATTGCTCCGGGTTCGAGACCGGCCTCTCTTAACTTTCGGAGGAGGTAGTCAGAGGGGTCAACTGTTGGAACGGCTTCAGCTAAAGGATTGAAATTATATTTCGGGGGGCTAGCAGCATATCTAATACTGAATGGTTCCGATCGAGGCCTGTTGGGGCCCAGCAACCGACGGAGTTCCTCTTGGTCGAGGAATTGGGGGTCAAAGTTTCGAAGGGCACTCAAATCGTTAATACTACGAAAGTCCGCATTCTGAATCCCATTGATATCAAAGTTCGGAGCTTCGAGTTCAGGAATGCCCGTCCCAAGCAAAATCAAAGGAGGGCTCGTTTCCACCTGCGCTTGATATTCTAGATTCTCTTCATCTATATCTGATTGTATTTGTACCTCAGATTGTACTTGCTCATTAGGCTGATCTTCCTGTCCTTCTCGTTGGAATGGTTCCCGTAATAGTTGCCCTAACTGTTGTGGGCCTCCCAACTCGTCTCGCGGTGGTGAGTATCGTGAACTTCCCCTCGATGGCTCTTGTGATGGCTCGTATAGGGAGCTTGCTTCTAACTGGTCTTCCGGAGACTCAAATTGGGAGCTCACCCCTGACTCGTAGATTTCTCCCGTCTCTAGTCGGGATGCACTACGTGCTTCCGATCTATATATCTCGCTAGGTTCAAGTTGATTTGCTGCACTTTGCCCTTCCTGGTCAGCCGCGTCTACCTCTGATAGATATATCTCCTCGTTTACTAGCTGGTTCACCGCACTAGTTTCTGACTGGTCCCTTGCATCTGCCTCTGATTGTTCTTGCAAAGATTGGTGTCCCGGTGACGATACATCAGGGTTTAGTATATTCTCTGGTCCTATTCGTACATTTTGTGGTTGGTTTAGACGTAATCGTATTTGTACATCTGGCCACGCGTCTGACTGCTCACCTGATCGATAGGATGAAGAACTTTGTGCAGGTGATTCTATGTTGGCTTGAAAGTCTTCCAGATCTGTTTGGTGTGCTGCATGCCTGTGCTCTCCTGTTGGTGCTCGGTCCTCGGTTTGTATCCCTATCCCTGGTGTAATAATGTCTTCCGTTTGTATTTCCATTTCTGTTCGGACCGGTCTGTCCGTCTGTACCCCTGTCTCTGGTTCCATGAAATACTCGGTTTGTGTCTCTATCTCTGTCTGAACCGGCCTTTCTGTCTGTATCCCCGCCTCTGGTTCTCTAAAGTTTTCTGTTTGTATTTCCATTTGTCTTTGAACTGGTCTCTCAGTTTGTATCCCAATTTGTGGCTGCTCTTCAGTTTGTAACTCAACCTCGAACTGAGTACGTCTTTCTGTTTGCATCCCAATTTCTGGTTGCTCCTCAGTTTGTAGTTCAACTTCTAACTGAGCCGGCCTTTCTGTCTGTATCCCGGCCTCTGGTCCTATAAATTGTTCCGTCTGTATTTCCATCTCTGCTAGAGCCGGTCTTTCGGTTTGCATCCCTATTTCAGGTTGATATTCCGTCTGTAATTTGACTTCTAACTGAGCAGGCCTCTCAGTTTGCATCCCTACTTCTGGCTGCTCTTCCGTTTGTATTTCCATCTCAGCTAGAGCGGGCCTTTCTGTTTGCACTCCTGCTTCTGGGTTGATAAATACTTCCGTCTGTATTTGTACGTCTGGCTGAACAGGTCTTTCCGTCTGCATTCCAAACTCTAAGCGTATTGGGCCTTCTGTTTGGATACCCATCTCAGGCCATATTGGGTCCTCTGTTTGGATACCTGTTTCTGGTTGTATTGGAGCTTCTGTTTGCGTTTCCATATTTGATTGAGGCTGCAATTGTTCTTCGGTTTGAATTCCTCTCATCATTTGCACGGGGTCTGTTTGTGTGTCAATTTCCAGCTGCATTCGACGCGTTGGATTCTCTGTCTGTGTTTCTATATCCCCTTCTACTGGCTCCGTCTGCGTTCCCCTATTCGAAGATGGCTTTTTCCTTCCCAAGGCCTGTACTTCCTTTTCTGGTGGTATTCGACTTTCTCTTAGTATAGAGCCTTCCGGAATAATTCGGCCTCCAAATTGATCTTGAAATCGGTTTTGTTGAATAGGCAGCTGTGCCCGCCGCTCTGGCGGAGCTTCGGGATACTCTATATCTATGATATTGCTTTGGGGTTCCGCTTGATTTGCAATTTGCAATTGTCCTTGCGGGCCTCTATTCGGTGATCCAAATTCAAGTTGGTTATATTGTCTGCGGGCTTCTAGCAAAACCGAGGTCATATACTCCCACTGTGCTATTATTCCTCCCATCCACCAATGTCTATTTCCCGATGCAGCCAAGCTATTTTCTACGGCCGATTGGGACGGTTTGTTTGTCTTCAAATTTGCTAGTGGTTCTGAGATGATACTTGCCAGAGAGAGGTCGAGCTGGACTTCTTGAGGAGTACGCCGTGGCGTCAGAGATCCCCCACGTCGTCTTTCTATGGCATTAAGCTGCCCGGGCCCGGTTCGTCCTAGAAACTCAATACCAGATAATGACTTGACATCAATGAAGGGATGAACAGAGTAAGGTCTTGCCCATTCCATTGATACATAAGGCAACTCTAGTAGCCTTTGAAGTCCGTTCCTGAGGGCTTCACCAAGCATAAGCTTAACGACTTCGTTATTCCTCAAACTGATGTATGGATTCATCAGCCTACTGATGGACTTTTCCAGTGCCCCCGGGATTTCAACCCACCCAGGGTTTAAGACTCTTTCGGCCATTTCTCTCAGATATAAATTTAGCATGGAGCCTGTCAAATAACTCCATAGGCCTGGATCTATATGTGTGACTCCGCCCGTAAGCGGTTCCCAACCTTGCTGTCCCGCTGGAACTTCTGAGTCGCCTTCCCCACGCCAAACTAATACCGAATCGCTCAGCATTGTATCGGGTACATCGACCAGAATGCCTCCGGTTTGTCGCTCCCTCTCTATATCGATGGCTTTCCAAGAACTAGCAAAGACTTCGATCCCTGTATCGGTCAAATCGACGATACTTACACCTGCGAGTTTCTCAGGGTCAAGCGTGACTATCGCATACGGAACGCTCCTAATCTCATATTTCCCATTTCCTTGAGTCAACCTATTGCAATTCGAGTTGTTGTAAAATCCCACGGAGCGGATATCCGGGCTTTGGTCGTAACTGTGTCGGTTCCAAATAGCTAGGCCTTTGAGGTGTATCGGCTGCGCCTTTGGAGTTCTATAGCACTGAGAAAGATCAGAATAGCTGCTGTGCCTATAATAATCTGGACTCGCGGCAACAGAACTACGGAACCAGTCCTCTCCACCAGTTTCGATATTGATTTGCTGCCAAGCAAAGCTGTTCTGTGCTATCAGGATTTGAAGTAAAAAGAGATATATTGTAGTTAGACTGCTCCCGGACATGATGAAAGACTGGAATGTCACTTCAGAGTCCTATTTCCGCGGCGGCTGGGTCCGACTGGTGGTAGAACTGTAATGAGATAGACATCCCAAACTTACTAGACACACTTAAGAATAGGCTATTTGGCGGACTTTTCCCTTGAGAATCTTAAGGGCTCTTTCGGGATCGCGGATTGCTATTTTCCTAATTCAAGTCATTCATCATCTAAAAATACAATTTTCTGGCCATGAATAAGTCAAATTACCGGCCTTGATGAAAGCATGAATTTCAGTCATAAACTCTATAATTTTAATGTTGCAAATGTGCTCCATCTTGCTTCGGTCTGCCATTAAGTTATCTTTGTGAACAAAATGTTAAAAGTATTTTCTCCGACTCGCGAACTAGGATTTAAAATCCTCATACTAGGGCACAGTACACTGACTAAAAAGTCTCAGACAACTTTAAATACTTGTTAGTATATAGGGTAAATTTCTACAGATCATAGAAGAGTGCATTATTGAGTGTTCAGGGATTTTGTTACCTGAGGATTCGAAAACCTATAGGCATAGTTTGTGCACACATGGGACAACTTAACTGACCCGCTATAAGATCATAATTTATTGATATGCCATTCGGATTTAGAAACTTGGATAAAAACCTTCTTCCAAGAAAATTAAAAGAGCCCGAAGACTTCAATCATTCCTACATTTGTACAAGCAAGAGTTGGACGAGGCTGCGGAAAGTTGAACGTAGGGGCCCTCCATGGAACCATTGTATATACATGTATTTGTGCCAAACTGGGCTTACAAATTTGGATATATTTAGGTATATATGGTATGCGGCAATTTCAACAACAACCCGTTTTAACATTGCGGACGAAATATGACAATTATTCTCTCAAATCCCGTTCCCTATTGCCCAACTGCCAATTGAGCCCCCATAAGTCCAGTTAAGCGAGTTCAATGCTAGAGTGTCAATGGTTGAGAGTTGCGATTCTCCGCGGTTCTGCCCACCGAGCCACCAAATTGAGAGCGAGGGCGATCGACAAGGCCCCACGTGCGGATTTAAGAGCAGCAGGTACTGTGGCTCAGGTGGATTTAAATCGCTATATTATCCAAAATGCCCGCACACGGTTTGAAGACCTCGTTATGGAGCTTGTTTGTCATATTTATGGGCTCTCTTGCCCAAGACCTACTTGAATCGTCTGAGACGTGGCCTTTCGTAATATATATTCGACCTATAGATCCCAGGGATAAGAAGATAATAGATATGGACGATGTCTATCTTCGTAAGACCTCACCCGAAATAAAGCTTACAGACTCAGTATCAAAATACATAATACCCCTGGGGGTTAATAGATATGGTGGAGTTTCTGCTAACGACTAATTATTTCTAACACTCTACTAGTTTGTCAATTTGCCTCGTTTGACGCACGTCGCTCCACGGTTGAAATCTGTGATTACAATGACTTCAAAACCCCTAATATACAATTCTTTGACCGGCGAAGCCAAAAATCCGTAACGAGGAATCTGCCTGTGACGTCGATGTTTTGAAGTGGGGCACCATAGATTACCGTGCGAGCCTATGGCCGGTTTTAGAGCCATTTTTCTTTTATAAACTAAAGCTCTATGTTTCGGTTCCTGTACCAGAATATTTGAAAGGTGGAGACTCATCGAAGCCGAATCGCCAGACTGCGGTTCAGATGACCAATAAAATCGAAGATGCCGGATTGTAAGTGTTGGTCGACTTGACTCTTGGGGTGCATGGAGAAGTCCTGTATACCTATGCTTGTATAATCTTATTGCTGCAAGTAATATTTCTGGTATGTTTCATTATAACTCTGATGCGTCACAGGTTCCTAGTAATGCCGCCATACCCAAGCTCGTCGGAGACAGAAGCGGATCGTTTATTGTCATTACAACTATGGTTTGAAATGGATACCGACGTTATAAACCCACAGATAGGGACACCTTCGTTCCGGATGAAGGACTATCCGGAACAAGATTTCTTCGGTTAGTTTTTTCTTGTCGTTTCCCTAGAGACTACTAGTGTCGCTTCTGATTCAGCTTTTAATGGCTCGAGCGCTTAACTTATATATCTATATCCAATTATATTCAACCGACAAATAGTTTGTAAGAAAGAAAACGATCCTAATCGCATGCGGCTATACATTGGGAACCCGATAGGAAGTCTGATAGCCGAACGCGAATTTAGAGAACTAGAAGGAACAGCTGATCCAAGTCAACTTTTTGAAGATCGTGCTTTGGAGGAATTATCTTTCTTTACTAGTTTGTATGACCAAACTGAGACTGAAGTCGAGCGTGAGTTCCGGATGTATGGCGGCATGAGCTGTCAGGCGGTAAGCCTTATCCGAGGGTACCTACCCTGGAATGCAACTGGGATAGATATCAAAGGAGATATGGAGAGCACTGATCTTTACAAATATCGAAAATATGAACCGTCAATGAGACAGCGACTGGAGGAAGGAAGTGTACCGCCAATTGGTGAGAGAGGCGAGATGGTAGTGGGGCCGAATACAATGGCAAGACTTAAAACATACCGCGGAAAAGGGATGGGACTAGCTTGGATGCGTGGATGCAGTTGTTTCGAACGGGCTCTGGGGAAGCTAACCAGAAAAAGGGTACCGAGCGGTAAACTTGGAAATCTTCAGCTACCTAGCCTCAGATCCAGGCGCTCGAAGCGGAGCCAGCTGCCAGGTATCCCCTTCAATTATCCCTTACTAAACCTATACGGGTTCCTCAATAAATCCTAGAACACTAAAACTTCGTAAAAACTATGCATATACATTACCAAGCTCGGACTCCGCTATTTTTATTATCTATGTATGGAAATATACTGTGCGCAGGATATTTGGTGTGCGTGAGGGACATTCCGTGAGATCGAGGCAAGGAATTAATGTATTCCAAGACTAATGAGAATTCCACCTGCATCAAAGTTCCGGACCACGAATCTGTGCTGCCTGCTTACAATCTTGATTACTCAACAAAGATAACGATTACAAACGGACTAGCATCAATGTGAAAATACTTATGAGCATTCGAACACAGCGCACCAGTCATATTATTTCTCGGCTTCGTTCGGAAAGAGCGCAAGCCTAAAAAACTTAAAAGAAAAGCTGTAGAACATATCCAAGGCCACTTTATCGCAAACTTCCTATATACCCGAAGAGCAGGAATAGAATGACCGGAGCCGTGACCAAGCTGAGAATTTCATAAACTTGCCAAAGGTGAGTTTTGTTAGTGTTCGTAACCGCGTTGTTCAAGAAAAATACAACAGAGCGGGCTCTTTCCGGCTTCGGCCTGTCTAACTTAAACCTGACCTCAATCATGACTTCATATGATCATTGTCAACGACTTTGATCAGTTATCACGATTGGTTTGTTAAAGCATCACGACACTATTTGTAGCTAGAGCTGCTTAACGATGGCTTTATGAAGACACTTACCCGCCTACCCACTAGATATCTTCCGATATTCAAAAAGTCTCACTTTTCAGCACAGCTACAATTGCCCCGCCACCGCTATCTTAGCCCCTCCATCAGCTATCCCCGCACAATGGCAACCACATCAGAAGACCTTGTTGCTGCTGCAAAACAGCTTGCAGCTTTAACCGCTGTTCAGGAACACTACCCTAAATTACCACCAAAATATGTCGGTATTGGCTCCGGCAGTACTATAGTCCATGTTGTGGCATCGATAGCGAACCTTGAGCCGTCTCTCATTTCGTCCACGAAGTTCATTCCAACAGGCTTCCAATCCAAGCAATTGTTACTACAACACGGTCTTGAAGTGCTCGATATCGACCTTCTACCGGCCGGTCAGGCCATTTCTGTCGCATTTGATGGTGCAGACGAAGTTGATGCGCAACTAAATTGCATCAAAGGCGGCGGCGCATGTCTTTTCCAAGAAAAAATTGTCGCTGTACAAGCGGAGAAATTTGTTGTCGTTGCAGATTTCAGAAAGATATCGAAGACATTATTAACACCAACAACATGGGCATCGGGAATTCCGATCGAAGTTGTACCATCGTCATATCCATATGTCACTGCAAAATTAACGACCTTGGGGGCTACAAAAGTTGTTCTCAGACCTGGTGGAAAGGCGAAGGCTGGGCCTTGTGTTACGGATAACGGCAACTTCTTATTGGATGCAGTTTTCCCCACATTACCGGAAGGAGAAGACGTGGTTCAGGACTTAGCTGAGGCGATAAAGGGAATCGTGGGAGTGGTGGAACATGGATTATTCTATGGAGGCTCCCGGGGTTGGAAAGGAAGGCCGGAGGTCGCATATTTTGGGATGGCAGATGGTACCGTGAATACCCTAGTGAAGCAATAATGAACGGCTTGGAAAGAGAGACGAAAGCCTCGAAAGCGGTTTTCTCGATCACCGGATCATCAAATTAGTACCTTTGGAGAGCCGACAGAGTAGGTTTTCTGTTCAAAGAAAGAAAAAAAATCGAGTGTTGTTCGACTCCCGAGCTATATCGTTATCCCAGCAAGTGTACACCGGAAGATTAGTTAGGAGTATCCTTGGTTCCGGTTCAACAACAAATGTCCCCCGAAATAGTATTAAGCGGAAATAATGCCGAAGTACAGCGATTAGGGGCTGGATATAATTGTCTTGTTAATACTGCGCCGCACACTTCATTATTTGCGTTTTTCTAGAACCGAAACCTATAGGTACCTATCGCGCTATCGTGCATGTATCAAGCGCAAATCTATATCTGCAAATCCACAAATTAGATTTACAATATGAGCTCGGAGGTTTCGTGTGTACTATGCGGAGCATTCCTACGAACGAGTCGGTACAGACCGACAAGTCCACTATGCATTCGTAAGTACTTATATCCACACCTTGCTTCATATGATTTTTCACGAAAAGCAGCTTTGATCAAAATCGGTGAACTGACCTAAACTCAAAAGTTCACCCCAGGATAATTGGGCATTCATACGAAGGTCTGCCTGCCTGGATAACAACCGAATATGTTGGCGCAAAAGGCACGGCACCAGCTTTTGATTTAGATGACCCCCAGTTAGAAATTTGGGATAACGCCCTTTCGAGTATGGTCAGACTTGATTCAAGCTACCAAATAGGAAGGGCACGTGAAAGACAATGTTTAAAACAACAGGTACCTTGCAAGCCATGCTACCTAATGCACTACGAATGCTGGGGGCTCTTTAAAATAGTCGCGGTAAAGTTAGGTGTCCAAGAATCAGATCTTCCACTATATCAGTGTCATTTATACAGGGTTTTCGATGCAGCTGCCTATGATGGAGGTAACCTTATCTGGCCCCATAGTTACCATCTTACTCCTGAAGAAGTTCTCGCATACCGATTCTTTCGCCCTGGTGTGGCTTATAGCTACCTTGAACCTCATGGCCTTGACCACATTGGGTACTCGGAGCTTCAAGTTGCCACCCCTCACGTTTATTATCGAGAACCCGCTAAACACAAGGATATTTTGGCTGAGCGCGCCAACATTAATATCCCAGACTTCCTCCCTCTACCTGTCGAGCTTACGCATAAAGTGCTGTGTTATCTACCTGGTACCGATATCATAGCCCTTAGTAAAATGAAATCGTTTAAAACCTTGCAGGTCCCCGACTTCGTTTGGAAGTCACAATTTGATCTAGGAGCAGAGCTGGGCTTCCTAGTACAGCCCCATTTCATGACAGATGGGGCTGAAACTACCTGGCAGGCAAAATATCTTTTCACCAAAAAAATCATATCCGAAAATTACAGATCGGCCGCAAACCTAAAGAGAAGATGGGATATCTTTGCCAGTCTCGTACATAAGCTACGTGATACAGATAATTGCGACGAAGCCAATATATACGACTTAGATCCTGAAGGTCCTGCTAGGGAATTTGGGTATAATGTTGACCAGGATCAAGCCCTTGTTTGCCAAAGTTTGCCGCAAAAACTGCATTCGGGCGATACAAATGGGACATTGCATTCTGAAGGTGTGAAAATCCGAGCAGACGGGAATCTTAAGCGCTTCGTAACCACAGGCATGTATGTTTCGTATACAGGTGCCGGCAAATTAAGATTCGTCAGTGGGTTTCGATTTCTTCCTGGCGGGGAGAAGCTGGGACTGATCAACCCTGAAGATGAAGAATACATTCATTTACAAATGGCTATGGCTAGCACACAAGTGATATGGGTTGCAACATCTAAATACGGGATACGTAGTATTACAGTCGTACCCAGGGGGGTCGACTACTTATTCGAAAATCTTGAAGATGCGTATGTCAATCGAAAAATGCTTATCATAAAGCCGGAAGGTATTGAAATTTCGAAATTCGCTATCACAGTTGGAGTAAGGAAGCTCTCCACAACAAAGGTGTGAACCTATTTATTTTCGATAAAACATGCTAATATAGTGTTGAATTGCAGCTCTCCGAAATTACCAGTCTTTGCATTTATAGTCCAAACTTTATCAACGGTGGAGACTTGGACCGGCAGGAATGGTTTATTCAGCGGTACTCATGGTCGCCGACCATCCCTCCTATATTCTCAAAACATCGGATGGATATAAATCATGACTCATTTTGTGGTCATCTAAACTATATCACGGAGCGGGCAAGACACGAAGCAGCATCTTTAGATCATATTGTGTTTGCGAATTTAAGTGTCGTCCGTTTCACTTGTTGGCTAGGAACCCGTTTGGAAATCTGCGGGATAGGCGTATTTATAGAAGGAAAAGAAGCACCTTTGGTTATAGGCGCAAAGACCGAGTTTTCAACAGATGCAGCCATTGAGAAAGATGAAGCTATTATATCTTTGGAGCTTCTTATTGGAGGGAAAGACTCTTTACCCGTAGGACTATCTGTAAGTTTGCCAAAACTTAAAATCAGCACCGTACTCTTATATCTTGGCGAAAAAAGAAGCTAAATGCAGATATTCCTATAGGTGCGCACAGATAGAGGCGTTGCGTTCCACTTTATGATTCCAAACCTACCTCAAAAACCTCGAAAGCACACGCTAGATGTTGGAAAAGACAAGGAGATTGTGGGTATCTTTGCAGGATTTGACGGTGTAAGTTATCCTTGACGGGCGCTCGTATACCTTATCATGATACTAATTCAAAGTCTGATCTAGTCATTGTCGAATAGTCCAATCGTTCAACTTTTGGCACTTGGTACAATAAGCTCCGGGCGTAGAAGCCTCCATACTGTTGAAACAGAGACAAGGGCCCGAAAGACACCCTCCAACCCGCAGCTTCGCCTATGGAATGAATCAATCGATGGACCTTGCCCAAAAGATATATTATTGAATGACAAACATCATCTAGGATATTTTATCTCTACAGCTCCACTTGCCAATTGCAAATCCTTGGAATGCTATGTTCAAGACAATCACTATGGATATTGTATCACCGGAATCTGTCTAAGTTATGGGAAAGAGGCCGATTCGCCTCAACAATGCCCCGCAGTCCTAGGGCATCTATCTAGTACCGCTACAAAAAATATTTTCGAAATTGAGGCCGACCGAGGAGAGTATATAGTGGCAGTTGACGTTTACATCAGAAAAATAAAACTTGCTCCAAACCTCGAGTTTTCACTCGCGGTAGTTGGAATTGTCTTTTGGACATCGAGTCGGCGGAAAATCAGTTGTGGGAAGTGCCAGGCTGAGTATGCGAGCAAAGTTCTTCCTTTGAGAACTAGCATAGAGGTAAGTTTTTCTCGACCGAATCATCCTTGAGATTATTTGGTCCAAACTTATGATTCGGTGAAACTACAGGAAGATTTTGTTCTCAAGTGGATCTATTCGAGAAACATCGACTATCTCACGAACGTAAAGGAGTTTTAGAAATCTCGGATCAATTCATATTATCCAATTTCCGACGGCGCCAAATATTCTCACAAGAACCAGCCAGCTTGAGCTTAATAGGCTGTAATGATTCTTCATACTCGGGTTTTGCATGTAAACCATTTCATCATTTATAGGATAGATCTGGTCTCGTTGGTACCAGACAACACGAAGTACACGATAGATCCAAGTAATAATTATTTTAAACTATCACACTCAATAGACTTAGCAATGTGACCAGCTAGACCTGCTAAAGAATAAGTCCAGTTATTCCTATATCCAGAATTCGAAATTGATACCGCCAGATGCGCAGCCGCAGACGCCGCAGGGCTGCATGATTGTTGCATTCTGTGTGTTGTGCGTTGCGATCAGGGGTTCGTGACTTGGCTCCACCTCGCGACGTAGCAGTGACGCTAAAGACTCCTTGGTCTGCTTCCCCAGATCCCTTCGCGATCCTTAGAAAACAACCATCTAAGAACACCACTGTTGTTCGCAAAACTCCAAAATGGTGCTCTCAGTATCACCTCTCTCGCAAATGCCACCGACGGACTGTTCGACGCCGTTACTTACTAATCCTTCGTACTCTAACTTTACGATCTCCGTCGGCCTCCTGCTTGGGATTTTGGTGTCATATCTGCCTCAGCACCACCGAATTATAACACGCCGAACCTCCGAAGGGATATCGCCACTCTTTTTACTGCTTGGAGTAACATCTGGAACATGTGCTCTAGCAAATATCTGGCTACTGGGGTGGGGTGTAGTCGGATGTTGCGCGTCTGACTTAGGTCCCTTCCAGTGTTTTGCCGGCATGTTGGGTATATTACAGGTTACGACACAATGGTCCTGCTTCATGGTCATGTAAGATGACAACCTTATCTTTAGTTTCATAACTTCTGCTAAACATATATATCCTATAGACTTCTCTTATTTTTAATCTACTTCCCCTTTGCTACACCGGTACTTCCAACCTCCGATAATATGTCGACAGACTCTCACCATCACAAAAACCCAAGCGCTACAACCGCTATAACAATCTCACTGCTATCCTTTATCCACCTAATAATCATCCTCGCAATATCCGTATATCTTTATAGGACAGCTTCTCCTTCGGCAATACTGAACTGGACCTCCTTCCTTGGAATTCAGTCCACCGTGCTTGCTAGCATTCAGTATATCCCGCAGATTTTCACAACATACAAACTCAAAGCAGTAGGGAGCTTAAGTATCCCAATGATGTGCATTCAAACACCTGGATCATTCGTTTGGGCTCTATCTTTGGCTACTAGGGAGGGAACAGATTGGAGCAGCTGGCTGGTATACTGCGTGACAGGAGTTTTGCAAGGAAGTTTGCTTGTAATGGCGATAATATTCGAAAGGAAAAGGAAGCAAGAAGAGGCAGATGCCGCTCTCTTCGTGGACCGTGAGGATGAAGATGATTCATATGTTCACGAAGCTGATAACTCTTGGGGAGGAAGGGCCAGACATGCAAATGTCAACGAAAGGACCCGGTTGTTGCCTGACGAAGATGAGGCGGATTTGTAGACGGTTGACATACAAACATACCATAGATACCTATTAGCGATCGGGCCGTCTGGGTGAGCATACAGAGGTGTGTCTTTTAGTTTTTTTGGTTTAAGCGGAGTCTGTTGGATAATATAGCATTTTCAGATCGGTTTGGGTGAGCATGTTCTCGGATTGGATACGACTGGGTTGGATTGGATTGGATTGGATTGGATTGGATTGGATTGGATTGTAAATTAAGACCCTAAGCCCACGCTACCTTAAATTAAGTAATACGAGCCTGTCTTTCCGCCCTTAGACTTGTGAAACCATCTTGTAGAAAAATATAGTGGGATACCAAATAAAAGATTCCCTGTATTGTATTGCGTATCCATCCCAATCAGAATTTCAGATCCAAACTCAGATTTCCGTAGTACGCTGCCGAGCTGGGACCTCGCCTAGCCCTATATCCTCAAATTGGTCAGCCTGGTACTCCCGGCCATTCTGTGGCTCCCTGCCCCTGCCACCATCAAAAACACCACGGTCGGTCCATCCACGAACAGGAGCTGTCTGGTAGGGTCCTAGAATAACTGTCATACCACTTGCACGGCTCTTTTTCAATTTGACCCCCCATTTAACCTTCATGCCCCACCACTTGGCACCAAACCACATTCCCAAGACACTGGTCTTGACGACATGCCAGAAGTATTTTGAGATCCTAATGAACTTAAAACAAGCTCTTCCAGCCCAGTAATAGGTGGCACTAAGCTTTGGCTCATTGTAGTACCGAGGGGAGCGAATTCTTCCAATAAGGTGTCTGTCAGAATAGTCATCGTAGTAGCTCATCGCTTGTGGTTTGCGACAACAGAGTAGTTCAAAACAGCATCGGAAAAGGCACTCAAATATTTCGAAAATTAGTAGGATGAAGTCGAAAGTGGTCCAAAATGGTTGAGTAGCCGTAAAGAAGAAAAGGTCAAAAATCTGATATTTGGTGCGGTTGTGAATGCTGCCAGGGTGGATTATGAATCCGACGAAATCTGCACTGATGAGGAACCCGAATAGCGAGACGGCGGCCGTTATACTTGAAGGGAGAAAAATGTTAGCGCTAATTTCCACGTAGACTTTGATCATGAGTCGATCAACTGTGATCGATACACGCATGGTTGGATAACTTACAAGAACAGAAAGGACCAACCCCAGAAGTAGATTATTATATCTCCAACTATGAAGTCCGCATTTCTATCTCCTCTCTCCCTAATCAGAGGCTTCGCAACGAATTCACTATGTGGGATCCGGATTCTCATGATTTCCTCAGGGTAAAAGCTGGGACATGCTAAGATGAATGTCACGACACGAAGAATACCGACAAGTATGATTATGGCATACATCCGAAGATATATTTCATACTTCTTATCGATCTCCTCAGTCAGAAGTTGTGGTGAGCCAGCAATAAACAATCGTTTAGTCAGCCAAAAGAAAGCACAGAGGCAGATGTATGACATAGTGATTGTCTGCGATAATCATATCCATTAGCAAGTCATGATCCCGATCCAGTCAATAGAGAGCTTTCTTACAACGCCAGCTCGAGCTTCTAACAATCTAATGACGGCTGAGAGACCTTCCCCTGCAGTTTCGTGCTCTTTGAGATAGTCGACCATTGACAGGTAGTAAACCGTCATGAAAAGAGAAACCGCGAAATAAATTGTGGTGAAAAGTGCATCCATCGAAAGAATTGCGAACGAGATAACATCATGAGCGGCGGTCCAGTCATGGTAAGAATGAAGATGCTCCAACCAGCGTCGCTTGGCTGCGGATTGGTGAAAAGCAACCATTTCAACAAATGAAGTAGTTTCACCTTGACACAGGTCTTTGCCGGTCTCTAGGAAAGACACCTCTTCAGGGTTGGGTTTCGGCAGGTAAGCTCTGTAACGAGAGCTGTGGAGGTTGGCGCTGCCAGGAGTCGAGTTGATAGTAGTCTAGATCGATACCTAGAGACTTGGATGAGTTGTGAAGATGAAGAAAGAGCCTTGAAGTTCAAGGGGCTGACTACCAACAACTGCTCCGGTTACAAGTATAGTCCGGCACCAAACTCATATCTTTCGATTGTTTTTTACGAACCTCATGAGTACGAAGGGTTATAAGTTCATTGTCGGCATCCCAACGTTCTATGCGGATCGTCGCTAGGCGTTTCATCCAACTCCACAGTAACAGCTCCATAGCGATTCAGGTAGACGCTCCTGAGCTCCAGCTCAATAAGGAACATCTTTCCAGACCTTTTTTTAAAATTTTTTTATTCACAGTTATGCAGGTAGATATTTCATAGAGATATACAAGATCTAATTCTTAGAAGTCCAGATATAGATACAAAAATACTATATATATAGGGTTACACAAATTAATATCGCAATATGCAATCAGATGTTCAAGTTACACATCTTGCAAAGTGTTCACAGAATAACTATTGGAGGATGTAGAAGATTCAGGTACAGAAGTACACAGATGTTAGCTGACACAGTCGCAAGCTGGGAAACCGTTCGGTTTCTTTCGTGGACTCTGGCTTTAAGTATCCAGCCAATGTAGCCGACCGCTTTAAATTACATTCAGGATCCATGAATTCATAAAAAGTACTAATTTTAACACAGATGCTTAAACTCAAGAACTGCGTCATTTATTTTCGGAGTTAATAAACAAAATACTGATCCGGTGACATGCGCGCCTGTGTAGACTTTCATTGCTATGAATAAGGGCTGTGTTCCGGACCCCTAGGCTCTATGTAGAACTTATATACGTATAAATACCTACGCCTTCGAAGCTTTCCAAGATGTGATGCCTTAAATCAAGCGATGGTGTACTCATGAAGCCAAGATCGCGGCATAATAGGCATTGTTCATGCATGAATGCATGCGTGCATATGTTGCCACATCATGATCATATCAACCGACCTCGAAGCATACTAGTAAACCCCAGCCTCAAAATCACTTTGTTCCCATCGGAACTTTGTTTGCATGCGCTATGAAACAACTAGACATACTGGTATACTGCGGTCCGCAAACCAATTCTACGAAACCACCCGCTCTACACGCGACCGCCAAGACTTTGAAATTGAAATACTCCGAATCTCATAGGTAAATAGGCCACAATCTTACCTAGATTTACGAGTCAAGCCCAGTACAGTATTAAATATAGGCTACCGACCGGCTATCGCTCTACAATTCCAAATAATCAAACCTCAACTTGTTCCTTTCACAATCTAGAAGGGCGATGCATAGGGCTAGACGAGTAGTGGTGATCGGATTCTAAGGCAGCTGCAAGTACCGAATATCGAATCGCGAGCCAATACTGTGTATAATATGTTTTAGTTCCGCCGTTGAGTGACAGTGGCTGAGCATAACGTTATATCGCGTTACCCACATCCTTTTCTTTCCTTTTCAACTTCCATCGGGCGCGGTATGCAGGAAAAAAAATCAGCAATAAGAAATAATAACTGCTTTATCTTTTGTGCCGCTCGGCGTACAAGTGCGGCACAGGCGCCAATTCAGGGTTAGACGATGACGTTGCGCGGTTACAGCCACCGGATCAAAGCAATCAAACCCCGGGACCCCGTCAGATAAGCAAACAATGATATCCCGCACTATTGCTACATTCTTGGAGATGGAGTGCTTTGAGGTGTAGAAAAAGGGTGAGCTCTGTCAATGCAAAGACGTCTACGTGCGCGTGTTTGCCCATGGCCATGTGTTGATGTTGCAATTGGTACTCGATGCTTGCAGGGTACGAGACACTCGGCGCAGCAATACAATTAATTAAAATATAATATCGCCTGGCTCATTATGAGCTCATTGATCATTGCCCGCACACGTATTATTCTGCAGTACAATGCCCCGCAGCCGAAATACAGCCGAATTAACCCTGGTTCATGTAGAAAATCAGATTTGGGAATTTTATGATGTCTAATCAGGTAGATATCAGTTGATGTTTTTTTGGATGGAATTAACATCCCATGGACGCCGTACCCACATTGCAATGGCACCGGGTGAAGTCTATATCTCGTAAACCAGCCTCCACAAATGTGTATATGTATGTATTTAAAGCTATATAGCTATACAGTACTGAAACCACCAAGTCTTAAATTTGCTTCATCACTGCCATCTAAAACTTCGATCCGTAGAGGCTTTTCATATCGATGCATACGTCACCTTAAAACTTAGCTGCTAGCATTGGCGGGGATCTAAGCTCGTAACTTGCATTTGGGCCAAATTATCGAATGCGAGAGAGCGATATCTCATCCCATTTTATGCACCTTTACTCGCCCAAGACCTCTAGCGAACCCCACACTTTGCGGGTTTTTATCCTCTGTCGGTGTGCATGTGGCAGTGGAGGATCCAGGCCCTCCAAAATCGCAAAACGATACGATACGGCATCAGTTGCATGCACTGTACATACATATGCTCGCATCGCAGAAATAGCTACAACGACGTCGAATCGGCGCATGAACCCACCAGTACCTCCATACATTGCTGTTAAAATATATTGATGTTGACAACGGGGTATCGTGAGCACTAGGCTATGATCTGAACTTATGCGTCGAGGCCTAGCCCAAAGTGATGAGATGCAGGAATCGAATATCGGTATTATACCGGTTTGCTGAAGTTGAATATACGAACATAAGCATGCTTGGCTGGGAGATGTATAATATAATGCAGAGAAAACCTTGGCAGCAAGCTCGAATGCTCGACGGATTGCCCGTTGACTATCCCCCTACATGCAATGTCGCAACTATCTTAAGATGCACTTTTGGTCCAGCTAGCTTAGCTTAGCTAGCTTAGGGCCAGCCGAGGCCGCGGTGTAAGACCACGGGGTTACCGACTCGCGTCGAAACTTCGGAGGATAAGACCTTTTCTAGCTGAAGCCAGGGAATTAAGTTTAATGTTTCATCAGAAACGCCCTGGAGTCTGACACAACGGTTGCTCATGATAATATTATTCCTCCGGTGCAGATATCGCGATTATCTGTCTATTTCGTGAGTCCCGCTACCAGCTGCCAGGATCTGATTTCGAATCGGTAACATTGACGAGGCTGCTCTTTTCCATTCATGCATTGTTTGCTCCGTATGGAGTTTCATCCTTGAGCGCGCATCGACCCAACTTACAGGCTCCAATTTGCAACATGTGAACTAGTCAACCATAACCGAGTCACGTCCCAGGCCAGGCCAGATGTCGAGACATCCAGGCTAGTTTTTCCGTGAAGCCTTTTTCGCGAACCTAGCCGACTCGCCAAAATCTCATAATCTCATAAAAATTAGCATAGCACATCGATCACGGTCTGGGCTTTGAGAACTGGAACTCTGAGCTTAGTCCGTGCCTCAATCAGCTGACGGAGAGATTGGACGATTCGGGGAAGGTTACACCAACACATTTCCCAGTTTGGTCTCCAACAGAATCCTTGGTTTATGAGAATGGCATAGTTCGAGCCAGAGTTTACTCCTTTGAGGACATGACACTCACGCCGCCGAAAAAAAAATATACTGTCAGCCCCAACTTATGTCATACAGTCCTCCGAGCTTCTGTTGGTGTGATTTCTTCCCTGAATCGGCCTTGAAAACGTGGATTGAGCCTCATCTGCGCAGAGTCGCGCCGGACCGATCGAGCTTCAAAATTGCAACAAAATACCCGATTCGACAGGCCCGGGCTGATTATTGAGGCTGAAAACACTTCAACATTCGAATTTGAAATGTTCAGACCCGATTCGTTGATCCTTCTCCTTTAATTCGGGCAAGGAGTCAAGACACGCTAATATGAAAACCATCTAGTTACTCACTCGCATACATACATCCGCGCATGTTGGTGAGTAACAGGTGGTTAAGGACTTCTGATGCTGAGTAGTGTAGGTAGCAACGGGGAACAGGTACAGATACTTCCTTCCTTCGAAAGAAGATTATTTTATCCAATTATGTTTCTTTATCCATGTATCAATCCTTGACCTCTGACCGCCTGCATGTGAGAATGCAGCTTCGGGAAGGCGCATTCACATCCTATACCCGCGTATTCTATGGTAATACGTTGAATCTGTGGAAACTCGAGTCTCAAGATGCCAAATACTCGTTTACCAATTAAAATCTGTCTCAGTATGATACTTCGATGTTAAGTTAGAAATTATATCAGTTCTTAGACTTAATCTGCTAGGGATCGAGATCGATAACTTTGAGATTGTCAGCCGCATGAGCTATTCGGAAACGACTTCAACTCATTAATATTCGGCCTTCTTTGAGAACATGCACAAAACAAGTTCTTCAAGAATGCAGGTACAGATGTCTTCAGACGCAGTACTCGATCAATCGAATTACACAAGTACCCATTCCCAGTCCAGTGGTGCCGGCACACGCGCTTTTGGAGTTGCTTATTTTTCTGCTCAAGCAGCACCAGGCCAGGTCAAGCTTGCAGTTGACTCCAGGGTCACTTGGCCCATTACACCATGCCTCGGGTTTCTTACCACCTCCTAGGAGAAAAAGAGACTACGCCTTGCGTTCGCTTTCCGAGCGATTGTATCGCGAAAGAAATCTTCAAATCCTCTCCACATCGTCGCAGCACAGCGCAGCGTGTCTAAATACAGTCAACAAAAAAAGGTATGCATGTCTGTTCTTGGAAAATGTGTTGCTCATAATGCAGGGAAAAATCCCATAGATTTTAGCAGCGATGTATGGACAATACGTAAATGCGTACGTGGGACAGCAACCGAACAATAGCCCGTCCGCAGTACGCTAGTCCAAACCGTGGTACTCTAACTATGACTCTGCAGAGCCCCCCCCCAAACGATGGCTGTTAGTAATACTCCATTGTTCACTCTAGAAGTGATTCTATACTATACTCCCCGGTTGACAAGCATGCGCATCAAAAGCGGTTAGGAACGTTTTCTACATCTTGATTTTTTCGGATACCGCTAGCACGCAGATAGAGGATTTTCAGTTAGACGTATACTGTGCCCGAACAATGCCAAACCAAGACATCAGACTAGCAGTATGCCCCGATTCTTCATCTAGACAGGAAAACACGGCCCCCGTCAATTTGTTGGATTTGGAGTTTGCGACAGTGGCAGGATCCCGGTCAGAGAGCATACGTAGATAAATGGCCTGGTGTCTGGCCTCAAATGTTGCTCACGTTTCCACTGACCCATATCAATAACGTTTCAAGCAATCAAGACATCGGCTATTGTTCCCCCAATTTCTATTCTAATATCTTTCTTAAATAACTATCGATATATCGGATATTTCGCTTTTGAATTGCTTACTTTTTAGGAGCTGCATCTATTATCAAGTCCTCCACAACCCCTGCATGTATCGACCCTCCCTCAACCAAGGCCTACCAACCATTAGCTTCGTGCAATTGGAAAGCAATACAGTAGTTAGCTACAGTTAGCTAAGCTCTGCCTTTTACCTAGCCTTGCAATTCGCTCTATACCTTATTTGTTTTTTTATTACCGTTTCTATTTTTCGGAATTATTCGAGCACCCACACTATTCATATTCTCAAATCCTGTATCACCTTATTTATATAAAATAAAAGATCCCCTTACACCCTTTTATAATCCGCTAGAAAAAAAAGATGTCGAGTCCTTCCACACATGATCAAGACCCTAGGACCGCCTTTGATCCTCGCCCAAGGACGCCACAAATACATATTCAGACCAATTCCCCAACTTCTACGGGCCACTCAAACAACGGCGTGCCCGACGTTACTCTTTCTCCGTGAGTATCTCTTTTTTATATTTGTCAAAATAAAATAAAAAACTTGGCGTCTAGCTAACCTAATCCAGACCAGGAAACAGGCATTTTGCAGGCAGTCGCTGGATGAATTCATCTCCTCGAGTTCTTCACCGAGGCATGCCACCTCCAGCCTGGCCAAACCCAGACATGAATACTGATGGGCTTGCAGTAAATCCTTCAGCACTTTCAGGTGCTTCACCTGAAGAGATTAGAGTACTGAGGGACCTTAACATGGACGATTCCCCTAGCCCTACGCAACAAGGCAGCCCGATGGAGCAAGATGACCAGGATCATACGCTTCGCTTCGAGGGAGCCGCACCGGGTAGTCGACGAAGTCTACCTTCAAGACACCCTCTTATAACTAGAGGCAGTCCTCCAAAGTTATTTACTCCCCCAACAACATATGTCCCAAGGAATGCAAATCATTCACCTCTCACACCACCAAATTACGCCTCTCGAAATTTTCCAGGGTCTACCGCGATGACACTTTCAAACTCGGAGCCTTCTAGAACGCTTTCAAGTAACTCATCAGTCAAAATAATGAGGGAACCTATAGAAACCTTTGAATGCTGCTGCTGTCAGGCTGCGTTCATCGAACATGCCGCCCTATTTACTCATTTCACAACTGCTCATAAAGGCCAACACACACATCCAACAAACTTCAATTATAACTGTAGGATGTGTGGCGACGGATTTGAAACTCGTAAGGACTTGGATGTTCATCTACTTGCATGTGGTGTAGTGCAACGCACCAAACGGAGTAGGAATCCAAGTCTCAGCGAGCAGAGATTTCCTGGCCATGTTCACCGATATTCCACCGGATCGCTTTCACCAGTCCCGCATCTTGGAATTGAGACACCGGCCTCTGGTAGAGAATCTCAGTTATCATTTACTTCTTTAACCTCGACTCCAAGTGAGTTTGAGCTCTCCGATTTCAACTCGGCGGACGACGAACAAACTACCATTCACAAACTTCTCCAAAAGGCGAGGAAACAGACTGGTGTCATATCACAGGCTGGTAAAGCCGTAGAGAATGATGGCGAGCCCATCTCACCAACTCGGCGGAGAAAGTCAAGTGTTTCTACCAGATTTGCAAGGAATGTTGCCAAGAATATCAGCAAGGCAGTTGAAGCCGGGCTGATCAAGATGGAAGAGCTGTCGGAAGGCTCGGAGGCTTTGAATGTTTCTACAGTTGTTTCTGATAGTCAGAAATACCAACCTGTACACGAACGTGTTCAGGAAAGAGCCTTCCCTACCCCGAAAAAAGGAAAATCAAAGAAGTCAAAGGATCAAAGTCCATTCCTAGGGATGTTAGCATGTCCATTTGCTAAAGGCGACCCTGAGAAATATTTAACTTGTCTTCTTATTCATAGGAAGGATATGCCAGGTCTTAGGTAAATACCTTCGAAACATCAAACGAGATTTTAGAATGATAACTAACAAATCATAAAGAGAGCATTTGGGGAGAGTTCACTTTGGGGGAAGCACCCCGGATGGTGCTATCAGATCCAGAGACTGGCCCACGCTATTCCGCTATTGCTTCCCACATTGGGACCATCGCGTACCAGAAGGAAGTAAGTAGTATTCATTGGAAATAAATACCCAGACGGACAGTTCTAATCAATCGTCAATAGGTTTCGATTACACTGAAACGATAACTACCCTACAGTCACTAAGCCTTAGTGAACCAATCACGAAATTCCTTCGCGACCTCGAAAAACACCTTGTATCACGGCGCGCTAAGGAGCTTCAAGAAATGGAATCGATATACCATGAACGTAGCTGGGGCAGATACGAAGATTTCCTGAATCGCGCTCAGTTATACGATCAACTTCCATCCTCCTCCCCACAACCCCTTTCCAGTTCTCAAGCTTCACCACAAGCCGGTATACAGCAAGCCTACGGGTATATTCACGATAATAGGCCTACCATGACGCTTTCTGTCTCCCGCGATATCGAGTTTGCAATAAATCGCCAATTAGACTTTACCTTTACGGTCGGGAACTTCAGCGCTGGAGAGTTTAGGAACTGGTTGGATGGGATGTTCGACCCGCCAGTCAGCTTCATAGATAATCACATTGTCGTTCACGAGTACAATGTTAAGATTGTATCGCTTCAGGATCTTGAGGCCTTTCTAAACCTTGAACTTTCCTCGAGACAAACTCATAGTCGACGCAGGGATGATACTATTACCATCTTCATTAGGGAAAACTGGACGGAGTGGCTTGCTGGTACTCCTGGGCACCATCATTTGGGCTGAAAGGACTCCCGCCATATATATCATTTCAAAGATCAAGACTACTCTTGACTTCACTCACCGTATCTACTCCACGTATAGCTAAACAGACCGCACAGAAATGTTTTTAAAGTTTTGAGTTTGCCTTTATTCTTGCTAGATATTCTACACATACAAGTTGTTAGTTCCTGACTGGTCAGGAAAGGTGTTTTTGTTCGTTTCGCTTCGTCTACCCCTATCGCTAAAGTTGTCTTTTTTCTTTTGTATGTAGGAGCTACTTTAAGCGTGCCATTCATTCCAGCTGCTCAGCCTTTGAATAGATAGCGAAATATTCCTGATTTCATTTGTATGGTTTTCATCAGCCCCAGATTCTCTATCTAGTCTACATCTTAAATTTCGAAGTCAACCACGGGGATTTTTCCAATAATGATCCCATACGTAATATCCAAACGGAGAACCTAAAGTAAGCCGCAAATGCAAACATAGCAATAATTTTTGCATGGCAGGTCTATAACTATGCCGAGTACTCTTGGCGCACAGTCCAGAAAATATGCAACATTGTGGCCCGGCCTAGATTTGTAATAACCTTAATTCAGATTGATTGCATAATATGTACAGGGCGGTGTACCTGATGAGAAAGCCCTAAGAGGTATCTAAACGTGTGAACACGGATGGGTGTGTACATGTGGCTGCGCGGCTCAAGTTAATCATTTAACTAATCCTTCAAAATCCCACAGCAACAGTTTCAACACTGCATAAACACCTGTATGTGGAACTAGTCAACCTTGCGAATTCGTCACTCCCAATCCAGCTATACTAGTTTGAGACCCATTCCTAAATAGGGATCCCTTAAATTAGTCATCAGAAACTGACGTGTGTAACCGTTATACCTCTAAAATATTAATATTGCTTAGCTATGCTGAGCTACATATTGAAGTCGTTATACATGAAAATTAGTCTTTGCAGAAAGGATCTCGATGGATCACATGAGTGCTTCCACACCGCATTTATTGACGTATAACTGGAGGGTAAACTACTCTCTAGCTCTGTCCGAGGCCGCCTCGTAGACGCCTTGGAAGTTAACGTCACTGCCCTGGTGGTTTATGTTAATATCAATATCCATATCAATATCCACAAGATCAAGAAAGCGCGATGTTGACAACTCGCATCTCTCGTCACAGGAGATATCCAAAGCGCAGTAACGTTAGGCGCGTGGCCTACCCAAAGTGTATAATACATGTAGCGTGGTTTCAGTGTGGTTCGGACTCATTTTCGATCAAAAGTCAAGTCAGTTTTCAGTTTACCGAGGCCAATTCAACGAATCCGGGAAGAATCCCAGCTTGTGTAACGTTGGGACGACAGAGGAAGGGCAACTTTGTGTTGCCACTGGTTGTGGCCGGAATATACCGGCACGCGCTGGGTTGCAAACACGATCGTTTTCTCAACTTCAAGGCAGCTACAGATCTAGATGAAAGATATAGACCTGACTTCGACCAATCTTCTTTACACTCCCCATCCGGAGGGGGGCTGGCCTGGGTAGACTCGAATGATGCTCCGTCATCCCACTTCGCTTTTGATATTTCACTTTCGTTTTTGAAAATGATAAACCACTCAAGTTTCCGAGGCATTTAACATTCCACCGTTTAATTCCCTCTCTGCAACTTGACACCAGCTCTGTTATAATTATGCGGCACAACTTGCTGAATCGAATCAAGTTTTGTGAACCAAAGCACTTGAGCGTCCGTGCTTGACCCACAAACCTCAGGAAGTTGCTCGAAGACCTAGCTTCTCCGGCTACCCATGCTTTCACAAGAACCTAGTGAAACGAGCGTCCAACACCAGTCGCGTTGCGACACATCACTGTCGAATGGCTGACACTATCCACGGCGAGCCCTCGTGACCTTTCTGAACCGCGACTCCATGCATATGTATGCACCTCCCTCATCCCACATCGGATGCATAATTTTTCCTCTAAGCTGGTAAAACCTCTGGAGGTTCAAGGAAATGTGCATGTGGGGGCGGTATTTTTTTTTGGTTCTGGGTGGATTTCGAATCAAGGGGGGGTTCGATTCGTTTCGGCACCCCGCAAAATGCTCCAAGCAAGCGGTTGCCAGGATTTGTCGATTCGAGCGGCCAAGTGCCGTTCGGCAGCATTAGTTGGGCGGGATATCCGTTTCGCCTCCATCTCACATATGTTCTGGTGACTTGGCACCGGAACATTCGATACGAACAGCAAGGAAAAGTATGGGTGCGGCCAATCTTTTGAGTCAAGGTGTCGAGCGCAATACACTGTTACTTATTGCGAGGAAAATACTCTTGATGAAGAAAGGGACTTCATGTTGATCGCCTGAGATTACGAATGAAGAGGAATTGGAAACTGAACCCTATTGAAGGCATCCACTGAGCTCTGCGAAATGAAAAACGAAAAAAAAAAAAAAAAGTGAGAGAAGTGGTCTTCTAAACACCAGTTTCGTTAGTCATTGTGGGGGTGCATAGCACCCTAGAGCTTTTGAACGAGAGCAACTGGTTCCTTAAAACGCGCATAGGAAAGGGCTTCGATGCTCATGTTGTGTTCATGCATGCATCTTGCGAAAGATCAGACAAAAAAATTTTCAAATGAGCGTCTCCGAGCGGATAGTAAAGAGGGCACGCTATAGATCCTCCTCATTCCTGAAGTCTGGTTTGCAGTATAGGTAGTAGTGTGTGACCCGGGTTCCTATAAATGTTCCCCATATCCCACCCAGCAAGGACTAGCTTCCCCAGATTTTCACTGCACCCCATACAGAGATCCAACACTACGCCAGTATTAGAATACACGGCTCACCTGCGGTCTGAGGAACGCTTTTTATTTTATTTCATTTTCGACTTCAAGCAACGAGAATTAATTAAGACCACCAGGCAACACCAAAGCTCTCTCGTCATCTCATCAATACCATCCATACTCTCCTCCACCTCAAAAATCGAATGCCTCAAGCAGCTATCCGTTTCTGCTATTTCCAGCTCCAGAAACCTCCTTAACTCAAGTCGAAGACTCCAAATCGACGTCCGTTCTAGGTCATAGGACAATCCCTTCCCAAGTGGTTGCAGCGTCTGTCATTACCAATCCCAATTGAACGATTCCTGGTGTTTCGAGTACGTAATCGAATCACGAGAAGGCTACAGCTGTTGCAACAAACACCAACACAGTCACGCAGAACACCATCTCGGATATTTCAAATTTACGATATTCGTCGCCTGTGGTACGTGAAACCCCTCAAGAATTGCTACTACTCTGTAGATATTATAGCTATATCGATATTGGAGCTCAAGGCTTAATAAGGATTCTAAAGGGTTCGATATCTTTTTCGATAGGGCGTTTCCGATTGGCTGTCTCAACCTCCTGTAAAGCTCGGACTCAGAATCAGTATCAAACACTAAACGATCCTTGTGGTTGGTGCCTGATATCCACGAAAGAATCCACAATGTCACAAAAGCCTATTACGGTCCCTCCCCCGCCTGCCGGGATTCTCAAAAACTCACCGCGATTGACGGCTCCGGCTACAAATGCGAAATCGGACTGCGACAAGTGTTCCGTCCATACCAAGAATGGTGCCACAAAGGGCAACGAGGGCGAGTCCGAGCAGTCTAACTGTGCTGCCTGTGGCGAATGGTTGTCATGTATTTGCGGTGGCATCTACTTTGTCATTTGCTGGACCTGCGCTTTGAGCGGTGAGGTCAAGAGTCACAAAGATGTCCGTCGCGGCAGTGGCTCTGGTGGAAACGCTCTTAGAAAGGGGAGCACTGCTAGTTGCACCTGTGGTAATAGACCCGGATGAGATTCTTCTGTTTGAATTATGTGTGTTCAGCACATGCGTTAAAACTTTCTTGCAGAATTCGGGTTTCCTTGCTTGGCTCTTAGCGTGGCACTTCTCGATACTTCTCTACTCAATAATCCCCGATAAATCTTAATCATCTTCTCTTATTCCTTTTAGCTCTACCTTGAATGCTGTTCGCTTCCGCATAATTTAGCCGGCCTTCTTGTTCTTCATGGTGTTTAGTGTGACAAATGGATTATGACTAGTCTCATATTTGCAGTGCAATTGTATACGATATCCCATCTTGAACGAATTGACGTTGACACTCCGAATGGTATCTTTCCCCTTCTTTTTTAAAAACCCGATACTTTAATACTACTGTATCCTAAGACTACACAAAGAATTTACTACAGAGTATACATAATCCAGTGGATCCATAATTATCGTTTATGTTGCGGTCAGTTTCTACGTTCTAGCCATAATATGTATATAAATATTCATAGGCGTTTATCAATCGAGCTAGTCTATTGGAAACGGGCTCCAGGACGCGTGCGCTTACAGAGAGGGTAAAGGTTGAAAATTTAAGAAAAAATGAGGTTGAGTTCGATCGATTACAAGGCTCTACACCCCTTCCTGCTATCAAGTAAGGGTAAATTAAGATATTTTAATGATTCGAAGCCGAATAAGGCGACATCAGTACCATATGGTCATGCATGGTATGTCTACAAAGTCGGCGCCTACTACTTCTTAATCAATCTAGTGATTCTCGATCGGCGTAAGGCAAATTTGGCGCTCTGATCGATAAGGATCTGACATATAGATCAGTGGCTGGTGTGAGAATGACTTAATATTTCCTGCATCAATATGACGGTCTCTAGCGGTTTTCCTCAACTTGGCAAGTATTATGTGGCTCGGACCATTCTGATATAATCTTATTATATCAAGGCGATAGCAACTAGCTGCTTTTGGTCACGATCTAAATCTATAGAAAGCCGTTGCAACAGATATCCTGGCCTGAGCTTTGTTTCGGGTATTAAATTTGGTATTTCGTTGGATACCGAATATAGCTTTATCTATCCAATGTTGGTCTTGATTGCATCCCGATTTTTGGAATTTAACTCCAACCAGCTGTAATTTATATATCGGTATTAAGGCGGTAACCTTCGGAAAGTCTTGTAAGCCGGCCAAATATGCAAATGCTATCCAACATATCATATTAGATACCATTTTTGGAAAAAGGCTCAATATGTCTACTGTCGATATCGACGCGATGATCTAGTTTTAGTCTAAGGCTTCGAGGCTGCTAATATTAATTTGGTCCCAACTCCTGCTAGCCGCATGCATGTCTCGGTCGACACACGGGTCCGAACTGACACAGTTTAAAATTCAGACGAAAGGTGCGCTTCGTGTTGTGTCTGCCGACACGAGACAAGACGAATTTTGCGAGAGTAGCGAGACCGGATGAAAAAGGGATTAACTAGTAGCACTTCGTACCTGTATCACAATTGTGCGCTACAACATTCCTTGGGCCCTGTACCTTCTACTCTGGGCTGGCATCGTGGGGCTCGATTGTTTCGTCGGTGCTCGCCGTTTTCAATTCGTCTCCTGTCGGTAGACTCTGGAATAGACACCTTTCGCTAACATACTTTATCTCAGCAGAGCCTCGGGTGCTGGAAATCCCCAGCCTTGAGGGACATCTCCGAAATTTCGCAAACTTAATCGGAAAGATGGGCGCCATCCCCAGATTTTCTTGAAGAAATGAGCAAGGGACAGACGGCAAAGCTTAAACAAGTGGCTGAATGCGCCATGACGCTCGATCTTGCACACCTTTTGGCTCCTGTAACACAGATTGGAAAGGGGTCAAAAAGACCGGGTATTTTAAAGTGGGTTTGTCGCCAAACAACCACTTTTTGCTTTGCTCTTTGGGATGCAGACAAACGGATTGTTCAACTGCGCATGCTGTCAAACAAGTGAAATATAATGCTTGACGGATTGTGCAGCGAGCTGATATTGAAGTAAGGGATGCATCTGTATCGATAGCAGTAATACTCGCTATAGTAAGCAGACAATCTTATTTCCATTGATGCGAAGTGGTTTGTATTCCTCTCAAGCCTCTATCACTGCCAAGAAAATTAAGCTTGTGACTTCGAGAATTTGTCTCTCGAAAAACACTCAGTTTTCAAGAAAGCCGAAAGAAAATAGTCGTCGTACTCCAGTCTATATTCGGCTGGGATTTCTTGAAGCACACGGAAAACCAATTGAGCCAGAGTGCCGAAGCCTGGGTATCCTGGTCCCCAACTCAGGTAAATTCCTTTTCCGTGTATTCCGCCCAAGGTACCATTGCCTCGCTGCACTCTTGTTTCTTCTGTGAGCAAATTTCCTCCTTAATATTGTTTTTAGGGGATAATTTTAGAATAGTGATCAAGTGGACCGCTTTGAGCTGTTGAGGCGATTTCGAAATTTCGATTGGCAAGGCAAATAGCTTCGCCAAGTGTTCCAGTGTCCAAGCGAGAAGAGACTCGAAGATCACTCAAGATCTTTATTTCTCAAATACGTTATCGCCCAAAGAGTGCTAAAGCTGTCAAAATCTGTTCTGTGAGTGGTTGGTAATTTACTACTGCAAAAAGTCGTCACGGTGCAATTTCCAACGGTGGAGAGCGCCTGGCTCCAACCAGTGGGAAAAATAGCTTGAGCCTCGATTAGGGGCAGTCGGTTCAACGTTGGACAGGAAAACCAACCAATACAAAGGATGAGGACCTTGTCTCCACAAACCCCTAATATGAAACGCCTTACCCGAAGGGTATGCACATGATTGGTCAGGAAAGATCCCACGAATGACCCTTCTGCCAGGTACCGCTCAGCAGAATAAGCGATTGAGCAGGTGAAGATAACTGTTGCTAAAAATTAACATCCACGATTACGCAGAAGACTGGCATCTTTGGGGGATGTTGTGAGAACGAATGAACACAAGTAGTGGTGCACCGCGGCCTAGCGCCTACGCCCGCAACAATAATACCAGTTATTTTCAGCATGAACTTACCACTTCGAGAAGTCGCAAATATGAGAATTCAAGACATTATCCTGTCAGAGCTCTCAAGATGCAATTTGCAAAAGTACCCCTTTTCCTTTAGTGACTGAGGCGATGTGCTAATGCAAGTTGACAGCGCATGGCGGATGCGACCTCAATTGGGACCTCATTTGGAGACCCATGGCGACAACCTTGGTTCCTACCGCCCAGCACCCTGCGCAGGCTCGTTGGCAGCCTGACACCCTTGTTGGGGTTTGTCTGGGCGCATGGGTATCGCAAGCTGCTGTTTCATATGCGCCCACGATAAAATGGACTGGTTTCCCTCAGATTCGACTGACCTTCCTTCCTTCTATCCTCCACCGCACTACGGGCTTCTTTACTGTTCTTCTCTGTCGGTTGTCAACAACCTGCATCTGTCGTTTTTGCTCATATTTGGGCGTCCATTCTTTCACAAACCAGTACATTCATTTTCCAACAATCCCAACGCAACATTTGCAACTTTTTTCAATTCGATTCGAGAAATTTCAGTTTTATTTTTATTTCAACAGCTTGGTTCTGCATATCTCAATAACTTCATTTCAAAATGCGTTTCCAACATCTTGCCCTGGCTTTGGCCTTGTCTTCGACCGTTTCTGCCGGTGTCGACTATCTCGACAATGGTGCTGCTTCTAATGCGACCACCAGCTGCACTAAGAACCTTGCGGTTCCCACTGATACTCCAAATACCGACTACGGAAATGTTCCAGTGAACAACCCAACCACCACCCTCCCAGTTGACTATGAAAATGGTCCATCTTCGGAGCCTGTCCCAGCTCCAACTGATATTCCAAACTATGGAGATATTCCAGAATCCGAGCCTGTCCCAGCTCCAACTGATGTTCCATATGAGGGAGAACCATCATCTGAGCCCGTCCCAGCTCCAACTGACATTCCCTCCTATGGAGAGGTCCCGGAGTCTGAGCCCGTCCCAGCACCAACTGATGTTCCATATGAGGGAGAGCCATCCTCTGCTCCAGTCCCAGTTCCTACCGATACTGGATACGGAGATGTCCCAGAGTCTGAGCCAGTTCCAGTCCCAGCTCCAACTAGCACCAAGTGCACCAAGGGCCAGAACCCATCTTCCGATGCCGTTCCTACCCCTACTGGAATTCCCTACGGAAACAATCCCGACACTTCTATCGAAGCTGTCCCAACCACCGCCCCAACTGGAATCCCATACGGAAATGTTCCCGAGTCCGAGCCTGTCCCACAACCAACTTCCTACATCACCACCACCACTGTCTATGACACCGAGATCGTGACCAAGCCATGCGATGCTTGCGCCGAGCAGACCTACACTCAGCACATCACTGAGACCATCACCGTCCCATGCACCGGTGTTCCAAAGCCAGTCGAGACTACTTGCACTGAGACCATTGATATCACCGAGACCATTATCTCCACTCGTGTCAACACCCACTACACCACCATCGTTGTTCCATCTGAGACCCCAGTCTGCCCTGGCGGATACGGATGCCCACCAATCCCAGCTACCACTGAGACTCCAGAGTACCCACCAGTTGAGACTGAGACCACCCCAGAATACCCACCAGTTGAGACTGAGACTACCCCAGAGTATCCTCCTGTTGAGACTACCCCATCCTACCCACCAGTTGACACCCCAGTCTGCCCAGGCAGCCCTAACTGCCCAGAGGAGACCTACAGCAGCACTGTTACTCTCCAGAGCACTGTCTATGTTCATACCATCCAGGGTACCACCACCTCCACTGTCACCTACGAGACCCCAGTTGCTGTCCCAATCCCAGTCTGCCCAGGTGGATACGGATGCCCAGAGGAGACCCCAGTCGCCATCCCCACTCCAGTTTGCCCTGGCGGTGGATATGACTGCCCAACTACTCTTGCCACCACCCCAGTTCCAGTTCCAACCTACGCCCCAGTCTGCCCTGGTGGATACGGATGCCCAGCTACCAACGAGACCACTCCTACCGGAGTTGTCCCACCAGCCTACACTGGCGCTGCCGGCAAGGTCCAGATCACTGGTCTCTTCGCCGCTTCTGCCATCATGGCTGTCTTTGCCATTATGAATTTGTAAATGTGGACATGACAAATACATAAAAGCTTTGAAAGGTAGTAAATGAAGCGTCTCTGTGTGTGCATAGATTCAAGAAAAAACTGGGTTTTAGTTTGTTTTCGTTCTTTTCTCTTTTGTATCTAAAATACCTTTTTATTCCATTAGCGTAATTTTTAGTTATGGTGCATAAGCCTGTGTGCGGATGTATCTTGCATTCTTATCCCCTCCTTTCCTGGCATCTTGGCATATGATACCTACTGTTTATTGTATTTTTTTCTTTTATTTCCTTTGTTATTTTTATTTGTTGTATGATAGTGGTGTGTGAGAGGTGCGAGAGGAGAGGTGGAAGTTGTGGAAGTTGGAGGAAATAGAAAAGCTGTTTGATTCGTTTGTGACGAGTCTGTGTTCATCAAAATATCGTCCCATAAATTCCGTGCCGTAAATTTTCAATCTTTAGTGGATATCGACGCGGACACCAGCATACTAGTCTACAATTATATATATCTTTGGCCTTTTCCAAACTGACGACAGACTACTCTGTGTATCGGGCTGTCTATTCGATCGACTCACAATCAACTGGATGTCGGACCCAAAAGCGTTGAGATCCAAACATGCGGCCTGTGGGTTGGAATTCTACATTGGATCCCTGGTATTCAGAATGGATTCTGCAAATAAAAGGATATCTACCTTCATGCCCAACTCCTGATCCTGTGGGATATCTTCCTCAATCAATTGTGCTTTGCACCCTAACTACCGATCGGCAGTCTCGAGAACTCGATTCACTGAATTGCTATAAATCACCTAACACATTTGCGGAAAAATATCGTCGTGGCTCCTAATATCTCAGAACAAAACAAAATGAAAAAAAAAAAAAAAATAGAGTTGGATCTACAACAGACGCGATTCTCACCTGGTCACCCACGGTAATACTGAGCGCCCGATAAGAGGCTTATATAGCGCAGAGCGGACGGGATACGTAGTAGTCCTCTTTCTGTGGTCGTAGATATCAGCAATTGAGATTTGCGGACTCTTAACTCGAGGAGCTCACACAGGGTTTAGGGCTATCGCAGGGGTCAGTTACGGTTATATTCCTTATTGGGAAAGTCGAACACAAAACGCTACTCCAACTTGGGCTTCAAAAACTGAAAATAAGTTTGGATACATGGCGTTTGAATGCACTTAGAATTTGGTTGATTGGCTGATGGTTGGGTCCCATGCCGACATTGGATCTATAGGTGGGAATGTGTTGGAGAGTGATTGGTTTGTTGGGTTTTGTTACTGATGTCGATCCGTCTTATTTCGCCCTCCGCTCATTGTAGTGTGTAACTATAGTATTTGTTGGTACAGATATACCTTATATCGATATATTCAGCCTGTTGGATGCCGGATGCCGAGAGTCGATATGATCGCCGGCCCAGAACTCATGGAAATTTTCATGGGAATATCTTGGCGAGGGTAGGGAAGTTATGTGTTGCACGAAGTCACGTTCGTCTATCGTCTCTTATTAGCGGTCTCATGGCCGACTGGTCTCGCTGATAACCCGAAGTCCATGGCCGACCTGCTTTTCCAGACACAGCTGGTATATCTATTATAATTATATTTTGTACGATAGAATTCAGATCTGAGTACCTAGGTAGATAATTAAAGCTAAAAAAAAGTGGCGGAAACATAGACCCAATCGATCCACAACAAATTCTTAATAAACAATCTAGGTTCAAGAGCCGCAAAGTTGGCCTCAAGCCAGTGCACCAATAGGATCCCACAATGGCAATGCCGTTGGTTCTTGTTTAAGAATATCCTTGATCTCTTGGCTGACGAAGTCTGGCCCAACGACGGCTTGATAACAGTACTCATTCATCCATCCATCGGTCATTACAAACCATCCCTTCTCCCCGCTTCCTTCGCCCCATGAGTTCTGAACCTTCCACTTAACTGACTTCCCGTCAACACTAGATAATTTGCGGATTCAGTTAGTATACTAGGTTGATGTAGAAAGGATATGCGTATACATATGTCAGCTAGAAACCTACATGTGGACACCGTTTAATGTCATGGCATGCGTCATTCTGCTCTCACCAACTAACAGTCTCTCTGCCTTGTTCAATCCTAGCTCCGTATCAAATGCTAGCTTGTAATCGAACAACTTTGTATCCATGATTCCCAACTTGGAATCAGAAAACTTGCCCACGTCACACCCAAAGAACACTGGATGGTCTTTCTTGATCATTGCGACTATAGCGGCTTTCATTGTTGCCATGTCAACATTGACATATCGTATTGGTTTCCCACCAAAGACATTGTTAAGTCTTGAGACTGTATACAATTTCCCATACTCATGTCGTGGATCGTTGATCAGTGAGAAGTGGGAGGCGGCCTTGTAGCCAATGAAATCCTTGAAGAAGCTAATAGGTGTAATGTTGGGATAGGAGTGGAATTTTCCAAGCGAGTCTCTGAATTCCCAGGTGAAAGTCTCATCTGGTTTAGGAGGGGGGCCGAAACAGGTAACAAGGATGTTATATACGGTGTTGACCATCTTTGATTTTGCGCGCTGAATAGCGTGAAGGCTGAGGCCAGAGGAAGACATTGCACGACTTTTTGGTGATATCGAAATTAGTGACCTGGCAGGCTCGGGATAGGGTGAATGTATTCATAGAAAAGTGCTTACAGCTGAAGAGCAAATTCCCGGAGCTTGCTTGTCACGAGAGCATTTACTCCACGAGAGTTCATCGAGTTGTAAGTGTCGGGATACCTATGAGTTTTCTGATTGTGAGCTTTGTTTAGTGGAGCTGATCGTAAAGTTCCCCCACATACAGTTTTTGAGGGACAACTCCATAGCGCTCAACAAGGTTTATAATCTATATATATAATGTCAGCCTTTAATAGCTTCGCAAAGTTATTCTAGGCCATCTAACCATATCCCACTGCCCACCGTCGTTAACTGGAATCTTGAGGAGTTCGTCGACGATTCGCGAATCAAGAGGTTCCTCGGATGTATCAATGATTTCTATTGGGTCGGTCTCGTTAGCTTCGCTCTTCGTTGTAGAGGGGATATCCAACACTAGGAACTTTTGCATACGTTCAAGGAAGAAGTTTGCCTTCTCTAACTTGTCCCTATAAAACTTTGTTGTTAGCCCAGCTATCCCAGCTCCATACGAAACCTATTGACTTGCCAGAAAAAGAGATATTGCTGTGACAGCTCGAAGTTTTCGAGCTTGTACTTCTTCATCAAGTAAACTAGTCAATCTTTTAGTCCTAACCATCAGCCGGTCTAGCACACTTGGGCAATATACCTCTAAGAACTGATGTCGCTGCGAAAATCCAGCACCTCCCCGAGCTCCTCTGATTTGTGATAGGGGCACCGTCAAAGGAAATTTGATCCGAAAAAACTTGTGCGTCATCAATTACAGCGTTAGGCTGTTGTATTATTTGCTTCATATCATTTTTGGAAACGGCAGCCAGCGCAAGAAGGTTCTATCCCACGGATCCGTTACATAAGCGAGCCTCCATTTATTATGCGTTGTTCATGTTGTATTTTTACGCTACCTTTGGTTCGGCGAGGAACTGCTCTTCCCACCTTTTGATCGATTTGATTGTAAGTTCTCTGTATACAAATCCTGCGACTTGTTAAAATAGGAGTATGTATATTTGCGGGCTTTTTTTTTGTTGGCCGTACCCTGATCATCTTCTGCGAAAGATAGAGATTTGAGAAGGTCGTATGCGGACTTCTCATATTTGATTTCTGTAGTCTCGTTCCCAACCCAATCGGGTGTTTGAACACCTGCCGTCGACTGCGCTTGGCCCATTTCTGGTAGAATTTACAGTTGCGTCCGGGCTTACGAAGAGTATCTATTTTGTAGCTCCGTCTTATGCGCGATGCTTTGAAGGGTATTTTATGGGATAGGGCACTGTGGTGATGATGCGCCGTTGTGTTTACTCGAGCTGCACTGGTGAAAGCGTTTGATAAAGTTAGATGAGAGCGTTTCCCGCGTGTTATAAGTGATTCATGCAGCTCATATGCGATGATGTGGATTGCGCGATGCCCAGTGACCCCGCTAGTTATACACCGCAGTCTATGCATCAGCTGTCAGCTTGATGTAGGAACCTTGGCATCGACTTGGTTCTGATTGGCGGACTGGAGTGGGCTTGCAACACGATACACAACACAAAGTACCATGCATGTCTGGATGTGGGCTGCTGTTGACTGGTCTTCTGCGGCTAGATTTCCAAATTATTGGACTTAAACAGCAGCTGGGGCGCCTCCGCAGATAATGCTTTACTCGAGTTGAAGCTGGCCTCATACTGCTACATTTGTGTTATGATGTATTATAATTATAAGCGATGGAGGTATGTATACATTTGTGATCTTGAAACTTGTGGGGATCTACGGGGCGAAAGTCTAAGGAACTGAAAGTAGCCTCCACAGATACGAAATTATCGAACAGGTGAGATGGCCTCTGGGTAATAATGCTAAGGCTTCCGCTCAACGCTTTATCAATTTGGAGTGTGCTAATTTAGACCTTGACGTGAGTTAGCCGAGTGATACTTATGGGATCTGGTATAAAGTACGTACCTAGTTAGTAGGATCGATCTTTAGGTTAATTATAATGGACTTTGGAGTAAACTATGTCGCTGGGCTTGCCTCAAATGCCATCGTGAGAGCGAGTCCCCTAGTATGCCGAGTTATAATCTCGACCCAATAAATATATTCGAGTTCGGGTTTTACTTTGGTCTGATTGAACGCGTATAGCGAGTTGTTCTCACTTCTATAGCCATATACATTCGCATGCGCATATGGACGAGAGCATCTAAAAAACCGACCTTCGATTTCTTTGCTGCAAATTCAAGGGTATACATTTTCGCTGTAGAGCTGCGATGTAAGAAATCGTACCATCTGTGTAGGTATGCGTCGAGGATTTTGAAAGGTAGTCAGAATACTAGACGAGTCAGAATCAACAAATCGAGTCTCATTCGTGCTCGAGTAGCTAGGCCATGCGGTGCGCTCAAAATCCGTTAATTATGGTACGCACTGACCCCACTACCATATATTCTGGGTATATATCTGCTTCGAAGACCTTTGAATCCTGGCTCAGTTTTCCGAGGCGTATAGAATTTCCTTCCCATCTTGTGGAGAAACTTAGGCGAATATTACTATTATTTTATTCGATACTTTATAAGTGGTAATTCGGACCGGTACCTGGTAAAGTCATTAGCCGACGCAACAAACCTGCTGGGGTATGCTTGTGCCCAAGGCTCTTGGAACAATATATTTCTGCTCGTTCCCATACAATCCCATCCTTTCTTTGGAGCCTTCCTCGATTTTCCGACTTGGAATTCTTGTCTATGCGTGATTTGTTTCAACTTTGGTCTAGAATATGAGCTTCAACCTTTAAATATCCCACCAATAGTATTCGTGTTGTACTCAGGAGAGCTTGGAGGCCTTTAGGACATAGGAAAACCTTCAATTCTGAGCCCTTCGATCTATTATAAACCAAGAAACACTATCCTTGCCTGCTGGTAATAACTTGGCTCCGGAAATAGTGTCCCCGAAGGATAGTAACGTCCATTTGGTGAACAACGCGCTTGGACTATTTGACGAATATAGCAGATCTGGTTTAGCCATTGATTGGCATAGTGAGAACCATGGAAGAACTTATAGTTGTAAAGTTAATGCTGGGTTAAACATTTGGAGACCTCGGCTAGTTAAGCGGTACCCTACCCCTGACTCATATAGGGCGTTTCCATTTATCGAGAGAGTATTGTTGAATCTCCTTCGGGGGGAGCGGGCCTTCCTCCGCGGGCCTCCTGCCGTAATGGGTTCCGGGTACGGAATGCGGCCAAATCTAGACAGCTACCATCTAACTTCACAGCTCGTTGTTGATGGTGTACTACGACTAGGTAGCAATATAAATATTGGATGATCCGCCCCACCTCCATATCGATCGCACCTAAGGGACCAAGCCATCAAAGTACGTTGGAGACGTCAAATATATATTTTTTTACTTTGGGAAAGAGCTATATACTATCCTAAGATGTACTCTCTCGCGGTTATTACTGCCTTGCTTGCGGCAGCTCCCGCTCTTGCCCAAGCACCCCTCTGGGGCCAATGTACGTAGCACCTCTGAGAAAGGAAAAATCAACTGCGGCTTCTTTTAACCTGTTTTTTTAGGCGGTGGTGGTGGGTGGACAGGTCCAACCACTTGCGTTTCGGGAGCTTGCTGCCAGGTATGGCTCCGTTGTCTTTGAAGTTTTGGTGTACAGCATTATCTGACTAGAGATACAGTATTCCAATGAGTGGTATTCTCAATGTATTTCAGGATCTTGCGGTGGAAGCAACCCTCAAACAACCACTAGGACTACCACAGGTGGAACCACACAGCCGACTAACAGCGCGGGCGGCTGCGGTGGAGGTACTCCGGATGTGACAGTCACAGGCTCTAGCAGCTCGTATACGACTAAGAACAAGAGCGGTACCACCCTCTACACTGGCAACAACTACCTGTCGGCTATCAACGCCGCTGTCAATGGTATCAGCAATGGACAGAGAGTTTCCGTTATCGCATCTGGATCGATCGGCGCAAACACCATTTCAATCAGTAGCGGTAAAACTTTCGAAGTTTGTGGTACTATCGACGTTGGAAACAGAAGTGGTCGTGGTGCTATCGAGTCGACGGGGACAACTGGCGTTAATATCCCATACCTTACCATGACTGGTAACCCTTACTTTGGCCTCCTCTTTTATGGTACCCGAGACCTCACCCTTGGCCAAATTACCATGAACCTTAGCGGTGGAATGGGTATTCGCTTCCATCGTGATGAAGCTGCAAATTACAACGTTAAGATGGACACTATCCGAGTTACTGGCGCCGGTAGCCATGCTGTCGAAACGTGGAACATCAACGGTCTTACTATTAATCAAGTTATTGCACGAAACTGCGGTGAATGTGGTCTGTTGCTACAAAAGACCAACGATGCAAAGGTTGGTTTGGTCGATGGAAACAATGTGGCTGCTGGAACTGGTTATGCAACATTGAGGTTTGCGAATGAGAATGGTAGAGGGTCTGGAAACTGGAACACCAATATTTACATCGATAAAGTTGTCTCCCGCGGTGGCGGTCGTGGTATTTTCTGTGTCTCCCAATCTGGTGGAGCCGAAATCAAGACCATTGATCTCGCAAGTAACGGCAATAACGCTATTCTCATTGAGAACTGCTATAATGTAGCTATCAAGGGTGGTACCGTTAATGGGGGTGGAGAAGTTCGTCTTGCAGCTCGAACTGAATTTGCAAATAACAGAGATATCTCGATTACATTGAAGGTGGACGGTACGTCTGTCAGGGAGTCTCCGTGTGGCACCAACATCAAGTGGACCTTGTCAGGCAGCGGAAGCAGAAATATCTGTTAGAAGAGAATATGGAGTATTCTCAGGAATTCTGTATTATGATTCTGATATACACATATCTACTATTCTATAAGTGCTGGACTGAAGAAATATCATTCCATTGTATATAACATTATAACTGTAAATACGGTTTTGTGTTTCTGAAAATACCAATTCTTGGAATTCGCAAACTCTAAACTTAGTTACTGTAGCCACAATAGACTGGTTGGCCTATGCCCTTCGGCGGGCTCATGGCTCAAACTTGAAGAATAGGGTTGAGTAGGAAACCTGAAATTTCTATAAATGAAGTGTGCTATCGTAGCGTATGTTGTGGTCTGTTGCGAAGCCTGAGATCATGAGATGCCTACGTTGAAATCACAGTAAATCGTTAGCCAAGTCATATGGCAAATTTAAAAGCCCGCAGTTGGGTTCCAGTGAAAAACATGACCAGCTAAAAGTAATGAATGACGGTGCATGTATGCTACTAGCGACGAAAACTTCAATGTCCAGCTTGTATATCCTGGCCTTGTGTTGAAACTAGCCCTTTTAGCTTAGAAGCTGACAATATTAATATATTTTCGTTAAGATTTTAATACCGGAATACTCGAATTAGCTGAAGTTTATCTCGTAGTTTAATCGTGTATTAATCGAGTCGAATTTTTGTCTAGGGTTTGTGTAGCCCGGTGACGAGAGAATGCACACTAACTGTAAAGGTGCGGCTTATAATAGAATACTCTATATATCAATGGAGAAAATAAAAATTGTATATACATCTGACCATGGGACACTGTAGGCTGGGGTATGGGAAGCTCTGACTAATCTATATATATCAAGGACCCTTTTTGGTGTTTGCAAACGAAGAAACGGGTGAGAGCCCCTCTCTTCACCCCGGGATTTGTTTCAGTCTTCAGTATTTACTATCTTTACAACCACCCTTCGATGGAGTTTTGTTCTTTGGCTTTGGCTTATATTTACCCTTCGTCGCTTTTGGGGCGGGAGTCGAGGTTGCGGTTTTGCTCGGGACCTTTGAAGATGGAGACGAGGACCCTTTAATCTTTCCCCAGGTATAACCTGCATCCAGACATATACCAGTACAACCTTTGTCGCCTGGTAAGCAGTCAAGTCTTGGGTCTTTGATGCAATGTCCTTCTCCGTAGTCAGAATTTATGGGGCATCTATTATCGTCACCAAGGCACTTTCCTACGCTATCCAAGCATATACCCATACCATCGAGCATTACGTCCTCCCCAATGCACATTTCTCCGGCGCCTTCGTAGCATTTCTTGCCAGAAGAGCCGCCGCACCGATTCATTCCGTAAGATCTGTACTGGAACTTGTCGATCCATTTTTTTTCTACACACCAGCCACAATAGAGATTGGAAGGACACTTGCTAGTCGAATCTCTCAAGCAACGGTGATCCTCAGGACAGCTTTCGTGTTCGTTTTCACCACCGCACATTTTCGGCTCCTTGACGCAAAGACCGCCTGGTTGATCTTTAAGCCCGTATACACCGACGCACCTTTCGCCTTCCGCGCATTTGTCGTTATCGGAGGTACCGCATCGTGTTATCTCATCATCTGAGGCCTGGTGAGGTTAGCTTGTGGTGGACTAGTATATTATCATATTTATTTGAGAACGTACTCGTTTTAGCAGACCGCCGAAGGCGCCTTGTGGCGCGGCAGCCGTCAACGCTGCGAGAGTCGCTAAAATTAAGGCAGCTTTCATTTTTGTAGGATAAGAGAGATAATAAAAGTGCTGCGTAGACGGGCAGAAGTTATAATAATATCGTTGCTAAATAAACAAACATGATAATGCGGATAAAAGACGAAAATCCTCAATTTATAGGTTCTTAAATCTAAGATGAACTGACATGCCCCGCATAGAGTGTCCCTGCTTCTTAGCATGGGAATAATATCGTCTTGTAATATTCCATATATTCCCCCATATTAATATGTCCATCTGGATAGACGGAGCCGATAGTAGATCATAGAATGCGATATGCAGGTTTAGAAATACCATGTAGAGGGACTTGGAATTCGGATCAGCAAACAGTATTCTTCCCAGGATTCTACAAGACCACAAACAAGCTGTACTGCAGGAAACAAAAAAAGAAACGAAACAAAAGATAAAAATTTAAACTCGAGAGAGCAGGAGAATTGTCGTTAATTTAGGTGAGTCGGGCTTGTGCTGGTAGTGTCTGCCGAGGGTCAGATCGTCTGGCGTGTATCTTTCGGCTCAGAGGCCAAAAGAGCTTCCGCTGTATGTTGTCGGCTCTTTTAGTCAAGTAATTGTGAGAATATCCGGGTCGACCGGTCTTGAGTATATCGGACCTGATGCAAGCTGGCTGTATACTAGTGTTAAAAACGCATCGGAACATCCGTCTTCGGATCTTGGCACTAACTAGTCATCTGGCGGCTTCTGCTAACTAAAGTGTTGTTCATGGTGATGTTATAGTTAATGCATGACCTTATGATCATGGAAGCCTACCAAGCTTGAGGCCCGCTTCCGGTTGACTTAAAATCCCCCGAGCCAGTTACTGTCGACTATGGGTTCAAAGCTTAGAGTGGTACTCATGTTTTACACAAGCTTAAGATTTCACGACCTTGCTAGAGTCTTCAATCGCAAATGTTCTTGGGTGCGTGGCCGGAGGGCGAACGTGGGTTTGAAGCTGTACCATACCCTGACTTCGAGATTTTGAAGTCTGTGAACTAAAAATAATTTCAGGAAGTACTGGTTTTAGCGCTACATATAGATACCTTTCTGGTAATGTGATTAGCTGCTAGATTTGCTACCAAAAGTTTGTTACAAAAGTGGTAAAGTGGTAAAGTGACAGCGGGAGTTCGAAGGAGGCACTATCTTGAAGTGTATATTAAGAGGAGCCTGCTTAGGTAGTCTGGACCGGAGGATAGCGGGGTTCAGGACGGGTAGTTGGTTGTAATGTATTTTTGTTGTAGGTGGGGTCTTTCAGAAAGAATGATATCTAAGTTATAGCACTACTCACAAGAGGTTATAGAGCGACTATGACATGCTTTGTACCAAGCTATGGAGGGCTGAGGTACGTCTGGACTGCGTGGGTCGGGGCTGTGCTCTGTACCTGAGAATTGAAAACTGGTAACTTAAATCTCGTGTTGAGGAACAAAATACAACAATGCTGTTGGCCAATCATGTTACCTGTTAGCCGGTGCGGGAAGCCTGCAAACTTACCCTTTTTGAAATTGATGTGATTTCAGATAAATTAGCGGGCGCCCGACGATCATGATGTTGAATCGATCATGATCACGATAAATATCAAAATTTAAAAATGGACATGCCCCGCCTGTGTATGATGCTGTGGGCACTGGTTACCGTGATTTGGTAACTCCCACAGAGCGCCCCGTTACTCATAATGCAGTTGATCTCTGCCCATCCCTTCATTGCGATCGCTGTTCTCGGTACCCGACCCGGCCCGGTGGATCGAATACCGCGGCTTTAATTGCAACGTGATCAACATGCAAAATATATGTGAGGCCTTGCGGCATGTAGCAATTATGAGTAGTTTGATGTCGCACATAATTTTCAATTAACATTAATGCATTATATAAATTAACTTATACCGAAGGATGCTTGAATTGCGACAGCAGAATTATACTCGAATATTCTTTTAGGGAAAGTTATAGAGAGAATTATGTGGGATCCGGTCCGCCATAACTCGAGCATTCCGATTATGCGCTTAGAGATAGTACGAAGTAGGTTTCAGGGACACCTGGAAGGTGGACCGAGAGCCAGGGAAACAGATTGTGTTTGG